TTTAATAATAAACTTAATAATTTAAATAATAAATAGAGATCTTAAACTTTAATTAAAGACTATAGCGAAAATAGGTATAATAAAGCTTGTCTACCCCTAAAGAGAATATAATATAAATATAATAAAGGTAAGAAGAAATTTATATAATGAATAATTATAAAGGTTAGATATTAATATTATAAAATATAAAAATAACTATAAAATATAAAAATTTAATAAAAAAAAGAAAAAGATAATAGACTTAAAAATATACTATTAAAGTATTATATCTATAAGAAATTATTTAAAAAAAAGCTTAAAATTAAAATACTATAATATAATTAATAAGACTATAAAATATAACTTAAATTAAATAACCTATCGCTTTAAAAGATTTATAACCTTAATTAGAAAAAATTATATACCTTAAGGGAATATTTTAATATAGAATTAGCTAAGGGAAATATTAAGATCTTTACTTTATTAATAGGATTCTTAATAATATTTATCCTTAAGAAAAATAGATTATTATAACTTATTATAGATTTTTAAAAATTAAATAAACTTACTATTAAGGATAGGACCTTACTTTTATTTATTATAGAATTTAAAGACTATTTATAAGGAAAATAGATCTTTATAACTCTTAACCTTAAAGGAGTCTATAATCTAATTTATATTAAAAAAGGAAATAAATAAAAGATAGTATTTTAAATTAAATTTAGACTTTTTAAATACTTAATAATACCTTTTAAACTTATAAATATATTTATAACCTTTTAATAAATAATTAATAATATTTTATAATAATATCTTAATATCTTTATAGTTTACTACCTAGATAATATCCTTATTTTCTTCGATATAGAAAAAATATATTTAAAATATATCTATAAGGTACTTAAAGTACTTTAAGATATTAACTTACTAATTAAACCTAAGAAAAGTTATTTTTATATAAAAGAAATAAACTATTTTAAATATATAATCTTATTAAAAGAAATCTAAATAAATAAAAAGAAAATATTAATAATATAAAATTAACTATAATTATTAATAGTTAAAGAAATATAAAGCTTTTTAGGTTTTTTTAATTACTATTAATAATTTATTAAAGACTTTAATAAAATTATAAACCTATTTATTAAATTAATTAAAAAAGATAAGAAGTTTATATTTAGAAATTAAGTAAAGAAAGCTTTTATAAAGCTTTAAAATATAATTCTTAGTAAATTAATATTTATTATATTTAATCTAATTAAGGAAATTAAGCTTAAAATAGACTTATTAAATTTTACTTTAAGAATATAGATTAGTTAATATAATAAATAAGGAAGGCTATACCTAATAGCCTTCTATTTATATAAATTATATAAAATAGAATTTAACTACCCTATCTATAATAAAGAATTCCTAACTATTATTAACTATTTTAAGGAGTTTAGATATTACCTTATAGGAAGTCTTTATTAAGTTAAAGTTTATATTAATTATTAAAATATCTTATATTTTATTATTACTTAAAAATTAAATTAATAATAATTATACTATATAGAATACCTATATAAATTTAATTTTATAATTATTTATTATAAAGGATTTAATAATAGATATATAGATACTATTAATTAAAGACCGGATTATAATATTAATATAATTAAATATAATAAGTAAGTTTTAAAATATAATAATAAGGGAGAATATAAATTTACTTAATAAATTAGAATAATTATATATATTTAAATAAGGGAATTTAAGTTATAATTTATTAATAAATTTAATAAATAACTCTAGAAAGAATACTAAATATAGTTATAAAATGCCCTTTATAATATTTAAGAAATAATATTTAAACTAAATAGATTAATTATAAAATAATATATACTATAAGAATATTAAGAATTATTAATATAGGAAATATATAAATATTCTCTATATAGCTATTAAGGTATTATAAAAATATTAAAATAAATATAAAAAAACTATTAAGGAGAAGAACTTAAAAAGATAATTAAAAAAGTTATTAGGTAATATAATCTATATAAAAAGATAAAATATAATAATATAAACCCTATAAGAACTTATAGATATTACTAGTAATATAATAACCTTAAGATTTAATTATAATAGACTTTATAATTAAATTTTCGCTATTTAAAGAATTCTTAATTAATATTTTTTATAATAGTATTATAGTTATTATTAATTAATTAATAAAAATTTTATATTACTTACCCTATAAAAAAGCTATAAATATAAAAGAACTTTTCTTTACTTTTTATTAATATATTATAACTATTTATAACTTATTAAATAAAATTATATTAAATAAAGGATTAATATTTATAGCTAAATTTTAGTAATTACTTATAGTATATCTAGGATTAAATTATAAACTATTAATAGTATTTAGGCTATAAATAGATAGTTAGACTAAAAGAATAAATTAAATACTAAAATAATACCTATAGTATTATATTAATTATAAATAGAATAATTAGATAGAGAAATTACTATTAGCCTAACTTACCTATAATACCGCCTATAATAAAAGTATAAAATTAATATCTATTTTTATTAATTTTAATTTTATATTAAATATATTTTATTATATATAGAAACCTAAATCTATTAATCTAGTAACTATTATTAAAAGTAAGGACCTTATAATATTATATAAAGAAATAAAAATAGAACTTAAATTTATTAGAAATTAAATAAATAATTACTATAATCTAAAATAGATAAAGGGACTATCTTTCTTAAAGGGAGATATAGTTTATCTTACTATAAAAAACATTTTAATAAAATAACTATCTAAAAAACTTAACTATAAGTATATTAAACTATATAAAATTATATAAAAAATCTTAAAAAATAACTATTAACTAGACTTATTACTGAAGGTAAAGTTCTATTTAATCTTTTATATTATACTATTAGAATTAGTAATTAATATAATTTAAGTTAAAACCGATAATAAGCTAAAAGAAATTAAAGGACTAGAAATCTATAAAGTAAAAGTAATTAAAGAGATATATAAAAACCAAGGTAAAATAGAATATCTAATTAAATATAAAAACTACCTAGAAAATAAAAATATATAGGAACCTCTAAAGTATTTTATTAATACCTAATAACTTCTAAAGAACTTTTACTATTAATATTAATAGAGAAGACCTTACCCTAATTAATAATATTAGCCGCCCTAATAAACTAAGCTTTTACGGTAGTAAATAATTTAGTATTTTTAATTACCTCTAAATTATCTAAAGTCTTAATATTACAATATAATATTTTACTACCCTGCTTATTTAGTTACCTATATTAATAATAAAGATATATTAAATGCGCTAAATATTTATTAACTTATTATTATAATATTAATAATTTAGTCTTAGTAATCTCCTCCTCCTATTTAAGATACTATTTTTTAATAATAACATAATTAGCTATAAAAAGATTAATAATATCTAGAAATATAATTATTAAAGATACTAACCTTTAAAAATAGAAATACCCCTTTTATTATATTTTCATCTATAATAAGTATATTATATATAATAGGAATAACCCTTCTTAGCTTAATACTTTAGTTTATATAATTTATAGTAGCTATATAGTATAATAAGGAAACCGGTATTTTTAATTAAAATAGCTTAGGCCCGATAGTTATAAGTAGCCTTAGATTTTAATATAGTATTAATAAGGAAAGGAAACTTTTTATAAGTCTAAATTAGTATATATTAGAATTATATAAAAAGAAAAAGCGGATATATAGGTCTTAAGGATAAGATTAAAAGAGGGAGGGAGATCATATTGTAACTTAATAAGATAAAGCGCTTATATTATATATACCCCACTTTAAAGTAATTAATTATATATTAATTTATACTTTTAGTATTAGGTAGCTATAATCCTATTCTATAGATTATACTTTTGACTTATAACTTACTATAAGCCCTGCTTATAATATTATAAACTACCTAAGTATATATATATATTTATTTAATACTAAATAGAACTTAACTTATTAGCTATTAATATAATTTCTTTACCTAAATATGCCTAACCTGCTTTATTCTTTATTAAGAGATATAATACTTTATAACGCTTAGTATAATACCCTATAGTATCTATTAATATAAACCTAATACGGACTAGTTTATCCCTTAAGAAACCTAACCGTTATATAAATGGTTAAGATATAAGATAAGGGATTTTTAGTATAAATACTTATCTAGTATATATACTTATTAAATATATTATATATAGTTTAGAAATATTAATAATAATAATAGTAGAATAGTAAATAAGAAGGTAATAAGAATATTAAATATACTTCTTAACTATTAAATTATAAGGAATATAGGTATTACTTTATAAAGTAAATGTCTATAATGATATTATTTCTTAATTATAATATAATAGTCTTTAAGGTAAAGAAGAGACTATGGTTATAGTATATATTTTAGTAAAGGCTAGGTAGTATATATAAAGTAGTTAAATAGCAAGAAATGTAATAATAACTATATATATATATTCACAAGGTTTAAGGTAATAGTTATCCTACTTATAGAGACTTCCATACAATACGGTCAGTCTAGTAAGCAGTAGGCATATCTTATCTAAATAGGTAGTACACCTAAACTAAAGACAGTTGTAGTATATCTAAACTATTGAATTATATTTATATTCACATCGAGTCTGGTAGTACCTTTAAAAAAAGAGATCCAGCTGTCCCAATTAAACCCACAAAGATATCAACAATAGAGGTCTCTACACAGACCGAAAAGCAACAGTGTCCCAAATCCAATAAAGTTGCCCACCATATCAGCCGCAACTCTAGAATTATATTTATATTAGATATTTAAAAATACTTGGAACTGCTGGTTTAAAACTAACGGCTTAAAACTCTACGAAGTCTTTTCGAATTCAAAATACTAATTTCAAAGAGCCTAGATTATTTAAGTTTCAGAGCCTCTAAACTGTCATACTCAATAACATCCAGCCCTACTTAATCATAAAACCAAGACAGGATACTGATCATTACTACCAGTACTACTCAGTTTCACAAGGTGCAACTCTGTACAAGGCCAGCACGGGTGCTGAGGAAGAATAACAGCATGCTTGCGTAATCGAATACAAACACCAGCTGCAGCAAGCCTTGCTAGCCAGTTTCCAGAAGTCCGTACCACAAGGACGCCGCTATCGACCGGCGGTGTAAGTAACTCTTCCCAGTTATCCACAGTGATGGCCCCGGAGAGCCCCCCCGTATTTGGAAAATCAGTTGCCACTGGGTGACTTGTGTCATTACACGAAACACGAGAAACAAGGGGATCTCCAAGAGTTGCTAATATATCAAGATCGCAGACCCATTCTGAGCTGTCGTATACCTGGACCAGGGTCTCACGCAATGCCGTAGATTCATCGATATAGTGCTCGTCTTGGTTAAGACCTGGTAGTCCGGGTTGGTATTGCGTCAAGGTCAGGTGCATTGAGGTTTTCCAAAAGCTGTCCTCGAGGTGCCCTTCGAATCGCTTATGGCTGAGAACCGTCCAGGCCTCGGGGTTTGATTTACGTATCCTAGGATTTGGCGGCGGAATGAGAAAGGATAACCCTGGTTGGCCGATGTTGCCACTCACGCGCTTGATTTCCGTCGCGAGTGGGGTCTCATAAGGGTCAGCCATGAGAGGGCTTGCCACAAATATGGAGTTACCGTAGGTCATAGCAAACACGTTCCGTAGGTACCCAATGTCAAAGTTACGGCCTGTTTCGAGCATTGCAATGCAAGCAAAGGCTTTGGGCCGCGAAAGGGTCAGTTTCAGGGGCGATTCCTGGAGATTTTCTCTACTGGGGATCCATCTGGCGTCTCTGAGAGAAGTCCGGCTCATTATTGAAGAGTCAATGGTGGCCTCTGGCAAGCGTGAATATAGCTCAACTGCGGCGGCACAAGCGCGAAGTGGTTGAACAAAATCAATGTTCGTCTTCCTCAAATGAGTGGCAAACCATTCCGTAAGCTTATAGTGATCGAATGCATCAGGTTGCAATGTCGACTTGAATATTCGTCCAGTGAAATAATGCCCTAGGTGTCGTGAATCACCACCCGGTCGGCCTTGGCGGGGATCGGTATTATTTTTAGTCATCGGGCCAACTCTCAAGATCTCAGCAAGTTCATAGTCGCCAGCACAGAATTCGAGGTGCACGAATGTCTGTGAATCTCCTGTATTCCCTTTTGTCAATCCAGAGAGCAAGAGATGTCTGGTATGGAAAAGCCTTAAGCTTACCTTTCGAAAGCTGTAAAAGTGCCGGATGAAAATCAGTACCGTTCCCAAAGTCGACCTGGCCATTCCTAGGATCAGATGAATAGGAAACTTCATGCGCCGGCATAGGCCTTTCTCCCATCTTCTGAATGTAATCTATACGTCGCTGGATTTTCGTCGCTTCGGGAAGGCACTTCTTGATTGGCATGATCTTCCAGCCATGGCAGGCCAAAGAACAAGCACCGCGCTCCAAACAGCCACAGAACTTCTCGCGACGCCTTGTTGTTATTTCTAGTCTCCTGAAGCCCGATTTGGCTTTCTGTTCTGGCTGATCTTCTGGTCTTTTGTGACAGATGTCATTGCAATCGCAACCGGGTCCTCTAGTTCTGACTGGAATCCACCGCATATGAGTCTTAGCACATGGCGTAGATGAGTGATCCACTCGGCGAATAAATCCTGACAAATCCTCCTTTTTATGGCTATCGCCCAACGGCTCTATGGTGGCGTACTCGTAGCTATTCTGTCCGTAGTAGTATCGAATAACACAGTTACTATTCGATAGCCCGAGGTCTTGCGCATATTTCCTCAGATATTTGATACGAGGTTCTGGACCTTCTAGCAAAGAGAATAAAGAGGGTATGTGGCATAGTCCAAAGAAAGGCGCAGGGGCGGAATCGGGGGCGCAGAGGAAGCGGCCGTGACGACGACCATGGTTGATTAATTTCAGCGCCGTTTCCCGCTCGATAGGATCCATGGATGATATGTCATCCGCGGCTGTTAACAGTTGGCCGATCCACGAGTTTTGCCTGGTCATCTTCTGCATCCGCACCAAATTTGATCGCTGGTACTCAGATTCCTCATTCGATCTTTCGGGAGATCTAATTGCATCCAGCAGCCCAGCTACCAGTTCAATATCATCCAGCATGGAGACGCTGAAGCCGTGCCAATTGGACAAGACACAACCAAGTAGGACCAGACGAAATTGATCGATGGATATCCTTGCAGAGCCCACGCTGAGGCTTCGATTTACAACGACAGGCTCGCCATAATACCGTAAATAGGCTAGTGGAAGAGACCATGTCACACTGCTCGCCACCTCTGAAGACCTCTCAAGGTCTAAAGTCAAGATTCCCGAGCTTGATATGAGTGGATCTCTCTGGTGGATGACATCCGGACCCTTGCTTAGGACACAAAGATCTGGATAGAGATGCCAGGAGTTAATAGCCAACAGCACGGCACCATTGCGCACTCTTTGGGGCGTGCCGTTGATGAGACACTCCATAGATGTCATGGCATCTTTCCAGGCTTTGATAACACTGCTATAAGGATCGGAGGACGCGTTCACCGGTATTCCAGCGTTGTCAGCATATAGCAGTGCCACCTTACGTTGTTCAGCTGTAGCCAAATGTGCTGTGTTTATCCAGGATCTGGCGCTGTTGTCCCAAGCCGCCAGCTCGTCCCTTGTGAACTCTTGCTGGGTAACAAGAGCTTTTGCTATGACTTTCATCTGATCTATTTCTTGGTCGATAGTTTCCTGGATCTCTGACTTCCTTGTTTCGATGAGCTGCAACCAAAGTGCAACCGACTGGGCGCTGTCAAAAACTCCTGCAATCATACATGCCAATAAATGTATGGAAATGGCGCTTGATCCGGATGTTGCTGCCGCCCATAAGCTGGCAGAGTCAGTCCCGGCGAATTGAGAAAATATGCCATATCGGTTTCGTTCTTCCGTATCAATATGCCTCTGCTGGCAAATTTCAGAGACTCGCTTTCCATAAATGGACAAGAGACGCTCAGCAGAAGGCGGCACACCATCGAAAATGGCGCCCAACTTACGTGCGGTTCGATGAAGGGAGCCTCTCTCGGCATTCTCTTTCCGCACGTTGGTGAGGCTCGTACCAACGCTGACGAACTCCTTTGGTGCCTCCAACTTGATGAGAGTAAAGTCGAGATTCAGATTGGCGGCCGCGAGAGAAAAGTCATTCTGAATGCTAGCTGCGCTGGCGACCAGCTTACTTATAATTGAACTGGCCATCGAGAAGTGATCTTAACAAGGGAGAAATTAGTGTCTATCCTTCCCGCCCTCATACCAACTCCAAGCGGGGGAAAGGCCTGACGTGTCAGTGCATATCCCACGTCATTGTGGCTGACTTTGGATCAGCCTGAACTATGGATCGCCGCAACACCTAACTGAACATCTTCCCTACCGCTGTTAACAACAACAACTCTTCCGGTCGCGTTCCATCATGCCTTGGTTTCCCGTTGAATCTGAAAATCCGACGGGATGGAGAATCCAGTATATGGGGCTGGTGACTTGCCTAGGTGCATTTGCCGTTGACAAGCACGCCAATGCCATGGTCAGCTCGCCCTTTCTCTATCTACCCCGAATTATTCCTGGGGCTTGGGTTTTCCCCAAGTGTGGTTTGTCTCGTTTCCAATACAGGGCCAACCCTACTCTTCGAGCTGCAGCCTGCGAAGCACGATCGGAGTTTCCGTTTGTTGGCCGATTACCGCATCAGCTTCACGTAATCGTTCCGGAGATGAAGGACAAGAAAAGCTTTGTCCCTCTATCAATCCATCGATGGTCCATCCGGTATGATTTCAAACGGATCGGCTTGCAGCCAGAACAGAGGTCATGCACAAAAAGAGAAGCTTGCTCTATATACGCGACGATACTTCAAAATTCGAGTGATTTTATTCATTCTTTATCACCGACAGACTTACTTACTGTCCTCTCTTTCCTAATTACTCTTGGTTTAGCCTCATTTTGTGCAACTAGGAAAGATGGCTCAGCTATTCTTGGCCTGGCTCTTAGTTCCATTCACACGATTTTGAGCAGCCGAGCGATTCGAATCAGAGTCAGGCATTATCTCATTCCTGAATCAAAGCGAACGTTTGAGTTGGTTGTCAAGACCCCCGAAAATGCTTTTTGGATCATTGTATGTGACAAGCTTGCCTACAACGCCATGGTCGAGGGGGCCATTTTACTGCCCATTGGTGAAGATAGTCAGGATAATCGCTTCCTGTTACCAGACCTCAGACGGCCAAAACCTCCCCCTACCGGTGTTCTCTTGCTTAGTCTGTCTTTCATAATGTTCTGTAATTCGACCTTCATTTGTCAAGTACTGATAACTTCCGCTTACATTTTCCTTACTGCTCTGTATTCTGTTATCATGCCGTTAGGGGTCTGTCCTGGCGAGCTGAAAGTCGCTACAGAGTACGATAGTCTCTCTCCCACATCCCACTTACCGAAGCCTGAGGAAAGATATACAGAAAGGATTCCGACGATTGCGAGGACAGTCTGGTATTTAATCAAGCTTACAAATTCGACAACGTGGGTGCGAGACATTCAAGCTATTCCGGAAAACCCTCGTTGGGATCAATGGCTAGAGGAAGCACGCAAAAACATTGACTCTCCTGATTGGCCTGCAGAGGGAGAGAAAAGGCGACTTGTTGACGACGAGGAGAATGTTTACATTTCGCAGGAATTAGTACAAGGAAGTACCAATGAGGAGGTGCTGAGTATTACTCCAGTGCATGAGTCGCAGTGGTAAATAGTAATATAGACTTAACTAAACACGCTACTATTATCTACCTAATTCTTTATTTTTTTCTTTTCCTAATGTGTAATAGGGCAGTTTAGTTTTAGATCTTAAATTTCATTCATAAAAAATAAAAGTAATTATACGTAGGTAACTTAGGTCATTACATAAATTAATATGATTTCGTACTACCAAAGACGAGACTAGGGACCACTCTTGGTATGGAATTAGCTGTTAGATGTAAGAGGGGAGCGAGTATCAGAGTCTGTCGAATCCGATCGAGAGCTTTACGACTTTTTCAAAGAACTTGCATGGAAAGTGCAACATGTGAGCAGAGCTGGGTTCTTAGTGGAATGGACGGCACATCGTTTCCACTCACAAAAGAACAGTTGAACCTCTCGGGGCATAGCTATTTGATCTTTTTTCATTGAATTGGTCGTTTCAAAAGATCACCAATCCTTCACCTTTGAGAAAAGTACAATGTATTATCTATCGGAGAGCATGACGTAAGTAAAGCTTTCCATTTGAGAATAAGCTCAACTAGTTCTTTTATATATTACTTTTTAATATATATCAATATATTTTGAACGGCACGATGAGCGAATTTAAATAGATAGCTTCATCTATTGATAATATTTATGGGACTAGTAACTAATGGTCAGGGCAGACACCCAGCCTAGCCGGAATAGGTTCTTGCTTATCTGTAAGAGTAAGTGAGTGTGATCTTAGGTCATTGCGTCATTCAGTTTCACCAGCTAGTTAGATACGGAGCACCATAGACAAGCTGTCAGTTAAAAGTCACCCTTACCCACCTACCCGAATGCGAGCATGGAAAGAAGAATAATTACATGACGAGTTTGACTTTACTCAAAGGTGCATTGATTAATCAACTGAAACTTTATATCCTAACTATACCCACGCCGCCCATACTAACGTTTGTAAATGCACATTGACAACGTATAGGGACTGGACTAACCTTGTAAATCTCAACTGCCGCTCCCGTAATAAAAACTCCTTTTCGCCGTAAATTATCTCAACGTTGAAGCCCAGGTTTATTCCAGTACCGCGACATTAATAGCAAGACGGCACTCAATGTTCATTGAACAGCGATTGCTTAGATTGCGTATCTCACTACGTAGTAGAAGGATCAACTGATGTGAGATTTTAGTACTGCACTGCTTATATGACCAATCAACAACGGGCTAGCCCGAGCGGACTAATCAAATGAGCGTGGCAGTTTCGGACTTGAATCGTTTATATTTGGTCTGATCTCTCCGGATCTCACCATTAGCCTGAGGATTGACACCACCTTTACCATACTGAGCATTCAAAAGGCCAGGGGCTCAGATGTATAAAAGTGATAGACTTCCCCACCTCTTGCCTCCACCAAACATAAGCAGGAGTGTAACAGCAAGCCAAAGTTTGGATATAATGAATCGCGCTACTGTCGCTGTCATTGGAGCCGGTAAGTCCTGGCGCGATCAAGCGCAGTTGATATCCTGACTTCTTTTATAGGCCCGACTGGCCTTTCCATGCTGAAACAGCTCCTTCACGACGGATTCAATGCCACGCTGTTTGAACGACGAAGTTCAGTCGGAGGACTCTGGTCATACGATGCAGATCACGGATGGACAACTGCGATGCAGTGCACCGGCGCAAACATCAGCAAATATACATGCGGATTCACGGATTACCCAATCCCCGATAGTGAGCTTACGCTGCGCTGCTCGAATCTACTGATGCTGACTTGCTGTAGAATACCCAGTTCACCTCAGCGCCGCCGATTTTCAAGAATTTATGCAGGACTATGCCGAGCATTTTGGTCTCATCAAAGAGATAGTATTCAACACCAGTGTGAAGCTCGTCAACCGCAACAAGGAGGATAATGGGTGGGTGCTTCAGCTTGAGAAGGTCGGCAGCCAAGAAACTGAATCACGTCAATTCGACAAAGTCGTGTTTTGTCATGGGTATCAGACCGAGAAGGTGATGCCGAAATTCCCAGGACAGGAAAGTTATGAGGGTGAGATAATACACTCACAGCAATTCCGAAGGTGTGTTCCCCTGTGAAAATGTGACAGATGATTGATGCTGATCCGCAGAGTAGCTTCGAAGCATATCGCGACAAGACAGTCGTGTTCCTCGGCCTATCCACCACAACAGACGATCTCGCCCCTCGAGTTGCCGATGTCGCCAAGAAGGTCTACGTCTCCCACAGAAGTGGCCAAATTATCGTCAAGCGCTTTCGTAAAGGGACCCCGACCGATCTTCTGGCCTCGTGGCGACGACGGCAGATCTCCCAATGGATAGCGAAGAACATGCCCAACGCCTACAGATTTCTGGCAAACTCAGTGGCTAAGCTGCTATCTGCGCAATTCGCTGGTATGAAACTTGAGCCAGAATGGCGGCTCACGCCCTTTCGCGACCTGACCGTGAGGCTTCCGGGTTTGATTGAGAATTGCCTTCCTCGGTTGAAGGACGGGAGTTTGACGAGTATACATGGACTAAAGCAGTTCGTGGGCGGGCGGTCCATTGAGTTTGACGATGGGACTGTTCTTGACAACATCGACGCTGTTGTCTTCACCACAGGTTACAAGGGTGACTTCAAGGTGGCACCTTTCGTCGAAAAGTCCCTCCCCAAATCACCCAACTATGGAGGTCCGCCTATCAATCGACTATACATGAACGTATTCCCTCCAAAGTACGCAGACAGCTGCGCCATGCTCTGCTACTCAGCCTACGGTAAAAATAACGGATTCTCATTCAGCGACGTCATGAACTTTGCCATCTCAAACATATGGCGCGGCGTAAGCGACATACCGACCTATTCAGAAATGGAGCAATGGGTCGACGAGCACCAAGAATGGCTCGCAGAGAACTGGGTTCGCGAACCCACTCTGGACCTAAGCATGGTAAAGCAGCACGAATTCCAGCCGTGGATGCACGAAAAGGCGGGCACCGGGATGGAGAACCTCGGCTGGGGATGGGCGGGGTGGAAGTTCTGGTGGAAGGATAGGAAGATGTACAATCTAATGAACAATGGTGTTGAGACGGCGCACATGTTTCGGTACTTTGAGACAGGGAAGAGGGCGACGTGGGAGGGGGCGAGGGATGAGATTATACGGCAGAATTCAATTGTGCGGGAGAGGTATTCTGGTAAGAAGAGGAATTCTAAGCAGCAGTAGATAGTGTGATTGTTTTGTTAGTGAGTGCAGTAGATTTGAGTTACTGAGCGTTTAAAGCATGATATACAAGACAGGAGTGTGCAATTTAGACACCCGCGATATATTCAAGAATTGTCATTCAATGTTTGTTTAACTAGCACTGTTGGTGTTATTCCCAAGGCGTTTGCTAGCCAAGTCTGTTAGATAGAATGTCATTTTTCGATTATTGTCTACTTGCTATCCTACTTACTGCAGTTGAGTAAATGTGACAAGGCATTTTTCAATACCATATACTTCATGAGTAGAGCCATCTTGATATTTTGCTAATTCGAATAGTAAGAATAGAAGATACTGGCTCTATTGATATGCCCCTATCCGTAGTTTTAGAACTCGATGCATCTTGGTAATTGTACGCTACCCTATGCCAGTGTGACAATAGAGAAGTGAACAGGAATAAGAAACTATCCTATTATATCACAATTATAAAAGAAACCAGCACTAATAATTACCTATTAATAAGCTCTATTTTGTATCTTGACACATTTTATACACATAAAACACAAAGATGCAATTGAGTCATCCATCCGAATTTCTACTTTCTCTTTAAATCGGCGCAAAGCATCATACCCACTTGCGCCACTCTATTCCGTATTAAATCTTAACAACTTTAATATTACGCTAGGAGCCGGAACGGGTCTGTGCGTTTCAGATCGTCATAGAGCCCACTCTGTGAAACGCTCCTGAGTCTGAACACGTGGGACTGGGCGTTTACGGCATAACCGAGAATTATATACCCTTTGCATGAACTTTGACGTGCTTAAGAGTTCATGGTTCGACGTCGAGACATGACAAGGATATGCTGGATGTGTAGGTCTAGTGTTACCTTGCGGTGGGAACTATGGCTCTGACCTTGCTGGAAGCACTTTAAGCCAATTTCTAATTATTTAATTTTGGTACTACTGTCGAGATAGATAGTTCAATCAAGATGCAGATAAAATTTAATCAGTCAAAACAAATTCGACATAAAATGGATGAGTCTTGAGCACCTACTCTGCCAGGACGACAAAAAGATCATCTGAAAGTCCCAGGCTCGAGAGAATGTGGCAGAATACCAATTCAAAGACCAGGGATAGGAATCCGGAATTGCGGCAGAGAAAGGCGTCCCATAAAAGAATAAATCGCGACGACACGCGATCGTGCATTATTCTTCACCATCCATCACCACCATCGGTCACAAAGGGGCAGAACCGTTACATCGGGATGCCTCTTCAGTTGGCAGTCCAAACTGGGTCTCCGTCTTGGCATGAATGCACAATGTCCCAGCCAATACGGAGTACTAGACGTGCCAAGCCTAGTAGCATTCTCCTAATATCAAAACTCGCCACCCTAAACGCGTCCACGCGGTAAACGACAAACCCGAGTTAACCGACACGTATACATCCTATTATCAGACGAATTAACGACAATACCACGTAGACGGCGGATGTGTTGCCAATTAAATATCTGCCGAGCTATCAACCTTCCTAAATCAAGTCAGGGGAAAGAAGAAGAGATGCGACAAGGGGGTTTGGCGCATCCCTGTCGCCGATCTTTGATGCAACACTAAAATCTCCCCCTGCAGCGGAGAACGGATGGCGTTGGTTGGGGAATGCAACGCTATGCGGGCTGAACGCCTTATTATGTGCAAATGCCGTTGCAGAGATACACAGCCAAGTTGCTAGCGGTCGGAGATGGGGCGGGATGTGACTAAAGATGGAGACTGGTGTCCGATGCTATGCTATTCATAGTTACCACTGTCGTTAGGGAGCCATCCGAGGTTTTATGCGCTATAAACTCCGGCGGGCATGTGGAGGCAAAGTGTCCAAAATGTCCTGATTGTGGTGGAATTGGCGTCGCGAAATACTATTCCCGAATATCCGTCATGGTCCTGGTGTTTTGGTGCCACTCCCGAGGCTATCGAGTTAGGACTCACCTCCGTGCGAGGTACCCATTACAACCCAAACAAGAACATGGGTGTTTCGTCCAAGACATTGCAGAGATGGAATTGAAAGAATAAATACCAAGCAACGACATGCATTCTCAGCTTCCAGTTGATCAGCACCCGTCACTCCTTGCTTACACTCTTTACCACTACTCAACCCGGGACGCCACTCTTTTCGCCCCCCGTTTGACTAGACACTCGCATAATAATACCCATCATGAGAAACTTCCTTCTTGCAGGCCTGCTGGCCGCCCCTACATCCGTGTGCGCCGTGGCCCTCACCGGCTACGAGTACATCGTCGTCGGTTCCGGCGCCGGCGGTGGTCCCCTGGCTGCCCGTCTTGCACTGGCCGGTCGCAAGACCCTCCTCATCGAGGCCGGTGACGACTACAACTCCCTCAACTACACCGTCCCTGCCTACTCCGCCAACGCGTCCGAGGATCCTGAGATCTCGTGGAACTTCTTCGTGCGGCACTACGCCGATGATGAGCGACAGGCGCGTGACTTCAAGGCCACCTACGACACTCCCAACGGCGAGTACACCGGTCTGAACCCTCCTGCTGGGGCGGAGCTCAAGGGTACTCTGTACCCTCGTACCCAAGCCCTTGGAGGCTGCACTGCTCACAACGCTCTGATCGCCGTGTACCCTCACCAGTCTGACTTTGAGTACATTGCCTCGCTCACCGGCGATGACTCCTGGTCTGCCGAGAACATGCGAAAGTACTTCGTCAAGGCCGAGGACAACAACCATCGTCCTGCCGGCGAGGAGGGCCACGGTTACAACGGCTGGCTCAGCACTGAGACCGCCCCCCTTAGCATCCCCCTCGGCGACGAGCAGCTCCTAAGCATCCTCAGTGGAGCCGCCGTTGCCCTGACCGAGGCCTCTGGCAAGAACATCACCATGGACGGCCTTATCGCCGAGGATGCCAACGCTGATACTCTCGCCCGCGACCAGGAGGCTGGCTACTACCAGATCCCCCTCTCCACCAAGGATGCCAGCCGTATTGGACCCCGTGAGTTCATCCTCTCTGTGCGCGATGCCAAGCACGACAACGGTACCAAGATGTACCCTCTCGACGTCCGCACCAACAGCTACGTCACCAAGGTCATCTTCGACGAGTCCGAGCCCCCTCGCGCTGTGGGAGTTGAGTTCCTCGACGGCAAGCACCTCTACAAGGCCAGCCCTCTTGCCACCAACGCTGCTGGCAAGGCCGGTAACGCCACTGCATCTCGTGAGGTTATCGTCGCCGGTGGTGTGTACAACACTCCCCAGATCCTCAAGCTTAGCGGTATCGGACCTGCTGCTGAGTTGAAGAAGTTCGACATCCCCGTCATCTCCGATCTTCCCGGCGTTGGAACCAACCTGCAGGACCACTACGAGATCAGCGTCCAGGCCAACACCCCTGAGAACTTCACCTCTTTCGACGGCTGCACCTTTGGTCTTTTCACCGACGAGGACCCTTGTGTTGACCGCTGGAGAGCCCCCGTCGACGGCGACCACGGCATCTACTCCTCCTCCGGCCTTGCTGCCTCCATGTTCTACAAGAGCTCCACCGCTGAGAACGACAACTTCGACATCTTCGCTTTCGGCGGCCCCGTCAACTTCCGAGGCTACTTTCCCCAGTACGCCGTCAACGCCACTATCAACCATGACGCCTTCTCCTGGGCCATCCTCAAGGCTCACCCCCGCAACACCGCCGGCAAGGTCGTCCTCCGCTCCGCCGACCCCCTCGACATGCCCGAGATCACCTTCAACTACTTCGACACTGGTAATGGCGACTCCTCCGCTGATCTTGAGGCCCTGTACGAGGCCATTGAGCTCGCCCGAAACGCCCTCGCCAGCCAGGCCGTCAACGTTACCGAGATCCTCCCCGGCCCCAACGTCGTCTCCAAGAAGGACATCCAGACCTACATCAAGGACAACACCTGGGGACATCACGCTTCGTCCACCTGCCCCATTGGTGCTGACGATGACCCTATGGCCGTTCTCGACTCTAGCTTCCGTGTGCGAGGTGTTGCTGGTCTGCGTGTTGTTGACGCTTCTGTCTACCCTCGCATTCCCGGTACTTTCACTGCTGTCTCTACTTACATGGCGGCTGAGAAGGCTGCGGATATTATCCTTTCTGGATTGAAGGACGAGTAAGGTGTGGTGCGGTCTACATAATGCATGAAGTAAATCTCAATTAATAGAAGACTTGTTTTCGTACCATTAATCGTCCAGTACCTGTGAATGCGCCCAACTGTTTCAATGCTTGATGATAAACTTTACTAAACTTGGCGCGGTGAGTCGACGCAACGGCTAAGGGACTGCATTATTCTATAGCTGCACTACGTGTAGTACCTCTTTCTGAATTCTAGCCACCCACAATAACTTCTTAACCTGGCTTACTCAAACCCCAAGTTAAGAGTATACTTCAATGGCGTTTTGCCAGTAATATACACATGCTGCCCCTCAAGCGTGAGGTTACCCCCATGCCAACTATACTGCTCTCCAGCATCAGACTGAATCAATCCATGTCCATTCCCCGGTCCAAACGCAATTCTGTCGTCCCCCATGGTATACTCTCCCACCCCATCCTCAAGTCGATAAATGGTAGTATTATCGCTGTCAACAAACTCTTGGACTCCCTCGAATTTGCCACCTTCTCGGAAGGTAAGCTCAAAAGTCAGCTCAACATCGACTTCGCCTGTGACCTCAAAATTCAAGTCATATCCAGCCTTTGTGGGAGTTATCTCGACATCTGTCTTGAGACGACGCACACTTGTAGGGCGGTTCTCGAAGTCGAGCATGGCGTAGAAGCGTCCGTCGACAGACCGGGATAGATCGTAAGTGCCGTTCTCGTCGCGGCGCTCGGCAGGCATGGGAAGGTAATAGGGCACTTCGATGTCGCTTCTAAGCTTCATGGAACCATTATTGAGTAGCTCAATGCCATTGGAGCGAAAATGGCCCATGCTGAAGAAATTGGGACTGAGTCGAATCGCCTCGAGCACAGCCTTGCCATTCCACGCTCTAAACATGGTAGGGTTCGTCGAGAGTCCAGAGCTCATGCGGTTGTAGAAGCCTGATTTCTTTCCTTGAATATCATACCAATCCGATCCCCCGAAAGCCGACACGGTCAACTTTCCGCGTCTTGCACGTACAAGGCCCGCCGCAGCATAATGCTTCTCAAAGTCAGCAAAAGGCTCTTCCGACTCTGGCAGCTTCTCCATCAAGTCAGGACGTTCAATCAAGTTAGCCAGGAAGTCTCCCAGTTGTGGCCCGAGACGCTTCTCAATTAGACGTGCCATTGCAGCGAAACGGCCGTTATTGTCGAGGAGTGCAAGTTCTCGAAATTGAGGGTAGAAGTTGCCCATGTTGTCGCCAGGGAGTTGAGATTGATCTTGACGGCGACTTTGGATGGTTTCCATTTCGCCGTTTGGTTCTCCATGCTCGATTGAGAGTTCGAGATTTTTGCGGACGTAATTAATCAGTTCGGTGCGGTTGAGCTCGTGTGCCACAGTCAACAAAGATGGGTTCGAAACAGCCGAGTAATAATTCGGGCTGCGCTCTGAGTAGATACCGTCGGCATCCATGTCAATCCCCTCAGCAAGCCACTCATCGATTCTCTTGATTAAGCTAGTATCGCCTGTGATGGTTGAAATTCGTGCCAAGGCGCTGCAGATCTTCCATCGATGATTGGGCGTATGGATACCGCCTTTCGCAAGACCGGGGCCAGCTTTGACGAGAATACCTCGGATCAGGTCTGCAATGGGCTGTGAAGCATCGTGATCATCATTCTCCAGCATGCGCACCATAATACCAAAATCTTCAATCAGAAAACCCGTATCCGGTGGCGAATGGCGATTTCCGACCGTATAAGTACCATCGCTGTGCTGAACCTTCTCCAGAACCTGAACCATCTCCTCGATATAAGGGATCAAGGTTGCGTTGTGGTAGTTTGTCGAATTGGGCCAGACGAATGGTGTCACTAGCCGACGAACCCCACGGGCCAGAGACCTAGGCGAGCCAGTCAAGGATTCATCTTTGCCGTCAATTACAGCTTGGATCTGTGAGTCAGCAGCTTGCGTGAGGATATCCAGGCTTGTCCAGTCACGATTGGCCGTAGGCGAAGCGAGAGTGGCGGTGGCAGCCAGCAGGGCCACCCCCAGCGTGGAGGGAAAGAGAGAGGAAAACATGAGGTGATTGACGAAACCACTTTGCGTTATTTCCTAGTCTATGTTTTCCACCCTTGGGTTTAAATAGATGAGTATAGACTGCCAAGCCCTCGGCTCGGTTTATTAGCCACCGAATTCGGCAAGTCTTTTTCATAATCTCACGACGTTGCCGAAACCCCTCACGCTATGGAGTATTTCCCCACGGGGAGAGTCCCAGAATGATTTAGCGCTACCAAGCTTAACCTTGAGCCTAAGTCAGAGCTTAACTTACTAATGAAGTGACCATTCAAAATAATAAACTGTGCTCAAATCTATTGCAACATTCCAATGGAGTACACCAAGTGAATAATAGTAACACATGATCAATGAAATGATTTATCATACAAGTAGTAATTATCAAGGAAAGTCCAACCAAATCCGTCGCCACTTCTTAGCATACACGCCCCGCCATAATAAATACAAAGGAAGATATTCAGATCATCTCTTAAGCAGCAGGCTTAGGGGCCTCGGGGATCTCATCAGAATCAGGGACAAGACCAGTCAAATCACCACCAAACTTCCACTCCTGGGGGCCACCCTCGACAGTAACACCATTGTTGGATCGCTCCACTATGAAAAGGTCAGTTAATCAGAACTCTTTCGCAATCAAAGACTATAACATACTGTTGTTCCAGTAGCTGTGGCCCTTGCCATGGCACTGTTCGTTGCGTGCACAGATGGCACTAGATCCAAGGTTGCCGCTGTTGGGCGAAGTGATGGTTGTGCGGTATGGGTTGCCGTCCTTGGCGCAGCACTTGAGAGGCTGGCGCTGGATGCCGTACATGGTGTTTGCTGTTCGCCAGAAGACGCAGATTGTATCTCCAGCCTCGCCGTAACAGGTTTGCACCTCACCGGACTCTGTGTACTTTGAAACTTCGAAGCCAGCAGAGATCCAGCCATCGCCGCTGATGCTAGCGGAGAGACTGACAGTCTCACCCTCGACTTCGCTCTTGGAGATCTCGCAGCCGCCGTTCTTGCCACATTGGTGGTTGTTCTAGAGGGAGTCAGTCTGATTTAGAAGAGAAGGGGTAGTTTGACTCACTGTCATCTGCTGGAAATGGTAGAGCTGATGAGGATCAGGGTTGGAGTCCTCAGAGGTTGTGAAGGTGGCACACCCGGGAGGGCAGATGTTGGAGCCAGTTCCGATTCCTTGAGGTCGAGCGTTGGCAAGGGAAGCCAGACCGACCGTGAGGAAAGTAAGGGCGAACATGTTGATGTTTAGAGGGGAATATTGAGTTTTGATGGAGGTGAAAGGGTGAGTGCTGGAGTAGATGAGTGTGATTGTTGTTGGAGATATGATGATGGTGATGGAAAAGATATTACAACTCTTGGACAATCTCATCGTTTTATACACTTTTACAAACGCCTTGATCTATACGGAATAATGAGGTCGAGCGATCATGTCCTCAACAACCCAAGTTGCTCAAATCCTTTGACATCATCAATTCGCTCCTCTATTACTTCATCCAGACAAAAAAAGCCTTAGGAGGAAACAAGCTGGTAGCATTAGAGGTTATTCCGAGGCGTACCGCGATGATCTTGGTCGATAATGAATCCTTTTCTTAATCACAGCCCATTTTCGCTTGTGAATCTGGAGATAGATCGGCTCACTTGGCAGGGGTTCAATTTACAGCCTCCCTGATCCTGAACTGGCCAATGGCCTCAGTGCTAGATGGGCTGGCGATACCCGCAATGTCAGGGTTTGCGATCCTGCAAAAAAACAAGCTTGGAGACTGCGGGGATAGACGGGGATAATTGTGGTGCTGGGATTGTGCCAAGGCAGTTTTCTGTTGCGTGAGAGGTTCAGAGGGGAATCTACCCATTGTTTAAAGTATGCCATTTAGCGGAGAAGAGTCGTTAATCGATATCCTTGAGTCGATATACTTTATCGTCCTGCTATAACAAAATTCACCACCGAAAACGCGCTTAGCATGAGCTGCTTGGTCGATATCGACATTCCCAACCCTAAAACGAGGAAAAACGTCGGCCTTTCCTTCAGTCCCCCAATCAATCACCAGTGACATCATCTTCACAAGCGCGCACAGCTTTATCTCCTGATCTAATTGCGCTATTTGTGTCCTAAGCTTCGTCTTGACCAAAATCGGTTGGGGCTGTGTGGTCGCTTAGCCCCCAAATGAGACGCTGTCGCGACCCACACACCTTCTAGACTGGGACGTTAGCTGACAGGATTCAGGGGACTTTGCTTCGCACGTCATAGAGTATGCCACCAATACAGGCGCTTTGCAGGGGATTGGTCGTGTTCTGGAGGGGAAATGGTGCAGCTGAATGGCTTAGACAGAGATTTGCTGACTCCCCACCTGTTTCGTTCAGCTGATTTAGATACTGAGTGTACGCTGGTACTTGAAAACAAAGACAAGGGTCGAAATGCGAGGAACTATTTTACCAGATCCCAAATCCTTCGCTTTACGAGCTAGGCAAAAATGGTACTTAAAAATCAAGCTTGAAATTAATGTTTGCCACCATCGTTTCCCGGAAAGTAACACCGCCTATGATCACTAAAAATATAGCTCAAGTGAGAAAGTACGTCAACAGTCAGATACAGCCGCACGCATATCCCAATCCTCGTGGAACTGTGGACAGCCATCACTCTCGGACCCTTTCTTCCTGAATTGTAACCATAACCTCGACACACTGATGGCGCCCTGCGTCTAACATGCGCGCCAAACCCTCCGGAGTCAGCCGCACAGGTCTCTTCTAAAAACCAGGACTTTCTGTTTCTCGCTTTCCGCCTCAATATCCCCCCAGATCCGCCTCATGCTCCTCATAATCATTTGGATGTAGTATTACAATGTCTCCTAATGGTCTTTGTATGCGTCGAGTTCCTCTTGCTATCTTTGAAACTCCCTGTCAGCGTCTTCCTTGGTCTTGATGGACCTTTTGAGGTTGTGCCGGGCTTTTCTGATGGCTCCTTTCATGGCAGCTTGTACGTCCTCATTCGATGCTTTGACGGCATCCTGGAAATTGTGCATGTCGGTGACTTGTCGCGTTGCATTGTTGAGTTTCCTGCTCGTGCGGGCAAGGCTATCTTCTGCGCCAACGATTATGGAGTCGAGTGCTATATGACCTCGTGTTTCCTGTTTAAGTTCGCGATGGAAGATCTCCAGGCAGTGGCGAGCCTCTTCAATATGGAGAATAAATTCTGCCATCGCTTTCTGTTGAGTAAAGTCAATTTGGCGACTATTTGATAAAGTAACACATGGAGTGTCTACGTCGTCATTTGCGTTGCGCAACTCGCTTCCATTTTTACTTGTCTGAGTGACTCTGCGCACATCATTGCTCCTATTGCTGCATTTAAGGCCCGGACCGAAGTATGCATCTATACCATGATCCTCACACCAGAGAGCCAGTGGACTGCCTGTCGATTGATACGTGAAGGTCTCCTTTGTTTACCTTCAGAGTCCCTATCTTTAGTCGTATTTTGAGTTTAATAAGACGGGAAATATAATACTCTTACTATGTTGCTTGGCGTTAATGTTATTCATAATAAAGGTTTATAATAATGTAATTAAAACTTGACTTGATAATATAACTACACCATTGCAAATAACCTTTCTTTCGACTGTCCATATCGATCACATGGTGCAAAGCGCCACCAATCGGAATGTATCCAGTATGTCACCCATCGGATAGTGAAGACAACCGGTGCAGGGGCAGGGGGCCAGTCCTGCCAGAGACCATCTTCGTATTGTTTGTCATGGTTGAAGAATCCCCAGGTAAGTGTCCCGGGCACAGCAAGGTTGCTCTATTACACGAACTTGATTAGATCTTGTTCTCACAAAGTCGATTAACCAATGGAGAAAACTCACCGTGTCCTTATCAGCCCATTCCTTAAATTTCTCCTCAAATTTATCCATCTTGGTGCCGTATTGCCTCAAGTTGAGGATAGTAGTAATTTCCTGGGCGAGATGATCGGCTAATTCGTGGCCAAAACTGTCAATAATGGTAAGCAATCTCGATCCATTATATTCCTCTGTATCACGTAGGCAAGCACTTATGTAAATGTTGTAGTCTTTGAGTCCCTGGCTGAAGGCGTGATGCTGTTCGATGTTACGGTCCATGATGCCTTTCTCACCACTCATCTCCTCAATAGCAGGAAATAAGATGTCTTCCTCGCCCTGGTGATGCACATGTACTAGGTCATAGAAACAGGCGCTGTACCCAAGGAAAGTCTTTTCATCTGCAGGTTTGATGTGAGGCGCCTGCAGATAGATACTGTTGAGCCCACGGAGGACCATGTTGTGAATAGTTGCCATTTCGGAAGCACACCGATGGAATTGATCTGGCTACACGGTATAAGTTTATAGTTTTCAGCCTGGACAATTAGAAGAGAGTTAAAATCAAAGTATACATGCATCTTCTCCATTGCGAAGCTGAGATGTTGGTGTTGCGATCAGAGGAAAGGGTTGATCAGCAGGATTCTTAGGCGTAGCCATGGTGATGTAGTGTTTAAAATGAGGATTTTTAATAATAAACCAACGGTCGGTAGAAGTATTAGATATATGTCTTAAATAGCTTACGCACATCACAGTAAGCAACATATGACCACACTTGATCAAATGCTCCAAGTGCGGTGCGGCTGATATTAGTGCCATAGTCAAAGCGCTAGACGGTAATATCGGCATTTCTTTAGGGTCTCTAGAGTTTAGGGTCTGCAATATTTGTGGAGAGATAGATGCAAAACCAATCATAAGAAAGTTTTAGTAGTAGCTGTATGTAGACTGTCTCACCCGAAAAGGTTACATACAGGACTAGTAAGATGGCGCTGGAAGATATATAAGCGCTAACAATTAGTGTACCCAGAGTGTGCACTATCCATCCATCTATTCAATTCAATAACGGAGGAAACAGCCCACAACATACGGTGCACTGGCGGGGTCCGAACACAAAACAATAAGTCTGTCACCGAAATGAAATGATCTCGTCGGGGACAAGGTCCGTCCCACCGCAAGAGCTTAGCCACCATACAATACATTCTCAGGTTTCTGATCTTCAGGATAGATATAAGCTAGGGCGTCCGGGAATGGAGGACCTTCCCTAACAACAAACTTGATTGGAGTGACGAGGATGTAGCACTTATTTCGAATCTTTTCATGGCAACAAAGTCAAACATCTTGAAGCCCAAAATGCGCTTGGGAGTTCGGGATGATATTTCCAATGCACAGTTACCTAGGCTCCAATCCAAAAGCTGTATGACATGGCTCCTTGTAATTGCTCAGGTCTCCAAGGGGAAAGGTATGAAATCCAACTAGGGAGGTTCGAAAATCCGACACAAAGAGAGGGACAGTCATTTTGATCAGCATAATAGGCATTGATGTTACAAGTTGGAAACGTGTGATCCTCATGTGCAGGATCGACAAACTTCTTAGTCGTGATGGCGGGATGCCCGGCCTTAAGATCACTAACGTCTAAACGGACCTTGGTGGCAGCCGCATGGTTGAGTGATGAATTCAATGCTTTTTTCAGAGATATTGACATTAGGGTGGATAGGTCAATAAGGCTTTGAAGAATATAAAGACGGTCAAGACGGTCGATGCGAAAAGCGAGTATGGAAAGCATCGGATTTTAGGAATGGTTCTGGTATTACGATTCAAGATGAACAGAACATTATATTGTCACTGGCTGTATTTTAGTAAGTATTAAGTGGAACCTCGCTTGAAACTAAGGCTTGGAGTCAGCGAAAAGGGGTGGTTTCTTCCTCCATCGTGACAAGCTATTCGTTTGTCCAGTGGGACCCAAAGGAGCCATAAAGCATCCACAGACCCTGCATGAACCGCGCCTCGGACCTACTGTCCGTCCCTAAGCATTCGATGGGCATTACGGCATTCTGTCCAGTGGGTTGTTCAAGTTGGCTCACCCATGAAGGCGCCTAAGCAATGTCTAATCCGAGGGATGAGAAAGCATTCATTTCTTAGTTAGACATTATCACATAGTGCGACCAGGACTATCTATCCCGGAACCATGAACTGTGAGGATTTGTCCAATAAAGCCACTTCTAGGGTTTGTACACCTGTGGTCTTAATTCAAGATATGGCTAATCCCCTGCAATTGCATCTTTTAATGCCCGACCATAGCTTGATGAGCAGCACCGTATCTGTTTCCGTGTGGCTTCGCAGAGTCAATAATCCGTCGTAGTTCTCCCTTTTCTTCCTCACTCAACTCCACATCTCTAGAAGCCCAATTCTCTTCCAGTCGCCCAGACTTCGTCGTGCCCGGAATAGCAATGAATCCCTGCGCCGCAACCCACGCAAGGGCAATCTGGGTCAACTTGACGCCCTTTCTCACTGCTAATTTCTTGATCTCATCCACGATTTTCTTGTTCTGGTGGAAGTTCTCGCCCTGGAACTTAGGAGCTATAGGCTGGTTAGTCATCATGCGGCAGGGTGAGAATGCTAGGTGACTTACATCCACGACGGAAATCGTCGGGTGCGAAATCATCGGGGGTTTGGTAGGGAAAGTCGTCAACTAGCCAGCCGTGTCCCAACGGGCTGTAGGCAACATAAGCAATGCCTAGCTCTCGCGCTGTATCGATGAGGCCGTCTGTCTCGTGTACTGTTTCGAATGCGGAGTATTCAGCCTGGAGGGCATCAATCTTGGCGACTGCAAACGTCAGTTGTGTCGGAAACTTGATGGATTGGATGACCTACTGGCATTGGCTTTACGAAGTGTCTCGGCAGAACATTCCGAGACTCCGATGTACTTGGTCTTGCCCTGCTTACGGATCTCATCCAATGCGGCAATTGACTCTTCGAGCGGGGTTTCTACACTGGTGATTAGTGCTGGGATAGATGGGGCATATAATGCAAACTCACTTGGGTCGATTCGGTGGAGATAGTAGAGGTCGGGGGCGAAACCAAGTCTCTCAATGGTACCATCAATGTATGACTTGATATGGGCAGCAGAATTGGTGACGGATCCATCACCAAAGCAATCGAAACCACACTTAGAAGCAACTAACCTCAGACATTAGCATCTTTTCCCAACACAACGTAGTAACGGAGCACGGTGACTTACTGAACACCTTGTCGCGAACTTGATGTTTCCTGATAAAGTCTCCCAAAAGCTTCTCATTGACGCCAGCTTGGTAAACAACCTATCATCCACTGTGTATCAGTATAACTATCCAAAAGTAAAATTGTCAGACTTGGATCTTACGGCAGTATCCCAGAAAGTACAGCCTAGTTCAATAGCTTTGAGCAGAACAGGCTCTGCTTCCTCGAGGCTGAGATTATTCCCAAGGCCGAAACTGATGCCCATGGCACCGAAGCCGGGCGTGGGGACAGTGATGTCGGCAAATGGAAGATGTTGGACCATGGTGACTAGATGAGGGGACAGAATGGGGAGGATGACTGAGAGAGATGTGAGTTGAAGTTGGAAGTCGGGAGTCTGCGTGAATTTATATTGCAGGACCTGATCTCGAGAAACTATTAGTCTCGAATTAAACAACGTGTTGAATCATCTTGATTTGACGTATATGTCGTCAGAGGTTGCATGCGAATTGGGATGCAGGTCAAAGTCCGTTCGTTAACTCCGTCCACTAACTAAGTAGCACAAGCGATCAACAAGGCCCACTACCAGTCATCACCGCGCATTAAATCCGATAATATGGAGTACAGATTAAGAATAGCTCTAAGGCCTCTAGCGCAGAAATGCCTCTATCGTCTCCATCTCTAAAGTTTGAGAAATGTTAACTAATAAATAAGGATAAAAGACTAGTATAAGAAAAGGAATACTGAAAGAGAGGATATACTAAGAAAAAGTATTGTTGATATTATTGGGAGATTTGGAAAGCCTGTGCTTGATAAAGTTAAAGGTTAAGCAAAAGAAAAAGAAAAAGACTTCCACCTAATTGGGAGTATGAATAGTTTGATTCCTATAGTTATATTTTTTGTATCATTATCTTTTGCTCTATCACTTCCTTACTTAAGAGCCTTGATGATATTTCCAAGTGATTCAAGGCTATCTTGCTCCATGGCATTATATACAGTCTTGAGAAGTATATCCCTAGCGTCTAAAAGATCTTCATAAAGACGGCTGAGTTATTCATATAAGTTACTGTAGCTAATAGATTTCTTATTAATCATAGCCGCTCTTAGGTCTCCTAAGATGTAATAGCGAAAGACAATTTCATACTTTCGACAAGCAACAAGGTAGATATCTGTACCCATCTTAGTGATTATTTAATAGATACATAAAATAATGAATGAGAAGAGAATTCAATTACTGCCTCTTTTACATACCAAGCTTAGGCTGGAGGGTCTTGTTACTGACATCCTCATCTATAGTGACATTTGTATATAACATATATCGGTTGAAGGATTTCAGCTTTTTGTCCAGACGCCTCATCTTTCCTGTCAGTCTTGGGCTGCGGTGTAATATGCGATCCATTTTAGGGCCTGAGGACCACGCTATTTCCTGAATCATGGTCCTGGCTCTCGTAAACCCATTGCGAATATCTTTGAGGACATCGGGATATTTAGTCGTCTGAGGCCTCCTACTTAAAAAATGATCGTCTTCTCTGGACTGTCTGGACTGTCTGGGATGTCTGGGCTGTCTGGGCTGTCTGGGCTGTAGTCTTTGAAAGAGAGCATTCATACTTGTATCCTGCCGATCACTTTAGCCAGAATCTGGAGTCTTAGACTGTCTCAGGGATCATATACAGTTTTCGTAGTTAGTATGGTTTCTACGTGACTTCAAGTGTTAAAGTCAAAGATAGCCAAGGCAGTGTTGAAGGCGATGAGATTGAGGCGGGAGAGAAAAAAGCCAAAAAATGGCGCATTAGATATGGGCGGCCGCCCGTCTCTGCGGGACAGTTCAACCTTGCGTCCAAGTCGCAAAGCTGGATCAGTTGACATGGGGGTTTCATTGGTCTATACTGGTGATACAACGCCCACATGTGACCTGGCTAGGTGCTATAGGCCACTGGTATTCACGTTCACAAAGAAGGAAAAGTGCCCAACATTGCTATCAGCATTTATCAGGTGCTCAAGGCTGTGTTCTCTGAATAAATATTCTTGATTCCCCATTCCACATCTAGCACCTTAGGCGCGCAATGCCTTGCATCTAATCTATTTCATTTTGTATCACAACAGCCTAATAGGTCTTAACCTACCGTGGAACTCCTATCGTGGAACTGAAACACGAACTTATTCATCCACACCGACATGTACTCACACCGAGTGATACAGGATGACTGGTCATATGAATAACGGCTCTTCCAATTCTCACTCAACTCTGGAGATCGAGAGCCTCATTTCTTGATTTTTCGTGGTCTGCAACGACTTAATATTCTTCGGCTACAAAACGATTTAGCGAAACGGAAACGTGAAATTTGGACCGCCAAAGCGCTCACAGACAACGACCCGGACGAACTCACTCAACTGTTGCATAACTACAGCAAGTTCTCATAGTTCTATTTGTTGTGTTTGAACCTGCAGTTCTGACTATTATTAGTAAATGCTATTCGGGACTATGAGTATCTCTCCAAATTGGTTGCGATCACTGGATCACAAGCGCGCGATGAGCGATTGGATCTTGAGCAAGCATTCTTCAAAGAAACAGGGTCTATAACTGATGAAGTAGACGCGCATCGGTACTTACGACCCGACAATCTTATCCAAACAGATCTCCTTAGGGATTTTCTCAAGAAGTTCCTTCCACGTTCCTGGTCTTACACGAAGAGTGAGATGAAACGTCGAACTGACGAGTATCTTGATGGAAAGCCTTGTGAGGAAGTCTCTCCGTTGGTGGATCGAATAGCACGCTTCACCGTGGCGTTGATGGGAGAATTCTCATTAGTCGTGTCAATGCTGGTGATGCGATTACCAGTAGTGATACTGTCTAAAAGCATAATAACGACGTCAGTCTCGGTGATATTATTCGCAGCTGCCCTGTCGGTCATGCTTAGGGCCTCGAACACCGAGACTATAGCTGCGACAGCTACATATGCAGCTGTGTTAGTGGTGTTTGTTGGGACAAGTTCGTAAATATTCTGCAATAAGAAACCTGAGGCATAATTTAATTGAATACATCTTTAACCAGATAAAGAAAAGATGTCTAATTAAATAAATTTTAAATAACATAACTTGAGACTACTTACCTACGAACTTGGGTAATTTAATACAGCCCCCTTTAAAGTAGGAGGATAATAACTTATAACTATGTTAAACCTGTTACTTTTTATTACCTGTATTGAATTATACTAACTAATTAAGAAACTAAGTTAGATCAATATTCATAATTGACGCTAAATCTACTATATATTAATATTTCTATAGAGCTATTAATAAAGTATATAATTAGTTTAAGGTAAGTTAGTAATTGTTATTATACAGTAATAATCTATTCTCTGGCCTATTTAAAAACGGTTATATTAAGCTACCTAAGTTCCTAGGTATTTAAATAACTTAATTGTCTACTAAAGTATACGATCAGTACGTATTAAAATATATATTAAGTCTTTTCAACAGTCAATAATTATATTTTACATTATAGATTAATTTATGTCCATTTAAATTACTAGTAATAAAATCTAATTTTACCTTAAGTTAGTAGGCTTACTACATCTTAATTTATATCACTAGGAATGTTAGTAAATTCGTCCGGTCTAGAAGTATCTTATCTTTAAATCGGCTGTGTGCGTACGTGTTGTACAGATTAGGGCTTATGGTATTACTCAATCTGGTAGGTAGCATGCAGACAACCCAGGGCCCTGGGTTGCTTATCAACTAAAAACCCAGTCTGAACTCATACGAAGTACAAATGACACCACTGACAGCGCCAGGAACATTTCAAGGAGCCTTGCGAGCACGCCATCGCAGGCCTGCAGTCAACTATTAACCTTAAATCAAACAATGGACCCTAAACCTTTTCTTTTTCTTTTTCTTTTTCCTCTTCTTCTGTCACACCATTGAGGCCGATGCGTTCATTATACAAGTCCAAATTCATATAAACCTTTTCTGTCGGTTTACGCATGTGTTCGATCTTCACCTTTTCTACTTATCCACTTTTAGAGACTTCTTTTTTTACTTTTCTCCTTTACCAATAACTAGCGACGATGTCATTCCGGAGGAGTGTGTTAGCCCAGATGATCATCTGCGGAATCATAGCGCTGTTGGGCCCTGGATTATGGGTATTAGCTTTTCCATCAGTTTATTATATTCGGCTAATGTCTCTTCTCTTTCCAGAATGCGAATAACTCATTGGGCGCGGGTGGTGCTCTTGAGCCATATCTGGTATGCTGATATTACTGCTTCTTGGGACAGTAACTAATTTGGTGTAGGTTAATGCTGGAAACTCGTTGGTTTTTGGGCTGATGGGCTTGTTCTGTATCCTCTCGCCTGTCTTTGTCAACTGGATCGGCGTCAAGAACACTTTGATTACTGGTACTCTGGGCTGGTCCGTCTACAGCGCGGCTCTTTACCAGAACAACCGTCATGGCACTGAGTAAGTTGGTTTTTCCCACGTCATCGTCGCTAGGCTAAGTTGTTTCTCAAGATGGTTTGTCATCTTTGGCGCTGCCATTTGCGGCGTCAGCGCAGGCCTGTACTGGGCTGCCGAGGGCGCCATCATCCTCTCGTATCCCGAGCATGCAAAGCGAGGCCGGTACCTCGCGCTTTGGCTGGGCTTCAAGAACAGTGGACAACTAATCGGCGGTGCCATCAATCTAGGCCTCAACGCCAATCGCGCGGAAGGCGGCAAAGTATCTTATGTGACCCTCCTTGTCTTCGTCTGCCTGCAGGTCCTGTCTCTTCCGGTATCATTCTTGCTTGCCCCTCCGGACAAGACGCAGCGACCGGATGGCTCGCATATCATTGTCGAGGCCAAAACCTCATCCAAAGAGCAGCTGAGGATGCTTTGGAAAACAGTTACGACGCGCAAAATCGGACTATTGCTGCCGATTTTCTTTTCAAGTTGGCTTTATTGGGTAGGAATGTGTGTGAACCAAGCTTGCAGCATTGCTGATCATTTACAGGGCTATGCATCTACATATCTGACCTTGTACTTTACTGTCCGAGCTCGAGCTTTGGCGTCGTTCTTGTCGGCTATTACTGGAACTCTTGCGTGTATTCTCTTCGGCATCTTCCTCGATTCTAGCAAAATCACAGTCAAGGTATGTCAACATTCGTCCCTTTGTTGCTGTGAAGTCTAATGTCACCCAGTCCCGTATCCGTTACGGCTTCATCTTCTCTACTGGGCTCTTTACCTCCCTCTGGATCTGGGTTCTCATTGTCCAGCACGGCTTCGAGCAAAAGCGCCCTGATTACCTTGACTGGACCTCATCGGGTTTCGGTCGTGCATTTGGTTTATACATTATGCTGCAGACGAGCGGAAATATGGTGCAGAACTACCTTTACTTCCTTATTGGTACGATCGGTGACGGTACTCTGGAACTGAGTCGATCGACGGGCCTGTTGCGTGGCGTGGAGAGCTGGGGACAGTGCGCTGCATTTGGTATCAGCAGCAGGTAAGTTACTAATGAAGCGTGTGTATCTGTGAGTGGGAGAGAAAGTTAATGATTTGAGTAGCAAATTCTCTCCCTTCTATACAACAGTTATCAACGTTGTCTTCTGGACCATAAGCTTGTTTCCTGCCGTTTTAACGATCTGGAAGGTTGAAGGCCATGCTGAATACGAAAATGAGCCCAGCATCCCTACCGATAAAAACGATGGCTCACCGGACAACACGATGGAGAGGATCAATGCTACAGGAAAGCCTGTTCCCGAGACAACTGTCTGAGGCAAGAAGTAAGAAAGAAAATACATATAGTATGCGTATAGTGTGTTATAGTGCGTGAATTATGTGAGTCACTTATATCTGTTGGTGGCTATCATTAAAGGTTAGGTATCACTAGACTCTATTTTTTAACTCCGACGTACGTGATCGAAAAGATCCACTATAGTTCATCACCGCGCCTTAAATCCGATAAACAGCGCAGATCAACAACAGCACCTGGGGCTTGGATCACATGCAGGAGAATATCTCCATCGTTTCCACATTTCTCACGTCGTGTAACAATAGTTTTACCTTGAACTGTCTATACGCAAAGCAGATAATAGTTACACTAAGTCGAACATGCAACTTCCATTGGTCCTCGTCCTGCTTATGCGGGGCGTGCTTACAGCTCCAAACCATGGATGAGTTTGCCAACCCCGCAACTTTGATCGACTACCAGGTACTCCGTACACGCCTGTCTATCTCCATTAGCCGAGACCCCTTCAACGCCAAGAGAGTTATTTGCTGTGTGGATATCACGATGGCTGAGTCATCTTTGGAGCCTCTGATGCATAACTGGTCCCTCTCGCAAGACTCACCTTTCGAGTACACAGCCCTTCACACGGGACAGATACGACTGCTTCAGTTGAACCCAGCGAACAACGAGGAAGACCTGCTGCGTGGTGAACTACTTGTCAAAAGCTTGGATCAACTTCCTCCTCGAGCAAGACCTGGGCGCAACGGTGACGATGGGCCGATCGATCCAAAGAAGCATGTTTGCTTCGAGGCTATTTCCTACGTATGGGGCGACGCAACTCTCACGGACTCCTTCTTCACCCCTCAGGGTTATATACCCATCACAGCCTCACTCGGCTCCATCTTAAGACGCCTGCGTGATACGTCCAAGTCCCAACTCTACTGGGCTGACGGAATCTGCATCAACCAAGCCGATATGACTGAGAAGGGAACCCAAGTTTCTCTCATGGGTGTCATCTATAGCTCTGCCATGCGCGTAATGTGCGACATCTGCGAAGAGACAGAAGACATATCTCTTATTCTCGACGCTATGGATAAATACTGGAAACGCAACATTCGCCACGGCTACGTTATGGGCCAAGGCGAAGGAATGGTTCTTTCCGGCGAGTCCACTGCCAAATTAATGGAGGTACAACTCCCAACGGACGAAGAGGCGGATGCGATTGAGGAGGTCGACGGCGAAGAGTGGCCACAGCGCTATCTTGAACTCGTCTCCGCGCCCTGGTTCCACCGTCTCTGGGTTGTGCAAGAGTTTGTCCTCGGCCGTGATGTTATTATGATCTTTGGCCGTCGACATGTACCATGGGGACAGCTCTGGGCGGGCACAATATGGTATGGCGGCGTCTCATGGCCGTGGGACTCTGCTGAATTTACCACCGAGCAGCTGACTAGCATATTCATGTCATACAATGCCATGTCTCTGGTTCGTTCATGCCGGACTGTCGACATCAACACACCACATGGCCGGGAGTTCAACAAGCTAGTCAATCTACTCCTCTGCGGTGTTGAGATGAACCAGGCCAACCTGAGCATGTGTCTGGTATTCTTCTGCTCTCATGGCTGTACTGTGCCACGGGATCGATACTTTGGTATTCTGGGTATGGTGGATGAAGAGGATAGAAAGAACGCAGTGGGTTTGAAACCCAATTATACATCACCTATCAGGGAAATAACCATGAACTTCTGGAAATATGCGATTCAGTATGCTTCTGGGGGTGAGCTCATCCTTTTTGCAGGACTGCCTGGTCGAGTAGAAAATTACCCCTCTTGGTTGCGGGATATCACTGCCTCTAGTCCGATGAGCCATATTTGGATCGGTGCACCTCTTAGCACAGCTTGGCATAAGGCTGGCGGAGCGGCTAGTACATGGTTTGCAAGGTTCAGAGATGATGACTCTGAGTGTTTATTCGTACAAGGGTATTACATTGACGATATCAGCGAGAGATCATATCTGGAACCACTGCAACGAATGGACTTGGGTGGACTAGGCCTTTGGCTCAACGAGGCTTTTGTCTTCTTCACATCGGGTCTGAAGACTTTGGACTGCGACACAGACATGCGATATGCTCTCACAGGCGAGCACATTCACGAAGCAGCTCTAAAGGCAGCGTGTGATTTCAACTGTCAAGATGCTACACCTGTTGGTATCAAGGCCTTCGAACCAATTCTCCGGATGGGCCTCTCCATACCACTCGTGGCTACATCTGACTCCATCGAAGGTGAAGACATGGAAGCAAAAATAATAACTGCGTTCCAAGACAAGGCCGAAGTGCTCGAGGCGCTGTTTCTGCGGGTATATACATCCCGAGGAATGCGCTTCTGCAGGACGAAGAAGGGTTTAATTACTATGTTGCACAAAGAAGCTTGTGTTGGCGACTCGATCTGGATCCTTAAAGGATGCCGATTACCGGTTGTTTTACGGCCGAGTGTGTCGCACCCTGGCTCGTTTGAGTTTGTTGGGGGTGGTTATGTGGCTGGATTGATGAATGGGGAGGCTCTGCATAGGCCGGGGTTCAGATGGAAGGGTGTCTCGCTAAGGTAGGCTGTGGTAATATGCCGAAGACGACGGGATGTGGCTTTAGCGATGCATTTAATCTCACAATTGTTTACACGACAAATACTACAGTGATGAACGCACTTAATTAATGCTTCGCAAGCGATTTGAGTCTTAGACAACCGGCGTCTGAAATTTCGGAAAATATATACTCTGACCCATTATACACACTACAACAATCCACCACGGAGGTTACCCCAAGTGATCCAGCGGATGCCCTAATCAGCCTCCTACTCGACCTGCAATCTAGCAAGAAGCTCCGGAGGGGATACCCTTGCACTTGGTAGAAGTCTTGCCACCAGTGACCTTGTTGTTAGTCCAGGTCCAGTTCTTGCAGCTAGCGCAGAGGATGTAGATATCAGTGCCGCTGGACTTGACAGTTCCAGTAACCTTGTTGATGGTGACGTCGGTGATGGGGACACCAGCGGTAGGGGTGCCAGTAGGAGAGCCGTTCTCGTAATCCTGCTCGATAACAATACCGTACTTGGCGATGTTGCTCAGAGTGATGCCGTCGTACTTGACGTCGGAAACGGAACCAGTCGCTCCGGAAACGGTCTTGATGCGCACGCCGTTGTCGGAGTTGGAGATGGAAGAGTTGAGGATACGGACAGTCTTGACGACGTTGTCGGAACGGCCACCGACAGAGCCGATGGAGAGACCGTGGCCACCGCTGCAGTTTCCGCCGGTGAAGGTGATGTTGGTGCCAGAGTTGATGGCAAGGCAATCATCCTGGTTCTTGACGACAGCACCAGAGATGTAGACTCCGGTGGAGGAGCCAACGTCGAAGGCGTCGGTGTTGTGGCCACCAAGGGTGTCGCCGAGGGAGTTGTCCATGTGGACGTTGTAGACTCCAAGGTTGGTGACGCTGTTGATGCTGAAAGCCTGGACGGGGGTGTTGAGAACGTTCAAGTTCTTGATGTTGGAGTTCTTGAGGGAGTGAGCGCTGAAGAACTTGGGCTTGGTCTTTCCGCCGTTGCTGCCCTTGGTATCCCACCATCGCTTACCCTCACAGTCAATAGAGTGGCCAGAGGCACCCTCGATGAGGAGGTTGTTTCCGGTGAAGGCAATCAGGGGGCCTTCCCACTCCTTGTAGCCAAAGGTAGTCTTGCCCTGGAAGATGACCTGCGTTTGTTAGCAAAAGGATCAATTAACAGAGTGTGGCGCTTACGTGAGTGCCATCGTTGAGCTTGGTAAGATCGAGAGTGGTTCCGGCGGGGACGACGATGTTGTTGAGGGTGATGGTCGAGCAGCTGGCCTTGTTCTTGATAGCAGAGGCAGCGTCGGTAAATGTGCAGCTAGCACGGGGATCGAGGGTAGGGTGCGCGAGAGTGGTAGCCACCAGGCCACTGAGAAGGGCAATTGAAGAGAACATGTTGATAAGTGATAAGTTGTGAGTTAAAATAAAAGAGTAGCTTAAGAATGTATGTACGAATGAAGATGCGATGAATGAATGAAGGAATGAAGGAATGAATGTTAATGTCTGGAATGATAATCAATTACAGACTGCATCTGACCTTATATATGGCCTAGCCAGCGAAGCTCTCCTATGATTTAGCTCTCCTTTGATTTAGCACTCCTACAATTTGACATAGCGTGTTTAGATGCCGTTCAGCCGTGAAGATGGCCCGTGTAAGATATCGCGACCAGCACAAACCATCGGGAATTAGATGAGGTATCCACCGCCCTCGCAACCTGCCGGGGTTGAGATTGAAACGCTAAGCCCGACACAAACCAAGGCTCGGTCCAATTGGTGCATAATATTCCTCCACTGCCGCTGTCATGTTTCACGAACTGGTCTGGAAGCTGATCGATCGGGTTCACGGCACCGGAGCCCTCGTGTATGGATAAGTGCTTGCGTTTGGGATACCCGCGTATCTATACGCGCATTTGCGATTGAACTTGCGGGGGAGATTCAGAATGTCACTCTTTGCGCAACCTGCTCGTTGTTGTTCGGCATTAAGGCACGACGGTGATATTTTTTATTTGTGGATGATCTTTTGTTATTTTGCGATCGTCACGCCGCCGTAGCTTCATGTCTGTTGGTGGTTGCAACGGAAGCCGCATAATGCAACGACGGCTCGGGAGGATTTCAGTTATTGGTGTGGTTTCGCGGGGAAGTTCACCAGTTCAATTTCACTGCCGTCTAAACTGGTGATCACATCAATTGAGAGTAGAAGTAAGATAGATCGTTGGTCTACTTTGGGATATCTCGGTAAGACAAACACCGATGTTCTCAACGCTGCTAATGCCCTTGAAATGGGTTGAACTTATTAAAAGACACATCATTGTGTGGTCTCGCAATCTTCACAACATCTAATTTTATTCGTACAACGCTCTATTTGGCACCCAATGAATTTTAATGCATTACGAGTCTACTCGGTATGGAGACAATGGTGTATACATCGTATGATCTTCCTGGATTATATACTCCCATCCATGCGTACGGCCGTATGAAATACGTCTTGTACATAATTAGAGTTTATTTACCGTAAATGATTTGTAATCCTTCTCGAGTCAAATTTTGACCTCGAAGGAGACTATTTTTACACTTAATGTTATTAAGGAATTTTAAAAGCCTAGACTTAGTAAAGTTTAAGGTTAAAACCAAATCCTCTCATCCAAGCATATTACATCATCTCCGTATAAGTATACTAGGAAGAACGTAACAGAGAATTGAAACTCTACTTATCTACATACCCTAAAGCTTGTACAAGCAGTACCTACATATTACAATCATAAGTCGGATGAATTATAAAACCTGTAATTATACAAATTGTGCAATGAACTGTATTTTTCCCCACCTATCACCCAGTACGCTGCGCTTCCCTTTTACAATGTTAGGTGTTGTTGGTTTGTATCTCATGGCAAGTTCTAACGTGAACGGAAGCCATCGAACTCACCACGTGACAAAGATTCTTCATCCGCTCCATCGGCATTTCATCACTGCATTGCGGAGTACATTACGGAAACGCTCATGAGACTTCGAAACAAACACAGCCACAGACATTGAAACACGCTCTCCTTTTCCCAAGTCTGTTGTTTACCTCACTTCTCAGCTCGTCGACATGAAACAGCTGAGCGGGACCTGAAACAAGGCTTGAATCGTAGTATGGGGCTGCTGAGCCTTGGCATTTAATTAGTGCCCCTGCGTTCCTGTCTCTTCAATTGAGTTGAGTATTGACTACGGATGCGTTGTCCCATCAAGGCCAAAGGTGCCACTTGATGTACGGTACTCCATAAATGAACATTATTACTTGAAGGAGGGACAGATAAAGTGAATCTCCTTTCACCCCGTTATAGGGGTGTGCCTACTGATTAGCACATCTCCGAGACCGGAATACACATACGTAAGAGGGCTAGTTCAATATTCCTTCAGGGGTATCTCTAGCGTCTTGTCCACACCCTTGTCCGGCATCAAGTCCCTCTCCGAAGACCGAAGGTTGCGTGACTTCTCACCTTGACAACGACAGATTGAAACATAGCAATATGGTGGCTGTGTTAATCTGCAGCTCTCCTTATCCTCTCTATCTAATAAATTGAAGTAATATCTTACTTCTTTCTAATAAACAGCCACATTTATTAATCCAAATATGTTGATTGACTGGAGACTGCCCATATCTGTTTTATTAATTCTTCATGAAAAGTAAGAAGCATTGAAACAAAATAATACAAATTTAATAAAGCCTTTGAAGAGCAGGATTTAATTCACCCAGTTACTCTTGTACCTCTTGCTTGAATAATATTCATGGTACGTGCATGAATCATGTTATTGTAGGATCAAACAAGTCTGATCCTTCATCCTGAGTGGATGATTTTACCTAAGCTAAAAACAAGCTTATTTCAGCGCATGTGGGTAACTCCCCATTGACCACAGCCACAAAGACATGTCACAGGATGGTAAAGTCAGATAATTGCTGGTTCTTCTCAATCTGCAATGTCAGGAGTTCGATAGATTGGCCCTAGGCCCTCTGTGTGGTCCTTGAAGCTGCCAGAAAAGACACCTCCTTCATTCCCGCCAAGCAACTGACAGCCAAGCGCTTACGACTTCTACCGGCGTTTAGCTATTCATCGCCCTCCAGAAAAAGTACGGACAAGCCGAGTCATGATCAAAGATCAGCATTGGCACCCTTGCTGCCAAGATCAGATCTCCAGAAAAGGATCACAAAGACCTCCCTGTTCAATCTTAACGACTAAAACACAGGGAACAGCGACCTATAGGATCATCCGGCGACTAAGCACGTCGCTCTTGTGGGTACGGCATTGGACTCAGCCTCAAGATGGGTTGATAATCTTCACAGGGATGTCGATCCGCTAACAATCTCAAACTTTATGCTCTTGGCACGATCCTTCGCAGCATCAGAACAATGCTAAGCTGGTATTTAAAAAGGAGAATGAACCCTCAGGAATATTTCCAGCTCATCAATTCATTCATTCATTCTCGACTTTCATTCACTCAAGGCTTACTTTTGATAAGTAAATTTCTTTCATTATTTCCAGCATACACACACTCTTTACAAACCCACTTTCAACTTCATCAATTCTACCGCCATGTCTCGCTATCTCATGCTCGGAACCGCCCTTCTGGCTTCCAACGTTGCCGCCCATGGCTACCTGAATACGTTCACCCTCGACGGCACCGACTACGAGGGGTTCAGCCGCTGGAACCCCTCCCCCGACCCCAACGCCATCGGATGGCGCTTCAGCACCGAGGATGAGGGTCCTGAGATGGATATCTCGTCTCCCGACTTTGTCTGCCGCAGGGACGCCGAGGCTTCGAAGAACTACGGCCAGATCGCTGCTGGTAGCACTGCCTCTTTCTTCTGGACTTCTGATGACAAGGTGATCAACCCCAACGGCTGGGCTGAGTCTCACCGTGGTCCTGTCATCACTTACATTGCGCCCTGTAACGGTGACTGCGCTTCAGTTGATAAGACGCAGCTGAAGTGGACCAAGATCGCTGAAGAGGGCGTTGTCTCTGGACCTGCCAATGCGGATGGTGTCTGGGCAACTGACAAGCTCCGCGAGAACGGCGGCATTAACTCTGCGACTATTCCATCCTCGATCGCTCCTGGAAAATACGTTATTCGCAATGAGCTCATCGCACTTCACCGCGCGCATCTTTCCGAGCCCGAGTTCTACATGCAGTGCGGTAACATTGAGGTTACCGGCTCGGGTACTGACGACCTGTCTGCTTCCGGCGTTGTTGCTTCTCAGCTTTACAGCGCCTCTGATAAGCAGATCTTTGGTTTCTCTGTCTATGATAACCAGGGCGATAACTGGAAGATCCCAGGCCCTGCTCTGTACCAGGGTGCTCAGGCTAAGCGATCCAAGGTTGCGGTCAAGTACCGTGTTTAAGACTAGAAATCTAGTGGATTTGTATCTGGTATTGTCTTGTAGATGATGGACCTCCTTTATTCTTACGCACTGGGTGCGAAACAATTTGTATTACTAGAAATTTCGGTAGAAAGGTGCTGAGGTTTGGATATTCTGGCCTGCTAGTGCTCTCTTGGTTTAAATCCAACCCAAACTCTTCCATATGAACGATGTTCCGCCTCCGAATGCTGTGATGCCAGTGAAGACAATGATAGCAGCATAACCACCCAAACCCCAGGTACTTGAACTTTGCGCTCGAACGGCTGAGAATAAGGCCTCACTGAGTGGCCCTGAGGCAATATTTCCGACTCCTCGCCCAGCGATCAAGAAACCCGTTATCATGACAGGGTCGAAAGAGAAATCATCAGACGATGTCCCGCGATATCGAGTGGAAGTAGCTATTTGCCGAGAAACGCCTGGCCACGTTCCGCTGAAAGCACCCGCGAACAGACCATAAAAAACGCAAAAAATGTAGAGAATTGCCAATTTACCAGCAAAGCCCCAAAGGAGAAAGGTTGCTAGTACAGCGCCAATCGTGGAAAGGAAAATACATGTGGTAATGTGCCATTTGTCTGCCATTGAGCCCATGAGGAATATTCCAAAGGCACTAAAACCATTGACGATCATGACAGTGACTGCGGCTAGAAATGGACTGGCATGCAGGACTGATTGGGCATAGGTGGGAAGATAAATAGCAGGGAGAAAGAAACCAAGGGACTCGATGACGTTTGCGGTCTGGTAGATGATGAAACTTCGGTCGTAGATGAACCCAATCTTGATGTTTAGTCTCGTGGCACCGGCGGAGCTGGCAGAAATCCTAGGCTTAACAAAGAAAAAGGCGGGTAAAGACAATACGAAAAGACTAACAGCCCAGATCCTCAATGTCGTTCTAAAGCCGAATCTCTGCAAGAGACTGTCCAACAGCAGAGGGATCACAACACCACCCGTGCTTGAACCCGACCACATAATACCAAAGGCAAGACTCCTGCGCTGCACAAACCATTCCTCGAGCCAAGCCATACAGGGACAATAGGCCAATGATCCTGTAAAGGCATAGAGGACACCTTGTGTGATGATGAGATGCCCTACGTTCTGTGAGAAGGAGGAGAGTACCAGTGTGATACTTAGAGCTAGACACCCTGATGCTGGAGCCAAACGAGCAATACGCGGGTGAAGCCTTTGAAGGGCGACGGCGATTGGGAAGGCAAAGTACATGATTCCCTGGAATGTATCAGCTGGAACGGCTGGACGTGTAATGGAAATCTTACCATGGCGCATGTACCAATCGATGCTATGCCAGCTGATCCAGCGAAGAGCTCATGGGTGTAATAGTAGGATTGAAAAACGCCAAACGAGAATGGGAACCCTAAAAGCAATTAGTAATTTTTCGATACTCATAAGACAGGGCAGTGACTTTCCCCAGACAAGGGCTTCCAGAAGAAAAGAGGCAAAGAGAAACAGCCAAGCATCTTTCCCGCCATCTACTGGAGGCAAAGAGAACTGAGTGTGGCCTTCGGGAGATTGTGCTTCGATCTCAAGGTTTGAAGACGTTATCTGGCGGGCTTCGTGATCCCGCGTGGTAGATGGGCTTTGAAGCTCCATGGATGAAGTAAGTGGCATTCTTAGTACGTTTGCTTAAAGAAGTGCGCTGTACGCAACTGATATGAAAGGCCGAGTGGAAGCTGTAGGGAGGTTAAATGAGTGTTTGCAGACCTAGTGGTCTCTTGTTAGGATATTTATTCTATATTGAAGGTTTCTGATACTGTGAAGTAACACATGACTCGGAAGAAGATGTCCGTCGTGGTGCGGCTCACAATTACTTGCGATAAGATGATTTAGTTACTGTACCATATCTTTGTATTGGTAATGTTTATATGCAAGACTTGCTTGCTCTTCTCCCAAGACGGCAGCGACCGGAATTTTACTATGCATATCTTGCTCCACACCCTGTAGGATTACATTGAGGCTAAGCTATCTATCATGGTGGTTCTATCATCATGAGCGCACGTCGTTTCTTGAGTGATAGCTTTATAGTGAGTGGGGTATCGAAAGCGATTTATTATGCACGATGTGTCTAAGCATTTCCTCTTCTGTCGCAGTTTAGGGGGTGCGGAAGACCTTATCAGGTGGTCGTGGAGAAGTGACAGCTGCTGATAAAGCGGTGAGGCAAAATAGGAAACTTCAAATATTGAATGGCACTGGAGATGTTGTACCGAGATTGATAGTGGAATTTAACATCTATCGTCACGCAGTGGTTTTTATAAGGGTTCTTATTATCCAGACTGTTTTCAATCCTTAAGTGTAGAGTCATGGCTTGATAATAATGCTCAGTATGTTAAAATAGACTAAGAAAGAACACACGCTGTCCCTTTCTGGCATTCCCCTTTCGTCGGATTAAATCAAGTAGTCTACTAAAGAGGACAATATTAACTAACAGAGATATACATACCAATACAGCTTACAGCATAACATTAGTATCTCTTCTATAGGAAAAGATTTACGGTGAGAGTTCGGTAACTTCGCATTATGGGTAAGACTAGGTTGTTAACCTAACTAGAGTTAGATAAAGTCTAAAAAACAAGGTTCTGCCTGGGCTTAAACTGGGGACCTTTTTAGTATTAATAAGATATTATAAGTAACTAGACTATAACCCCTATTATTATGTATTAATACAAATATTTTATGTTCTATTTAATACTTAATAATAAAGTAAATAATGTGAAATAGTTAAAAATCTTTAATAATAAAGAAAAATATTATAGTTATATTATTACAAAGGATTTATTAGTAAATTAAATACTTAATTATTTCTCATTTTATACTCCATAGAGTTTTATTAATCCTAAGGAATATATTTTTAAATATACATCTCCATGAAGCTCGGTTTACAATTGTCTTCTTCAACAGTTTAGTAAGTAGTAAATGTGTTTACAAGAGATCTTTAGGTTAGGATACATAAATAGCCCCGAGACATTATATATAGAACTTGCTAGCTCTCGCGGTCTTCTTTTATATATTATGGCATAAGCTGCTCCGGACTCACCCCACCAATCTTAGGTCTTTAAATACATTCCTCATACCCTCACTTACGTGCCGTAGCTCTCGTTATATACTATACATCTTTTAAGATATCTATTATGTCTGTCCTACAATCTGGAATGTTTGCTCGCGAATTTAACAACATGACGTGTACTTCGGCATACAAGCTTTATCGAGTAAATATTAATGTTTTAGTTTGGGCACCTACACTCAGTAATACACTCATGACTGCTTTAACTATTTAAGGCCTTGCCTCCTCGATTACTAGCATTCTTTGCATTGCCAATCTTGCCGCAAATCCAAAATGAAGAGTACTTAACTTGTGGCTATGAAATCTGCTCATAGTTGTTCCTGTCCAATCGCTCGACTGTAAAGGTCAAGCATGGCAATTATGAAAGACCTTTCTTGTTCTCTGACACCTGGGGCATGTGTCTGGAAAGACTGTTCGTACATTTCGCTGTGCAGCTTGACCCCAATCGTCAATATTCCTAGAATCAACGAGAGGATCCACAGAACTGGCCACAGAAGGTGGGCCCCTTGGACTGTTACTGGCAAGCGTTTTCATTATGGCACGCAATGGGGGAGGACCCATTGAGCTGCGAATTAGAGGAGGAGGACCCATCGATCCACGAACTGAGGGTGAACCCATTGAGCCTACCACGGATCTTCCCTCGCTCGCCGTAAAGAAGGTTGAGCATGTACTTGAAGGTGAGTAGGCAGGGATATCCCCGGCATCTGGGTCATCTGAAGACTCAGATCCGCTTGAGATTTCAATGACTGGCACAGGCTCTAAAGCCCGGCGTGGTCGTGCTTCGGGAGTCTTGAGAATCTTGGGGACCTTAAAAGTCTTGGGAGTCTTGGGAGTCTTGCCACGTACTGCATCCTTCCTTGCGCTGACGCTCACACTGGAAGCTTGTATGGTTTGGCTACCAGACGGAGTACTGGGCTGTGAAGCGGCTTTTTCGATCAATCGAAGGCTTCGCCGAAGACCGGTCGGTGGAGTAGAAAGAGTACTGCCAGGACTCAAAAGCTCTAGGTCCGCGGGGCTATTATCTTCAAAGTCATCGTCGTTTACAGCCGTGACATGACTTGTTTGCTGAGCTTGCTCGCTGTCTAAGCGTGCCTGTAACTGCCCACTTGTTCTGCGCGCTGGTCCAGCGGGTGTAGATTCTCTCTTTGCAAGGTCCAATTCTCTAATCTTCTCCGTGAGAAGGCGCTCCATGTCTTTGGTGAGTTTCTTCCGTTCCGCAGAACATATGTTTTGAACAAGAATACCCACCATTGTTGGCGTTAAGGGAGTATTTGATCTGTCGTCAAGGTCAACACTTGACTGGCGATCTAACCAGCTATGAATCATTGTAACTGAGCCCCTAGAGAGACCTGTTGACTCATCTCGTCGGGCCATTGCCGCATTTGTGAAGTCGGGTTCAGCACTGCAGTGGACAACACTCCATTGGTCGATAAATACACTTATCTGATGCCTGAACACACGCATGGCCCAAGTGTACGTGTTTTCAAGTATAAGTCGGAATTCCATGATATCACGTATCTTAGTCATGTCTCCCTTCCAGATACATTGCATCATCTTGGACGAATCATTAGTAGGGTTTAGTTTTAGACTCTAGGTTTTATACTTACGTAACCTTGTTGCTGTCGTCGGTAATAGCTTGTGTTATGTGATGCCGTGAAATCTTTCGCAGAATACGTTATCCAGACCATGGCCTCAGTTCCGACTGTGGTGACGGCTGGAATTGGAGGAATATGCGTTTCCTTAGGCCGCTCAACGGCATACCTCGCGGCGATCTGGTTTAATCTGACTGCACATGCGCTGGCGTTAAGTGCTTGGCAGCAAGCAGTCTCCAGTTGTCCCAATCGTTCGCTTTCTCTCAGGGCTTTCTTGCCATTTTTATACTCAACAACAAGCCAGGGATAGGATTTCAAATCTGCTTCCAAGGGTTCCTTTTTATCAAAAACATTGAAAGGGGAGGGCCGCAAGCCATGACCATAAAGTTCCTTAAAATTCAACCATGAGAACGTCTGAACGAGGGGCGACGTTGGCTCTTCGTTCCATTTCCGACCTCTGTAGTCAGTGATTCGAGGTATAGGAGATTCGGCGGTCAGATGGTACATTGGAAGATAGAAGACAAAGTCGGGCTTGGGAGTTGTTCTAATTCGATCTCTTTCCCCCTGTTCTCCGAATGTTGTCCAGAGAGCGTCGGTACTAAACGCTATAGCGTCATAATAGTAGTTGCATCGCGAGACTCTGCGCGAAATACCTTGTGAGGTCGAAATGTCTTTCACAAGTGGAGTGAAGAAGGTGTCTCGGAAAAAGTCTTCCCAGCGGTCTTCAGGGTATCCACCATCAGAATATATGCTAGCCAGATATTGGGTCTGGAGACACTCCCCAGAAGGCGGGGCTTGATCCTGGCATGCAAAGTCAAGCATTGACTGGCGAAGAGTTTCGACATGAGGTGGAAGCGGCTGCGTTTCTATGTTTCTCAAGTCCTCCTCGTAGAAGAAGCCTCGCTGAGATAATTCGGTACGTTTCCAGGTCTTAGACATTTTTTCAACACAAGTTAAGTGAGAAGAAAGGTTCGAGGAAGACAATGTATCAAAGTATCGGTCCAACGGTAGATATGAATAAAAGCAAAGCTTTCAGAGTGTTGGTTGATGTCTTTTTCTCGTACTTATATGCAAGGCAAGGTTACATCTGTTGGTTGAGATACCTACATCCCTGCTTGGTGGCACAACAATGTCTTAGGATCCCTGAGCCCTTGCCAGCCTACCTCGCAAAGCTGCAGATCAATTTCGGCGAACTATTGCAAGCCATTGATTTTCCTAGTGAAGATGAATTCAAGCGTTGGATGATAACTTGATTTGATGGCTAATCTTTCTTTGCAATTGACCCTATATCTTGTAAAAAATACTTTTTCGTGGCCAATTTTTCGAGTCAATACGGTAGATTAGCTGAAACCGGGATAAACACGCAAGCGAATCAAAGGTCTGCTTTCGTTGCAGACTAAGCCTTAAGAGCAACGCTCGGCTCCTCCGCCATCTCCGCGGGCTTAGCGTGTTGAATAGCGCTCAGCCTCTTGTCAGAGAATCTGCAAGGGAGATTGCGACTTACTGATAACGGGGAACATATCCCTGAATTAATTCGCTCAAGACGTCCAAGTGTAGAAACATGTTGAAAGAGAGGAGGGCTGTTATCTTGGGTTAAGGATGTAGGTATAAGTATTAAAGCTGAACAATAATATGGCAGTGCTGGTAAAGAAGGGACTGATGGTATAGAGACAAAAGGATTTAAGAAGGCACTGAATGGCAGGTATAAACAGGTAGGTAGAGCTTACGGGAAGATAGAAATTGAACATATATATTTATAAGGATAATAGGAGTGTCGGCTTATATATACGATAGTTATGTAATGGATGATTAGGTATGTAGGCAGCGGCATTACCTAGCCTTTTACATAATAATAGATATAATAAGGAAATTATATCTCCTCTCTATCTCTCCTAAATGCTAGCCATATTCGAATCAGGTCTGCAAGTCACAGTTTTATACTGAATCATTTCAGTCACACATCTTGTCACACATCTTGTCACACCTCAGTTCAACACTCTTGTCATGCAGGGAAAGCTAATTAGTGTCAGAGTAAGCGGCCTATTCGACTCAGACTCAGACTTGGACATCGCAGCGACCCTATCGGGATAAAAAGTCGATTCGCAACACAATTTACAAACCGGATTCCCTCCGGTTCCTGAGACCTGGACACGAGAGTACTGGAGAAAGATAAGCCTTTCCCAACATCTAGAACTTCTCTGTGGATGGGCATCAATTGATGACCTAATTGCAAGCTCCAACCTGATACTGCTAGATGTCCTGGCTTTACCCCTTATGAAAGTAACTGTGGATTACCCGGGTTTTGGTCTTGGCTATTTCTGGTCTCGCTGCCAGGCTTATAATGTTCTGTTGCTCCGACGTGTAGCAAATGGTTCGTCTTGCTTTGAGAGGATTGGGATCGGAAGGGTTTTCGGGCAAGAGATAGAAGAGCAGTTAAAGTTGATAACTGAAGAACTACTTTGGCTGGTATAATAGTGTTAGAAACTATTATTATAAATTTACGTAAATTGACTACCGTATGATCGCTATACGGTAATCTGATTACTGTCTTTTAAGAGTACATATTTAATTAAATAGGACCTCCTCTAAAGTAAAAGAATACAAGGCGAGAGTTTGGTGAGTACCATGAAAATATGGGTCTCATCATTTGACTTAAATCGAGTCGGGCGAAGCCCAAAAATGACTTTCTGGCCGGGCTCGAACCGGAGCGATTAAGAAACCAGTTATCATGATTGGTTTCTGCCCTAGTGCGTGAAAAGCTATTTGATCTATATGTGCAGGAGACTTCTAGGCTAGAGGGACATGTTCCCACTGACTAAACGCCCTCTTGCAAGTAATGTACCTCTATGCTGATGATATCCTGGATGAACTAGATGGAGGCGCTGCTTTAGGGAAGCTCGGCTGGGATTCACTGCACTAACATCCAATGACTTGCTTCACTGGCAACTACTGTAGGGTCAGTTACGAGTATAGAGGTGCCATTTGGGCGGTGAGTAGAAAAATAGCTCGACCATGTATACGGGTCCTACGAAAGAGGCCTTGCAGATAATCTGAGCGAGACTCAGTACGACAGCGATTGTAGATAGTTTAGTCCAGCACGCCCTATGCTCCAGTGGGAGACATTTAGAGGCCGATGACCGCCCGGACGAGAATAATACAACAATAACAACCCTTCCATCATTTTCTAGCCTCTCCCAGTTGAATCTGCTTCTCAAGGTCATTCCACCTACCTGCGCGCATTGGGTCGAGAGTGCGCAATTTGGTAAGCCAAGCCTGTTTTAAACCACCAAGTCCATCCTCGTCCTGTGCACATTGGTCCAGTCTTTCTAAAACCAGGGTGTACTCCAATAGGGCCTGGTAAATCCACTTAACATCGACGTAGTCGTCAAGTAGATCCTTGATGTTATCGATTTCATGCCTCACATAGGCTGTTTTCTCACGCACGTCCATAGCCCATGCAATGGCTTGTCCACTACCGTCTTGATAATTTGCGACATCAAAAACTGATGGTAGTACCACAGACTCTGATCTTCAGGGCCGACATCCAAGGCCCGTCGCACGAGATCTAACTCTTGGTCAAGAAAGGCTGCTCGCTCCCGATGTTCAGCAGCTCGCTCTTGTAGCAGCCTCGAGATGACACGGCTTCTGTGGTACCACGCAGAAAAGTTGGACAAGTTGCAGTGGATAATCTTGGTAGTGTACGCAAACTCGTCTTCGACCATGCTCTTCCCTCCCAGCTCGGGGCTTTCGAGCTTATCCACGAGGATTCTTCGGTAGCCCCATGCATGGAAGTTGCGCTGGTCTCTTTCAAGCATCAAAGACGTTAAACCAAGTTCTGTATACCATGTCTCGCGTGCCGCCGCCACGCCAAGTCGAAATATAGCTTGCGACAGGATCCATTGCCGGAAATTCCAAATCCAATAGCACTTGGGCAAGCTCATCAAAAGTGGTATGGTGAAGGAAAGTTCAGACTTGAGGACAGCAATGTCGGATTCGTGGGCTTTGTCTTCCAGTTTCTCTTGGGCGTTTGACCGTTTGGTGAGGAGACTCGAGATTAGGCAACGGCGACGGATGTTCCATGCCGTGTAATGCTCAGGGTTTGAACGGAGGAGCTTGGTGGTAAGCTGAAAAAGCGTAGGATCGTATTCCCCTGATGCAGCCTGGGTATGTTTGATTCTCCAGATGGCGATATTCCTTTATTTTTTCAATATCTCGCAGTTGCTGTTCTTCGGTGCGTACCCTACTGGTGCGAGATACGCCATGCTGTGACAGGCGATGAATTAGCACGTTGCCGACGGTAGATGGTATAATAGAGCTAGCGCATCGAGGAGCTTTCACCTACACTTGCCATGTACTTGGAGCGAGGGACGAGTCTGAAGAGCAGAGTTGGAAGTTACTTGAAGCTAGTCCATACTTGAGAATGTACAGCGTGGCAAGAACTCGGGTATTTGGCACCGTTCAATTACTCCTTTGGGAGTAGACTATTTATAACAATAAACCCGCTTATCTAGATGAGCAGCGACTGCCCAAGTTCTCTGGCCTTTCGGGGGCATTCCTTTTTACTCGGGTGGCAGCCAGTACCTAACAAGGCGATATTGATTGCTAGACATACCTATTAACAAGAACAACACTATAACTATAGTATCTCCTGTAAAGTAAAAATACAAGATGAGAGTTTGGCGACTTCACCTTGTGGGTTGGACCAGGCGGAGCCAATGATAATATGGGTCTGGCCATTGACCTAACTAAAGTTGTGCAAAGTCCAAAAAAAAAAAGGTTCTGCCCGGGCTCGAACCGGGGACCTTCTCGGTGTTAACGAGATGTCATAACCAACTAGACCACAGTACCTGTGTTGTTACAGCAGAACACAATATTTTTAATCATATTCTACGTATCCCATTCATCACAGATGACTCCACGTACACTCGATTACTGAGGAGCACGTCAGGGTTATACTATCAAAAGCACCGATTGGTAACCTGAATCTCTGATTCCATCCCCTTCTAAGTATCATACAGTCTTGTTAACTTCATGGAGCGTCTCTTCCCAGACACAGATTCCTCCGTTACTTAGCAGCTGCCACGAACATCATCGGGGTTGGCGTAGCAAGTACCCTTTCCATCAGCACAAGCAAAGCCTTTCTGGGCAATTTTCCTGCACGCATCCTCCCACTCATCTCCAGCGAGTTTGTCTTCGGGAGTTTCCTGAACACACTACTTCTATGTTAGCCATGTGGACGAGTTTGGTTCAAATGGGTTTACTTACACGGCCAGACGGAGTGTCGTAAGTTGCGCCTCCCCACTGCGGGACCAATCAGTCAGTTGAGATCTTGCTGTGTCTCGTACGTTCGAAGATCTTACCTCGTAGCCTGCGTCGTTGTACTCGGTGCATGCATCTATAGTAATACGCGAATTGTAGCTATCACCGTTGTGACAGGCACAGTTGTCATGGAGTCTTGCCGTGCTGTGTGCTAAGTCAGTAACTATGCTGTCATTCTAGACTTCTTGGGTACTTACACAGCGGTCAAGAAGAAAACGGCACTCAGAACCTTGGCCAACATGATGAAGCTGCTTGTAACTCGAAACAGGTAGCAATTATAAAAGACGTTTGAGGATAGGATTAGAGACAATTGACGATACCAAAAGAATGACTGGCGGACTAAAAGAGTGTGAGTCGACTGAGGGTAAACAGCAATCAGTGTAAAGAATGTGTATAAAGATCAAAGGACCTTACCATAAACGTATGTCGCGGCTAGACTTATATCATTACCGTTCAGAGATCTGTCGTCTGATCAATTGCCGAACGGGTTTCCCCGGTTTCCCCTTGTCATAACGCTGTTCTACAATACCAGCATAAATACGGTTATTATGCTCGGTATACTCACCTGAAACCCGCGGATAGGTTCACGCGAGCGATCGACAGGAACATCTAGCTGCCGTCACCTGTCATTTTCATCTCCCAACGGGTCTGTATCCCACAAAGCGACATTTCATCCAATCTCAACTGCCTTACAACATGGATTTGGCGGGAACACCCTTGTCACGGCAATTCCGTGCGTGGGGAGGATATATAGGGATGAAACACGTCAAAAACTCTAAATCGATATGTTGGCCAAATGCATGATATCACTGAAACTCGGGATGCATTTCTCCGTGTGGGACAACTATTTTGAAGGGTTTAATTCGCTCAGCTGGCCGCCTTGCCAGGTCGACGTTACATAACGTGATTGCATTGTAAATGGAGATTGTTGTGGCACGCGAGTATACGCATTGCCTATTTGGTATCACAGGGTCATGGCAGGGGTGGTGCTGGTACTGACCGACGAGCAGCGCGGATGATATATCAAGAGTGATGAGAATATTAAAGAATCAGACAACCCCGTCTCTAGAATAGGTAGCTTCGAGATAGTATCAGCTTCCGTTCGTTAGTCGTCTTTCTCTCCACGGTCTTTACTGCCAAGTCACTTATTCACTCATTTTTGGCCTACTTTCTACTGTACCACCACTTTACATTCCTTCAAATTATCAACTTAATCCACCAACTTGCCCACCATGATCCCCTCCACTTTCCTCGCGCTCATCAGCCTCGTCTCCGTCTCCCAAGCCGCCGCAACCAACAAAATCCTCTCATCCGACGATGTCATCGTCCTCAAAACCGATGGCACTTCACAGATCATGAAGGCCGCTGACCTGGAGCGCCTCGAAACCGCCCCAGCTATTGAGACTCGCAACATTGCCAAGAAGGGCCTTCAGCGCCGCGACTGCGAGAAGAGCACTGAGATCCAGGTCCTGTCCGAGAAGGAGTTTCTTAACTGGGATGTGGCCATGTCGCCTGTCATCAGCAGCCTCGGCGGTGCAAAGGCCACTGTCAGTGTCACGTCTGGTTTCACCGTCGCAAACTCGCTCAAGGTCGGCGTTGGCTTCAGCATCCCATTGATCAAGGACATCCTCACTTCATCGTTGAGTATTGATTACACGCAGACTTGGACGTCGAGCCAGCAGCAGTCGCTCTCATTTGTGGTGCCCGACGAGCATCACGGTATTATTGTCAGCCAGCCGTATGTGCGACGCGTTCAGGGCCGTGTCATTGATGGCTGCACTGATGAGCCTGACAAGTCTGAGTTCATTTCTGATTCTTACGAGAGCCAGTCGTACGGTGACCTCCAGTGGGTGAAGGGTATCATTCGTCTTTGCACTAGCAAGACTTATCCTATTCCTTACTGCAATGGTGAGGGCAGCCACAAATAAGCGCCACAAGGATATTATAGATGTGGTGTACCCAAGGGACGGGTCTCGAACAATAGGCCCTAATACATTTACTCATTTCACATTCGGTTCTCATATTGACTTCGCTTAAATAATGCACTAGGAAATCGCAATCGTGACTCAAATTTTTAATTGCCTATACTCTAGCTGTTAGCTTTTACTAAGGAACCTTCATAAACTACTATGCAGTATCTGCTAGGCTCTTCTCAACGGCAATTCCCCGATAACATACGCATGCCATCCACGGAGTATAGAAATTAGCAATATAGAGCTGGCCTACAGCTCTCTGTTAAACAGACTCAGATCCAGCGGAATTCTTTCACCCATCCAAATAGCCCTCTCCAAATGATCCCTCTTCGCCGACGCCCAGATATTAACGCCCTCCTCCGGGATGATATTGGGATGAACAAGCGCAGACAATGGCCCTCGCCAGATAGCAAGCCACGCAATAAAGGCGCCAAACTGGGATGGTGTGAAAAGATTGACTTCAAACATTGCGATTGGATGAAGTCCGATTGGTTCACTCCAGAGCTTGTAGATGCGAAGTTCGGGGACTAGATGAGCGTTAGTTTGAGGTGATTGGATAAAGTTTAGACTAGGATTGGCTTACACTCTCGTCGGATTCGCTCCCACAGTTCTTTGGCGTATTTTGTCTGCTGCTCGTTTGTCTGTAGATAGTAGATGTGAACGTCGCTGCGATGACTTGTTAGTTCCTCTCTCATATTCCTAACAGACTGGGCACCTACAAACCACCGCGTTCACTTTGATCTAGAGGATCTATGAATTTCTCATACGCGCCACTCAGCTTCTCTGCTGGCGGATTGACATAGCTCTTTCCATCGGCGGCTTTCTCGTCTGATAGTGGTGAGGCATTCTCATATCCGGTCAAGGGAGAGGGATAAGTGAATACTGAAGCGTCACCCATAGTGTTTGTGAGGGAAGATTAAAGAGTAAGGTTTGGAAAGTTCTTAGAGTGAAATACTTCTCGATCTGCTAGTTACAAAGAACCAGTGGAATTGGCACAAAAAGCAGGTCAAGTGCGGGGATTTAAACTCTATTGTTGCGTGATGTACTCCGTCTCAATTACAGATACGCGCGCGGGCATTACTCAGCAGTCGTGACTAAGCTGCGGCTGGGATAGCCGAGGTGTGCATGTGTGCTACCCTGCACCACGCGTTATTATAGTAGGGAATCTATGTCTTCAATCTTTCGCTGATGATTTAGAGGTGAGCCATAAACAGAAAGAAATTGTAGCCTTATATTCAATAGCAAATTAACGATACACACGAAACGTCATGATCCGCGAAAGAAAATGACGTGGTAGGTGTGTGCGGGATAAACAACACCACTAGTTGTCCTGATTTTTTCAATTTTCTTCAAATTCATCACAGCCGTACAGAATTCCCAAATGACGAGTGAATGAAAGCGGCAAGATTAGTGGGAGGTAACATAACACAGATACACTTAAAATCAAACTCAATTAACCCGCATTTGCATATCCAAAATATTTGAAAACATCCAAGACCCAGACCTCAATAGAACAATCACTCGTCACTCGCATTCAGATACGATCTGTGGCTCATGCAAACTCGCCCAATCAAAAACTCTCAATCCCTCACAGCATTCCTCAGCTCGTGCGCTAACGAAATTGACTCCATATGCATCCCCTTTCAGTAAGTCTCTTCACCCATTGAGGCCGTAAATGAAGCGTGACATCATGGCTCCAGAGCTGGAAGGCCCGTGATTCGCCTTTTCTAAATATAGCCAAGCTCAACTCCACCGTAGCTCCGGTAGATCGGCATCTTTAGGCTTGCCATCACGAGCGTCAATGCCACTAGCCTCTAAGCACAGCTAAGTTTGGCCTCAACGTTGCATTTTTCCAGAACCTAAGATTTAGAATACAGCCACAAAGATAGATCGTGCTTGTTTAATGCTGCATTCTAAAGTTTACAATTGTGATAATTCGCTTGTGCACGTGGTTTACGCCATGCCTGGAACTCGGAGTAAGCGAAAGACCGCTGCATCCGCAACGTAGTCGCTCTCTAGCTCATGTCGTATCCGAATTAAGTGCTTTGAGCCTCATCTCGTAAAGTGACGATCTGTGGAGAGTGGTTACTACGCTAAGCAACCCGATACCACGGCAAGTGGGTGGCAAAATAACCAGCACACCAAAGCTCTTCTGCCTTATGGAACTGAGCACAGGGACAAAATAAACTTCGCCGTATTTATGCGAGCTTTCAAGCATACTTTTCTGTCAACTTAGCTTGGTGTGCCGGTTTTATTGCGACCCACCTACGGCAGTTCACCAATTTAAATAAAGCTGGAGAACCCTTCCCTTTCCCATTCTATCCACATTCCAACCATTCTTCCCTTTTCCTTCTATACCATCTTGTCTAAGACAATTAACAATGCGTCTCAACACATTACAATGTCTGCTTGTCAGCCTTGTCGCTCAAGCCTCAAGGTCTTCGGCCGTTCCCACGAAGCGCGAGGCCGTTAATAGCTGCCTCACCCAAGCCAAAGTCCCCATCGATACCATAGGCTCTCAAACGTGGACTGAAGATGGCACCGCCTACAACCTGAGACTTCCATTCGAACCTGCTGCTATCGCTGTCCCTACAACAATCGCTCAGGTCTCTGCTGCTGTTGCCTGTGGCTCCAAGCATGGTGTCGCTGTAAATGCCAAGAGCGGTGGACATAGCTACACTTCTCTAGGATTCGGCGGAGAAGACGGCCATCTTATGATCGAACTGGATCGTTTGTATAGTGTTAAGCTGGCTAAGGATGGAACTGCAAAGATCCAGCCCGGCGCTAGACTTGGACACGTCGCAACCGAGCTTTGGAACCAAGGAAAGCGAGCTCTTTCTCATGGAACATGCCCTGGGTAAGTCAATCCATTACAACGTTTGAATAAAATTGTTTCTAATGTTTGTAGTGTTGGTGTTGGTGGTCACGCCCTGCACGGCGGTTACGGCATGGTCGCCCGAAAGTACGGACTGACTTTGGATTTGATGAAGGGCGCCACCGTCGTCCTCCCCATAGGAAAAGTCGTTCACTGCTCAAAGACCGAAAACTCGGATCTCTTCTGGGCCATCCGCGGCGCTGGTGCATCCTTCGGCGTTGTAGCCGAGCTCGAATTCGATACCTTCCCTGCGCCCAAGGAAATGACATACTTCGACATTGGCCTCAACTGGGATCAGAACTCTGCTGCTCAGGGTCTGCTTGATTTTCAAGAGTTTGGCAAGACCATGCCTGGAGAGATCACTATGCAAGTTTTCGTCTCCAAGAGCGGATACAGCATTGATGGTTCATACATTGGCAGTGAAGCAAATCTGCGCAAGGCTCTTCAGCCTCTGCTCACCAAGCTTAACGTTCAAGTCAGCGCTACAACAGTTGATTGGATTCAGCTGGTTACTCATTTTGCTGGAGCCAACGTTGATGTCAACCCCACTGCTGCTTCATACTCCGCAGTAAGTATCATACTCCTATCACAGAAATCCCATAGCTAACTTGTCCCAGCACGACAACTTCTACGCCAGCAGCTTGACAGCTCCTGAACTCACACTCGCGCAGTTCAAATCCTTCGTCAACTACATCTCCACCACCGGCAAGAGCAGCAGCCACTCCTGGTGGCTCCAGATGGACATCACAGGAGGCATTCACTCTGCCGTTTCCAAGCCCAAGCCCAGCGACACAGCCTATGTCCACCGCGACACACTCCTGCTGTTCCAGTTCTACGACAGCGTGGCCCAGAACCAAAAGTATCCCACTGATGGGTTCAACCTGATCAAGGGTCTGCGCCAGAGTATCTCCAACTCGCTCAAGGCTGGTACCTGGGGCATGTATGTGAACTACCCCGATTCGCAGCTCAAGGGCGATAGAGCTACCGAGATGTACTGGGGTAGCAATCTGCCCAAGTTGGAGTCCATCAAGGCGAAATATGACCCCAAGAACATATTCCGCAACCCTCAGTCGATCAAGCCCAAGGCATAACCGATTGATATTGGATATATAGATTTTGTTTCTTATATTTTAGACTTGATATTTACACGTTAGCAGGCGCTTAATGATATAACTATTTTTTATTTTCACTTTTTGTACCTTATTATGCTACGTTCGAGGCATGCATTGGAAAGTCTAGTTCATAGGTACTGAAACCATTATACCGATTCGTGCATCTTGAAACCAAATCCTACCAATCAACTCCTGTTCTCTGGTAGAATTCGATGCCACTTGTGAAAAGTCTTCATGCACTCCTACCCTGCTAATTATCTGGAGATTATCAGACTTTTACCAATGAAACTGATTTATTCTAAGAGTGTTGGTTGCTACGACTCTCAGACCCTCTTAGTTGGTTGCTGTGAGTATCAGTTGATGTGATTGGCCTAACATAACCGAACCGTGTGATTTATCCACTGGCTGCCTAACCGTGCCCTGTAATTAACGGGTCCTGGAGCCGCCCAAATCACTTGGCGACCTGTTACTTAAGTGCTCCTCTTCTCTCGACAAGACGATTCTCTCCTGTCAAGTAATCAACATTCATTTATTCCTTCAAGTGTCGTCTTCAATATGCTCCTCTCGGCTCAAGATATTATCGACGCCCGGATGGGCTTGTCCGAGAATCGGTCGCGAGGCAGAGATCCAACAGATATCGCCCATCTAGTCTACGGCCCACAACCTGGAAAGCAGCACAGGCTGTGGATCAAAGATCGTATCTTGGAGCCTCAAACGCTGTCTCACTTCCTAGAATTCACCATGACGGGTAATCTTCCGGGAGACCGACTAACACCTCCCCCTCTACTCACTCCCGAAGAGGTCGATCTTCTCAAAACACCTGCTTCGGAATGGGCGCCGACTCCTTACAACCAGCAGACAAGATCAACCCTGGACTGGATGGTAATTCGAATTGGCTCTGAGGAAGACAGCTCCCGGCTTTATGGGATAGCGAAGGAGCTGCACGCGATGAAGTCCAGGCTTTGGGAGGGCATACCCCCATTGTCTGAGAGACGCTGGCAGGAGCTGAGACTAGACGAACCGGAGAACTTCACAGCCGCTTGTAGTTACTTCGCCATGGTCATTGACGTATTCGCCTATCTAAACAATCTGCGTACCAAAGGAGCTTTGCGACAGACCTTTAACTTGATATGGGACCACCTGCGGGTATACGAGCAGGCCTTGAACGCTAAGAGAAGAGAAGACTCGACAGACGGCGCCTATCAGGAAGTTTCGGTGACTGGCCTTTGGTACTCGTACATACGGGCTCATTATGATTTGATATGCGAAAACGCTCATCACTGGGTCACTGAGCATATCGACCAGAATCGAGAACCAATCGTGCACGAACTCGCCCACCATCATCCAGATAACCCAAACCATTACGACCATAAGCAGCAAGATTTGAGGAGCAAGCTCGATGACCTTAACGAGAACACCTTCAAAGCTGATTTCATGATCTTCATGCCCACGGATGGATACAAAGGCGATAGGCTTCCAGCCAAAGACACTGATCTGTTGACACCAGCCCATATGAAAGAACTCCGAACGGAGCCTATCACCAGTTCGGCCAATATGATGTGGCGAGTTGCGGATTATACCGAACGCGTGAAGTATCTTGGCCGAAAAGAGATGCGCGAGCATTGCGAGCGAGAAGATTATAGATCGTGGGGAGATGTGCCTAACAACGACCCCGAGAAGTTGCTCCTCCATACTATCAGCCTGATCGATGCCCAGAGAATGGCACGCCACGAGCTCAGAGGCCTTCCACAACCTCCAGAGGTAGATCGCTGGATTGAATACACTAGACTTCAGAAGAATTTTGGTCTGGGGTTTGTCGCATATCGATTATGTCACGATTATGAACCAGCGACATGGGATCTGTTCAAGCGGACATTTGAGGCAGACGTGGCGGATTGGGGACGGGGAAAGGTGGACGTTAACGATATTCGGAGAGCTTGCAAGATCCATTGGAAAGATGGTCTAGAGAATGGTATTGCAGATGGTGATATCGAGGGTGCGAAGAAGTAAGTCACATCATAAACACTTTGTACCATACTGACAGCTTTATAGACATTTCAGCACCGTCCCAGGGCTTCCAGTTCACAAGCGCGTATTCCTCGCCATCGATGAGTCCACCATGAAATCCTTCCTCGAACCCACCGTCAACAACCAGAGATCCGTTCTTGCAGTCGATGTCAAGTACGAGCCCGGCCAGGAGGAAGATGTCGATTCACCAGGATACCCAGGGACCTTGCGGATACTCTGCAGTTTGTTATGGGACGAGCTCGGCGCAATGCTGGTTATGCAGAGTACCTTTCCCCAGGGCCTTTGGCCTATGGCGACGAGCAATCCCGAGATGATCTACGTGGGTACGAAGCTTACTCCTGTGCTCAAGTTCCCGAGTTATCAAGAGACGCTGTGGTGGGAGATTGCGAGGTATTTGGTGCCTAAACGCGTGCTTGACAAGCGTGCTAAGCTGGTCCGTAAATAGCACACCTTCAATTTTAGCATAAGATTGGGCTTGAGGTGCAGAAAATCATTGTGAGATGTGAATACTTTCTACCGCCTTCCTTATGAGATATCCCCATGCATTTCGCCAGAACAAGCGAAGACATTAGGGAAAAGCTTCTGACATCCTGCATGGTAATGACAGTGTACAGCCAGATTCTGTAGAGACTCCAATGACTACTCACCCTGCTTGAATCTTTGGGGAACAAATGCGGGGGTGATTGCGACTGGGATCTTTAGCAAGCTGTCACATCATTCTGTTGTCTCTGCTGAAGCTAGGCTCAATTAGTGCCTGTGTCGTACAGTCCGGGATAGACTTAAAAACAGGTGCGCACCCACTGCGGAAACTCATCTACTTCTCCGCTCGTCACAAACTCATAACCGCGAACCATTATCAGGTCACCTATGATGAGGCAACAATTTTTCAAATAAGCCCCGACAACATATTCTGGCCATGATGACACGCAATCAACATAGTCCTCAATACGGAGCTGTTGATGAAAGCGGCATATATCAAGCATGTCCTAAGTGGAAAGCTGCTTCGCTGACAGCTGCGGTGAAGGCTATCTCTAGCTCTCAAAGTATGCTTTCGGAGGATACCAAGATCTTATTGATATTCCTTTCTTTCCTCTCGATACCTGATAAAATTCCTTTAGACCTGCTTTTTCGGGGCGGCTCGCCGCGCAAACGCTGGTCCGAAGCAGGCGACATCGAACAGTTGAACGCGGATCATAGTGATCTTGCTCACGAATTATGTGTGTTTCTTTCGGATGAAACCAGGCTGCAAAACTCTATCAATGAGTCAAGATCGTCCTCTGCCATTCTTGATAGTAGTGATGGAACATACACCTTGAATGAAGCTACTATGAGTGGCATTTCTAAGAAGCTCACTGCGGAGGATGCTTCTGTTTGGAGAAGCCAGGTCTTAGTCGTTACATATCGAGCAATCCCATGGAAATACATTGAGTCTACGTAAGCTCAAGCCGCGTATCGAATCATTATAAGGCTCTAACTTTGGAACAGTACTATACAAACCAAACTACTCCTGCCACACCTTAAACATGTCCTACAAACCTTTCCCGATTTTGCACAGCACCTCTCTGCGAGTACCAGAGCAGACCTCGCGCTCACTCTCATTGAGGCATCTCGATTTCCTACTATAGCATGGAAAGAGTTCGCTTTGAATCAAGTGAAGGTCGCTTCAGATGTTGTAGAGGACCATTATATCCAGGCCTGTTTCGCACTGTCTCAATGTGTCTTTCATCGAATTACTGGAAACATGGACCAAGCTGCCAGTAGTCTTGATCCTATCCAAGACATAACATCAATGGATAGGAGAATGCATTCAGCTATCGGCTATTCAGCTATCCAAAGCTCTCTCAACTGCATTCAAGTTGAAGACCTCTCTACTGCCGAGGCGTTACTAGATGATTGGAAACCCTCAGACGAGCATCCATCCTTGCTTGAACAAACGGTCATGTTCCGCAAGCATATGATCCTCGGGAGGATTTTGCGTTTCAAAGGCAGCTTCCGAGAATCGCTGATGCATCTCGCTAAGGCGCAGGAGATGGTCAAACGACATGACAAGCTCAATTTCGACGAAGATCTTCGTGATTTCATCTGTGACCAAGCTGACACGCTCCGAGAACTTGACGAGCCTGAGACTGCAGAGCGTTTGCTGCGTGAAGAGATTGACCGTCGAGATAGGGACTGTATCCCAGGCAACACATATCGATTGAAATTGACTCTAGCGGAAGCAGTATTTGCCCAGAAACGCCTTGACGAGGTGGAGAGAATCTGCTTAGGTGTCAAGTCCCAACCAGGACTCCTAAAGCTTGACAACCTGCGCTTACAAATCACGATGGCAAAAATACGAGATTCCAAGTGTGATAAGAAAGGAGCATTACGATATTGGATTGGAGCGATGAAAGAAGTTGGAAAGTTCCATTTGACAAATGGTTATACGACTCGGATAATCATCCTGTCTATTCGTGATTCGCTGAGTGGTACAGAGGAGGCCGAGATGATGGAATCAACTTCTCTCCAGCAAGTTAATGTTCTTGGTGAAAATGCGAAGCCTGGAGGGACTAAGTACTGGATTGGAGGCCTGGATCATTGGGCACGATCTAAAGGGTTTGACAATATTCTCAATATCTCCTGAACTTCAGACGTATAAAGTTAAATATGGGCAAAATAGAGTTATTATTCAGTTACCATACTCAGGATACCATATGCACCAGACTACATCAAATCAAATATAAGAATTCACCGAGAATCATCATGTTAATCGTTGGCTATCCAACCCGACAAGCTCCAGGTGTCAAGTCGCATTTGCTTACTGCATTAGTTTGTTGCGAGGAGGCAATGAGAGACCAGATCGCTCTCTTTTGGCGAAAACAAGGAAAGCAATAGAGATGCAGATAAAGCTAAGTGTCTAACACCTACGGACTCTAATTGCGGCTCTCAATTATCGTTTGAAACAGGTGGGGTCTCCCAAGTTCGAGATAATTCTCATCGTCAATTGAAATCGTTGAGACATGAAACGAAGATCCTCTTACATCAGGAAGATATGTTAAAATAGGATCGTCCCCGACTTCCCCGTAGAACTTCCTGGGGTCCTGTAAAGTATACGTAGAAAAGCTGCTGAAACCTGATATTGAAGGAAGAATGCATGGAACTATTAGAATGATGATTATCGTGTCGTGAAATCTGGCTTTTATCATGGGCAAAGAATTAGGGCCACGATGATAAGCGACAAGCTTACAGATTATCATACCGGCTTAGGGTAAGAAGAACCTCCATAGTGGATGAACGCACTGTTGTCAGACGTCTACAGAGTACACGTGTAGGACCTCATTCGCTATTTTTAGTGGCCATCTAGCCTGACTAATGGAAAATTTAGCACGTAACCATATAAGAGCCTGGTTAGTGCAACCTTGGTCCTTTTAATTATAACTCGCTCATCAAATATCCCAACCCCATCAACAAAGAAAAATGTCAACAGAATCAAATGAGCGTCAAACAATTGACCTTCCTGCAACTAAGGATCAACCGGCAACAGAGCCACATTATCTCCTCGATGATCGTAGTGCAGCTGCTCTGAAAGACCTACAGGAGGGTGACCTGCTGCAAATGGTGAGACGATCTGTCCTCCACGTAACCAGACGCTTACATTGTCTCTAGGTCGTTGATCATGACGAAGGCGTGATTGAATTCGCCGATTTAAACAGAAAAGTAGCACCTGACTCTCTTGCCAAGTACTTTGAGGCACCGACAACAAAACAATTTGCCTTCTATCGTCACCCTGAGTCTAATGCCGTCGTCTTGATTTGGACACGTTTCCCAGCAGCGACATCTGTCAAGACCACCCGTGTTCAAGTTCGTTTGAGGAGGGAGTTGACTTGGTATGCTGAAAGAGAGGGGATTGAAACTGTTATTGCGGTAAGTCTGAATCCTTCAATAGAACGGCGTGGTCTAACCTTTTGTAGCATCAAGTTTATTCTCAAAAGGACATCACTAGTGAGAGCTTGCAGGAAGCAATCGCTGCGTCACAGGAATCCAGAGAGCTTTAGATTAGATGTGGTGTCTTGACCGGCATTTTGTAATCTTGTACTTAAACTTAAATTTAAGCATTCCAATTGTCATGCTGCTTCAGACGGCACAGATGCCTCTCAGGATGGCGTGAATGCGAAAGAAATGCGGTTGATAGTGACGATGTCTCGAACAAATTCTTATAAAACAATTCACTCGTGTATCTTAGATTAGAACTAAACGCATTGAATACCAAGTGCTATCTTGTCTAATCTAATTCCAGATTTTCCTTCGCTCTGTACTAGCTACATGCTTAATCTATGTAGCTCCGTTGAAAGCGGTCTCAAAGTCTGCGGGACTGTAGCGCTCGCCTTCACTGCACATAGCCTTGGCAATCACCTTGAGAAGACCATCATTCCCGTTAAACACACCATAGTTTCTGTCCCCAAGAATCTTCTCAACCTCAGAGGCTGTAATGCCCTGATAGTGTCCAGGAGAGGGCTCAATGAGATCCTTCCAGAGCTGGAATCGGGTGTCCGAGTTTCGCAGGTCAGTCACAGACATGATGAGGAAGCTCATGGCCAGTGAGAAAGTGTCGGCCTTGGTGGTGTATTCCATGCCAAGCATGATTTCTATAAATAAATTTTAGTCATGGTCGCGTGGGAGGGGCGTGAGATACATACCTGGGGCAGTGTATGAGGGAGTGCCGACATCCATCTGAAGACTTGTGCCAGTTTGAAGTGACTGATCAAAGTCCATGAGCTTGATGGTATCGCCATCCTTGAGGAAGTTCTCAGGCTTGAGATCGCGGTGAATAATACCAGCGCTGGAGACAGCAGTGACGGCGCTGAGCATCTGTTTGAAGGCAGTATTGACAGACGCTTGATCAGAATACTGGTCTAGGTTTGCTGCCACAGATCCCTCTTCAACTAAAGGCATAATAGCAAAGCCGTAACTCCTCCTTGCGCCCTTGCCGAGCACGTAGTGGTAGATGGGAAGAATGTTGGGGTGGTTAAGACCCTTTTGCAGACGCGCGCCGTAGAGGACAGAAGGTCCGTCGGCGGTTTCGCCGCTGCGCTTGCTAACGACGGTTTCCTTCACCTCGTTACCGTCGTCACCAGGGTAGGAAAGGACAGCCTTCTCAATGACGACGGTTCCAGTGGTTGGAACAAGAACGTCTCCCAGGCTGACGGTGTAGCACATCCAGGTAACCTTCTTGTCGGGGTTGCTCCATTCGCCGAGTGTTAGATCGTCAATGCCAGGGACATCAAATTGAGCAATACTGTCGGTCATGGACTGCCATCGGGTAAAGATGCCCCATCCTGTGATGAAGGAGGGAAAACCGGTTTCGCCAGAGCCACTGACGTTGGCGATGAGAGAGAGAATAGCCCCGAGGGCGAAAGTGAAGCGACTTGAGAAAAGCATGGTCGCTGAACGAGTGACTGACTATCCAAATGAGTGTAGGGAAGAATGCAGATACTGAAGACCTTATTCCAGTTAGGTGGCTGGAATTGACCTGGGTGGTGTATTTATTTAATGGCAGCTTATGATTGAGCTTAGTCCTGACTTACAGGACCGTTTCTCAAAAACAACCCGAAGGGCCATGAAGGATCCGAAGCTGACTGAATCCTTGGCGTCATCTTTGTAATTAGATCATCTAATTTCTATTTATATGAAACAGGAGCCAGGTTCAGCCACTGGACGATCTCTCCACTGCCGATGAAACAAGGCCCAGGGCTGAGCTGACTGTGCCTATCTTACTTGTCAGGTCGCCGAATTCAAGATGACCATAGCGTCTGATTATAGCCCTGTGCTTACAACAGTGGAGCAGACTCAGCCCTAGAGTTGCACCATCCCATCCGCCAGGATTGACAGCCCTGCAAGGCATCACAGGTGGAGATTAAGGAGTCCCGAAGTTAACGATTCGGCTTACGACGCTCTCGGAAGACACATGCCGTGCGCGCATAGCCTTCTGTATCCAGGCATAAGAATAGCGATTAATGTAAGCCCAGTGGGTTTTGCTAAGCTGACCGTTAGATCCTTCAAAAGAAACTTCCGAAGGATCGACCCCTGCGGCCCTGCAATTTAGAAAATATGGAGCTGCCGAGTACCCGTGCGTGGCTCAGATTACCAGGTATTCCTCACGTCAACACTACAAGGCTTGTTTATGATGTTCAAGTTCAGCAGTGCTTCATCACTCTTTTTATCCTGCTACTTTACTTAAAGTCTTTCTTTCCCTACATACACTCATTAATACACATTTCTAGCATCTGCAAACCTTGGTCTCTCACAACGGGTTAGCTTCTTCATTCGTTATGTTGCGCCCTACAGACTCTTCCATGCCAATTGGCATTGGCTTCCTTCTTTTGTCTTTCGGAGCCCAGTTGTCTTCTGCCATTCCTTACCAGTGAGTCTTATCTCCATTCCGTTTTGTATTTATGAAGCTAAATTGTATAGTGTTTATCAACTTGATGAGCGCGACGTCAACACTGATACCACAACCACTGATTCCTTCATCACAACTACTACGAGCGCATTTGTTGCGCCTGTTGATGTGCTTCCCACCACTACCTCAGCTGTCGTCATTGATACCACAACACACCATGACGCTATTGTCGTTGACACAACCACTAGCGATGCCGCTCCAGTGGTTCAGCCTCCCACCACTGCTGGCGAGGTTGTTGGTGATACCACGAGCGCTGAGATTGCGCCTGTCGGGACTGAAACACCAGACACTGTTGATGTGTTGAGCAGTACTGGAGCTCCCGTCGAGAATGTTCCCACCACTACCTCTGACTGGATCCCTCCTCCGGGAACCGAGACAAACAACGTTGTCAACACCCCCGGCCCTGACACAACCGCTAACACGGATGTTCCCCCGCCTGCTAGCACTGACATACCTACCAACGAGCCTATTGTCGGTACAACTACCAACACCGAGGCTCCTCCTGCTGGAACCGAGACTGCCACTAGCAACATCCCAGGACCCGTCGTTGACACTACTACCGATGTCCCTGTTGTTGGTACTGAGACAGGAACCACCAGTGATGTGATTGCGCCTGTCGATACAACCACGGCCGTCCCAGTCCCTGGCACCGAGACTCCTACTACGAGTGATGCTGCTGTGCCCGTCGTTGACACCACAACCACCGCTGAGATCCCTCTTTCCAACACTGACACCCCAACCAGCAGTGCTGGGGTGCCCGCTGCTGAGACCACCACTGAGAACAACGGTGACGCTCCCACCACCACTGCTCCTGCCAACAACGCGCCTCAAACCACAGAGAAGGCTTCAGAACCCTCTGACAAGCCAAGTGATGCCCCTACTGCCCCAGTCACAGCCCCTCCTCAAGAAACTACTGCTGCAGTTTCTCAAGCCCAGGCCACTGCCTCCGAGTACAAGTCCAAGGTCGACGATATCATCCCCATTATCGTGGCCTGGCAGAACAACCCTGATGGTCTTAAGACCGACACATTGAACAATGTCAACAACTTGATCAACGGTGTCAAGGATGCTATCAAGGATCTGGGCGGTTCTACCAGTTCTGGCTGCAACGGTAAGAGAAGGCGAGGTCTTTTCGACATCGTATCAAACATTGTCAACACTCTTACTTGCGTTGTCTCAAACCTTGAGGATATTGGTGGCAAGATCACCGGTGGTGTCATCGACGGTGTCACTCCTATTGTGTCAACTCTTACCACCAGCAGCGAAGACCTCAAGGAGCAAAGTGAGGAGAAGGAAGATGAAGATCAGTCTAAGACTGAGAAGAAGGAGTCCGAGACTAAGGAAGAGTCCAAATCTGAGGAGAGCAAGACCACTGAGAAGCCTACATCTACTGAGGCTACTACGTCTGCTACAGAGACAACCGAGACCACTACGGGAGCTTGCAGTATGCGAGAGACTACTAGTCTTCCTGGTGCCACAGACACTCAACCCAAGACCTCGATTCCTTTGCCTCCGTTGAAGGATGGTACCACTGCTGCTGAGACTTCTTCTGATGCTGAAGCTACCACGACCGACTCTCCCAAGACCGACTCTCCCACATCCGCGGAGGCTACCACCACAGCTGAGGGTCCTGAGTCTACCACCCATGCAGACACATCTGCCCAGCAGACTTCTACCGAGGCCGCTGAGGAGACTAGCACTGCTGATGATGTGAAGTCAACTGCCGAGGAGACCAAATCAACTGCGGAGGAAACCAAGGCTGAGACTGACACCTCTGCTCCCGCTACCACTCAACCCAGCACTCTCCTCACAACCACCCGCCCATCCCCCGACCAGACTTCCAACACCATCACCTCAGGCTCAAGCGAGATCATCACCAGCTCCGAGGGAATCACCACCGCCCCATCCCGTACATACTACCCATGCAACGTCTTCGGTGGTCCCCGCGTCGCCACCCCGTACTGCCAATGCTCAACCACCGTCTCCGGAAAGCAATACGTCGCCACAGCTTCCCTGATCGACAACCAATGCGAGGCCTACACCGAATACCCATCCAAGGTCGACCCCGCCACCGAGGCTCCTGCTCCCACTCAAGCTCCCATCAACGAGCCTCTCACCAAGACCATCGACGGCACTGTCCTTGCCTGGACTGCGTACACCCTTGCCTATGGCCAGGTGTACAAGGACGTCACCGTTACTTTCTCCAATGGTATCGGAGAGACCAAGACCATTGCGACGCCTGTTCCCACACAGACTCACGCCGACAACGATGGATCCGGCCAGTGCGGCACCAGCGATGGCCTCTCCAAGTCTGGTCTCGGCGATGCTTGCAACCGTGCTATTAACATGTTCGACGACAATACCGTCTACACGGGCTACACTACTCGCTTCAGCCGCTCGTCCAAGGGTCTCCTTATGGTCGCGTCCATGGGCCAAGCTGCTTGCATTGCCAAGTTCAGCTGCGATGACTATGGTATTGGCATGAGCGGTAAGCTGATCAAGGAAGCGTAAGTCCTCACTCTAATATCTAAACTGTGAAATATCTACTGACAATTGAATAGCCGCGAGAACGCCAAGAGTAATGATAACATCTGGATGTGTGGACACATTGAACTGTCTAACTCGTGTAAGGTGGTCATGGACTACTGCACGAACTGTAAGAACGAGGGTTGAAATGGGGGTTTAGTTAGTCAATTGCTTTAGAGCCGGTATTGGCATTCGCTTGACATCTGTATCAAGACCTCTTAAACTAGATAATGTCAAATACCCTTCAATTCCATTACGCCTCCATGTCACTATTCTTAACTAAATATCACCCGAATTCATGTTTCAAGAAAAATGTGTCGTGTTAAACATGTAGCATAGCAGTATCTAATCTAATCGTGTTCGGAAACAACCCACTCCTTATCGTCTACTACCTTCTTCTTCTTCTTATGAAAGTCTAGCTTCATACCAGACGTGCCAAAGAGAGCAATTCCTGCCGCGACAACAGGTATCTGCATGGTAACAGCCCCAGCTGCAATTGTTGCTCCGCCAGCTAGCATGCCCAGAATAGCCAGTGTGTTTCGCTTTACGATCTTGACCTTTTCCTGGTGGGCAAGCTTCTTTTCTAAGTATTCCCTTCTTTCCCTTTCACTCATATCTTCGAGTAAGTATTCGGGCTTGTTCAACTTTTGTAGCCGCCTGCTTGGAACATACAAGCCAGTTCCCTTCCTCGGACCTGTTGGCCGGGAGCTAGCCGATTCTCTCTCTGGCATGCTTAGTGGTTCCGCTTGTATTCTCTTGGGAAGAAGCCTTTTTGGAGCTCGAGTTTGACGTTCAGAAGCTGGAGCGTTTGACTTTGAGTCTTCTCCGAGTATTTGTAGCTCTGACTTTAGACTGGCAATAGTTGATGAAAGTTCAGAAATCTCTTCCTGAGTTTGAACGAGCAAGACCCGGTGCTGTTCTGTTTTGTCAGCGAATAAAAATTCCACCTCCTGACGCAGACCCCTTTCACCCATTTCAGCTGCTTTCATTTGCCGTTCCAAGTCCAGCGTCTGTTCCTGAAGTTGTTGACTCGATTGTAAGGTTGAAGATTCAGTAATTGACGTCTGTAAAGCCCTGAGTTCGCCTTGTAAGCGATCCCAGTTGGTCCCGTAATGCCCGTTGAGGACAGTCCCAGCAGCAGTGTCGTCAAAACCCTTTTGTTGGTCAACGATCTCTTCCTGGAGTTGGAGGACAGCTGGGCCTTGAGCGTCGGAAACGGCTAGGAGGCTCGCAAGAATAGAGAGACCGGATGCTCTTGTGTCCATGCATCGCTGGATCCTACTACCACGACTGCTCATCCAGCCCCAGTACCCCTCAACAGATTCGAGTTCCGCTTCCCTTTTCATTGCCAACTTGTAGATGTCGCTACTCTCGGGAGCCTTATCCCACATTGTCGTAACTAATCTAGCAAACTTTGCTCCTTGGGGACCGCAAATACTTTGGACTATCTGGAAGCTTCTCATGGCTGATGCAGATACCCTGTTATCAGTAATTCGATGAAGATATAATATGCCACCAAGGCGAAAGTTGCTCTTATGGACCTGGCTCAGATAGAAAGCAATTTCGGTCAATATCTCACTATCCATATATCTACTATCGTCAAAACCAGGTGTGTCGACCAGATATACACGACGATCACCATATTGGTAGGGGTATGCAGTCATGCGGCTGGTTTCTGTTTTGAGTGAGCACTACGAAGAAACATACTTGATTGGCCGAGATAAGTTACCTGACATTAAATCATGACCTATTCCAGCGGGCAGTCCTGTCAGTCTCTCGATGAAGGTACTTTTCCCAGCCCCTGTAAGGCCCATTACCAATATTATTATGTTGCTTGCGCTGGAAAATGTTAGCTAAGCACGGAACAAGTGTTACGCAATTTATGTAGTATTTAAGACATACTCCTCAGACATCACGGGAATCGATACGAGGACCATCTGTTGCTAACGACAAACAGATATAAATGAATTGAATGTAAACGCACAGTTGGAAAACGAATCCAAGTCATGTCGCAAGCAGCCCAGGGCTGTTACTGTTATGTTATACGTAGAGCTTAGTCACACTACTATGATGGTGCTTCGTAAATACTGCCTTGTTGAGGCAGTGCAAGGCGCTAGGCATGCAGCAACACCACATTCTCTTTTTGAAGATGAGGTGTCACAACCATGAGCAGTATCAACCAATGGTAAGCCTTATATCGTGATCAGGCTGAGCAACCCACCACTACCATTCTGCAAAGGGTCACGCTGAGCTTGAAAATCGAAGCCACCACCGACGCTAAGAAGGGCCATAGCGGCGATGAATCCATTCAATTGCGATAGGCTTACATAAGTGTCCACAATACAGTACTCGATTGGCTTCGAAAGACTGTGGACAGTTGGGCTGACAGCATGCTATCTTGTCTTGGCCTACCGGGAAGTGCAGGTCGCTTGTTTCAATGCTAGCCATGGTGAGGTGAGGGGCAAGAGAAGGACCCCGCATGAGGTGCCTTGGGTGAGCTGAAAAGTCACATATGTCATAGTCGACCCAACTTGCCTGTGCTCACCTCTTTCTTTATTCCCACACAGCTTTGCATGATACTGAGAAAGAGTGTAGACAGAATGGGAGACGCATTCTCGGGCTTCAAGCCGAGGCCTGGCGATAAACTAATTGCTATAATGGGGATGACGGGGTCTGGGAAGAGTACTTTCATATCGCTGTGCACTGGAAAAGATGTTCCTGTCGGTCATGAACTGCAGGCTTGTACGTACACCATCCCCATTTTACTTATCCCACTGTAACACGGCACAGGTACACAAAAGGTTACTGCATACCAGTGCCAATGGTCAGATACTACCGACATCTATCTTCTCGATACTCCCGGATTCGATGACACCAGCCGCTCAGACACAGAGGTTCTTATCGAGATCGCTGCGTGTCTCACCAAGACATACGAGGACGACATCAAACTGAGCGGAATCCTCTACCTTCACAGAATCACTGATCGCCGTTTAGGTGGATCGGCCAAGAAGAATCTTATGATGTTTCGGAAACTTTGTGGTAAAGATGGCCTGAAGAATGTCATCCTCGTCACTACGATGTGGGAAGACGAGCAAATGGAAACGGGAGCAAAACGAGAGCAAGAACTCATTGAAACCAATGGCTTCTGGGGAGCGCTGGTAGAAGAAGGTGCCCAAGTCAATCGTCACGACAATACCAGGAGGTCAGCTATGATCTTGCTCAAGTCAATCGCCAAAAAAGACCCGGTGATTATCTGCATTCAGAAGGAAATGGTCAGCGAGCACAAGGACCTCAACGAAACTGAAGCGGGAATGGGGCTCAATTCAGACATTCTAATGGCTGAGCAGAGAGTCAAGAAAGAAATGCTGGAGGCACTTCAAATGGAAAGACAGGCCAGGATGGACCAGGACGAAAAGTCAGCCGAAGAACAACGCCAGTTTCGCAAGACGATGCAGAAAAAGTTCGACCACCTCAATCAAGAGAGAGAAAAGCTAAAGATAAGCTTGCAGGAGATGAAAGAGCAGCGACGACTATTCACAGAACTCGAAGAAAAGTACCAGGCCAGCCAAGAGCGCTTGCGTCAGCAAGATGAAAAGATCGAGAGCTTAGAAAAGCAACGCAAGCTCCAAGAACAACAGATAACCCAGAAAGTAGGGCTCAGCAAGAGATTACAGAATCTCTTTCTTAAACCGAATGAAGGTGAAAATGGGAGACCGACAAATTTAATTATGAAAATCCAAGATTCGAGTTCTTATCTCGCAACGGGCGCTGAACTCACAAGCCTTTCTCTAGCAGGAAGGTACTATTCCTTTAGTGGTCCTAAGAAGAATGTCTCGTAAGTCAAGTCCCATCCATATAAAATGTGCGGAGGTTCTAAAAGAGGGATCTAGAGAGCACCCACACGGTCTGCAGCAAGCACAGAAAGTATATCACCACCAGCAAACAGCTGCTATTGGTACCCGTGGATCATGGTTCTATCACTACCATACTGGCGACAGGCACAAGTGCGAGACAAGTAAGTCAGACCTTGACTACCCAGGATGGACTATAAATAATAGACAGAATAGTTTGGTCAGACTCATTATCAGCTGAATATCCGGAACTCGTCAATTGGCTGAAGACACCCGATGTCCTTGAATGCCCCCGCCACATTAGCCTTGGTGTTGATGGCAACTTCTTCATCAAGATGAAGAGCGGGAAGACGCACTGGTGCTTGCCCACATCTATCATTGCCAGACTCACCAACTATACTGGCAAAATGGAAATGGAAGATCTCTCTAGACTATGGCTTGGCTACGGTAATAACTACGTGGCCGAGATTCATTCCAGTGACTATCTTTACAACGCCCATAACTACGGGCGTCTTCCATCGGAGCTGGAGCATATCGATAAAAGATGGGAAACTATCAAGGTTTGGAATTCTTTCAATATAGAGAGCCGTTTACTAAATTAAACATAGCAACTTGCTATGGATATTAAAGAACCTGGAAGCTATATGCTCATAAAGGAGGGAGAGGGTTCAATTTGGCATTACGGATATGAGAATATCGAGTCGAGGGCAGAAGATTGGCAAAGCTTCATCGATGAAAATAGGAGCGCATGGTGAGACATCTTGTTCAAGATGTAATGAGTTTGAGGGATACATTAAGTCTACAGAATATTAAGTCTTATAAGCAGGTTTTCGTTTGGGCTCTGCAGGACAGTCTGTATAGTATTAAGTGAAAGTTAATTGTAGTTGTAATATTAAGTGCTTAGATAAGGTAATTACTATACAATGTTCTCATCCGTATCTGTGAAACGACGTTAACTAAATTACAGCTTTCTAGTCAGTGACCGGCTCTGAAAATCAGTTTTTTCCACGATTTAAGTACTCAGGTTATTCCCACAACAGAGTCTACTCTAACTGTGACATAGAAGACAGTTACTTGGCGCACACTAGTCTACCTACACAACTTTGCAGAACTTTGTACCACGCATCATCAGCGCAAATTGTCAAGAATAAATATGATAAATGACTCACTTCATTCTATTTATACACATTCCGTATTTATCCACGATATTGACCGGCACTGCAGTATCTCGCAAAACTCTTACAGCATTCCTTCTAGCAGCAGTTCTTCGTGCGACAGCAGAAGCTACCGACAGAGCACTTATTGGAGAACTTGGCAGCGCAGAATTTGGCAGCGAGCTGTAGAGCTTCCTCATAGCCAAGGCTGTAACCGTCCTTGCTGGAGGCGATACGATCTTTTAGCGGCAATATCTAGTCTCTAAGTAAAAAAGGCACTTATAGGAAGCGAATAGGCAAAATTCGTTGCGAACTTTCCGAATTCGCAGACTGATACTTAGACCATTTCGATGGAGTGGTATGCTATGCCGGCTTCTACTTCTGGGGCCAAGACTATGAGGCAGAAGTTTAAGATGGGCAATTTCGTTGAGTAGCCAAAGGCATGATTTGGGCTTGACTATGTAAGTTTTGTGTGATATATGTATCGAATCCCATTGGTGATACATTATATGCTGTGCGTAAATGCGAACCGGCGCATTTTAGTGTTTCCCAGTTTTGTCTTTCCAATTCTATCCTCACAAAATTTCTCCTCGTCACTCTCTCCCTGTTCAACCCTAAATGACTTGGTAACTTTGACAATGATCCGACGAGTACTGTCGTCGTCTTGGCCCTGAGGACTGTCACTGGACTCATTACTTCCTCGCCGATTGGTCCCCAGCTCTAGAGCGGTTGTTCTGCTTGGTCGTTCCCGAACCCGACCAATTGTTAATAGATCAGTGGTGTTGTGAGAACCGCTGTAGTCATTGGTGCTTCTGTCTTTGGCGAGGCTCTTGAAGAATGCACGTAATGATGGAAGTGAACCTGCGACGACACCGACTCCGCACTCTACGACTGTCCAGAGATCGATGTTACCTACGTGGTCTTTGATGACTGATTAGCTGTATGACTAAGCAAGGTAGATAAAGATAATGGGAACTTAAAGACGAAGTTCTCGGGTGTCATGTAAGCATTGGAATATGGAATGCGAATGATACTCGCAATTGATGATCTGCAATAATTGTCAGCAACCTCCAGCGACGGAAGAGAATATGCGTGAGGGCAACATACAGCATTCCGAGACCCATGATCAGTTGAGCGTAGAGCTTCAACCTTGCTCGCATTTGTAACTTCCGCACAAGGCACATGGGGATGACAGCAACAGCAAAATCAGTGATGACGTTGGACACCGAAGCAACGTAGGTCAAGACAGTAGGAACTATTCTGCCCATACAAGTTCCCCTAGATGGAATCTAGTGTGCTTCGATCGGTCGGCACTGGACTAGGACTAGGACGACCCCAAGGCCGCTCATGGCAACCGACATGACGATGAGGGCTTGTAATATTCGTATGTATACTTTGCCGGTCGCGATTCGAAGGACGGTTACGCAGATGCTTGATTTGACTCAGGCGAGGGTCGCTGCGTAGAATAGTTGCCACATGAAAACATACTGATAAAAGTCAGTTATCTTACTGGGCTGAAGTGAGTGGACGACAACGAACCTTTGTTGCTTCCTGCACCTGAGAGATGTCAAGTTTGTGCCGAACCGTACCAATACCCCTATGACATCCGATGATGACGATGATGTTATGTCCCATGTAGGCCAACTAGACATATGGCAGTAGTGTATGTCAGATGAAGTTCTTACCCAGCCTGCACACATCAAGTAGTCGTCATTTCCGATACATTGATTCCTCGCTCGGATGTACGTTCTCAAAGCCACGACGATAGTGCATAATACAGAGAGAACAACAGTCGTGACATATAGAGCAAGCGCTAGCCCTTCAGGTCGAACATGCTCCCAGCCTGTATAAACATCCATAGTAGAAAGAATAGCAAACAATAACGAAAAAAGGGAAAATCCGGAAAAGCAAGGAATCACGTGAGGAACGCCTAAGTTTAATGACTGTAGATTCCCTTTGCAACTGCACCACCTTAGGATCCTTGGATTTCTTTCTCCGGGGGGGAATTTGCCAGTTCCCCGGATGCTGTTGGTTGTAACTTACCGGTTGGAGCTGTGGGTCCCGAACCCAGAATGAGTACTCTGGCCATTAGGATTGAAGTCGATTCTTGGCAAAACAATACCCCGTCGAGGGAACCTTGTTCCTGGAGCGATTTGGTGGGATCATTGCACCAAACTGAGTAAGATTGTAAGGCGTAGCTAGTATTTATTATGTAATCAAGATGTTACTCAATGTGCGGAGGACAGTAGGCATCTTGAGACTAGCTCGCCTGATTGGAAGAAGTACCTGCTTGAACAAACCATGACATCTGTCCTTGCATACAAAAGCCACGTTGCTGACACCGCGTCGGTGATTCTCGCACATAAAGTTCATACATACTTCTCTCTCCGCCCTACAAAACGTCTGACAGCTCCCGTGGCCCGAGCCTAGCGCCCGCTGTCAGCTTATCGACTAAAATGTCGCTAGACAGGAACGAAATTGCGCCAATTTCGGCTCATCATACGATGCTATTCCCTTGCAGGAGAAGGCAGGGATGAGATGCGCACCTTGTCTACATCCAAGTTAGTTCACTTGAAACGATTCGTTCGCCAAAAGCGGCTGTGGAAAGACGCTTTATGTTGTATTGAAGAGGGGGGCTCTGCAGGGCAGCACAGACTTTTATTCAGCTTGCGCTCAGGCAAAACAGTACATAAATGTCAGGGACTTGACGGGAGCAGTGTTGGGGTTGCTTTTTGTTGCTCAATTTCTCCCTAGCTCCACTTCACATTCTGGCGATTATGTCTTACATTGTCAAGGATCGGTTTGCCGTTGTTACAGGTGGTGGTTCTGGTAAGTGCATAATTGATCACTCAATAGCTCACAAATACTCATCTTTTTAGGTATCGGCCACGCACTTGTTCGACTTCTCCTCAATGCAGGATGTTCCGTCGCTATCGCCGATGTCCGTCTCCGTCCCGAAGCCGAAGCCACAGTCAAAGAATTCTCCTCCTCCAATAAACCCACAGCCATCTTCTGTCAAACTGATGTCTCCAACTGGGGCCAGATCTCAACATTATGGAAGACGGCACTTGAGAAGTTCGGCAGAATAGATATAGTGGTTAACTGTGCTGGCGTGTACGAGCCACCAACAAGCTCCTTCTGGAACCCCCCAGGCATTTCACCCCTCGCTGAGGACCCTGAAGATGCTCAGGTCGGCCAGTACAAGACTTTCTCGATCAATACCATCGGCCCAATCAGACTGGCCCAGATCGCCGTTGACTATTGGCAGCAACACCCAGAGGTGCAGGGCAATTTGTTGTTCGTCGCTAGTATGGGCGGCTACCTGCATTCCATGCAGACTCCTCTGTACTTTGCCAGCAAGGCCGCTCTGGTGAGCATGGTGAAGTCTCTGGCTGGGTTAAAGACGGCTCTCGGAATCCGAAATGCCGCTATCTGCCCCGGAGCTGTTTTCGTAAGTCTGATCAATGTGAATTTCTCCCAAGACATGCTAATCGTTTTGTATAGACACCTATCTTCGATCAAGAGTATTGCCGCGATAGACTTAAAAGCGATGATGTTGCATTGGAGGCAGAGCATGTTGCCGAGCTGACCATGAAGTTGCTCCAAGAGCCCCAGTATGGCGACGGTAACATTATGGAGATCATGATGATTGGAACTAAGGAGGAGCCGTCGGTTCATACACGCGAGGTGGACTTGATGGCTTTATACCCCACTGTGAGTCCCATGGGATCACGTGCTACGGCAGAAGAGATGAAGTTCTACGAGAAGGTGAAGGAGCAGGGTATGAGACACTAAAGTGTGGAATTAAATAAAGCTATATATTTTATACTTGCAAGATCCCTATGTAGCAATTCTTACAACAGCCTGGGCGTACTGTAAATCTTAGCTGGAATTCCTATTTAAAGCAAGACAAAAACCGTAAAAGACTAGTGATAGTCCTAACTATCTCTACATCATCGAAAAAATATATTATCCTACTGTGAGTGTTCATAGTAATTCTGATACATTTCTATCATTATTACCTCACATTTAGAAGTATCTCTGAGTCACATCTGGGAAACTCTGTCATGAAAGTGATTGGAATCCAACTTCTGAGGCAGAAGGTTTATCGAGTCTCTCCACGAAAGCATAATGGAAAATGGGATGATGGCTGCTATAACTGCAGGCAGCCCCGAGGGCACAGTTGATCGCCCGGTCTTTTCCAAGCCGTCTATTATCTAAGGGGCTTCGTCATTACTCCCTTCACTACTCCTTCATTATTGCAGTCACAAATAATACCCTGGACTAAGGCCATGCCGAATCTTTAGCCGACGGTCTGACCAGACCTTAGCTTCTATTAAAATATCAGGCTTAAGATACAGGAAACAATAGATGGTGTGAGATCTGAATACTATCTTCTGCCTTTCTAAGCCTCTCTGTGAAATTTACGTCTTTTAACTTTATCTCTATTTCTCTTTAGTCCCCTCTATACAATCCTCTAAAAAGCATACTTAGGGTCCGTACTAAATACCTTGAATTGTCCTCCGAACTTTCAGCAAATTCATTACTAGGCGAAGTCGGCATATTTACAATGTAATCTCACTTCTATTATAATGTCATATTTGAGGTAGAAAAAGCCAATCACTACGAAGTGACTCCACTGAATCTCGTTTATTAACATCCCTTTGGAAGTGTCTTCCATAAAATTGTCTATGTTACTCTCCAGACCCTCTGTAGACCTACGTGTCTCTCCAATCTCTCGGCTGGAACCGGCCTGAAGACCTTACTCAGATCCAGTTGACTCTTCCGGAAACAACACAGTTTTCGAATAGACAAAGCTAACTCAGTCAGAGTTGGAGGGCCTTGCATATTTGAAGGGATGACTAGTTGATTGGTCCAGGTTGACTCGAAGGCGGAGTCCTGTGCCCCCTTCAGTTAAATCGAACCCGACACAAGGATACAGCTTTGCAAACAAGAATCTCTTATCACGTGGCTCAAAGGCGTTTCCTATCATCGTTTTAGCACTTCCAAGAAACCATAGCTTCAAGTCTTGGGGATACTCACCCATGTTCAATCTCTTTCCATTCAACGTGCAAAACCCCTGACCTGTCGTCATGTCTAAGCCTGCACCTACGGTACTTCCTTTACCAAAGGTGCCGAAAACCCCAAAATCATCGCTTGGGATAATCCCGTTGAGCCTTTCGATGAATAATTTCCCATCATCACCGTGATAGGCCCAAGATCGTGTGAACCAACCTGGGCAGTCGCCGTAACCGGTATCAACACCGCAAAAGCCAATACATATGATCCTATAGTTACTTCTTAGTGGTTGTCTCGTTGACATGATGAAGTCCTTTGATGATGTCATACCCTGACCATGAATTTTCAAGAACATCTACTTCGAAGTAGAAGCCCTTTGAAGATGGAGGAATACAGTGTTCGCTTCTTATACATGCTCTGTAGTATTCGTCGGAAGCCCCAACGACCTCGATTCCTTCCAAGAATTAGTCGCTATTGTTATTCCAGTGAGATTGTGCGGGGGCTTACCATGTACTTGATTGCAGCTATCCGACGTTGGGGGCTTGCCGGTTCCCCCGTGGGAGGCACAGGGGTGGATTCTGATGCTCTCTTCGTATTCGACCCATGAAAGAGCCGCTGGCTTTTGTACCGTCTGGGTTTCAGATTGCTTCAAGTGGCCGAAAAGGCTTCCCATTACGCCTTTGCGGTCGAAACGCTCGATGTAATCGAAACAGGACCATCCATCGCTGTCAAGTCCCATGGGATTGAACTGCTGTCCCCTGACTGTTTCTCGAAGTTGATCATCGCTGAGCAACATCAACAAGTCGTATGGATTTTCTATCCATTCCCAATCCTTTTTGAAGATGTATGTCGCCAGTGGAGCGAGGAATACTGCCATAGATCTTTGATCCTGGACTTCCCTGGCATCTCCCGATACTCTTTCCGTTTCCTCGACATCATCTGCCACTGGTAATAGTCCATCAGTTTCGGCAATCTCCTGCGCATCTGCTGTTGTTCCTTCCATTGTTTTGGGTTCTTCAGTCTCTTGTGGTGTTCCGCCGCTGACGAGCCAAACGAGAAATTTGAATATCAGTTCTTTGTCTCTGATGCTCTTGAGGCCGTCAGAAACAATAGCAATCATTTCTTTGGAGCCACCTTTGGTAGATGCCAAGACCAGTCCTTTCAAAACCTCGACCCTTTGCGAAAAGACCGTCTGATCATGTAGTAGTAACTTCCGAAGCGCAGTTATACGTTCGTAACTGACGGCAATGTCTAATGCTGTTCGATCCCATTCATCTGCCAGGCTAAGATCGATCTTGTTGTGATCGAGAAGATGATTTAAAGTTTCAATTTTGTCACTTATAACACATATGTGAAGAGGAGTGAAGTTGCCCCACTTGGAGGCGGGCCGATTTACATCGACTTTGAAAGTGAGCAATTCCTCGACAACGCTTGTGTGTCCCAGCTCACAGGCCCAAGCCAAGGGGGATTGGTCGTACTCGCTGTCCGCTTTGTCGAGGAGGCTACTCCACCTTTCAAGAATCGGCCTGATAAGTGCAGACAGCCCACTACGACATGCCGTGGTGAGCAGAGACTCCCCCTCCTTGTCCAATGGGTCGGTTTGAATCTGGTTCGGAACTGAGAGTTGCAACAGGTATAAGGCGATGTCTTCTTGTTGCATACCGATTGCCATATGTAGACTGGTTCTGCCACCCAGGTTTCTTACTGTTGTATCGCATTTCTTGTCCACCAGAAGCTTAGCCATTTCTCGATCAGTAGCATAAAATAAAGCGGTCTTTTCATCACTGTCACGTTTGTCAATGTCAACGCACTTTTCTCCGGATAGCAGAGCCTCTGCAACGTCCTTCAGGCTCTCCCTGACAGCGAACATGAGTGTCGTGGTGCCCTGAGAGTCAATGGCCGCTACATTAGCACCATCAAAATGCTTTTCTTCTCCCTTGTCTCCCGCACAGAGATGAACCCCGTTGATGAGTTCCTTGGCCATATCCTCTCTACCCGCTAGGATTGCGTAATGTAACGGAGTCCGGCAGTTATCGTCTCGGGCTTCGAGATCGAACTTAAGATGGAGAAGGGATCTAACAGTGTCTAGGTCCGCAAGCTCGACGGCATTATGAAGGAAGGTTCGTCCATGGCCGTAGCGACAGTCAGGACCCTTCATGGCAAATTTTAAGAAAGTTTCGTTTCCATCCTTGTTCAAGTATGATGCTTTCGAGACTTTTCGTTCAGTTGAAGTTTGGCCATCTTTCGTAAGGGCACCATCGCTCTGTGTAGTATCTTTTTCATTGTTCGTTCTCTTGCTTTCCACGAAGTAATCAACAGAGGACTTCCCAACGTCGTCCAGTTGGTCGGAACGTGCACCCATCTCCAAAAGCTTGACGCAGATCTTTTCAAGACCCGAACTCGACGCTATATGAAGTGCTTGTCGACCCCAGATGTCCTTCTTTGTCAGAAGTGACGGGATTTCACCTCTTAGGGTTACCGAATCGAGACAAGTAACATAGCCACATTTCGCAATTAGATGGAGAGGTGTCATTCCATCAATGCCGCCTGTTTGTAACACATGCCTTCTCATTTCATTGCTGAGATTTTGAAGCATTACCTCAAGGTTGGTTTCAAGTCCTTTGAGAGCAGCCAGGTGTATGGGGTTTCGAGAGTAAGAGCAAAGAAGCTTCGGTAACCTCTGCTTCACTCTGTCGGACCATTTCATGACGATTCGTAAGACCTCGTCGTCTTTCCTGATAGACATATAATGATATGGTGTCCAACCAAAAATATCTTGCGCGAAAGCAGAATGATCTGAAAGAGATAATTTAGTTAAATAGCTGAACATTCGATCATCAGTAGCCTTTACCGTTCTGCTTAAGATCCAGCTGTAGATGTTATTTAACACGAACATTAGCTTAGTGAAGGAATTGGACTCACATATCTGGTATCTCCTTCCATGGCGCGCTTGTGATACTCGTTGAAACCAAGAGTACCTTTCGCAAACGTCTGATCCAGCTTTAACTCAATACCAAATTTCTGAATGTAATTAGATACTTCTTGCATTTGTTCAAAGCGGCCAAAGATGTCCATAAAGGTGGATTGGCGGCACTGTCGACAGTAGACTGGGACTAGTTTCTCCATGATGTCAGCGAATGTAGGTGAGCAGAGACTCTCTACTATGTCACCGAGTTCATTCGTGAGATCTGTTGGGAGTTTAACATGTTTACCATAAGGCTCAAAGGCAAAGTATAGGAAATCCATCGTGGCGATGACTATACCGACATGAAGTCTATCCTTAACGCTGTTTTTGTCTTTTTGCATCGCTTCGAGGAGTTTCCGGTGGCAGCTGGCCGTTTCAGCCCATCCACGTCCAGGTCCCACGCGAGGTATAAGCTTTAAGACTGCTTGATTGGGAAGAATTTTCATGTAGCTGAGTGCCGGAATCATACATAAAAGAATGTCGCGAGTCCTACCCATGCCGAAGGATTCAATTTTGCGCACCAATTCTGTGGGACAACGATGACGCAGCCTAAGCGTCGGCCAGGTTTGCTCTAAACTGTAGGATTCGAATGTATGAGCTCCTTCTATCTCGACTTCTTTTTGGGTCTGGTCAGCTATTGGATTGAGACAATCTTTCGACAAGTGTTTAGCGACAGTCCACATGAAACTTGTAAAAAGATGCTGGGCCAGAATCTGAGGTAGAGAACCCTCAGCGCTGACACTAAGCTCATCGATCACATCTGCCAGCACTAATTAGATTTGTCTCAGTACATATTCTAGACCCTTACCATCGGAGTTGATGCCGTTGAATCCTATGACGAGCTCCTCATCTTCTGTCACACCGTGCCCTGGCTTATTTTCCCTGGGGTGAAGACTATCGGCCCACCACGATATGTCTCGCTTGAGAACGCCATCTTCCAGATTATCTCCGATGATGCGGTAGAAGCTGTACTTGAGAGTATCGTCGTCCTTGCTGAATCTCCAATCTGTCGTAGACGGAGGCATGGTCTCTCCTGGGCCGTCATCTTTCTTGCGGTTCAGTGGTGGCTTTTGCCCATCGGTTTTGTCCGTCGTTTTGGGCTTTTTACCGTCGATGCTTGCCATCCACAGTGATAAGGCAGCATCTATTAGGCCAGCATCAAGTTCCCAATTGTAGCCCGACTTATTGCTCGACTTGTTGCTCGACTTGTTTCGTATTATGGGAATCTTGATTAAATCTTGCCTTTCAGTGGACTGGGAAAAGGTAACCTTAAGCAGCCATGTTAAAGACATCAATGGCTCCGATTTGTCCTTAGAGACTGGTGGAAAGGTATCCAATACAAGTCGGATAGACTGGACAAGGGCGATAGCACAGGCTGAAGATCTTGTTTTCCACTTTGTTAAATCGCCGACTCTTTTCCTGACCCGCAGTAGCTGTTGGCTAGTTGGTTCTTTGATGATCGGACCCATTGCAGAGGGATTTTGAAGTGATTGAGAGCCAGGGTTCACAATTCTGGGGACATTGAGATCAGTGGCTGCCTCAGGTTCCAGGGGTACAAGAAATGGACTGGTGTCTTGTAGATCTGGTGTGTTTATCTTCCACACAAAATAATCTTTAGGCTGTGGTGCTTTCCCTTTGGCTGACCTTGACGTTTTCTTTTTGGGTGGTCGATTATTGAAGACTCTCCCCTCGGGGTTTAACACGATCCTAGCTGCGAGGAAGTCAATTTCGTACCACTGAGAGGCATCACAATTCTCAACATCTTGTCCGAGACGCCTCCGTATAGCAGCCCGAACGAGAGCCATAATAAATATAGCACCAAGTTGGGCAATGGAGCATGGAAATGCAAGACCGCGGAGGCCCATAAACTGAGCTGTAAATCCTAGACCTGCCGAAAGAGCCGCTCCTATAGTCAGCACCTCCCACAAGTACTAATCAGTTAGCCAAGGGCGTCTCTACTTGAGGGATCTTCATAGAGGCTCGGCATTTACCTCCCTGCCTGCATCTCTCCTACTCGAAGTAATGACCCGACGTTTTGGACCAGATGAGATGACATAGCCATTGAAAGACTGATCGTTGACCTTCTGCTTTTGTTGAAGCCATAAGATGCGCGGTGCATTCTTCTTGTCCACGTCCTTGTCACAGAACTCCCAAGAGTGCTCGTCAGTACTGTGCTCAACAATAAGTGAGCAAAGTCCAGTGCCAAGGCATAAGAGAAGGGATCCTGCAGCATAGCATGGGAATCCATATACACTAGATTGAAGAAAACCGGACGAGCTGGAATTGAGACGAGACGCGGTCACTGCCGCGATAGCGATTAAGCCGGTTTGTAGAAAAAAGCCGATCATCGCTGCTAAAAAGATCTCGCCGCCTTTGTGCATCCGCGTTGGATCGAAATGGTCTGATGAGAGATTCAGTTGAATATTTGGTGGCATGAGAAATATCCGCTCGTCAACAGCATGTAAACGTTGATTGCTTCTCTTTGGCGGTGAAACAGCAGGTAAACGTGGGTTGCTGCTCTTTGGTGGTGAACCGAAGTCGACAGTATCATGCCGTCGCACGCTCTCCACGTCAGTCACTGTGGGAGTGCTGGCTCTTGAAACCCTATTGAATTTATCACACAGCCATTGTAAGCAAAATTGACCGAGCCGCCTTGTAGGTGGCCATAGGTCTTGAAAGAAGATAGAACCTTTACCACGATACTCTACAAGAAAAGCAATGTTAGTAATATCGAGGTTAAATAGGAAGTTCAAACGTACCATTACGATAAAGTAATTTAGACTTCTCAGCCTCTTCCAGAGAGTAGATACCGCACGTGTCTTTAGGCTTATCGACTGTCGAACCGTTCTTTAAATCTTGGTCAAACGGTTTGAAATCCTTTTCAAGATCATCGTACATTTTCGGGAAAATGAGAAATTGTGCAATCTTGGGGTCGCCCATAGCGCGAACGATAGAGCTCCCGTTAAACATCTCACAAACCTCACCGGATGTTGAAGACATTAACTCGATCTCTACCAGTGCCCGATTCTCCCTGGCTCGGCCGATGAAAGCTCTTGCTAACGGCATGCCTTGAACTCGGATGGCTCCGGTGATTGCGGTTATGATACCAAGCGGTACCATGGCGAAAATAAAGTGATCGACCCATGTGAGACTCTCACTTGTGAATTGTCTTGCAAATTGATCTCCAAATAAGGCAAGAATCCTGCATGATATATTAAGCTTGGTATACCCCCCGATCGTAATGCATTTACTTACGGAGCAATATCCGACAGCAGGTTGAAGGCAAACTCGGCATCGTCTGCCGCAGCGACATAAGTTGCGAAAAGGATAAGTAAGAAAAGGCGAAAGCCTAAAGCCATGATGATGTTGATCGATAGAATTGTAGAACTCAAATGTCAAGAGAATATTCTGAAAAATCTACGAGGTTGTAATTTGATGGTGTTAAGTTGTGACTCAAGATTACTCGGACACACTCGATTGGTATGTATAATCTGGACGTAATCCGATCCTCGTTTTGAAGAATTGTCTACCAGGCCCAATATGCGACCTGTTCCAATTTTGTTGACAATCATTAGGATTCGACGTAAATGATCCGCGATTTGGCATTCATTGATTGGTGTATTTAAGATCGGTGTGAAAAGGCAGCAGAAAAGTCCGTTTTGGGGCAAGTTAGCCCGGCTCCAACACTCCAGCTGTCCAATATTATGCAGCCAAGAGTAAATTAGAAAAGAAAATCTGATATAAAAGGTGATTGATGCGCGGAATACGACAGAGCCTGCTTTTCAGCTGACCAGGGTCGTGGCTGTTGGTTACACAAGCGGAACTTATCCCTCCTATCAGAAAAGAGATATAAGCATGTTGGTGACAAAGTGCAGAATTGATGACAGATTGAATGAGCTGGCTTAAGCCGATCACCCCGAAAACGCCGAGTTGGCCAATATGATAATGTGCAGTTGACCTACATTTCACTTCGATTGCCGATGGATTCTTTTAAGCATCTATCTTGTTTCTTTCACAGAATAGTCACAGTTAAAAGACAAGGCATTTTACCTTAGAACAATGTCGACGAGCTGTCAAGGAAATAGTTGGCATAAGGGCATACTAAAACTGAAGAGGCAAACTCGTGTAGATAACCTTTAAATCCACACATATTACTTGTGCGCCGCGATCAGTTCCCCGATACGTAGATCTCACATTTCCTAACAAACGAACATACCAAGAGAAACTAACAGTCAGTTATCACCCTTGGAACCATACATCAACTCAAAGTAGCTCTCGATGATGCATACAGAGACAAGAGCGGTTGTGTAAGCCAATGTCTTGCCAGAAGCTCGACCATTTTTGGGGTCGTGCGTGATCTCTTCGTCACCCGTGGTGCCAGCCTGCACGTCGGGCATCTCCTCAGGCAGAGGATAGAACGGTTTGCCTTTGGGGAAATCCCCTGGGTTTGGCTTTGAGTCGTCGTTGGGGTCATATGTAGCATCGCCCTTCCTTGGTTTGTGACTCAGTAGATTCATGGCCTTGGCGTACGCGGCGTACTTAGGGTCGTGACTATTTAGTCCCTCCAGCATGATGTAGACTGCGCGGATCACGCTTTCAAGAGCACCCACAATCCAAGCGTGGTGAGACGAGGCTGCTTCCCCAACCATGTACAGCTGGCCAAAGGCATTGGGTTTAATAATCTCCTGCCACATGTTTGAATATTGACCAGGGCCAAAGTAGGCAAAGGCCCCAGACATATTCTGGTCTTTGTACCAGTCATAAGCATGATGCGTGTCGTAGCCATCCTGGAGTTTTTTCAAAAGTTCGTTATATCCGATTGTATCGTTGGCGTGCATCAGGGCAAGATCATGTAGCAAAACCTTGATGAGTTGTTCCTCGTTATCGGGCGACTCGTTAGAAATGAGCGTTCCGATACGTTGGGCATCCTGCCCCCATGTGTATGACACCAAGAGTACAGCTGGCTTTTCGCTGTCCCACTTGCTTCCCTCGAGACTCTCAATATTATACGAAGGGTAGACGCATACTCGGAGAGGTAGGTCGGTATGAGCGACACCACCTTTAGTGATATAGAAAGGCTCTTGTTGCCACCATGCGGTCTTGAATTTGATAGCGACCTTGCATGAGGCACCGTAGCCAAGGGACCGAATAGCTTGTTTTGTGCCCCATGAAAGTCCAGCATCTTTGAGGTTCATGCGTTGGAGGGCTCCCAGAGTGGTGCTGTTGAAGACGGCGAAATAATTCTTCTTCTCGTTCTTCTCTGTCTTGTTGGATTCTGGATTGACATGATCAACAGAAAGCGTAATAGGGACATATTGGTCTGGTTGCTTGCGGGCTGGGTTCTTGGGGTGAGCGTTGATAGCCTCGACCCGACGGTTGAACTGGACAGGCTGCTTGATCTTATCTTGCATGAGTCTGGCCACTCTTTGGGCACCTCCATCAATGCACCACCAGTACTGAACTTTCTTACCCGACTTCTTCTCAGCCTCGGTCTGTTCAGGGGTTCCAAAGTCCAGCTCCTCGAGGACACACTCGCTGAGTGCTTGATCGTACCACCCTGTGCCGCTTGACAATGTCAGTCAAATACAAATGTTCGAGTCTAGAGGGTATCTTACTAGGTGGCAGTCTCCAACCACTCAATGGTGTTGTAGTTGAACCTGCGCTTGTCCTTGTTTTGTGGGTTGGCATCCCTAAACGCAATATGGTGAGTTATACCCCTCATGTGAAGATTGGAAGGGGGCAACCTACGACATGAGGAACTGGCGAGTACTCTGATGGTCCGCATCCATCAAATGTTTCTAAAACTTCTCTTTCTCCGTCCTTACGTCTGGATCCTCATTAATAGCGGCCTTCGCCTTCTTCTTGGTAAGTGCAATGAAATCACCAAGTGCATCCTGGACAAGCTTGGACGGATCTGTCTTGAGGAATCTGAGGACCGATTAGAAATTGTTATCACTAGTTGGGAGGGTATGAAATACTTACATGGGGTCAATCTTGCCGTTGTCAGGCAGACCACTGTTGATCTGGAATGGATCGTCGACGCCTGGCTTCTTCCATGGGTCGCCAATATGACGAACGTCATTGAAGTAGGAGGGGCAGACGTCTTGTTCGTCTTCGAGATAGTAAGGGATTAATCCACCTGGGCCCTTTTCAAGGCCAATAAAGTGGAAAAGCTGAAAGGTTCTAAGTCGCAATCAATTTTAGTCAGCCGGGTATTTCTAATATGATGAACTCTCTTACCTCTTCATGATGTCGTTGTTAGGGAAACGCATAGCCCCTACATCATAGTAGTCATGCGTTTTGGCGGGGTCACCCTCCGAAAGCTGGTGGGTGTAAAGCCGACCACCCAACCTTTCCTCTTTCCCAGCCTCCAGAATATCATACTTGATTTCCAACTCCCCTTTCAGGTCAGGATGCTCATTTAGCCAGTCAAAAACCATGGCAGTAAACAGACCGGCGACACCAGCGCCAACAATGCCAATTTCGAGCTTGCCCCGGGTCTTGGGTACGAAGCCAAGACCTGTGATCTTCTCAGTTTTCTGCAGTGTCTTAGCGATGCTATCACTATCTCCGATTGTACCCTTGATATCCTTCAAATCTTCAGGGTAGTCCTCTCTGGCTTTGTTGATGAGCTCCTTGACTGCTTTGAAGTCATACGCCAAAGTGCTTCGCTGAACCTCACGTGCCCAAAAGTACTTGTATGAAGAAGTCTTGAGGTGCTCTCCCTCCTCAACCTGTTGAGGAATGGAGGACATGTTGCGGGTTAGGATGCACAAGTGGTTTGAACAACGAGGACAGAGTTTAAATGAGATGTAAGACTAAGAGCTGATGGTTGTTGGTGACTTGTTGTTTCGGTGAGCTTGACAAGAGAATGCATTGGTCTTTTGAATGATTTCTTATCATTGGGAGATTGGTTGTCCCGGAGTTCTTCAACAAGATCCTCGCCGCCACGCGGAAAGTCAAGGTGTCAGCCTAAGTTGCGCATCGTAAGCTTTTCTCAGAAATCAGGAAAGATCACTATATTAGCTAACTAAAATCACATACCAATGATTGTCACCTGTCATCTGGTAGCACCTCATGACCTATAACATCTAGTCTCATCCTGAGGGAGGAGCAAGGTTTGACTAAGCGCGAGTTTCTACAATGACACGAATCACATACCAACGAGTCTCAGGAGTTACTGAGATGGTATTGTTCGCTGCCTATCAAGAAAGAGACCATGGGATCGAGACTTGGCTTCATTGTCTCGCTGGTCTCAACTGATAATTCGGACGAGTCTGTGGAGCGAGTGTCTGATCTACTGGGGAGAACACCACAACTACTTCTCAATACATGTGGTGAGCTTGGGAGAAGCTCTGTAGTGTTCTCTCCTCCGGAAGAATCAATGTCGTCAGAGGATGAAAGTGCCTCTAATATCATGGATATGGACGACAACGACGACTTATTGAGTCGAGAAGATGGAAATCCAGAGTTTGAAGAGAAGCCCCTGATCTTACTTCGATATTTCCCCATTCTCCAAGATTTGTTAGACGAGGCGAAACAATCTTGCAAATGTCTCACCTGTGCCAAAGACTTAGCAGCCTTCTACTGGGACGAACACTGCCTCAGGTTTACTGCTTTTATGGAGGTCATGTTGTATTTCAGTCACGGGATAGCAGATGCGTTTGGTGTACCGGATATCTCCGGCCGCGGCGCCACCACTTCTGGCGACTCCGGGGCAATGGCCATTCTTCTTGATGCTATTGACACTTGTCGCTTTGACCCTAGTAATCTTGAAGGAAAGATAGAGTGGCATATTCTCTTGTGTACAGTTTGCCAGAACTTCCTTGGCTGTCCACCTCTAGATACGTTGACCGACGCAACCTTCAATGACGGTCCTGTTGACACTCCTCTCCCTTTCATCCAACACTTGGGGGCGACCATAATCGCTGTGCAGCATGGTGATCTCGCTGTTGTTGCACCATGGATTGATTTTGCGCAGAAGCTCGACTATCGCAGATGCTTTCGACTGGAAGTTGTTCAAGGCCACATTGGTATCCCCATTCAAGAATCAGGAAAGGTACACTTCCAAGCAGTTGCACGGGATACTGCGGTTATCGAAACACAGCATACCGAGGATGTCAGTGACTATGTAAGTATGTTCGAGATGCCTCTACATGACAGTGGATCAGAGATTCAGATTTCAACAGACAAATGCAACGAGCGCCATGATTTTATGCTTGTGTCAGTTGCGGCTACAAGATACAAGCTATTAATGAGAGTGACCTCAGAATCACACTCACGCATGGTTGATCCAAGTCGCCCGATCATTAAAATGGCTCGAGGCATATACAACCGAAAATGTAACCACTCTTCCGATAAGGTCGGAGTGGTGCCTGACGGTCATTCTGTGGAGCTTTACAGGTTCGACGACATCCTTGGCAGATGGGGTGCGAAAATACCAAAGGTTGATGAGGAAGCTACATTATCAGAGAGCACGAGAACCACTAGGTCCAAAGCTAAAGGGAAGGTTCTCAGTAACAGGGCGAAGGTCATATGCGTCTCGCATATACTGGAATCAGACTTCAAACTTAACACAGCTCTCGCGCTTGATGCCGACAATCCCACATTGCTCTGCACTGGTAACATTTGTCTGACCTGTGCACTAAAGGAAATGACAGACCTGTCACTTGGTGACTGGGAGAAGTCCTATAGGAGGAGAATTATTAACTATCAGCCATCGAAATCACTTATCCATAAGAACAGATGCTAGAAGATATTAGAAGATATAATAGACACTATATACTTCCAGTAGTACTATTTATTATCTATATAAAGGCTTCAAGAACCCAAAAGCTTCATACAGGTTAGTAATTAATTTTACCTTCTGTAAATTAGGGTATTTTTCTTTTGGCTTTAACCTTCAACTTTATCAAGCCCAGGCTTTCCAAATCTCTCAATGATATCAACAATAATAAAGTAGGGTACATTGAATTAATTTATAACAATTGATTTCAGTCTGTAGGACTTGAATACATATTAAGCTGGAAAATGAGTATATAAGCTATGAGGGTTAGGATACTTTCAACATTTCAGCTAGACTTAAACTAAGAAGAGCTTTATTTTCACTATCTTTATATTGTCTCAAATCATTGAAACAAACTTTAGCTGAGCTCTACTAGCCAGTCTTCTTCTTCTTAATTGCCTCGTTGTAATGGTTGGCTGCCTCCTTGATACCGTTAAAAAAGGCCTTGTAGTTTGTCTTCATCGTACCATTCAATTCGTCCACCATCTTCTTTGTCTGTTCCACCACATTAACGATGTCGAGGATTTGCAGAACGACATCAGCGACGGATGTAACCACTGCAATCACAGCAAAGAATTTGCCCCAGCAATCCATCATCTTGAACACACTTGTTTTCGCCTCTGCACCCACAAATTCTGCTATCGCATTGTGCTCAGCTAGCCTCTTGGTGGCGACTTTCATCCTGTTGTTCACGATGAAGATGGAGCCCAAGCGGACCATGGTGAGCTCCGTGCTGTGGTTAAACGTGAAGCCTTTGATAGAATCGACGAATTTCTGAAGGTCGTCGTCTGACTTTACACTCATGTTCAAGTCATCTAGGGCATCGTAGACGGCCTTGATTTCCTCACTATCGAAGAGCCTTCGTGCCGAGTTTGCATACTGCTTAAAAGTGGCGACATCAAGCTTGCCACCGGCCACCTCGATCTGTGCCATGAACTGCAAGAGGATAGCGCGACATGTCTGTCCATCCATGCCTTTGGCCTGTTTGGCTGCCACGATAGTGTTGTTGGCCTTATAAGCGCTGATATACTGATTGACTTTAGGATCAATGAGCTTCGCAATGTCGGTGTCCACGGTCTTCAACTTCTCATTGAGGTCCTTTGACTTGCTAGAAATCACTCCTTTCAGGATCATAGCTGTGGTCTCAAGGACAGCAAATGCAGCCATGCCAATGCCGAAAGACCAGATAGCACCCACAGCGGCGGCATCTGCACTGATCTGGAGCGCATCCGCGGCAATAGTCTTGTCGCGCACCTCGGTGGCGATGCCTACCAGGGTATTAAACTCTGTGTCGACAGCTGCGTCAGAATTGAAATCTCCGAGTGACACGAAGAGGTTGTGCTCATCGATCAATGTCTGGACATGTTCGTCGGATTCTCCAGTCCATCCAGACATGTAGTTCAAAAAAGTAAACAAATCAGTACTCATATTGATGGTTTGAAATCAGAATAATAGTCTTCAGTAGGTGTGAAAGAATGTGTAAGATTGCTGAGGATAGTAAGTTCTTGTTGACGCTTACCTGGCCTCCTCATATATTCCGTGGAATTAGGCAGTGTAGGCACCAAATGTGATTAAATGACTGCTTCGTGACATGAAGTACCTTGATTGCGGTGAGATATCGCACGCTGCGAGACAATTTTGTACGGATTGAGATAATGGTCCGAGCCGCATGGTAGCTGAAGTAATTCGGCTGGTCTGGGCCACCAACGCTATCGTAAACGATACAATATATTCCAGTAGTATCCTGACCTGGGATGCATATTGGATGACTTGTGGGGGCAATTATGGGGAAGGGAACAAGGGAAGATTGAAAGTGTTAATGAACTGAATTGTAGGAAATAAAAAGAGACAAGGGAAAACATAACTGATACTAAACACACAGTCCACAATTTAGGACTAATACACTTATCAAAGGATGCTACACTAGTAGTTTGAGGCCATAGAGTCTCGGTATTTCAGTCTCTATCTGCCTATCCGCCCGTCACTTCGCTTTTTAGGACTAACACCGCTGTGGGGCTGGAACCATCTTTTACCCTTCCAAGTGCATTTCAGCTCAGCCACTATCAATAATTTGAGCGGTTAACGCCAAGATGTGATGAGCGTAGCTCTGGTGCACCTGCTTCTGCACTGTCACAAATCTAGACTTTAGAGAACAAACACGTTTGCGACTTCATTGGTGAAGAGCAATAAAGTCAACATGCGGCTATTCATCTGATCTTGGCAGTCACTTCAGCTGCCATTGTCTGTTCTTTCCATTCGATTAAGTACGGCCTTTGTCTCAGCCTCAGCGCCAATCAAGACTGATAACTGGGGGTCCTCTAGAACATGGGCAAAAGGCGTAGCTGACCCAAGCTGGGTTTAGGAGTACTGTCCAGATGCGTCCTAGATGTTATCACAGCTATCACAGTTTATTTCTGCCAGGGGAACTCCCTGCTAGTTCATGACCTGCCAAATTCCCATTGACGTGTCAAGATAGTTCCCAGCTGTGTGTTACCAAATGCGATCTAGCTTGGATATATTTATACGGTCTTGCCGTTACACACTCTATCTGCAATACTTATCTCTAATGGTTTCTAATTATGGCATATAGACGGGAAGAGTTAAACGATTGGACCTTAGGAATTTCAATAATGCTCGGTCGTGTATCTTCTCATACTAGGGCTTCTAGTATTAGCTAAAAGTTTATAATTATTAGCTGATAACTTGAGAGACATCCCTTTCTGGTTTTATTATAGATGGAGTTTATAATACTAATAGACTGGATAGCAAGTTTATAAAGTTTTAATAGTGACCCAATTAACTTTGCTATAAACTAGCAATCTTTATTTCGAGACAAGCTTAGCGATATATGTAGTTTCGTTCGTGTTAGCAGTGCTTGTCGTCTGCTTGTCTATGTCGCTAGTGATATTGCTGTTGTTATCAATTCGGCTCTTTACTGGTATTATCGACAGCGGTAGATAAATGGGTGGCGTTTGTTTAACTGATAGTGTTATTAATATCCCCAGCTGGAGGGCTCAAACTCAATGAATCGCAACACAGCTCTTAGTATGTTAGACAGCTATGTAATTAACTTGGATATTTCCAACCAATAAATAAGGCTATAAATTAACCCGATTTCAATATTGAAGTCTTTAATTTCAATTCACTTGTTTTGGAGGGATTTGATTTCATGGCAGCACTGCGCGTAGGTGGTAGATATGTTATCTCAATTGCCTATGTACAGTGTGAACTCTCTTAATACTATGTACTTGAACTAATCTCTTGATCAATTTGACGGGGAACATGAACAACTTTGAGTGGTTTAAATGCTTTTGAAGACCGAGAGACTAGACATAGCCTTGCCTGGCCATGAAAACAGGGTGTTGGAAGGACAAGATGAACCAAGGGACTGGTTGTTCATCCAAGCAGGCTCCCAGTAGTAAAGTCCAGCTCCACCCTTGACTTTGCTAACAATGCTAGCCACCTTCTTAATGAACTGTGCCTGTCCATCAGCAGAGAAGGGAATGTTGCGCATATCGCTGGGGAAAGGCTGCGCAGGAGAAGGGCAAGAGGTTGGCCAGTTCAGCTCGCTGACAAAGATCTGCTTGCCCCATTTGTTGGCCATGTTGGTGAGCGATGTTTCAAGCGCAGAGAAGGTAGCTCCTGATCCGTAGAAGGGATAGAATGACACGCCCATGGCATCGAAGGCACCCAGAGTAAGACCCTTCTGGCCGAGAACCTGAGTGTAGAAGTACTCCTGGACACCCCAGTCCCAGCCCTTGTCAAGATGGATCATGATCTTGGGCTTGGGGCTGAGAGAAGAGTCCCTGATACCGTAGGCAGCCGAGTTGAGAAGTCGGCCAACATTGTAGAAAGACTTGGTCGATCCGGTGGGGAACAGAAGACCAGCAGTGATCTCGTTGCCGATGGAGATGACGGCGGGAGGCACACCGGCGGATTGGAAAGCGTTAGAAACCTGCTGAGTGTAGTTGTAGAGCTTCCATGCCAGATCATCGACAGCGGTAGGCCAGCCGGAGGGAATCTTCTGGTTGGCGGGATCAGCCCAGGTGTCACTAAAGTGAAGCGTCAAGTAAACGCTGAGGCCGGCAGCCTTGGCACGCTTGGCAAGCTTGAGGTTGTAATCGAGGTTGTAGTCGCCGTTCGCAGGGTTGACCCAGACGCGCTGACGGACTGAGTTAACACCATTTGCAGTGAGAATCTTTTCCAAAGGCTGGGCCGAGCCACCGTTGGTGTACTGAATACCCTTCTTCTCCTCAAGGGCGACAGAGGACCAGTCGACGCCTTTGTAGGTCAAGGCCAGGGCAACCGAGCAGTACGAGAGGAAAGCGAGAAAGCGAAAGAGCACCATCTTGTCGATCGTTAGATATTTCGAGATGAGTGTCACACGATTCAAGCAATGTGTTCGCGGGATGGCGATTTATTAAGTAGTTACTAAACCCCACCTATTTCTTCGGACGACTATACTAGAGCGCCGAGTTATGTGTGATCGCGACAGGGATCGTCAATTTCCCTCCAATCACGAAAACTCCTTCGTCTTGATTTACCGTGTTTCACCTATTATTCCGGCATGATTTAGTGACCCTTAATCATGGATGAAACCTCGTGTCTACAATAGGGAGCTAAACTCGGATGATCATTCAGCTCCGTGGATTAATAGCCCTAATCAGGCTAGTATCGGCATGTTATTCAGCCGCCCGAATGAGATCATAGGGGAAGGGAGGTAGTTCTTGGAAGCATTTATTAACTGGCTCTTCCTGAATAAAAACTTGCCGGCTCTCCCGGGCAAGCCTCAATCTCGTGCCATCCATCAGGAGCCCTACCCGTATCTATTTCCTGGTCATCAACACCCGCCGATTGTGACTGTCGCACCCTATCTTTGGTAGCGGAAACCATTCTCTCCTTCCACTCTGGCGTCAATTCGCTTCTGTAATAATCATGCAGTTGAACTAGAAGCTGGAACTTCAGGGGGCAGTACCGTCTGGTGCCGTTCGAAAGGGGACGTTGTTTGAAGTCTTCTAACAAGCCATCAAAGTCGGCAGAAAACTGTCCTAGTCCTAGTCCCGTCCTCGGGATATTGATCCAGTTGAATAAGTCTTCGGCGGAAATCGTCACGTTCCTCATGATGCAAGTTGACAGACCGCTGACATATTCTCTGCAATGGCTTCGGGTCGCGACTTCCATGAGCTGTACGTCATGAATCCCTTCGAGGGCGATGCCATAGTGCGTGTAGAGTGCTTTCGAGTCATTCCGAACGTCAAAGAAGGCCTTCCTAACGTTCGAGTTCTCCAAAATGTCTTTCAGAGTACAATTATGCTCGGCAGGTGTTAGAAAGCATCTCTCTCCGAGTGTCGAGACATCCATCAGGTAGGCGACATGCTCAACTGCATCGTAAATCTGCATGATGGAGATCGTCCCATGGTCAGAATTGCTCGCCCCTTGGATATCTATAAAGATAGCAGGGTAGTCTCGCCGATAACCGTCCAGAGTGTCGACGAGTTCTGAGATGGCGGTCTCAGTGTCGACCTGAACGACTATCGGCATGTCACTTAGTACGACAGGTCCGAGGCATTCGATGGTCTGCTCATTACTTGACGACATTATGTGCAAGTAATTTGGTGTCTGTCCTGATTCGGAGATAAGTAGACGTGATGGTACTAGAGATACACAAGCGGACTCACTATACCAAGACGTTTCGGTACTCAATGCGTAGGTGAGGAGTAAAAGATTGGGTTTCCAGGAGGACCTGGGAAGGCTTTTGTAATCGGAGGAAAGCCACGGCTTTTATTAGCATTGGTGTATGAAATGAGTAGGTAGATATTGAGGGAGTTAAAATAGCGTTTTGATATTACTTCAGAAATATGTGCAGCAGCGAATCCAAACGATTTCTCGATTGGCTAGAAGCCTTCGCCATAATCTTCGTGAAAGGTTAACAGTTATCTAACCTTTTTTCTTTGCATTAGAGTTGAACCACTTGTTGAGGAGATGACCATAGAACAAGTACGCTGAAATCGTTACAGATGATGCTGTCGCGCGATAGCAGTTTGCCATGAGAGGGAAAGTAAATTGAATTTACGAGCCGAGTTGAATTACTCGCTTGTTGTTATATGATACGTGATAAGTTCTTGGTCACTGTGAGTCTCCGAGACTGGACTGTAGATATTAGAATTTGTAATCCTGTGAAATGCTGCCTCCCGATTCCATAGAGTTTATTCACTCAGATTAAACTCCAGTTATGTCCATTACATACCCAATAAGCATCTGTACCTGAGACATTCAACCCCACGCATTGGATGAAAACTAGGATCGGGCAGGTTTGCGACCAAGTCGAGCTTTCCCCCCCGGTCCGGAGTGCTTGTTGGTGCAAAGCCTAAGTATCTCCCTGTCGTCACGATGCCCTCACCCTAACCGAGGAGGCAGCTTTGGCCATCGGCCACAAAACATTAGACTCTATAGAAAATGAATGATGTAGACGCCGAGGAAATCTTGTTGGGAACAGTTTACACATTACTCACTGCATGTCTTCACTTTTAGTGAAACACAGGGCACTGACAATGTCACACGCACAACGCGATATCATTCACTTTTGAGATTCCTGGTTCCGCCGGGTACACATACTTGAGCAATCAGATTCTCCAGTCTTGCGAAAGGACGTGGAGATTTCTTCAGCTTTGCTGTACAGAGTAGCCAAGCTTAAAAATCGTCCACGCCGAACGCATGCTGGCCTTGACTCAAACTCATCAACTCGCAACGGGCATTTTTAACCGATGATATTATACCAGTTGTAGTGGTGGTTTTTCTTATTCTTCACGATGAAGGTATTTCGGATCGCTTTACTGCCTGAGTGTTGTCAGATGTCGGCGTCAAGAAATAGTCCCCACAACATTGAAACAGGGAAGTGGTCCGATTAGCTGCCACTACGATGGGTCAACTTTGCACAAGGTTCATTTTTATAACAGCAAGATCACTTCTTTTGAAGAGCAAAAGTGATGTCAGTTTCACCTACAGCTCTCTAGATTCCTGCAAGTCTAGAATATCACGACAGCACGATTCTTATCGATATTTCCATGGACTACCGCTTTAAATCAAGCCACATGGTCTGGCTTTAACAAGATCACTGCCAATTACGTTCGAAACATACTAGTCGAGGTATCTGATTGGTGGAACAGATGCTCTGTGGATGCAATTAGGCGGAATTGGCTCTCCGCGTCCCAAATGGGAAAGGCGGATGTTTCACCGATTCTTCTGGCTATGCTTAATCCCCACACTAACACCCCACGATCGGGTATTGTCTCTGGATAAAGTCGTCACTTTTATCCTTCTGGATAATAAAAATTCCGCTTTTGGTAAAATACCAGGGCTCACTTCCCTCTAAGGAGCGGGGATCTGACTAAAATATCCCTCGGCATTGCCGCTAAGTGCCGAGTTCGTATCTTGGACCTGGCCATTGTAGATCGAAGCCTGGTGAGGCTATAGTAAAGTGAGGTTATGGTAGTAGAATAAACCATGATAGACCCGGTTTGCCGGTAAAATCGGTTGCGGAGGCTATGGGTCCGTTTAATCTATTGAAGCCAGCAATACTACCAATGCCTCCACTCTGTCAAAGCGAGAATATTCTATAAGAGCCAAGCCTTAGCCCATCATATTCACGTCTACCTCTCAGTCTATCACCACATCGTCTCATCGTCACAATGAAGTTAACAGCCATTGTCAGCTTTTGGGTTCTGGCCCTCTTCAGCTCTGTCCTCGGAGCCGAGGTCGTTCCTAGGTCCACCCTCAAAGAGGTCACCAGTTATGGCAGCAACCCAACAGGCACCCGCATGTTCCTGTACGTGCCTAAGAACCTAAAGTCCAACCCTGCTGTGGTTGTCGGTCTTCATTACTGCACCGGAACTGCCCAGGCCTACTTCCAGAGCAACCAGTGGGCTTCCAACGCCGAGAAGTACGGCTTCATCGTCATCTACCCCCAGACACCTTACACCCCCGGTAACTGCTGGGATGTTTCGTCCAAGATGACCCTGACCCACGAAGGTGGTGGATGCAGCAACTCGGTTGCCAACATGGTCAAGTTTGTTCTCAAGGAGTACAGTGGTGACTCTAAGAGGGTATTTGTCACTGGTGACTCCTCCGGTGCCATGATGACTGTAAGTGAAAATACAAGACACTCTGATGGTATCAAACTGACAAAGGTACAGAACGTCATGGCCGCCACCTACCCCGACGTCTTTGCAGCCGGAATTGCCTACGCAGGTGTCCCCGCCGGCTGCTTCATGAGCGCCGCCAACCAGCCCGCCGCCTGGAACTCAACCTGCTCTCAAGGACAGTCCATCTGGACCCAGAACCAGTGGGCCAACGTTGTCAGGAACATGTACCCCGGCTACAACGGACCTCGACCCAAGATGCAGATCTACCACGGAACCGCCGATCCTACCCTTAACGTCCAGAACTACTACGAGACCATCAAGCAGTGGACTGGAATCTTTGGTTACTCCACTACTCCCCAGTCTACCACCCAGAACTTCCCCCGAAACCCCTACAAGCGAGAGATCTTTGGAGATAAGCTCCAGGTAAGATTGACAAGTACGACGTTGCTGAACCTGGCTAATAATTGATACAGACTTTCTTGGGTACCGGTGTTACACATGCAGTTGACCACTTCCCCGATGAGGACCTGAAGTTCTTTGGTCTTGCTGTAAGTCACTCCACTAGACAATAACCTTATTCACTAATGCTGACTCACTAAACAGTAAATCAAGTAAAACCAACCTCAAAAACAGCTCAGAGATAGATACATCAGAGGCCACTTCCATTCTACTGAATATTAGTTATTTTACCTGTAAATATGAAATGACTAACCATTGAATACACCATTCTAATATACCCCGCTGCTCAATATGTGAGAGGATAAATCGGGAATTCAGTTCAAAAAGTCTTAGAGTAAGCTTATGTATAGACCCGGTAGGATCACAGTCCCGTGACATAAGCATCCTTCTGTAACATAAATACAGGTCAAAGTATTCCCCCAAATTCGAAATTACCTACCTGATCACAAAATCAATGAAAATGGTCCTGCCAAAGCCAGTAATCATCTTTGTCCCAGGTGCCTTTGTTGGACCTGGACCATACGCAGCAGTCGCGGAGTATCTTCGCGCAGATGGCTATACTGTCGAGGTCGTCCATCTAACTAGCGCCGCTGACCTGAGCGCCGAGACTGTGTCATCACCCAAGTGGAAAGATCTTGCAGAAAAAACAGCCGAGTCCGACGTCGAAATCATTCATGATGTAGTCGAGCCTCATTTTGAGCAGGCCAGGCAAGTCGTTTTGATTGGCCACAGCTATGGCAGTATACCTGCAATGCTGAGCATTGAGGGCAACACAGTCCAGGAACGGGAGGCCAAGGGTCTGCAGGGTGGTGTCGTGGCGTATATCAATATCGCTGGATTTGCGTTTGGAGCACGGGGAAAGAATGTCATGGGCACAGATGAAGACCCGTCCCCAATGCCCTATCACAAATTCGAGGTATGCATAACAGGTCTACCCAGGTTCTATTTGTGAACTATACTGATGGAAGTAGGATGGCATCGTGACTCTACAAGACACAGCCAAGCCCCTCTTCTTCGGCGACATGTCTCGTGAGAAACAGGACGAGGTCTGGCCAACCTTTCCCAAGCAACAGAGCTGGGGATGCTTTTATTCTCGGCCTTCGTTTATCGATGCCGATGTTAAGATTCCCAGGGCTTATTTCAGGACTGAGAAGGATGAGTGTGTAGTTCCACAGTGGCAGGACGGGTTAATTGCGGCTGGACAGTATGAGGTGGTGGTTCCCTTGGCGACAGGACATTGCCCTATGGTGTCTCAGCCAGAGGAGACGGCGCGAGCTATTGTTAAGTTTGTCACCGATGCTCTCGCCGAGTCCAAGTTGGAGTAAAGATGCCCTCAGTAACGCTTTATACCATTGTGCACAAAGCCGATATTACCGTATGCTCTTTCCTGAAAATCTCGTCAGTAATCTATCTAAGGTTACTAAAATGATGCTTTCCGTTCTTATAGGGACTTGCGAAGAATGTTAAATCTTGAGTCAATTTTTCATGTCCTCGTATTTGTTGTTGTTAAACCCATTGATCAGCGCCTGCTTGATCAAGAGGCCCCAAAGGCTGTGGCCCAAGAAAAATAGGGGCCTTTGCAAATATGTCCTTTGCTTAATTCTAATCGCTTCTAGAAACGCATTCGCCTTATCAAGAAAGATGGTTCTATCCTTTCCATAGACAATTGTCGAGTTATACTCGTAGAGAGAAATGCAAGTATCGGGCAGCTCTTGTGGAGGGTCGTCGCGGAGCCAAAGTTTTGCCTATGGGGCTCTTGGGAGATCGCCGAGTGTCCCAATCGTGCGCTGCGTTCGCTTTACTTCGTGGATTCAGGCCATGAACGGCGATAGCACTGTTATTTGATGTTGTGGTCAAACAACAGATTGTCGAAACCTTGACGTATTCCATGTTCGGGCAATCTTCCGCTCCTACTTCGGGGTAAAACTGTTTTAAAGGCTGTGAATTTGCGTCAGCATTTGCATCATGACCGAAAGGCGATGTGGTATAGGGGGCGAACACCACTCACTATTACCGGGAATCTTAGAGGCGAAAATTCAAGAGCCCTTACAAGTTTCGGGAGTGCCCCGAATGGATAGAAAGAAGCGATGATGGCAGAAGTGCAACTGAGGGGAAGAATGTCTAAGATTTCTCTTTTCTTTTTTGTTTGGTAGCCTAATTCGGTACGTATCTGCTCACAGCCCCATGAGCCGAGACATTGTCTGACACCACTCGATAGAAACTGCTTGCAAACAGACTGCCCTTCCTGAAGACATTCTGGCCATGGCTATTTGCTGGCGCTCACTCGGGCAATCAAGTCAATGACTATTATATTAATAGGAATACGTGTTAGAGAGTTCGCTCAAAGCGTAAAGTAGCGACGACAATAAGGGAGCGAATTTGGCACCTGATTCTGTCGATTAAATGGCTTGCGAGTAGGACTTATGCATAGTAACGTTCCAGTTGATGTGTTGGCGCTCTATGATTGATAGCCTGGTTTACGAATCTGCCTTACCCACATGTGCTAAGCCACTCGTGTCCGATTTTGAGAGTAAGATCAGGCTCCGAGAAGTAATACATAAGCCAGCTGCTACCCCACTTAATCTATCTCCTCTTTGTTCCTTTTGCACCTTTACAAACCTCTATTCTGTAGACATGGCCGACCCATTATCAATCGCTAGCGGCGTCGCTGGTCTTATTTCCCTTGGCCTTACTCTTTGCAATGGCCTGCAGACCTATTTCAGCGCAATTAAAGATAGAGACAAGGATGTCGAAATCGCCACACGGGATTTAAACCTCCTACGGTTTAATATCAAGATTATCGAATCGAGTGCATCAAAAGTCGGCAATTATTATGGTCTAGCCGGCGATGGAGTCAATATGGGTGTAAAAAACTGCGAGTCTCAACTCAAGACTCTTGAAATATTAATTCGAGAGCTTACCAGTGACGAGGGCGTATTGGGTGCTCAACAAAAATGGCGAAAGCAAAAGATGCTTATTAGATATCCTTTCGACCAGAAGAAACTAGCCCAGCTGCAAGATCAACTTTCGAAAGCAAACCATACCCTAAGTACCTTCATTCAGACTTTCAACCTGTACTTGATACACGATAAAGCCATATAGTCCATGAAGCTGACTACAGATAGTGAGGTCAACATTGGCATGCACAACAGCTTGCAAATCATGGATAAAGACATGAGAACAAACGACACTGCTATGATTGACTTATTGAGTAGCATTTCAACCAAACTCAATGTTATCGGCCCTACAGTCCAGCGTACTGAGATGGAAATCGCCACCTTGCCCATCCGGGTCCGTGACCAAGCAATGGCCACGAACAACAGTCGCCCCGTTCTGAACGAGGCCGTTTTAAACGACCTTAAGACACAGCCTATCTTCATTAGTGATCAGCATCAGTGTAATTCCTTGTCCGAAGGTGATCTCCAGCCTCGTTATTTACGCAATTCCAATGCGGAACACAGGCTTTGCAGCAACTTAACGATCACAGAGTGCACGTGCATGGGACCGACAAGAAGACCTGTTTCTCGTCGTACGAGCCGAATCTATCAGTTCTGGGGAGGTTTAGCCATCTCAAGACAGGGAGGCCTGCAAAGCAATCATCGACCTGGCTGCGTCTTTTTTAACAGCTCTCCAAGAACATCTTGGAAAACCTCGCTAACTTATTCCGGACTTCGATCTGTCTTCTCTAAATCTCTCACCATATCACTCACACAAGACTATCCAGCAGGGATTTATAGTCTTTCGTTTGGCTTACAACCCTGCAATATTGTTAAGAGTAGCGCAGCTTTTCTTCTTTTTGATTATTCAAATCGAAAAATGATTAACGAACATCTTGAGAGACTTGGTCCTATACAAACAACTAATAGATTCATCCAAGACTTGAAAATTATTTACAGCTCTGGGAACGCGTCGCCATTTGATGTGGATCAGTATGGCAATAATATTGCCCACATATGCTTGAAGGTGTGTAATCTATCCTATCGTTCGTCTTCTCCACCGGCGAACTTGAGCTAAAGTGCTAAAAAGAGGTATATTACTTGCTTCTCTTATGTTAAGGGCTTCCAGTCATCTGAGAAGGCAATCGAGGCTATGTCTATGCTTCTGTCGTACTTTTTTGAGATTGGCGTTCCTGTGACAAGCTCTAATTTCTACGGATCGTAAGGGATAAGTATATTTGAGTTTGATCTTAAGACTAATGCGTGTCAGTACAATTTTGAATCTCGCCGCAGAACGGTATACGAATTTGTGGATGCTGCCCAAGCTCTATGAATTAGCAACAGCTCGTGATCCAGCCTTTTGTTCCAGCGAGTTTGCCCATAGACGGACAGCCTTTTCCTCTTGGGCTTCGTTTGTAGAGAACGAGTACCACAGATTTAATGTATGGTGCGAGTATCCTGAGATATCAGAAGGTAAGCCGACTTTGCGATTTAACTCCCGAAAAGTGTAAGATTGACTAGACGACGCAGCCGTTGGGTTTCAGCCTATCTTCTTGGCTGTCATGCAAAAAGACCTATTGAAGCTTGAGGATCTCCTGAAGGACAGCAATTCTCTCGAGAGTATTTTACCCAAAGACCTTTATAACCGTAACATATTGCACGTCAGTTGCGACTGGGCAGCCGGATTGCGTCTACTCCTCGAGTATGAAGCTGTGTATCCATTGCTAAACGCTACTTCAGCCTTTGGTTTAAGTCCTCTAGACCATGCTCTTCTGTATAGCAAGATGTACTGCAACGCCCCGGATCAATGGGCACTCTGCTATAACTGCAGTTGTTTTGCCACTGTCAAGCTGCTCCTCGAAGCAGATTGCAGCGTAACAGTTGGTTGGGGGCGGCCTCAAACCTTGAAGGGTTGTTCACTAAGAGCTCGAACGTTGTTTTTCGAACATCTCAAAAACCGTAGGGAGCGATTGCGACGTATTTCCCTTGCGCATCTTCCCGCTGCAGTTCTGAAAAAATACGGAATAACGATAAAATCACTACCTGACGCCACCGCTATGGTTCTATGGGACGAATTACAGAAACGACCGGGAGCAAGTGACCTAGCCTCACGAGCAGTTGGGCTCACTGATAGCCTCCGCCCGCAGTATGACCTGTACCGGTCGAGCCCAGAAGGCCTTTTTAGCCATCCTCATCGCATTGAGGTCGTTGAGCTGGCGCTCAGTTATGGCTTTCAGCCCGAGGATGAATGCGGAGTTCAGCCTTTTATGTCGCGGGTGATACTTTTCGGCAAGGGCACACTTGAAGACGTGTTTTACGCTGCCTGGCTGTTGCAACGCGATCTTGAAATTGACTTTACGATTGTTCCATTCCAATTATCCGCTGTTCACAGCTATGGGAAGTTTCTCGGGTTTTGGATAAACAACTTCTATTCCCGAGGCGGTGTCTTCCCTGCAACTCCCCATTCCGAATTTAGCAACCTTTTGTCAATAATATGCCACAGCGAGAGACAGTCAAATGTTCCATGTCCTTGTAAATCAGGTATTTTTAACCGACCTTTATCATATTTAATGTCTGGGTTGGAGTCACGCGTTCTTTATAGGGATGGGTTGTGGTTCAGCATTGACCCAAACATCCGGGATAACGTCCATCTCATGGCGTGGCTAGTTGATATTATAGGAGATCCTACATATTGCCTAGATGGGATGTACGTGGCCAGGTGTGCAATTCATATCCTTACAATGAAATCTCTAGGTATCAGGCATTTACCCGGCTGCGATCCTCCCATCTGGAACGTGATGGATATGGCAGAGGATCCTGAATGGCAAGAAGAATGCGCTGAAATCCTTGATGAGGATCAACTTCTTCTCAGCCGACTGCATGATCTTGAGGAAGAGTTTCGGAAGGAGTTTGAACAACAAAATATCTCTATAGCTAATTTCCTCCAAGGTTACTGGCTAAAGAGGATGGAAGAGGTGGAGGGCGAATTGGATGGCGCTGTGTCTGGTGGCTACAAGTCTGACCTTCGTGAGGTTGGTGTGGTCTTAGATGAAGGTGAAGATGGCGGTTTTAACCCTGACTCTGATAAATTGGGGATGATTGACATTGATTAAAGGAGGAGATAAATCTGACTGTTCTGAAATACTGGCTGTTATAAACCCGTAGTGATCATAACCAAAAGGACTTTTTAAGATTCGCTTCACAGTTTCTTGGAGAACGATATACATGTAAGCCTTGCCAACTTAACGAAGAATCAAGAGATAAATTGAAGAACTTTGAACAGTCTAGGCTTGGTAAAGTTCGCAATTAGAGTTTGTTTCTTTATTACAGTAAAAAGATATTTTGTTATCTGCCATTATGCACAATGCCTCTTATTGTGTTGAAATTCAGTGTATTATCTATGTGGTAACCCAATTTTTACCTTTTGAAATGTATAGTTATTCTAATATATAGTTAAAAAATAATATATTAATATCTATTTCAGTATCGTAGTAAACTCCATATATAAATGTTATACACTATCCTATATTGGAAAAGACTTTAACTATAGAACAAAGAAGCTGTTTAAAATAAAGCTATTTAGAATCATCCACAATGTGAGTAAAAAACCTCTTAATTGTTGAATCTGTGCAGTAAAACATAGCCACTTAGATTTGATATTGTTTAAAGACCTTTAGTAACTCCAGGAGAAATGATCTCCAACTTCGCCATAAGCTCCTCAAACATCGCGCTCGAAATCTTAGCGCCTGTTTGGTTGGTAACATGGCATGCAGGCCTAAATCTCAGTTAGTTATTGAACACAAGATGTGAAGGGCAGAATATACTCACTCTCGAACGTGACAGTTAGTCATGTACTTCCCATTACTCTCGGGCCCAGCAAGAACACCAGAGACCAATGCACGACTGCCCATCTCCGGGGTACGAGCCAGAAAGTCAGGAGGAGCGGACGATTCCATCTCGCGAAGAAGGTCTGACTTGCAGTAGCTGGGATTGGGCGTGTTGATGACAACATTGGACTTTTCTGATTCGCCAAGACGTGTCGCAAGCTCTCGCACAAGGTAGAGAACAATGAGTTTGCTGACGTAGTATCGAGCGGGCATGTTAGAAGCCTTGGGATCGTTGAGGCGCGAGAAGATGGGACCAGCTTTAGCACTAGGGACTAATTCTTTGAAGGGGGCCCAGTAATGTGTGGCTGAGTTGGGAATGACAAATTTGCCTGGGAATGAGGATCTCTGAAGCTTTGGGAGAAGAAGGAAGAAAAGAAGGAATGTGGAAACAACGTTGACAGTGATGGTTCTCTCGTTGTCCTCGGCCATGGTAAACTCAGGTGATGTTGCAAGACCAGCATTGGCGAGGACAACATCAATACGGGGGAGTTCCGAAAGAGCTCGAGCAGCGAAGGACTTGACAGATTCGTAATTTGCCATGTCAAGATACCAAACTTCAATAGACTCGGGTGTCCGTTTGGTTAATTTGAGCAAGTCTTCTCGAGCCTTTTCACCCTTGTCAAGACTGCGAACAGCCATGATGAGTTTTCCGACGCCGAGACGAAGCAAATGCTGGCTGGCTTCGAAGCCAAGACCAGTGTTGGAGCCAGATACAATCATGACTTTGTCTGACAGATCAGCATTTGTTTTGGGGTAGGGAAGGTCGATGAACAAGTTGGAGTATAAGGTGGATCCGATGCCGTAAACACCAGAGATGATTGACATGACCATGGTTGCGTGGTTGGTGTTGAGAATATAATTAATGATGGAAGTTTTGTTTGATGAGATTCTTCTTGATGAGAGTGTTTGTGATGGGCTATTGAAATGTGTAGAGACTACGGATATTATATATATTGTATGACTTCCTATTTCCGTCCTGGGTCTATCTTCCTGGAGCGGATTTAATAAAGCCGCTGGAGATATGGACCAATGAGGTACGAGCGGGGATAATAAGCCCGCCCCCGAAATCCGTCAGCGGATCTTACTTATCTCCCTCAAGTCGAGTCTTACAATCCGTGATTCACCCACACCAAACCATAAAAATGTTAGCATCAGGTAGGAATTCGATTCGATCTACTGCGAATACAGAACCCAATACTGACAACGCCTAGCAAAAGTTGAGAAGCGTAACCGAGTGCCCAAGTCGTGTGAGCCTTGTCGAACCCGGAAGTAAGCTCAGAGCTCCACACTAAGGGCATAGCTGACTTGACTAGACTCAAATGCAATAGAGCTTTGCCTTGCGACTCATGTGTTAGGAGAAACAAACAGGCGGTCTGCCATTATGCTTCCAACGCTGACAGGAGCGAGAAGCGCGCAGATAACGGTGAATCTGTTGCGGATCGTCTCAAGAAATTGGAGGGGTTGATAGCGACCGTTGCGCAAGGGACTTCTCCAAAAGAACCCATTTCTTTGCTGTCTATCAGTGATAATGCTGGTCCAACAAAGTATAATACTGGACAAAGCAGCGCCAGTGTTGATGCCTCTGCACCTGCAGCGTCCGAGGTCTCCAAGGCACAGCAGGAAGATGACGGAGCACGCTTTGCGAGTCACATTGACTCGAATCACTGGTATTCCATACTGGAGAACATAAAGGCTATACGCGACGAGTTACACGTGGCGAGTCCATCTTCATATACCACCGCACCCAGCTCAATCCCGCCGAATGCCGATTTGCAAGCCAATGAAAATCTGGACTTTGATCTAGAGTCTGCTGCGGGGTTGAGTTTGGACTATATCATATCGGCCCTGCCTTCGAGGCAAGTATGCGATAATCTAGTATCGTTATTCTTCCGCTCACACTACACCATGATGCGTAAGTTCTGTTCACATGCTATTTCTGACCACTGACTGACTGTCTATTTATCAGCTATCATACACCCTGCTTTGTTCCAGCAAGAGGTCAGTCATCAGCATTAGCAAATATGCTTTGAACCAGAGCTAACGGCTATTCTCTACCAGTACGAGTCCTTCTGGGAGTCTCCCTTAGAAACGCCCGTTATATGGATTGCATTACTATTTTCTATCCTCAGTCTATCAGCAAGTGTGTACGAGGCTTCCGGCCGGGTACCCAACTCCCAAGAGACTATGCCATCAGGCACAGATCTTTCGAAAAGAACACAGGAATGTCTACTACTTGGTAACTACACTACATCTAAGGAGCACGGCGTCGAAGCTCTACTCCTACACCTCGTTGCCTCTTGGCTACGCGCTAAAGCCTCAGATACAAACCTCTGGTTCCTCATGGGTAAAGTAGTACAGCTCGCGATCTGCAAGGGATATCACAGAGATTCGACCAAGGTTCCAGGGTTGGGCATCCCGCCATTCGAAGGCGAGATGAGACGCAGGGTTTGGCTGAGTTTGTATCAGTTTGAAGCGCTCATGTCGTTCCAGCTTGGGCTGCCCAGCATGGTACCTGCAGACTGCTGTGACACAGCGTTGCCTAGTAACCTCAACCAAACAGACTTCTACCCGGGAATTCCAGAGCTCCCGCCTTCACGTCCGCTTTCCGAGGGTACTCCTGTTCTCTACGCTATTGTCAAATCTTCCATCATGGAGAGGTTTAAAAAAGTGGTCAAGCACACGCGATCTATTGTACCGGCTCCATACGAAGAGACAGTTTCATTAGACACCGAGGTGCGATCTACATGTGAAAACATGCCGGATATCTTCAAGTACAAAGCCCTCACTAGCTTCATCATCGAAGACCCGAGTATAATCATGGGCAGGACTACGCTAGAGCTTCTTCACTTGAAGAGTATCATTGTGCTCCACCGGCAGTACCTGACTCATAGGCACGACCTTCGCTTCCAGTTTTCAAGAGATTCTTGTCTTGCGGCAGCTGAGATGTTGCTGGAGAGACAGAAAGAGATGCACCAAGTAACTCAGCCTGGTGGCCAGTTCCACGATATGAAATGGATGATCACAAGCTTGACGATGAGTGACTTCACTTTGGCAGCAATGATCATTTGCTTAGACCTTACTGTCACAATGAGACAGGGCACAGCCGCTTTCCAAGATGCGAAAGAGGAAAAGGAGCTTGAAAGGCATCTGTCAATTATCAAGTCGGCCCACAAAATATGGCGCAGTTTGTTAGAAAGCTCTGAGGCACGCATAGTATCTCACGCGTTAGACTCGACGATTCAACGCGTGGGAGAGTATTTGAGCTCAAGGTCGATATCGGCAAGCTCAGAAACATGGCAGTCGTCTAGCAAAGACGCAGACACGCCGAGCTATGTGACGATTGAATCGGCTGATTTTACGAGTGACGTCGACTTTATGGATTACGTTGACTGGGTAAGATCTCTTCATACTACAGCCGTGATGGAAAAGAAGCTAACACTAGCTCTTAGACTCTTATCGATAATCAATTCCAGGATCCGAGTACTCAGGAGTTCGATCTGGACTATTGGCTCATGGATACGGCTGGGCCTTTGGAGTTTATGGATGGACCATGATGCATGGACGTGAAGTTGAGTTCAAGTATGTTTCCTAGTGACATGGAAAGAGGTCCAGGACACAGTGATTGGTGGAAATGCTTGTGCCTTTAGGAACTCGGCTATCCGAGGATTGTCTCAATTTGCGAAGAATACGGGACGCAAGAAGGTGGCGAGTGAAATATGGAGAACAAAATATAACCGACACCATGCATGTGTAAAGTGGAATGAGATAGATTTTCTGGCCTTCTTCATTGGTTGCTTCAAAGTCTCAACCAAGTTAGCCTTTTATCATTCAATCAGTTGATGTATGGAAAATATTTGCGCACAAGGTCGGGCCGTTCATAGCCTTATACCTTCCTAAACTTGATGCCCGCTGATGCACCTCCAGGGATCTTTGAACCCCGCTGATGGCATTTAACACGAACCTATTGGCGTAGCCCAGTGGCAAAGGATCAAATTCAAAGATGTAATTTCCTTTGTCTCGGTTCTCGTTTTCTCTCGTATGATATTCTTTTCTCGCTGCCAAAATTACCTCACTCTTGAAAATCTAGACTACCCAAGTCAGCGGGCTACAACGTTACAGCATAAGGCTAGCCTTTCTGAAGAGAGTCATGCAATGTGAGCGGATCAGGTGGTAATACCACGATTTCCCATGAGTATATATATGGCTACTGGTAGCAATAATTCTTGGCAAATATCCATCATCACTCCAAGCCTTATTCTTCTCTTTCGTCACAGAGCAAAGAAGAGTCTCAGTCATGCGCGTCTCATCTTCATTTGTTGCCTACCTGGCAGGGTTTCTAGCTTCAGCTGCCCCTGTAGTGGCCGAACTGAGCAAGCCTGTCATGAATCCCGCAGTACCTTTCAGCGATCTGGATCCCATCCTGTTCAAGTATCTCAAGTCAACGCCCCACAACAGAGATCAATGGGGATGGGGATGTATGAACCCTAAACCTCATAACTTACATCATGACTGACTATCTTTCAAGGGCTTCCTGCTAGGTGCAAAGCCATTGCCGATCAGCAAGGATTGAACGCTTACGACATTGACGTCTACAATGTTCACTACAACGACTGCGGCCAGGCTTGGGTCATGTGCCGTCATCATTTATCCCCATTGTCTATCGACACCATGGCTGAGAATTTCGGTCGCATTCCTGTTCGCATGCGCAACTTTGTTCGCGTTCAGTTCGGTTGGTTATCTTGTCATTGAATGATGTTCTGTCAACTAACAAGAGACTCAGCCCTTCCACAGAAAGACAGCTCATTCGGAGGTGCAACCTTGTGAGTATACGAGAGACTAAGCACGGCAGTAGTGGCAGTACTAACTCACCAAAGCTCCGATTTGGGGGATATCCTCTGGTATGGCGACGTATCGAAGACTCTGCGCTTCTGGATTCATGAGGCCGGTCATACCATCGACCGAACCATTGATCCTGCAGCCAACGATGACTGGTCTAGTATGTGACAAATTCGTGATCTGTCAAGAATCGCAGCTGACGACTTCATACAGAGAGCAGTGCGTGGCTTAACGAATACAACAAGGATGGTTTCATCTGTGATGACTATGCCAAGAACAGTACGTATCACCAACACCTACCAATGAACTGAACAACGCTAAATGAAGAATCTTTAGATGCTGCCGAAAACTTTGCTCAGGAGGTCATTGTGGCCCTCTTCGACAAGGTCGTGCCAGGTGGACTTGGCAGCGTTTCCCCCAATTGGAACAGCATTTTCCACCAATACGCTACCGTTCAATCCAAGCTGGGTGACATCTTGATTCCTGGTGGTACATGCAACCGAAAGTTTGCAGATGAGTAAGTCCCTCCTGGGGTTGTGAGTGAGGGTATCAAGACCATCTACTGACGTTGTGTAGCACGATTGTATGCATGGGCCCTGCTGCGAACTGTAATAGCAAGGCGAATGCCAAGTTCAGACTCAAGGCCGATAAGACTCAGGACGCTGCTATTGTTGCGGCTTCGGATAACCCACCCATTGAGGACCTCTTCAAGGTCGAGGAATGATATCACCTGCAGTGAGAAACTTTACCGAGGTAAGGTTTAGTCACGTTTTATGCCCAAAAAGAATGGATTGTTTTAGGCACAACGGCTGTTAGACATACTTGAATGCTGAGAATATCTTGATACACATGAGAGATAGAAACTTATATTACCTCGGTTATTCACGCTCCCTCTATGGGTCTCAGGCTACCCATTCTTGTGATATCACACCCCTTGCCTTATACCTAGTCAAACGCAGACAAATCTGACACTTGACCGATCGAGCCTGATCATGGCCTTATTAGTCCGGGTGTATTTCTGCTTAATTCTGGCCCTACGCGTTAGATCACAGAATAACCATTTCCTCGAATAATGAGGTTCCGAGGTCAATCATTTCCCCAGCCATTGCGCCCTGAATAAATGCGTCACCCACCAGTTGAAACCTTGGTGCGCCAGAGCCAAAGATCTCTAGACGTCTCAACACGTACAGAACCTTCCCTCCAGGTAAAATAACGATAACGTCACCCTTTTCTGACATCTCCGGCCCAAATCCTACACTTCCATTATCTGTCCGAATCAACTTCCTATATAGGCTGACCTGCTGAATCATCTCGTCGAAGTCTTGAATAGTCTTCTTGGACGCTTCGGGCAAGTCTCCATTAGCGGATACGAACCACTCGAGCCATGTCTCACAGGCCTTTGAGTAGTCACTAGAACCAATCTTCCATGGGGTCGAAGCCAAGCCTCCACTGAGCGCATTTTGCAATAGTCGTTCGCGATTATCTCCAGTTACCTCGCCAAATGGTTTCATTGTGCGATCAGCGGGTAGACCAGCGAGCTGACGCCATGCATCAATAATTGTTTTGCCCCCAAGCATTGAGTGCGGATTGTTGGAAGGATAGCCAGGTGCAGTAGCTTCGATTGTGGCGATTTGGAAACCGCAAGTGAACACCGATCCTGCGGCATCAAGCTTCCATTGTGGTCTTATATCTCCCGAGGCTCGACAATGCCGGATGACATCTGTTCGCTCTGTGTATATCAGATGGTAGCGGTCATCTATGGCTGCGTCCCAATCTGGCACCCAACTCGGCAAGTCGGATGTACGTTTCTCAACGCCTGAGTCGTGTAACACATGACTCAAAACGTCTAGCGTTTGGGATTCCTCGATTAGGGCCATAGCTAGATCTCGATATAAAAGGGATGTGGGTATTGTGTAGTCAATTGTTAATTTATTCTTGATGTCAATGCCTGGAAGTCGAAGTCCGAGGAAGCCAAAGGCTCGGTCTCGAGGGTCCGAACAGCGTCGTATCCGGAAGAGTGAGATCGCCGCCAGGAAATCAGTAGTATATGAGCGTGCAGAATCAGCGATATCTATGAGGTGCTTCATGCGGAGGGTGGCAGTATATATCGTCAAATCGTTGTTGTCTTTGCTGGGGTTATCAAGGAAGCCGTGCACATTTCCATCTATTGGCCGTCGCGCGGCCCAACAGCATGAATTCGCATGATGAATCCAGGCTCTGCAGCTTTTCTGGACTACCCTCGCGTCCAACAGGCGGTCACCACACTGGAAGACAACCCTGCGAGCTAGTAGAAATTCCTGCACGGTCCAGATTCTTGTCCACCAAGGAGCAGCAAAGAATCCAATAAGAGAATCTTGTAAGATCTTATCAGTAGCGTTAAAGCCTTTAAGCTTCAAGTGGGGTGATAAAGACGGTTCAAAGTGTACATCTGGGTTCCGTGCGGCTTCCTCGATATAATCCAAGCCCAAGTCAAAGCGCTGTCCATCGGGGGATAGAAAGGCAAGAACATATTCTGCTTGCGAATAAATGTCCCCCATTAAGGCGACTTGTGAGGCGCGCTCCTGTGGGTCATCCTGATTGATGCATAAAGCGTCGATCCAGAGTAGTTGGTCGAACCGAGATGCCGATAGACAATCCAACACACGATGAAGGTTTCTCGTCGCCCGGACAGTCCTACCTGATATGGGAAGCGGTAGCACGTCCTCCAAGTCACCCCAGACATAGGATAGTGCGACAAATGGCGGCAGCGCCGAGTGTGTCAGCGACACATGCTCGAAACATAAGCTCAAATGAGGCTTTTTTTCTGCCTGTGTCCGGTCAGCCCACTGCAACGACACAACACGTGACGAAATACACCTACTGGACTGTAGTCCAGGCGAAGAAGTCGAATTTCGTTAGCTTCCAGTTTCATAATGAGATTCCGGGAGTCGGTACATCAGAACCAAAGGTAATCGTTGAAAAACTTCAATTGTTGTAAACTACTGCTGCTTACAAAGGATGACGGTACGGAAGTGGGCTGTGTCAGCCTGAGGGATATATTCCTACCATCATAATAACCTACATAAATAAAGAGGGGTATAATTGATCAGATATAACAGCTTTCTCTCTTTAAAAAAAAACATGTTAACGGTATATCTTTATGGTTACTTATACATTATAAATACTATTGCATGTATCCTCCATCCTATTATTGGTATTTCTTTAATGTTCAATACGGTTATTTACTCTTCCCTATTCTTAACTCAACTCGACTATTAGAAAAGTATTCATAGCAGAAAATACATACCTATCTATAAACTCAGCCATTAAAAAAAACCCTTATTCTTAACAAGAAGCTAAGGAAAACATGGGAACTTACTAGAAGCGGTCGACCTCGGCGAAGTACGGACTTGAAAAAGCACTCCCCTTTACATACATTCATGGGCAGCAACCTAACCTTAGGTCAACTTCAATGTCTTATTGTCGTCACCTCCGCGGAGTGGCAACAAGACGAAGGATCGTGCATCGGCAATAGCAAGCCCAAAACAGCTAGTGAAAAGCGACCCCAAGTACAGCCACCAAGAGATAAGAAAAGTGAATAGTAGTACAATACCCGCAATTGGCCAGCTTTAGGACTATATTTCCGCCAATATACTATTAGTGCAGTGCTAAAGTCATCGGCAATTGTAGGAACTCCGTTGGAGTAAACTACTGACGATTGGTACGGAACTTTACTTTTATTCCCCTTGGGGGCTGTAAATATAAGCACTTATGCCCAATTCAGCCTTCCATTGCATTAGTCCTGTAAGCATGCTGCAGCAGTAACCTTCCCAAGGCGGTATTTCTGCCGAGGGTCCAATACCATTATTACTCCCCTGGTCTCGAATGCGGTCATTATCAGAACATAACCAGCAGGCCACGGAATCCTAGATACAGTCCGAAGCCGAGTCCGACGTCCGTCAATCCAGATATTATCAACACAGGGAAATCAAGCCAAAGAAGCCTCGAGTAATCAAGGCTTCCTAGACAGTAAGTGGCTCCCACTGATTTATAGTCCTCACTTTGAGATTTATCTATATTGCGGCCTACGCTGGGACGTCCCTCCCCGAGCGAGATGTGTCGGCGATCAAGGATTGAGGACATGTGTGTCTGACAGTTATGTATTACGAGGTATACGAGACTGCTTGTAGACAAAAACACCTCGTGCACGAAGTAGTTGATACACTTTGAGGTGTAGGTTTTTGATTTACAGTCCGCGTATATATCCCGCTCCGTAGGATTTGTAGGGACAGAAACGAGCCAATTAAATTAGACTAGTCCCTGTAATAAGCTTCCTACAAGTGAGATTTCGGAGTGGCTATCCGTATCTATACAGTCGCTTGGGGGCAGAAACTGCGGGGTTTGACTTTAGGCTAACAATCTATCATCCGCAATGCCACATCGTATGCGTGTAGGCTGACAGAAAAGAAATCCTATAAACTTTCCTTCCACATAAGCACTGTAGGTGCCCAAAACGGCAGGTATTGTAACTTTGCTGACTGAAGGATGAATGCCAAGAAGCGGTCAGAGCAGAAGCAAGTCTTGGAGAATAGGATCCTACGGGCTTGCCTCGTTCGATAGACGCTTACCGGACTGCACGTACAAATTGATAGTCGCTAGGATTGATGGTTGTTATCTAATATCAAGGGAACTGGACTAAGGGATGACTATAGAGTAGGAAAGGAATATCGCAATCTGGTGCGTGTAATTGAAACATAGGAGGAAGGTTTTGCGACTTGTAAGGAAAATCAATACGGAAGGGAAAAGGTTCCGTGAGCTGCAAAGAAACTTTAGTTCCGGCGATATTAGTGTTCCGGCGATATTAGTGGGGCTTTTAACTATCGCCGATAGATGCTTACAATACCACCAAGCATAGCCAGCCAGCAAGTAAGTATCAGGGAGGTAGTTGGACATCATACGAGCCGCTCCTACATAATAATACTGGTCAGGTATTAATGTGTATTTCTCTTGTTTAGGATAGGATCGGTCATAGGATGGGCAACCTGGTCAGGAAATAGTATAAAGGTAGGTGCTTCCTCCTCCAGAGCAATTCTATTTACTTCCTTCATCACCACCAGCTCCTGCCTCCTCTTTCCAACTTCGCAGCATCTCAACAAGCACCAAACACCACCACTACACACATCAAATATGTACTTCTCCGCGCTTCTTCTGGCCCTTGCAGCCACTGCTTCAGCCGTCGATGTCAGGGCCTACGGTGACACTGGCTGCAACGGGGGCTGGGTAGGCTGCGGGGGCATTAACCCCGGCGTGTGCTGCGTGTTTAGCAACTCGGCAAGCAGTGGCAGGCTGAGCGTCTCTGTGAACGCTGTGAGTAAAATCTCTTTCCTTTTTCTTACAGACCTATCAGAACTAACGGGTTTCAACAGATCCCAAGCAGCTGGCGTATCCGCGGCGAGGCCAACACAGGCGGTGGCTGCACATACCTCGCAAACCAGCAAGACTCAAACGGCAACACCGACATTTGCATGAGTTACTCGTCGCGCGGCGACCGTACCGGAGGCAGCTACTCGTTCGTCGGCCGCAAGCGCGCCGATGACAAGTCGTGCCCCGCTGAGCAGCCCGATGGCGGAAAGTGCGAAGCCAGCGTCGAGCCCAACGTGCTTGGCCTTGCGGATGGCACCGTGTACAACATTTCCGGCCTGACGGAGGAGAAGGTTCAGGAGTTGGTGAGTTTTGCCTACAGCCCTAAAAACCCTGAAGTGAATGCTGACGCTCTTCCCCCGATTGAAGGAGAAGATTGCCAACACCGGCGCTGGTGCCGACGCCGTGCCCGCCGAGTTCGAGAGCCTCCGCCGTTAGATCGAGGCTTCAAGTCACAAGCAAGGCCTCTAATAAGGGCATGTCTTGGGGCAGGAAGTTTGGACCGAGCAAGAACAGGCTGGAAGTACAACAGCGGCGGTCGAGAGTGCATACTCACGATAAAGTGGATATCTAAATGCTATGTAGTTTATAACCATATAACGAGCTGTAGTAAATTAAGTTATTTTGTCCAATCTGTAGATTCTTATGATAATCTGGCGATGAGGTCTGTTAGACTGTATTAAAGACTCTTACTGAACCTTAAAATACACTGATAATAGTAAAGGTCAGCTTTATGAAAGAAAATGAGAATAAAATCAATTTGGGCTTCATTTTCTATGAGGTTAAGAGAAGTAGTTTAGAAGTTCAGTTGTGCAAGTATTGTATAAGCTTAAGAACGAAAACTAAAAGCTTACATTTTAACCACCTTGTGGTTGCAAGGGACTCAGGCCTCTGTCACGAGCCGCGGTAACACTGTTTCCTCTAATGCCGTGTGCAGATAGGCGGCTGCCTTTCCTGGCACTTCGGTATGTACGTGCCACTCTCGTGCCTTATGAAGCTGCCGAACGGGAAATGGCTCGGGCTAATTAACGTAATGTTATTAGCAGTCAGTCTATCGATCACTAACAGCAGCAGTATACCCTGCAGCCAGAGGTCTATCCGGGCCGAGCTAGCCGGCCAATCTGATCATCAGGGCTCCATAAATACTCATATGATCTACCTTAGCCATCGGCAGTTAGATTAGAGCAGCGGCGACTTCCGAAGTCCACGGCAGTCGGGGAATTTAGATGACTCATGTGACCAAGGTAGAGTTGATTTTGTCTCACGTAAGGTGAAGGTAAGTCAAACCCTTTATGTCACCTAGGCATATTTACCCTTATTGAACATTTTCTTACCTGCCATCTAAATAGTATACGAGCCTCAGAACATCCGAGCTATTGTGTTTCGTCATCAGTGCAGCGGCATTGTACCTCCATGTGGATCAAACAAGGCTCTACTAATACTTTCATGTGATACAGCGAAGTGTCGTCTTGAAAGGCTGTCCATCCTATGCGTGAGATGGGGTACTTGCCATTCTAAATCGGTATTTAATCTCTGCATGACAAAGTATGAAACGCCCCATTCTTTTCCATAAGAGTCTTCAAGTTCGAAACCACTACCACCCTCGGCTTTTCCTTTACAAACACCCCACATCACCAGCAGAATCTATTATGAACTTTTACATCACCTTCATCATATAGACGAGTTGCTTTTCCCTTATTAGATGCGTTAGTCATCATTAGCATGCCTAATCGTTTGTTTGATGTCGAGCTAAAGAACAATATGCGTTCTGCGGTCTGTTTTGTAGCTCCTGCTAACCGATAATACTGGAGTTACAGGAGGGCTAATGTCATAACTTGTTTACATTAGCAATTATCTCATCACAGGACTACTAGGAGCGATCGAAGCTGCTAATGTCTCTACATTCCATAACAACGTAGCATCACTATCACGCATCGGCTGTCTTCCCTGCAGGATCGGCATTTGCAACTTCACGTCATAGTCCTGGAAACCTCGTAGATTGTCTAAGACCATAACTCAATGGGATTCTCGATATTATATCTCCAGTACCGAACTACAAGGCCAGTATGGAGAAGAAGAGAACTTAATCGGAACCTCACGAGAGACCCGTTTAGGTCAGGTTCCCGTTATCCACGGCACCAGTACGTATAGCGGTTGCAGTGACAGTCGAGTTTGGGTCGGAGGAGAATACCTGGCTGGTGTCCTTCATATTTTCGCCAAGACGTGTATTCTCAGATAGGACAAATTGAGTGCCAGTAGACATATCGACAATGGTAAGATCGACTGTGCGCGAACTACCTGCAGGTATCGTTAGCAAATCAAGATGCCGTTTAAGATGCAGAGCTTGTCAGATTACTGACCGACATTGACAACAAACCCACTTTGTTTCCTCCCATCCCAGATCTTCTCAGTATGGCCGCTCCCTGGAGCTCAGATGTCAGGCCAGATGTCGATACCGATAGCTTCATTTCGAAGTTGGTAGTAGCGGATTGGGATAACAGAGTTTGAAGACATTTTGATGATAAGATAGATAAGGTTGAATATATTTTCTTTGTAAAAAGAACACAGATGTAAGTTTCTATATGCTGGGGGGAAGAAGAAATGGAGGAGACGGCGTCCTCTTATAAGGATGCTATATCGTACTTTTGTAGGAGTAGGTACTTAGAAGTGCAGAAAAAGACCAGGTGTTGTGTCTGAGACATCCTTTGCCTTTTGCATCATGGTATTATAGTCCACTAACTAAGGATGGCCTTAGGCTGTGTATAGGCACAGAAACTACCGAAAATGGTGGAGCTGAACATGCATTCGAATCAGGCGCCCTCGCAAATGGCGCACTATTGATCCTTATTATCAGGTGTGGCTGACATGAACGTCTACGGCGGCGCATCCTATGTGTTGAGCTGCAAGTTAGACTTTTGTCCAGTCGTCCAGTGATATCAATGTGATCTGACTAACATTGCGTATCAAAGCGAGGTACCAATCCCTATCATTGCATCTTGTCAAGCAAATACGTTGCCACAAAATACGGCCTAGAACGATCTATAGATAGTAGGTAGATGCGGGGTTCTCCCTCCCCAGCCTGGCAGAGTATTACAAGGCCACCTTCCCTCACCATTCGGATGCCATCAATGACCCCGTAAACCCTGCACATGGCCCGGTTCTCACTATTGCCTACTGAGAGAAGTCTCCCGTACCTAGCATTCGAACCCTTTGGTCTGAAGGCGGAGACTAGAGAAAAACCCCACAGAGCAGCGAAGCTAAGTCTCGTAAGCCCGGTTGAGCTTAGTCAATCTTCACGAATCAAATCCAAGGCCGACCAAACCTCGAGTAAAGGCAGAAACAAAGACAGCGCTGCTGGCTCGAATGAGAGCTCAGGTGCTGACTTCGATACACATTCTGCCATGGGCTCAGACTATGGATCGAATCCTGGATCAGGTACTAGCAAATCAGAATCGGACACAAAACATCCTTTATATGAACCTTTGAACACCTTGTATCTGTTGTGGGACTCTTATCTCTCATGTGTACATGTAACATGTTTAGCATTTATTAATAAACACAGAGAATATTTATTTGAACTTAGAGTCCTCTAGTAGGATCTAGCTAGTTCTATAGAATTAAAAAAGACTGTAGGGGATACTTATCTTGTGACACTTTTGTAATGTCTGTAACCACTGAGACAACAATATCATAAAGCCCAACACGGTGATAGATATCAGGTTGATAGGGTGCTTGATACAATATGATACCGGTGAGGAGTGAGGCCCCACTCAAGTAGACCATTTCAGTTGCATGGGCTATTGGTAAAAGGAAGAAAGAAGCCTCTGTATCCTTTAGTGAAAGTCTTTTTCTCAAAGCCTTCGTTGTTGACCTGTCGAGCGGCGAGTCAGGACTTAGAGCCTCGAGATATGATATCGTAATTTCCCCCTCAGAATCTCGCTCATCCCATGATACTCTACTATAGTAATGGGCCCCTTCCAGGACCTTAAAACTCCAACCGTCAATCTGCTCAATACCATCCCATGATATATATCTATATGTAAAGGGTCCAACAAGGTGGCCGCGCATCTCAAGACTACCGCCACGTAATAGACCTGTGTCATGCTTGTCATCTTCTAGATGCAAGTAGGTTTGCTCTATTGAGCAGAATGTTTGACTTACGGGACCCCGACCCCCATGAAGAGGGTATGGGCCATCAATAGACATCCAGCTCCACGAAGGTGCTTTATATTCTAGTGATCGGCTTGCCTCTGCATTGCCCTGCTCTCCCCGGCACCACATTAAGCCTGTCAGAAGATCTCCTTTCCATATTCCAGCTAGATATCGGTCGCTGAGATTATGAGAAGCGCGGAAAGCTTGTGCGATTCCCGAGAAAGCAATGACTCTGTCACTTTCATATGTAAACCGAGTGTCGGCGTATTGAGACGAGATCTGCCACCAACGTTTGTACACTTCGAATGCATCGGTTTGCTTCTTTTGTGTTGAGCTAACTGTTTGGTTGTTACTCGATTTGAATGATGTCTTGTCCTTCGTGTTGATCTTCACGTCATTCTTCGTCGGGAGAGAAGTATCTTTCATTGCGTATGCCCTTACTATGGGAGGTTGCTCGTATTCCACTCTGGCGTCATCAGGTATTCCGTCTGGAAATGTCTCATTTGCTAGATGCTCGCGACAGTGCCACCAAAGTTGTACCTGACCAAAGACGAGTGATCGTTTCGCAAGAAACCATTCCTGGAAAACCCATCCCCGCTTTCGCAAAGGGCAGTTTACTATGTCATAGTCGAAGGAGTCTTTGCAAATCATGTACGCTCCCTCTTCTTCTTTGTCGTCTGGATGGGGCGTGATGTGTAAGGGTTTTATCAGATTGGCATCCCTTATCTGATAGCTCGATTCCGAGCTCCTAGAGGATCCAGCCATACATAGATTTAAGGCTGCATTTTGATAAATCAAACCCATCGTAGCGGCCTCTTTCTTCCAATCCTCATCCAAAGCTGAGTCTTGAATGATGCAAAGACAGTCGATCCATATGTACTGGATACCTAATTTGATGCAAGCCACAATGGCTTCTTGGAGTGTTTGTGGTAATTCTCCCACTCGAATATTTATGCTGAGTTGGATGTAGTTTTTGACCGATAGTGTTAGGGTTTGAGAACCTCCCCAGCAGTAAGATAGCGTAGCATAATCAACCTTGTCATCAATCTGTGACGAAGAGATGAGCGTCGCATTTTCCACATCAGCGATCCGAATTAGTCTGCTGGGAAGGAATAAATTGTTTGTCGTTCCGCAGGTTTGATGGTTTTCCCTACAGTCCTTTAACCACTTCATTGTCAACTTCTTAAAGTATGCGTCCTCAAAATGAGGGACGGATGTTGGTTCATACTGGTCGTGTACATTGGTATATCCTGTTCAATCAGCTATGTCGTCTTGAGTTCTGGGACTTAACAGAGTGACCTACCGCTCTCATTGATGACCCAGAATATTGGACCTGATTGACTACGTAAATAATCCAACCTTCCCGGCTTAAAATCCAAGCTCCAACTCAAGCAAGTGGACTGGGGTTTATCCCAATGAATGTGTATCGACTCTGTTTCCAATTGTTCGACTACTTCCAACTGTTTTATCAAGAGAACAACCCATCCACAAATAAAGCAACCGAGCTCTGCAGTCTTTTGAAGATCTGTCGGCGATCGCGATGGGTATCCCAAGGTATCCGCAGTCTGTCTCTTGACTACCCGATGGCAAAAAGAGCACAGTCTTGGCTTTGTTGAGTTTGAGACACCGGTAGGTATACCAACTTCAGCCATTATAGGTGGCTTTATTTGTATCTAAATATATAAATAAAAATGTGCAAGTAAGAAGCTGAGGAGGTTTAGAGAAATATTTATAAACAGGCGCGAAATCCAGGGTACTATTCCTTGTTATAATCGCTGACATGTTCCTAAGTATTTTCTTCGCTCCACCTCTTATAGGGCTATCCTCTGCCACAGCCTCTCACTTATTCTTCCTCATGGTTGTGATTATGCAGTCATTTCCCTTTTTATCTACTTCTAGTGTGGCCACGTAACCAATAAACCTGTTTCGAACCAATCAGAATACAATTAACATTTCTCAAGAGCGGGGGAAACTGATCTACCTATAAGAACCGCAGCAGAAAGAGGCCTCCAATAGAGCCCCTATACAAACAGGCGGACTTATTAATTACTGATTAAAGGATGTCGCACACGATGTAATTTAAACAACCCCTATAAAGCCGCAAGTTTACTTCTACTACCATTAGTAAGCTAAGAGTCATTAAGAAGATCTTCTGTGTAACAGGATAGGTAGGTTATCTAACTACTATCTAAAGTCAGCAACTAGTTCAAGCTATCCCATGGCAATTTAGTCCTGGCAAACAAGGGTATTATAACTTTTATATAAAATTGCAATTTAATTAAGCGGTAGCTAGTTAATAACTTAGCTAGTCCCAATTTTATTTTATAAAAAGGCAGTAAGTAAAAGCATTTTCCAACCCTGAATATTAATAAACAATCCATACTCTCATTTCGATAGAGAGGAGAGGGCAGGCTATGAACAATAATTATGATAAAAGAACTAGTATTCCGTAGCCTACAGCCATGAGAGTATTCATGGCCCGTCCGCTTAACTCGCCAGCTCATAAAATATCATGTTGAATAGCAATTTCGATCTTATCATTAGTGGTGGCAGGGTTGACGAACTTAATACAAACGTCAGTGATTGTGGGCCTAGATGATTATACAGTAACAAGCTTCATAGAAATGCCAGTAAGATATATACTACAACACCTGCTTTCTAAGGGGACAATCATTGGAATACAGAATAAGGTTCTCTTGGAATTAGACGCAATCTAATTGTCTTTAGGTCTTCGACCTTTTTTCTCCTTTACATTCACGGTGATCTTGAGCCTCGACAATCCCCAGGCTAACCATTAACCTACGCTCTTAACAGCATACTGGATAATATCTCATTGTTAGCAGGTATATTGGAGAACTTTCGCAAGTTAAGAAAGTTACGTACCTCAAAGTTATCGGTACTGTTAAAACCCTTATCGATCTTTGGATCAGTGGTCATGCTTGAGGCAGATATTGTTTGGATGTTCAGATGGAAGTTGTGCGTAAGTAACAGTTCAATCGGTTGCGGAAAAGCTACAAAAAGCCTGTTCAGCCAAAACAACATGAATACCGGCCAATGGTATTCCCTTTCTCGCCCACCGCCCTAAGTATTCGCTACTTTGAACTAAGGACCACGTTGACGAATCACAAACAGCCAGGGCTGGTGTTATTGCTGGTAACAACATTAGGTCAAACAGATTGACCCATCAGACGTGGTGCTAACGTTGAATCCCATTTGTTAAATTCTTGACTACCAGCAGATACCGTACTGCCTCTCACATCCCATCCCTTGTACTTACCTTTTACTTTCTAACTAATTTTTGACCAACTGAATAAACTTAACGTAAATGGGATTATCTTCTCAAGTGACATGGGCGGGTCTCTCGGTGGCATAGACTTCAGGTAAACTCCAGATGTATTAGAATAGATAAGCCCAAGTAAGATGATTGGCCCGAACAAGTAACCTACATTTCATCCTACGCCACTTCCAGAGAAGCTCAATTAAACTTTACTCTCTCTCGGTATTCAGCTCCTGCAAACAGCGCTGCCTATCCTCTTTGGGACGATTTTGGTGTGTCTAGCGTCCAGATTCGGTGATGCTCAGCAAGCCTCTGGTCGACTAAGTGGGGTGTCCAAAATTCTAGGCTAGTCCACGCATACGGCTATTGAAGTTACAACAGATGCGTGACTTTGATACCTTGTCAATGCGATGGATTTCGAAGATTTGAACCAACAAATAAATTATGTCCATGCCTAACGAACGACGCTATTGTTGAAGGGGGTTTCATCGCGCCTATAATGTGAATACTTGTTTGCTCAGCAGCGCCACATGCAATAGTCATGTCTCACCCGAAGGCCAAAACATCATGGCCAGCTGAAATCAGAAGAGAAAAGATAAGAATGCTTCCGTGCGACTACTGTGAAAGTTTTAAGTATATATATATTGCAACTCTCTTCCACTGTTGCAGTTTCATATCACATCCAAGCAGCATTCTTCAGTCACTCAATCCTGCAGCTTTCAACCCAACTCACTATCGCCCACAGCAATACAATCCTCAAACACGACAAAATGAAGACTTCTATACTCCTTGCCGCTATGGTGCCTCTCATCTTAGCACTCACTATCCCTGGCTTTTCCAACGGGGCCATGATCGCCCTCCAAGCTGCAGACGATATGCCACACGCTACAGGCTGCAGTATCTTCTGCATCGGACTCAGTATGTCTCAATTTCTTTAGTCATGTTCATTGGAGCTAGTACTAATATCTTGGTATAGCCAAGTGTTGCCCAACTGGTATGTGCGTGGCGGCGTGGGAAAGCTGTTAGTGGTATATGATGCGACAATGCTTTTGCTGAATAAGTTACTGTTGTTGGGTATGCATATGACCTGTCAATACATGTTCAAAGTAATATGAGAGGTTCTTGTCAACACAGACCACATTCTGCTATGCTTACGCGCTTCTCAACATTCAATTCTGTAGGAAGTTGGAGGAGAATGTAAGTCTTCTATGATTCGTACAGTTGGGCAACCTTGTTGAATTTGAGACATCGTTGCTTTTCGGTCTATGTAGAGACATCTATTGTTGATATTTCTGTGGACTTTATTGGGACAGCTGGGTCTCTTTTTTAAAGGTGCTACCAGACTCAGTGGAAGTGATTCGTACAGTGGCTGAATTAGAATCCCGAGGCTTTTCGATATTATAGGTAGGGTGCGAGTGAGAATTAAGGGCTTCAAGGAGACCACATCGCGGATTTTATCTTGAATAGTTCTTTTACATAAAATAAACTACAGACATCTACTCTCCCTCTCTTTCACATAGATACATACAGACTATACTATTCAAACCGCTCTAAGAAATCATATACCTTTTGAACCCCATCTTCACTCCTGATACCACTCCCATTGTTGTGTGGAGTGATTGAAGCGCCTATGAGCCTGGTATGTTTGGTCCCATTCCCACCCCGTGTAGCTCGCCGATGAGGATGCTGTCGCCCCTCCACTGACCCCGGCCGTCCCGTATGCAGCCCCCCATGAGCTCGACCCTGCATTACCCGACGCTTCCCTGTACATAGTTGCCGCTGTCCCATACAAGACTCCATTAATGGATCCGGGGCTTGAGGGAGCGTTTTTGTTGGCTGAAACCGTAGCGAAAGTTTATGAATGCTGTTGCGAACCCACATTCTCCTGATTGGTTATCAATGAGGCGGCCCGTGTTTTCCCAAAACATCGTGCTTTAGGCGCCCCAACTAAAGATCCATTACAGGGTTTACCGAACTAACAGCCAACATTTGAATGACAGCCAATAGTGCAAGTCAGATAAGGCAGAGTTGCTTTACTGACCTAACATGTACCTCATGGCTGACTGTAAGTAGGTAAGGCAGATTCTATTGCGTTTGACTAGACCTGAGACGAGACACACCCCTGTGACTGGTTCCTTCTAACAAAGTGACATACCTGCTTCTAGCCCTGAACAGATTTATCATAGTCTTGGCTAAAGATGGACCATGAAGAAGGAGATTTGTTTTATTACCTTTGAAGATTACCAGTATAACAATAACTATATACTTCAATCCCAATAGCACTTGTATATTTCTAAAGTCCATGCAAGGCCATTAGCTCCCTGAATGATGCATCTTCAAGAAGCTGCCCGGCGCTGAAGCGGTGTTCAGGGGAATATGAAAGACCCCTCTGCAGTATGGAGAGCACTAGCTGTTGCTCGACAGGGCTGATATCATACAGTGTACGCTTGATCTTTGCTTCCAGAGCTTGATGTGGATCGGGCCCTCTGTGCTGGTCGTACTATGACTCGTTATATTGCCCACCGGCCTTGTATGAGCCACGCCAGGCCGAAGGAAGAGCCCCCAGGCTTGTTACCATAAATTTAATGACTGACGGATATACTACGCCACGGAACAGTAAAAAGCCTATACACAGCTCGGCAAAGACACACATATGTAGCTCTATATGTCGGAGGTAAAGCCCGGATCTATATTGTGAAAACGTTCTGGGGCGTAATAGATGGTAGGTAACTGGACTTTGCACTCTACGGAGGTGCCAGATTTGACGGCCAAGCCAAAGTCGGCAAGGGTAATAGTCCCTTGCACCATAGAGCTATGCGGTTCCATAGGTATAACTAGCTGGCCGTCCTTCCACGTAGGTTTGGACGTAGGTATATACATTTTCCGCGGACGCCCGAGATATTTGTATTTAGCAGCAACACTGGTGCCACCCTCGAAAGGAGCAAGTCCGTACAAGACATTAGCGCTGTTAATATCTACAGCGTATGATTAGCTTTTTCTGATTCATGGATTAGAGTTGGATGGTAGTATACCTCGATGTACGACTCCACCGTCGTGTAGCGCCTTAATGGCTTGTATTAGTTGTTTGGCAGATGCCATCCGAACGGCAGTGGACATAGAACGAGCATATGTCCGCAGGTTGGGGCCCATCAAGGGGAAGACGAGGACTCTATGGTGTGTCTTAGGGGCTTCAAGCAGAAAGGTCTCCCGGTAAATCAAGAGTCGGGAGGTGTCCCGTACCGTACTGGCAATTAGATTCTATGCGGCATACTCTCGCTCGCCAGAAGGCCCAGGTGTTATGATTTTGAGAGTAACGTCGTTGTCGCTGTTAAAATCGTGTGCCATCCAGACGGTTGAGAAGCCGCCGTGACCTAGCTTATGCTTAATGCGGTATCTGTTGGCAAGGACCTCTCTAATGCAGACTGGATAATAGAGCCCCTTATCGTATCGTTCTGCCGGCTCACATTCATCCTCAACCTCGCCCTCGTCGTCGGAATCAACAAAGTCGCCCCAGACAGAGGCGCAATCTGCATCATCGCTTCCAGTAGTCATTATGATATCAAGTAGGAAATGGAGGAAAAGAAGGGGCCAGTAGTTTGATTGCTGGAAGGTTGTATGTAAGAAAAGAAGGATGTTATGTAGAAGTGAATTTTAAAAGAAAGAGAATTGCCGCACAACCTAATCTAGCGATACAATCAAGCAAGGAGAGTTTGAATGCTCTAAGAATAGATACATGCAGGATTTTCTCCACTTCAGGCTTGACCCCTCCCCCCCTCATCTTTGCACGCCCAGATATAGTACAAGTACTTTCTCCACTTTCCAATCTCACATGATCACGTGAATGTTGCCGCCGATGAGACTGGTACTTGAGCGCTTACTCAAAACATTTACATTTTCTTTCTTATAAGCCCTATTAACTACCTAATAATTGACCTCTTTGAAACTGTGAAATACGCGCCCTGCCCCATGGCTTCTTCAGGCCTGCTCAAATCTTGTCAACTGTTCTCCCTACCACACATTCTTGTTTCTTTCAAGCTCAGTTCATTCATACTATTGTTACTTCGGTTGCTTCAGCACATTCGAAAACACCAGAATGATGTTCATTTGTTATCCTGGAGATACCAAGTCGCATAAAGCACCCTGGGTTTCCTGGGGCGTTACCCAATACTAGAGCATAAGACCAATATGTATAACCATCCTCTCTACAAGCGTGTTTTCGCACCCCAAGATACAAGCACCATACTGGCGCAAATGTGTTAACTGCAACCCTCTCAGCCATTGCTCCCTCTGGATCCCCATTACTGCTTTCCCAAACTGGCTCCATGTTTTCTGTCGACATCGCACAGCGGACTACATCCATACTTCCATCTTCTAGCTGCAGTGGTGTATCATTGTTGAAGGTACAGATGCGATCTGACATAAGTGGATAGCCATCACCTCCATCTGTTCGCCTGTTTAGCAAGGCAATATATTGAGTGGGCTAACCTTATTAGCGCTTGTTCAGTGGATCTATGTTCTGAAGAATACAGGGGTTTAACCACCAAAACGCTGCCAACAGTACATAGGCTCAGCTGAACTAGAATCAATATATTCCTCTTACGGAGTACTATTAGTCCTTATAACATCCCGGCGCATCAGCTGATGCAGAATTGTGTTGGTTGTGTCACTGAAATAAGCCCTCTGCTGAGTCTAGGCTGCTCAATGAGTGCCCCAAGCTTCGCTGCCATCGTAAGGGCGGTCAAGAGATGTGGCTTCCTTTTTTCCACTTGTGAAAACCACCTTGAAGAGTTGATATAGTGTTGTCGTTGCCGTCAACGCTGGTGACAATGCAATGGCCTTGATCGTAATGGTGGCACCTCTTCTAATCTCTGTGCAATAGAGTCACGTCTCTATGCTTGACACATCGCAGAGACTAGGTTCTCACTATTGCTCATGTTATTGTCTTGCTTGTCTTTCCCTTAGATGACAATTGCTGGGTAGTGACTGGAAATCAGAGTTGTGGAAAAGAGTCCTGGTGTTATTATGCTCGAAATAATGCAAACGAAAGAGAGTGAACCGAGTATTGAATCGGATTACTAAGAAAGGCCATATATCTTTCGAACTATAGCGATTACAAAAATACTACGCTTAATGAATACCCACCCTACTTAGACCATTGTCGCTCCGGTTCCTCGAAATATAGGTCCGGAACCGTTGGGGCCGTTGCCTCTTCCCTGGGCCATAACTGCCTCGGAATAGTACGAGTTGTTGCATAATATACACGTTACTTGCTGTTGTAGCGTATATGCCCTGTGCAAATTTGCTTCGAATTGGATGTTTACTTCAGTTTGATTAAAATCAGAGTGCGGTCACACAGTCTTTTCTCTCCACTATGGCAAAGACCCGGAAAAGGATGTCGCGTAGTAAATTAAACTCTATGAAAAACAAAATAAAACATACAAAGCCTTCATCTTACTGTGCAACCTTTGTGTTGAACCGATTGGGGCTTGGCAAACACACATAAATACCCTGCACAAGGTCGGTTTCCCCCTCTTTTTCCCCTAATTGCCGTAGGTTTACTCCGTAGAGCCTGATAGATCTCCCCAGATGGAGCTTGAAGCTAGACTATTATAAGCTAGAGTCTGTGAGTTAGCTCGAGAGTGAAATGCATATAATTGGTTAAAGACTACCTATTCACCTTAGGTAATAATGACCGCCCCGCAAGATTGTATGGAAAGATACGTACTAGTAAGTGGCTGGTTCATGGGAGAGTGAGATATTCCGGTGCCGAAAAAAAACCCGAGAGGTAGCGGCCCTGAATAACCGCTGAGTAGTTACCATTTGTGGCCCATCCATATGCAAACCATTTGAAAGGCTTCCTTGGCTTTCGTCTATTCTCGTACTACTAAGCCGATTTGTATTACATCCGGATATTTTCTCACGTTTTTGTTGACCGGTTGCTTACTAGGTGGGGAATGTCTGTGTCGGAGGAATCGCTGAGATCCGGTGGCCCATCCACAGGCCGCCGGATGCCAACGAGGGTGAACAATGCCTGCCAACGATGCCGTCGGAACAAAAGTCGAGTGACGTAACCCCTTCTCATGCCAGTAATGGTGCAGAGGGCTGGATACTGACCGGATTCTAGTGTGATGCCTTCCGGCCATGCTCACTCTGTGCACGTGCAGACGTGCCCTGCGAGCCGGCCCTCCTTGGGAAGCCAGCGAGAAGCAAGACTAAAGCCGTGAACCCTCACAAGTAAGTAGTTTGACAGGGCGCATCGTAGGTGGAATCGCTCGATTGCTAACACACTCTATCTTTGTCACACAGACGCTCGCGGCCGCATACCAATGGCAGTGATGACGGCCTCACCTCATCCGTGGCCGCGACGAGGCGGCCCTCGTTATCTCCAGGAGATGGTATAAATCCCGACATAGAAGGAGAAGAAATACAACCGGCAGCTGCCACAAGGGAAACAGGTGCTGCACCGATCAGTCGGCGTGGCTCTTGGTTGCCTGTAGACTATGGCGAGTCTGAGTCGGCTATGGGTATTGCGCGCAAGGTATGAGCTCCGGCTGTCACTGCTTTATGCTAAAAGTCAACTACGAACACAACAATAGATATATAGGCTCGCAAGTCAAACTATCGATGACCACTCGACGTCGGCTATTCCAGATGGAGGATACGGAACTCGGACGCCTCAGAAACGCGCTGGCGATCGGCGTATACCAATATCGACCATCATGGGCAGTAGATTCCCTGACCAAGAGAAAATTTGCTCTTTACTCGAGAGCTTCTTCGAGTCAGTACACTGGTTCTCTCTCGTCATCTACGAACCGAAATTCCGCCAGCGCCTCCAGTCCATCCAGGACGGCTACGCTTATCCATCCGAGGCGCCGTTCCTGACCCTGCTTTCAATGATTCTGTGTATGGCTGCATGGTACCGTTCGAAAACGGGCACTCAAGAATCCAGAGATGGCCAGGAATGGCGCCTCTGGAGTAATGATTTGCTCAAGATAGTTGAATCCCGGCTGGTCCAGATTCTGGACCAGCAGTCGATTGAGGCCGTGCAGACTTGCATCCTACTGGGATCCCATCACGTCTACCATGGCCGACCGAGTCTATCCTTTTCACTTCTGGGTGCTACCATAAAGATGTCTCATGCCATGGGTCTGCATCGTGGCCATACGCGTGGCAGCCCTGCTGACATCCAGGAGCGCAAGAGAGTATGGTGGACTATCTACACGTGGGACAGGTATGTACGACAACGCAGGGGTGGCTCGCCTATTGTGTAGCTACTCGAGCTTTGGATAAAATACTAACTAGCCAGATTTGCTTCGATATCCTATGGCCGGCCGTTGAGTATTAATGATGAAGACTGCAATGTAGAGATGCCAGCCGAGATTGCCGAGTGTCCATACTTTACCCAGCAATCGCTACAGCAGGATCTACCAGGGATTATGTACTCGCCCTATCAGACGCAGCTCAGCAAGCTCTACGTTCTCGCTTCTCCTGCCCTCAAGATCATATTCGGCTCGTTATCAGCACGGTCCCCTATCACAAGCTTGGAGTCAAAGTACTCCTCGCTCATCAGCGAAGTCACGCACAAACTCCTTGCCTGGCGCCGCCAATTACCCCAGCATCTGTCGCTGGACCTGACTAAAGATGTCGACCTTGGAAACTCCGACCGAAGCTATCGTGCACATGCCTTGCAGTCGCTATCTCTTCAGCTCACCTTTGACAACCTACTCATCGTGCTTCACCGACCGTTTCTGGCTCGTCAGGCCGAGCACTTGTCCACCACGCCAGGTACCAACGCTGCCCAGCATAGTTCGCCCTTTACGCCGACACAATCGCCTACCATGATCCACGGCGCCGAGAGCATCCGATCACAGGATCAACTATCACCGGGCTTAGAGAAACAGGCGAGTTCTGAGTACTGGTGGAGCGCCGCTGTCAGGACCGCCAGTATTACCGAGTTACCCCAGCTCGCCCAGCTCGCCACAAACAGCCATCTCGTTGCTTTTATGGCCATAAATCTGTTTCACTCGGCTATAGTTTTGGTCCTGGTCGCCCTTCTAAACCCTCTTTCCGATTCCTCACAAGGTGTGAAGCGAACAATCACCCGGGTATTCCGATTGCAGGAGCTATTGGGTCAGCGTTCAGCGTTGTCAAGTCAGAGCAGCGTCGTCCTTAGGAATCTCATCGGTCTTCTACTGCGACGAGAGGGCGAGGCCATGCTCGGACCAGTAGGGATGGCGACCACATCGACGACCTCTCAAATGGAACAAGGCCCCGGCGCTGTAGAAGACTCTACATTTCTGTCGGTTCATGACACTCTTTGTCTCCCTCTGGAGGCCACCATTAATACTTCACAACAAGGGATGGAGGGGCCGCCCTGGCCAAAGTTGAATCTGGCTCAACGCTTAAACGAGACTCTGGCGTCCGTACAACAAGGTGAGACCTGCAGTCCCCTCTTCCCAAATGATGGGTCTATGATATCCGGCTTAATTAATCTCACACACGCTTTACCTAGTCTTTCCCTCTGTCCCAAATGACATGTCTTTTCTCGACCCGACTCAAGTACTCGAGGATGATGTAGATGCTCAAGACAACTCCTTGCCATTGACACAGCACGACATGTCCCAAACGCCGTTTAGCTACCAAGATCCCGGAGGTCTGGGGAATCAGGTAGATTCGGTAGATTTTGAAGGAAATAGTCTTTTCTGGTTGTGGAACTCCAACTGGAGTTCGGATCCTGCATCATAGATAGCTTGGAGGGCAAATAGAACCCAGGGAAGGCAATTTCCGTATTTTCCCCGGTATCCCTGCCGCAACGGAATTTCATTAATGATTTCAATTCGTTCGTCGCGATTGTGAGATGGGGACACAGCCGTACTGGAACAACAAGGTCAAAGTAGGGATCGAAGAATGGAACGGTCTTATGGTGGTATTTTATTCTAGAAAAGACAATGGAAAAGTGGAAAGAAATGAAATCAAGAAGAAAAAGAAACCCCGCTTACTCCAAATCCAGCCAGAAGGTCTAGAACATCAATCTTCCATGAGTCAAGCAAGACTGAGTGAGCTCACATGATGTGTGGTCTCAGCACTTGGTCTCTCGTCATTGCCGGTCATGATGGCGGATCAACTGCCAGATCCGCCGGGCCGAGGAACGATTTGACCATCCGTAGCAGTGCTAGTCTACCTTTCCCTCTACGGTTCCGACGGCTCAGACCGGTTCCGTAGCATTAATCCTTGTGCCCGCCCACATTACATGCCGGATCAACCTTGAAGGTGGGGAAAAGTCTGGGGTCATGGCTTACCCCCTCACTGGCCAGCAAGCCATGCGGGCAGAAGCCGTGAAGATATGCCTGCTCACTGCACATTTTCTAGCCCAATTCTAACTAGCCTGGGGAATTCGCCATTTTTTTAACACTCTGGGGTAGCGATCGGTTGTTCCAGACTAATAAAGTAAAACTTTTATTATTTCGTGTATAAAAAGTCTGGGGCCCCGGATTCAAAATGTAGATAACCTTCTCCATACTCCGGACTACATCAGATTAAGACAAAGACGACAAAGAAGCTCTTCACCCTCTTCAATCCTCTGGTTATCGATCATCAGTATGGACAAGCCTGAGCAGCCTTCCATGATGGAGTCTGTTCCACCATCGGGAGAGAATGACAATCTCCCCGTTGTCAAGCAGTCCTGGCTCGAGGCCAAGCTCAAGCCCAAGGTCATTCACCATCGTTATCCGTTTAAGGGAAAGCCTCTCCTCTGGATGACCTGTGCTTTTGGTAGCTTGGGCGACGCTCTGTTTGGTTATGATCAGGGTATGTTTTTTCCCCACTTATCCCCAAACACCCGTTCTTCGGATGTTCCCGCGTATGGCCTCTAACACATCTCTTCGCAGGTATCGTCGCTGGCCTTTTGGTCAACCCGATCTTCATTTCTCGATTCTTTGGAGATTTTGGAGGTGCTGATGGCACCAGTGACAATGTCAACCCCAACATCACCGGAATTCTTGTCGCTTGTCTCCAGGTCTCTGCCGCCATCGGCTCTCTCATTGCAGGCAACCTTGGAGATATGATTGGAAGAAAAAAGTGTGTTCGACTTGGCGGCTTTATCTACTTTGTAACCGCCTTCATCCAAGCCTTTGCCCCTGATTTCAAAACCTTCGTTATCGGCCGTACTCTCCAGGGATTGGGCGTGGGCTTTCTTTCCATGACTGTTCCGGTTATTCAGACTGAGATTGCTTCGCCACACCGCAGAGGTCTCATGGTGGGAATCGAGTACACATTTCTTATTGGTGGATACGCACTCTCGACTTGGGTTGATTTTGGCTTCTACTACCTCATCCCCAAGCACGAGTCCTGGCAAGGTCCTTACTTCATCCAGATGGGTCTTGCCTTTATTCTCTTCTCCATGTCCTTCTTCCTCCCCGAAACCCCTCGCTGGCTGGCCCGCAACGGCTTTACCCAGGAATGTCTCCAGACTGTCGCCGATCTCCACACTCCCGATGGTAACACCAATGCCGAGCACGTCCAGCACGTTATGCTTGAGATCAAGGAGGCTGTACGTTACGAGGCCACCCTGGGTCAGTCCACATGGCTAGAGATGTTTACACGCTACCGCAAGCGAACTATTGTCGGTATCACGGCACAGATGTTTGCTCAGCTGAATGGAATTAACGTCATCTCATTCTACTTACCCACCACGCTCGCCAATGCCGGTCTCAGCGTTGAGAAGTCCTTGCTCTACACAGCTGCCAACTCGATCCCCTACGTTTGCGCTACTATCCTTACCTGGTGGCTGGCTGATAGATGGGGAAGGCGTCCCTTGCTGATTCTTGGCGGTAAGTCTAAAACACTCAATCCCAGACACACTAGCATTTGTGACAAGTTACTGATATGTTGAATCATTAGGAGCCCTTATGGCAATTGCGCTCTGTATTGTCTGCGCCTTCACCGAAGCGAACATTAAGAATCCTAGCGTGCGAGCCCATGGCATCTATGCCTTCATTATGATATACAATGTCATCTATGGCTTTACCTGGGGCCCCATCCCATGGCTTCTACCCGCCGAGATCTTCCCCCTCCGAGCCCGCAGCAAGGGCATGGCTTTGGCCACCTGCTCCAACTGGGCGTTTAACTTTGTCATTGGCATGTCGGCCCCAGACGCGTTTGCTGGTATTGGTGGCTACTACTACGTTATCATTGCGGGCTTCTGTCTCTTCTCTTCTGGACTTGTGTGGTTCTATTACGTCGAGACATCAAACCATACCCTTGAGGAGATTGCTCTAGCTTTCGGAGATAAGGCTTTTGTGCACGAGGACGATCAGATCGTCAGCGCTGCTCATCTCGCCCCTGGCCAGACTTCAAGGAAGGCATCTATGGCATAAACCAGTTCCTGAAGCATTCGAAGTAACAGTATAAGGGAACAATATTGTTATAACTCAAGGTCATGTTCTAGGGGAATAAGAGCAACAGAAAGATGTATTGTACCTAAATGTTTTCCAAGTAATATACTACTGCTATACCCAATAGTGCCATACTGCATTATACGTTATGACAAAAGTAATAGTCCAATAGTAAAATGCACCAAGTCAACTGGTCATATCGAGACCAAGTCAAGATGCACAGAAGAATTTAAAACCCCTTTCCCCACCGTTTCTCACCGATATCATAGTTTGCCAACTGTCTAGGGACCTCCAGGCTCGCCAGCCGAGGTATCAAGCCACCTATCACCAATATTGCGAACATACTGGCGTCCATACACGCAGTAATAGTTGCCCCTCTTGTTCTGGTCATTGGGTGACCAGATAATAACATGCCCGCCGACGGACTGCCAGGAACTGGTACAGGGGCTGTAGATACCCTGCTGGACAGTATAGGCCGTCTGGCCCTGCTTCTTCCAAACGGCAAGATAGTCGCCAGGATTTCCCCAACACTCGTAACTGGCACCAGTTTCGATAGTCTGGACAACGCTGAAACCGGCGCTGATCCATGAGACAGCCGCGTTGGCTGTCCAGCCAATCGAAAAGGACCGGGATTCGCTTCTGCCCGCAGTGCATTGTCTACTGGGGTTGCATTCAATGCCTTCCTATATTTGGGCAAGAATGTCAGTATTGAATTTCAGCAATAAAAAAAGAATACATCAATAGACCTACGCTGAGCTGGATATGCAATGGATTCTGGTGCGGATTGCCGTTGCCGACTGGACGGGTTCGGGTAAACCATTGGCCACACTGTCGCTTCGAGAGCCCGGCCTTCTTGACCGCATCGTCAATCTCCTTCTGAGAAAGCTTAGGAACTTTGCTCGGGACGTCGGAAGGGATCTCCCCATCGACCTTGCCCTCAAAGATGTCCATGGCCTTGGCGACTTCAAGAGGCCCATCTGGAAAGCACTCGCGTAGAGAGCGCTTAGCGAGAGGCTTGAGGTCCGCACCAAGTCCCTTGACAGGAACGACGCAGTTGACAATGAGTTCGTTCTGCTCAGAATACGACCGCAAGCAATGGAGCCAGCGTCGCCGTCCCCGATGCGGTAGGTGGTGTCACCGACTGTGACGTTGCCAGCGCCATTCTCGCTGACAAAGAATGAGATGGCGTGCTTGGCAAAGGCACCATCGGCGAGAGAGTTGGTGCAAGACTTGCCCAGGACCTCGGTCTGCTCGTTGTTCCAGACGGTGATGGCGGAATTGGAGTTGACGAGGTCGCGCTCAGAGACCATGTGAAGGTTCTGCTCAGCGGCGGAAGCCGTGAGAATGAGCGGTGCGGTGACCAGGCTGACCTGGGTGAACTTCATATTGGAGTATTAAAAGACAAGGAGATGAAGTATTGGGAGACTAGGTAGAGTGAAGAAAGATGCCTTGGGATGCTGAAAAAGGTATTTCTCAAGGGGAACAACATCACTTCTTATAGAAATTCGCTTGGTTATTCAGAGTCCGGTGGTACCTCCTCTCTTTCCATGTGAATATACCTCCCTTGCCGAATGATGGGTCGTCAAGAAGCGCATCTGTCATCCGATGAGTTGTTTTTTGTCAGGGCCTTCCCAGAGTGGGAATTCCGATTCCGATACCGTTCTGTAATATTGATCCTTTGTCGCATTGGGGGCCAATTACGTATAACTTTGATCTGTATCACAAGCTCAGAAACCCTTCAAGTTCTAGACAACGTCTGTAGGTGGTCTTGCTTGTGAATGTTATTCACAGACCTCTGGGGTATTGACGAGTGAGCGACAGGCATTCGTATCCCAACGGCGTAGTGTCTTTGAGTAGGAAGAGATGTAAGGGTTCCTAAACGAAGTCAATATTCAAAAACCCTGCTCAAGACTATTCCGCAGTCTTGGCGTTTGCGGTCATGAGGCCAAATGCACAAGGCTCATCAGCTCTCAGGTCTTGGCGAGCTGGTTCTCGACTTTGCTAGTTAGATCGACGAGTAGATTAGATAAGGACGCTTAGATTAAATCTCCGTCGCGGATAAGAAATCCTCCACTCTGATTGGGCTGCCTAGATTCAAGCTTCTTATGGGGGGACGGGAACGGAACTAACCGAGTCGGAAAGGCTGGACATTTAAAATGGAAATGCGTGCGAAAGACCCCTAATTGCTGTGCCGCTATGGCTTATGGACTGGACCCTGCCTTAGAGAGCCCGGTAAGGTTCCGATACTATATGTTTACTCCACTATAGAGACAACATTCGGATACAACCTTTTCTCTATGGCTAGAGAAAATTTAAAAGTATCACGCTAATAGCATAAGAAATACTCAGCTGTCAAACCGGAGGTATAGGCTAAAATAACCTTAAGGTCACTAACAAGTGGAGACTACTGTTTTGGTACATTGGGTTTAACACCAGCCACAAGACTGCAACGTTACGATTTGTATCCATGACAGCACCATCAGGCTTCTATGCAGCTACGTTTTCATCACGCCAAACTCAACTATTGTAAGCACGTATACTTTAGCTTTGTAGAACTCAGAGATTCATACGCTTTACATCCAGCTTTAAAATATTGACTATATGGTGTGCTAGTGTGATTTGGTAACTTGTTTTCAGACACACAACCTCCCAGTTCGAGTTTTCATCCACGCAAACAAATGACATGTATTTCCCATGTTCCACTACTGACTTCCGCTATCACATGGCTAAATTGCCCAAAATGTTCGCCTTAAACTACCCAACTTGACATTTCCTACTGCACAGTGAGATTGCTTAATCCCCAACCACCATAAGGCCCAGCCTGGGGAGTCGCTACATAGTAGAACTAAGCCTGCTTGCAATCCGGGCTAGGGCTCGTATTAGGGGGACCAGCCTTGATCTTGATGTTGAACGTGCCGCTAGGTCCAGTGATGTCGATCGACACATCTTGAGCCTCAGTATTCTTGTCAATAACAGCCTCAACAGCCGAACGGACAATGTCGGCCTGGGACGTCTCAGGAGGCTTGGTGCTACACTCCTTCTTGGTGGCCTCGTTGATCTGGCCAGAGATCACACCAGCTACGGCAACGCCAGCAGCATTGGCGACGAAAGGCTGGTTGAGGAAGTCCATGAGATCCTTGGTTACAGTACCACCGGCGGCATATTCAGCGGCGCTAATCCAGGTGTTGTAAGCCAAAAGTAAGACATATTGGCTTCCGTAGACGACGCATCTCCCGGTAGCCCTGCACGTGCCTTGAAGGTCGCGTGAATCGAGCTGAATGACATCAGAACGAGTGGAAATAGTACTATTCGCGACGATCTCATCAAGATCCCACTCAACATTGGATCTCTTGTGGACTATTTCTTGTCAGTCTCAATCTGTATCACATACAAATAGGGTTTACTTACGTTTCTCGTCCCACTTCTCCTCAGGGACACCCGTGAAGATGCCCTTGGCAAGTTCCTGCCAGCGAACGTTTTTGCCATCAAACTCAGTGACTTCGCCGTGGTTGAGAGCGAAAGCTCCTTGAGCACCAAGGAAAAGTGCCATGGCACCGGCGAGAAGTCGAGAATGAAGCATGTTGTCAAGGTTTGAGATAGCGTCTGGGGGAAGATGATGGGATGTTGTATTCAATGACGATGGATGGTGGATGGTGGATGGTGAGGTGGATGATTGTGAATGATATTTTACTCGAGTTATGAGCTCCCTTAAATAATCTTCATGTGTGTTTATAGATGAATGAAATAACTTTTGGACTGTTGAGCACTTACACCTTCCTCTACTTTGACGATCTTGTTTTTGCAATGATGTTCTAAATGCCGATCGTAAGTAACGGTACGTACCGTGTACACTCATAAGCATACTAAAAGAAGGCAGACTTAGGTATCCATCTTGTCAGTACGCACAATAGTACTTATGGCTTGCACTGCCAAGATGTCTTCACATCCCCAAATTCGCGCCCAACTTATAAATCCAGCTTACAGCGGTACTTCTGGATACTTTATTTACCTCGCCAGAGATTACTTTTGCACCTTTTGACCAACTCATTTCTGTCACAGTTCAGCTTTAAAAGTACATCCATGTACTTAGATAGCCTCGGAGACTTTTTAAAGAGCGTGGTAACTCAAGTGAGCATGACATCACAATGTCTTACAGCAAAGCAATTGACATGGACTATCAGGGGAAAGCAAAATAAATCGGGGCACCAAGAGAAACATGACAGAATAATCTCGCAGCCTTCTAGCTCTAACCCTGCCCATATTGATCAGACTTTTCTGTCTAGACGCTGGAAGTGGACCTATTCGGCGATTCGTCTATTTCATGTCGATCATGTAACGATAGAGTTATAAGATTCATCCATCGTGGATTCCTCCCAGGCAGACGCATTCTACTTGATGATCAGCTCACTCAGCCCTGTTTGGTGGGGCCTTTTGGGGCGGGAAAGCTCATTTGGATTGGAAGGATCCAACTGTCAGCTTATGTCTGCAGCTGAGCAACTGCCGGCCCTCCATGTCAGCACGCACAAGCCTCTCGGACAACAAGGTATTCCCCGCACCCGCAGCATCAAGATCATCGAAAGGAAGATCGAAGGATCGAAGGATCCATAAACCTTCCGAAAATAAATTCGGCATCTATTTGTAAGGGGCCGTGTCATCTCAATGACGATCGGATATAGAGTCATTGACGTCATTGAGCGAAGCTCTGAATCGTTTGCGACATGTTACTGTTCCAAACTGAAGTTCTTCGCTGCCTGATTCTTGATTCCTGTATTACTGATCATCAAGAAGGAATATCTTAGGATCAAAGGATTCACTCACCTGCCTAAAGGAAACTACGGCATCTACTTCAGGAGTCAAGAGGCGATATTCTCTATCATGGGTCGGAGCTTGGAAGAATCGTCAAGCCGCAGACAACGGGGACATTGCATCAAACTATGAACTTTGGTTCTTTGTTTGTTGTTGGCTAGAGATGAAGTCATGACGGGTAGGTACAGAATCTTTGCATCAATGAGTTACTTCAAGTCACCCGCTGTTAGCAAGACAAACTGCCTCGAAGAAGTATTAAAAGGCTGCCATATCCCACAAATTCATTTCAAACCATTCACTTCAAACATCTCATCATCACAATCCAACAAACATCAACTACTACCACTATCAAAACACTCTTAGCTTTTACTACAACTCTCAAATCACTATGCATTCCATCATGGTTTTGATCGCAGCTTGCACTGCCTTGACTACTGCCCAGCCCACACGCTCCAACTCCGCAGGCCTTGAAGCCCGTGATGATCTCCTTGGGCCAGCTACTTGCCCCAGCGGCGACGAGTTTGCCATTGACGAAGAGGAAAGTGCTTCGGGCGCCGAGGGGTTCAAGCTCTGGGTTGAGCAAGGCGCCGACGGAGCGATCGATCTTTCTGGTAACTTCAAGGGACAGATCTCTGTATGATATCACCCCTTATATCTTGGATTCGAGCTCCATAACTGACCCCATCTTCTAGAAAACTCACAATGGCATAACCTTCTTTGCTTGTGATTACAAGAGTGGAGGAAAGGGCAGTTATATCAACGGCAACTTAGTACAGTCGGTTCTCCGCAAGGACGCATATCTCGACAGCAAGTGTGGCCATGGCAGAGCTGGTTACGAAAGCAGCAATGACCTCAGCATTGGCCGTACCTTCGTAAGTCTTAGAATGCATTAACCCTATAAGGCTATCATCTTTCTAACATGTGGAATCTTTAGAATGGCGACCACTACTGTTAAGGATGCACTTTATAGCATGTCCTAACCGTTGAGTGATTATTTACGAGACCAATGGTTTACGTAAAACCTTGACCAATCTGACTAGATCGCGACAGCCTAGGAATTTTAGGAATTACAAAGAGGGACTTGTACTTAGCTGAAATACTGTCTTTACCTCAAATGGGTTTCTGAGAATGTATGAAGGAATGTATATATAAGAAGAATGCTGTCATTATCTCAATTACTCTTTTGACATCTGCTACAACAAAATATATGTGACTGTCCGTTTTACATCTTGATGACTACTCCTTGTAGAGTGTCTTGTCACAGTAAGGCCCGTTCTCAGTTTCTAAAGATCCTCGCCATCTTTCTAAAGCCAATTTCAGCAAGAGGTAAAGAAAGAGCCGCCAACAGATCCAACAATACCCTGCAATATTAAGAAACTAATAAAGAGAAGAATAAAATATTAACAAGGTATATAGTTACTATAAAGTACTGCGCATTATAATATTTACTCCCAGGCATTTTAAAGTGGGGTTAGGCTTAGGCATAAGAAGAAATAAACTGAATTGCTCTTTTATCTTTCTACTAATAGTATAATGGTGCCTTTACAATAGTTATGCCTAACATCTTAGAGGCGGTAACCATTTTCCTGTTCAAGGACAATAAAAGACTCAAACGGCCTGAGAGTTAAGACACGACCTCGAAGCTCCTCTCGTGTTTCATAGTTAGCTAGAATAGTTGTCCCATTCTTTAACAAATCTATTGTTGCTTGTGGCGGCGACCATTCCTGTTCATCTTCGGTGAAATTCGTCACGATCGTGGCGCAGGCAGTCTTACTAACCCGGTTATAACAGAAGACGGCCGGGTGCTCGCGATCCACCATCTCGAATCGGCCATAAATGAAGACTCCGTAATACTGCCGTCGCAACTCTATAATATGACGCCAGTAGGAGAAGACACTGGAAGGATCTGCAAATTGCTGCTCTGCGTTGCACTGTGCGTAATCATCATTAACGCGCATCCAGGGAACCATGGTGCTGAAGCCACCGTATTCTTTAGAGTTCCACTTCACAGATTAGTAATAAATCCCTAATGTCAAGGGGGATACTCACCTGGACCGGCGAGCGAGCGTGGTCTCTTGCTTTGAGACGAACTTCGTCAAGAAACGACTCAAGGCCGACCTCATCGCCCGCAAGTTTTTCTCGGGCACTTAAGACAACACGTTAGAACAGAGACCGTTTCGCTGAAAGTAGTAATGGGCGACAAACAGTTGATAGAAATTTTGGGTTTCCACATCCTTGTACTCTTCAATTGGCCAATCCCGCGGCAGATTGGACATTCCTAGCTCTTGTCCTTGGTAGACAAACAAAGTGCCCGACTGAAAGCCAATAAAGGTGGCAAGCATCTTTGCGGCGAGCTTCCGGTTTGACGAACCGTGTGGAGTGAATCGGGAGACGGAACGACTCTGATCATGGTTCTCCAAGAATAAGGCATTCCACCCATTATGCTCATACATGCATGTCTGCCATTTTTCCACGATGCCTTTCAATGTATGAAGTGACCACTGTTTGTGAGAGAACTTCCCTTCGGGACCGTTGTCCATATCGACGCTGTCCGGAGGTTAGAAACTGTTGTTCATCGCATTTCAAGGCGGGAGACTCTCTTGTTCGGAGTCGTCGGCTCGGAAACACTTACATGTCAAATTGAAAGATCATGTTCAATTCCATTCTTTCAGAAGCGACCGATTTGATCACATCGCCTTCATTTTTAGCCCAGGGCATCTCTCCGACTGCGAAGGCGTCGTAGTGGTCCAAGATTTCCCGAAACCCTCGTAGGAATTCATGAAGGCGAGGACCGTTGGCGTAGTAGAGATGGGCAGGCTGGAACTCCTGATCCGGAACGGTGACAACGGCATCTGGAAGCCCCGGTGTCTTGCTGATGAGGTTGATTACATCCATTCTGAATCCATCCACGCCCTTGGTCAACCAGAATTTCATGATGTCATGAACCTCTCGGACCACTGCCGGGTTCTCCCAATTGAGATCCGGTTGTTCCTTGCAAAACAAACGCAGGTAGTATTCTTCAGTCGCATCATCATAGGCCCACGCACTGCCTATAAGGGGAGGTCAGTAAAATGAACTGTTCAGTATACATGAAGGGAAAGATAAACCTACCTCCAAAAATGGACGCCCAGTTATTAGGGGGGTGTCTGATCCCTCGTTCGTCGAAGATCGGCTTCCTCCATATATACCAGTCTCTTTTAGTGTTGTCAAGAGAAGATCTTGACTTCTGAAACCACGCGTGCTAGTTAGGGAAAGTCAGTAACGATGAACCAGGGCTTCTTCAGCTTGCGCTTACCTGGTCAGAAGTGTGGTTTACTACCAAGTCCATGACTAGTTTCATTCCTCGCTGATGCAAGCCGGCTATGAGGCTTTCAACATCTTCGAGGGTCCCGTATGGTGGATGGATGGTACGGTAATCCGAAATATCATAACCCATATCCACTTGAGGCGATTTATATACTAGAAAGTGTCAGTAGCTGGGTTTTTTTTAAAGCACTCAGACGGGATAAGACCTACCAGGGCAGAGCCACAATACATCTGTGCCGAGGGCTTTCAGATAATCTAGCTTGGTAATTATACCAGGAATATCTCCAATGCCGTCGCCATTCGAGTCGCAAAAAGATGCAGGGTAGATTTGATAGACTGAAGCTTCCTTCCACCACGCTCTTTGTGCATTTTGAGGAACGCTCAGGTCCCTGCTAACGTTTTCAGATACCATAGGAGCTATATTGCCGGTGTTGCGGGAAGCAGAAGGAAGGAATCCAAGTGCAAGACAAGTGGAAGACCCTCGAAATATACTTACACTAAAGTCCACTGGCCGATGACATATACAGGTCTCGTGGAGCACATGCACCGGTCAATTACCGGATGTAGAATACCGCCTGTATGCGGCCACCGCGGGGTAATCCATACATATTTCTCACACAAGCATGCGGGGGCAATTATGTTGCTAATCTTGATGAGGAAAATATCCGTAAGTTTACGTGACCGGGATAGTTTTGGACCTCCAAATGGCCGACAAGCTTCTAGCCGAATATTTACTATGTTACGTTACATGACTAGCAATGTGTTGAATACAGTAGATGGTGGCTGAGACTTCTTTTCTAGGCTGAGGCTCGCACTTTCGTTCATAAACTCTCGTCCTGCTCGTAACCTAGGATTTCCTGGTCTTTCATTTGTTCTTCTATAGCCGTTGGGAAAGAAGCAGGATGAAGCCTGGCAGCCAGAACGGTGCTTGCCTTCTGTACAAGCGGCCGAAGATACTGGGACTCGTGATTCCGAAAGCCAGCAAGAAAAACCATGAAGTTGTTCAGGACATCCAGCGCCGAAAAGAAGTTAGTGGAGAGTTGGTCCATGTTCAGCCCTGTTAAGTTGTCACACAAGCAACTCGCCACATCAGAAATCTTTTGCTCCTAAAGATATGGGAAGTTAGCTACGGTCATTACAAATATGTAGTTTACCGTGAGGGGTTTGTTTCGGTCTCCCACTAATCAATACCATGGGTTAAAGGAGACATACCATGCCAATACCATGAGACTCAAGACATTGCGGAGTAGCAGACAATATAATCTGCAATAAGTTCCGCGATGCATCCAAAACATAATGTGTGGTGGATCTATCAGCAGTTGAGACTGTCTGTGGTGTATGTCCAATTTGCAGTTGACAGACAAGCACCCGAAGCCAGTGATGGGTGACAAGAATATCAACACGCTGAGTTTCCTCGATGTCGGACGGTATGCCTTCCACGTCGTTACGGCGCATGTATCTGACGATTGACTGGCTGACCTTTTGAGGTATAGTACCAGTACCCGTAGGTGGTTGTTCCCTCCATGCGGTCATCAAAGGCCCGTCCACAGCAGAGAACACCCTAGCCAAAGTCACGAAGCCGTATGCTAGTTTGGGATCTTGTGATTCGAATACACGGGGTAGATCAACAGTGGGTGCTAGGACTGTTCGTCTCCGATGCTGGATAGCATAGGCCCTGTATACTACAGTCAGCAGGTCCGGGTACAAGATGGGCAGAGCAACAGACCGTTCTGTGATGAAAAGAAGCCAGAATATACGGCATCGACGCTGAGCAGTCTCCATATCAAGGCCAATATAGGTATTTGATTCATCCAGTCCCAACGCCTCAACGAATCCTATTGCCTCGCGGAGATAATACCACGCGAGGTGGCTCTGATTCACATTGCCATAGTATGCGAAAAGAAAGAAGGATGTCAGAACTGTCCATTCATCGGGATCCTCAATGTAACATCTCTGCTGGCGGGCTTGCAAACACTGAGACACGAAGAACTGTGCAGGAAACGCTGGCTGAGGGCTATGATCAATATCGTCAAGGGTCAAGCTCTGTACCTCGAGGCTTCCTAGGTCTGCGACATTGAGCTGCACGATGACCGCAGCGCAAAGGGCAGTGAGGAACGAGTAAAGACCAGATGGTAGCGGTTGTTCTTCATGTTCATCTGACTGCAGCAAAGTGAGAAGGTATTCTTTGTCGACAACGGGGAACACTGGGTAGAGTCGTTGGAAGAAACTATGCACGTAAGGCAGAAAGGTTGAGCGCGGGAGTATAAGCAAAGAGGGTTGAAGGTATGCCTCTACTCTGTCGTTGCTCGCCCAAACTCCCAATTCAGATGAGTCGAAGTGAAGGTGCTCCGGAGTCGAGATAGCTTCGCCAAGGTGCGACTCAACAGTCGAAAATCTTTGCAAGGGGATTGGGCTGGTACCGTCGGATGATGTGTCTGCCTCAGTAAACTCCGTGGATGTGCTGCAGTTGTTAAGGGACTCCGGTCCTATGATCAGTGTCGGAACCATATCCACTCTATCAGCGGGCGTCTGGGACTGTGAGGATGTTGAAGCACTGCCGGGGAGTTCCAGGGCGGCATCTGTGGTCGATAATAATCCATCGTTGTCCCAAATTATATCCGAGGTGCTCATTGAGCCACAACAATCAGATGATTCCATTCTAGAGCGAGTCCGTGCTCGGCGCCCTCTAGCCTTCGTGACAGCGTCGTAGCAACAGGTGATCTGCCTCCTTATGCAGGTTAGGCAGGGCTGTTGACGGTTGCATTTTGCCTTACTCCGCCGGCATTGATCACATGCGCGTCCTGGAGCCCGCTGTAGTGGAGCGCCGGATTTGGGATTGTATAGCCTGACCGAGAACATGGAGCTGGTAACATGCAAGCAAATCAAAGGCGGCTCGAGCCCGGATGGAAGGGAATAAATTCCCGCTTCCTTTGTGTAGCGAGGAGAGACTAATAATTGTGAAAGTGTGATAAGGCGAAGCAGGAGTGAAGAACAGTTCGTACTACAGAGTACCGTGATTGAATTCAGCTAATATAAATGGATAAGAATGGATAAGAGAGTGTGATTTGGAAGATGAATGGATAGTAGGATTCAACAGCGCTGAAAAGCTTAGTACCCCATGTTTATCCCCGCAGTGACAAAAGACGAATCGCGAGCTCCTGTCTCTTCTCCAGCATGCACCCCAGCCTAACGGACCGAATACCCCATATGATCGCCAGGTTCTTACAGGCGTGGCTGACTGAGACTAACTATTCCATATTCAGTAAATGGCCGAAATTCAAGAACCTGGCAGTGAATGATTCTTGAGTCTCAGGGCACCTTGCCTCTTTGGGAGGTAGGTGCATAATCCCCAGCACGGTATCAGGAACAAAAATGAAATTGAGAAAATACTGGCATAAGGCTTTTGAAGGAGAGGGCGCTTGTGTCAAATTCAAAATGAGCCTGTATTTACAAGTCAGTGAGTAGGCCGGTAGCACGTAAGTTTTTTCATTGTCACTGGGGAACGGGCATGCTTCGAAGATACGATTGAAGATAAGTGGAATTTTACAACGTGCTCACGTCAATGCACAGAGAATTGTAGGAGAGAGTTATGTGGTGTTGTATTTTACACCTTCTGAGATGTCCCAAGTCATATTGAAAGTAAGGAAGGTGCTACCCTACCAGTGCTGAGTTCTCGTACTATAAAGGCATAAAATAAGGAGAAGAACGAGAAAGCTGTCTGCGTCAGGAATGGCAATTTAAATTGCAAGGATCCAACAAACATATCCGCCTCCAAACTGCTTCACTAAAGTTCCACCTTCTCCGGCTTCTCATCATTACCGCCAAGACCATGGTGGAATGGGTCCACCTTTGTTTGCCTGAACTTCCTGGCGCTGACGCCTTGTTGGAAGAGTACATCAAGCTCTGCATAGGTGCGGCCCTTCGGTTCTGGCAGGCGAAAGTAAGTCCAGATGACACAAAGGAAACAAAAGCAAGCCCAGAAGAAACCGGCTTTGCCTCGCCAGTTCCAAGCAGTTGGGTTCAGCATGTACGGGATGATGACACCGTTAACAATACTGAATAGGTTATAAAGATTGCGAGAGAGAACGATGGTCTTGGCGCGAAGGCGGGTCGACGAAAGCTCAGAAACAAGTGAATAACAAACTGGTCCAACTGTGGCATCGTAGATGAAGGTGTAGACCAGGAGCAATGAGCCGGTAGCCCACGAGGCAGCTATGTTGTGGGTTCCGGCTAGAGACACAAATCCAATGCCTAGAAGGAGGACAAAAAGCATAGACAGGCCACCCACATACAGCGATCGACGGCCAAAATGAGTCATGAGGACCCAAGAAGACAACGTGCCAAAGACTCCAATAGCATATTGTCCGAGGGCCATATTAAATGCGTTCTCGGTGGCTAGCCCGGCTTGAAGGTAGAAATAGGTCGAATAGCCCATGAGACCAGCACCACAGAGGTTTTGTGCAGCCCAAGTAAAGCAAACGACCTCTGTCCGGCGAAGATCAACACCCTTGAAGCAGTCGAGGTATGTGGTTCCCGCTTCTATCTCCTTTTCAAGCTCATTGGTATAGACCATCATCGCGACAGTCTCCTCAGCATTGAAGTCAACATCTGACTTGCTTGTCAGCCGTTTCAAGGCAGTTACGGCGTCGGCCTCGCGTCCTTGTCGTACAAGCCACCATGGGCTCTCTGGGGCTAGAAACACTCCGATGATAATGGGAATTGGCCATACCCATTGGATTGCGAAGGGAATGCGGTACGCCCATTCATCACTCCGAGTAATAAGGCCCCGCAGAACGCCAGAAGCGATAAGCTGCCCCATTACCCAACAGAGGTTGACATATGTCGTCAAGTAGCATCGTAATACTACAGGACAGACCTCGGAGGCATACGTCACTGTCAACGTCTGGAAGACACCGAGTGGGAGGCCCATGAGGATTTCGCCGACAAGAAGAGTTGGAAGATTTGGAGCGAAGAAGAGAACAAAGATTGCACCAATGATAGCGGTGAGTGCGTACAGCATCGTTTTCCGATATCCAAGACGCTCCGAGACAAAGCCTGTAATGAACAATCCAATAAATGAACCAACGGCCATAGCATTAGACAGGCCAGATTGCCACTGAGCAGTGAGCTGATATGTGCCATCTGGCTGTAGATCGCCGTACTTTTTGTTGAAAGGATCTATAGCGTAGAATGATCCCATAAGAACAACATCGTAGCCTTCCATCACAATAGCAGTGGAAAGCAAGACAGACCATCCGATAGCCTTGGGATAGAGCCGAAGGCCCTCCCAGAGAGTCATCGAATGTTCCTTTGTGGTTGCGGCTTGGGCATCATGAATGGTTTCGCCAAAGTTATCTTGACCCGTTAAGTGGAGGGCAGGTGCTTCTAAGGCAGTGACAGTGGCCTTGCCTGAGGTAGTGGGCTCCAAAGGAGAGTGCATTGTTGGCTTGGCTATGGCGAACCGAGTATTCAGAAGAAGTGTTTATGTTTCAGTTAAAGAACAAGGTCGGTGATGTTAATAGTGAAGTGAATCAAGGATGGTCGAACAATCACCATACAGGCCGAGTTATATAGCCCCAGACATGAGGCAAAGCGATGGCATAGAGCCTTTTGCCGGCTGGTGGCTTGATCGCTTTGCGCTAAAACTCTTAGAGAGCTAACGAATGGGCTGGTTGAGCCAGCAAACCTGGGGCCAACTCAACGGTAGCTCATCCCCGTAGGTAAGAGTGCATTTGTTTCTACGCGGCCATTTACTACAAGCGGTTAGGCATATTCCTGTCGGGAATGACCAACGATGCTCAAGGTGACAAGCCAGGGCGACACGGCCAATTACTACATCTGGCTAGTGGACCTGCCGCAAGCATTTACATACACACGTGGAAAAGAGTTTATTACAATGCTACTGTCGGTTGCAAGAAGACACATGAAGATTACAACAAGCTTTCCTACACCAACATAACGTCAACTTTCACTCTGTGGCATGACTTGCATTTTCCTTACTTCGTGAAGTCGAAGATGCTGATTTGTGGGACCAGGCAATTCCCGCTTAATTATATCCTCATTAATGGCTTTGTCTCTTAAGTCGATGGTAAATAGGACGGGCTGAGTTGCATTGGGTATTTAGTTTATCAAGTCTATACTCTATAACAGTAAGAGAGTCAATGGGACAAAGATTCGGAATTGGGACTGGACTTGCGCATAACGGTTAATACATTCACGTCTCCAGGGGTGAAAGCTAAGGGCCGGCGGTTAGTGCAGGGAAGGAGGTCCGTGAGTATGTTAAACGTGGAGAGAGAAGGTGTACCCGTGGATCCGTGGGCAAAGAGGCCCCATTCTCTGACGGATCCACGGGTACAAGTTGGCAGGGAAGTGAAGTAAAGACTACTTCCCCGCATTGACGAGACTCGGTCAAATACCGTTTTGAGCCATTTCCCGCATCTCTCTCCTGAGCTCTACTTGGCCATGATTCTCTTATACTTATTCCTAGCGGCACTTAGTACTTAAGAATAATTTTATCTTTATCCTAAAGCTCTGCCTCTCGCGGTATATATAGTATATACCTCCGCGAGCAATAGAATCTAGTACCATTCCTTTTCAACAGAATTCATTTTTTAGACCAATTTCCATACGATTCGCTTTACTCCTTCAACAGGCGCGTTGCGTGTCTCCTCACAACGTTTATCAATTCTCTTCATGTGGCGGGCTCGCTAGCTGCGAGTATCGGTCCTCAAACGTCGAACCGAAAGGGCCTGCATACTTGGTGGCATGATAAACATCAGGTCAACACTCGCGGCCCCGTCGCGGCTAATGAGGTTCGACAGTCGCGTAAGTACTTAGTGTCGATTCGTCTTGCTGGCGAAAGACAATTCCGGGATTCGTTTGTCTACGAATCTATTCCCCGTAACTATTCCCCGTAACGGAAATGGGAAGATGTATGACCCCGCAAACCCGAGTCGAGAATACAATCTTCCAGACGGCGACGGTATCACCGTTGAGACAGATGCCAAGATCAACATGGCGTGGACCCAGTTCGAATACTCCCAAGACGTTGAAGTGCGAATCAAGTCGACCGATAATTCGAAGCTTGGGCCGGCATCAAACGTTGTAATCCGCCCTTCCAAAATCAAGTACACCATCAGCTCCCCGGATGCAAACACAGTTATCATACCCGTCCCATATGATGCCAGCGGCCGAAGAGTTTCAGTTGAATTCCAGAATGGCCTTTATACATATCGTTCGAATGGGCAATTGTATGTCAATTCAGGGGGTCTTGCCGTTAGTGAAGAGCCACGAAACGCTCTCCTAATCTTTGCTAGTCCTTTTATTCCTAAAGGACTGATTCCATCAAAAACTTCCTCCAACACTCAGGTCCTGAAGCCTGGGAAGATCACCGCATCTACAATTGGATCCAAGCCTACCTTGTATTTCGAAGCTGGTATCTATTTGATGGAAGAAGATGGACACTTGGGCAAGAGCCATATCAAGTTGGATCCCAATACCAACTACGTCTACTTTGAGCCCGGAACATACATCAAGGGCGCATTCGAATATACAACCTCCAAGAACGACTTTTATACTATCGGGCATGGTGTAGTCTCCGGTGAAAACTATGCATACATGGCCAATACAGCCAAGGGCTACGTTGCAGAAAAAGATGATCGAACCAGTCTCCGGATATTTTCACATCAATCAGTTCTGGATAGCCAGACATGGCATTGCGTTGGCCCGACTCTTAACGCTCCGCCCTTCAATACTGTGGACCTCTTTCCCAAGGACCACACAGATCACGAAGAAGACAACAAGGTTAGGCAAGGGATTTCTGACTACAAGCAAGTGGGTGCCTTTTACTTCCAGACGGACGGTCCACAGATCTATGCCGGCACTGTGAAAGACTGCTTCTGGCATGTCAACGACGACGCCATCAAGCTTTATCACTCCAATTCAAATATCAAGGATGTGACGATATGGAAGTGCCACAACGACCCAGTGATTCAGATGGGCTGGAAGCCGCGTGGTGTCTCTGGGGTTACCATCAAAGGTCTCAGTGTCATCCACACTCGATACTTCAAGAGTGAGACTGGTGTTCCGTCTGCAATCATTGGAGCGTCGCCCAATTACCAGAGCCAGAAGTTTGTGGACACTTCAAGAACGGTTAGCGGAGAAATATCAGATATCACTTGCGAAGGACGTTGTCCGGCTTTATTCCGCATCGCACCTCTCCAGAACTACAACTTGTCGGTTAAAAACATCAAGTATGACGCGTTGCTCAAGGATGAAAAAGTCCAGCTTGGTCAAAGCTTGATCGGAATGAAGATTAGCGACCAGGAAGACGCATATATTCCTGGGCAGGATAAGCTTAAAATGGGTCTTCGCATTGAAAATTGGTCGATTGGTGGTAAGAAGGTTGACATGACCAATTGGAAGGTTGATGAGCTCGGCCAGTTTAACATTCATCCAGATTTCTGGGGAGACTGGACTATCGCTTAAGTCACAAGTGGCTTCCTTCTTACAGATGGAAAACGAGATTGAGGACAGGGGAGGTGGAATGCTTTCTATTGGTTCTTCGGGATACTCCGGCGCCAGAATCCCCTCACCTCAATACGTTCGTTTAGAGTTGCAGGAATACATACCATAAAACCTCAATTTAGTACGCGACAATCTTTAAGCTACTTTTGTTCAAGAATAAAAATACAACATTGTAGCCCTGAGGACTGTACCTACTCGTTAAATCCTTTTTAGTAAGTAATAATAAGTCGGTTCTTATTAATCGAATGAATTAACATCCGAGGCTGCTGGTAATATTTACCAATACGACGTCATAAAGAACCTTCCCTTCGAGGACGGGCTAACAAGTAACTTACCTAGTATATAACGTACATTTATTATACACAGGAGAACGCATCCCATAAGCCATTGAAGATGCTGTGCCGTTTCTGTTTCAGCCACTATTTAGTAATCCTGATTAGGAAGCAGACACCCCGCTTTCTCCTATTCGAACAATTGCTTTTGGTGTCACTTGCTCTTCTAACCAGCCTGCTTGAAGACCTACTTCTTTAAGTTTTTAGCACCCTACGTCACGCAGCTAAGAGATGGTCTAGATGAACGGGAATGCGCTGATTTATATCTCCGTCACGTCTTGACCCTTGCTCGCACTGTCCCCCTCAGGCGATGTTGAAGAATGTGGCGTTATATAGCGGCCGGCCAGACCGGGGGCCATATCTCAGCATTCCAATCAACCCGTCACGAACCTGTCAGCCCTAATTAAACTTTCAAAGGGGGCTTACTGTCTCAGTTAAGGCCCCACAGCTCGGTTTAGTTCTGCGATTATCGATTATCCCCGGGTCCCCTTGGGCCCGGTTTTTACGTACAATTCCCTTTCCGTCTTCCCCGGACTGTCTTCCTACATCAGCACGTATCTTCTGGCGACCTGTCGCGTCCACGTCATATGCTCGATATATCATGGCCGGCAACGAGTCAGTTCGTCGGGACACCAACGACAACAAGGTGTCACTCGTTATTGGCATCGCTACTTTTCTCATGATCACATCGACGCTGATGGTGGTGCTGCGGGTTGTGAGCCGAGCCACGGTGAAGCAATTTAGGCTAGACGATATGGCCGCTATCGCGTCTTTGGTAGGTTGACAGCACTTGCCGACAAGTACAAGACTGTAAATACTAACAATTCATGGAAGTTGGCCATGATAGGCTGTGGTACTGCAATAACATCAAGTTTGTGCTATAACAAGTCAATCGTCAGAAAGCAATAGCTAACCAGCTTCAGTGACACGGTTCGGTCTTGGAAGACATGTTTCTACCGTTTCAAGTGAGAATCTAATTCTCTTCGTAAGAGTAAGTACAACTCGAATTCCTCCAAACAAATTCACATCTAACCTTGAGTCAGTGTTTTTGGGTGTCCGTCTTTTTCTACATGCTATCACTGTTCTTTATCAAGATGTCCTTTCTATTCAACTACCACCGCCTCCTAGCCGCCTCGAGGCTACGGCGCTACTGCATCGGAGCGATGGTACTAATTGTACTCTGGGGTGGTGGTGTCTGCATCCTCGTCTTGGTCATGTGTATTCCTCTTGAAGGTGTCTGGGACCCAAACGTTGATGCGAAGTGCGTCCCGCATATTACCGTGATGTGGTGGTTCAACGGCGTTTTCAACTCCATCGGCGACCTCTTCATTCTGGCGCTTCCAATTCCGGCTCTGTGGCGACTCCAGTTGCCACGCCGACAGAAGGTTTACTTATTATTTATTTTTAGCCTCGGCTTTCTGTGAGTTAAGAGATACAAAAAGAAACACTTCTGTTGGAGGATGTTACTAACAGATAACGCGCATAGGACGGTGGGAATTTCCATTGCGAGGATGCGATGGCTCAAGATGGACGACGACATGACATGGTGGAATGTCACCCCTGCGCTCTGGTCTCTCGGCGAGCTGACGTCTGCCATTTCTTGCTCCTGTCTACCATTCTTCAAACCCTTAACACTCCGCGTTAAGTCCTCCCTCAGTCGTGTCACTGCTGGCTGTGATCACCCACGAGTGACTGGAGGCGAAGGAGACGAGGAGTCTAATACTCATCCAAGTCTCGGCGTTGGGCAAAAGGGGTTCACCCAAAGTAGCAATCCGATGGTCAGTAAGGATGGAAGCCAGCATGAGCTGGTAGAATCAATATAGGAATAGCAAATAGTCTTTTTTGCCTTTTATTTCCACTTGCATAATAAATACAGTCTCGAGGAGGGAACGAGTACTAAATTAAAGGCCGGTAATGGCTAGAAGCCTTGTCTTTTACCGAGAGTAGGTACAAGCTGTTCACAGCCTACTGCAATTATTTAAATAGTAATCTTTACTCACTTTACCACCTACTTGGTAATAACAATAATATTTTTAATATTCTTTTTCTTCAGTTAATTATGATTGGAGGTTATAATGAGGATAGGCAGGTTTTTGATGTGTTGTGTTCTCCGGGTCTGGTTTAAGTGAATGGTGATTTTCGACACACCAGGATGGAAAGCGACAGGGGTAGAAGCACCCAAATGTGACTTGTCCCACGAGCCTGAAGTCGCAGTGTAAGACCGACCGTTAAGGACGATAGAATTCGGAATTGAATATAAAACAAGAAGGATTCGGGGAGTAGTTAATTTATATATTTCAGAGTGGAAATACCATCCAAATGATTTAGAGTTTATTCGTAAAATGATGCATGGAAGAAACGTTGAGCATCGAATAATATTGGGGTGGACCGGTCACGGAAATACCATGGCCGATGCCGAATGGTAGCTTATTCGGTCACGGAAATGCTTGGACCGATACCGATGCCGAACGGCACAGTCTATCGGTCTCGGTACATTTTTTTCTTAGTCCGAGATTAACGTTTTAGCATAACAGGGGTTTAAACGACTTAAGCTATGCGGGGGCTATAGTGCTTACACGCAGGTGACGTGGACCGCTACCTTATGCCACCATCCTCGAGGGGCAGTGCGGTCATCCTGACATTCTGATTTGCTCTGGGGGAGATAGGATTGGGAGATGCTAGTATCAATGGCAAGCTGTATATTCCTTTCAGGAAATACAGCCACTCAACTCTCTTAGAGACCAAGAGATCACCGGAATGCCAAGCCCTATAAGCCCTGGAGGCGCAGTGATCTACGTCAAGCCTATCTTTATGGTTGTTTGTGATGATGAAAATTATTTACCGTAGCTTAAGACAGTCTTATTGACGTGGTTCATTGCAATTGACTGCAGAGGCAGGATATAAAGACAGTCCTCGATCCGCAACACAGCGACAATAGCTAGTCAATCTACCAAAAGACTCTCATCACTTATCGATATTAGTATTCACTTCAAACGCCTGTTCTACTCTCAATCACTACAGTTCTTTCCAGCTTCACAATTATTCAACATGAAGTATCTAGCGAGGACGTCTGTTGCCTCCGCCTTGGCACTTGCAGGTAAGCCACGGGAAACCCTCGAGACCGCCGTGATTGATGACTGACAACTTCTATCATATAGTTCTAGTAGTGCCAGTTCTCTCGAGTACCCAGCCCAGCTCTGGCTCAAGCGACTACGTTATAGCCAAGCGGGCAAATGGGGACAACAAGACCGGGACAACCGGGACAATTCATGGTGTTATCATGTCAATTGTCTTCTTGCTTGGTTTCCCAATCGGGTCCCTCCTCATGCCTCTCGTGGGAAAGTGGCTCGTCCACGCCTGGTGGCAGATTGTTGTCTTTATTGGCATGTGTGTCGGCTTTGGCGTTGGCAAGATTGCCGCTGACCGAAGCGGTGATGTACGTCGTCCATGAACCACCCTTTAGATGATACTGACCAAGTCCCTTCTAGTGGATCTCCGACTCCCATGTTGTGCTTGGCACCTTTGTCTGTGTTTTGATGGTCGCACAACCCTTCCTAGGGTGGATGCACCACCGAAATTACGTCAAGCATCAGCGACGAACCAAAGTCAGCTACGGTCATATCTGGTTCGGCCGAACCCTAATGCTCATCGGCATCGTTAATGGTGGGACCGGTTTACAATTGTCTGGAGCCTCCTCCGGCCCTATCATTGCCTATTCGGTGATTGGTGCTATTGTGTTCTCTGCTTATACTGGTGGTATTGTTCTGAAGGAGGTCAGACTGCGAGGAAAGAGAATGGACGATCAGAGCGCGATGGAGCTCTAGCTAATACGGTGACGCGGAGCATGGCAGTTCCGAAATGGAAAGAAGGATATCAAGATGAGTGTGTTTAATAGTCCTTTCTAGCGTGTAGAACTTGAGTTTGAGTCTGTTTGTTTCTAAATATTTATTCTTTCACCCTAATGTACTTGATGTCGTGTAATCCACATACCACCCCCCTAGGTTCAACCTAATGTTATAAGAATAACCTAAAACTTACATACTTGCTGCCCAACTAACAACTACCTTGATATCATACTAATGTCTAGTTCTTCAAAGAAGAGTAATGACTTCAACATAAAGAGATATAAGACTTATACTACTACATCGAAGCTTGGAGAAGCTAATGTTTTACAGTCGTATAGATTAATTAGGTCGATGGACCAGATACTATCTCCGCTACCTAAATGATAATACAAGGTGACTTATCCTCTGGGATAGTTTACATACCTTCGTCAGTCAACCATTTTTAGTCGATTGTTTAGGTACGCTATAGCACCTTGGAATTCTGAAATTTCTTTTTATTATAGTGGTAACTTGGGATATTGTTACCATTAATTCAGTTGAGTATAGTAAGGCTACCGACACCGTTAACCTCATACTGAAGTCACATTCATACCTGACATTTTTCTTGGAAGCCTCTAGCTTTGTTAAGTCGTGCGGTAGAATGAAGAGCTAATATAAAGAATAAAAGGGGGAAAACATCAAAATATATACAGTTTAAAAATCCTCCGATAATAATAAACGTCTGAAACAAATCATAAGCAAGGGTATGACCCCCCTAACAGTAGCTCTTTGTAGTGGCCTTGGTAATAACTCCAGCCCGAATCAGGTCAACATAGCTCCAGTAATCCCTCTGGGTACCCTGACCGTCGACAGGAGTATTAGCATAGGAAACCGCCGTCCAGAAGGCGCCACCAGCAACCTCCTTTTGCCAGGCATATCGCTGAGTGTCGAAAATCATCTTGCGGGTTGGCACAGACAGAGTGTTGTTATACATGGTCTGCAATGACCACTCTCCGACGAAGACAGGGAACTTGGTCTCGGTGGCGAGGTACTTGGCTTGGCCGCATACAGCGGGAGCCACGAATTGAGAGTAAGTGCCTGCTGCGGCAAAGTAGTACACGTGCGAGTCGATGACGAGGTTACGCTTCTTGTCGAAGAGAGGGGACCAGAAGGCAGCACCCTTGAAGTTGTCTTGCAGCATGACTGGGATGCGCTTGTCAACAGCCTCGACTCGCTTGAAAACTCCGTTCATGTAGGTAATGACCCAGTTGGCGGCCTTGTCGGATAATCCGGCCGCTGACCCAAAGCCGGCCAAGTTGTCACTGGCTTCGTTGATGGGGGCAATGGTAAAGGCGTTCTTGTGGCCACTTGTCTTGATGAAGTCGAGAACCTTATCCACAGCCTTGAGACTGTAAGCAAGATTGGTAGTGTTGTAGAACCAGGCATCGTGACCAAAGGCTTCGCCAATGTCAAGATTGTTAATGCCACCTGGGAGGGAGTGAAGGCCGATAATGACATGCATGTTGTACCGCTCAATAGCATATTGAGTGATCCTACGTAGATGCTCTTGTTGCTTGCCAGAGTAGAAAGCAGACCCAGGGACCTTGACCCAAGCCGCATAGGTAGTTGTGATGCGAAGGGTGTTGATTCCGACCTTGGCAAGCGTATCGATGGTAGAGGTGTTCAGGAAAGATGCATAGCGCTTTTCCAAGATAGGACCGCACTGTTTGCCGAGAGCCTGGCACAAACTCCACTCATCTCCTGTGGCCGCAGCCTTGGCACCAAGAGAGGTCCACCAGATGGGATCGTGATTCCTCTCTTTTGCGAGCCAAGCGCCGAGGTTGACACCGTTGGCCTTGAACGTCTTCCAGTTAATGAACTTGCCACCGTCACATCCCTTCGGGAAGGAAATATCGTGGTGGTATCGCTCATTATGGGGTTTGACGGGAGTCACGCTGAAGGGGCACTGTTTTTGGTACTTGGCCGTCTTGCCATGCTGGGCAGAATTGGTGGCGACGGTGAGACCAAGGGACTTGAGGTCCTTGGTAGTCTTGACGTTGACCTCGTAGGCTCGTGCCTCCAGGTTCTCGTTCAAGTGCTCAAGCTGTGGTGCAGCAGAAGCGGCAGAGAGCAGCAACGCTGCGGAAAGTCCAAGTGAAAACCGCATGGTAAAAAAGAGTAAGACTAGGTCGTAGAGGCTCTGTTCTGAATGCAGAGGTGCTTCAACTCGATATCTACCTCCATCTTATATAGATACATAGTACTCCGTAATAGCCTCTCCGAGGTGGTCAGTCTGTGCTTGGTTGTGCACGAAGTTTTCTTCAGTGGAGAGCAAGCTATAGTTCCGAAAGAGCCGTAGATATCCAGATGGGCGGTACGCTATCCAAACAGGGCTAGAGACGGCCTCATTCAACGGGTTGACCCCTGACTAGAAAGCACGCTTCATGTTTTAGCCCGAACTAGCGGTAATAGTCTCGTCAATAGATCAACGCATGGGTAATTGATTGTCTAGATTTATGGGTTGGCCGATACCTCTAGTTTTATTTTGGAAAAAGAAGTCATCGGAGCTCTTTCCCATATGGGTCGCTCGGGTTTTCCGAGTGACCTGAATAAAATAGTTGCACACCTGTAGCTGAATGTACACGAGCTTGTTTGTGGATCTGAGTATCGTTAGTTCAGTTCTTCTCCCACATCCCGAAGGATGATTTAAATTCTAGACTTCAAAGGATTACAGGCCGATGGAGTGACTGTGGAATCGGATCAAGATGCAAATCGCCGATCGAATAATTGTTTAGATTGACGAGATAAGGTCTTGGAGGATGCACGATGTAAAACAAGTAGTGACGTGCTAGGGGTATCGCCAGCCGAGCAAAGAGAAACCATGCCGGAAACATACATTTGCAAGGCCAATTACTGCAGTAACGTTAGTAGAAGATTAGATATCTTCACCCATTAGTGTATCATAACGAGAGTTTCTTCCGAGATCTCAGGCATAGAGGTACATCTTACGCCAAGAGTGGAAAGGTAATCCTCTCTGTATGGTAGCTTGAAGTCTTGTTTGCATGATGCTGCGGAACTATTTCTGGAAAGCTTCAAGCATTCTATATCATTCTTATCGTCCACAGATTAACAGATGATCTGGCCCATATTATACACCTGATAGATTTATGATATGAGACTACGACCGTTTGTACTGTGAGAATTTCCGATTGATAGCCTGATTAAAGCTCTGGATAGGTTCAGTTACCAACCATGTAAGACAATATATCAGTCTTGGTCATGAGATAATACGCGAGTTTTCTTTAAGGATGCAAAGGAAGCTTGACCAAGATATTTGTCCGACGTCAGATGCGGGCAAAATCTATCCGGTTGGCTCAATGTGCTTTTCAGTGCCCGACGTATCTCGGACTCTACCTTGCTGGAGCACGACAATTTTACGGTATCAATGAGACTGCAAGTTATCTTTGTAGATGCACAGACGGCGGATGATTTGATGAACACACTGCCGGCCGACTCATACGACCAATAGATCAGATGTGGTGGCTTTTGCATCGCCACTCAATAGTCTGCCAGGCCCACCGAGCTGAGGGAGCTAATACCAGCGAATACCAATTTTCCAGATAACTAGCTCTACGATGTAACCTTTCAGCTATATCGTACTGATCTTGAGATTCAATGATCGTTGTATGACATCTCTAGTAAAGCACAGATGATCACTTACCCAGGTCTTTCGCGCCGGCTTTGATCTGACGCGATCTTTTTAACCCAATAGGACTTCACCAATGCCGGCGCTAAATTAGTGGACGATGTGGGTGTGGAACGGCAACACTTTTAGATTAGACTTGCCCAAATAAATGGTTTCGCTTGCTCAGACCCAGAGCATGCATCTCGTCCAAATGGCTTTATTTTCTATGCATTTCGACACAAATAGGAGTCAGTATATGGCAGATCATTGGCACTTAGCTTGAGCCCAGACTTAAAAAGCAGTTGGCATCCACTGGATGTTCATCCCTGTAAAAGGATTTCCTTAGCACCAGCTGTTAGTGCCATGTCAAGGCAAAAGTGCTTTGATCACTAAAATAGCCGCAAGTGCAGGTGCGGGGTTAACGCGGCCTTAATAGCTGCCCACATAACGGGGTACAGAGAGTTGAGCTTTGTTCTTAACGCTTGTCCTAACGATATCACAATGAGCTATCGGAGCCTTGACAGTTCCTTCGAAATATCTTTTCCTATGCGCTGTTTGTGGTTTCTTCGAACCTCGACGTTCCGGGTACCTCGACTTCAGCAAAATGGATAACTTATTTTACTACCCTGCTAAATTCCTATTTTGAGGTTTTCCCGCGGATTTGATACGGAAATGTCTGAATATCTTGTCATATGTTCTGTCCTGAGAGCGATCGCTATCTGGTAGCCATGAATCCTGACTTTTATGGACGCGCCTGAAATGAGCATAATGTCTTCCTCCTACCAGTTTTAAGAGAGGGATGCTATCTTCAGTAGCAAACTGCATAAACTATTTAATTATAGATGAGAGTACTTCTGATAGGACTCGATATTCTGAAGAATGAAATAAAGATCAATTCAATGAAGTCCGCGATCCGGCTTACAAATTGCTATAGAACAGTAAGCAGTTAGAACTTGGTTATGAACTTGACTAAAGGGAGTGATAATGCTTTGCTTAGCTAACCTATGGGATGGACCCTCATGTTAAAGATATAGATTATACAGGCGGAATCTTTATTGTATTTTTGATATAAGGAGGACTCAAATTCGACCAGATAGGAAAGCTAAAGCCGCCAGATGCATCTGTTAACGGGAGGTTGTGGCATGCTGGACAGTTATATGCTGCCTGTGTATCACTAGCTGTGCACCGCTTTTTGGTAAGGCCGTCAAGTGAAGTGTTTTCCTGATCTGGTAGTAATAAAGCTGGTATCTTGATTGGCCCTTTGAGGCCATAATTGAGATAGATGCACCTACGCTGCCCCTTATACGCGAGTATACGGATAAGCCTGCATTGTAGAGAAACACTTTACGTCGCACGTTAAGCACATCTCTTCAAGATACTTATTACAAACTTTTACAAATAGGCTTTGTCTACGTCATGGCATTAAATAGGGGGTCTTTACGCCGAAGAACAAACAATTGGAGTACAATGTCATTATAGCTAATAAGGTAATAAGGAATATGGGATTCACATAGGTGAAAGATAAATGTTAGGATAGATGAGTTCACCGGTTTTTCCCCACGCGGTAGAATCTAAACTGATTTTCACAGTGTTTGTCGATTTTCTTTCCCCACTTCGAGCCAAGCGTGTTCTGGGCCTTCCTTCTCAGGATTTAATCAAAGTGGTGAGAATTAGTTTGACTTACGTAGTTTATAATAAGATAATTAAAATGTATTAGATAATTATAATATAAAATAGGATAAAATAGGAAAAAATAAAACAGAATAAGCTAAGCGGTCTCCTTCTCTCCCTTTTTCTGTTTTTAGGACTTCACTTACCCTATATTCCTAGCCTTGTCCAATCGCATTAATAAGTACCGTATAAAGCTCGGACCCAAGGTAATAGGTTGCATACGAGGAAGCAACGGTAATAATTGGTGGATTTCAGTTATGAAACCGTCCCCTAGTAGCACCAAAATTACCCCCATAAAACGTCACCTAATTAACACATGTTTCCCCTTGGTTATCTAATAGCTGTTTCAAGGTTTTACGACGCCTCCTAATAACCAGCACGGACACCTTGAGGAGGGTATTTATTCAATACCTTTTTAACATTTATAGTGTTTCACCAACCCTTCGTTCTTAGACACTCATTCCATTTATACCTCTGCCAAGCCACAACTACACATCTTCAAGATGAAGACGTTCGCAACCCTCGCCTCCGTAGTAGCGCTTTGCCAGCAAGCAGCTGCCAACCTCGACGTCGTTACCCTGTTCGCCAAGTCCAACGCTTACATCCAAGAAGCTTCTGCTACACTTGTGCTGGGAGCTATCCCCAGACCCATTACTGGAGATGTTGCTCTTTGGAGTGCCATCATGATGCAAAACCAAGAGTCTTTCTTGCAAGGCGTTACGCAGAACTCCCCTGAGGGGTAGGATAAAATTTGCCGGGTTTTGTTGTCGCAGAGCGCTGACTCTTAACAGATCCGGGTATTGCTCAAACCTCGGCAACAAGTGGTGCAACTTCGCGTATGCACTCATCAATGGCAGTAAGTATCTTGGCACTCCCCAAATCAGAGTAACCGCGAATAATAACAAATACTCTCCCATCAGGTTCCGAACCCAAGAACGGAACCCCGATCAAGGCCTCCCCCGGAAGCCGAGTGACGACTCATTGTACGTAAAGCTTTCAGAACCACCGACGAGTTTTGGACTAATGCGTATTAGATAAACTCAATTCGAAAACACAAATGTGGGATCAAAACCTGTACATTGACGACGCGCTCGTTTCTACCATCTCAACCAGTGAGTCTCAAGCCCCCCACTCTGAAGGCCTCAAGACTGACAAGCAACCTTAGGCAAGGGACAGCACGGAGAGATCTTCTACATCTCCATGGAGTGTGCATCAGGCACTTGTTCCACTACCCCCGCTCACAGTGAGTCTCCATTCACATGTTATCAATCGAGCTTCTACTGACATTCGCAGGCTGGGAGGAAGTCTCTGTTACCCTGAGCCAGGCTGATGAGAGCTTCGGCCAGAATGGAGGATGGGATCAGGGTGCTACTGGTGGAGAGATGTCAACTTCGGATGGTGGAAGGACCTGGAGGTTCACCACTCTGGAGGTTCCTGCTACTAATGTTCCACCAAGCTAGATAATAACAGTAATCTGTAAACATATTTGAGGAGGACTGCGCTACTAATCTCTTAAGTAAAGACGTGCTCTGAAGCCCATCTCCCGTCTTGAATTACACTCATATGAGACGATGAGTTGAATGAGTGTAAAGAAGGAAACATTGAGACAGACCCAGTATATATTGTTGATGTTTCAAAGGCGTGTGGACGGGCCGTATAAGCTGCGAAGTCACTGATAGAGAATATTTACTAATTTTATTACGCGTCGCGGTCCATGTCTCAAAGCCAAGGACCTGGTCAGCTGGCCGTAAAGAAGCGGCTGATATGCAAGAGTCTCTCCAGGCGGCCCAATATAATAAATAAAGTAATGTCATTACGGGAAATGAGACCTTCTACTTCTGACTAGACCCAGCAAAGTATATGTCACCGACAGAGTGGTTATCTCAATCTCTCTCTATGTCACCCCGATCGCTGCTGTACAAAGATGAGCGCACAGGGGCTGCTTGGTATGGGAGGGGCAACACTACTGACCGCAAAATGCCTGCATGCGCAGTTTCTAATTATATCCCTTGAGCCATAACATGTACTATATGGCTAGTAAGACAATTCAATATGGAATATACCGCAGTGACATGTTGCTCTGGTGACAGAAGTCTAAGGTTGGTACGTTCCAATGATGTCTCTATGCCATTGCCACACAAGGGTTGGTTTCCGGCAGATGTTTGGTCGGTTCATTCCTCTTTGTATTGAATGCTTCTTCTCTTTCCTAAAGATGCTAATAGCAGTATGTGTGTTTGACTACTGTAGGTAATGTCTATCATTTTAACAAATAGCAAGTAAATATAAGCTACTAAATACCCAGCAGGGAAATAAGTAATGAATACGAAGCAGCCTTTCAGACTAGTAATGCATCCGATGCCTTGCTGCAACCCATCATGTGTCTCTAACAGAATAATGATGCATAAGTCTTACGATGTCTCTAAAGAATGACTTACCCCTCACAAGTTCTGAGTCAACTATATGCCCTCAGCCACAACTAAATGAGATAATCTAGCCTTGTCTTTGATACCATTCCGATGAAAAAAAATGCAAGATGACTTGGATTGATATCGGCAGGTACAAAACCGGTTAGCCATGTGGAGAACTGGGTATGGAAGCTTGAAGGGAAGCTTTGTCTCGCCGATGGATATCGGCAACTCGTCATTCCAACGGCCTTGGTATTTTCACCAACCAAGTAGCCGGGTATCTTCCTGTGGATTCCATTGGCCGATACTGGTCCAGTGACCCTTACTCCGCTCTTGACTCCCCCAGTCAGAAGCTGCGTCTAATACAGCATTATGTCAAATAAACATTCACCAATAATAAACATATCATTATTTCCATGCTTTAGAAATTCAGTAGTAAAACCCTATAGCTGGTTCAATGCAACATGTGTCTAATTTAAAGAAACTCACTCCTAATACATTAGATCAAAGCTTGTTTTACATTAGTTTGATGAACATAATTTGTTTCTAGAAGACATCCGAGATATGCGGTAAAAGCACGAAAACACACCATTCCTAAGCTTTAACTTATAAGATAGGAGTCAACACGATAAGATTATTAATACAACACTTGGACATTTAGCTCTATTGTATCTTGTTTTGTTTCAAACTGTGGCTTTAAGTCATGATCACACTGGATTTGAATTTACATACCAAACTAGGAAATTATTTGATCATAGATTTAAGAGGAACCAGCCCCTTGCGTCTAAACTTCTACAATTGTCTAGATTTGAATTGTATCCTCGTCTATACACAGACTTTAGCCACATCTTTGTTAAAGAATACTTCAGACACCTCCAGACACATGTTTGCGCAGGACTACCGATATGATGAGCATTTTCGGTCGTCGAAGGTCTTCGGCGAAATACAACAACCTCATTTGCATTCGCTCCCCAGCCAATCCGACTGCATCAAACAAGCTGGTGGCGGCGGGGTGTCGAAAGATTTAATATATCGACACAAAAAGGCTTTATTGGCTGTGAAGAGAGTATCAGAGAGTCTCCCTGGTGATGAAGAGAAACCCTCCCAAGAGGCCACAGTTATAAGCAATGTCATTCTTCGATGTCCTGATAACAGTATCGGCATCGGGCAATGTGACTGGGGTGAGGATCAAATCCCGATCTTTATTACCTTCTACGCCGAACAAGGAACCGTCAAAGACTTCCTTCAGAGGAACCACACAGTATTCTTAACACAAAAACGCAACTTTGCCATCGACATTGCCTCCGGATTGCACACCCTTCATGCTTCGGATATAGCACACGGCGACATCAATCTTAGCAACACCCTCGTCTTCCCTCATCCGAGCAACGATGGATCTTGGATGGCAAAAGTCTCGAACTTCACCTGCTCCATATTCGGGCTCTCATCAAAACACGAGACCTTATACTCAGGGGCGTCCCTCTACAATGCGCCCGAAGTCCGCGATCGACACTCGTATATCCCCTCCAACCAAGTGATTCAATGCGAAGCGTTTTCTTACGGGCTTTTGGTCTGGGAGATTATCAAGGACGGGGAGAGTTACTTCGACCCATCCTGGATTGAAGAAGGCCCTGAAGATGAGGGTGCATCACGCCGGGTAGACTATCTTCAAAATCTACCTGTCGATGGCTTACTCTTTCATGCATCGAGGTTCCTAACTCTGAGATACAGACTCTCGAACAGCCTGGATGTCCATCTCTTCTATCATGTCTTGGAATTGACACTTAGGGATATCGCAAGCTGCCGCAAAGACCTTGCTACTATTGCATTAGCACTTGACTATTGTGACAGGTAAGTCTATCGGTTTGGTGATAACACTACTATTTGCATACTAATTCTATGTTATTTGTTAATTTAGGGCTAATATTACTTTCAACATTAAAAGCATCAGTAACACATGCATTACTGACTTAGTAAGTTTACTATCTACTTTCTCGAATATTCTTACAAAGTGTTTTCAATATCTAACTCATAATTAATAGGATTGGGTTTTATAGAGGTAGTCTTGGCTGTACGTATCGCATTTGTATTTATCCTAATTAGAGTTTCGTTACTATAAATGATGTTTGTTGTATTAATTTAAAGTGGTTCAACCTGCCCGGACAACCTTATTTTTATTATCTATCAAGTGAGCTTGGCCCATGTCGCCTCAGCCTTATAAAAGTAGGTAATTTAGATGTATAGTCTTTCCCTTACACCAAAACCAAAACCAATGCTCAGATATGCTTCAAAGATTCGTCGGCCTTATAGCATTCAGCTATTAGCTCTGTGAAAAGACTGTCTCCTACACTGTGCCCATCTGCAGACATGGTGAAAGGCGCCCGACTATCAAAATATTAGCTAGCCACCTTGGTAATCATGACACGAGCTACTTACGGCGTGAGCTTGTAGTCGCTAATATATTGCCCATGAGACTCTTGCCCAACAACGGCCATCGCATGGAGATAATTCTTGACTCCATTGGCGATCTGCTTGTCTTTGTTGATGAAATGCCCAGCGATCGAGAGAGCGATGCGAAAGTATGCCGGATATGTGGCGCCAAAGTTGGTTAAAGCAGGACCGGGAGACACCTCATTTAAAATGACCAAGTCCTTGTTGACATGTTGCGCAAGGCGTTCCACGATCAAGGTGGTCATCAACTTGGAGTCCTGGTATCGGCTTTTATCGAACCTGTCAACACTGTCCAGTTGGCTCATGATCGAGACATCGGGTGCAAGTGACTTCTTTGTCAGACCGTGATCCATTTGTACAAAACTGCCCACCCACGTCAAACGGGAGGGCCGAGACTTTTCCTTGGCTGTCTGCTCTAGTAGACGCAGGAGTTCTAGCGCCAATAGTGTGTTAGAGTAGACGTTGACCTGTATGATATTTTCGTGGCCTGATTTGGAGAGTTTGAAGTCGTAGCCCCCGACTCCTGCGTTCAAGACGGCGACATCGAGTCCGCTCGTGAGGGACGCGACATGATTGCTAAATGCCACGACACTAACGAAGTCGTCAAGTTGGAGTTCAACAACATGAACTGTTACTTGAGGTGCCAGAGCTAGTAGTTCTCTCTTCAAGGCCTCTCCCTGCGATACGTTGCGGACGCCCATGATGAGGGTTTCAACGCCCCTTTTAACAAGCTCAAAGCTGGTTGAGCGACCAAGTCCATTGGTGGTTCCGGTGACCAAGATGGTTTGACCGTCAAAGCGAAGGGAATCATCAATTTGATTTGTTGACATGATTGGGGGCGAGTGCGGGGAATCTTTTTAGAGAATAATATCAAGAAGAGTTAAGATGTGTAAGCTGTGCTGGGATGTAGGATCTTGGTGTTTAGTTTATGGGACTTAGTAGGCAGGAATATGTATGTTTATATACTTGAGAATTTCGTATTAAAATCTCTCCTTATTCACATCTCCCTTAACCAAGCTGCATTTCCTGCATTGTGTCAGCCGGCTTTGCATGTTGTCTCCGTTCCGCACCTGAATGATACAGTAATACTATTGGCTCTTAACTCCGTCCGCAACTCCGCATTCTCCCAATTGGTTCGGAGTTCCGCTCAATCTTACCACTCCACATTACATTAGCTCTTGTCAAGTCAGCAACAGAAAATGAGACATTGGAAGACTTTTTTAAATAAACAATATGACGTTGAAGCCGTCTCGTGTCAAATCGTGTAAGCCCTGTCGGCTTGCCAAGGCCCGATGCTCACTTGGCCAACCTTGCTCCAGATGCGCTTCCCGACAGGTCGAGTGTCGCTACATGTCTGAAGTAAAATCAGCAATGACGACCAGCACCTATCGTCGTCTTGAACCCGCGGGGACAGCTATGCCAGATACCCCAGCCGATACCGAAGATTGGGGTACTAGTAGCTCATATCTAGCTTCTACGCCACGGGCCGATTCCTCAACTACGTCCATTTTTGACCCGGCTGAGGCACAGCCAGGTTTTGTGTGGAGTGCTGGAAGCCGTAAGTTGATACGAAGCATTCATCCACCAATTACAGTAATTGATGAGGAAATCCCACAGAAACTACAGATCATGCGGCCAGTAAGGTTTTATGTATGAGAACAAGAACTAATGTGCAGGACTCTTTGACCGCCAACATTCTCTTCGGTCAGATTACTCAATACCCTAAGATGCTGGCAGAAAGCCTCAAGCTACCCCCCTTCATCCTCCCGCCTTGCGTACTAAGTTTGGGGGGTCAGTGCCCTCCGGATAGGCCACACGTTTGCCTACCCGAGATCCTCGCAATCTGTTCAAGCCTTGCGAAATTGTTCAACTCTCAAACTCCGGGAAGTGCCGCCTTTGTTTGGAGGCAAATACAAGCTGAGGTCACAAGACTCGCGTCCTGCGTTAGTTCAGTGTCAGTTCTTTATCCTGGACAGAGCTGAATGATACGAGCAGCATAACATCATCCCTCGCCACGAGAAGCTACATGGTCTCCAAGCTTTGATAATCTACGCCCTCTTGCATGCAAGTGACCAGAGCACAAGGGTCTCGAATGATGTTTCCACTATTATATCAACATGTGACGTATGTGAGCCCCAAAAGTCCCCTTTGATGCAATACTGATATTAAAGAACAAAGACGTTTTCCCGAGACTTGTTTACTGAGATGTCAGTGACATATGAGGCCGAAGGTTCGTGCAGTTCCAAAAAAGACTGGGTCCAGGTTGAAACTTTGAGAAGGTCAGTGACTGTTGCCAGCGACGAAGTCTTTAGCTCATAAACGAACAAGGATCGGCGCACTTCTTTACGTGATTGACCTCACGCTAGTCTTAAGCGGGAGGAATGCCTCCAACGGGGAATGTCCTGCTGCTCTTTGTGTTCCTCTTCCTTGCGCAAAGGAGCTCTGGGACTCTATCGGCAACTCGTCGTGGTCAAAGCTCTACCAAGGTCAAAAGCAGACAGCTAGATCGTCTCAGCTTACTTTGGGAAGCTTGCTCCTGGTGCGAAATGGTAGTGACCTCTTTGGTACTGAGGAAAGATCACCCGAAGAAGTTACAGACAGCCTTAGTGAGTGGTGTCGGAATGCTGATGACTTTGGGCTTCTCCTCTGGATGGCAACGTCGCTGGAGCATAACGAACAGACCTTGATAAGAAATGTGAGGGAACCGGTATAGCGTCTTGCATTTCTATTTATTTCCTAGCCAGTGGCAGTTAGACATTCTAGATTTTTAACTAAGTATAACTAGGCGGTCAAATCTAATAACTACAACACGCTTGGTGGATTAATAACCTCGTTTCTATGTTTACCAAAATTGTTGTAGAGCCAATCAGAGAAGTGGAGGTTGCACAGTGAACTTGATGGATCCGTTTTTTGTGGAAGATCCTATGGAAGTTGTCGCGGAGAGGAAGAGGGAGTGAACTTGTGGCTTGTGGTTTCTACAGATGCGATGGTGGCTACTGTAGAGAAGAACGAATGGCTACTATAGTGAAATTGCGTTCCTAAAAAGCAAATCGGCATTAAGGGAAGGAGTAAATTTAAGTTAATTAACTGGGGGAGATCAAGTTGGCTCCTGGATAGGATAACAGGTGATAAGATAGGATAAGATAAGGTACGATAAGTGGACTGATTGTGGATACTTCCCCTTTTTTAGTCTGCTACATTGTACGGATAGAAAATTCGGTATTAATCTTAATCCTTTACATCACCCTATCCAGGATCCTTTAGTTATAGAGTAACACGCTCTTTAAAACATAGAATAGTATACAATGGTATATAGTGGAAGACCAAGCGGTGGATGTGAGAACTGCAGGTAAGGTTTGCCCCTAGTAACATGAAGCTACCTGAATAATTACATAAATCTTATAATTCTGATACAGGAAAGTGCACAAGAAGGTGAGATAATCAGCCAGGTCTAATTAGAGTTATACTGAAGTAAAAAGTGTGATCAGAGAAAGCCAGAGTGCTCGCGTTGTATAAGGACAAAGAAAACCTGCTCTGGTTATAGAGATCAATTAAATCTTCTTTTCCGAAACGAGACCACGAAGACAAAAGAGAAGACTCAGCGGCAACAGAAATTGGTCCATTCATCTAAAGCAGCAAGGCCTCTTACAGACTACTTCTCTATCAACCGCCCATTACTCCCATCAAGAGAGGAGATAGCCATCTGCAACTTCTATCATTCCACGGTCAATAACCTATCCGATGAAGATCCAACACAGTATCTTCATATGCAACTGCCTCACTTGTATTCCGCATGCAAGTTAGGTTCAGTTCTACATCTGGCACTAGAAGCAATCTCATATATTGCCTCGGCGAAGATAATACCTCAAGCGAATCGACTCGGTATGGATCGATATCTTCAAGCCGTTAGAGCGCTGAGAGAAACAATTAAGACCGAGACGAAGAACTCAGACGTCCAGACGCTATATGGTATTCTACTACTGTGCGGTTACGAGGTTAGTTGGTATCCTAGGGTAGGCTAATTCGTATTGGAAAAAGGGACGCTGACCAGTTGAAGACAGGTACTGGCCAATCCTGCATACCTTCAGCGTGGGGAAACCATGTGGACGGAGCTTTAGCTCTTATGAAGCTCAACGCAATCAGTCTCGATACTCCCTTGTCCCAAGGAATCTTTTCCTTCATTCAGAAGAACATGGTGAGACACAATCCTTTTTCTTTTTAATCAAGGCTTTGTACTGACGCTGGTAGGTTATAAAACAAATGCAGATATGCCGACCTCTTGATAGCGTTTTCTCTCAAGGGATTACCTCTATGTGTGTAGACCCCGAGAGACGCTTGCTTTCTTTAGCATCTGGCATTCCTGAGCTTCAATACCAGAGCATTGATCTTGAACAACTGGAGATAATCGACATTGAAAACTTATCAAATAATGCAAATGCATTAAGCCTTAAGCTATCAACTTGGGCAAGCACTGTTCCATTTAGTTGGCATTATGTCAGTGCATTGAAGATCAACGATGGATCCCCATCAGAATACTCGCCGCGCATCATTCACAAATACAGGCACCATTATATTGGTCGAGTATGGAACTTTTATCGTGTATCGCAACTCATCCTGCAGTCAATCCGTCTTCGTGCAGCAGCTTTTTTACCTGTAGCGCCAAGTCATATTGAAATCGGACTGAAAATTACTTCACTGGTCGATGATATATGCGCAACTGTACCATACCTTCTGGGGGCCGACCTCGACAAGATGAATCTTGATTTCACCGAAAAAAGCACAATGCAAGATCCTAGGCGAACATCTGTTTCACGTGCCAAAAGCATTGGAGTTGCTGAGGTCAAGGGCTTCTCTCTCATTTGGCCTTTGTTTGTTGCTAGTAGCGCCTCGGGAATACCTCAAGCACAGAGCGAGTGGATGCGGAGGCAACTCCATCTTCTCGCGGAGAATGGCGTTCCGATGGCACAGACTGTCTGTACAAGCGAAAGCCAGATGCTGTTGGGTAGGCCTGAGAAGTTTGTATTTGATTGTGTATAGAGCTTAGTATTGCTCTGGGAGCTCGATCATATCTAATCGAAGAGATTGGAGCCTATTCCGACTCATAACCAAGTTCGTGCCATCCTAGCATTACCGATAGTGCATACGCGGTCAAGATTGTACAACAGAGGTGAACTCTTTGTCGTCAAGAAGCTTTCCCATTGCTACCGTTGACAGTCCAACAACAACATCTAAACCACCGTCTTCGAGTCGAGGCATTACCATGACAGTACCATCAGAGCCCTCGCCTGGCATTCTGACAGTATCCAGAGGGCCGATAGCACTGCCCCATCGAAGTCGGTAAACGTCAAGGTCGGCCCACGAGGTTTCAACAACGTCAGGGCCGAGGAAAGCATGAAAGTCCAACTTGAAGTCGGTAGGATCTGGACGAGACATCAGCAGCCCGATCGTCGAAGCGATCCTGCTGGGGCTATTGAATTCGGCCAAAGATCTTCGCACTGCGGCTGCAGCTTGACGGAGCCCGTCGCTCGATGTGAGCGAAGCTACTTCAGTTCTCCGAGTAACACAGGCCATGGATGCATTACCCATGTAAGAAGGTGGTAGTGGTGGGCTCACTCGGCTGCGAATGTTCACTGCAAAGGCAAGGCGGCTTGTCTCAGCATTACTTGGGGGGTCGGTGAAGACTCCAGAGCGTATTCGTGCCAAAGTCATACGTTGCCATATGAATGCGCAGAGTGCATCATGGCTGGAAAATGCCATCGCATCCGCTTTGAGCTTTACAAGAGACTCTGACGAGAAGTGGAAAAGGTTGCTTGAGAGGGGAGGCATCTCGAAAGATTGCATTCCTTCAACATCGCCGTCTGCCGGATGGGGGGTAGGCCTCAAGGCATACTCAGGAAAAGCACTAATGTCAGTGCCACTCCCGAGCTCCCCCTGCATCAAAGGGCTGCGATCGTTGGAGGGTACATCAAAGCTGGAAAAACCGCGAGAATTACCGCTAACTACCGCAGCATTTTCAGCCCAGGTGCCCATAATAGCATGTAAGGCCGAAGCATCACACGCAGAGTGATGAACTCCCACCGAGAGCAAGAGACCTCCGTTGACGAAGTTGGCCTGAGCCGCAAACACTGGCTGGTGATCTCCACGTGGCATTACCTCAATCGGACCGAGGTGAGCGGTGGAGAATTCGGAGAGTGGAAATGCTCTTTCTTTTAACTCTGCGTACGATGGAAGAGTCTTGGTAAGATCTTTGTATCTATGGAATATAGGTCAGCATATGTCTGACAACTGAATAATGACACACATACGGGAACTCGAATCCACTGGGAGAGCTAAGAATTTGGACCTTTCTGAGCTTGGGATCCTGTCCATGTTCAGGGCCCTAATACGGTTAGCCATATCAGTAATAGTCAGCCTACGCTGTCGATATCAGTACATACGATGATGCCAGTGATCCATGGTAAAGAAACGATGGTATGGGCTAATCCCTCCTTCAGGTGCTCATATCTAGTTGTGTCAGTCTCGCTTCTTCGAGATAAGGTTATATACTATACATCTGTAACTTATCTACAGAAGAGGCCAGCGGATAGCAAAGAATTAAGCGGATGCCATAGAGTCTCGGCATATTCATATCTAGTGGCGTAAGCTTCTGTTCTGTGGACGGCTGTTGGAGGTGATGGAGCCCATAATCCTCTAGGCTGACAAGATAGTTTTCGTGCTCGCCAGAGACTTCGGCATTCTGAACCTGGGGGGTTAATAGGGAAGACATGATTATCAAGATGAGGATGGAAGAACGAGTGAGAAGGAATGTAGGGCAGGGTGACAGGGCTGGTATTTGAATGTGTAATCTGACAAAGTGGTAGTAACCCCATAAGGCTGCTAATATAGCTGGTTTCCCTAATTCTAATCGTTAATTGGACAGCTCAACACATACCACATTAGGTTAGTGCAAGGATAACAACCTGGCCTCTGGGGCACTACACAAGCTTAACTATTAGCTTAAGCGAGGCGTAACCTTCGTACGTATAACTATATGCTCAAGTCCCTGGTGTGAAATCATAAACTAGGATTAAAAATCAGACAAGTACGAAACTGTTAACTTTGGGCTTCTTCTCTAGATACTAATCACTGGAGTATAGCGAATAACTTCGCCAAGAACTGTATTTATCTTTGAACCTGTGTTAATCGCACAATCTTACTAAGGCCTATTTATAGCAGCATGGTATGAAATTCTAGCCTTATTTTGCGATATTACTTAGACTACTCCGTACTCCGTAGGTGAAAGAATTGTAGACCGCTGCGGGGAAATCTGGGCTTACTGCGTATGTATGATCAGTCCGTAAGTAGCTTGCTTACTCGACTGCGCCTTTCGTGTCTCCTTATAGGTTACGATTGGTCGTGATGCCTAATTACCAAAAAGATGCAGCAGAACATGAAATGATGGGAAACAACCTAAACGAAAAGGTTCAGCCCATTTCAAGCGTAGACGTTCTTACATAAGCGCTTTGTACTAAATTTAGCCTGGGATGATTTTAACCAACAGATAGCCACGTAAGAGACACAAATAGAAGTAGTAAACAGCATGGTTACAGGTCCCGAACTGTCGGCTGATAATGGATATTCAGTCAAGATTAATAAAATCACGCATGTGTAGTACAGTGATAAAGCATGTTTCAAGCTTATGCTTAATTACGCGGGTGGCAAATATGTGGGCGCTTAGAAGCAGCCTGGGGAAGAAGAGGATTGGTGGCCTTGTGATTGTACTCCCGCAGAGCCTTATTTTGTATTGCGGACCATTTTGCCTAAGACGCCTGATCTCCTCTTCCAGAGAGCCTCTTGTTCGGTAACATTTGATAAACCACCAACTTGTCAACATTCTACTGTTTTGCCCACCCGCATCCTCATTTTAATTATATCCTATCCCATATCCTACAGAATGCAGTCAACACAGGGTATGTTACGGGATTACATCAACTTTGAGGACCAAGCCGCCAATCTAAGTGCCGCTGAGAAAATCAACAAGGAGCTTACCTTCTGTGGTGTAGCTGCCGTCAGTCTCCTTTGCAACGAACAGGAGCAAAACGCCTGCGTCATCGATAACCTGCGGACCAGCGACAGATTCAAATTCATCCGAGACCTTGACCTCATCTCCTCGATATGGCCACTAACCTCGGTTGCCCAGAAAGTCGAGATCAAATCGATGCCTCCTGTTCTTGCATGGTCTCCTACAGACCATCTTCGTGGGCCTTTGCTGCACGCACGACATGAGAGATGTCTGGTCTGACCTTGACGTCCGTCTGAAAGCGCCTGAAGGTGTGGGCTCACGATTTCACGCAGGCTTTTTGGACAGGAGCCATGAGTTCGTGGCGCTTGTGCAGGAGCTCACCAAGCGTCACAAGGTGGTTGTTTGTGGCCACAGCTTTGGGTGAGTTTGCCATGAGCTAAGCCTATCAATAATACTAATGTGGCATCATGGTAGTGGAGCTTTGGCTAGTACATCGACCTACCTAACCATGATTGAAATGATCGGCTTTACTGCTGTGCCGAACGCATGGGAAGACTCAAAGCTCGGTCTATCCGTGATAACCTTTGGGTCGCCGTCTTGCTACGTGGCAGAGCCTCAGGGAACAACAACTTCGCTGCGGATGGACTTCAGTCGGAACTTCCACCACGTAATCAACCCTCACGACTACATCCCATTCGCCCTGAACGATGCGACAAGGAGGTTCAAAGAGTTTGAGTCTATCACGACAAATATCCAAAAGGTATCACCTACAATTCGTGCGCTGTGGCCGTTATTCGACTTTTTTCTTGACTATCTTGCGCAAACTGAGGTATTCTGCAACTTGGGTTGCCTCTACTCCATCGTCACAGACAGGTTGGGCATACGCAACTATCGGCAGATCCTGAAGGAAGATGAGATCCCAGAGCCCCCCCAACCCGGTGCAGGTTGAGCGTTATCATAGTATGCCGCATTACTACACCATCCTACGAGACTCGGTAGCTTCAAGACTATCTCAAGTGCCTCCTCAGTCAAGCCAGCGTAAAGCTTTATCCCCAGAAGCAGTTCCTTCTACCCTTCTCTTACTGCCTGACATGGTCAAGGCGTGTTCGTGCGTTGTTCACAGCGATCGATTGACTGTCTCGGTCCACATTGATACCCCAATGACCTAGTATCTCCTCAAACGGGTCACTTTCAAGAGAAATGATGATTCGATTGATCTACCTATACTTGGAATATCAAAGAAACCTGGAAGTGGGGGACAAGTAAGTAGTCGTACCCAACATATCGATAAAAATGGGCTAATTTGGTTGATTAGAGCTGCGTAGAGCTAGGATACCAGGTCACCGAGGATGAGTACAAGTCCTTTGCCGACATTAGTGAAGCTTCTATTGCAATCCAACAAGGCATCACAATTCATGATGTGTTCGAAAGGTCAACCGACGTCCAGATCACCTCCTTGCAAATGATGGGCTTGAACGAGGCCAGTCTTCCCGCGACACTTGGAAGTATTCGTCTGGTTATGATTCGAGCATTTGTTACACAGACCTCCAGGGTTCAAGATCTCAAGTCCAAAGGTTCCACTTCCGGTGGGGTACATACTGATGCAGAAATTGCTAGACTCGATGACCGCATCAAGCCTGTTGTACAACTCATTGACAGTTTGGTTGCTGATGCCAGCCCTCACCTTATGGTAGGGAGGCTTGAGCATGCATTCGAGATACTCGAAGAACTCTGGCCACGGGACTTTGAAGAAGCTTCAAAGGCCCATCAACATGTTCCCGGAGGTTTCCCAAATGCACTCGCCGAGGAAAAGGACACCACGCTTGCAAATAAACTCATACCGCGCAATTGTCCGCAGTCATTAAGAAAAATACTGAGCCAGATGCTACTCGATCAAAAGACACCGCCTGTAACACTGGCTGCACTTTCGGTAAAGGACTGGGAGGCCACTAAAAGACCGTCTGTAAAAGATCAGTTTATCAACGTCCCAAGCTTGGCAAAAAGTCTCCAGATGTTCAGCCAAAAGCTCTACCGTCGCTCTACGATTACAGCTGAGCGCACTAAAGAAGCAATTGAACAGTTCCAAGACGTCATCGGGACCATTCAGCTCTGCCATCTCATCATCATCACCCAGCTTGACGCGCCGTATGAGTGGTACTGCACATCGACTGAGGGACATCGAAAGAAATCCGCTGCGATCAGCATTCTACCGTCATGTCTTTCTGGAACGAGCGCCTGGTCGAGAGTGTTGGCATGGCAGTTGGGGTTAGGAGCGGCTACTATTGTCGGCCTAACAGGTGGTTTCGCAGTCCTATATGCAGGCACCACGTTTGTCAACCTCTTTCTGAACAAACACAAAGAGTATTTGAATTTGTCATTTCCTGGGGCTTTGGGTATTACGCTACAAGCTCTTGGGCTTCCTGTGTCAGACTCAGAACCAATCATTGAAAAGACACTCCTTGATTGTGTCTGTCAAGACATACCTACCGCTCGTACTACCGAAACATTAGAGAAGTGGAAGAATAGACTCACGGAAGGCTTAAAGAGATATCCCGGAGCTGAAACCAACCAGTGGTCCATCACACCCACCTTCTTCTGGCCTCAGTGGCTCTTCAGTATCGCCAAGACCGCTCAGCTCCGTGTGCACCTCCATGGGAAGATATGCATCGGTGTACAAGGCTCTACTGAGGGCGGCAAGAGCCAGATGCTTACGGTTTTGACTGGAGCCGCCGAAGATTACTTCAAACCTGGCTCGGACAGCCTTTGCCGTACCCTTGGCATCCAATCCTATGACTCTGATAGGCTCGGTGCTGTATTCATCGACTGCCCTGGCTTTGACGACCAAACGCCACAGATCAAGTACATGGCTGAAGCGGTTCAGGAATTATTTGCTGTGATTATTATTGTGATTCCTAAGGAGAGGACCAGATCTGAAGCCATGGAGAGCGCTCTCAACATCGCAATCAAGCTACTGCGGAATCGCGAGGACTTTCGCCCTATACGCATCCTGCTCAGCAAAGCCGACCGACTGGAGCACAACCGCAACAACAAGCAAGTATTTCGCAACACCTTAGCAGACGTCAAAGAGCAGTTCATGAACGTGCTGAGGTCCGAGCTAGGAGATGGATTCACCACATTCAGACAACAACCCTTTCACGACGGGGTGATCACGAAGTCTGAAACCCTGGAGGATATTGTCAAACCGTTTTCGACACATGCGCAGATGAGTCTGGAGGATACTAAGCTACTGGCAGATTTTCCTCCCGGAACGGAATGCAAGATTGAAAGAGCCAGTCATTTTGAGAACCTATGCGAGCTGGCTGATAATGGAGAGCTTTGGGATGTTCATTCACTTCGGACATGGCTTTGGGATCTCTCACCTAGAAGTGTGCCCTTGCCGAAGGAACGAGTCCGGGACTATTTTTAGGCAGAGTCATGGCGGAAGAGACTTGACACGAACTTCAGAGGCGTGGCTTCATTGCTATCACACTAGTGCAATTGGTATTGAAAACCAAAAGAGTTATTCACAGCGCGCAGTATCAAGATAAACACACAGGAAAGAGCACTAGAAAAGATATAATAACTAACATTTCGCGCTGGTAAAGGTAAAAGCACCTATTCAGCTTTCGATTTATCATCGTCGGCAGACTTGTCCGGAACACAGCAGGTGACTCCGCGCCTTTCCAACTCCTCGTTATGTGCCTGAACTCTAGCTCTATCCTCCGCTGTAAACTTCTTGGGAATGCTCTCCGCAGCGGGGTGGAACATATCCCAATGGGATACATTACGGCCGTCGGCGATGAGAAATCTATCCGGTATGGTTAATCCTTCCCAGTATTCTCTGACCTGGGTTGGGTTGAGGCCAACTGCGTCAAGAACATTCCGTTCCGGGTCAAATCTCCGAAGCACACCATCGTAGCCTAATGCATTAAGGGTATTTCCCTCTGGATCCTCCTTCATCAAATCGAATATTTCGCGTAGAGACATCTTATCGCGCACAGCTTGTTGGTCTGCGACGGCTTGGTCCTTGACGGCTTGGTCCTTGACGGCTTGGTCCTTGACGGCTTGGTCCTTGACGGCTTGGTCCTTGACGGCTTGGTCCTTGACGGCTTGGTCGACGGTCGGCTCCTGCAGTTGGTTAGTTGGACGGTCGGCATAGTAATCAAGGTTAAGGAAGCACTTGCTGGAATTTTGTCCGCCATCGTTTGAGCGAGTTGACGCGAGTAATAAATGGCGTGGCTTGAAGATTTTTGAAGTTGAAGCACCGCAGCAACTTGACAACTTTCAATAAGGCAGGAACACCAAATATTGCAGAGATGTTACTGAGAAAAGAGAATCAAGAGCGGCGACAAAAACATTTGCTGTCTATAGAGGCTAAGTACAAGCAAGGATAGGTTCCTGGGGGCGTTGTCCCGTTGCAAGTTGTCGCGGTTTTATGATTGTTGTTCAAAAGCGGGGTACATGATGTGTTAGTTGTAGGGTACAGGTGAGGCATGTAATACTGGACAAAATATCTGCAACGTAGCATGACGACGGTCTGTATACCGAACTAGGGTCAATATGGCAGGCGGCCAGGGACGAATCAAGTTCTCGCTGTCATAATGATCAATTTGATGATTCCTTAAGGCGAGGGACGCAGTCAAAAGTTCCGCTGTTGGCCTGTTGGTCTGCCTACTCCATGGGCATGCCGCAAACATTCATGTCGAACGACCAACAGCAATAATGGAGACCATTCGGAATCGTCCCACCAAACCCGCTGTCGTAACACAACTATGAATTATGGGAATCGCTACACGATTCTGCATGAGGCACAGTCACTCTGACCAACATACAGTCTTTTGACATGTGCTTAGCAGCTGATAACCCTCATCGAGGCAGGATTATATCAGTATGTTTTACGAGAGTAGGGACGATGAATTCTTCGAGACTGATATAAGTAGAGCTGAAAGACAATATGGACATAGCCTTCAAACCAATACCCAATCCATACACTTTGTTCTTTATCCTGCCAACGATAACAATATCACATCGCCCAACATGCAAGTCAACCTCTTCAAAACCTTCGCCATCATTGCCGCGCTTTCCACCGTGCAGTCCGCCCCAGTAGAAAGTACTGAGGGCTCAGTCACCCGCGAACAGATTGACGACACTCATATCAACAAGGCTCCTGTCGATGATGCGGTACGTAGTGTCTTGACGTTCCCAACACCCCCATACAACACTTTCTATCGCTTGTCTGAAGATTAGCACTGAATGTAACTTCTTAGGTGCCGCAGAAGGGCTGTGTTAGGGAGAAAGCTCCTCGTATCAGCACAAGAGTGAAGGAAGGACGTATTTTCGCGCGAGCCTGCTACGATCATGACTGCGTCTTGAACTCTGATTGTAAGAAATGGGGATGTAAAGAATGTCTTATTCACTTTGTTCCGTGTGGTGATTCATTTCTGCGATGCCATTAGTTTATGGCTAAGAAGCTCATTACAGAGCGGCAGCATCATGGAAATAGATATGCCATAATCTATGGTACAACCTTAGGTTCATTATTCAATTCTACAAAAGCTGGGAATTGTTATCCACATACTATGCTGACTTTTCTGTGGGCGATTCATGAAATGGTCGACTAGATACACCGTCTAGGTTGTATAAGCTCAAGACATGTTATTCATCGCTGTGTTGTATCTTGGGATTTGCTTGCTACTTGTCACGCTGACTTGCTCGGATTCGTCTCCAGCCCCTGCCAACCCTGGACCCTTGACTTATGCGTCAAATGATTCGCCTCTGTATGTTAAGCCTTGTCGTGCGTCTGACCCTTGCTCTGGTGAGACCGAATAATCCTGTATCCCCGGATGGCTTTAGACCGTCTTAAATGGCGCCCATCTTCCGTGTTAGCCAGATTCCATACTGATAGCGGTGGTGGCGAGCATCACATAGGATAGTTTACAGTACCAAAGACTACCTGTAGAGGCTGCAACCTTGGGCACACTTGCCTCTTGTCGTTGTGATAGAACTTGATCGATTGAGTATGTGTTAGCTTTTGCATGCCTAAATAGGGTCAGGTCGACAGCACGCGCCATAACGACCAACAGCCATATATCAGTCATCAAGATTCTTTATCCTTGCTCTACAACGTGCATGAATAACTGCACTAAAACGGTCCCTGGGGATATTCTCTAACACGGCTCTCTCAACCAAGTTTTATCATGCCATCATTCTTTGTCCAAGCTTTCTTTGATGTTTATTACGGAGACTCTACTCCGTAGTGTGAATTGTACCCTTGCAGATAGGCTGCAGTGAATTCCAGATCGACACATATCTAAACGCGTCCTTATCAGTGGAACGATTGAATTCCAACGTCTCCACAGTGTTGGTTGAGCCGCTTTCTTTGACCCATTGACTTCAAAATAGCCTAATCAATTGACAGGGTTATGGATAAGAGCTGACCAATTAGAATCAAAGGTTAATACCATGTCAGCACTATCCGCAAAAGTCCTCTGCAGTAGTCATCTGACGTTTCAGAACTTGGTTCAAATCCAACTAACCAACAACATTTTGTGTATGCAACAACCTAACACAGTCAGCAGACTCACGGTCCAGACTCGGTCCCTCGGCTATCCGCAGCCAGAATCTGGTGCAGTGATCTACCTGTTGCATATCCTGTATCCATTATTGTGCTCCTCACCAGCGGCACACGCTGGCATCTGCATGGCAGGAATACGGCAGCCTTTAAGGCTGTTTCACGTTGAAGGACAGGGCACCCTGGTCTTGATTGTAGACATCCTACTGCCGGGTTCATTGAAGCCCCAATCACCTGCGGAAGTCAGGGCTCAATCACAAAAGCTCAATCACAGGACTTAGCATTGCTGCGAATATAACACCAAACGTCAAATTCCCACGACACTGTATTGAACACCGTTACCTCCGGCTATCTACTTTCAAATCAATGGAAACCTCATGACACCACTTTTCTTCCTCATCGAATACTACTGCTCATGTGTAGAAAGGCAGATGAAGCACCTGACAAGCCCTCAGAAAGGACAACCATAGACAGGATGATACCTCCCAAACTGTCAATCCAGTGTGGTTCACTAAAAAAAAACGCACCGATCAGCGCTATAAAAATAGCTATGCTTATCAATCCATCTGCGCGATGGTGGGCGGCACTTGAAGCAAGTACTGGGGATTTGTGGACCTTTGCGGCATTCGATGCTTCACATGAACTGTTAGTAAGCGGCTTTTGCTAAAGGCAATTCGAGGCTACTGACTGATGTTATATATTGCCTCTTTTGTGATGATGGTTATTAGTGGTATCCATAGGGATCCGACACCCGGGAGCTGACGGTCAACTTTAGGAATTGATGTATTCAGGCCGCTCCAGCTCTGACACAGGGTCTTGAAACCACCAACACAAACAATGCTTGAAATAACTAGCGATCCAGCGTCTTCGATGTAACGCGACCCTGGTATATTTTTGCTACTGAATTGGCTACCGAGGAAGACCGTAAATGCAGTTACAGCATCCATGGCTAAATCTGCGATGCTATGCCATCCTTCAGCTGTTAGTGCATTGGAGTCATAGTACCAGCCGGCAAAGAATTTGGACGTAGCGAGAAACAAGTTTGAGAAGGAGCCTAATAGGATAATCTGCTGAATAGAGGACATAGCGATAATAACGAGTGGTTGAGTAGTGGCTTGTATAATGCAAATATTGCAGTTAATGGAGAAAACCGATGATAACTAGAGAAGCGCTGGAGGGATTATCCTTTATAATTTGTTTAACTAAGAAGTATAGCAAAAAGCCTTAGCATAATTATTAAGAATGCTGAATTTCAATTGCGTTGCTTACTCCGCAGGAGATCAACTCGCATTCGCACCCGCACCCGCAACAATTTGATTATGCCAAGAAACAGTCTAAAGTAGCTTCCCTCATATGATTGGCTCCTGCACCAACTTCCGATGTCATCGACGCATTACAAATCTGCATAGGACGGACTAGCTGTAGATCATAGAAATCTTAATGGCAATTAGAATTCGACGTGCCTGGGGAGGCTTAGCTGATTCGTAATGGTTGGGCTCTGTATTGTTGTTCGCTTACATCTTGCGGACTCGCTTCGACAAGCCCACTGGTTCCACTTCACAGCTAATGCTGATGATGATCTGTGGGCTGTGCTTCGAGAAGAAGCGGACAATTCGGACTCCATTTGCATGGCCCTTCTCATCAGGTCGGAATCCGCGCGTCCGCAATGGTATTGACCTGGGAAGCTTGGAGGACTTGAACACATTATAAAAGAGAAGCTTCACCATTAGACTTATCCTGTAACAAACAAACAATCAACTCAACTTCCAGCATCACATACAATATTTCATCATCTCATCAAACATTCTCAACTCTTCATCATGAACAAGCTTCTTCTTAAAGCTACTTTTGCAGGACTCTTTGCCGCATCAATGGCCAAAGACAAACCAGCTGGCTTCGGCCCACCTCCAGACTCAGACCCTCTGACTTGGGGTTTCTATGCAACTCCTGAAGTGCAAGACTCAACCGACCTCATTGTCGAGGGAACCATTCCAAAATGGCTGACAGGGTCTCTTTACCGAGGCGCTGCTGCGACCTGGGATGTCGGCAATTATACAGCCGAACATTGGTTTGATGGATTTTCTCGCAACCATCAATTCCAGATTGCCAACGGTCAGGTCACGTACAAAAGCCGTAATGCCTCTGACGAGCTGAACGACTTCGTTCGTGAGACTGGTCTATTGCCCGGCGGTAGTTTCGGTGCGGACCCTTGCAAGGTCATCTTTGGGGCATTTGAAGCTACTTTCAGAGACGGAAACAACACGCGTGGCGACGATGATCAGGACAGCATCCAAGTGTCTTATGTTCGCGACTGGCCTGGTCTCAAGGTTGGATCTGGTAGAAACCTCGTCTCTACAACCGACAGCAACAAGTTGCAGCAGATCGATCCCGATACTCTCGAGCCTATCGAACTCTTCACTTACGAAGCCAGTAACCCTCTGCTTGATAGCAATGGCCAATCAGCTGCCCACCCAGCCGTCACGAAAGATGGTGCAGTTTTCAACTACGTACTTGAACTTGGGCAAGAGAACCCTGTATACCGTGTCTTTGGCATCTATCCCCCAGAAGGCGAAACCAAAATCATTGCAAACATCACCGACGCGCCGCCAGCATACATTCACTCCATGTTTCATACAGACAAACATATCATCTTGGTTGTCTGGCAAGCTGATTTTGTCAAGCGAGCTACAAGCATTGTTGGCTCTATTGGCGAGTGGGATTCAGACAGGAAGTCCCTGTTCTACGTCATCGATCCAGTAAACGGCGGCGTGGTGGCCAAGTATGAGTCAGAAGATGCCTTCTTTGCCTTCCATGAGATCAACTCGTTTGAGAATGAAGATGGCGATATCTTTATTGATATACCCACTATGAAAGACCATTCTTTCCTCCAAGCTGCCAAGATCGAAAACCTGCGAGCCAATCTCATGCACAAGGCTAACGGGTCTTCCAAGAACGACCTCGCCGGCAATTTCACTCGCTATCGCTTGCCCCATCACAACGACCAAGGCAAGAAGACTCACCTCGCTGAGGTTGACTTTACTCTGGACGTTCAGTTCGAGTTACCCCGTATCAATGATGCACACATTGGCAAGCCTTATCGCTATGCTTACGGTATGCATGCTGTGAAGCCTGGGTACTTCAGCGACTCCATCATCAAAATTGACACCAAGACCAAGAAGACCAAGGTGTGGGTGCCGAGCAAGAACCATCTTCCTTCCGAGCCAATTTTCATTGCACGTGCTGGTGCAAAGAGCGAGGATGATGGTGTTTTACTAACGGTGGCGATGGATACGTCTGTGAAGCTAAGCTCCATGGTGGTTATTGATGCTATGACAATGAAGGAGATAGGCAGAGCCAGGATGCCAGTAGTGATGGGCTACGGATTTCATGGAATCTTTATCTAAGATTCAATTGTGGAATTACCGATGGAGGATAGAACTATTTGAATGATGCTGTAGCCCAGATAGTTGCTACTGAACCAAAAACTGTTTTTGGGTTAAGTTTCTACAGAAAGTTTTCACATACCTACCCTAGATTTGACTATGTTTCGAATATATACGTTTTAAATTGGAAAGCAATCAAGAGATTTGTCCTTAATTGATTAACTCGACGGTACTTGAAAACCCCCTCTATCATATAATTTGCAACCTTCTATCAGCTACTCAATCCTCTCATTGTGAACGGGTTATTCAACAAACGCCTTGTTTTCCACGGTACAATGGGACTATTTACTAATCACTGACCACGATTCTTCAGTCGAGCCAAATACGAGAGCAAAACACCAGGATTCAATAAACATAAGCTTCACTAGGCTACCGGGCTTTTCGCTGCCGAAGGTGAAGTGAAGACACGTGGAATCTCATCCAATTATTTCACCGAGGTATTCATAGAAGCTATTACTTCAGGTGCCGAAAGCCGAGTAAACAAGATGTGGAGACCCCGGATTCTCCTGTACTAGTAGAGCATGCGCACCAATGAGGGTTAACCTGGGTGGTCAATTTGAGGTACCCCGGATCTAAAGCTTCTTAGCGTGGAGATGACCCTTGCCTTTCATCCGCACATGACGCGGGGAACTACAGGTATCGATTGGTGCGCTACCCCAGAGAAATTCAGATTGTTGCTTTACAAGGATTGGCATGATAGTCAGGCCAACTATTGGAGCGTCAAGTTGCAAGCTGAACACTAAACACAACTCACCACTAGGCGACGCCTATGAGGATGGGCTGAACGGGGACATCGTATGTCTTGGGACAGTTCAGGAACGAGCCGACGCTTGTGGATTATGTGGGCTTAATCTGGGCAAACCAGATACCATGCCAAGCTATTTAAACTGGCTTTCATCCTACCTACTTCTTCATTCATCATCGATAACAGTACCAACACATATCTTCCATTCTCCACTCAACATGCTTGGCATCAAGGCCTCCCTGCTTTTGTCCGCCTTGGCAATCCTCAGCCCTACATCATGCAGGGTTATCGAGGAACGTGCTGTCGCGGACCACGCTGTGACTTTCCAAACCATCTACACACCACCAACCAACTACCCCACTCCCAGGACGCTCTATGGTCGCAATGTTCAGCTTGCTGATGGTACAATTCTCGCCACCTGGTAAGCGTTATCTTAGCCAAGGCTTGGCCTTTAACTAACATGCCAAAGGGAAAACTATAGCCCTGAGCCTCCGAAGGTCTACTTCCCCATTTACAAGAGCTCAGACAAGGGATCTACCTGGTCACCTTTGTCCAATGTGACTGATACCAAGAACGGCTGGGGTCTTCGTTACCAGCCATTCCTATACGTCTTGCCTCAGGCGATTGGCAACCTTGCCAAGGGAACAATTCTCCTTGCTGGAAACAGCATTCCAACTGATCTGAGCAAGACAAAGATCGACCTCTACGCTTCTACCGATAGTGGCAAGACCTGGAAGTTTGTTTCCAGCGTTGCCAGTGGCGGAAAGGCTGTCCCAAACAATGGCGAAACTCCTGTTTGGGAGCCATTCCTCATGGTGTACAATAACAAGCTCGTCTGCTACTATTCCGATCAGCGCGATTCAGCCTACGGCCAGAAGCTGGTTCATCAGACATCCAGCGATGGTGTCAACTGGGACGCTGTCGTCAACGATGTACGCGGAACTGCCTACTCTCAGCGCCCTGGCATGACCACCATTGCCAAGCTCCCCAACGGAAAGTGGATGATGACATTTGAGTACGGCGGAGGTGCTTCACCCAACAATGCTGCATTCCCAGTCTACTACCGCATCTCCGACTCGCCTCTTACCTTCGACAGCGCGGCTAACCAGATCCTTACTGCTGGTAGCCGTGCGCCCAGCTCTTCGCCGTACCTCACATGGTCGCCTTCTGGAGGTTCTAGCGGATCCCTGATTGTTACTGCAAACAGCGACAATGGTATTTACATCAACACGAAGTTGGGCGATGCCAACTCTTGGGTGTACTACGACATTCCCCAGCCTGGAGCATACTCGCGACAGGCCATGGTTATGGATAACCCTGACTGGCTGTACGTTATGAGCGCTGGATATCTGAACAGCAATAACTGGGTCACGGATAGTGTTTTCAAGCTTCCCAACTTGGCTTAATTGTATCAGCGTCGGATGGCCTAGGAATCAAACCATAACAATACTAGATATACGCAATTGACTGAAGGATTGTCACACTATTCTTTGTAGTTTAGCTTCTGAACTTCTTAATACAGTATTCCTATGTAGAATCATTCCAGAGTGGTAGCTGTGTAAATAAATAACTGAATAAGACCCTGTGGAAGTCTCAAACAGTTTTATGCCTCTTTGGCCTTCATCATCCTCTCCGTATACTCCTTGCCCGCCTTCAGCCACCATGCGCCAATAAGAATTGTAAGACCACCCACAACAACGCAAGTGTAGTTCATATTTGTCACCTCAACCGGCATGACATAAGGGAAGGAGAAAAACACAATTGCAAACGTGAGCCAGCATACCGTGACGATGTTTACAATGGTGCCAATTGTTTGACCCATGTGAAATGCACCTTTATGCATGTTCTTCCTTCTAGTAAGCAAGTTGGTGAGAATCGGGAACATGTACGAGATGTTGTTGATGGTGACGGCAGTGCCCAAAAGGGAGTTGAAAGCAGTCGAGGAGCCGAGGTACAGGCATCCCAACGCGGCAATGACAGCCGTGACCACAAGCTGCGAATTGAAAGGAATCTTCAAGGTTGAGTGGACCTTGGACCAGCTGGAGGAATGTTAGTTACCGGGTCGTTATTCCACAAAGCTGGCTGACTTACACTCTGGAGAAAGGAATAGCTCCATCCCGGGAGAAGGCCCAGAAGATTCGTCCAGTGCTGAGCTGGGAGCTAATCACACAAGGGCCAAGGGCAATAAATAGGATAAACAGAAGACCGAACGCGCCACCAGTCTTCTGGGTGACTTGGCGGAAGAGTTCTGCGAGCGGCATGCCCGTGTTGCCGGTAGTTAACTGATCGAAGTCCTGGATCGAGAACATGAGGCTGATCAGATATGTGAGACCAGTGCAGAACGCGATGATCAATGTGATGGCAATAGCCATCGGAGCGTTCCTCGAAGGCTAGCTTTTGGTCAGTTCTTTGTCACACATTCGGTAGGATGAGCAAACATACGTTAGGCATTTCTTCCGTGATATGGGTCACTCCATCGAGACCACCAAGAGAGTATAGAGGATTGACCAAGCCAGTGATAAAGGTGATGCCGTTGTTCTGCCAGCCAGTCGTGTTGATCCAAGTCCTGAACACGAATTCGGGATCGCGGTGGGTTGGGGCGCAGGCTACCACAGTGACCAAAACAACAAGCCAGCCGATCTGTAAGTAGAAGAGCGAGAACTTGTTCAAGGCGGGAATAATCTTGTTGCCGAACATGACAACGCCGGCAGTGAGTAGGTTCAGTCCTTGGTAGACAATAAAGGTCTGCCATGCCTGGATTTCGAGGTCGGCCTTGTACAGGGCAATCAATGCCATCAGAATTTGCGCATAAATGATGTTGGTAGATGCAGTGGTGAAGATCCCTGGATGATATTAGTGACCGAAGCTTTCGTTTTATCTCCTACATTATTAATAATGACTCACAGCCGAGGACACTAAACCATCCTGTGAGGAAGCTCAAAATGCCCGTTGACCTTCTCGGCGCGACAGCAGCAATCCAGTGATACATGCCGCCCTCAGTAGGATAGGAGGACACAAACTCGGCAAGTGACGCTCCGAGGAAGCATTGCAAGATCGTCACCAAAATGAAACCGTAGATAACTGCACCAGGGCCTCCGGCTCCAATCTCGGTGATCAGACCAAGACCAAGCCCTGTCCACGAGATGGTTGTCGTGGAGGCCAGGCCGATCAGACTTAGGGTGCTGAAGTGTCGGTTCAATTCTTGCGTATGACCTGATTGAAATCTTAGCGAGCCAGATCATGTGGAAAAGAGATGATTGAACGAACCCATTTGCGCCAGACGCAACTCATCGGCGTTTATCTCGGCTTTCGTCTCCGAGATGTCCAAGCTCTTTCTTAGGCGGGATATGCCTTCATCTTGGGCGGTAGACATTCTGAGTTGCGTAGAATATCGATTTTCTGCCTCGAGTAGTTCTCTGCAATCTCACCCTGGCAAACGTTAAGATGTTTATTGATGTTGCGAGAATCCTACCTCAAAACATGGGGTCACGCGAGGTATAAGCATAAGTAGAACTGTCACTGATAACTTATCGGCTAGTCGGCACAACCATCGTAGACTGGATAAGCTTCCAGGGATGCAAGACCCCGGTTCATGGTGGGTCGATACGACCCCATCATCCCTATCCCAACCAATGGCGGGAATATCTCCAGACATAAAAGTGGTGACACGACAAGGAACGTTACACTATTAGCCAGCTGCCTACGGACAGAACCGGCGTAATTGCCGGTGATGGCCGATAAGTCTAGGCGATCGGATTTGATTGAGAGATTGCACTTTATAGATAGACAAGTCATGCGGGGTACCTAGTTAGTGCCTCCATATCTCTAGTAGAAAACGAACACAGTGACCCTTTGTTGTTAGACTGCAGACATGCCTGTCCGTTTTTTAACTACAGGTTAAGCCATATTCATGCGTAGTCCCCACTTCAAATCAGTGCGGAACATATTTCCTACCAGCCAGTCGTTGTGTCACACTCACAAGCCTTGCCGCATTTTACCGGTTGACACGTCCGGTATTAAGCAAAACCCGAGTTATGCTTTGATAACCACGATTGATGGCATAGTTAAAGGGCGTATGAACTTGGGTGTCGACAGCATCACGGTTTACGGGTTTCAAGTTGACTAGCCGTTGAGAAATCTTCTCTTGTCCCTTCTCAACTCCGTGAGAAAGTGGGTTTCGACCATTTTCATCCCTCTCATCGACCGTGACCTTGACGGAATCGTTGTGGAGGAGGAAGTCGGCCATCTCAACACAGCCTGATATGCAGGCGCGGTGAAGAGGAGTTATTCCATCGTCACGTAGGTTCTTTGCGGTAATATCGACCCTGCTAGTGTCGACAATTGTTCTGAAAATCTCGTCTCGTCTAAGGATGGCATCGGCGTTGAGACAGCTGACTTCATTAAGCGGATGGTCGGAACCTGTCTTGTTGTTAGCAAAGTACTGTAATACTATAGGTATTACTCATTGTTGGTCCAGTCGAACTCTCCAAGGGGAAGCTCAATAAGGCCTTGAATGATATTAGCATAATACTGACGATCCCATTTCTAGTGCTGTTCAAGTTGGCTCGCATTTAGGGTAGAATCAAGAGATCGAGGAATTGTATTGCATCATTCATTTTGGCGGCCCAGAGCAGGAGAGGAGTGTTAGAATATCCACTTAGATCTGGGATATTCATCAGCGGATCTTCCAAATCCAAAACAATACGTGTAACGATGATGATGAATGCTAAGGGTGCGAAAAAGTCCCGATAGTGGTGCTAGGGCTGTGGTGATGAAGCAGTCTGGAGAAAGGAAAGAAGATAAGGAGGAGAGCTGCTGGTGTAAATAGGTTAAAGGCTGCCTTCATAGCTGCCAATCAATACAGGCGCCAAGGAGAGCTCAACACCGATATGACATTGTCGCCAGTCAAAACGTCTTCACGTGTCTGTCCAACAAGATGGAAGGACACTAGAGAAAATGAGTGACATATCCACGTTGCAGGTAGGCTTCGTCAACGAATATCATCTGCCTTAATATATAAGCAGCAGGTGGCTGACATGATCAATTCCACATCACCAAAAAAGGGATCATTAGCTGTCACATAAAGATGCATCGGTAAGTACTCTGCGGCCTGGTCCGCTAGTCCCCGTAAATGCACCTTGATCGCTCGAAAACTCGCGGATTTGAGCTTGTTCGAAACAAAATGAGCCCTCGACGATATCTGTGAGTGGGAGATTCAGTTTTTAACCCTCTGGTTCAACGAGCTTCAGGAACGAGGTGGACGGGGTAAACACATCGAGACTAGAGAATGTCAGGGCCATCGGCCTACCCGATTCATGATCCTGGGTGATTGTCCCTGTTATCAGGGTCGCGCCACGAACCCACTCGACGTCCGGAAAACCTTTTTAGGTACAATGCGATCAGAGTTATAGTAGAAGGGTCCAGATTCATGTGGTAACTTCGTAAGACATTTTTGTCAATGTGGCATGTAAGTGAACTAATTGCAACCGACAGGGAAAAATGCGCCATCAGCATTTTTAATCCTTGGGTTGATTTAATTAAAGTTAATAGGGTTATACTGAAGCAGACGTTCTCCCTTCTTCCATTGGGGAAGTCATGAACGTAACCACTCCGATATTCGAGGTGCTGAATGATTTGACGGTACAGAGTGTGTCCTGAAAACTTTCCCTTGTTGAGCCGAGACTTGAAGTAGGTGTATATATGATTTCCTTACCTCTTCCTACGTAGCGTCAATGTGCTATGGTGGCAATTCAAGGATAGTTCATAGTGTCAGTCCTTGGTAGAGTGATTTACGTCATAAACATCACAGTAAATTATGTAGTTTTCAGACGCAAGGTTGAGAACTTTAGACTAGGCAGCAGTATTAACTATAGTAAGCAGCCTTGCTTGCAGGGTTGGTCTGTAGGCAAAATTGTAGATCCTCTTAGAACTTGCTTGATGAATGGTATCAGTGCCATACACGGAGTTTTGAACAGTCGTGTTAGCGCAGAGAAACACTCGGACGTTACGTAAACTCTAATTGATGAACGGTAGGTTCAGTTATAGACTTTCTCGCATTACAGGCATTGACGATACCTTTTGCCAATTGTGTTGCATTTGAGAATGGGGCCAGTGCTCACTAAGTTTTAGGCTACCTATGGAAGTTACCAAAACAGAAGCTAGAAAGTAATACGAGTATAGTAGGGTCAAAGAATTCTGGGGAAATTAGTCTGATCCATAGTTGCAGGCAATGATTGGTCCAGTATACACTACGGCAGTAGGAACAACAGATTTAGCGTTTGACTTGAAATGTCTAGGGCGGAGTTAACAATGAGCGAGGATTTTAACCTGCGACAATCCTTAGGTGGAGTTCGCATTGAATAGGAACCCTGGTTGTAAATAATAAAGATGTCATTGCAGCTAGAATTAAATATTGAAGCGCTTCTATAAAAACAGAGCTTACCCACCCAGGTCTAGAATAGGTACTCTACCAGGCAATCTACACTATCACACCACAGTTTACATTACCAACTCTATCAATCCCTATCGCAAAATCCTTTCTCTATCATTATGCAACTCCAGAACATCCTGAGTGTCTTTGCGCTTGTGTCAATGGCACAGGCTGCACCTACCCAAGCTGAAGAGGCCTCGTCTGTCCACCCGGTACGTTTCTCCTCTCAAAATACTAAAGAGCTGAACTGACCCTGTCCTACAGCGTGACGTGCAGACTTGCAGGGCCCCTGGCGCCCATAAATGTGCAGTCATTGTCTGGGCTAGTCTGTCAACATTTGGTATTCCCGGAAGTACTGTCGGCGGTTCTGGAGTTAATGTTGTTGATGGAGCCTGTGGTACCATCATTGCTGCCGGCAAGCTTCAGCGCAACAGCCCAGGTTTCAGCGCCGACTTCACCACCGCCTATGGGCCTCACTTGTACTTTGGCGCCAACAGCATTGGTATTCGAAACATCGGTGGTGTCAGGTACCAGTACAATGGCAAGAGTTATACACAGGGAAATTGCTTCAGTACTGCTGGTACAAGCGGACTCATGGCTGTCGATGCTATCCAGTGCAACTTCGATTGTTAAGAAACCTCTTGTACAGCTAAGAGTTATCCTTACGATAGTAGGGGTTATATCGTGGTATCATTTCTTTCACTACTGTATATTTAACACTTGAATTTGATAAGTGGCTTCAGTGTCCCTACGTAAGGGCATGAGGCAATATAAAACTAGAGTCTTCTGTGTCTCTTGTTATCTCCAATCCTATCTCGTTTGTCCATCGCGCACCTTCGCCAGATATCCTATCGAAATGTATTCGTCTATTCAGCAAAATCTCTTGATTCACATTCTACCGTAGACAGTAGTTATTCCACTTGTGATGGTCGAACCGCCTGTCAATACTATTTGAGTAGAAACAGAAGTCTGAGTTGTGTAAATACCCTTAGTGATTGTCAGAGGGAATTTTGTATCGGTGACAACGACAGTCTTATAGTCAGTCTTGGTGACAGTGCCAATATTGGTGTGCTGGTCTTCTTATTGATAACAAAACTGCTCAGCTGCTTGCTGACCAAAGCAGTTGTCTGTCTGGTAAGCGTAGTTGTAACAGTCTTGGCAGCTTTCGCTGTGGTGGTTATTATAACGGGAGCAGATGGCTTCTTGATCAAGCATGAGCAGGCACTGCTCACGTCGCTCGGAGATTTGCTAGGCAGAAAGTCAGGTACTTTAACAGGACCAACTGCTCTCTTGGCAGGAGAGCGTGCGGTTGTTGGCTTTGAGGGAGCCAGTTTTATCATGGCAACATCTAGAGGTTACACTGACCTCGCTAGCTGAAGCGCACAGCATATCATAAAAGACAATATCGGAATTTGTCTCCATTATTACCGAGTATTTCCTAGACATGTGATCAGTCTTGAGAAGCAAGGAAACTATATGGATAAAGAGGTACTTACATAAGCTCGCCGTAGCATCTACATTTGACTGGGTTTATTCCAAAGAAAGGCCGGTCTGTGCAAATCGCCTTGCATTGGTCGAAACTGAAGGAACCCACCGTGACGAGAACAGGCGGGGAGCCTGAATAACCAAGAACACCACAGTGGACCTCAGCTGGACGTCTGGTCAGTGCTTGCTCAAATACTTAGTAGTCACTGGAGGAATTTACTTTCAGGAATGACCACCAACGACGGTGCTGCTTTGCTGTGACATGTCAGTTCTGAATCGCTCCATACATTGGGTTTCCATGACTCACGTCACGCTAGTTAAAACGATGTTAGCACTTCTGATAACAACTCATTTTGTAGATGCTTACGTGGTGGCAACGACGGCAGTGAGGGAGGATGTACCGCCCGTATAAACAGTAGCTGTAGAACCAGCTGTAATTGTAGTCTAGATATAGTCGGTAATAGTTTTGGTAGCACTAACAGTTTTAGTCTCAATCACCTCATTCGTATGTATTGTGGCCCTCTGCATTGTGTATGTGTCTTTGGGGGTAGTTGTCCAGATAGTTGTAAGTGTCGTTGTCTGGACATCAGTAACAAAGGCGGTACTCGTCTGTGTCACTGTAGTTGATACTGTTCCTGTCTTTGTTGTTAAAGTTACAACGGTAAGGGTGGATGTGATGACCGTGACTCTGACCACAGTTTCTGTAACAGTATCCGTTTTGAAGGCAGTCTTTTGCGTAGTTGGAGTCACTGTAGATGTCAGGGTGCTTCGTATATAGGTCGAGCAGAAAGCAGAACCACTTTCTTTGTTTTTATTAAACGCTTGGTTATTTGCGTCGCTGGCTTTACAAACTGAGGAGGTATACTGTTAGATGTTCATGTTATTTCAATGTTGATAACGGGTCTATGCACCTGCTCTGGAGTTAAGGGAGTTCCCTTGGTTGGACTTCAAGTCTAAACCACCATTGGTGTCATATTCGGACCCATCGTTGCTGACTGGCAGTGCGCTTGTTGCACCAATAAGTAGCAGCACTAGCACGTTCTTTAGCGAGATCATAATCACTGAACGGCGTTCTGCATTCGCGAATGGTTGTGAGTAAGACTGACATAGACCGATGGGTTCTCTGACATATATGAGTTTCAGCTTATATGGGCTGCTACATTCTTTTTTCGCTTGCGGTCCGAAGCCCTATCCATAAAGACGGTCTGATAGACCGGGTGCCTTCCAAGCCTGGTTCAGCCATACTCTTTCAAGGTTAAACTGACTCAGCTAAGTACATACGGAGTGGTGTAAACTGGCCTGATTTGGTCAATAGGCAACGGGGCAGGAATGTTATGGGTTGAACTAGGCTGTATTGGGTACGCTTAGCAAAGCTGAAATACTTCCTGATATTGAACTCAATTAGAACATGTTGAGCATTCGGTCTAGACTTCCTCTATTAATATAATAGATGATATCTTAACTCCTCTAGGGGATAGTGAGTTTCTGCCATCCCAAATGCTCAAACCAAAAATTGGCTGTCAAGATTACTCTTGCCGCCAGACACGACTATGGCAAGCTTTGCGCGATTTACCTTACTCATTACCAACTACTGCGAAAAGCCGCCGCTTCTCTTCGACCACTTTTCTCTTCCTTGGAAGGTGGTGGTAAGGTAATGCTGTAGACTTTAACGACAACGTGCTCAAGGCAAGACAAACAAAGACGAAATACATACATGAGCAGATGCACATCTAAATGAAGAATAGAACGCAGTATACCAAGGTGAAGACTATAATTAATACGCTAAACAGCCTCCCGATCCCCTCAGCACATTAACTGGTAGCTATTATCTTCAATATCGATTCCGTCATTCCTAGAGCTCTGAGAGCCTTTGAGTCTCCGATCCATCATATCGACAATAAATCGAAATGTGAGGCCATTTACAGACTCTCCAAAGTCCACGTCAATGGTGCACTGGATAATATTATAGACATCTATTTCGTACGCCCATAGACGTTCTTCGTGTTCTCAAGTCTCCACAAAGAATAGCTCCCCTGGGCCAAGCAAGTTGGCGCGGCTTGTGTCATCCATTAAAGCACTATCTTCCCCAAGCCCTCAAAGATGCACTTTGTGGCTTAGCTGCACGGTACTTGAACTAGAGGTCAGAGCCGAAGAGCTTCTCGAAGGCGAAAGACGCTGCAAGGGCCCCGTAGAAGAAATACCAAACTGTATGGTCATTGTTTCTAGGGTACGGTCTCTCCTCTAGGAGCCGATACCGAGGCATACTTGAATCTAGATCTAAGGGTGGGCAAAGAGAACCTGACGAGAGATCCTTTGATGCATGTAGATCCCGAATAAATGTTGTTGTGAATTCAGGACAAGGGGACTTTCGTATTCATTGTCTAATAGCCAACTTATCCATCCCGTTCATGTTGAACAAAAGATCGGGTTGTTCAGAGAGATTCGTAGCTTCAATGACCTCAGTAGAGGATACAGATGATAGGCCGGCTACCTGAATGACTGCTCGGATATTATGTAGAGGCCTTTCAAGCTTCATCAAAAAGTTGGAAGCCCAAGTCTTTCGTCTCTCCTTCATAGTGATATTTTAATGTTAGAATGTCGTAACCGCCAAGATTCAAACAAAATCAACATGTACCATATGACAAACATACTCGCTCCCTCAGCTTATCGCTCTGATCAAACGAGCCAGCCAGCAATAAGACTTATCATCCAGTGTTAAAACAAGAGAGGAAAAAGAAACAAGATGAATACTCGTCATTTAGATCATGAGATAGATCAGAGAGACATTTATCTTGTAAGCTGGGCCATTAGTATTGGCTGGGGTAGAGAACATGGGCTATTCTGTGAGCCACTACTCCGTACCAGTCGCTTAACTACGGAGTACAAGCTAACAACTTACTAATCCAATCTGAGTACATGTGTCTTCCACCCATTCTCGGATGACGATGTCATTGGCGCGAGTACTTGAGACTTTTATCCTCCAGATTTACAATTGTCAGGAAAGAATAACTCTCAGCACAAATTTGCAGCTGAAAAGTTACCGTCCAAGTCTCCGAGATACGGGGCGCCAAATCAAGAAGCCATCTTATTGGTTTGAGTAAACGAGGTATTTTAGCACCCAGCCGTCACTAACGCCAATTTTATCATAGCGCTGTTGAAGTGGACAGCTCAGGCAAGACACGGCGCTAGGTCCAGAGCAGTCGATTGCTGATGCGTCCAGACTATCACCAAGCTATCTGGCTCTATTCCCAATAGCGGCGTGGATTTCGAACTATTGCAGTCGAGAACGTAAGATATATCCTGATTTATACATGTGCATTTGATCTATCGATTCCACAATTCCCATTGGACTTACGAGTCGGAGGATAATAAGCCACCAGAGTGGTCGGTATGTTTGCCTTGCCTGTCAGAAAATAGAGCTGCAAGTCCTGTACATAAACATGAATAATGCATACTGTTAACTTATTTATAAAAGTCAGCTCACCTCTTGTCTATGGAACTCAACAACTACCGACTCACTCACGTTCAACCTACTACCATCTCCTCTCCCCACTCTACCATACGTGCTAGTCTTTTCAATTCAATCATTGTGGATTTCTCCCTTGGAAATACAAACATCACAGACGATGAGCCCCTTAGACGAATTCTACTCTGAAGCCAATGGCTAGGTCAAGAATGGGCTCGACCTTATCAGGATAGACCGAGGCGTCGCGGTCTGGTTCATGAATAACACGGACCAGGAATTGACCTGGTCAGACTCTGGAGTCGACCACGGCGAGCGAAGTCAACTTGCACCCGATACAATCGCTCCACGGAGTTGGGGGAAATGGGCTTTGCAGTCTTGCGGTTTCCAGACAGGATGTGAGGGCTGGATGACATGGACATTCAGTGATGGAACCAAGGTCGAGCTGGGATACGATAACCCGTACTACGGGTCCAACTCTTATTCTTGCAGTGTCAACTCGACTTCGTATACTATCAGCAGAGAAGGAGGGGATGGGAATATCGCTACTATCAAGTTTATTGTGAGCCAGAACTAATCGGTCATTGCGGATAGGCCGTTGGTGGGGCTAAACTACCAACAAGACAGCCAGCCTGTCTTTCAATTTCAATCCTTCCGAGCTCGCCGACATTCTTACTGAATATTAACCGTAGCTTATAGCTTATATTCTGTGATTTAAAATTAACTATTTATCCTTTATGTCCGCCGTCAAGACCTATAATATATCGGAAACATCAATACGTAGGAGTTCCTTTAATAAGACTACTATTAAAGCGTGTGTTAATATTAATAGGCAGATAACTATAGTTGAGCTCTCGGTGAAACGATCAATCCTATTCAAGTCGAAATGCTTTGAGCCATTACATATAAGAGCCCCATCACTGATGAATCCACGCCGGATACGTAGCACAAAGCAAGAGATAGAACATGATAGTCCCAACTTCTGTCGGAGTATACCCTTTAGTAGGAATAACAAGACCTGCAGGAGGGTTGCTAGTGATTCGGCCGTGGTTAGACAAAGCGACCGGGCTGATCAGTTCCTGGTTGGAGGTGATCTCATTCGCAAATTCGCCTTGCATCTTTCTGCCATCTGGGTAGTTGAACCAAGCATTCTGAGCCTTCCAGTAGATCCAAGGTCTGCACTTGAATTTGTACTTCCTCTTGTAGACAAAGATAGACGCCTCGGGAGGAAATTGGTACGTGTCCTTGACCCTTTTCACATTTGTCGTCTCGACAGCGGTGAATGTTTTGGTCTCGGTTGAAGCGTTGATTTGGGCAAGGAACCCCCAGCCGCTAAATACAGCGCTGGCGGAGACAGACTCGGAAACCTCTTTGCCCTGGGTGACAGACATTCCGATAGTGGTTTCCTCCTCCCGGGTGCGTGTAGCTTTGCTGTCGTTCTCAATGCTGAACTGGAAAACCCATTCAGCTGAGAGCAGTTCCACATCAACGATCATGGCGCTCTCTGAGCCACTTTCCAGGACCTCGCGAATCTGGCCGACAAGGACTTTGCCATCTGCAACGTCTTTCAAGTTTCTTTGCACAGAATGGAGTTCATGATCGCCAACAACAATTCTGTCGACGAAGCTCTAGGGGGTGGTCTCAGACATGATGCTGTTGATAGAAGAAGGATGTTTGATAGCTTATGAAGGTTCTTGGACCTGAGTATTGATGATCCGAAGTGTAACTTTGAGTTTTTGTGTGAAGAAGGATGTGTCTATCAAGGCGGAATTCAGTATCTATTTATGTTTGCAACAGCTGCCCGAGAATTGTACTCTTCACTGTATAGGATCGGTAAGTATCTCTTAGAGATTTCCTTCCTTAACTCCAATATCAGCGCGATTACAATTCATCATATCAGGTGCATGTTGACGAGGTGGGCGTAATTGAATGTTACAATAGCCGGTGAAGCAAGTACAACCGAATTTCCATTCGAGTTTTCTCACCGGTCTTGTCACGGCGTACAATATCTGCATGTTTTGACATAATAGGAAGTAGGCAATGCTGATTTGTGTAACAACATGAGTTCCTCAGTTGCTAAGGACGCTCTTATGTCTGCATGTTTCAGACCTTTAGGAAGATAATGCTGTTGAGTAATCACCCAAACATACCTTGTACTATCCTCTACGAAGGAATAGTTTATACGGGTGTAGGAGGTATCTGTGCCCCAAGTCCTGGTATTTTGTGACCCAACTTTGGTATTACCTCTTGCTGTCGACAAGGTAACTGCCGATAAGGTTACTGCCGATACGGTTACTACTGATTTGGCTAAGTCCAATTCACCATTTACCGGTATTCTTTAAAAAGCAAATGTTCGAACGGCGAAGCTGTCCTAATCCTTGGAAGAATCTTGCTGAATTGACTTACGATAATGATTTTAGGATAATCTTACGTTTTTAAGCCATCATGTATGTCAGCAAATCAAGGAGAAAACGGGCCGCGTTGTGAGACACGGCACGATATTAGATCGGTCCGCTTTGTCTCGGAGCGGCACGTAGGAGACTAAATTGGGCGATTATGTTAAACCACAACATATGCATCACAGACATGACAACCAATCAATAAACTATAAAGAAAACAGATAAACTGCAGTGCGACTGAAGGGCTTGTATAACCAAGTGTCGGTGTGATTACGGTTACAGCGCACTGAAACAGTGGGCAAGGAACCAACAGGTTTTCCAGAATGAACCCCCGGGACTTTTATTGTTGTCAGGAAGTGTAGAGGTAACTCATAAGTCCATTAAAACACGGGATAAGACTTGAGTAAATCGTTCAAGGTGGACAAGATCCGTGCGGGGTAGATCTTACTGCCAAGGTATGTAGAACGTAGGTAGTGAGGGGAAGATCGCTGATTATCTGACCCGTTACCCAAGATAAGTCATAAGATGTGCCTGACTAACGACAAGTCCATATCATTGGCATATGCTGGAGTGTTGTCGACAGCCATACGCTGGGCCCATTGGGGGATAGAGCGGGCACGTAGGCGAGCATCCGGCTTAAAACACCACGTACCAGATGTAAAGTTGTGCTTGTAAGCCAGCTCAAGGCTCCTACTTAATATCCTTTGGAGGAAGAAGGGCCTATCAACCATAACGCAGAGCCCTTGAGGCGTCGCATTCGCAGCCATTGCCCAATCCATCTCGTACGCCACCTTTCTTGCATGCTTGAACGACCTATCACTCTGCAGCAGCAGTGATTGCATCATGCCGTGTGGAACGAGGAATGCAACAATATGTGGTGCCAGAACCTCTACTGTGGTGGTTTGGCCTGAACCTGGATCTCCTGGCATCTGGATGAACAGCCGGCATCCGATACGCTCGGACTTCCTGATTTCTAACATTTTGAAGAAAAAGGATTACGTCAAGAAAGGGAAAGACCGTGTACTTCTGTTATTTGTTAAAGAAGTGTTTTGTTCAGAATAAGACGTAAAGACAACAGCAAGACGTGTTCCTTTATCGTGATGACGGAAGCCGCGTACGAAACTAAGAACCTCGCTTGGATCCTTGCTCTTGCTATAATTCATGATCCCATCAGCCCCTACTTGGCAATAAATCTTAGCGTGCTTTGGGGCATCTAAAACTGCAGTATCGACTGACATTTTCTTACTTTCAATGTCTTTATTAGTGACGTAGGTAGTAAAGTCCTCGTTGAAGGCCGTGACTTTGACGCTCTTGGCTTTGGAAGCTTCTGTGAAAATATGGATGGCGTTGGTAAACTCTCAAGGATCCGCTTGACCATGCTTGTTAAATCAGGCGAGAAGAGGGTCGACCTTCTCTTCAGGGTTGCTAGCCGCCTTGTCCTTAATCATGTGCTTGGAGACGCCTTTTAGTGGCAGAACTGAGACAAGAGCTGAGATGCCCTTGATGTCGCCTCCGCTGTCGGCTAAAAAAGCTGCACAGAGAGGTCACCCATTATTATGGGGTGGCCTGTATAATGGCATGGTTAATGATGTTCGAGTTGATGGCGAGGTCAGCTCTCTATCAGCTACTGCATCGCAATGAATTGGAAAAGACTCTGCTCGAGGATTGTCGGATTAAAATATATCATTTCTCATGCTTAACCGCATAGGTCCACCCAGATCTTACCGGCTGTTACAGATAAGCCCAGGTGTAGGGATTGGTGAGACCAGAAATAATTAACATGAGACATTTGACAAACTCGGACTATAGCCTCTTGAACGATATTTATCGTTGAGTAAATGACCCTTAGACTTTTGCAGGCAATATGAGCATTTGGATGACTAGGCTTTCGTTGAAATCTTGGCCGGGAAGGAATTAAACAGGATCACTCTGCGTAAAGGGAAAACTTATGATAGCATGGAAGATTCCGTTGCTATATATGACCTCTTTCCATGGGAATGTCGCGGAAATCGTGGAAAGCCTTGTTACAGTCTGAGTATACACATTATGTTTAAGAATGAATGTGAAGTGCTTTTATTTAACACCACACTGAAACTTGCGAATCAAGCTTCAGGCTAGGCGATACGAAATGGCTTTACTCTCCATAAACGGTAAAGTCATCATCAAGGTAACACTCAACTACTGCAGCTTGAGTATGTCCTTCAATAAAGCAAGCGCCCCAAACAGCTCATTATCGTGATACTTCCTCGCGATAAGCTGCAAATTTATTGGCGCTCCCGTAAAGTCCGACTCTTCCCACAACCTCTTCACCTCTCCACAAGCCTCACTCAACGGCTCATAACCCAGGTCATAGTTTTCACCCCCCTCCACCCTAACAGGCGTAGGGATCACAACACCTGGATAATCAACAAGATTATAAAGCGAAGTGTAATTCCAGTAAAATGCCGTATCATGCACAGACGCAGGTCCGACGAATGCTGGTCCTAGGAGTATATCAACATCTTGCTCTTCCCAACTTTTTGCAAATGCCCAGCGAAATGAATCTCGCTCGCGACGCATCAAACTAAGATCAACGGCATTCTTCATGCCAAGCTTCTCAGCGTCTTCCCAGATCCATGAGCTGAGAGAGTGGATTGGCTCGCCTGTAGATTTGATAGCGTTGATTGCTGGCTGGGCCCCGTCGGGCCAGTACATGCGTCTGATTTTGGACCAAGCATCCTCTGAGCCGTGGACCTTGAAGTCTTTGAGTTCGATTAGATCTTTATATTTTATGTCGGATAGTTGATCTCGTGCCCACGCCAAGGCCTTGAGGACAGGGGGTTGGGGTGTGATGAAACCATCGCTATTGATGAAACCAATCTTCAAACGACCCTGGATAGGCGTATGTAGACCCTTCCAAGGAATAGGCACCAACGTTGTATCCTTCAAGTACGGCTTAGTTGAGAGAACACACTGCATCAACAGATCCATGTCTCTCAAGCTTCGACACATCGGACCGGCGGAAGCCAGAACATTTAGCTCAGCTGGGAAAGGCGTTGGAACAAAGCCTCTCATCGGCATTGTATAAGACGTAGGTTTAAACCCGTAAATCCCACAAAAGGCTGCAGGACCACGAATACTCCCACCGATATCAGTACCAATGCCGAGGACAGAACCTTTCATGGCGATCAAGGCTGCTTCACCGCCGGTTGATCCACCAGCTGAGAGGTTGATATTGAAGGGATTAAGAGTCCGACCCCATAGTGAGTCAGTCTCGAGGTGCATGATCATTTGAGGCTGATTGGTCTTGCAATGAAACACAGCGCCAAGACTCCTGAGAATAGCAACCATGTCACTATCCTCTGTATCTTTCTGCATGCTTGCAAGGTATCCTTGAGAAGAGAGAGTCCCAGCTATAGCCATATGTTCTTTGATACTGATAGGTAGACCGTGTAGTGGACCAATTGGCTTTCCGTTCTTAGCCATATATTCGTCTAACTGTCTCGCTTGGGTAATAGCTTCGTCCATATACCACTGAGTGAGACAACATGTGAGTTGATGAGCGATGATAGACCGTTTAGCAAAGGCTGTAGCGACCGTAACGGCTGAAAAGTCACGATTGGCTAGACTTTGGAGAAGACCAACGGCATCGTAATCCTCTGTGATACGAATTTCTTCTTCTGTAAGAATACCGCATGATGAGGGGATGTTGGACACGTCAAGAGGGGGATCAGAGATTGAATTGGCGGGGAGGTAGTATTCTTTAGGGACTTTGGAGATAAGGGTCTCAAGAAGGGCGGCTCGTTTGGCTTCGAAAGAAGGTGTTCCAAGAGGAACTGGTTTTGTTTGGACTGTGAAGGGAGATTTGTGCTGCTCTTCATTGGCTGAAGGATCGATTTGGACGATCGAGGTGTTCTTGAGAGCATCTTTGGGCTGAGGAAGTCCAAGAGGGGAAAGAAGACTCATGTTGGCAGAGTGGAGATATTTGGTATAATTTGTAGGAAGGTTAAATCGAAGGCGAATGCTGAATTAAAATTGGTGTTCTCAGAGATAAGTCGAAGCTTTAAGTATCACGTCCCGAGGTCGATATAATCTCTCCCCTCTCCCGTTATTCACTATCACTCTCGATTTCGGAATGTAATTCCTTACCCCCTGTGTAAACTCTACACAGGCGTCCGTCGCAAATACATATGATTGGATATAATGTCACAGTCTAATTTAGTGTAACGCCAGGTTCCATAGGTGTGGTAGCATCGACCACCCACGTATATTTGCGCTATCTGCTATCCACTAGCTTATGACCGCCACAAGCAATTAGCGTGATTAGCGTGATAAGCTTTGGCGGGGAAGCTCGCCTACTTGCTCGGAAACAAGATATGCTCTTCGCTGGTTCATTCATATTGATAGTATCATCTCTGGCCCGTCAGATAGTGAGTTGATGAGTATATATTAGACGGGGTTGATGCATCATCGCCTTCTCAGTTGGCAGACTTCTACTCAGCAAATCCAAACTATCTACTCTTGTATTCATTCTTCTGTTCGGCATGGCTGAATCAATCAATATCCCCGGCACCGTCCACCTCCTCGATCTGGACCATGACATGCAGGCTCGTCATGCCAGTTCATCCGCCGATATTGTACTTCATCCAACCCCGTCAAAGGACCCTAATGATCCATTGAACTGGACTCCACGTCGTAAACTGCTCTCACTCATCTGTCAAAACTTGTACGTCAATAACTATACTTACGATTTTACAAGAATACTTATTGATGATGTGAAGATATACTTGGTTCGCAGGCTTTTCAGTATCAACTGTGTATTCCGTGCTTGTTCCCCTCTCTGCTCAATCCGGCGTATCTATCGCTACTTTGAACGAGGGCACGGGGTACATGTTCCTCTTCCTGGGTTGGAGTTTGCTTTTTTGGCAGCCTTTCTCACTGCGTTATGGGAAACGGTTGACTTACCTCATTTCGGTTCTCGGTGCAATCGTAAGTTTTCAATTCCCAACCGACGTTATGTGTTTCTAACGAAGCCATGGTTTAGGGCACTAGTATTTGGAGGTAATTGCGTTTATCAACACCTGAGTATTATTTCTCAGCTACCTGGCTAACATCATGTCCAGTGCCTACGTCAAAAGCGATGGCGAGTGGTTGGCAAAATGCATTATTCAGGGATTCTTTATTTCTCCTATTGAAGCACTTCCTGAGATCTCAGTCACTGATATTGTAAGCGATCTCACTGAATGCCAAGTTCTCTGCTGACACTCTTAGTACTTTACACACGAACGCGGCACATACATGGGTATCTATTCTTTTGCCCTTGCTGGTAGTAACTACTTTGCCCCTGTTGTCTGTGGCTTTATTGCAGATTACCAAGGCTGGCGGTGGGTCTTCTACTGGCCCGCTATCTTCCTAGGTGCTGTGTTTGTCTTCCTCTTCCTGTTTATGGAAGAGACAAATTACACTCGAGATGTTGTGTCGGAGCCAATTGCTCAAGTTCCTATCTCTCCTTCTGAGCAGGGTGAAAAGACCGCCCCTACAGTAGAGGGGGCACCAACAGCTGAGAACGGCGAAGTTTATAACATCCCCAAGACTTTTATTCAAAAGATGTCACTCTGGCAGCCATCTCCAGGACAGAATTTACTGGCCCGATCATGGCGATCACTTAAGTATCTCACCTGGCCGGTCGTCTTCTACGCAGGCTTCTCCTACGGTTCATATCTCATTTGGTTCAACGTCCTCAACGCGACAGCCTCTCTTATTCTCTCAGGAGAGCCATATAACTTCAAACCATCCATGGTTGGCTTGAGCTATCTGGCCTGCTGTGTCGGTGTTATCGTCGGAGCTCTCGTTTCTGGAAGACTCAGTGATAAATTGACGATTAGGCTTGCACGCCGAAATGGCGGAATTATGGAAGCCGAATCGCGTCTTTGGCCCTTCTCGCTGTGTGTCATCATAGTCCCTGGAGCTCTTCTACTGTGGGGCGTTGGAGCGCAGCATGGAGTTCATTGGTTCGGACTCGTCTTCGCTATGGGATGTCTTGCCTTTACTAGTGCAGTCGGTGTCACTTTGAGTGTGAGCTATCTTATTGATAGTTACCATGGTATTAGTGGTGATGCGATTGTCACGGTCATTTTGATTCGGAATACGATGTCGTTCGCCATAAGCTACGGGTAAGCCACTTACTGATTTCGTGAAGACTAGCTGACGATTATAGAATCACACCTTGGATAGCTCATCTCGGTTACCAAAACTGTTTCATTTCAGCTGCGTTTATTGGCATGGCTGCTTCTTCTGTCTTTTTCATCATGATTATTTATGGCAAGAGTTGCAGAGTAAGAAGTGCTGAGAAGTATCATCAGCTTGCTCAGGATATTTAGAAAGGTTCTTAAGTATGTTTAGCTTAATTGGAACACCTAAGTTAAGTGGGAAGTGAAACAGATCTTATGAGCAATTGACTACTTACCTCATTTAAAAACGATGAGAAGTCAATCCGAGCGTTATTTCGAGAATTACTGTTACTGAGTTGGAGCTATTAATGAAAGAGTAATAAAAGAGTAATAATTTACTACCGTAGTATGTTAAGTAACTACTTAGATAGTTAGATATAACAATAAGAGGTTTTAGGGTATTTACTTCTATAGAGTACCTTTTCATTAACTATATTATTTAACGTTGTACTTAACACAGATAACCTAAATTTAACCCTCGCTCTCTACATACAACCAACATGTAAGTAATACTTTTCTCTCCTAGAACATTCCTGTTACATCCTACTACCCCAAATACTCTCTAAATCATGATAATATCGCAAGGCCGGAGTTATTTTCGTGACCTCCCATGACCGCTCCAAGTCTTCCACCACAATCTGACGATCCTCTCCTTCTGCAAGAAATAAGCCGAATGTATATACTGGCCAAGTTCCTGTGTATGATTTCGCCCACTTGGTGTTGTTTGCCTGTCTCTTTAGAATTCCAAGGAACATTCCAATCTGCCACTTATCTCTGGAAACAGAAGTAGGTATTTTCTTCCCTCTCTGCGCAGTCTTGAGTTGTTCGAGTAATAATGACGCTGCCAAGGCATATAAAACAGTTTCATCCCTGGTTGTACTGCCCCTTAACATGGATATCTCAGGGGCATTGTGGACAGACTCGACGTCCTGGTCACGGAGCTGATTTTCCCACATCCGCACATCTCGCTGGGTCTTTTTGAGAATTTCAGGATTGATGTTAATCCCTGGTCTGTAACATTCCCGCAGGATGACTATAATCCGGAACAGCGACAAAGGTACGCCCAAAATAGGGCTTTCAAGATTGCGAGATGCGCCTGGTAATAGTGTCGATCTGTCGACAAGCTCCTCCACACTGTTCCAAAACTCAGGGTCGAATCTGTGTCTGTATGGAGTTGTTTCAGACCATAGGCCTGTTGTGAGTAAGAATTGCTGATAGATGACACTCTCGAGGGCTACTTTGTCAAAGAGTCGTTGAATTCCAGTAGGCCGATTGAACAAACGAAGGACAATAATACGGGTGGCGGCGTTGACATGTTTTACAACGTCACTTTGTGTATCCAATTCCAAATACTTTCCCAGTCAGTGATATTTCCCCAAAGAATCTCTCGCAAAAGCATACCCCATAGAGATAAAGTAGTATTACGGACATCAGTAATGCGTCGTGGTGTTCATACTCCGAAACGTTCTTAAGCAATGCAGAAAGCTCCCTTACTCCCTGAGAGTAATACGAGAGAGCAATATGATGCATTTCCAAGACTGAGTCACCTAGAAAGATGTGAGATGCAGCACAAGCCAGAACTGAGTAGTAGAGACTTTTGTGTGTCAGCATAAGTTGCTGAATTTCAGTAAGCCAGCCATCGTAGAATCCACGGTAACAATCTGGCAATAGCAAAAGAGGGAAAAAGTTCCCAGAGAAATGTTGTGAGATGCGGAGCTCCAAGTGGTTTGTTGAAATACCGTGAACTAAACCTGCTTGCAATGAGAGATCCATTGGACAAATAGAATCGATTGACGAGGTAGAGAGGAGATCTGATGGAACTGCGCGTTGAACAGGGATGTTGTTAAGGGCTAAAATCGGACAATCATTGGTATCATATTCGAGTTGTTGCGGTTTGTCTTTCGCACGTCGAATTTGGTGTCTTGAATCGCAGTGATGAGCGTTTCGACGGTCGAGCAAATCATCTGCTGATGGCCATATACATTCTCGCCCAGATAAGCTGCATAGGTCGCAGATTGGGGATTTTTCGTCGCATTTCTTACGTCGTTGTCTACCTATAATTGGCCTTCTATTAGCAACGATGTGAAAAACAAGGCTTACGTACTTACATGTAAAGCATCCAGTCTTTGCGCGCAATTTGCGTCGAGGAGCTGTGTTTGCAATTCTCTCTGTCATTGTGGCATTGTTGCTTGGGTGACATGAACTTTTGGGAATCGACAGCGGGGGAGGGAGTGGGGGTTTTTAAGGTGTTTTGTAATAATTCATGTTACTATGAACTCAATTTAAGTCAAACGCTCGCATGTGACCAGGGATAACTTCTCCCTTTCTAGTCAAGTCTCGGATGCTGTGTAGCCAAGGCTTATCTAGGGGTCAATTCTCTGCTGTGCTGCTAACGTTAGATAGCAGGTTTAAAGTGGAGCGTTCAAGATGCGGGGTTACTAGGGTTTACGGATATATTCTATCATTCTAATATTATGGCAAACCCCTATGACGTAGTGAAATAGTAAACAGACCTGTTTACATTTTGTTTGTAAATAAATCGAGTATAGTATAATTAGCTTACGTCTTTACGTACCATTATAAAAATAAAATACTGTTTACTAGATTTAATATTGTATTCTAGCTTAGACTGATTACGTTTTCTCTTCTTAGGCTTTCATTAATAAGTCTATTAAAATACGTGATAAGTGTCGGCACGTAGACGAGCATCTAGCATTGCCAAGTTCTATGAATCGGCGTAGAACTACACTGTTCAGTAACTATTCCTTTAGAATGATCAGCGAATTAATGTGCGGTGTTATGAGTTCTGCTATGGTGGTTTTGCCTGAGCATCGAGCTCCTGACGTCTGAAAGAATAGCCAAGAACTAATACTTAACTGACAGAACTTTGGACAATTTGAAGGCGAAATATTGCGTTAAGAAAAGTAAAGACTACATATTTCCATTCTATTAAAGCAGCAATGTAAGAAACCTAGGGCTACGGTGTTCTTTGAAATCGCCTTACTTGATTCTAGAAGGAGGGTATGGTGATGTTTCTGTTCGAACAGCCCGGCATTTAATTCAAAGTCTGATGAATCTACTTCCGGCTCCTCGCGCACTGCAACGTTGTACACCTTACATTGTTCTCCATATCAAGGATGGTCAATTCAAGTAGATAGTATCTTTCGCTCGTCAAAGACGTTCTTAAGTAAATCAATTAAGCCCTCAACTGTAATATGTTCCTACAATTGGAGCAAACATAATATAACAATCCTTTCAAGCCACCACGACACTTACTGAAAGAGGAGCATTCTCAACCACCATGACATTGAAGTCCTCCAGTGAAAATGCGGGGTTTCTACAATATCTCGCCCGTGATTGAATTGTCGTAGTAGCTGAACCCCTGCTTGGAGAATTCATGCTCGCCAGCCCAAGCAAGAAGCTCAATTCAGACACCGCCGTAGCCATGACCCATCCTTTCTCGGCCCGAGGAAGAAGACGTATACGCAGATAGTACTGGTTTTGATTCTGGTCGTGAAATGTTGTTGGAATTACATTGAACCGCAGGTTTGTCAACATGTGCGTGCCAGGGCCAGTGTAGTTCGACATCAAGAAGTATGTAGGCGCGTCCGACGCACCAAGTGCGATGTCCACGGTTACTTCCATCAGCAAATACTGATTTATCTCGCTTTGCTTTAGCACGATCGAGAAGATAAGGTCCTGGGGTAGATTACTCCTCTCCAGTATGACTTGATTGTGACTTCCGACCAAGTTGCTACTGACACGCATTAGGAATCTTGGTGCAGATGCTGGCTCAGACCCTGGTGGACGATCTCGGCTTGGAAGTGGTTTTATCCCATTGCGTCGGAGGCTGGCAGGCAACATATGTAGATCAGCGACGTCTGGACCTTGATGAAGTGGCATGGCTCGGACATTAGGCGCCAGGTAACTTGAGAGTGACTCCAGGATAGGTTTGTAATCTGTAGGTCGTGTGAAATCAGGCTCTTCGGGAGTTGACATATCCGTATCGTCGTTATCATCCGAATCACTCCCCGGCGACATAGAGACCTCTGTATCAGTGGTAGAAAGCTTCTTCACCCGCAACGCTTGTAGCATCTTGAACGTCCTCAGCTCTGGTTTGCCACTTTGTCGGTCAGGAGAGGCCAAGCTAGCGATAGCTTGTGAAGCCTTTGAAGGTGCACTCATATTGATCGTTAAGTTGTAGACAGGATCGTTGAGCTGCATGGCAAACAGTGCCGACGTTGAAGCATCATCTTTAAAAAAGGCTGTACTAGTGCCTTGTTGGCTTCCCATCATTCTCTGTAGAATCTCGAGTTGAATGTCGGCAAAGGCGGGCAGACGCAGTATACGCAGATCAGTGAGACCTTGGTTTGGTTGCGAACCCCAGATGAACATGTTGTTTAATGCGCCTGGGTTGCTTTTGATCTGGGTCAGAGCCTCATGTCTATGCTGGTCGGTCTCCCGAGTCTGCTGATCAACGGTGTATTGTCGCCTGATATCAACCTTCAGCTCGCCACTGTCAAGACCCCGGCCTACAGCGAACCGCTGCTGGTGTGACGGTTGTGTCAAGACAAGAGAGGAGAACTGGTCGGAACCAGGGACACGGTCCATGAATGCCATCATGACTCCATCTGTGACTATTTCATGCCGTAAAAGAGGTGCGCCTTCTGGAGGAGCCAGTCCAGCGGATTTGAGGGCTGCATCATTTGACAAGACTTCAACACGCAGGTCAGGGAACATGGTCACCAGGTCTGAGCGAAGGTAAAACCCGTAAGCTGGGATCTGAACACGGTGGTCCATTCCATCAGGCGTGCTGCTGATGTAGTCATTGAGTGCCTTCTTGATAGCGACGCGATCCTCGTCGGTACCAAAATGGTTGCCCAGAGATAAAGCACCATCTATCAGCGCGTCGACCCAATTCTTGTCAATATGGAAGAATCGCAAGCTCTCCTCCTGTAGATAAGTCGGGTCAGGTAGAAGGCAGTGTGCTGGCACACCAGCAAGGAACATTCGATCAACCAGCCACGAGAGTACAGTCATCCAGTCTGAAGATTCGGGATCATTTGTCTCATCGTATGGAACGCCCGATTTGCTTGAAGCCAGTCTGCGCATAGATTCCAGGGCAGCAGCTGGATACTTTTCCTCAAAGACAGGTGAAGAGAATGAAAGTGTCGGACGGTCATGACGCCTGAGCTTTTTGTGGTACCATCGTTTTCTAGGTCCTCCATGTCTGAAGATGGGCCTACGACGCTGTTCTCCACTAGGCTCGTCGTCTGTTCCTGAACCTGGGTCTAGAGGTTCCGAAGTACGTTTGTGAATATGGACATCAGCCAGGCCCTTGACCATGAAGGAAAGGTCTTCAAGGAGGTCATTGTGAGTACGAAACGCGGTGTCTCTGACGTCTTTGACAGCACTGATCTTGACTTGTTTTGCTGCGGCTTCGTGTACCATACTACGTACGCGACCGAGTGCGGCTGCGAATGCCTGATTACCAAGGGCCATAGTACGCCCAACTTGCCAGGCGACGGAGTATGTTATGTCCATGATGCCGACCTGCTTGTCTAGTATTTGTAGATCTAAGCCAGAGGTAGAGCACTGGGTGAGACTTTCCAGTGCGGGCACGTACGTGGGCGTCAATGGGCCACGATACAATGCCATAGTTGCTTCGCCAGTCTGAGTACGGTAGTTGACCAAAGTGTATCCATCATTCAAACGACGGCCAACAAGCTGTTGGATCTTATCATCAGACGCCTCCAAGGGCGTGATGATCTTATCTGGAGCCCGCAGAACGTTGAGAGTGCGACCAAGACTATCAAAGGCGTCTGGAACATTAAGAGTATTTGGTGGGAGTACTGTGTAGTTCCAGCTGTGAAGCGAGCAGAGGGCCACATAGCGGTGGTTCTGACTGGGGTACTGCATCGCTTCAACGCCCTCAATCGAGACTAAATGAGCGCACATGGTGGTTGGAGTGACATTGTCAAGAGGTCCAGATCTGTTGCCCACTACAATGCTAAAGACAGCTGTGTCTTCAACACCAGCAAGAGCCATTCCAGAACCGTTGATCTTGCGGACGTGGGATAGGTATTTGTACTGCGATGTATCTGGTCCACTGCCCCTGACTCGATTGCCTCTATCATCAAAGGTTGAGAAGAAGCTTGTGAATAAGTCAGGCTGCACGAAAATGAAGTCTCCGCGGCTATCTTTCATCGAAGCTGGTCCAAGAGTGGCTGATATGGGCGTCGTGATGTCAGGAGTTAGCTTCCACAGATCAGCGATGCTCATGTTCACTGTCATTGTGGAAGATTGTTTGACAGGCTTGATGATGCCTTCGCTGGTACTGCGGAAGATTCTGGTAAGATCGTCTGGTGGCAAGCGCAGCTCATCTTGAGAAAATGCCAGTATAACAAGCCATGGTACACGATTGCGTGGTACACCACTGGCTTTGACTCCTGTCTCTGTGGCTCTCAAGGCTGCCATCTTCATCTGTACTTTAAGCTCTTGGTTCGTGCCAGCTTTAGGACTTCCAAGACGCTCCCATGGTAGATGTGGATCTGTCAAGACGACATGCGGCAAGATCCTGTGGTCATCACTATATCCTGCTGGAGGATACGTAGAGTGAACGCTTCCGTCTGGCAGAGAGAATTGAGGTGCGTCCACATAGAAGGCCTGGTCTGCCTCAAGGTTTAGAGTTTGTCCATCAGCGCGAATGCTCTGTTTTACAGAGATGATGCGCTGGGGACCTGCTCCCAATCCAGGAGCCCAGAACGAATTCAGCTTTTGCTCGCCTGGAGGAAGAGGATCATAATCTTCTCCGACGGTTTGGCCATTTGCGAGTACTGTCACAGGTGATTCGACTTTCCGATCACGACCAAGTCGACTGGCTGCGACAATACGACGAGAGTGTCGTATCGTCAGATGGCGAGGAGAGTCGATGCGGGTACTCTTTCCTCCAGGGTAGATGCCCATGGTGCAAAGCCAACTTGGGAAGAATTCGTCTATGATAGACTAGTGGTGATGAAATAATAGTGGGTGCCAATGGTTGTAAATATTTTGAAAGTAGTATTTATTGAAAAAGTAATAGAATTGCAGGTTATGGGCTCGCCGCATGCTGGTTGCGAGATGTTGGGCACGGAAGCCAAACAAATACCCACGATGTCGTTGGAGGCCACGACGAGATTGGATGACATTCTACGTTGTTCGCACATACTGGACTTGACCCAATCGCTACTTCGTCATTGTATCTTCACCATTGGCCCGATATGATAACGTGATTGTCAATTTGTATTCAATTAACGGGTCCCGAGCAAGTACAAGCCTCACAATGCTTGAACAACTCTTTGTGGGCTCCCGCATCTCGACAGCGCATAATGCATACTACCAAGAGGTGCATATGTAGAGCCCGATTGCAAACCAGCACAGCTGTGTCTCAAAAACACGCGCTGCCAACGACACAACTATTTACGTTACACACACAACGGCAATGATATCCTGTTGTGAAGCCGTGGGCTAAGCCGGCCGTAAGCGCTGACCAGGAGTTAGACATGCATGCAATTCTCGCCAAGTAAGGACTCAGTCGACGTGTGCTTCGGCATTCTTCAAGGCCGAGTATTCTGCCGAGGGGAAATAACACGAACAGAGTATACTGCATGCATGAGCCTGCCCGTTTATGCAGTGTATTGCAGTAAGACGGATACCTGCCTGCCTGCCTACTAAATGTCTCATATGCAGAGAGCTTGTTGCGGTATTTACACTGCAGAACCATGCGTGGCGTGAAGGCCTCGCAAGGATCTCATGCGTGACTTTCGTGTTACCTGCACGACATAACACTGATGCGGGGTTGTGTCACCGGGGAGGGTTCCCGTTGTTCGAACTATGCCGTGTAACCAGCTACGCAAAGGCGATGATTATTGTGCAACAGGTGCTGGCATTCTGTACAATGATGGAATGGCGGAATGAGGGGAAAGTTCATCACAGTGGAAGAAGAAGGTGAGAGCAGAATGAAGGGGGTATTGGACTGCCCACTTGGAATGAAAAGAAACTTTATTGCTTCTCTTTGGACCGGACTTTCTCCCCTCCATAGACAAAGACAAGTCCATCATCAAGTCAACCATGGCTCCCATCGCTGCTATTATCGACAAAACTACTCCTGATGACAAAGCCATCAAACTGCTCTACAGCACCGGCAATGCCCGGCTTGGTCTTGCGTTGTGGTCAGGCACAAAAGACCCAGATCCAGAAGACTCGATACAGACTCCTCAAGAAGTCGGCAATGGGCAGTACATCCTCAATCCATCCCAGATGGCTAGCATCAACTTCCAGGGTGAAGAAAAGGTCTTTGCTCTTACAACAGAAAACCCATTCAGGGTCACCAAAGATGACTTTTATAATCTATCTGAGATCTTCCCTTCTTACAAGAAGCTTCAAGATATAGTGATCGGAAACATCACCCTCGCCTCTTGTACTAGTGGTGATAATGCCTGGATCTATTTCACCAGGTGAGTGTGGTATTTGTGCCTGGTGTATCCCGAAGGCTTTATGCGGTCGAAGGACTAATAACAGACATCAGACCAATTGGGGAGAGCAGCAGAGCTCTTTGGGAGTTAGATCTTCGAGCATCACAGGCCACTCAGCTCATATTTACGCACGACCTATGGATCAATTCATTTGCTGCTGCCTGGTTTGACACAGTGACTGGAAAGCGAAACGTTATCTATGAAGGAAGTGCACTGACGGAGTATGTTGTCGATGATGCTACAAGTAACTCCCACCCCAGCAATCCAACTTGACAATCATATCTGACCGTTATCTAGATGGTACAGCGATAGCCGCAACAGGAGATATGCAGCGTAATACTCCAGTGGCTGTTGCATTCAACTCTGGTACGGTTTACCTCTATTACTGCGGGAGAGGTACGGCCGGAGGCATTCGACGAAGTGTAAAGAGCAATGGTAGATGGGGTAGCTCTACTCTTATTGATAGCAACACGATTGCTCAGGATAGCCAGCTTACTGTAGTGAGGGCTAATGGAATTAACCATCTGTTTTATGTCGCCAGAGATGAGAATGAGGAGGAGGATGACTACTTTGTCCACCACCTGGATGAGGTCGCGTAGTGAGCAGGAGGGCTGTTAGGTGTGATAGCAATAGGAACAATGGGATTGCATGTCGCTAACGATTTTGAAGTGATCAACCCCTGAGTTTGATATCCTAATTCATGCGTGAGCCGCTGTCTGGGGAACTTTCATCCATCTAGAAGGGAAACTGGATAAAGCTAATTGATTATTACCCGGTGGCGAGTTTCTAGATAGGTACTGGTGGAAGTTCTATTCACAATGCTGAACCCCCTGACCATTAGTCAAAAGGGAGATATAGGTCTCATTTGTTCGAGAAACACAGGTCAAGTGGCTCCATCATTAAGAAAAAGTTCAAACATAATACACTAACCCATCAATTAATAAAGTACTAAACTACAAGAACCAGAAAGCAGCAGATTTCCCTAGGGCTTTGCAGGCGCCATGATCGGGTTCCTCAGCTGCAAAAACCCCTCAATAGCAGCGTAAGGCCCATCCTGGAACGCAGGTGTCATCAAATCACCCTTCTTCTCAATACCAAAAGCATTATAAACAGCCTGAGAATCTTTATTATCATCCCCCTGGTTCGTTCCACGTGCAGACTGCCCCTCGGCATAAGGTTGGAACCAACTCCAGTCTCCACCACCAAGAGAAGGGAGCAGTAAAGTGCGCATCGGGACATCTCTAGCGTTCTGGCTGGTCAGCTTCTCCGCGTCAAGATAACCAGGTACATCATTGACGGGCATTGTTAGAGGGCCCGCGTGGAAGAAAGCTGTCATGGTGTCCATGGCCTTTTGCCACGTCCATGGAGGTAAGAGTAGTTCCGCAGCTGGCAAAAATGACGAGTATGCGTGGACTGGTGTGAATGGGTCTAGTATAGCACCAAATATTGACATACGGGCATTGCGTTGATCTTCAAAGGCAACGGGGTCAATGACAGCCGAACTATCAGAGAATGGAGGCTGCCAGAATGGTTCAAAAACTGGATACTGCTCGGTATCCAAACCGATCAACGGCTCCGTGGGTTGAGCATCTGGGAAGAAAAAGGTCTTTATCTTGTCATAGTTCAGCTGATCAGAGCCAGGAGCTGTGGTGTCAAAGTAGCCGACAAGTCCATCGTAACCAGCCTCCTCATTTCCCAGCCGTAACTGAAGCTCGTAGAATGGGGTCTTGCTATCAGGGTCCGATGGCTTCAGCAATGTGCGCTCAGGATCCGTCACTTTGCTCAAAGTGCTTTGTATCTCAAGAGGCGGTCCACTCAGCTCGACAGACCAGCCAGTGTTAACAAGTGCGAGTGGCTTGCCTACGATAGAGTTGAGGAACTGTGCATAAGCACCTGGAGCTGGCGGTAGCTTTTGCTGCGCCGTTGTTATCATGCCCCAGAACCCAAGAAGGTATTGTGGGTCTACCAATTTGGAGATAAGGGCATCAAGCTCCCGTGTGTCAGGTGTTGGCTGTGAATCTGGGTCAGGGCTGAAAGGTAGCCACTTGGGAGACTGGAGAGTTCCTAAAGGACCACCGACTCGAACCTCGCGGTAAAAGGTGCCGTTAGGGAGGAAGAACTGGATGCCATAGTCGGCGTAGTTGGTGATGACCCATCCCCATATTGGCGATTCCCATTCTGTGACAGGACGCCACATTGAGCCCTGCGAGCCACCTAGATCATCGGCAGTACGTGTGACGAACTTGGCATTGATCCGGGCAGGTTGATTCATTTGAGGCGGTAGTTGAATGAACTCTGTCTGGTCAGATCTGTCCTGTATGACCGTGTTGGCATACTTCTTTCCATCCAAGGTGACCTCCTGCGGTGCATAAAAGTTGCTTATACAGGGATAAACAGGTGGTAGCCCCGCAACACGCGGCTTTTGGTCAACAGCCATGAGGGTCTGTCCAAATTTGTCGATCACATTAAACTTGCGGAACCTGAACTGTCCGTGTGTCACAGGCTTAAAAGGGCAATGCTCGCTGTCCGTGAAATTCACCAGTGCGGCGTAGGGTGTCAAGGCTGAGTTGCCATCGATGAGTTTCAGCCTATCCTCTGTCAGACCAGCTGGATTGAAGGCTGCTGCGTTGAGGACATAGCTTGAATCCCCTTGAGGTCCGACGACTTTGTTCTCGGGCTTGAGATGACTACCCTCTGCCTGAGTGACAAGACCGCTGATAAAGCCTGATAGTGGGGAGGATAGATAAGAAAGTTCGTTGACATTTGCAAGCAAGTTGGTGCGATCCTCCTCTGGTAGAAATTCGTCGAGGATACTGGGCGGTGTGTTCTGGAACAGCTGCTTGATCTTTGCACCCAATGCGAAGCTCGGCTGCGGCAGAATCAACACACGTCCAGACAAGACGCGAACATCCTGTCCCTTGGCACCTTGCCATCTAGAAAGAGCATCCCAGAGGGGAGGAGGCGTCTCGCTATTATACGGCACTGTGATTCCATACCTGGCCAGCTTGTTCTCAGAGTGACGCGCTGAGTGTTCATCCAGCTTCCAGAACTCAAAGGGTATATGCGTGTACTCCACTTCCCACTCGGCGTAGAGAGGAAACCAGGGCTGTCTTCCACTCGATCTATCACGCCATCTCTGGTCGGTAGTCAGTTGGTCGTGGAATTGAGGGTAAAATGTCCCTTCGGGTGCCGTGCCCGAGTCATGGCCTTCAGGTCTGAGGATATGGAACTCGGTGAGAAGTGCCTTGCTCGCCGCTCCGAAGACTGAGGGTAGCTTGGCGTTGATAAGGTCAGCGAGTGTATTGAGGCCACTCGGTAGATCTTGGCCAGTCGCAATTGTCTGGTACGGCGCTCGGATAGAGAGATTGTCGAGGTAATCGAGAGCCCAGCCAGACGGAATGCCTCCAATAAGAACAGTGGGATCATTTCCACCGTAGAAAACTGGCTCACTTGTGGACTCAATATGTGCCAAGAGGTTAGACGTCAACAGATTACCAACCTGCGTTTCAAGCTGTTTAATGCGTGTCTGGAGTCCATTGATACGAGTGGAGATTCTTCCAGCTTCTCGATTGAACCCCTGATTCTGGTCATTCCCTTGGCTATTGCTCTGTCCAAGATCACTGGCATATTTCCACCAAAGGGAAAACATATCCCAGCGGTAATCGAGCATGGCTCTATTGCATGAGTCGAGTAGCGCTTGAGTGAGGTTCAATTGATTGAGCATAGAAATAGCTGCGGGCTCTGGTTCCGTTGGCTGATTGGAGCTCGTACTGTCGGACTCAGCAAAGAAGTATCTCGTGCCGCCTGGAGAACGAGTGTAAGACCAGTTATACACCGAGTCTTTGGCCTCACGCTGGCCTTCAACGCCATCGTCACGAGCTTGAAGGAGGGATTCAAGAGCGAGTATATCCTCCTCCAGCTTGGCGACATCATCTGAATCATCGCTGGTGTTTCCGCGCGCATGACAGTATGCCAGTAGTGCATCCATTGGCGTTGTTCCCACAGCTACTGCGGCCTGTTGCTGGTCACGCAGACGCTGGCTGAAATCATCCGCCGGGACATGTGTGGGCTTGTTTGCATGATCCCACGTCACATCGTATATGCAACTGTGACAGAGGATACGCAATTGGCTGCTAAGACCCATCCATGGGTCAGGGTTTGCCTCGTCTGTCCCCTTCAGTGTCATGAAGAGTGACTGCAGGCTCTCTCCGTGAGTCACTTTGGCACCATCAATCACATTGCCACCAGACTTCCACAGGGGGTCAACAGCATCTTTCCAATGCCATCCCAGGACGTAATAGCTTGCGACAGCCGAGTCAAGATACGAGGGGTCTTTACTATCCCCGTACTCAAAGTTGTCCAGAATGCTAAAGACGTTGGAATTGTGCATTTGGAAGTCTGCAAAGAGCTGGTTCCCACTCCGTAGGAGACTGATGTCTGGAGGGTCAACAGCAGGGTTCTCATTCTCAGTCCATTCTGCTAATGGCGTCTTTCGCCCAATAAAGACTTCGGCTTGCTCATTAATGTTGATGTCGGTACCAGCTTTTCCGAGTACAAATGGTGCGACGTCTGTCTGTAGATCCGTCTTGATGGGGATGTCTTCCAGAGACCAAACGTAGTCACTGTCAACCACCCAGGCCTCATATTCTTTGTCTTTGAAAGCTTCTTTGGCACTCTCTGGCTTGATAGCATCAAGCTCAATCTTTCTTATGACAATCCATCGTGTTGGAGGCTGTAAGAAATCTGGCGTGGTGTGAGAAGAGTTGTCCCCTGCCGGGGTAGATGCCGCATCCATTCCACGCCTCCGCCTCTCCGCCTTTCTCCTAGACTCAGGCACAGAATCACTTGAAGACACGCCTGATCTGTAAAAGCGAGGCAGAGTCCAGTGAACGTAGACACCGTGACGATGGCGGAGGGGCTTAGGCTCTGGACGACCGCCTAGGTCCGTCAATCGTGAGTTGATAGACGCTGGAGCAGTATTGTGCAAGGCTACATGATTCTGGACATCGCTTTGAAGAAGAAAGCTATCGAGTCTCAGAAAGGTGTAGTTTGGTTGAGTGATGGGGCAGATACGCGCAGTTGTGTCGTCGTCTCTGCCTGTGCCGCATACAGCTGGGTTCAGCACAAAGGCGTCCAGTTGCATAGGCACCAAAGCGACGTCAAAGCCTTTAATTCCGGTTTTTTCGGTCATTGTTGTTGGTTACCCGGATCTAGTGGTATTAGGTGATGAATGTTAAATTGAGGACAGACTTAGGGAAAGCTCAATAAAATTCAGCCTTTAACCTTTCCACAGTCTTCACAAACAAGACAGTGAGTGAAAGAGAAACTCTAAAGTGGGCCAAGATACCTTTCCAAGCAAAGTGTCATATCGGCATTTAGTCTGATAGTCACATACCTCTTCAATCAATAAACACCTTGATAGTTTACCGTGTATTCTCATAACAACTCCGGCATTTCTTCTTTCCTCCCCCTCTTCTCTCCACAAGTCAACTCAGCCCATGCATGATGGCAGCGCAAATTAGCGGATTTGGATTGATATGCATATCCGTACAACATCCGGCATCTGAAGCCTGCACACTGATACGCATGAGATATCAACGCTTTTTCGTGCCACATCTGCGGGGAGGAAATGTGCATAACGCTGGACAACACATACAGCATAATTAAGGTAGTGTGACAAGACACGCACATTGTGGTCACACAATCCATAGCCTTTACAGCGATTAGTGAATATTCTTCTACCGGTGGCGGCAGTTCACTTCAGTTTTTCGACACTCGACGTATTCACAAAGATGCTCTTGGGGGTCAATCGTGGTCCCCAGCACTAAATTGGAGCAGTAGTTCTTGTTTGTCTCCTTGCCCTTATCTATTGAGCTGATTGCTGGTGTATTCATAAACTCATTCCCAACTTTCCAAAATATCCAACCCACATCTCAACATACTTTTCTATCCGTGACCTCTTCTTCTCCTGTCCTCATTATTCCCCCAGACATAATCTGACCTACCAAGGAGTAAAGAATCTCTGACGCATACTGTTTCCAAATATCAAAAACACTCTTCTCGATTCTCCACAGCTCAATTGCAGCATGGCAGTATCCTCAGATCACCCCAGGGAAGAAGAATCTACCACCAGCTCCCTAGTCACAACCAGGTCCACCACCTATAGTATTTACGCCAGCTCTGCAGGCAAAGATCCTGGCGATGACATTCAAATTCTGTCCTCCGACAGCCTCGTCGACAAGTTCGTCGCAGGTCTAAATCCTGACAAAGTGATCATCTTGTCAGCGCCACCAGAACCAACAGCAAGTTTTGATGGTTCTGATGAAACAATAAAATGGTTCCAGAACCTTGACTCTAACGCCAAAGGCTCCCTTGCCGTAAATGGCTCAGAAGCGAACAACATTGAGAGCTTTGAGTTCACACTATCTCAACCTTGGCCGCTCGTCTTTAGCTCTGCCAGCGATGTTTTGCTCTTCACATTCGGCTCTACCGACCTAGTGGGCGGTGATGCGTCAGGATGCCGGATTGCATCTCCTGGTATTGATCCGAGTGGCAACGTGCTCACTTGTGGTCTTGACTTTGTCAAGATGGAAGATATCGTGGGTGTCAAAGTCGGCGATATCTTCAAGAACGCTAGTCAAAGCGATATTACCGCTCACGTGTCAGACGTGATTCTCAATCTCGAGGCGACTCTCAAGAAACCAGATGCTGATTCCTCGCCGAGAAGAAACGCTTTGTGGTTCACTCCAACGGCAGATAAGCGGATTGACACTCGCTTGCAGTTCCAGTTGCCAATATTCGAGGCTTTGCAAGATCTGTTCGCATTTGCTCTCAAGGGTCTACTGATTTCCAGCGCAGATGTTATCTGCAAGAGCACAATGTCACAGTCTCCGGATGACAAAAAGCCTGTTCTCAGCGGCGAGGTAACATTCAGCATTGATTGTTCCGTCAAGAGCGATGGCAGCACAGTATCAATGCTCGCTGGCGTTGAGTTCACTTCTTCCACTATCGACTTTACTTTCATATTCCTCTCCCCAGATCCACTTTCAGGAATACTAAAGTGGTTGTCTGGACTTGCAAAGGATGATGATATCGAGACCGTGGTTGACGAGATTCTGAACAAGGAGGAAAACGGAGCCAAAGTCCTTCCTGGGGTAACACTACGGAGACTGCGTGTTAAACTCGACACAAGTTCAGACCCGGCCAATCCCAAATTCGACTCCTTTTCTTTCGAAATAGAGGCTTCTGCGGGCTTTGGCCAAGGAGACGGTAACAATACTCCTGTCTTTATGATCACTTACAACTGGGATCAAGCGACGGGGACTACTGGTACTCTCTCTGGACAATTATGGAATGGTAAGTGATGAACGACTCATGCTATGTTCACTTTTCTAACAATAACTCTTTCAGATTTCACCAAATATGATGATCTGGATTTGGAACCAAGTGGAGAGACATGGGCCATCTTGATGCCCGTAACATCTTCACCCGCCTTGTCTATCGATATTGCTACTCTGATCCCCGGACAGAAAGTGGTCAATATCCCCGACACCTTGCCTTCGGATGTGACAGTCGCATCTATCCAGCTATCCCAAGAATCGTTTGCTCTCCAGTGCATGGCTACCGCCAAGCCCCCATCTCCAGGCTCTGCTCCCCAACCTTACCTAGGCGACCTCGCTCTCGGTGCCTCTTTCAACTGGGGTAAGAGCTCAGCTTTCAGCTTTGCTTTTGGGATATCAGTCGTGATCGATCCTTCAGAGGGTTCAGAAGTCGATACCTCAGCAACATTTGTTGGAGCACTCAGCTATGCCTCAACCAATCAGTCTTGGGTACTCAGGGCCTCTATCCATGGACTGTACGCAGCTGTGCTGGCCGAGTTCTTTGACGATGATGCTAAAGATCACATTGGACCGCTGATCAGCTCCATTGCTATCAACACCCTTGCTGTCGAGTATGCGTATGAAAACTCAACAACCGGTCCTGCTTCCACGAGCGTGGGAAGCAGCTTCGCCATTTCTGGCGATTTGGTGATTGCGGATTTAAGATTGAACCTCGACTTCACCTACAACTCAAGTAGTTTTGTATTTTCGGCAGCACTCAATCCAGATAACAAGGATGCCAAAATCGGAGATATCCTGACAGATATTCTTGGCTCTGGATTTGACATACCGGATTTCGTGTACAATACCTTGCTCGTGGGCGACAACAAAGATGCTTTCCGTGTCGATATTCAGAACAAGACAGCAACGGTGAAAGATGTTGAAGTTCAGTCATTCCAATTCATCGCTCAATTAAACATCGGACACCTTCAAATCCTCTTCTCTCAGATCCACAGCACAAGTTGGGGTCCCAGGGATCCTTCAAAGAGACTCTTCAAGGCCGCCATCAATGGCTTCGGCGACATGGAGCTGGTAATTCCCCTCATTGGCACATTGACCCAGCCACTGGATGAGCTTTACTTCCTTTTCGCCCAAGACCCCAAACCGCCAGCTGCTCCTGGGCAAATCACAGGCCTTACCCGTGAGGATATTGCCCATTTCAACAGCGGTTTTAGAGATAATCAGTTGCTCGTAGCTGATAAGATCAAGCCAGATCAGGCGAAGCCCTCAGATCTTCTTGTGCCATCTGGATGTCACTTTGCAGTCGTTATTCGCGGCACTGCGGGCGAGCGCATGTGTCTACTTAGTTACAGCTTCATGGCTCCTCAGGCTTCTTCTTCTCAAGCCCTGCTCAGTCCGGGCCCAGCAGCGCGGAAAGGCAGAAGACGAACTGAAGATGAAATGGACGATGGAGGCCCAAGTGCTCAAGCACCTTACAAGAAGGTCGCAGGTCCGCTGGCAATCAGCAACGTTGGTCTTGAGTACAAGGACAAGATACTGTCAGTCGTATTTGATGCTACCTTCCAGCTTGGACCGATTGGTTTCTCTCTTATTGGGTTCAGTCTCAACACTCTTTTCGAGTCACTGGACAAGCTACCAAGTATCAGTGTTTCTATTCATGGCCTGGCAGCATCCTTTGACAGATCTCCCTTCACCATCGCAGGAGTCATCGTTCACGGCAATGACGGCGCCATGGATTGTTACGCTGGCGGTTTAATCATCGGTTTTCGCCCGTATCAGTTTCAGGCCGCTGGGTTCTACGGGGTCGTCACCATCAAGAACAGTAACAACACCTTCCAAAGCGTGTTTGTCTTTGCCAAGCTCAATGGCCCGTTGATGACGCTTGCTTTCGCCGAACTCAGTGGAATATGCGGTGGCTTTGGCTACAACAGCAGCGTCAGACTGCCTACCATAGATCAGGTATCTGATTTCCCCTTCATCAACAGCGGTCGGCTCAGCGGCAACGGCAATGCTCAAGGCGTACTTCTAGAGCTTGTTGATCCCTCGGGTGGTGGATGGTTCCAGCCACTTGATAGTACGTTCTGGGGTGCTATCGGCATGAGGCTGTCCGCGTTTCGTATGCTGAACATTGATGCTGTGGTTGCCGTCCAGTTTGGAAATTCAGTCAAATTAGGCATCTTCGCTGTAGCAACTTGTGACATTCCATCCACCAATTCACGTCTCAAGCTGGCCCATGCCGAACTGGGCATCGCAGCCGTTCTGGACTTTGACTATGGCTTCCTCAAAATAGAGGCTCAACTCTCGCCCCGCTCCTACATCCTCAGTCCCAACTGCCATCTCACGGGTGGCTTTGCCCTCTGCTACTGGTTTGACGCGCCTCTTGCAGATATATCCAGAGTCGGAGACTTTGTCTTCACGCTCGGTGGATATCACCAAGCGTTCCGTGTACCTATTGGTTACCCCAATCCTCCTCGACTCGGTATCAGCTGGAATTTGGGAGGTGGCTTGTCAATTTCTGGGGAAGCATACTTTGCCATCACCACCAAGGCTTGTATGGCTGGTGGGCGCCTCCATGCTGCGTTCAAGGCAGGGCCATTGTCTGCGTGGTTTGATGCATTTGCAAATTTCCTCATCAACTACAGACCTTTCCACTTTGACATGACAGCTGGAGTTTCTGTTGGTGTTGGGTTTAGCATCGACTTTTGGTTCATCCATATCCGCATCTCAGTGCAAATTGGTGCCGAGCTCTACCTCTGGGGCCCACCGGTTGCTGGTCGTGTTCATGTCGACTTCTGGATTGTGTCGTTCGATATCAATTTTGGCGACTCCGATTCTACTGATGAGAAGGTCAGCCTGTCAGAGTTCTACGAACTTGTTCTTCAAGATTCCCCTGGGTCTTCATTTGCATCAGCAAAAGCCTTGACTACAGGAGGAAGTATGGATCGTGAAGAGCAGTCCGTTTTGGCATCGAGTTCATCGAGACCTAAGAACGAAGCACATAACTTCCTTGCCGAGTCTGGACTGCTCAACCCCAATGGCGAACCAGAACGCGGACAGTCAGACCCGTGGACTGTGCGAGCTGGTACATTTGTCTTTGTTGCCGAGTGTAAGATGGCCATAACTGCAGTTACGACTAACGATAATGGCGCCCCAATTCTTCAATACGATTCAGTCTTTAGTAAGCCAATGCAGTTGACAACTTCCATGACCTCAACGCTTCAAATTCAGGTAACGAGCGCGGATGGAAGGGATCTCAATGAAGATTGGCAGTTTGAGAGATACATACAGAAGCTGCCAAGTGCTCTGTGGGCGAGGTGTAAGTTTTCCACTGGCTCCCTTTGTCGTCCTGTCTTCCACTTGAGAGGCTGGTCCTTTTCAGTACAGCTGACTCTTCCCAGATGACCGACGAACTGATCCACGCCAGAGTGGAAACAATGTCGGCGATCTTCTCAACACAAACGACGGTAGCCCTCCTCTCATGACAGGCGTACGCGTCACTGCACCCAAGCCAACGAGGTCTCCCGACCCATTCCCAGCCTATAAAGTCGCAGATGCAGACCTCCAGGCCCTGATTGCAGAACGGCCTTTCCCTGCCATGGCGACTGCTGAGGACACATGGGCGCCAGTCAAGCCAAGTGATGATATCAAAGCACGATATGAAGAAGTCCTCGATGCCTGGGTGAATCCCGTGCTTGCAGAAAAGGGTCAACAAGGATTTGTGGATACCTTGGCCCAGAGCCTGGGATGGAATGAGGCGAGTGGGTTGAAGAGCATTGCGGGCATTCCAGAGAGGCTTAAGAAGGGGTTTATGAATATGTATGTAGCGGCTCCTTTGTTGACTGTCTGATTTTGGGGATTGGTTTGATTTAAGACACGGGCTTTTATTATCCAATTTGACTATGAATTTGTTCCGTACTTTGTGGCAACAATTCCAACAAATCCAATTCAACCTGGTTATCAGGGGTTTGACGTGGGGATTCAATCGACTTTTGATTGGCCAATTCGAGTCGCGCTATTTTAGATAACTGATAGATCGAGATAAGATAAGAAAATTACCCTACACCTGAGGATATATCTACAAAGTCATGGTAAAAGATACCCAGGAGTTACCAATGCTACTAAATGGGCTTATGGACGTCGAAGTGGGAATCTGGATAGCTTTTCTTTGTTTTTTCCTGATTTGGTAGTTATTGGTCTTGTGTCTTCAGCAACGCCCCGACTCAACACACCCTTTTTACTTCCAACAATTTTATAAAGTGGAGCGACACAAAAACTCCCAAATCTTTCAGTCAGTTTACTCGCTATCTAGGTCATCTTGAAAACATTGATTAGTCGATTTTAATAGGGTATGAATACAGCGATCACATGTTTTCTTTAGCGATTGTGAATACCGGTTTAAGGACTAGCATTTTAATGTGAAATTGTACACGACGTGGCAAATGGTAAATGTCTCATTTCCTTGCATTCCCCGGATCGAGTCCATAACTTGGATATGCGGATGCCATTGTGCAGTACGGGGTTAGTTGAAATCCCCCTTATGAAAATGGAAGGAAAATGTCAAACTAAAACTAATTTAGTGCACCGTGGTTTGGAATTCGGGCAATCTCAAAATGGGAGAAAAGATTGAGGCAATCTTGGGTGAGACATGCCGAGTCAGGCGTTGCATTTCTTACCCGCTGGCTGGAACTTTATGTCTCAACTATTGTACTCTTCTCCCTCTGTTTTGCGTTCTTTCTAGAAAATGAGTCTCCCATTGCTACGGATACGTGCGATGTGTTAGGAATGACAGATAGGAGAAGCCATGCGACACTTTCTCAATTGAACGATAGGATCTTGTATAAAGACATCTTTGATTCCCGTCAAATCCAAACTTCTTTCTCATCATCAAACAACTCACTCACCTTCGCTTCACTCTACTCTACAGAGCCTCTACAATCGTTACCTCAAACAATCGTTCTAAACACAACCTTCAAGATGCGCTACTCCGAGATCCTCGCCCTTGCCATGGGCAACGTGGCCGCTGCTCAGTTCACCACCACCCGCTTCGCCAACACTACCACCGCTGCTTTTGAGACTGGCACTGCCACCTCAGGCACTGCTACTGTCGGCGCCGAGACCACCGGCACCGAGACTTCCGCTGCTTCCACCAGCACTGCTGCTGCTGGAGGCATTGGAAGCCCTGACGGTTTCAACTTCCTCGGCTGCTTCTCTGGCAGTGGCTTCCCTGGCTTCTCCCTCGCCTACTCCAGCGAGAACAACGACGCCGACCTCTGTGCTGAGTCTTGTCTCGGATCTAGCTTCTTCGGTCTCTACGACTCCAGCTGCTATTGTGGTAACGAACTTGATCTTTCCACCTCCACCTCTGTCAGCACCGATCAGTGCGATATCACCTGCCCTGGCGATGACTCTGAGAACTGCGGTGGCCTCGACAGCGGCTCCCGAATGATGCGCCGACAGGCCGTCGACATCAACGTTCTCCTCTCCATCTACGTCGCCATTGGTGTCAACCCTGGCGGCGAGACCGAGACCGTTGTCAACACTGACTTCGTCACCGAGACTCTCCCTCCTGTCACCACCACAGCTACCGTTACCTTCACCCAGAGCGGTGAGACCTCCACCAAGACTGTCACCACTGTCATCGCTGCTGTCCCCACCGACGTGATCATTGTCTGCTACGGCAACTACTGCGCTCCCCAATACCACTGCCCTACCTGCACCAAGTTCCAGGTCGTTTGCAACGATGGCCTCTGTGCGCCCGAAGAATGCCACGACGATACCTGGAACAAGCTCAAGATCTGTGAGAGCGGAAGCTGCTACTACGCCGACTACGAGAACGAGGAGTGCAACCAGCGCATTGTCTGCCACGGATCCAGCTGCGAGCGCGAGACCTCTGTGGACTACGCCCGCAAGTTTGTCTGTGACGTCGAGGAGGATCGCTACTACTTCGACGAGTGCCACGATGACTGCTACAGCTACGAGAAGTGCTCCAACGGCGAGTGCGAGCCCGTTCACCCTCCCGTCTCACCTCCCAAGCCTGTCAGCCCTCCTAAGCCCATTGTCCCCGGCAAGCCTCCTGTCGTTGTTGTCCCTGAGCCCAAGCCTGAGCAGCCCATTGTCCCTGGCAAGCCCGAGACTCCTTACAGCCCCGAGACCCCTTCTAAGCCCGAGACTCCCTCCAAGCCTGTGAAGCCCGAGACTCCTTACAGCCCCGAGACTCCTTACAGCCCCGAGACCCCTTCCAAGCCCGAGACTCCCTCCAAGCCTGTGAAGCCCGAGACTCCTTCCAAGCCCGAGACTCCTGTCAAGTCCGAGACCCCCAACCAGCCCGAGCAGCCCACAAACCCTGAGCAGCCTTCTAAGTCCCAGCAGTCTGAGACCCCTGCTCAGTCTGGCAAGCCCCAGAACCCTGAGGTTCCTGTTGTCACCGCCGGTGCCACCAAGACCATTGTTGGTTTCGCCGCTGCTTTCGCTGCCTTCGTCTTTGCCCTGTAAAGGCCTCTTCTCTCCCGGAGTTTCATCGTATCCTGGCACTGGATACTACAGCATCAGTCCCCATGGCATTTATACCCTGGCCCTTTGGTACAGGATTTTGTCCGATAATTAGCATTCTAGTACATTTGTTATGCATTCTATTTTGAGATGTCGAACCTTGCTGGATTAGCCTTGCTTGTTCATTTATGGCATAGATACTTGGAGCATAGATATTATTTAATACGATTAATGGAGTTTATTTCAACCAATGTCAACTGATCGCAATCGTTTTGTGTTAAACCGTTTCACTCTGTGTGTCTTTAATTCCAAACCCTCAATTGGACGGATGAAAAAGTATCAAAGGTGAAGGCAAGGCATTATCGCGGCTTGGGCAGTAACACAAATTGCCAATTTCATGCTCGTTTTCAGTCTACTGGGACATATGCTTCTTGCCGCAAGTCACACCAACTATCCATGATGGAACAGGCACTATCATTCACATCGTACACCGCATTGTTGTCAAGCTACCTCGCGATATCGGCAATCTAGTTCGAACGGTAGAACTAGCTGCGGGATATTAAATGACCTCATCTGCCTTGATCAAGACCCTGGCACTTCAAATCCAAAGGAACGTACTTTTGTAGCCTATCACAGCACATACCAAGTCCGGACAGGGGACCTCCTGGTCTTGTACACAGGGATGTTCGACGGCAGCACTGCCCCCGCAATATGGGGAAGATGTTAGTAACATCGTGGCCCCCACCGAGTAGGAGGATTCAGCCTTGGCCATAGCCACTCGATCCTACACTAAGCTCTTGTCAGTCAATTTAGAGCTTCGATAAATTACGAGCTACCTTATCTGTCTTTTTTTAGCCAAGTTTTTTGCCAGGGTTTAGGCACTGCACTTCAGCACGGGCTTCACGTCATACTTCCTGCACTATGTAACACATTGTGGATCGAAGGGTGGCCTGAAGGATTTCTACTAATCCTCCAGCAAGGCAAACCACTGCTTTACAGTAGAGTCTATGTATTAATTTAGCAGTTGGTGACGGGGTTCCCGACGACCTTCCAGCATAATGGGCAATTGATCATCCGAACTGCCCACAAGACCCATTTGATCATGTCGGAATCAAGAATGTAGCGTGTGAGTAAAAGCCGCAAGGTTGTTAATAATCCTTCCAAGTGCAGATTTCCTTTCTATGTGAAACAACTAGCGACAGGTTTCTTCAGGCAGCAGTTAATTGTCCAATCATTGCTTAGCCGACGTAGAATCCTCCGCTACTACCCCGGAAAAGCTAAGTCAACAGACATCACCCGTTATGTCGATGTCGCTGATAGTTGATAGTATGTTTGGATAACATGGCCTTGGTGAATAGTATCGCGACGTGATGTATAAATACGATGTGATCTCTCTAGCAAAGGTCCCATATCATCTCATCAGTATCAAGCTCATCTACTACCAACCCAAGATGCACTCCATTCTCCCGATCTTTCTTCTCTTCACCAACGCCCTTGCGGCCAAGGTCAATGTCGTTTGGCGTCTAGAAAAGGATACCAATGCTTCGTCTTTGAGTGTCTATGGCCCTAAGAAGTCCCTTCTGGCGGAGACCTGCGGTAGTATTCTTCACGCTCATGACACGATTGACTTTTCCGACGTCAACGAAGCAGGCTTTGGCAACTTCACCGTTGGTGATGCGAGTTACCTGGTTCACTCCAAGGCAGAATGGTCAGGCGGACCAGAATGCTCTAGGGTCTTCAACCCTGGTTATGCACTGGTGCAGTGCTCGGGTGTCAACTGGGATCCCAAGGACCTTGTTAAGACTGATGCGACGAAATGCTTCGAAGGTAGTCAGACAAATGGAGAGCTGCAGTCTCTCCAAAGGCGAAGCGAGTCGCAGGATTCTCAACTTGAGGCAAGACAGTACCAGTGCTCCAGCTGGGTAACTAGAACAGACCTTGTGGGCAATGGTTAGTTTTTTCATCTCGACAAGATACCCTTTGCGATTCCAGTGACTGACCGACATGGCTATAGGGGATCCTCACCAGAATTACTTCCACAAGCAGCTTTCGGTATGACACCGTCATCCTTGATTCTTGCTCACCATGCCAGCGAGATTCCGTTTGATAGTGTGCTAACCTTAGTAGGAAACCATCAGCTGTGGCAATGCGCTCTCCTGCTCAGTCGGTCAGAGCCAGAGCGAGTCCTTCTCCATCGACTTCTCTCTCGGTGTGGCCGGCGGAAAGGGCAACTGGATTTCTGGAGGCTTTGGTGTAAGCAAGTCTTGGACCACTGGAAACTCCTACACATGCAACGGCGGCCCCGGAGAGACAGTCTGTATTTGGTACAACACCGCTCACACTGCATGTAAGTTGAAGAAATACAAGACTCGACGATAGTGGCTAATAGAGTACCAGATACCGTTCAGGATGTCACTTCTAACCCCTGCACCGGCTCCACGAGAAGCAACCCTTATGTTATGTTCTCCCCAAACAACAACAACGTCGGAGGTGGTTACTACTGTGTCATCGGAACTTGCCGCGCCAAGGGAGATGCATACTGGGACTACAGCGGTCGTGCTGGAGGCCCTTGAGTGTGACGTACCAGGAGGATAAGAAGATAAGATTCGTTGGGAAGGAAGTTTCAGATAAGAACCCTTGAACTGCAGTGATCAAATTCTCTGTCATTTCGGGTGACGGGCCTCATTTCAATAACTGCCGGGCGACTTGGTCGCACAACACTCTGATTGGGCTACACAGCTCTAGTTGTCTCTTCTCATAATCCCAATACATACCTTCAATCTCAGCCGCACCTGCCGTGTAACAAAGTGGCTGGCTGATACAGCCTCAAATGGAAGTGAACTACCCCGCGAACAATGTGACTGGTATCACATTCGTCAGCTCGTAAAAACGGCATTTGCTTGTGAAGATTGTCTTACTATACTTGGGTCTATATTATCCTCTCTTTTAGTCGTCTTCCACTATTCCCTATTATCTTCTTCCTTTACTCCCTAGTTTTACTTTAATATCATCCGCAAACACCACTATCACACAACACTCAACCTGCACCATGGACCATCTACTCCACCTAGACACAGATGTCGTCTGCCTTCTGGCAAACCTTGACGCTTATGACTACATCATTGTCGGAAGCGGATTTGGTGGAGGGCCATTGGCTGAAGCCCTCGCCTGCAAGCAGTACAAGGTCCTGCTGATTGAACGTGGAGGCGTCATCTTCTCTACCCACGTCCTTAATACCTCCCGTCCTTACTACAACCGTGGCTCTAGCAACTCTCCAGAGGGCAACGAGCGTGTCTACGACGCTGTAAAGGCCAAGGTTCAGCTGACTGATCGATCTGATAGCTACGTCGGCGGACCAGTCTATTGTGTCGGTGGCCGCACTAACCTCTGGGGTACATGGATCCCAGAGATTGGTGATGAGACCCTCAACAAGTATTTTCCCTCCGACGTTGTCAAGTACCTCAAGGACAAGGATGAACAGTCCCAGGGCTACCAAAAAGCTTATGGCTACTTGACTGATGATGATCCTCGCGATGGCATCTATCCCGAAGGCGATGGCGCCCACGAAGTGAGCGCTGAAGACATTGGTCTTGCCAGTCAGAAACTTAACAACGCCTTGTCAGGATCCCAGTTCGGTATTATGCCTATTGCTGCCCAGTTTAACGCCCCGGCGCCTTACAAGTTCGCTCAAGGTGCCTTCAGTACCACCCTTGCAATCATGAACAGGATGTATGCCAACGACCAGTATCTTTCTGTTCTTCTCGATACAGAGGTCATTGCTGTCCAGCAAACTACTGACAATGCTACGTAAGTCTGGTCCCCAATGACATCTCACAAATAAAGAGCTAACTAGGGCGCTGGTATAGTGAGAAGAGAGTACATGCACTCCAGATCAGAGACAAAGCAACTGGCACCATCAAAGAGCTCGGCGTTGGAAAAGCCAAAGTCATCCTTTCTGCCGGAACCATTGGTACTGCGTCGATCGCCTTGAACAGTGGTCTGCAAAAGGCAAACGACCTTGTTGGAAAGGGCCTCATCGACCACAACGTCTGCTATGCACGATTCGCCAAAGAAAAGGACGCCGGTATCACTGAGAAGCCTCTCAACCTCAAGACCCATCTCAAGGTCGGCGGAGAAGAGTGTCTCGTCACGGTGACTATCAATGCCAACTTCTTCCTCGCTGGAAGTTCTGCGTCGCTCAACACTACGCACTTCTACGACAGGAAGGGCAAGCTTACAAAGCCAAAGGACCCCGAGAATGAACAGAAGAACTATGACACTATCTGTGTTCTGTTCGAGTTCGTTGGCCAACTTGACAATGACAATTCTGTCCTCAGCATCCCTGGCTTGGATCCTGTACTCGACATCCGACGAGCGCCCCTCAAGCACGAAGTTCAGTGCGCCATGGAGGACATTGTACGCAACGTCAGAGATGCCTTTGTCGACGCGCAGCCCTTCACGTCTCCTACCACGGGCAAAGAGCTATGTGCTGACCCTGGTCTTCGTCCACAGCATCTGGGCTTTGGTGTGTTTTCTCACGAGTGTGGTACCATGCGCATGGATGGTCCGAACGGGGGAGGTGTGGTGGACTCCAATCTGAAGGTCAAGGGAATCGATAATCTGTGGATTTGCGATTTGTCCGTCATGCCTGTCAGCCCAGAGGCAAACCCTTCGCTTACTCTGGCTGCGCTCTCCTTGAGATTGGCTGAGCATTTGAGCGGCAACGCTGAGTAAAAAGTCTGGAGCTGAAAGTAACGAGAGTTTTGCTGAGATTGACACGCTTTATTTTTCTTTGTATTGCACACTAGTACGTCTAGATTAATAAATAACTAGACGTGGCTATTCCTTTTCGGTTCGAATCATGCTTGTGATTTCTCTTCAGTTCACAATAAACCTTTGTAAAACCAATCATTCTATCAAATTAAACAAGCTGAACAATCTGAATACGGCACTGCTCCAACCAAGTTGTAGACTTAGACCGGGCAGTAGCAATCGCCACTACAGCAAGGGTTCTCAACATAGTTAACCGTAAGCTGTCCATTATCAACGTTGTTGCCTTCTTCAGTGGGAATACTTCCACACTGAGTGCAACCATGATCAAGAATGCCCTGAATCAACTCCACGGCCCGGTCCGTGTTTCCACTAGCACCGCTCTGGAAGAAGGCGCAGATAGATCCCCACTGGCCACCAGAGCAGGCAATTTGAACTGCATTCTGTCAGTCATGTTATCATTGTACCAGTGTCATATTACGTACCGCCCTCTCCCCAATGGTGATCTCCTTGGCCACGAGCTTGTAGCTGCTTGGCTTTGGTGAGGACATTGTTCAAGCTCGCGCTGTTGATGTTGCACCAGCCTGATCCTCGACAGTTGATGCCGAGTGCTGAGGCGGCGGATAGAAGCGTGGTGATTGTGAGGAAGGTGTACATGGTAGTAGATTGGGATATTTCGAAGTAGTTATGAGAAGATCAAGGTGTGCGAGCAAGTGCTTGGTGGGAGTGATGATGGTGTCTGATGCTTGTAGAAATAAGGAGAAGGGGCTCTACTTAAATAGTTCAAGACTTGGAAGAGATAATCATTTGTGTAAGAAGATGCATATTCGGAATGTTCCTACGCAACAACGCACGACCGTAAACTCTCAAGATCGTCTCTATCAGCGAAGCGGTCCAAGTCCCAACCCCAAAGCAAGCCCTTGACTTGTCGGCCGACCTCAGACAAATTTCTCTCCTCAAAGTGGCAATGATGAGATACAGCACAATTTCCATGACGATATCTTTCAACAAGCCAAGATGTCGGGGACCTTTTCTGCCTGCGGTTGATCAAACGGGAAACTCGTAAGTTGGATGCTCGTCTCCATTGAGAACTATCTTTCATGCATTGTCGATCCGAATTCCCTGATAGGTCAATTGCTGTGTTTCTCAACCGGAGCCATCTGACCAGACCCCAAAGTGGATTATTTGATCGGCAGTGTGGATAGTCAGGCACGCCAAGCCCGACTGCCAAGAGAGCGGCTGTTTACCGTCATTGCGCGGACAGACTCGAACTATACATCACATTGCATGGTACTATTGTAAACTCATGTGTTATAAGTCACTACATGTCTAGAGCTTTATCTCTGTGAACAAAAACTTGCAAACCCAACCCTTTTACAAAATTTACCACATCCTCTAAGCACCAAGTCCACTTCAATATTTCTCCAAAATGCAGTACTCCATTTTCACTACCCTCTCCGCCATTGTCACCATGGCATCTGCGCTCGGAATCAACTGTCGCGGCTCTGGCTTCTGTTCTGGCGGTGCCGGAAACCTCATCAACCTGAAAGCAATCGTCGACAACATTCAACCACGAGACCGCCACTACGAGACAGGCCAGCAGGTCGCTTGTACAGGTGACACATGCGCGTTCTACCAGAGCGGCGCAACAGGTACCGCTGATGATGTGTCTTGGGCTCTACAAGCCCTTCTTGATCATGGCTGTAAGAAATGTGGCTCTGTGCCTACGCAGGACGGCAACAACGTCGATGATGGGCAGTTGACGGTCAATTTTGTTAGCGATCCTAGTTGTCAGGGCGCCTGTTAGAGGATCCCTGTTTCTACTTGATGTACGAATTGGTTGATGGATGGAAGGGGTTCACGTGTGTCAGCAGCCAAACTAAGACGATTGATAGTGGCAGGATTTTGGAATACAATTAGGATTGAACTACAAGACACTAAAGTAAATGACATATGTATTTCACAAATCTTCTTCGGTTGTTTAGTTCTGTCGTCTACCTCGGTCATAATACAAATGAATTCAAATGCCATTAGGGTATCACTCGACCTATTGGACACTAAATGGAAAAACGTATTGTCGATCCAATCGGATTGTCTCATGTTTATCAGGATGAGAAGGTAATTGGTTATGGATCTCCACAAGGCTCAGAGAGCTAGCCAACTCAATCAGGCCAATCAGAGTTGTGTTGTCTTGTTCTTGGCCAAGTTCACTGACAAGATCGAATGCTTTGACCACTATGTAGATCTATCTCAGTGGATCTTGGACGAGCATACAGCATGTACCTGGATGGGTCACAAGATTCAAAGATTAGCTATATTAGGAAGGCATCGTTAGGCTTTGCAGATAAGCCAATGAGGTAGACAGCTGAAGTTTTAGTAGGCGGCCGTCCCTTGTCCCATGCCCCGTTAGCCGCTTAACTACATGTGGAGACGACGGGTGAAACAAATGCCGTCATTTAACAAACCCGTAGCCCTACAACGTATAGCAACCTGCGTTTCTGGATGATTTCCCCATTCGCCAAGCATGCAGAGAACTTCAGCTCCTGCCTGTTCAGTGCCGATCATGCCCGACAGCCCGATGCAAGCTGTTATATCCGGAAACACGTTCGATTCATCTCAGCCCAGCCCCAACTTGACGTCATGCCGAGCCCGGACGCAGATGGTCCTTAGCTGAAATTGCCTAAAGAGGAATTTCGTGTCCAAAGTCCTGCCCGGCTTATACGAGGGCCGGATAGGCGGGCACGCTTAGTAGATCTTTCCCTAGCAATAATCGGCCTCTAGATGATTTCTTCACTTGGCATCACTATTCGGTACAGTGATCAGCGCCAAAGCTCCAGTCACATCTATCATCACTATACTACATGCCCTTTACAGCCCGAGGAGTGCAGAGTAAAGCTACCTTGTGCTAGGATCATCATATAATTATGACGAGTCTGATCATTTACGAGAACTTTTGGAAAATCTATTACGTATCTTGCTTTACTCGATAGCGTAAGTCATATTGGCCAAGGAAATTGTCCTGGTGTCCGGGTCACGGACGGCTTTTGCGTTGCAAAGGGACGATGGAAGAAATTGAATAGCCCATATCTGCTAGTCAGACAAGTATAAGTAGTTACTAGTTTCACAATAGAAAGAGTCTGTTCCTCATCTCAACCCGCTTCATCTTTCCACCATTTAGTTCCATCCCCCCAACCAGACCCAACATGCATTTCTCATCATCAGTCTTCCTCTTTGCCTCCACAGTTGCCAGTTTAGGCATTAATTGTCGTGGCAGCGGTTTCTGCGACCTCACATTCGGCTCCAGCATTCAGGACATCCAAGATCAGATTGGTATCCTCGTTGCAGACGGCCAAGGGGACAGACACTTTGATACAGGAGGTGAGGCTTCCGCTCTCTATTTATATCAGGTGGCAGCGCTAATACTAATATTGTAGCTCAAATCGCCTGTACCCAGGGTAATCAAGGCAGTATCTGTGCTTTTTACCAGAGCGGCGCATCTGGATCAGCCAGGGATGCCTTTGGTCACATCCAACAGATCATTGACCACAAGTGTTCACTTTGCGGCAGTGTTCCAACCCAGGAGGGGAACAATGTGGATTATGGGCAGTTGACCGTCAACTTTGTTAGCGATGCATGCTGCGAGGGAAACTGCCATTGTTAGATGCCTTGAGTTATGTACAGTTTGAGATTAAGTAGCCAGCATCTTGAGAGTATACTTAAATGATACTTGCGAGACAATAGTTCAACCAGGAATTCAGTAAATCAAATGCTGTCATCATTCAGGACCCGTGACCTAGGTAAATAGCTTGGCGATACCGTCCACTGTAACGTTGCCACCGCTGAGTATAATGCCCAAATCCCAAATATCACCCTGTGCTTCCTTCTCCACCATATGTCGAAAGTCCTCGTTGAACAGAACAACAGCAAGTGGTACAGCTGCACTCGGTTCAACAAATATTTTCATCCTCTCCAGGATCAACTTCATAGCCGCTTTGATCTCCTCTTCCGAAACGGAGTACATGCCGTGGACAAGCTTTCGTTCATAGAGAATGCCCCAGGGATATACACCAAGATAAGAGCGCAGTCCGTCGGCGATGGATGTACTCTCCACGTGGGTAATTCTCTCCCCTTGCTCCATTCCACGCTTGGCATCATCCGCGCCTTGAAATGAAGGTTCGGCTCCAAAGACTCTGATACCCGTGCCCTCACAGCTCAGCGCTATTCCGGAAAGCATCCCTCCACCACTACAAGGTGCAATGATGCCATCTAGATCTTTGACCTGCTGCTGCAGCTCAAGTCCCATTGTTCCCTGGCCAAGAATGATGTCTGGGTGGTCATAGGGTGGGATCAGGCGTGCACCTGTTTCGGCAACGACTTTTTCAGCAATGGCTAGACGGTCTGTGAGGGTGCTGAAGATGACATTTGCTCCGTAGCCTTTGGTGGCTGCGACCTTGCTGGGGATTGTGATTGAGGGCATTACGACATGAGCTGGCATACCGTTTTCTCGGGCAGCCAGAGCAAGTGCTTGTGCGTGGTTACCTAGTATTGAAACAATCAGTACTTACATATCGTTATCTGCAGGGCGGAGAGATACCTGAGCTGTGCGTAACAACGCCCTTCTCCTTCCCACCGTTTTCGAGCCAGCCGGGTTCCATCTTCAGTTTCTCAATGGCATGAAAAGCTCCTCGTGCTTTGAATGCACCAATTCGTTGAAAGTTCTCACGTTTGAACCAAAGCCTGAATCGAGGCTTAGCGGGCTGTCGGGATGTGACTTGACCAAGTGAGGCGGGGTCTCTTGGGGTTGAAGCGAGGTCATTCATAAAGCTGCTGGTCATGACCGGAGTCAAGTGTACGTGGGGCTCAATTAGACGTTGTGCTTCGATCACAGAGTCCCTGGTCAAGGGAGCGCAAGTTGAGAGGTCCGCCATATTGCCGAGCACGTCAACCAACAATATCAGGAGAGTCTTCTGGGTATAAAACAGAAGATATGGTTCAAAGAAACAAGTGAAAACTTTTGCAAATTTATTTCTAACCAATTCCCCGCCCAGCTCAGTCATGTGTTCGGGTATTACGCCAAGGACATGGATTGCAATCCTTATTAATCTGAGGACAGAAGCCCAATGTTCAGACGCCATTCCTTAAACAGCAGGTAGATAAAGAATTGAGAACGTTGTTTGGAAGAGTAGTTCTTTTATCTAATCACAATATTCTCTAAACCTCACTTATCTATGAGTATGATACCAGGTGTGTACATAGGAAGCTATAATTAATTTTATTTCTTTCCCACAAGATCAGATATCCACTAACTAGATAACACTTAGTTAAATAAAATTATGTATTAAAATATAAATAATAGGGTTGGTAATAAGTACCCATTGTAGTTTAATTCCACTTCTTTCTTAAATTTCAAACTATATCGAGCCTAGCTGTGATTGTGATATAAACCGTTCTACACAATACTAGAAACTTTATCCTGCTTTCTTTAGTTTCTTAGTATGGTGGATCAAGACAGATGCTACCTCCTCCACAACATCCTTATCTTCCAAATCATCCATAAGATCCATTAGACAAATCGCAACAACATCTCTCATGAGCATACCACAGTGCTGTTCTACCTCTGATAGCCCATCCTGCGCTGCTATTTTCGCTATACGGAGTCCCTCTATGGTCGAGTCGTACTCTAATAGCCTGCCCGCCATAATTTCATAAAGTAAGACGCCAAGCTCCATTGAGGCACTGATCTTCTCCTCTTGGTACTGAGCTCTCGATCGAAATTTGTTTCTCTTTGGAGCAGTCGACAGTCCGAACCCAAAGTCAACCCATAATGAGCCCAGAGTCTGCAATGTCCAATTCGCATCTCCCGTAGCTGAGTTGCTTTGCCCAAATAGGTGATAATTAGCCAATGGTCCAAGGCATTTCCCCTGATTGATATCCATGTAGTAGAGATAGGATCGCGCAATATCTGCTGCCAAGCATATCCTTTCCTTGGCGCGTAGGCCGCGATGCTCAACAAGTGCTGAAACATCGTGACCGCTGACGAGATCGTCATCCTCAACTCTTTGCAAGTGGTAGATCCATCTGTCCTTTACACTGTGTTCGACGTTTCCAATGATATCAAAATCTTGATTGCGCTCCTTCAGGTCAGAGACACTGTGCGGTAAGTTGGTGATCTTATTATCATTTGCTGCGATCACCGGTGTCGTAAGCATAAAGTCATTTCGGGTACTGAAGCCATCTGGCCTTGGCATCAAACAGAACAGTGTCGGCTGCCGAGTTAACGGTAAGCCGCTGATTATTCCATCCTCTTCTGCCCGCGCCCGTAGTTCGTCAAAGTCTTCCTCAACCTTAATCGCAAATGCGATTGACTTCAGTCCCTTTTCAGGTACAGGACGATTGACGAAGCTTAGGGCCTTATGGAGACCGTCAAGCTCACCTCGAACTTCTTTTGTGTCTTCCCACAACTCTGGAGATCTGTCCGACGGACGGATTCTCGCGAAGACATCTCTTAGATGATCCGTAATTGGTAGTATCTTTCTCAGGTCACTATTCATATCTCGAAGTTGTGAGACAAAGTCGTCGAATTCCTGCTTTCCATGATCAACCCAGGATCCTAGCTTGCTCAGGCAAACTCTCTTTTGTGCCTCTTCGATTCTTTTGTCGACGCGCTGCTTTTGGATAGCGTACTCTTCTGCCAGATCCTCCCGAAGGGCCAAACGAGACGTTGATCCCGGTTCAGATATGCTCACCGATTCTGATTTATGTGAAGCTTGGGGGCTTGCCTTTCCTTTCGTTTTTGTCGACTTCTTCACTTTTTCCAGATACTGTCTAACCTTTGCCTCAATTACTGATAATTGAGGAGTTTTGACGAGCTCATGTGTTGGCCGCGGCGCGTTCAGCTGCGTCACAGCGATGACCACAGGCTCTGGCCCCTCAGTTACAGCACCGCCCCCGTCACTTTCTAGATAATTTCTTAGTCATGCTCATTCAAGCTGCATGCCTCTTTTGCTTACCCTTTTGGTCGAATTTGCGCACAACTTCATAGCATTTGTCTAATACTCGCAGGATAGACTCAATTTGTGCAGCAATCGCTTGCTTCAAGCTTTGTTGCTTACTACCGTGAAGGGCGTCTGCTCCCTCTAGTCTCCAACGAGCCTCATATTGATGGAGTTGAGCTACAAAGATCTGGAGGTCATAGTCTTGTCAGCTAATTTCCATTCTGGTGCCATCAACAAACCCAAAAATACACGTGGGAGCCCATTAATGTCAGTGGAGCACTTACCCATTCCTGTGATCGTAGACTAGCAACAGAAAGCACGAAGTCTTCCCCATAGCTTGAAGCTATCTTATAAGCTTTCCACAATGATCGAAGACCCTTATAAGCGGGATCTAGCAAGGCTACAGCCCCAAGAATAACACCGACAGCCTCCATATAGAATTGAAGATAGTAGAAACTACAAAAAGAAGTGTAAAAATCCGCAATACTGTGATCAGCTCGGTGCTAGATAGTTGTAAGCATGGATGATCTGACAGTTAGCAACTACCCCTCATGTTAGGCATCTCAGCAGACCAGTGATGCCTAACGCAGCCCAACGGCACGCAGCTGAATGAGGACATCCAAGCTACACTGGCCAATATGCATAAGCAAAGGTCTTAGCTAATCGCGCCACATTAGTAGAATAATGATCAAGCATGATTATTGAATTGGAGCTAAACTGCTAACCTCTTGGTCGCCGTAAGCCACGGCCTAAGAACCTGAGAAAGTTCTTCTCATCTTGCATACCGAAATAACTGACCACTTAGTGCTCATTCTTTTGCCTTCTTGTCGAGCGACCCATACTCCCACGGAAGGGCCCGCGACACCCTATTTTGTTTCCTAAGTACTTGCAGTTAGGCGTGCAGTAACGACATCATGGACCATCACCTCCTCCAGATTGAGTTGGATAGGGCCGCAAGATGGCTGAAGGAGGATGAACCTTTCACCACTATGCCAATGGAAAGGAGGATGTATCTACAGACTCTAACCAAACTCCAGGTAGAGTTGCAGACCGAGCTTGGCCGTCAAACTCACAATGCTATAGGACGTAGTATTAAGAGCGCACTGACAAGCGATCGACTTTCGAAGAAGCTGCGTTATTTACAAAACCTCAACAATGCCATGGACTCTCTCGGTCTATCGACTTTATCCGCAAGACTCAAAGATTCTAAGGCGGCACTAAATCGTTTGGAGGGGAAGGTTGACAAAATCATCCAAAAAATGATCCATGATTCGCGATTCGAACAGGAAAGTTACAGAAGCGACAGTCACACATCGGACGGTTCGTGGCAGGAGTCTGACGACGACAACATTGTGCAAAAGGTTTCAGCACTATCAATTAAGGGACTTGATTTTCTGGCCGATTTCCTCGAATGTCAAGACTACTTAGAGCTTTCTAATCGACTGAGGGTTTGGGGTCTTGGCGTCGTCGATGGCCCCTTTGCAATCGACACATTGGAGGCTGTATGGGAGGGGTACAAAGACTTTGACTCCAGTATCTACTCTTTCTCTTATCCTCTGCAGAAAATATTCCGTATTTTTACTGTCCTGTTTATTAGGATTTTGTTCAACATCGGCGAGTATTCCTTCACGTGTGATTTAACATCACAGTCCTAACTCCTGTCTAGAATATATCATCACACGTCTCGCACCGAATGGAAACGAGGCATTGCTGTTCTTAAAAGAATCGGAGCAGATTGTGCACTTGGCAACATCGCGAAAGTTCAGCCCGACGATGAATTATGTACCTAGTGCTTCCGATGGTAGTGATATTGCAAGGGAGATATATCTCTGTACCGCAAGCATACACAACGACATAGAGACTCTTTTTGAACGACTGCCAGCACTTCGGTCTATCAGAGAGACCTTTTCAACGGTCGGAGTGCGGGGCAGACGATCAGCCCGCAGATCAGGAGGCCTTGAACGTAGTCTAGCTGAGGAGACCGTCGAGGTGGCCCAAGCCCTTACCGATCTCTTGTGTGAGAAAGCGAAGGAGGGACCCAAGAAAGAGAAGAACATAGTCGAGCATATCTCCCTCCTATTCAAGGAAGAAACGCAACGACTAGCAGAATGGACAAAGTCACAGCCTGCCACAACAAATCAGATTACTGCCGAACTATCAGAGCTCAGGGATTCTTTAACCAGTATGCCGGAACCCTATGCACCTTGTTGTAAATAATGCTAACAATGCTTAAGAACAGGTCAAAGAGTTTGATAGGACAGAGCATGACAGGCCAGGCAATGGTCTCTCATCCACTTTGAATGATTTTCAGACCAGTCTAGATCTGTTATTGACACTCTCAAAAGTGCCGGATAATAGGAAGGGTAAGGGTAGAATGAACTCAGATTCTGAGGACCAGAATATAGCAACAATAAGTCTATAGAAGATATATCGATCCACCTGATATTTCGAATTATCAGATATTTAAACCTTAATCACCGTGCAGTTATACACTTTTAGCAATCCAATAATATCATCAAGGAACCAACCGTTGCCATGTTCTGCCATTTTAACTGTTGAGCCACATGAGTATGTATTGACACAATCTATCTGACAAATTAAAGTCTATTAGGTAACCTAGGCACTTTGTTACGGCGAAACCCTCATCTTGACCGCCATCACCATGTGGACATGGATCTACTGACGAGTACTGCACGCTCAAACTTCACTTGTTACTATACGTCTGGATCCAACCTATGGATTTATTTCACATTGATAAAAGTAGTTATTTAATAATCCTTTGATGTAAGTGCAAGAACGGCCCCTATCTGATAACATTTCAGACAGGGCGAATTCTTCAATTATCTGAAAGAAGAGTTTCTGGTTTTACTAGTGAAGTTTGGGGAAAGCCAGGGTCGTGAGTGATGTGTTGCAGGATCCAGCCATCTTATCTTTTTCAGACCATTCAGTCTGTAGAGAAACCCCAATTTTATAATCACTCCTGCACTAAGAGGCTATTCCAAGCGCTTTGGCAGTTACTGACAATAGCACTTAACAACCGCAGGAAAGCTCCGAGGGTCGAGTACGCTCAACGGGAGCCCACGATCCTGTACCTCCTGGGCCAGGTGAGCGTACATAGCAGCATCCAGAAATTATGTCGGTTGTGGGACAGTCGGCCTCCCCATTAGGCAACTTGCTCGTGTTACAGCAGAGGCCGTTGACACATTTGTCTGTACAGCTCTGGTCTGTTAAGCATTCATTGAAGAGGGGAACTTGGTCATTTGAACCCCATCCTGTGGAGGCACAGTCACCGTTGTTCCATGAGAAGGTGCAGTACTGAGCTGGATCACATTGGGCGTTGGGGTCAACGGCACAGTCTAGATGAATAGCTGAGACGGCCGACATGAGGACGGAGAGAGGTAGGGCAATGATTTTGGTGCGCATTTTGAAGGTCGAGGCGTGAATAGGGCTTTGAAGATGATAATGAGTAATTGGCTGCTGAGAGTCTGTTCACTTCGATTGAGTTGTGATAGTAGAGTAAGGTATGGACAAGAGGTGGACGTGTTCCCCTCTAATATAGTGACAGTGTCCGCCAGACCTGCGAATGTTAAGTAAGAAGCTTCAAAGTTTCACCGACATCCGCGATGATGCAGATCTATGTCCTGATATAGGGGCACTGTAAGCGGAGTTGTGAACCCAAGAGCACTTCGTGTCAGCTATACCGCCGCGGCATGTTCAACATGACGTCAATCGTTGCCAAAGGTTATGATCGTCGTATTCGTACTGCTTTAACGTTATTGCGTCCTAGAACAACCATTTCTGCCTGCGTTGCAGTGGCCATAGATCAGAGCCGCTATGAACCCCTGCTGCATGTTCAAGGTGTGGCTCCGGAAGCGGTCGCTATGGGTGTCGCTCAGCAGGATTTTGTTAACCATAATATTTACTTGTAGATCCCGCTTACTGACCAGTGGATCCCGCTTACCGTGGAGAATTGTTGAAGATCGGTTGCTTGAGGTCTGTGCTAGCCAAGTATCACAGACTCCATTAATTAAAGTCTTCTGGGTCTTTTCTTATCATGATACCAGCACTATAACACCACGGTGAAGATGATAATGGCACACCCAACATTCTCAAGTTCTACCATTCGAGCATTCGATCTATGAGGCGAAATAATTCGACACAACCTATCTATCATGGCACATCCACTGGTTCAATCAGTCTTTCCTTCTACTGCAGGCTTCCGCCCCCAAATCACTTTCTGTCGATGATAAGCATTCGACTTTCCAGCCCTCATCTCTTTCCTCAGATGTGCAATGTACACGTGGATCTCCTCCTTGCTCCAGCCGAGCGTATGCGCCATAAACAGCACAGTTCCTTCTGTATCAGTCTCGAGCATAAATTGCATGTATCGCCCCATTTCTTTCTTTACTGAGTCTTTGGGCCATCCACCAATAGGACACTGTGTATATTATTAGTAAATGTTTCTTCACGTGTTGTCAACCTTTGGGTTTACCTTGTACTCAAACTCGTGTATGTCCACTAACCCTGCCTTTTCCATCTCTCTCTTCTGAACTTCATCCTCAATGACAGTGAAAGTCGAACCAAGATTTTTCCCTCCCTCGATGAAGAACTTGCCCCACTGATCCATGGCAGACTTTGGTGCTACGGTTCCATCATCGCTGGTGATTATCGAAGATGTCTCGTGGCTTTCGATCCATCCGCCTGGCTTGCAACAACGGAAGGCTTCGCTGTAAAGAAAGCCCCAATCCGGGATACTTCCCACAAGCCAGCGCATATGAATATAATCGATTGAGTCTGGTTCGAAAGTCCATTGGCGGGTACAGTCTTCGATTTCGCTATTGTGACATTGTGATTAATGGTGACATCGGAAGGTGGAGAGTTAGGCTCACAATTGTAGATTGGGTGGAATCCAACCTGGTTGAATTGGTGACAGATCTGTGCCTACAACGCGTACGTTCGGGTTGTCGTCGGCAAAGTCGCTGGCAAAGTCATTGATTGGGAACACCGTATTCGCCTACGTGGAAGCTCTTACATAGCCCAGATACCTATCCAGAGGGGTAATCAGTATCTATCAGAGTAACTTGGAGTAGGGCATCTTACCTGTTCCAGTTCCAATATCAACAACGAGCTAGATAATTAGCCTACTGCCACGTAAATATCGAGAAACTTGGTACCTTGAGATCTTCTGGCTCAATTGGTGCCAAATAGAGCTTTCCTCCGATGCCAAGAGTCAAAACGTGATGGCTGCATAAATGTCAGCATCCTTCTCAAATCGGCGAGTCATCTTGTGTGTACTTGATATCCATAAGCTCGCTCTGTGCTTCATCATTCGAACCCCTGTTATTCGTCAATCTACAATACCCTTAAAGCACTTTGAGACAGCCATACCAGTACTGGGCGTTTCCCTGCTCACTATGATAAGACCGACCTTGAATCGTTCGATAGTGTAGAATGCTAGAGCTGATGGAAGCAGTCGAAGATTCGTCGTCGTTGCCAAGGCTCGAGTCCGTATCTTTGTCGTCTTGGGGCTGTTCCAGATCATACGATTAACAAACGCTTTTCACCACTGAATTCAACACAAACCTGTTCAGCCCAATGCTGGGCAGGGAGAATGCCCGTAATGGGAACTTCTTCGGCAGAGCCTTGACACATCTTGCGTGGAGACAAGTAAAGCTAGAGAGTATAAAGTTCGAAGAGTTGCGTTATTACCGAAGATGAGGAGAATGAGTTATTTATCTACAATGTTGGAGGGTTTAATACTGGGATGAGATGGAACAACTATACTGCCGCTATATCCTGGCTCTTTGGGCAAGGTTCACGTTGTGTGAACCAACAAGCCAATGGGGAGACGATCAAATCATCAAGATGTGGTATTTTAGCCGAGTCGTCACGCTTGTTCTCGTGCGACCCAATGATAGTGCGACCCAATCTCCCTCGATGGCATGACATTGTCTGCGACTCTGGATAGAATGTACCGTAGTCGGGCGTCTCAGACCCAGCTGTGACTATCATGATTTATTGGTAGTTTGACGAAATATCACATGTGCTCTGGACCAAGGAAACCTGGTATCTAACCTTTCTGCTGATTTGATTGAACGGTTTTCGTCGGTGGTATAGCCTAGAAGTTGAAACACTATAGCGAAGTTGGCATATAGAAACAGTTCAAAGTATTGTTCAGATGTGAAGTTAGTGGAGCCATAGAACCTTTTTACTCGAAATAACAATAATCCCACACTGTTTACTCAATGATGATAGGAGGAACAAGAGATGCTGCAGTAGTGGTGAATGAAGGAGTAGCTTCGCCTAACTGTGGAAAAGCATATAATGTTACACAACTACCCCGTCAAGCTTTGTTTTAATATCCCGTCATGTGTTATTAAAATCGACATCTTTGATTTTTACGATGTAATGTTCGACAATCGCCAGTTCGATGTATGTGAGGTCTACTGCTAGTGTACCCTAAAGGCCTAAAAACTACTGACCTCCCTACAATACGGTTTCATGACTTGTCCAGATTATCACACATATCAAGCACTTGTAACAATACAGATTTTTAAGAGAAACCCTATGCCCAGTCTGGTTTATAAGAAGGTTGGTAGAGTAAATCCGGAACTTAATTACATAATAAATGTAACGTAAGGTATCATTCGCGGGAGGTACATGGTAGTAATTAGCTTAGCGTACCTCAGAAGCTCTGGCTATTATAATATTCTCGGTGGAGTCTAGTAAGCCCTCGACATCGGCCTGATCACTCTCGGCCTTAAAGCCCCCTGCGGCTATACAATTTAAATCATAGCCAATCAGTGTAAATATATAGACATTGATTCAGAGATAACTACCTTTTTAAGGGTTTGAGTTTCAGTGATTAGATTAACTTTATCTCTTAAGTTTATAAATATTTAGATGTAGTATGTATACTCAGATTTTAATGATACTTTACTATATTTTTAGATATGAAATTGATGATAGAATGGAATCTATAAAGACTACATTATTGTTATCTAAGTAAGAACTTACCTAATTTATATAGCTCTAAGAGATTAAAAAGAGTATTCGCTAATATATACACGTTTTTGCTAAAGCCGGTAACGCTTCAGGTAACGAATAATATAATAGTTTCAAAGACAAAACAATAGCTAATAGCAGCTATAGTTTCTCAGTGTTAATAACGAAAGACCTAGTTATTATAAGACGAATTAACTTGAGCGGCCAGACCTATCATCTAGGGGGGCAAATGAGCGATAAGAGCTAACAGAGGACAATTAAAGGTCTAACACAACTAGACATAGAAAGTGTCAAGACCAGTAGACAAGGCGGTACACAAGGGCCCTTTACTCATAACAGAGGCGTAACATCGTAGGGATTTGAGCATTATAGGCGTGATTTCAACCTGCCGAGTAAGCAGTAGCAGACCAAATCAATCGTATCTTGGCATTCCGTTTCTTCTTGTCGTCTCAGGTACGCGAAATCATAGATCCATCAATACTCTATCATAACACTTGACGGGCGGCGTACTATAGCTGCAGTGTTTTTCCAGTACGTAGACCGTAATTAACGAGCACTTTAGTGCCATTTATTTCTACGTGTGTGCTAAAAACAGTGCCCAACGCACCTGTACCCATATACAGTGCTGAACAACTTCATCTTCCGCTCTAAAACAAAATTCTCTTTCCGAGGTCTAGGGTGGGGATCTTTGGACACATAGCTATCTTTCGTAAGCAGGCATTTGGTCGAATTAGGCTGTGTTGCAGGCGCGTAAGTAGTTTCCGATTTTCACAATCTGTTGTAATAAATAGAATTTCTAAGCAAGAACTTGAACACTTTCGACGTTTCTTGACGACTATCAATAACAAACACCACGGAATCGTCCCGACAAACATAAACAATTTATATTTGGAAACGACCTCTTGATGACTCAAGGTCTAGAAAATACAAGGTCCGCTTGTCAAGTCCACCTAGATGCCCTGCCGAGAAGTCGTAACTTCATACGTGACCCGAATTCCCCTCTCGTCAAGGTCATCGTGCTGGTTTCTTCTAAACTCTGGCCCCAAGATCGATTCATCACTCTGGTCGTCGCTCCGGACTCTCTCCGTGGGCTTGGAGTAGACCCTTGTCTTTGTAAACGGGCCATTAATCCCAATCTTCTTCTCATATTCAGCGACCTTGCAGCCCTCGCTGCTGTCGTTCTTGTCGGGCGTGTTTCCATTGATGTAACTCCCTCCAATAGTTTGCAGCGGGTATGAGGCGCCGGCGCTGTGTTCCTTATACTTGCTGCCATCTCGGGATATCCATTTGTCGAGATATTGTTTGTATAGAGGTCGGCAGACGGGGATACCGATGCAAATCATTGTCACTGCAATTTCGGCTGCTGACCAGACAATAAGACCAACTGTAGCCTCTGTAGAAATAAGTAAAAAAGTCAGTCAAGGCGTTGTTGGGGCATGTTGCTCGTGGATGACTTACTTGTGTAGTTTGGGCTTGACAATTCGGGAACCTCCAGAGTTCGCTTGATACCACAAGCACCTGCGCTGGAAGAATAGTCAGCGGCAGGATATCTGAGAAATGGGGGGGTACTAACATAACACCAAGACTCAGACTGCAAAGAATGACAACTTTATCTCGCTTGTTCATCTGCAGGGCCCAGATGAAAAGCCAGGGGAAGCCAGCAAAGAAAAAGTCGACAATAACACAAAGGACTGCAGTCATTAGCCTGAACCTTAGAAATAAATAATCCGAGTACTTACTGCAGAGGGTCATTGAAACAGGTGTCGAGTCAATTGTGCACTTTCCTGGAATTCGCCGATCCCATAGATGCTTTGGAGGAGTGCATTGTAGCCAGAAGACAAAACAAGTCGAGATTGATGCGCCAGCTAGAGCAGCCATACATATCCAGATGGCAATCATATGCCATGTCTCCTTTACGATTCGAAGTAAGAATAGTCCGAGTGACCATTTGGCAACTGCCATGCCGACAACGGCGAAGGTTTGTCCGATGGCCTCAAACAAAATTGCAAAGGGCAAATCTTCGGGGTTGCGGGCTACGATGTCGGGGATGTTCTGCCCAAAGCCATAATGCGCTGATGTAGTCGTAAAACTTGTGTAGAATAGAAGAAAAACCTAGTAATCGGGACACGCGTCAGCGATGATCGGAAGGCAGAGAGGTGAGCTTGAAAGCTTGAAAGGCAACCTACAAACGCCAGATTGAAGACATGGTCATCAACACCAAATGATTGGACGACGACAACTCGGGTGTATACTCGCAACAGAACAAAGATGAATACCACCACAGTCAACGCCCACATCACACCAATGGCCCAAGGTCCATCCCCTCCCATAGCCATCGTGTGCGTGTCGTTTGTTCGTAATAATTTGTCGATGCGTGTCAAATGTGAAGGAAGAAGCGGAGGTGAGTATACAGAGGTCGCCGACGTAACTAATATTCCGTGGGTACATACTTGTTCAGGGAAAATCATGCATTTTGATCTTTCGGAAAGGGAGCAGGACTGCAGTTACAGAATGTGAAATGTAACCTCGATGGACCCGATGCGGTGTACCCGAGGTGAACTGATAATTACTCTATTGTAGATCATTCATAGAGCCAACATGGCTAGCCGGGGCATCCAGCTAATAATGGAATAGGCAGGCTTTTTGCTTTTTCCTTTTGTCTCTCAATTGACTTGTCAAGACTGGCAATCTCGCTCAAGGATGAGTTCCATGCTGAAAAAGCAAGAGCTGTCCCTCTCGCTTATTAGAAGCCCTCCAAGGGTATGTCGGACACGACTGTTGGTTGATTATTGTTGTTGGCTGAAAGTGGACTCGGTACCTCTTTTTTACGGTGAGAACATAAATCCCTGTCACATAAGAATAGCATGAACGGAACAGGAGTTACTGCCCGAAGTGCTTTTGCCTGACCTTAATAACTGCAGAGATTACCAGAGCATTGGTACGACGGGAGATGTTAAACAATGAATATCGCGATCCGTTAGATCATCGGCTTCTGAAGCCCGTGCAAGTCAGTTGAGGGGTGTTTTTTTCCCTGCGTAAAGCTTATGGGGTTTCATCCCTGCCCATGGCCGTTAGCAAATCCTTCCCCATGTCAATACGGAGAGGTTTTATGACGAGTATGAATGAGCACACGAATCACCAACAGGAAGTTCGTAAAACACCCTTGTCAACGTACCCGGAAGCCATCCGGTTGGACCGCTCACACGGCTCGTCTCTACCGTCCTCAATATTTATGTGCCTGACTGCCTGATGAGTTGCATAATGAGCTGCGCGATTTTCGAGTCACTACGGATAGAGTCCATGACCTTGACCATTCCACCATGCGATGCTGCCTTTATTCTGCAAGGCCGGTAATAAAGGGGAAATGTCAAGCGTTTTTTATGTTATACTCGTTTATCCGTATATCGAGGTGGCTTGGATCATTTTCGAAAGGGCTGATAGCTTAATAGACTAGCAGCCTTAAGCAGATAACGACCGTGCTTGTTTAAGGGTCTTGGGGGGCCGTTGGAGATCCGCGGGACAAGTCCCCAGTTCCGTGGGTGGAGTAGACACAGATACTCACGAGTCAGTCAGTACCACGTAGCAGTTTCAGTACCCTGCTGTTATAGTTGTTGGTTGATGAACGCTTGCACATAGGCGGAAAAAACAGGGTTGGGCTTCTTTGGATATGCTGCCTTTAGGTTTGCATTGAAGGGTCTGTTCATCAGACTTACTACCTGAGTAATAAATGACAGACGCACCACCTGTCATCTGGGACCACCCATCGGTATTCCACATACGAGTGGTTTCATTGCACCAGTCGCTTGCATATCCCCCCATAGCCCCGGCTCCCGTAACTACTCGTTAATTAGCAGTGCAACCTTGACGAACAGCTTCGGTTTCCGTGTCGTGGGGGATCCTGGCGCAAACCACCGTCGGACCATTTCCCCTGCCCGAACGTATATAGCCATCCGCGTAGTCTCTCATTTCCAATTCAGGGCAGCTTCACGGACAGTGTATGTTTCATTGGCAAGTTGTCTCTTGTCTCCCACAATGAGCTCCGTTCAGAGTACCTCTTACTTGACTGCGCTGGCCCAGCGCTCGGACTGGAAGAGTCTCGGCGTGTCGCTGGTTCTTGTTCCTATTCTGAGTATTGTCGTGTGGTGGATTGCTGCTTATTTCGCATCCCCGCTTCGAAAATATCCTGGCCCTCCAGTGGCTGGTGAGGAATCAATTCCTTTTCTCGTTGTAAATGATAGGGCTAACATTTCTCAGGCTGGACTAACCTTTGGCGTTTACGTACTGTGCTGAAGGGTAGCTACCATGTCAAGATCAAGGAACTTCATGAGAAATATGGTCCTGTTGTTCGCATCGGTCCCAATACCCTGGACTTCGATATTCCTGAACTGATCAAGACTTTTTATGGTACGGATGGCAAATGGAAGAAGGTACGATCTTTTTCTTTCTTTTTTCTTACATCATCCTGGCACGATAGTTTGCATGTTGGCTAATTGCCCTTGTTCCAGACCGAGTTTTACCACAATAACAGCGCTGTCATCGATGGCAAAATCACCTATCATCTGTTCAGCACGACTGATCAGGTCGAACATGCCCGTATGAAGCGCCCCATCGTCAAGTACTATTCCCAAAGCAGTGTTATGGGTCTTGAGTCCCTCTTTGATGGTTTGATCTGCGACTTTTGTGGTCATCTCGAGAAGAGGTTCATGAGTGGATCTGAACCCAAACCATTCGACTTTGGTGAATGGATTGGCTTTTGTAAGCTTCTCATCTACTGGCTACAGAGTACATGAAACTGATTCGGCTCTGCAGACTCGTGGGACGCTAATGGTGCTGCCTCTTTCAGCCGCCGCTTTGGGTACATGGATAAGGGATATGACTATGACGGCACCATCTCCATTGCTGACAAGGCTCTTGACTAGTAATAAGCCCATTCTTCGTCTGTAAAGTTGTTGCTGACAGTAATAGTTTCGCTGCTGTCGGCCAAATGCCCTTCCTCGACTTTCTTCTCGACAAGAACCCCGTTATGCGCATCGGCCCCCCCAATCTAGCCAACATTACTCGCATCTCGCTTGAACATCTGACTGCCCGCCTGCAAGGCAAGGATGGGAACTTCGACCCCGAAGTTCCCGACTTTCTCCAGCACTTTATCGAGTCTAAGAACACGAACCCTGATCTTGTCAATGATGGAACCATCATGGGCTATCTTCTGGTCAACCTTCTCGCAGGGGCCGATACCACTGCTATCACTATCCGAGCTTTCTTTTGGTACTGTCTTCACAACCCTCGCGTTTATGGAAAGCTCGAGAAGGAGGTTTTGAATGCCGACCTCGAGGATGTTGCTTCATTTAGCTCCGCTCGAGCATTACCTTGTGAGTTTATTTCCACGTCCATGGTGTTTCCTGAGCCAGCTACTTACCAAGCCAAGACTTAGAAGCTTGTGTCCGTGAAGCCATGCGTATGCACCCAGGAGTCTGTATGATCCTAGAGCGCTATGTCCCCGAGACAGGCCTCACACTTCCTGACGGCAGCTTTGTCCCCCCTGGAACAGCGGTAGGCATCAACCCCTATGTCGCTGGTCGTAACAGGGGAATTTATGGCCAAGATGCCGATACATACTGTCCTGAGCGCTGGCTCCAGAACGAAGGCGAGACTGAAACAGCATACAAGGAGCGAACGCGTCTTTTCAACGCAGCCGATTTGACTTTTGGTAACGGGTCACGAGTTTGCATTGGTCGCCATCTTGCTCAGCTTGAGCTGTATAAGATTGTGGCTACGTTGATCAACAAGTATGAGATTTCCTTGGTTGATCCGAAGGCGCCGTGGGTGGTTACTGGTAGCTGGTTCCCACGCCAGAAGGGTCTTGAGTGTCGTTTGAAGAAACGAGAGTAGTTCGAGCCAGAATAAACACTGTATATGCTGGCAAGACTAAATAATATTCAGTATTCAGGTAAGCTGACTTTCAGCTCCTCCAAAACTATCGTTCCAACGCCCAGGCACTTAACAGATAACTCCAAGGGTTAACGAACACTAATACAGTCCGTGTCACAGATGCGCTTCGTTTCAAGCTGCACAATATGGGACAACGAAAGCAAAAAATGGCCTCCATACCGTACATGAAGCAGAGTGGAAAGCTAAAGGCCAGTGCCTTTTATAAGAATGGCCTCATATATAGTGTTTAAATGATATATACTTAGCTATGAACCCGATTTTGGTATATTATTTTCTTACGTTTTGAAAACGCCCTAGGTATTAGACTGTAAATTATAAATAAGAGTTATATTATACTTATAACTATATTAAAAGACGATATAAGAGGTACTGTCTTATTAACTAGTATTTTACTACTTTCTACTCTTATTCAAATACCTTTTACAATCTACATATGAGATATTTAAGACTAGGTTTACTTATAGGAGTTAAAAGATATACTTAATTTAGTAAAATAAGTAGGGTTAGGCTATTTTCTTCACTTAGCTAGCTATAACTAAACACAGTATAACATTCTTTTATAATACTAAAGACTAATAAAGGCCAGCTATATTAAAACGTATTGGCTGTATAAATCTTAATATTCTTTTTAAATCGGTTAGTTACTATTTTATACTTTATTATTTAAACCCCTAAGTTATTTATTAAGATATGATACTTTTAAAGTATATATAGGTAATTATAATAAGATTAAGTATTTGCTTACTTTCTACGATAAAAGTGTCTACGAATAGTTTAATAATATAAAATAATAAAGTTAATGAAGATAGTTAAAGATTTATTATTTCTACCGAGGCTTAAGTCTATATAAATATTATTTTAAAGCTATTTTAAATTATGTAATTAACAAATTGTTATATAATTAAATACATTATAATCCTATTTAGTTTAATATTAACTAACAAATATATATATAATAACCCCAGTTGATAATATTGTTGATAACATTGCGCGTTGTATCACGGAAGTAGGCACAGTGGGGATTTTGATGAGGGTCACGTGATCTGATTCAATTCCTCGGCCCGAAGGCTGCCTTGACTTTGACTTTAACTCTGAACACGTATTCCTCCGACACATTTTAACCTTACGGCTGTGTGATATATGTGTTTATCTGATTAGAGTTTAGTCGCCGTATGTGACTTTTATTGTGCTGATCATATTGAGTTTTTGACCTTAGAAGAGGTTATTTTTATTGTTGATATCATTGAGAGATTTGGAAAGCCTGGGCTCCATAAAGTTGAAGGTTAAAGCAAAAAAAAAGAATATATATATATACATATATAATAAAGACTTTCTTCATAGAATCTTTTCATATGTTTTATAAAGATAATTGAAGCTTATAAATATAAAATTTAAAAAGTTATATTATTATTAAACATAAAAAGAATAAGCCATGTATCTACAATATTAAAGAGGTTAATGTTAAAATAAGAATAAAATAACTATACTACCGTAATATCCCAGCTCTTTAGGTAAGGTATATATATATAAATTAATAAGTTAATAGAGAGGTAAATAAATTATTAAGGGAAGGTATGTTAATTAAGTTAGGTATGTCTTTATATAACCTTACTGTAGTGTAACTTTATATTCCTTAATAGTATAGTACCTTTTACTATTTTAGACAGAATATACTATAGTTAGACTTCTTAAATATAGCTCTAGCTATTATAGTAGTATTTATTGCTTAAGGAAATACTATATATAATATAGATAAAGGATGCCTAATACCGTATTTCTATGTTTAACTAATTAAATAATTTACGGCGGCGGTATAGTATAGATATTAAACGACTTTAGTAAAGTTAGTATATAAAACCAGGTTAAAGTTTTATTTAAAAATATAATTAGCGGAGCTATAGAACCTTCTTATGTAATATAATGAATTTATAGAGTGTTAACTTACTTAAAAATTTAGTATAAAACGGTAGATTCCGCAGCAGTGATAAATAAAGAGGCGGCTTTGCCTTACTATAAAATAGAGGAAGATATTAAGAAGCTACTGTATAAAGCTACCTCTTAATATAACGTCCTATGCATAACACCGGTTTAGAAAGTGACTATGTCTTTGAAAGTTGGAACGGCAAGAGATTTGCTTTGCAAGCACGGAAAACTTACGACCCGTGCCTAGAGCGCTTGTCTTCTTTCTTCATTCTACTAACGGATCTGTGACATTTAAATACTAAAGCGGATTGGGTCAATATTAATCCGTTTATCTCAACTTGCAATTCGCAACCAACATACACAAGGTGGCCTGCAGGAGGCCGACCAACATGGCTTCCCCGCTCTATACCTCTATTTGCGTTTAGAAAGCACACTCATTTTCCCTTTACTAACAATATCGACAAAAAAGAACCTAGCTTTACGAAAACGATTCCTCAGCGGTTGGCTACTTCAACATGTCCAAAACTCTCGAGCAGGAAGCATTGCTCCAAGCCGTTCTCAATCACCTAGTTCTTCCTTCGAAACTCCCGAGTACGAACGACGCGGATAATGTCGAGCTGGCCTATGATCTGGGAAGTCGACTTCAGCGTGCCTTGGCCAAATTTGGTAACGATCAAGACCAGGATGTTTGGGACGTCCTAGTCAGCTCTATGGAAGCTACAACAATCCTTAATAGGTATCAACTGATCAGCCAGGAGCTACTGGAAGCGTTTCAAAGCATCGCTACCGATAAGAATAACATCTGGCTTACTCTTTTCGTCGCTGAGCAGAATTCAGCCTTACTAGTCCATCGGAACGAGATGTTTGTTACCCGAAGACTTTTCTGATATTGAATTGAAAACATATCAGCTGACCCATGCAACAGTGATGAAACGGTCGTTTTCGAAGCATTCCAGACCGCTGCACCAGTTAAGGATGTTCTCGCCGCAAAGCATAGCCTCATGTGGGAATTTCCTCATCGTTCAGTCCAAGTCCCGTTGGACGTTTTCGAACACATGTCATTCCAAAGAAATCTTTCTCAGCTTTTGGGACAGGCAAGCTGTGAATCATTCGATCAGTTCGCGGCGAGGGCTTCCAAGGGTGGTCAATCAGTTCCCGAGACCCGCGACTCCGCAGATCCAGCCCTGGTGACTGAGTTGCTCATGTCACTCTTGGAGGGATTCGGAAGTGCCTTGGCAGTACAATCGGTCTGTAAGAGAGTTCGGGATGACGTTGTCTTGGGATCATCCGAAATTCCTTGGCGGCGCTCACCATACTGGCTGGTACTCCGCGTGGCTTTACGACGCATGCTACGGGAGTTACTTGACCACGAATGCGCTGGTAGGGGAAGAGTCTATTACAAATTCATTATTTGTACCATGTTGGCCGATCTTCTTGAAGACTCTGTTAAACATCTACCCCCTGAGATGACGCTGCAACTTCGATCAAAGCTCTGCCGCCGTATGGCAAAGCTCAAGGCGGATAGCGCAGCCTCTTCATCATCTTTGCGCCCGGTCTATGATGATCTTTTCGCGTCCACTTCTGGAGGTTTTGAAGAAACTGTGAAGTATGCAATGGACCAAGTTTCTTCACAGTGGGATGGGTTCAAGGCCAGAGTTGTTCGCCGCATTCCAACTCTTCCGGGCCGAGTTTCAGACGCTGATCTATACATGAGGCTGGATAACAGTGGAGTCTTCTTAACCTCTCAGCTTTCACAAAGGCCTTGTTTTCAATCTCGTGGGATCTCTACAGAGTTGCCTCACTTACAAGAGGGAACAATTCTTGAAGTTGGCCGCCTGGCCGATCGCTATATTTCCCTTCAGAATAATGAAAACGAGACAGCTGCGATTACTACCACCATGTCACAGCAACCTCATGATCTATGTATCTCACTGGCCACAGGCATCCTCGACCTGCTCACAAATATGGGAGATGCTTTCAAAAGCAGCCCTATTCTGATGAGTCGACACCTTCTGAAACTATTTGAACTTTGGATAAGCTTGGACGAAGCGGCAATCTCTATATGCCCACTGCTCAAAGACTACCATCCTTTATTCATCCCTGATGCATTGGATGTGCTTTGCTTGATGACTAGGGATGAGATGGTGCGGCTGTTTCGAGTACAGCAGTACATTCGTAAGCGGGTGGTTTCACACAAGAAAGACCGGGGTACAATCTTTGACAACCCTAGAAAAGAGTCGACTTTCCCTGCCCAATTCGTCTCGTCCACAGCGGCTGGTAGTGAGATGTTGACAACCGCTACATCGATTGATCAAGCTTCATTGAGAGCCCGAGAATCAACCCTATCCGAACTAAACAGGCTGACAAAGACGTACGACAGCTTGACACAGTCTCTTGACGCCCTTTCATGCACATGTACTATATCTCCCGAGGGCAGAAAGATTTCCAATGGCTGCCGAAGATGTCGGCAGTATTGGCGCCGAAAGAAGCTCAAGATCAGCGCCCATGAAGACTTTCTCCCATCAGCGAATAACAAACAGCGTAATTCCCAACGAGCAGCTATTCTTCTCGAGCTACGTATTCCTAGCTACATAAATGCCTATCGTACAGCAACTTGGAGCTTATATCTTTTGGGTACTACAATGCATTCAGGCACTCAAGCTGTTCCGAAGTTACTCCTCAACGATCTCACCAATCTCAAGGAATTCTCTCAAGAGACGAAAGGGACATTGACGCTTGCTTCGCGTAAAAAGTCGTTTCGGCAGACTCACTTTGGCAAGTTGAAATTGCCGAAAGCGCCTGGCCAGGTCACTTTTACTTTTGGGGCCGAAATGTCATACTACGACACTGCGTCTGGTCTTTGGCCTGACGAACTCCCCAAAGTCCCTTGGTATCAGCACCTTATGGGTCCCTGGCTACCCCAGGGCATCTCGGATCCATATGAAACTCCAAGAGGAGTCCTGGACATGCATCTGCATCGTCCCTCTTCCTATGAGATAGCAGCGAGCGAATCCATGTCTCCTCCATCTATATCTGGTAACGATTTCTGCGCTTTCCAGCGAGCGGTTTCTGCACGAGGTCGACGCTGGCTCGAGATTCTGAAGGAAATGGCGGCGTCCAATCTGAACTTTAGTAGTCAAGCTGCAAATTCTTTCTTCCATCGCCTTGCTACCCAAGCAGGCCCAACTGCACTGGATGAGAGAATACTACGCGAAGCTCACTGGGTGTTCATTGATGAACTATTCTGTGATCGATTGAAGGAGCGGCTTGATTCTTGGATTGATACAATGGACCAGAATTGGAGACAGGTTGATCGGATGGGTACCGTGGTGATATTTACCCTTCGGCTGTATCACCTTTGTCCGCAGTCATTTGCAACACAGGCTCATGAACTGCTACTGAGAGTCCGTTCCGTTACTTCAAACTGGATCCTACAATTGCAGCATGAGGTCAGATCAACACCTGACGGTAACATGGTCAGTCAGACTGCCACATTTGCTTTCTGGACAGCATTGCTTTGTCGCCAAACGTTCTGGGGTTGTTTAGGCCGTGATGACTTTGAAGCAACTGTGCTCAAGGACGACCCATTACCTTTCTTCCGATCATCAATCGCGCTTCAGGAAAACCTGCTTGATAGTCTGGATAGACTACCTCCTCATTTGCAAAGTCTTCTTGCCCAGGACATGTCTGCTTCTTATCAGATGAGGGGTGTTGTTGAGAGGTGGGTGAAGAACGACTTCGGCCTGGTAGAGAGGGCAATTGACGGGACATGGGCCAATAGCAGTGCTCTCTACAAGAGATCTTACTCTCCTTGGACGAAACTCAAGGGTAAGAATTCTTGGTGGATTACGTCCGAAACTGCTCGTAATGGCTCAGTAGCTCCGCAGAGAGTACATTATCATCTGCTTCAAGGCCACCTACTAGTTGATCAAAAGCCCTTGGGAAGGCTTCCCCTTGAGATCAGAGATGATGAATCTGTGCGGGAGCTTTTTGAGGGGCGTCACTTACTGACAAGGCCATCCGGACTCTTGGACTACCAGATCCTCACCGAAATGGAAGGACACCAAGTCCATGTCGGGATCAGGGACGGCAAAATAATTGTCAAAGCCCTATTGACAGGCTCTGTTCTCCAATTCGTCCCGCGTTCCATCTTCAAAGGCCAGAACGACTGGGACTTGCCTGCAGATCTAGTCGACGATTGCGTGCACTGGCTTGACTTGACTACCGGAACTCTTGAGATGCGACGAAAGCCGCGAATTTGGAGGCGCAAACTATCAAACTGGGTACTCGACATGCAAAAACGAAAAGCTACTAGAAACAGAAATAGACTCACCAGATCGGGAAAGCAAAGCACAGGAACCAGTCTTGTTGAGCCAAAATCGGTGATTGGGAGAAATATCTGTGGTATTTTTCAGGATTTCGAAGATACCAAGAGGTTGACGATTTACCAGCCTCCGACAGGGCCGTTATCTGTTGAAATGAAACGCTTAGAGATCCGTTTCCAAGTAAACCACAGAGGTGTGCTGCTTTGCCCTCAGCTCAGAGCTGAAGTAGACCCTGAGCAAGACATTGGAACGCTCTACGGGTTGCACAGTCGGGTCACCCTACGCGATATCTCGAACCATAAAAGAAAGAGTCTTCTCGTCCCTATTGGGAACATCACGTGGGAGAGAGAGGGAATCCATGTTGGTGTCAGAATTTTCAACGAGGGCGTGTACGCGAAATACACTCTCAACTCTGTCTTGGGCCGACTGGACTGCCCACCTGAACCGCTTCTTCTTTATCTCAAGGCAGCAATGCATGCTCTTACGTCATTCCCGCTACCAGATGACTTGACAGGAAAGACAGGAACCGAGGAAGCTCGCCATTGCCTACTCTCAGCTCGCAGTCAGCCTTGGACTCCATTGGCGGGCTTTCCACAGAGGATACTATCTGCCATCAAATCTTTGTCGCCAACAAGAACACTATATCCGCCAGGTATCAACCTATATCAAAAGGTGCAATGGGATCAACATTTGACTTCCACGATCCAACATGAAGACTTGGCTCCTCTAGTGGATCTCATTGAACGTCGGTCAAGAGAGCTAGAGGTGCTCAGTATGAAAGAATCTCAGCCAGACAATGCGCTATATAGCGTGTCTGTGCCTCGTTTACAAACACGGGGCCGCATCCGGAGGCAGCTTTATGAGCGTGTATGGTTCGATTCTGATTCTGCGGTTCTTTCCCAAGCAGCACAAACGGATGCTTTCATGCCTCACCGAGGCCAAAAGACATCTATGAAGAGCCGCCGAGTGTATCAGACCACCTGTGCGATGATGGGACGTGGTGCTAATGCATTCTCCCTTCCAAAAATTGCCCCAATTTTGGAAGGTTGGAGCACATTTCAGGGTATCCAGGGATCCTCATCGAACATCGATCTAGCAGCCACCCTGGGCGTTGGAACGCCGCAACTTTGGGGGCCTCTCGTCCAGAAGATCCACGAGATAGACGCGACAAGAACGTATAACAAACACTTTTCTCTAGCTTTGCTCGCATTCAATGACGATGTCGACATGAACGTTATACTTTGGCTTGTGGCGCTGTTCAAAAGCAAGATATTAAGTCGCATCCAACCACCTCAACATCCTCTGTTCACAAATTTCAGGCATTTTGAGGAACCTTCGAAAGATACGTTTCTATCGCTGGCGCTGCCAGAAACATTCAATGACGATTTTGGTGGACTCATGATCAAGGATAGTCCTAGGAAAGGAGAGGCCTTACGAATCACCTCTCTCATCATGGAGATGTGGCCGAATCCTCCTCTTACGAGAGAAGGGTTCGACTCATCAGTCAAACGTTTGGGCATCAAGAGCTTGAGCCTAAAGAAAACTTGGAACAACTTCTACCCCGAGCTTCAAAGATTGAAGGTGAACTGGGAACTGTCCTCCTATCTTCTTCTCCTACAGAGCGCAGCACGTGCATTGATAGAAGACCAATCGGTTACGGAGCAAGAGCTGTATCAAGACACCTGGACTTCAAAACCAAAGCTGTTGGAAAGCAACAACCCCGAGAAACCTAGAGGATCTTCTACGGCTCAAGTCTTGATGAACGACTTGCTGTCGAGGTACGCAACCCACGACAGGCACAACGCGGACATCCAGTCTTGGTTGGGAGAACAAGGCCACGCTTCCGTTGCGAATTACAATGCAATTACCCATAACCAAGTCTCAGATATACCTGTAACTCAAACACCGGAACATGATACCCTCCGGGGGATTATAGAGACACTCGCCTCTTCTCCCCTCACATCGAAGCGAGCTTACGGTGAGGACCTTCTAGTGTCACTTGATGCTTTGACTCGACCGCAACAGTCACGAAAAGGACCTCAAAGTAGACCACACATGGCTTCAGTCGAAAGAGAGATCACTCGTTGCCGCCAGCGCTTGCGACAGGAAGAGGATGAAATCAAGAATTTGGTCTCACAGGGCGACGAGGGCTTCGCGTGGCTTTCAAAGGGCCAGCTTTGGCCTTGCTTCTCGCCAGTTGCAATTCTTGAACAGTTGAGAGGTGGCAATAGATCGCGAATATCTCATGCATTGATTAACAGGATAGTGGAGTATGGAATACTTACTACGCGCTTTCAACGTTACCTCCGGATACGAGACGCAATTCTTCGTAGAGATGATAGGTGGTTGGAGGAAAACTTCGAGCAAGAGGGACACTCCAACTGGAATCCATTCACATACCCAGAATGGCTTCTGCTAGAAATCGACGGCAACTTCCTGATTCGCCCTGTTCAGGTCGAAGTAGCACGTGCTATTATTTCACCACCGTCGATGTCCAACTCTGTTTTACAGATGAACATGGGCCAAGGTATGCATATGGGCCTAGCATATCACACAAAACGTGTAACTAACTATCACTATAGGTAAAACTTCATGCATTATGCCCATGGCTGCAATCCTACTGTCGGATATGACTCATTTGTGCAGATTGGTCGTGCCTCGAGCCCTCCTTCTCCAGACAGCACAAGTCATGCAAGGCCGACTTGGTGGGCTGGTGGATCGAACAGTCTGTCATATACCCTTTGCTCGGCGATCCCCTGCCGGCGACCAAGCGCTAGACCTTTATCACAGTCTCCACAAGAGAACTCTCGCATCAGGAGGCGTCATGTTATGCTTACCAGAGCATATACTTTCGTTCAAGCTGAGCGGGCTCCAGAAGCTGGCCGACAAGGAATTAAAGACGGCGCAGAAAATGATGAATATCCAAGAATGGTTGGAGTCGTCTAGCAGAGATGTCCTTGACGAGTCCGATCTCACTCTTTCGCCAAAAACACAACTGATATACCCGAGTGGTGTACCCGCCATGATTGATGGTCATCCTCAGCGGTGGCAGCTTATCGAAGACATGCTATCGTTGGTTGAGTCCCATGTACCTCAACTTCAGGCCAAGTTCAAAGATGGAGTACAGGTATGGCGACGACACCAGGGCTTTCCTATTATTCATCTCCTGCGCATTGAGGTCGAAGAGCACCTGAATGCTCTGCTAGTGGATGATGCTTGCCAGGGGCGGCTCTCACATCTTCAGTTTAAAACTCATGCTAGTCGCGATGGTAAAAGATACGTCAAGTTGGTCCTTTCTACTACTCAACTATCTGCATTTGTTTGGGAAAGCGCAATCGGGTCGCTGACTGATGAAGCCACCGGTGGAAAGATCCTTCATCTTCTTCACGGACTCATTCCCCAGCGACTATTGATTCTCTGCCTAAAGAAGTCATGGAATGTTCAGTACGGCCTTCATCCTGGCAGAGCTCCTATTGCCGTACCATTTGAGGCCAAGGGAATACCTTCACAAACCGCAGAGTATGGCCACCCAGATACGGCACTGGTGCTTACATGTTTAAGCTTTTATCATGCCGGTTTGACCAAGTGTCAACTTCTCCAGAGTCTTCAATTCGTCAGCAACTCTGAAGATCCCTCCTCACACTATCAACGCTTGACGTCTTCACAAAACCTACCTGAAGGCTTTCGACATTGGGACTTGTTGGAGGTGGATAATGAGGCTCAGATGACTAAGCTATGGCAACACTTGAGGTTCGAGAAGCATGTGGTCAATCATTTCTTGAATCACTTTGCCTTTCCACAACATGCCAAGCAGTTTGGACTCAAGGTTCAAGCTTCAGCCTGGGACATCCCTCTACTATCTGAGAATGTCGCACGGCGAGGTCTAACAACAGGCTTTAGCGGGACCAATGATAACAAAAAGATCTTGCCACGTACAATCCACCAAGACGATCTCCCCAGTCTCATACAAACCAATGCTGAAGTTTTGGTACATCTGCTGGAACCACGTAACCAAAGGTGTTATCAAGCTGTTGATCGAAACGGACGACATCTGAATGAGATTGGACTGCTGGAATTACTCCGATACAGGGGGATCAGGATATTGATAGACGCGGGTGCCCAGATCCTTGAGATGGAGAACCATGAGCTCGCTGCGGCCTGGCTTGAGGTCTACACCGAGGCCCAGGGCGCGGTATATTTCGACCGTGACAGCCGTATCATGGTACGAGCTCGCTTTCAAAAGTCTCCTGTGCCGCTCCTGGCTAGCCCTTTTGCAGATAACCTCAGCGAATGCGTAGTTTACATTGATGAAGCACACACGCGTGGGACTGACTTGAAGCTTCCACCATACGCCCAGGGAGCTGTTACTTTGGGCATCAGCTCGACCAAAGACCAGATAGTACAAGGTAAGTGTATCACACTACCAGCAGACTGCATCATGCTAACTATCATAGCCGCAATGAGACTGAGACAACTCGCAACAACCCAGTCGGTCTCATTTATTGCTCCTCCGGAGGTGTATACAAGTGTTCTTTCTCTTCGATCCACCCACAGTCGAAATGTTGCAGCGCCACGATATTTGACATCTACTGACGTTGTCCACTGGCTTCTGGAGCAGAGCTGTGAAGCGAGTGATAACATGATGTCCTTGCACATTGCCCAAGGATTCGACTTTTGCCGACGTACAGATGCTCTACTGGAGTTCAGAAAGTCTTCGCAGAACAAAAACAAGACAAATGAGCTCCTACAAAAGGCCCAGCAACCCGAGGGACAAACACTGGAACAGCTGTACGGTCCAAGGCAGCAACCATCTTCAATCAGCTCAAAACCTTTCAATCCAAAGATTATACAAGACTTTGCGGAAGACCTTGCTGGACTAGAGGCAGACTTAGTTAAGCATCGGAGGCGAGCTTATACCTCGGCTTTCGATGAGGTGGAGCAGCAAAGAGAAGTTGAATTTGAGGTCCACCAGCTTCGTGAGAAGCAAAATCCTGCACGGTTCACAGCACTCGAATTTCCGGGTCTCGACAATGCCCTTGTTCAATTTTGCGAGAAGCCTGAAGTAGGGCTAGCCAGCCTGCATCTTCTCCAAGCTCTTGACTTCATCGGCAATACCCACCTCGGACGTAAGTACGGTATCAAGGGAGCTTCCTTGAAGCTATTCGTCTCAAAGGAGTTCTGTAGAACAGTTCAAACCTTGAACACTGATGCTTCTCGTCGCATCATAGTACGTTCCCCAGCAATCCGTCACAGAGGAAAGATACTAACCATGTCCATATAGCGACCAGTTGAATGGGTACTCTGGAGACCTGCAATCGAAACAGGAGTGATCATCATCCCTGAGGAGGCTGAGCTCCTTCTTCCAAGACTCCGTAGGATACAAAACCCCGTAACGTTTCTTCTGACGTACACAGCCCCACTTACAAGATCTCTTCTGGAAGTTGGTAGCCTTGCCTACTATCCTGTTCCAACTCCGAAGAAAGGACTCACGATCCCTTCTTGGCTGGAAATCGAGATTGGTATTCTGGCCGGTCGATTGTACCTTCCTTACGATCAATACACGCAGCTACGGAGCTGTCTTGAAGTTGACGAAGAAGGAGAGCCTTCGGTGACAACCGATGATGTTCCCCGCAGCAGGACACACATTCTTCCTCATTTTGGAAATTTAAACGCTAAATCGCTTGCAAAGTTCCTGACTGAATGGCTTCCACATCGATCTCGGTCATCTGATATCATGCATACCCCTATTGGGTACCTGATTCAAAACCGCGATCTTCCCGAGAATCACCCCTTCTTCGTTTCAAAACACAAATCGAGGGCTGTTGAAACCGGATCATTGACTGCTCACGAAGATTCGATTGGGAACGCAAGGCTTTTAGAAGCCAACGACAGCAATAATGATAGCGACGATGGCGATGATGATGGCGAATGGGGTGTTAGCGGATATGAAGTTAACAAATTAATCCCGGACAAGGATAATCGGTCAGAAGGATAAAGCTATCGCAAGGATCATTATTTAGATTGAGTATGAGAAATGCTGTTAATTATTAACCTTCGTATTTTCAAAACCATGTAAATTGCGTTGAGAGATAAATCAACCCTACAGTAGATTTCATGATTAGATTCACAACGTAGGTTGGTAAATAAACTCTTTATACCTTTGATATCTTTATCGTAATTTCAATTGCAGCTAGGCTAGATTACTATAACTATCACCGAATTATACTTCTTTATGGTAGTCTCTATCTTCTTGGTTATTTACCATGTTGGTTTTCTTCAACCTAATAATGTATTATATTCCTTATATAGTTGTGGCTGATATGGTGGGCAACCTTATTGAATCTGAGACATTGTTGCTTTTGGGTCTTCGTAGAGACCTCTATTGTTGATAGTTCTGTAGGTTTAATTGGGATAGCTGGATCTCTTTTTTAAAGGTGCTACCAGACTCAATGTAAATATTCCTCATATGGACTGTGAGTTTGCTACTTATAACTTCTTAATCCGGCTGCGGTTTACTGTCACAAGAAGTAAAGCACTAATGAAGGAATCCAGAATTTTGAACCTATAGAGATAGCCTTCTGATTCACTTTCAGTAACCTGAAAAAAACGATAAATGACCATCCTTCCTCGATTAAAGTGGTCACAATATAATTATCTGAATTAGCCCGGAGATCTTTACTGAACACTTGAGTAAAACTAGCTACGATGTGAATATTAGATAACATTATCTAGTTTTAAAGCCGGAATTCATTATTATATGATCTCTTTAGTGTGTCGAAAAAAGATTTCAGTCCTAGGTGAAAGATGTTATGATGTTTCAGATAGGTTGGTCCAAATGACCAACTAAATGCTACACGCGGCCATGCATTCAAGCGCAGAGTAAAATTCAGCCAAATCCGGCTTCTCATCTCCGGCCGGGATGCACAGAGCAAGCATCTTCATGAACGCAACTCCAAGTCGAAATGCTGCGATCCTTTCGGTAACATATCGAGTATGCAGCCAGTCTGAGAGCAATGCAACATCGCTCAATTTCATGCCGGCGTTACTGCTGGTGTCGATGCGCTTCTTGATAATCTTTCGAAGGGGTGTCCATTCAGCGATCTCGATCAGGATACAGCCGAGAGAGTACGCGTCCATGTAGCGCTCAAAGCCCTCAGAAGGCTCTCCTAAAGCTTTAGCATGGCGATAAATGTCCCGTGAGGCGTCGGTAGAAGGTTGTTCGCTGATTTCAGTCGGGGAACCTTGTCTAGCGAAAGAGAAGCCGCAGAGATATGGTCGACCCAGACGATCATTCGACTGCGTAGAGATTGGAGAGATGAGGATAATATTCTCAGACCGGACGTCTTTATGGAGCCAGTCGGCAGTGTGGAAGCTGAGGAGCGTCTGGCACACCTGCACGGCTAAACGAAGACGTGTGCCAACATCTGGCAATGGTCCGTTTGATCTGGACAATATGCTGAGCAATGAACAAGGCTTCTCGGTACTGGAAGGCAAATTAAAGACCAATCGGAAGCCTCCTTGCTCTTCAGTGTATCCTAAGCAGGGGAATGTCTGGAAAGATGGTGTGGGAGATTGGGAGAGTAGAAGCACAAGAGCTTCAACACGTGGTTTGAGCTTCCTTTTCATGTTTGATTGCACACGCTTCTCTTCTATTAGCACTGTGGCTTGCTGGTATAAGGCCGACCCAATTGTCGGTGACAGCATTTCAATCTTGGTCACTTGGGAAGGGTCCAGAACCAACGGAGGTCGTGCTGACGCTGTATGATTGTCTCCGTCGCCGGAGTGCTCTGCGTGTTGTGCATGGTCGTGACAGGATGTGAGCAAAATATGCTGTGCCTTCAGACCTGCCGAGGCAGCGAGGATGTTTTTCATGTCGGCATCAGTGGCTGAGTCGTGGAGAGATGTCTGGAGATCCTGAAGACCCTTGATATCTCGACTCGTTTGAATCGCAAGTTGCAGCGTCTGATTGATAGCTCGAGAGGTCTGAAGTCGGTGGGAAACGTCCAAGAGGGACCAAAGCCCATCGACAAGATTGGTCACATCCTTTACCAGCTCCGCGTACTTTTTCTTGTCAACGGCGGCCCACCAGAGACGCTTTGGGAATCGATTCCCTGTGCTGACTTTCAATGCGCGTTCAAGGATGTCATTGCGAGTCTCGGATGACACGATATCTGAGAGGATTGACAGAGCTGAGTTACCTGGAATGGTTGTCGTTTCAGTAGGAACCAAGACATCGGAGCTGTCCGCCACAGACACAAGTTCCAACTTATAGCGCTTTTGTAAAGCCTCTGTTGAGGAGAGAAGCTGCTCTAGCTGGAATAGGACGAAAGCGGCAGCGTGCTGGTTAGACATAGGCGATTCATTGTCTCGAGGAGAGTCAAGGCCAATGGCCCTAGCCCACTCGATGAGTCGATACTCTTGAAGAACTAGCTTCGTTCGTTCAATGGCGGCGTCCTTTCCAATGTTTTGAGCGTCAGTTATCAAGCTGAACCCTTTAACGCAGCTAGCAAAAAGGTCGAACGAAAGCGATACCACAGCTAAGCCTGTTCCGGGGTCCATTATGCGCGTTTCCCACAAGCGTCGAGGATATATCAGTTATAAGGTTTGTGTCTCGATGTTGGATCATCGGTGCACATGCGGGGTTTTGGTTGATCACCCACCGGGTTATTAGTCAGAGCGAGTGCAGCCTGATTAACCTGACATACTTAGGCAACGCAGATAGAAGTGCAATTATCCGATATTTGAATACCCAGTAGCTATTGTACTGGTCAGCCGCCAATCGATCGTCCATGTATTGGATAGGATGCATTTTACTTATTTGGCCATGCTGTAACTATACGATAAAGACATTCGAATGGTCCATTCTGCTTGATCACTTTGGCAATAACACTCCAGGTGTCATAACAGTAGATTTAATATCGGGACATTGTGATGTAAGGTGCAACATCTCAGCCGCAGATCAGTAGTTACATAAATGATACCCAATCAACTCCTTATTGGTGATATTCGATTCTTACATGGAGGTCAGATGAGGGGTTATTCCACTCACTTGAGGTTCTCAGCCTGACCACCAACCATCATTCATACTTCAAGTTGATCAATTAATACCTCTATCATCAAACTACCGACTCCTTGAAGCGAAATGGATTCTTCGTCTGGAAGAAGTCTGACATCTTTCACGAGCGGAACATCCGATCCTGCGTCTTTGGAACCACGTGACGGTTCAACTCTGGACGACGCACCATTTATCCCGAACGCCTTGGACTTTGCGTACCGAGCTTTCTCGGCCGAGAGGGCCGTGAGAGTATCGGTCCCGCCAGTGTTTGCAAATGCGCAAGCTGTGGACAGCGCTTCATTTGCCGGCCAAGGTGCAACCTTCGCTGTATATCGGCGTCGCATCCCATCCCAGAAGCTCCTAACATCGCGTTCAGTCCTTGATGGCTGGTCGGTAGAGATAGAAGACAAACGCGAGCTGCCAGACATAGTTGCCTACAAGGTACCTGTCATTGAGTTTACGGACACAGGCGAAGCCACTCACACGTCCCGGCGTGCCATAGACTCGGCAATCACCGAACTATATTTCTCGGCCCACCGGCCAATCCTGCAACACCCGAATCTCGTGGACTTTCTTGGATTGGCGTGGGGCACAAATCCGTTTGATTCTGTGCAGAAACTGCCGGTCATCATTGTCGAGTTTGCGGAATGCGGGAACCTCTCGCAATTGCAACAACGGGAGTATCTCGGTATAGAGACTCGGCGTAAGCTCTGCCTTGATGTCTGCCAGGGCCTTCACATGCTTCATTCATGCGGCATTGTCCATGGCGACATCAAGGCAGAGAATGTTTTAATCTTTCCCGATGAGAAGCATAAGTACAAAGCCAAACTGAGCGATTTTGGCTACTCCTTGGTTATGGACACTAAGAATAGTAGCCTCATGCTGGGAGGAACCCGGCCTTGGAAGGCCCCCGAGGCAAAGACAGTAGTCAAGGTGTTGGACGTAAAGTATACTGACGTATACTCATTAGCCCTACTCATCTGGTGTACATTTGCACATGGCCGAAACATCTTCAGGCTCCTTTCGGACACATCCAAGCATGGCGAAGAATTCTATGCGGAAGCCGAGAGAATGAAAGAGGCCGGAGAACTGGTGGCCCAAACAGACCTTTCTACTTGGTACTGGAAAGCGATTATGTCTTCTCCTTATGATGGCTCCCTTCAATTCCGTGACCAATTTCTCTCTCTCCAACAGCGATTGCAACAGAGCAACACACAGCCTGAAGATGCTGCGGGTAACATCGACGGCTTTGAAAGGATTCTGTGTGCCATTCCAATCACACAGTTCCCAATATTGGAGCCGCTGAAGCAACAGTTTATTGCAGTTGTACAGCGTTTTGGCTTATACGCCGCGATGCAAAAGGCTGTGACAATTGGCTTATCGAATGAGCCATGCCGGAGAAACCTTGACCAAATCATGGCCTCCCTTGGTCATGATGGTTCAGTCACTCAACAGTGGTACTAAGTCACTACCCAACGTCGTGTTGATAGAAACTGACCGAGCCAGTGCGGATCCCGATCTGCTATTGAAATCGAATCTGAATGTGGGTTCTGATAAACTTACCCGTCGAGTACGTCGGAAGCTTATATTGCATAGGAACGGTCATTCCAGTGGCATGACTGGACAAAGATGGACCCATCTGTTCAAAGGTACCTAACAACAATATATGTTCAGAGAGGCGAGAAGAGACTTCAAGAGAACATGTTGAACCCGCCCGAGGCTTTTCTTCTCACAAGTCTCTACATCAACGGATACGGTGTAGATAATGATATGTCGCGTGCTTCCAACTGGCTGTTCCTCGCCCTGAGAGAAGATCATCCACTTTCAGCGGCGTATGGATACCGGATCGCGCATGCGATTGGGATCACATTTGATAAAACAGAGCGCATAGTTGAATCGTTAAAGTTAATGGCTCTGCGTGGTTCAAGAACTGCTCTCGAAGATCTCGCCGTGGTATCTAAGGACGACTACGACAAAACGAAGAAGATTATTCGCAACGGTCTCTCAGGCACAGGCGCGAATCACTTTTCCGAAGAGGAAATGCTTCACGGATTCAGGTATGGTATGTGGATAAAGACCTTTGAAAACATCCCTGTCTTGCTCGAGAATTTCTCTCGTCTGGATCACATCGCCGATTACACAACGAATAAGAGAGGCGACCGCATCCTTCACATGGCTGCCAGCTGTGGCCAGATAGACGCTATTGAGGCTCTGCTAAATCGATTTCCCTCACTTGCAATTAATCAACTCAATGACCAGGGTGAGACGCCGCTTCTGTGCGCATGCCGCGCCGGCCAAGTTCGCACGGCCTTGTGGCTCACCGCGCATGGAGCAACCGCATCAGTGGTAGCACAGAATGGAGAGAGTGCACTTCACTGGCTGATATCCTTTGATGATGAAGAGGTGGAAAGAGTCGGCCCAGCATTGATTCGAGCTGGTGCGGATACCAACGCGGAAACGACAGGCATCATAGCCTACCAAGGGGGCTTTCCGACGGACTTAGTTCCCGATCGGCTCCCGAAGGGTTATGCTATCGGATGGGGTGAGTGTTTCCTATTAACATATCCTTTCTAGCCTTTTCTATGGACTGCAAGACTCGATGGTTCGCATATGAGAGGGTGCTAATGCATGAACTAGCAACTCACTGTGACCGCCCTCAAATCGTAAAGTTCCTTTTGTCCAATATGGCTAATCCACTGATATGTAATACAAAGTGGCCTCAAGCAAACAGTGCGTTGAGAGTCGGTGCGTCACAGCTTCGTTCAGAGTGTTTAGAATTGATGATGCAGGCCATAGAGCAATACAATATCGACCGAGGGAGACCAGGATTCCGCAATTTCAATGTGACGGAACTCCTTGAGCAAGCCGTTTTTGGCAGCAGCCTGTTTGATATGATTCTTTACCATGGGCCGAAATATCAACAGGCAATGGAATCAACATTCAGCTGTCTGCTGCCCAGGGCCAACAGGGTTGCCTACATTGACGGCTATGGCGGCTTCAAGCAAACGCTTCTCTATTTCGCAGTTTCGCTGGCCCGAGATGAATTGGTTGAATACCTTGTCAAACACGGAGCCGAAATTACCACACCTAGAACAAACCATGACAAAGAAGCCCTCAAATCACAAGATGCTGGTGCGTTCAAAACGACCGATATCAATCGTCCAAGTGGTATCGACATGCGAACCCCGCTCCTAGAGGCGGTTCGATGGAATCGTCCCACACTGGTTCATCTTCTCCTCGAGCATGGGGCACATGCCACGGACGCCTGCAAGAATCCATTCAGCGGGCAGGACTCAACGTGGACCGCTCTCCACATCTTGGCTTATGCAGGGCAAGATGCTACACGGCTAGTCCAACCACTTCTAGATCATGGCGCCCTCCTCGACGGCCTCCCAGATCATTCCCGTACAACGGAATCCCCGTTACTCATCGCCGTGCAGAATGACGCCTTCCAACTCGCCGATAGCTTTATATTGCTTGGTGCCGACATGAACTTCACTACCCTGAGCTGCGGTCACCTAACCTTATCAAACCCCACAACCATCATTGGTCATGTCATCGCTTCCAATGCGCGCAATTCGATCGCACGTCTCCGCTATCTCCTCAGCAGCCCAACGATGCGTGATCGCCTGCATTTCATCGTGGAGCCAGACCGGCAGTGGACGGCATTGCACCGTGCCGCAGCAGCTTATATCGATGTCCAGTTCCGCGGGACGGATGCGACCGAGGCGGCTGAATTGGACTGGGCTGACGTCGATTGGAGTGCGAACCGCGAGATTTTGAATGAGCTACTCAGGCATTTCAATGACCCCGAGCAGCTTAACCATGTTGAGCAAAGCACAGGGCTAACGCCACTACACCTGGCGGTTCTTGCGGGGAACGAGGCTGCGGTGAGCTTGCTTCTTGACCATGGTGCCCGCAGCGATGTTCCGTTTGCTGGTGGCCGGGGTGCGACAGCCTCCAATATAGCTCTTGCAGTACAGATGGGGGAGTTGTCTATGACGGAAAAGTTTAGACGGGTGGGCAGGGAGGAGGCAGTGGCTCGGAAGCAATGCAGCACTCTTCTGAATCCGACAGCCCAATCTGCAGGCCACGCGCAGTCCACCTAGGCCTGAAACGTGGCAATACTCATCGTGAGAAGTTCCTGTCCATACTTGATGGGGTCCGATGACGCGGCCGAACAAGTCAAGTTGTACTTACTTATTGCTTGGTGGTAACCTGTATATGAGCTTTCTTATAATCAGTAACTCTACTCTATTTAATTATAAGATTACAAGTGGTAGAGGTATTTCACTCTTAACATTATCAACAGGACTTAATTTATTACATTGTTAAATATACGGGTGCACTCACTACCCCACAGAAAGATGATGAAACGAGGCCTCGATTATTTTTAGCTGTTTTATGAAATATATGGGCCATTATCGGGCTTTATCCAGGGAATGACTTGATAGTTTAGCGATCTTCAAGGGTGGATAAAACTGGCAAGCACAGGCGACGGTTGCAACATCCTTCACTGTATGTATCAGTGGATAATCAATGGCTTGTACTCAGATATCATTGGTTAGCTGGACTCTGAACAAGAGCCGGTCCCTGCTAGCTATCCACTGGGAAGGAAAGCGACGCCGAGTTCCATATTTTCCCCGCATGAACCGTTGCAAGATGATAAACTATCGTTAGCTTTTGATAGAGAACAGGCAACTTGACCAATGGTACCCAAATGCTAGATACCGGCAATGTTTATAGCCATGTTTATCAGATATCCTGGACCATGACTGACGCTACGGTTACGTGTTCCGAAATGATCCTGTTCCATGCTACTCATGTGATAAAGAGCCAGACTTGGCACGCTGTTACATGGGAACCAAATTGCTTATCGGATGTAGATCGGCGAATGATGGCTTGGATTGAGGAAGTTGACCTGTTAATGTTGAGGCATAAATACATCAACAAGGGCCACAATTCTCAGCCCAAGTTATATTTGCCAACGGAGATTCACTGTCGCGCTTTGACACATATAGATTGATCAAATCGATACCCATAAACACTCCTTACATCATGTCCAACCATGACGTATCCAGGGTCTCTGGGCCTGTCAAGGTCGACGAGGAGAAGCAGCACAGCTCTGGTGCATCCCGGGGCTCAATGGATGCCACCGAGAACATTGTCACCAATGACCTCCACCGGACACTCACTCCCAGACAAGTTCATGTACAATAGAAATTCTATACATTCCGTGTCCTCACGCTAACATATTCGAGATTATCTCACTTGGATCCAGCGTTGGAAGTGGACTCTTCATCGCCACAGGCAAGGCCCTTGCCAACAGAGGGCCGGGCACCATGTTCATTGCCTACTTGATTGTATGCAGTGGTGTATGGGCAAACCTGCAGACACTGGGTGAGATGACTATCGCTTTCCCCGTTTCTGGAAACTATATCGACTATGCTGGGAGGTGGGTTGACCCTGCTCTCGCCTTTGGTGCTGGATTCGCAGAATGGCTTGGTAGGTTACCCTCTGTATCAAACACTTGACGTATCCGATAATAACCGCTATCAGGCTGGACTGCCGTGTTTGCTGCCGAAGCACAGTTCTTTGTGGTCCTTGTTGATTACTGGGCACAGGGTACAGTGCCTCACGCCGCATTGAGTATGCCACCTCAATCACGTCCTTCTAATAATCCATCTAACACGCAGTAGTCTCTATCTTTTTGGTCGTCTGCCTAATCGTTTTCCTTCTACCCAACAACGCATTTGCTTGGCTTCAATGTTTTGGATCTATGGTCAAGATCGTTCTATTCGTCTTTCTAGTCATCTTCTCCATCGTTCTTTTTGCAGGTGCTGGCCCAACTCCGACGCATGAGTGGGGGTCTTCTTGGAAAGATGGCATGGCCTTTCAGAACGGCTTTGGTGTAAGTCCTGTGAGCTCTTCACCGCTGAATTATTGCTAACAGATATAGGGCTTCGCAAGCTGTGCCTTGCTTGCCATCTGGGCCGTAGGCGATCAAGTATTCATTGGTGTTATGGTCGGAGAGTCAGAGTCCCCCCGATACTCCATGGGACATGCATCCACCCTGGTTCCCCTTCGAGTTGGCGTTATGTACATGACATGCGTCATACTCATCGGTATCCTCCTCTCTTCTGACAACCCAGACCTTTTAGGCGCCTCAGGCTCTGCTGCCTCCCCTTTCGTTATCGCCGCCAAAGGTATCAAAGGAGTCCCTGACCTCATCAACGTCTGTGTCATCATTGGCCTTACTGCAATCGCTCTTGAGTCGATCTATCTGCCCTCCCGTATCCTCCGAACCATGGCCTGCCAAGGATTGATCCCTCAGGTATTTGGAAAATGTGACGAGCGCGGTCGACCTCGTTGGGCGCTTGCTTTCACATCTGTTATTGCCGTGATCCTTAGTTACCTCAGTCTCAGTGGTAAGCAAGCTAGACCCATCCTTGTGAAAGACGGGACATACTGACAGAGCGTAGCCGGCGGGACCGAAGCTCTCAACTGGTTCATCTCAATTACCAGCGCATCATTCTTCTCAAACTGGGCCATCATCGCATTTACAAGCTTCTTCTTCCACCGGGCATTGAAGGCGCAGGGCGACGACATTTTCAGCCAAAAGTACGCCTGGAAGTCATCTGCGTGGCCTTCATCTCCTACTCACTTGATGCTTGTCTGCTTGCTTCTACTGATTAGTCTATTCTATTCTGCCATTAAGCCACTCGTGAGTGTTATTGTCTCCCAATGATCTCCCAAGCCTGACTAATATTCCTTGTCAAGAACGGAACTGGATTCACTGCCTATAACTTCTTCCAGAACATGATCGGGCTACTGATGATTATAATCTTCACGGTGGCATACAAGTTGATCATGCGCACCAAATGGCAGTCATCAAAGACAGCAGACCTCCAGACAGGCCGAAACAAACTTCGTCCTGACGAGATCGAATTTCTGAATGGCTACTACAGTGCACCTTGGTGGCGACGTCTGGGCACCTATGTTTCTCTTTACTGAGACTCCTGCTGACATTCAAGGTGATCTGGTGATACTGGTGGGAACATATAGTAGGATCCTTACGCATTCTTGACTAAGCAAGGTCTTCTGTATTTCAAGTCAACATAAGTGTTATTCTTCTTTCCTTCACCAAAGTCCGCCACTGAACATAGACTTTCTCTGAGCGCCAACTCTGCCAGATGTCGTGAACTTTATCATGTCCACTCCTTGCCGGATTTAATCCATAAGACTCAATCTTACTAAAGAACACAACAAACTATGATTGGCGAAGCTCATCCAGGGCTGCCGATGATGCAATAAATCACATCGATCAGCTTCAGCCTCAACTGGTTACACCTAACCTGCACATTCACATACCGCAAATTACCTCTCCCGTGAAATATGTGAGATAGAGGGTTGGAGGCAAGATGAAGGAAGTCCCCTACATATGTTCTAGTCCTATCTAATATGATACAATTTATGCACTAGTTTTCTATGTAAACATCGACGACAAAACATCACCGTTTTATACATGTTTGCTCACGTCTACCCGGGCGACCCACCTAGACCACTGCCATAACCCTGCCTACGCCAGTAGCTTAACCATATCCGTAAATATGTCCCCAATGAGGAGTCTTTCCTGTGAATGCTCAACACCGAATCATCCACCGGCAACCTTACCTAATTAGGAGGGTAGGTACCCACCTTTAACAGTTTTATCCAATTAAATTCCAAGATCAGCTATCAGCCACAGTTCAGCCATAAATACAGCCACAGCCTCAAAGACAAGTACATATACCTCTAACACCTTATCCTAGCCCTAACTCTGGCCCTAACCCCTAGCCGCACCCTAACCTGTGGCTACGCCCTCTCTAACTAACCTTTACCTAGCCTATTTCCCCTTATATTATAGCTTTTTTTTCTGATTTTATAGCGAAGATAGAAGTAAATAAGAGGAATTACCTCTGTAAGAGGGTGGGTATAAGTGGAGTAGATTACTTCCTAAAAGGGTAAGGTTGCGGGTGGATGATTCTATTGTGCCGGTGGATGATTCGTTGTTGGTGAATGCTCGCTTAACAGAATATCCCCGGTTCTACTCCGTAATTCCCCAGGTTATCTCCGCTTTACACGCCAAGGATTGCCCCACGATAAGACTTATCTCGAGCGATATCGCAGCAATATGATGATCTCAGTACCAAAACAGTTAGATACCTTGCTGGGGCTACCTAAAATCTCCAGTGATGAATCTGCTCATGTGGAGAAGAATCGCCATGACCAGCGAAAAGGTGCAATAGCCGAAGTCGGATCGCGTATCCGAATTTCACCATTTTTCCCTTTCGCTCATTTGTCATCATGTCATTGTCCCGGCACCATGCGACTAATTCACTGTGACGGTTCATGATTCAACTCTTTAACATAAGTGAATGATGCCAACAGTCTCGAGAATTACTGGAAATAATGTCTACAGCGGAAAAGTCCCCCGAGCCCACCGGGGATGTTACCCGGCGGGATCAATCTGCAACGATAGATACAGATTCAACACGAAACAACAATGACACGACGGCTGTGGATATTGAATCGAGCCTTGCAGCATGGACATGTGTCTTTGGAGGCTTTCTTTTTCTCATGCCTACATTCGGTACGTCATCCGCTACACTGTCCAACCTATCTGACTAAACCTACCAGGCATGATGCAGTCCGTCGGTGTATACCAGTCCTATCTTGAATTGAATCAACTGAGCGACTATACGGCCGGTGAAATTGGTTGGATACCAGGAATGTACATGTTCCTCTCCATGCTCGTGGCAATCCAAGTTGGTCCTGTACTTGACCAGCGTGGTCCGTTTGCAGTGAGCATCATCGGCGGTGGCGGCATCGTCATCATGTTCATTCTACTGGCTGAGTGTAAAGAGTACTGGCAATTTATGCTTTGCTTTGGAATACTTGGTGGCCTTGCAACGGCTATTGCAGGGACTATTGGCGTCACTGTCGTTGCAAAACTCTTCACGAGGAGACGAGGACTGGCTATCGGGTTGGCTCTCGCCGGATCATCTATAGGGACCGTTATCTTTCCCATCATGCTCCGATCTTTGCTTCCTAAGCTCGGATGGAGCTGGTCAATGCGTGTCGTAGCTTTTGTCATCCTTGGCATCTTCACGCTGGGTATTGTGTGCCTCACTCCTTACAAGCGACTGGCCAAACTTGTCGCGCTACCCGTCACCAAAAAGCGCGGCATAGCCGTCCTCAACTTTACAGCCTTCCGTTCCGTACCTTTCTCGTTGATATCAGTTATGTACTTCGCCATCCAATTCGTTCTTTACGGTATTGGAGGTCTCCTTCCTACCTTTGCAATAGAAGCAGGGATGAAGGCTGAGGTTGGATATACCTTACTTTCAATTGTTGGAGGAGCTTCAGCTTTTGGCCGTGTTCTACCCGGATTGGTGGGCGACAAGCTGGGCCACTGCAATGTATTGGTCGTCATGATGATGATAACAATCGTCTTCATGAGCGCTTTGTTTGTGCCCTTTGGCGACAGAAGTGTCGTCCTTTATGTTTTCAGTGGACTATGGGGATTCTGCTCTGGAGGGTTCTTGTCTATAACACCAGGTAAGAACCAGTAACGTTATTAGAAGCCAGTAAGACCAGGCCAACTGACTGTGTACAGTATGCGTCGGAAAGACTTGCGATGCAAAAGATTACGGCCGATACTATGGTACGACCTCCCAATTTATTGAGAATGACCTGACTGACAAAACAACAGGGACACTAAACTTCTTCATTAGCTTCTCTCTACTGGTCTCTATCCCTGCAAGTGGTAGTATGGCTCAGCAAATGGGTACTCAGGCACTGAGCGGACTTCTTACCGGTATCCTTGCGTTGGCGTTATGTTGTCTGATCGCCGCAAGAGCCTTTCTCATTGGCGAGTGGTTTGCAATTAAGACCAAGATTTGAGTCTGTTACTTCTTGGGAAAGACATGTAAGAAAAATGAGTAACGGCGTGACAACCGAAAAGGTGGTGTGAAGTGATGGAAGCTCCGTTGCTGATTAACATTAAGTTTATGAAAGTCATGACCTGGCGTGCCGATGTCTGTGGTTTCCTAAGACATCTACGGAGTAGGGCGGTTGCATATTGGGGGGGTCTTATTTCAGCTATTTAACTAGTACTCTCTTATAAGCTTTAGTCAAAACAAGTATTCCTATACTAAAATTACCAGGGATAATAGAATTATTGAACCATATGTAAATAAAGGACGAGGGAGGAAACGCTGGTTGCCAGAGGACTCTGTGGATGTAGGATCGGCGGCTGTCTTTGTGACGGTATGAGGCTGGGTATTACCAGAAGGTAGCTCTGGTAATGTAGTTTGGGTAGCTTCAGCAACCACTGACTATAAATGTTGTTAATATCTGTTTAGCCAACAATCCGTCAAGCAGGTTCTACTTACAAGGCCAGTTCCTATAACCGATTGAAAGTTATCGCATTCCGAGTACCCCGGAACGTTAGACAACGCTACCTCAGTGACCAAGCAGGACGCGTTTCCTATATACAGACACGAATATTCTTGGCGAAGAAGTCGCGGCTGGCAGGTACATGAGCTCATGCGCGAGGTGTCTAAATCATACATGTATGTCGTACAATCATCCAGTAGGTTCTCAGCAGTCAGACATGCGCTTTTTACTTCTTGGCACAGCTGGTCTGGATGATCCGTGAAAGCGCTTGCTGCCGGTGTAGTTGGTATGAACGTAACATAGCTTCCACAAAGGCTGTCCCATAGCTCGATCCCTCGGTCAAATGTGCTATCCAGCTCATTACCAAGATAGCAAAGCTGCAGCTCGTATTCGCATCTATCAGGTATCAGAAAGTAGGTGACACGATTATAAGCTATATCGCAGGATGCAACGGTTCATATGGAAAATGTTTGAACGCTCACTTGAATATTGAATCAAGGTAATCCTGGTTGCAGAGACATTCTTGTCTTCCGGGACGGTCTAGTACTGTAGAGCAGACGTTGCCGGAATTGAGGAATGCGTTGCAAGCCGGAAAGGCAGTCACGTCGGAGCCTTTCTCACATGACCAAGACGTTGAAATTGTTTCAGCAACGCAGAATTGCAGGAAACAGAGGACGAAAAAGATAGAGTTCATTCTCAACATGGGCTTGGGTAGTGGTAGTTGGAACGATGCTTAGGTGAAGCGAAATGAGGAGTGTTGTTGTTATCTATGGAAAGTTGCATGTGCAGAGCAAAGAATGAGAATAATAAAAGAGTTGGAGTTGGAGAAACAGGGTAGAGTCGGCTCATCAGAGCATCAAACACACAGGATGGCCAATAAAATACTGATTGGTAAAGCCCATCACCGTTGCACTTTTAAGCCACACCACGAACAAGCAGATGAAACATGAGACCTCTTGTCTTTCTTCATCAACGTTGATTCGATCACGTCCATGCTGATAAGGCAAGCTGAGAGACTTTTAAGCCACTATCACAGTGACAACCATCACAGTGTAAATCAGCAGGAAACAGGATTGGACAATCGCCATACTAGCCTTCAGCCTCACCAATATTTCTAGCCTTTTTGGAAAGGCTTATCAACTGGAAGGTCAGCTGGACAGAAGGCGATGTAACATTTCAGGTTTGCAATTGCACATTTCAATTGCATACTTGTAAACAGGTTTTAATTTAAGTATCCGTGGTAATTAGTGGGGGGTTATCTCCAGGACCAAATTTTTTATTGTGATGGGTAGTGTTTTTTACAATTATCGGTCCAAATGCCTTCTTTTGCTCTCAAGCTTAATTTCTTCAAAACTTGGTGGGATTCCATCTTTCGGTTTCTACAAGGTAAGTCTTAGTTACGCGTGTTTGGGCCTGCTTCACAGCGACCGGGAGACAAACAATGTCGGTTCTTTTCTAATATCAAGCAATCAGCCTCTTTAGCTAGAATAAAATCATTCTTCTCATCCACCTCCAATAAAATCAAACAAAAATGGAAAGACTACCGACAAAGAGTCCCTCCCAGAAGGCCACCACTGCTTCTTACCACTTGGGGCATGGCCCTGCAGCTGTTATGTCAAATTACTATTATCATCACTATCAGCAGTCTCTGGCACATATCAGACACCCACAACGGAATTGCCAGGGTAGGAGATGATCGAGATCCGTCATTCGACTCGAAAGGTTTTCATCCGCCTGAGATCCTGAGTTCTTCTATTGTGTGGGCTACGATCCCCGCTTGGATTATGTCTGCGTACTCGTCGCTTTGGTCTGCGATGCTTGATGCTCTGAAGAAAGTGCAGCCGCTGTTGGAACTCGAGAAGTCAAATCAGAAATCAGATCGATGGGTTGAAGGATGGAAGAACATTTGGAAATGGTTCTTACAAAGACTGTCACCGTTAAGAAAGTCATCTGCTCCCACAGCTCAACCGTCGCTGGGCGCAGTTTTAAATCATTCCACAGTGGACCGAACCCTTCTACTTGACTACGGAGAGTGGCCCGTAATCAACGGACTTAGGGCCATAAGTAAAGGGCATGTTATTCTGGGTATCTGCCTCATTTTACGCGCAGCACTTTGGACAGCGGGTGGTTTAACTGCTGCCATGTTCGCAGTTGTCCTGGTACCCGCAGAATCACAGGTATCTCTTCGCAGCACACACTACTTTGACGAGTATCTCAGATGGGCATCAGGTGTAGGCAGCAGCAACTCTTCCCTTACACCAGCTCTTGATCTCGTCAGCGCGACTGTGCTAAGAGACGGGGAGGACTATCCTTGGACTACGGACACGCACTCCTTCTTACCGTACCTTCCTGTTTCATGGGATGGTCCCGGTAACTATAGCTTTGATACCGAGGCATACTCGGCGACTGTTCAGTGTAACGTCACCACCGAAGAGGACCTGGCCCGAGTGGGCGGCATTCGATCAGTTGTGGAAGAAGAAGACGAGCTCAACTCTTCTCAGTTGCAATTGGGCTTCAAGTCTGGGGGCTGCAACGTCGAAAAGTCGTACCTGGTAACGAACAATACTATACTGTATGCGAGGACATGGCAAGTTGACTGTAATCTGGGTAACGGTCGAGCCAAGCTTGGCATGCTTTCAGGTGTCTACAACAGTACAGCGAAGTTCCGACTGTCTAACCTGAGCGTTATCACATGTCAACCTCTGATATATAAATCTCGTGTGACTCTGAACATGGCATTTACAAACAATACGAGAGCGCCGAAGATAATTAGCGTTTCTGAACGGAACAAACAGCAGATATGGCCATTCTTTATTTCCGCGTGGTTGCGCAATATCCCTCTTTACTCGGTTTTCGATCCGACCGTCTACAACGACATGGATACTTTTTCACGTCTCGTGATTGGCCACGCATCCGGCAGGCCAATTCTTAACGACCTGCCAGAAAAGGATCGAATATCCACATCCTTTGAAAAAGTCTTTGCGGCATTATTCTCCAACTTTGTGACGCTTCAAGCATACTCCAGCGCGCCTACAAAGAAGATTACTGGTACTGTATCACGATTGGAACGCCGGCTATTTGTTGTATGGACCGCTTCAGCTGCAATAGTCGCCATTATTGTTGCGACTCTCGTTACTACTATTATGCTGGCCGCTCACTTGTACCGCCAGCGTCATATTCTTGAACGTTATCTTGATCTTATGCTGGGTACCGCGCTATTACTGCGTGACGCCAGTAGTAGTGGGCTTGAGACCTATCTTGAGGAGCTGATAAGCAGGGCCGGGGGAAAGGGAGGAGGATTGGAAAACATTAACATAGTGGAGTTTGCTAAACACGAGTCGGATCTGAGGAACAGGCATGTATTGGTAGATGGGACACCCAGAAAGCTTAAGGTTCAATAGTTAGACAGTAATTATACCTACTTGGTATTATGGATAAACTTGAATGGAGGTTTTACTACCGCTTACTATTTGAGCATTCTTTAATAGTCAGTTTTTATGGTTGCCGACTGAAGGGCTGGTAGGGATATTACTTTGCAGTAGTTATAGTTCTCCTGCCTCCCGCACTGGAAGTAGTTCCACTTTGTAGTCAAGCGTGACACATCGCACTCAAAAGTAGGTCTATATTTATATATCTAAGCAATACTCAAGGAAGTAAATAACGAAGATCGACCATCTAGTACCCTCATCCCTATGGTATAGGATATCTATCAATTTCCATTGTATCACTTGGCCCATAAGTCAGAGGGCACCATGGCTGCCCTTACTTTAATTCGAAGGTGGTGTGCTCTTCAAAGTAACAGGGACCTTGTCGTCTGACGCGGTTGCATTCCATCCAATAGTATAGATATCTTTGTCATCGGTTTTCGAAGCATACCAAAGAGATGTAAAGCCCGTGTCCGACTGAAGCATGACAAAAGAGCCATACAGCAAGAAGTTACTAACGTAACCATCGGAGGTGCTGTTAGTAAGCTTTACAGTATGGGACGACGACGAAGGCCCGGGCACGGCGAAGGTGTAGTTGGACCAGGTTGCATTGTGTCCACTGGTTTCGTCCGTTTTGTTGGGGGAACCAAGCCACTTGTCAGTTCCTACAGAAACTTTCCAATGTTAGTGACATGGACGCCAAGTCTGTACCTATGTAGAAATGACTCACATCGGATTGGTGCAGCCTCGGAGTTGTTGGAGTGAGTGAAGTTGCCGATAAAAACCTCATCTGATATCATATTAGCTTCGCATTTTGATCACCTGCATGAAGTTCAACCTGCCTCCAGTAGAAAAGAGAGGGAGACCTCCAATACCGGGCCCGTAAGCATAAAGAGAAAAGGGCCCCGTGGTTTTGGCTGCCGATGCAACAGCCACCAAAGTTGGGATTGCAAGTGCGAGATTGAAAGAAACCATGGTTACGAGACTTGAAGTTTGTCTTGGTAAACAGATGTGATAAAAGATAGTAAGGTAAGAGGTGGATATAAGTATTGTTGGGTGGGTCATGTGCTCTCAATTAATTGACTGCGACTGCCCCCTCGGCTGAAGCGGCTCCATTTGTCTTCCGGGAGCTTGTGATCTTCGGCATGAAAGCTTATCTGACGACGGACACGAATTTTCCTCCCACATCTCTTCAGACTCGGTAGTTCCGGACTCTACAGGGTTCCGTCGGGTAGATCAATTGCAGTGTGGGGGGACTCGTGGCCCCAGCACGGGCTTTTAATGCGCTTTGATAACATAGTTACGTTGACTGATAGGTCATATAGCTTACGTAGCTTCGTTTGAGGGCGGTGGATATCTCGGGATGTGGCTTACCCATGGTCAAATCCGCCTTAAAAGATCCGTTTTAAGAAACATCCTAGTAATTAGAACGGGTAGTACCGCCCACAAGGGTAGTTTCAATAAAACTCCGTATAGATCGGCGGTGTCCTGCTTTAGCAGAATGTTGCGATTGTTAACAATTTCTGCTCTATACCACTTACATAGCCTCAAAGTTAATATCTGAAGGCTGACCTATAGCTGGTATACTACCGTTTACGAAACTACCCCTGTGGGCTGTGTTATATTTAGTGATATCGGAAGCACGGAGTAGTCATTCACCTGACGAAACTCATATGATCTGCTGCTTTTGGTAAGATAGTGATTCAGCTGACGACAACCTATGTGATATGTTACTTCCGGTGTGATCGCATGGCCTTCGCACCGAGTACGACAAGCCCTGGAGATCAACGTAGCAGATACGACTTGATACAACTCGCATGTAAAGGTTATGTTCATGGTTAAAATTGTAGATAAAGTAGCAGACTTTCGCTTCAAATCAATTCCAGTCTGCAAGCTCTCTCTACCTCTTCATTCACTTCCATCTACTCATCACTTTGAACAGAATTGTACCTTTGCCCCCAATGAAGCTCTCGACCTTTCTCGCAGCTAGCTCAGCTGTGCTTCGAGGCGTCGATGCCTTCGTCCCCTCCCTTCACCTTGACCGACGATCAACTTGTGCTGGTAACACAGCCTCGAGTAGGTCGGAATGGTGTGACTACTCCGTTGACACTGATTATACCACTGAAGTTGTTGATACGGGAGTTACACGAGAGTATTGGCTTGAGTTGACGGATGTCACTGTCGCTCCAGATGGTGTCTCACGCTCTGCCATGGCGGTCAATGGAACCATCCCCGGACCAACTCTCTTCGCAGACTGGGGTGACACAGTCACTGTTCATGTCACCAACTCACTTACCACATCGTTGAACGGCACCAGCATGCATTGGCATGGCATCCGTCAGAACTACACCAACCAAAACGACGGCGTCTCATCCATCACCCAGTGTCCTCTTGCTGTTGACGAAACAGTCACCTACACCTGGAAGGCTACCCAGTATGGCTCAACTTGGTATCATTCCCACTGGGCTCTTCAAGCCTGGCAAGGTATCTTTGGTGGTATTATCATCAACGGTCCTGCCACTGCAGACTACGACGAAGATCTCGGCATGCTGTTCCTCAATGACTGGGATCATCAAACTGTAGATGAGCTATACTCTTCAGCCGAGACGAACGGCCCTCCCACGTTGGACAACGGACTCATCAACGGAACAAATGTCTACGGTGACGATGACAGCTCGTCTCAGACTGGCACTCGATTCAATGTCTCATTCACATCTGGTACCTCATACCGCATGAGACTTGTCGATGCCTCTGTAGACACTCACTGGAAGTTCTCCATTGACAACCATACCTTGACTGTTATTGCGGCAGATCTTGTGCCAATTACACCATATGAAACTACAGTTTTGGATATTGGAATGGGTAAGTCCATTTATTATCCAAACTCAATAGAATAAGCTGACTCTTTAGGCCAACGCTACGATATCATTGTGACCGCAAACCAAGCCGACGTCGCTGATAACTTCTGGATGCGTGCCATTCCGCAGGCTGCCTGCTCCGATAACGACTCATCTGATAACATCAAGGGCATTGTCTACTACGGCGACAGTCCTGGCACACCATCCACAACTGCCTATGACTATACTGACAGCTGCGATGATGAGACGGATAACATCGTACCATACATATCCAAGTCAGTGGAAGACGCTGATTGGGATGACCTCGAAACAGCTACGGTGGGTAAGAACACAGCTGGCCTGTTCAAATGGATGCTCAACAGCACAAGTATGCTGGTGGATTGGGCTGATCCTACACTTGCGCAAGTCCTCAATGGTTCAACAGATTATGAGACCGATGATGCTGTCATTGAACTCAGCGAGGCTAACAAGTGGGTTTACTTTGTGGTTGAGACAACTCTCCCAGTGCCACACCCTATCCATCTGCACGGTCACGACTTCTTCATTCTTGCCCAGGATACTGGTACCTACTCATCTTCCGTAACATTGAATACTTCCAACCCCCCTCGTCGCGACACGGCCATGCTGCCTGCGAATGGATATCTAGTGATGGCTTGGGAGACGGACAATCCTGGTGTATGGCTTTGCCATTGCCACATCGGTAGGTCCCAATTTTAAACAAAGCGTGTTTTGTACTGTTTACTGACCAAATCTTTCCAGGGTGGCATACTTCGGAAGGCTTCGCTCTGCAATTCGTTGAGCGAGCGGATGAGATTGCTGGTATCTCAGAATCGAGCTACGTCTCAGACGTGTGTGATAGTTGGGATACATTCCAGGGAGTGAGCTCCATCGAACAAGAGGATTCCGGCGTTTAGGTTAAGGGCTTAGTTCACTTGGTCAAATATGGTATAGATGGGTGTTAGAAAGTGATAATATACTATACCAAGTGATTTATACTACTCCGAATACAAGTTATGAGCTGAATGTTCTATAAACCTCCCGAAGTAAATATTTGAGCGGATTCTTTAAGCTACAGCAGTCCATATAGTGATAAGTTCACGGGACTCATGAGCTAGAAGGGACAAAGCATTCAGACTTCGAAGACGGCCCAGCATATGCATAATCACTGCAGATCAATATTTATCCTTTTGTGCCGTGAGTAAATTAATAATCGAACCGAATTTATCTTCCATGAAATTCCAACAATAATTAATCGCCTTATAGCCAGTTGACATAGACAAGCCAAAATGTGTTTAATCCTGCGCTACGTCATCAGATAACACGACTCATTGCTAAGAAACGTGCTGTGGCTCTCAATATTACCGACAGCGCCATTAATTACATGAACCATGGATTTGCCAGGGTTTTTCTTGTGTGTTGTAACAGATGCAGAGTCGACGGTGCTGTTCTGACCGAACGCTAAGGACGTTCACATTGTGTGGCCAGAGTGAAAGTTGCAGCTTGGTACAATCCATGTCGCAGATCTTTCCCTAAATGACACACATCCGAACCCCTGGATTTTTGGCAGTGGAGTATCTCCCTGTTTTCCCCAGTTAAGTCACCTCATCAATTGGTCACTGGCTAAAACGTGGCTGCAGGCAGCGGGAAGCCCCCTTGAGCTGCCCAATGCCTTGCAAGATTGAGAAAATCAAGCTACGGACGATCCACACTATCCCTACACAGATTCAGGGGTTCAGGATATGCCGTGCCGTTCCATGTCGTATTTTCCACAAGCCCAACACGTATGCAGCCGGCAGTGCAGGTCTCAGCCTCAATTTTCACCTCGGCTGGTACTTACTCTTCTGCCAATCAATGGATGAATTGCATTCGACTGTGCATCTGTGATCTGCCACTTGAGACATATTGAATCTATGCTCATCATCATGTTGTAATAACGATCGCCAGTATTGAAAGAAATTGGCTTGGGAACAGAGGCGCGCTGGGGACTGGTCCGCAGGTTAATATTGGCTGGGCTATCCCGGTGGGTCATTAACCAGCGTAGACATGACAATCCACGATATGATATTATCATCCCAGTGATGGTAACTCTGGCCGCTCCGGCTCTCTTTCCGTAGGCTACGATACTGGATAGTGTTATTTATTTAATAGTGAGGTGGGTGGTAATTGGGGTTAGCATGATATTGTAGTTTGCACGATAAGTGAATCTAACACTAACAATTCCTTTCTTAAGTTGCCGATGTTGAAAAACCACAATGTATTACGTTACAAAAACATCTACCAGAAATGGCAACTGCTAAGACAAACTACTACAATACTATGTCTGCTCATACCTAGTTATGACTTGAGCTTTTTAGGCCTGTTCTTAGTAATACGTTGTGTATAGGGTATGCGTAAAATAAAGTGTGATTCTGGTATGTTGAAATTGTCTAGTATTAAACTACTAATAATAGTGCATTCGTTTAAATACTACGAAGGTAGGCAAAGTCTGTCCTTGTTCTCATATCACCCATTTGTGTCCATTCAACCCTTTCCTAATACTTTTTCAAGTCGACTTGGAACTATTCAAGGCTTATCAGCAATGCTTTTGAGAGTCTGTTAGATTGTTTAGCCATTCTTACCTAGCTTAGCACTCAACCCAGTACCAGTTCTCGCCCTGATTCTCGCACTTCTCCTTGAACTTCTGGATGTTGTCGCCGAAGGGGTCACAGTAGTCCTCGGCCCAGTGAGAACACCGGCCGTTACAGATCTCCATGGTGACCTTGTACGTGTCTTGAATAGACTTGTCTGGATTCTTACACCTGTAAGAGTTGTCACCGCAGGCATAAACGGCAGGAACGGCGAGAAGAGGAGCCTTGAGGAAATGCATGATGAACGAAGTATGACTTTGAGGTGGTTTCCGTGATAGAGGTTGCTGTTATGCCAGGGATGATGATTTTTATGTGATGGTGCAATAAAAGATCCTTTTTCTACGTGGTCTGTTGGGCAGTTTATACAGACTGGTAGGACAATCTCCTTCCGTACTTACGTCATGACTAGAAGTTACTATTCGCCGTAAAAGTTGTTTTATCTCGCGTCATGCTCGACCAGACCGCCTCGGTAGTTAGAGAGATTGCTTTGGTTTTGGAATCCCAGACCTCGGTTTCTAATGACCTCATTCAGCTCAATAATGTTTTTTCTTGGGTATCATATGAACGAATAGATGCAGGGCGGGATTTTGCGGGTTTCAGCCTGCAGATCATGTCAAGAAGGCCTCAGACATTGATGAAGTGAACGAGTAGATGTAGGCGGGTTCCGCAGGTTTCAGCCTGTAGATCGAATTAAAAAAGCCACAGAAATTAAAGACCTCTGCAACCCTAAAAGCCTGCTCCGAATAACGATAGCAGTTGAGGAGGGACCTCGTGACACCAATGATGGACAACAATTGACATTGGAGGCTATGAACCAAGATCGAAAAAAGGCAGATAGGATAGTAATGATACTTTCTGATGGATTAAAACAATGATTCCATAAAGGCTATCTAACTAATTTGCGGCCTAAGTCATCCCTGTTCAGCCTTTTTCCGCCATGCGCCTCTGAGGCGGATCGGATGTGACTCAGGAAGGGGCCTTTCAAAACCTGGATGACTGATCCTTGCTTGAGCTAGCTTTCGATAGATCTGCATATCGGTGGACTTCGGGTCTCGGTCACGGCAATCATTGTCTGGTACTCGCTGTACCCTACGATGTCTGCGTGCGCCTCGTGAGCGAAATGGGTGGGCTGCGCGAGATGAGGGATAAGATCGAGATCCTGGGCCTCAAGGGTAGCTACTACGGAGATAATATCCGCCCTTTGGAATGCTCTGAGCCCAGTATCTTACATGAGAAGGTGGGGCGGTACCAGCGCAGAGGATCTTGGGTTGACTTTCCTGGCCTCCGGATGAGAACTAACCGGTAGGTCATTGACAACCCCGGGTCGTCGGATGAACATCTCGGTTGAAGCCGAGACTTTCCTAAGCTGAGCGACGTTTCTTATATGGCGGCCAGAAAGAAACAAGCCACCCATGTAGCATACAAGATGCGCTTTTGACAAGTACTTCTGAATCGTCAGGGGCATTAGTTTGAGGCTGCACTTCTTCTGGTCTTTCAGTAATTTTTGATGAGGTTTTCACTGGTCTCTCCACACATGACAGACTCACTTCAACCTCTTTCATCGACAATCTTGCGGAAATCTCGGTCCTCACAAATGTACTAACTCGAGGATTGCTTCTTACATTCGCTACCCTGGCCTCAGAGTCTGTGTTGGACGCCTTCTCAAGCAACCAATAAGGCGATATCCTTCTTTATGCACACAGCCATACAGTCAATGGGGCCGAGTGCCAGGTTACTCCTGGATCACTATGGGAGCTTCAGAAAATGGAACAGAGAGGTGAGTGGAGCTGGGCGGAAGAGGCATCCATCATTGGTTACAGTAGCATAACGGAGAGGAAGACTGGCATGCCGGACTAGCCTGGTCTGTATGGTCACTGGGCTTCCTTGAGGAGTTGCCGAAAAGGGCTGAATACGCCACTGGTGTTTCGGCTCTCGGAAGTGTGCTGACCATGAGTGTGCGAGGGGGTAACGGCGTAGGGTACAGCAATAACGCTGCTATGAGACCCAATGACAGCTTTGAGAGAGTTTTGACGCGTCTTCTACTGTACAATCTCGTGTACTTGGGAATTCCCCACATATCATGAAAAGGCAAGAAAACAGATAGAGCTATAATCAGGAAATTGGCTGGCATGATAGCTATCGCTGCAAACAACCGGTAGCCGAACATGTCCCGTACTAGTGAAGTCGACATATTTGAAAGTGCAATTAGAGAATGAGGTGTAGATATTAATAGGTAAATAGTAATATATTAGAATAATAGAATACTAAACAGTCTACATTTTAAGAGAGAGAAATAACGGCTCACAGGAGTAAAAGCAGTCATTCAGTTATCAACCGTAAAGCCTTATCAAACGCATTATACCCAGAAACGTAATGTAACGTAATAAACAAACCGAAGAGCTCTCAGACTATTATCTTTGTAGTGGATGGTTTCTTAATTCAATTAGTCTGTAGACTTGCGTCTGTTTATATACTTATTAGATTAACCATTTTTTACCTTTTAGAAAGAGCGGATTGCTTTCTATACCGTTAACTTGGATTATAAAATATAATTACACCTATTGAAGACAAATACACTAACAAGGAAGAATCAGTCTACAATATATACTCACAGTTCAGTTTTCTTTATAAGTAGCTCAGTTTGCACCCTTACTGAACAATTTAACCTCTCCTTATTGTTGTAGCATTGTAGGTAGACCCGAAAACTACCTAAGATCTTATCTCAGAGCCGACAATTCCGATAGTGTCGGCCACCCCACAACCGATCACCTCCCCCTAACCGACCACTTTTTCACACCGCTAAAAAAAGACCACAAAAACCAATATCACGATGTAACTTAACTATAATTACAAATCCACACTCTCCTATTGGAGAGATCAGTGCCTGAATATTACAGGATTTCATAGTCAATTATAATGACTTGGCTATAATTTTCGTTAAAGGGATACGAGGTGGTCGGTTATGGGGTGATCGACGTTACGGCATTGCTTTATTCGCCTCAACCTTATTCCTCTAATACCTACATGTCTGGCACTATTAGCTTGAAGATTCCGAGAAATCTACACTATTGCGGTTAAGCGTTACTAGTGGGTAATTACCCCGCTTCGACTTCTCCAAAGGCTCACGCCTATAAAAAGGCAGTTTTATGCAAGAAGGAAGAGTCGAGAATCAATTGTCATTCACCCTAAGCCTATCCATCTTGTAGTGTCCTATCAGATATCTTATAGGACTTTACAGCGACCATATTACCCTTTTCAGCAGTCGGAAATCAGGCGAATAACACTACGGTACAGTACACCTGAGCGACTTTTCACGACTACATCGACCTTACAGTACAGCCATGTCCGACGTCAAGCCTACCATAGTCTTTGCCCCAGGGGCCTGGCATACCGCCGACTGCTTCGACACTGTACGAAGTGCTCTCCACGCCCGCGACTGGCCCACCGAAACTGTTGACTACCCATCTGTCGGCGCTGAACCACCCTCGAAAGGCGTTGCTGATGATGTGGCGGTTCTTCGCGCGACTCTGGAGCGTCTTGCTGAAGCAGGCAAAAAGATCGTGCTTGTTATGCACTCGTACGGAGGCCTGGTTGGCGCCAATTCGGTCGAAGGTTTGGGCTTCAAGCAGCGCTCGCAAGAGGGCAAGGAAGGCGGTGTGATCATCCTGGTGTATCTCTCGGCTTTTGTGATTCCACTTGGAAAAAGCGCTTTGGATCTACTTGGGGGTAACTACCTGCCATGGATGAGAGTCGAGGTGAGTTTCGTGATGGGAGCGAATAAAGGGTTGAGTCCCGAGACTTATTGTCATTACTAACAATTCATCACTGTAGGGGGACTATGTCTATGCCGATACACCTGAAAGCGTCTTTTATCACGATATGGAACCGAAAGACCAGGAGAAAGCGATAGCAAAGTTGAAGCACCAGTCACGTCGTGTCTATATCGATGTGGCCACATACGAACCTTGGCACGACATCGAGTGTTTCTATTTCTTCTGCGACGATGATCAGGCTATACCGTTGCCTGTGCAACAAGGCATGGCCGCCCAACTAGGCCCGGATGCAGCAAGTTTTCATTCTCAGGCTTCTCACTCCCCGTTCCTATCTCGAACTCACGAGGCAGTGGAAGGCCTCGAGTATGCAGCCAAAGTTGGTCTGGAAAAGACATCTACCTCCTGAGTGCATTTGAGAAAAACGATAGCGTTGGAAAGATGCCCGGCCATCGCCATCTCAGATAGTCATCGCAAGCTTACAATCTATACTATACACTAAAACACCGTCTGACCTATCCATCATTCTTGCATTGGCTTTTACTGAATCGTGATTTGTTGAACGATCCGCTCGTAAAAAAATACAATCCTTAATGATCTGTGCTGTCATCTAGAGCATCGCCAATCCACAGCATCTTATTATACGGAATCTCCAGGTCACCAGCATACCTCAGCAGCGTGCTCAGTGCCCCCAGGAACGTGATGACATCCTCGTCGTTCCGATCACGACACTCGTTGTGTGCTGTCGTGACCCAACCACGCAAAAGGTACTGCGCCGTTGATAGCGACGATTACCTAGTGTCCCCGACACCGTTCAGCATACCATCATAAAAACACCAGATGAGAAGCACTTACTTTGCGAAGTCGTGCATCGAAATCTCCATAGTTTGCCAGGGCACTCGAAGCTGCACTCATGCTCTTTGTTGTCATCCAAAGATTGATCCAGTCACCCGTGTTTGACTGTCGCCAAAGCTGTTCGGTTCTCAGCACTTCAAACGTTCTGCCTTGAGTTGGATTGAGACGAGGTTGACTTACAGCAGTCTTGACCAGGTTGATACCTCCCTGTACAATAGTCGCGTGTTGCGGGTTAAGAGTGTTAAAGTGCCCGCCTCAATAATATGTTCATCTTAGCATCAGACGTTAGTTCCTCTCTTCTAGGCACGAGACCAGTCGCATCTTCAAAGGTGCTTACAATGAACGGAAATTATTAGTTGGCATCTTGCTCCATCAGCGAGGTCAGGAATGGAACAGGACTAGCGAGCCAAAACCTTACCAATTGCCCTCGAGTATTTCACGTCAGGGACATCCTGTAACACGGCCAAGACCATGATACCCTTGATGCATTGCTGGCGTGTAAACTCTCATTAATCTTGAACGTATCCTCGTCGTCAAATGCAACCCATTGATTGCCGTCGAGTTTTACAATCTTAGGCCCTGATCCAATCGATACGTACGTACACACTTCGTAACAAGAAGCGAGTTACTTGCCAAATTAGGCCACTTTTAGTAACGAATTAAACGGATTGAAAAAGTTCGATACGGGCTGTAAGTTGTGTAAGCTTGTCTGATATATCACTTTTGCCGTAATCTAATTAGGTAAGGTTACTAAGGAAAAAACCGAATTTATATATATTTTATACCGTATTCTTCGATATAGGAAGCATAAACGTACGGCTTTTTATAAACGTATAAAATAAGATAGCCTGCCCCCCCCCCTAACCCACCTACCCTAGAGACTATAAGGTAGTCAACTTAGCCCGCCAAGCCCGCTAGCTTGTACAATAGGTACATCCGTCAATTATGTAGCTGCCGGATATGCCTGTACGCCGTATCGAGTGTGCCGTACGTATCGATTGGATCAAGGCCTTAACAGCCTGTTCCTTGTCAAGAGTTGGTATACGGCCTGTCTTTTTCAAGACGTTAACAATCTCTAATAAATAATAAACCAGGACACTAATCTCATTGTTGCACAGGTGACAAGGGGCACCAGACTTGTGGTGTGTTATGTGTGGAGGAGCTAGTTAGGGCTACGGAAGGGTCAGGCTAAGAGAAGGGGTGGGGGCAGCCTTAGGCACCCTAGCTCCATATCCATGACTGGGAAGTATGACGCGGACAAAAACAGCTCAAATTGTTAGTTTCCACAACACTCTTTGATTCCCTTCCTAATTAGGTATCTACCACAACTGACATCATGATAAACAAGCGACAAAGAGGCAATCCGATAGAGGGTCAAGGGGTCAAACCCCGTGGGTTCCGCAGGGACCGTGACTGCTTTAATTGCAGAGCCGAGCCCAAAGGAGTTAAATGTGATTTGAACCGTCCCTTTTGCGGGCCTTGTCTGGCCGCAGACGTCCAATGCCGAGGATATCCTAATCGCATCCGGTGGGCTCAGGACCGAGGCACGAATGGATCTGAGTTAACGTCTCTCTCTCTCCCACTCGTCGACACGGGCGAAAAATGTAGCGGCATTCTCAAGGCAGGCGAGGAAGACGACGCGGACGTCAACTGGACAACTCACTACGACAAGTATCTCGACTTTATTACAACCAAGTTTGCACTAGCCCGAGCTTCGCTGGGGCAATGCAAGGAGTCTAAGGACACCCTGGCCGACGTTTGGCAACTCGTGTGGCACCGGACTTCTATTTCTGGTCAACTGCAGCCTGGCGATAACCTGGATGCCGAATCACTAGCCATGCAAAGCGCGGCCCTTCGCGGGCTAAACGCGGCGCTCAAGAAGGATGAAATTACTGCCATATTCGGCATCGTTACGTTTGCTTTCTTGGACGTTTACGAGGCGCCCTTCGGTGACTGGAAAAGGCATCTTTTAGGTGCCAGAGCGTTGCTAGATCTCCACTGCACAGACCGGACCGGACTTCAGGGTCTCTACCAGCGGGTTCCCGGCCTCCGTCAAGCCGTGTCGTTGTTGATGTGGTATGATGTAATGGGGGCTTTTCTCACCATGAATGACCTCCTCATTTTTGAGGAATGGCACCGTGTCGACATGGACGAGAACCTCTTCCAACTCGTGCATTGCCCGAGAAGTGCTTTTGAGCTTGCCATTCTTGTCATGCAAGCTCGAGCAGTAGGGCAGAAAGGTCACAGTCTACATCTTCAGATCACGAAGCAGCTTCTTCTTTGCCAGAACACCGATCATCAAACCAGGCCCGCTCCTCTGCTCCAAGATGCTTGGAGGTATGGCATCGTCATGGCGGCAATCAATCTCGACAGATCCAGTGACAACCAGGAGCTCGACGAAACAATGTGTCTATTGGCTGAGAGGATCTGCCAAGCCGTCAAGGCCACACCTCCAAATTCGGGGCGTTATCGCCACCTGGCTGGCCCCATCATGCTCCTCGGTGCCAACTCTCGGCTCCCCAGATGTGCCGAAGTTGTCGACAGCTATTGGATGACATGTTCCTCGCTTCGCCCACCTATCTATCCGAAAGGATTCCAGCCAGGAAAACATTGGAGCACCATGTGGGGTGAAGATAACGGGGGATGAGATGAGGTGAGATGTGGCAAGACTATGTATCACAATTGTGCTATCTTTGGGTGCTTTCCAATTTAGGAGACCTATAAGAAAACTTAAGTAACTCGCTTGACCTGCAAACTCTTCCAACTATTTAAAAAAGTTGAACTTTTCCAGACCAACCATGAACCTGTTGCAAGACCGCCCTAGGTTCTCCATTACGTTTTTAATTCTGCAGCGAATGAGACCAGGTGCGACACTCTCGTCGACGCGCTTCAACTTTGTATTTACTTGCCAAGTCACTTCTTGCGGAAAGCAAGAAGAGTCTCACTCAATAAAGGCGGGGCTTTTCGGCATGGCGTTAAAGTACCCGAGGTCGTGTCCTAGGATCACCTTTGCTTTTGTCTTGTTCGCCAAGTGCTTTACGAGCTGAGTACTGCGGGACCATTTTGTGTAATCTCTGATCATTGCTCCACTCTGCGGTATGCCATCCTCATAATTTTCTCTGACATGGAATAGGTCGCTTGTTAACAAGATCGGACCCGACTTCTCCATCCGCACTTCCATCATAATGGAACCAGGCGTATGGCCAGGAACATGGTGAAGGGTAATTCCTGGCCATATTTCGAAGGTTTCGCGATGAAACGTGTTCCATTTAAGCTTTTCGGGGACGAGGTATTGAGAAATGTAGAAGGCGTTGTCGATTCTTGTCGCGCAAGCCCAGAAGGCGTACTTGAGCTCATCCTCGTGGCACCAAATCTCCACGTCTGTTTGTCTGTTAGTCTCCCGGTCATTTCGGGACATAAGGAGAAGAAAAGCACCGTACCTGTTCCCATGAAATGTTCGAGGCCGCCAGCATGATCAAAATGCAGATGGCTGAGAACAACAACCTTGACATCCTCAATAGTCCCGGCGCCGGTAGCCTTAATAGCAGCAGGTAGGTCGTGGACGCCCTTCTCCCAGATTCGCGGAACGCACTCGGACACGCTAGAGTGCCAATGCTTGACGGTATCCTCGCTACTACCGACGTCGAAGAGAATGAGTCCGACGTCGGGATGGTAAACGAGAGCGCTTATCATGACAGCATCTCGACGCTCGTGTTTGATAGGGCCAGAACCTGGCAAGGCAACGTTAGATCCTGCATATAGATCGGTCGTTTCGAGATCAAGATAGCCAAGATTCAGAAGCTGAGACCTGTTAGAGAGACGAGGAATGCCGGAGAGTTTGACATACCCATAATTTTGCTCCTGGAGGCAAGTTTCCGTTGCCTAGCAGACGTATGCTCATGTTGTTTTCTTCAAATGCAGATATGGAACGACCCGGAGAGCAACTTCGATGCACACCACGATATATTGTCACCAAGATATATTCCAAGGTCTGTTTCAATGGTCCAAGGAGAAGAGGCTTTTCGTAGCAATAAGTGGAGGAATAGTCTGTTGAACATAAAAAAAGAAAAGAGAGCCATTAAAAGAGTGATAATATAATGAAGAAACTAAAGTGTCGTCACCACCAGCACAGGATGGTCTAGTTTCATCACGGTGTTGATGGTGATAATGATGATGCTTATTAATATTGTCTTTGCCAAAAAAGTCTTCCTAAAACCCCCCCGCTGTGGGCCTCTTGTAGGCTATTACGATCCTAGTCCCCTCCCACAACCGCAGTCCTATTTGGCTCGCGTGAGGAAAGCTATAGCGTCTACAACTCCACGTTATGCTTGGAAATCCATCAGTGAGGAAATCACAACCTGTTGGTCCATGTGGGGCAAGCTCAGGCGGACCAACTAAGCTTGCGTAGTTGGCCATAAAGAGGTGGAACGATTACAAAAACCCGGAATACAAGTATCGGCTTTGGCAGAAATAGATAGGGAACCTTGTTCGCGTAAGTACCTCTAATTGGTACAAAAGGTTTCATAGCTAGTTATTCGCCAATTGAAAATTGCTCTGCATTTTTGTAGCAAACTAATCCTGCTACTTCGTCGGCCTTAGGTATTCCTCCATGTGTGGCCCCACTGTTGGACCTACTTGTCTTGCTGGGGTATTTACTTGCCGCATTAGGAAAGTAATCAAAATAACAGCCTAGCACGAGGCTTGGGGCGTCCAACAAAGAATTCCGTCCACGGCCCAACTTAGAGATAACGTTAACACTACCCCACACGGAAAAGCTAAAAACAATTGACTGACAAAGGCGTCATCTTCAACTAGAGTTCTCCGTCGGCTTGAAAAGTCTGCGTGCATCCACCGTCGACTCAAGCATATAAGTCTCATTCGCAGACATAGCTGGTTACCGAAACAATAACTATTCAAGTTATTTCTTAACTAAGTAGTGCAAGTGAGTGTTGTTCCCCTTGGCTATCTCTTACTGACATGCTGACTTCTTTATTAAGGATTTGATATTGCCTCCGGTCAACTGCTAGCTCATCTGAACTTCTCATTGCCCATCAGCGATCTACAGCGATCGACGATGTCCGGTTTCAAGTATCATAACGAGGAAGGCGCGGGCCAAAATCTCAGCGACCTCTACCACTATTCTCAGGCCGTGGTCTTGGGCGAAACTATCAAATGCTCAGGACAGGGTGGCTGGGATAATACTGGGAAACTAGATGGAGATGATACGAAGGGTCAAATCGACCTTGCTTTCGATAATGTGGATCGTGTATTACAGGCGGCTGGCCTACGTGGATTGGAGGATGTGTACCTGGTCAGGTCCTATCACGTTGATCTGGGAGCTTCGTTCGACCTCTTCGTTGAACGGCTCAAGGAGCGGATTCCTAGCCATCGGCCTGCCTGGACGTGTATCGGGGTCTCGCGCCTAGCACTCCCTGAGATGCTAATCGAAATTGAGGTTGAGGCAAAATCACAAACCTCGATTAATTAAACCCTTCGATTTTCCCCTCCTGCATGAAAGCGAGCTTTGCATCTCAATCAGGGTCGGTTAGCGCATAAACAAGCTGCTAACACCCGTACACTAACTGTGAAGTCAGCATTAATAATGGTTGTTAAAACATGTGCCAAAATTAAGTGTCAAGGTATCTATCTCTTTCTCATCATTGAGGATGATGAAGCTTCTTATTACAAATAGGAATGCTGAACATCAGCTAGGTACATTTTTAGAGTGTTTCCCTTATCATTGGTTCCTTTCCGAATATAGTAATTAAAAGGGAGAAACATTCTCCATTCACTAGCTGCATTCTTCTCCACCCTGGCAGGGTTGGGGCAGAATGCCAAAGTGGCTTCTGGCCTTTCCAGTGCTCGTAAAGACTACAGGATATTGCATCATCCATCCCCTCATTTCATGGATTCTTCAGGCGGCATATGGCTTGTGGTCTTCTATACAATCCTTGAGGTGGGTGGCGTATCTGCTTGCATCACCCCACTTTGCCAAGGCAGTACAGAAATCGAATGTGCTGAGCGTTTGCGGTAGTGCAAGCCACGTTAGGTATGTCGCAAGTTAGTGTGCGGATGCAACATAAGTTACAGGCGGCATTAGCTGCGGCATAAGCGGCAACTTTGTGTACGGCAGTAGTGGTCGGCAGGTTCCTTAAGTTAGGTAGGTCAAACCTTCAGACATAGGATTTGTAAGCTTCTCCAAGTGTTGCCACTAGAAAATAATACTTAACCTCCTTCATAGCACGTTCCAGGTCGTTTCCTCATCACCCATCATCGTTGCTTGCTCATCACCATCACTTCATCACCAATCAACATTCCGTCAAGATGAGAGAAGCTGTTTATGACAAAAGTCTCCAGGTTGAGATTCGCGATGTTCCCAGGCCAAGCCCTGGCCCTGGCCAAGTCTTGATTCGAACTGTGGTATCGGGGACGAACCCAAAGGACTGGAAGTATCCTAGGTACTGGGCGGCACCTGGTACCCCAGCGATCAATCACGGCGATGACATCGCTGGCTTTGTCGAAGACGTTGGCGAAGGTGTTATCGGGTTTCGTCGTGGCGACCGAGTTGCTGCCTTCCATGAAATGGGTGCTCCTAACGGAAGCTTTGCGGAGTATTCTATCGCCTGGGCGAGGTCGACTTTTCAACTGCCAGAAAGAACCACTTTTGAAGGTTTGTAGTCTGAGACCTTTACTATCTTAGCCGCTTACTGATTATTTACAGAGGCTGCCACTATTCCTCTCCCTGCGATGACCGCAGCCTTGGGTCTCTTCCAGAAGCTCGGTCTTCCTCTCCCTTGGAAGCCCGCTACAGCCCCGCTGCCATTGATCGTCTACGGCGGCGCAGGTGCGGTGGGATCTTATGCTATTAAGCTCGCTAGGCTTTCCAACATCCATCCTATTGTTACTGTCGCTGGCAATGGTATCCCCTACGTCGAATCATTGCTTGAGAAGTCGAAAGGGGATGTCGTTGTCGATTATCGAAAGGGCAATGATCATGTCGTCGAGGAACTGCGCAAGGCTGCTGGCGCCGATGCCATTTATGCCTTTGATGCGGTATCTGAGAAAGGCAGCATCGGGAACCTGGGCAAAGTCCTAGCCGCGGGAGGCCGGATTGCAACAGTTCTAACCCCCGAAATGGCCAATGCTGCGAAAGAGGATGCTGGAAAAGCCGAGGTGCTGTTTACTCTGGTAGGGACTGTGCATGCTCCTTCAGGCGCGACGTTAGGCGATCGAGAGTTTGGAGCTGTCTTTTACCCCTTCCTTAGCCTGGGTCTCGCGGAGGGTTGGTTCAAGGGTCATCCGTTTGAGGTAATTGATACAGGGCTTGATGGGTTACAAAAGGCTCTGGGCTTATTGCAAGAGGGCAAACTTTCTGCAAAGAAGGTTGTCTTGAAAATTGCCGATATTTAGAGCATTGTCAGGGCCTAAGTGTAGTCATACTAATACAGTAACGCTATTCAAGCTGTATTTCTACTCCCTTCCTATATACATAAAGCAACTAAGCAATCCATCATTATTTACGGGTGAGGTCGATGAGCTTGCGATAAGAGCCTCTGGAAGAGCGGAGCGATAGAAGGTGCTGCTGAGGTTAGTAAAAGGGGTGATAACATACAGCTACGGGACAAGAGAACTTAAGCTAACAATCTATAATATACCCTAAAATATGGTCTAGACCTATTTATTATTCTTATATTGATTTATTACCATGTTAGGATTTATTAAACGAGTAAGTGGTATATCGGTAGTTAAATATCTCCATTAATTATAAAGTTAAGACTATTAGAAGTACAATTTAATAAGCATATACAAGGAATAGTATTTAGAGTAATATCGTACCAGATTCATATAATATTTAAAAATATATACTATTATCTTAAGTATTATTAACCTACGGCATCTCCAGGTCTTTAGCAGTAGTACCGAGCAATTCCGGGCAGCTTTAAGGGTGTGCTTAATCGATCGGGAGCGTAGACTGACATTGGAGGTTGATTAGGTCTGATGCTATTTGGAATGGAACTTAGAAGCATGGTAATCATTGATGTGATATCAGCTTTATAAATTAAGGACAACATTTTAGTAGAAGTGTTCTTAATTCCATCATCTGAATCTTCCCGCCCCGTCGTCGGCGTTGGGAATATGCGCTACCACCTTGCAAGGGCTTTTCAATCTGTGAAGGAATAGGTGAGGTAGGCCGGGTGACTCACAGAGTTCATCTCTGGGCGAATGGGTCGCAGTGCGAGATCTCATATCTGCCCCCCACCAAAATGGTGTAAAGGGATAGGAAACCGGGCACGAGGCTTTTTAGCTTTATTATCTTCAGGGGTCCAGCAATACCACTATGCTATCAAAGTATAAACAAAAGCCAGATGTAGGCGTTGTAATGACAAGTTCAATTGGATGAGACGGGCTCATGATACTCGCTATTGCTCGCCCATATGAGAACTAGCTGACCAGAATTCCATACCTGTAGCTAACCTAGTACCCAAGATATGTATGAACCCTAAGAACATACACGTATATTTACAACTTGTTACTCAAGAACATGTGCAATGTCTTCATCGTCCAACCTAAAGCTAAGCAAGTCTGGATAAATTAAAAGAATGGCTTTTAACATTTGCTCATCTCTTTTCTTCACCTGTTGCTCTGTACCACCAACGGCATGAGAGACAGAGGACGCACGTGGCATTAATGTGTTCCTCATGAATCGATCCGTGCGAAAAGCGCGGATTAGATTTCCAAGTTCAATTGGAGGCGGAGGTCCCAAATGACTCTCAAGAAGAATCTTAGCAGTCTCCTCTTGACCATTCAACTGTGCCCAGAACCATGCTGTGCCACTCCACTTGTCTTGCACGTGTGGCTGGACCCGACTGTCAGCAAGAAGAAACTTTAAAACATTGGTATGCTTTGACCACACGGCAGCATATGACGTGCCCTGGGTCCGCATCATGATCTTGTACAAGAAACATAGGAAGGTTTGGGTATCCCATCTTAATGGCAAAGAATAAAGGAGTCTCATTTCGGCAATCATGCACGTTGAGGTCCGCTTTACTGTCCATCAGTAGATCGATTGATGCTTTTGCGATTGATTCGTATCCACACCTGATAGCAGCGAAAATTGGCGTCCTGTTTCGCTCATCCCTTGCGTTAGCATCTGCTCCCCTGTTAAGTAGGAACTCAATCATAGACATATTGTCCGAGCTGGTGGCTCTGAACAACGGCGTCAGGCCATCAGGGTCTTGTTCGTTGATATCGAGTCCGTGACAAAGTAGTAGCTCTGCCATCTTGAGACGCATTGCACAAGTCTCTTGAGTCAAATGGATTGTAGAAGCCACTGCAGAAAGAATTCCCATCGGGACGTTTATCCAACGTTCCTCATCAGAATCTATTTGGTACGGGCAAAACCCACTTTCCAAGAGCAGCTTGACAGTAGCTATGTTACATTCAACAGCTGCAATCCATAAGGCGTTGCGAGAAGGCTGCAGAGCTTGAAACTCACTTCCTTCTAGAGTAAGAAAAGTTCTCACTATTGAATTCTCTCCACACCACGCCGCATACCACAAAGCGGTGCGATCTTCGCAGCCTTAAGCAAACGGTCTAACGCGGGAATGAGAAAGTAGCGTAGCAACAAGAGACTCATCACCACGGACGGCAGCCAGCATCAAGGGCGTAAGAGAATCGGAAAATTCTGAACTCATTCCAGAAGCCTCAGGATCCGCACCACTGTCCAGCAGTAGTTTTATGATGTTTGCGTTGCCACCACGACAAGCCTCGAAAAACGCGGTCTGAAAGTCACGGTTCTCTTCATCGATAGTCTTTGTGACCTGGGGAAAGGTGAGCAGCATTCGTACCACTGTCTCTAGGCCTGCTCTAGCTGCCAAAATCAAGGGCCTTTCATAATCGTGGATTTGCATGGTGGGATCATGGCCACGCTGTATGAGAGCGATAGCAGTGTCTTCCAGCCCAAACTTTATCGCTTCATGGAGACCGCTCGAGTAAGGCAAGTAGTCACCCTCTTCAACTCGACGGGGGTTGCGAGTCGTGTCCAAAGATGCGATTAGGCGGCTGTCACTTTCGAGGAACTCGAACACTTTATCGTCCAGTTGTACTGCCCCTTCGAGGCAATGCACTCCCCAATTCTCGGCTGCGTACCTATAAAAGGGATATTTAACGCTCAGAGCTAGAGTTCGTGCTGGTTGAAGTCTAGGAGGAAAGTCGTCGCAGAAGTCTTTAAACAAGAGATAGGCGAGACAGGTATGGGCCATCTGAGCATCGGCCGTTGGAAACCACGTTTGCTGTGTTCTTTCGAGAAACTCAGAGATAGTATGATGGGCGAGCTGGAAATAATGACAGGGGCCGTCACCATCGCGAAAGTGAGTGTACGAGTTATCTGTCGTGACAATGACAAATCCTGCGCAAGCGGCGACGATGTCTTCAACTTCGTGTAGGTTCGTGGAGTCCAACTGTGACTCGTTAATCTCTACAGCCAAAACTTCGATGACTTGCGATAGTGTGATGCGATCTTTTGCCCTTGACAGCCACATAAGCGTGGCTTTAGCAAGGTTTGCCCGGTCCGTGACCTCTGCCTCGATTCTTTCCATAGTGTCTCGATAGATGGAATCATAAGTGTGAGGTCCTCTATGCAGACGTTCCAGAGCAGTGTTCAAAGACTTCGGCGTCAATTTTCCAATTAAAGATTCGAAGTGGAGTTTCGCCATCAGAAACCTGGCTGTATTAACGTCTGGACCCTCTCTAAGTAAGCAGAAATGGCATATATTTACGTACACTCCGCTTGCAGCTCGCTAAATGCTCTCTGTGATGGACTTTTGCAATTGTAGGTCCCGCTGGACGAAAGCAGCTAGCTCGGGCATTCGACTTATCAAATATGGCCGGATGTCGTCTTCACCGGCGCTAATTTCCAACGAGATGGCATCTTTGAACTCATTTACGATGTGCATGAGGGGTCTGGAAGTTGCAAATATGTTGATTTTGCAACTTCGTTGCAACTTGAAAATACTAGATAAAAGTGTCGAAAGAGAGGTGCTGTTGTTTTTGCACTCATCAAGTGCGTCAACAACAAGAAAGATCTGCTCGAAACCACCTGCTATCTCTTGGATGGTTTGTCGATATTCGTGTAAAGATGGCATAGTCCTGTGAATTTCATGCCTCTGTCGAAGCTGGCGAACGGCGTCCGAAAGAACTGGCAAGTTGGCAGCTAGCTGTTTCAACACGCTCGCGGAAAAGTGCTCAGCTGTCTGTTCGCGCTTTCGTTGTTAATCGCAGTAGAGGAACAATACACCTGTTCGAGGACTCCTAGACTTTCTTTCAAACAGATCATTGACTGGGTCTTTATACTTCTCACTACAGCTCCAATTTATTCCAAGACATCTTGAAGTGGACAGCAGGTCAGCAAGAAAGTCGTAATTGGTGGGCCATGTTCGTTCTTGGTAGGTATGTTACCAACGTCTGACATCTATCTTGAATAGCAGCTGACGTGCATCCTTATCCGAAGGCACATGCTCACAGATGCAAATGGCCTGCCCTTCACAGGACCGGACCCCGCTACTGATGAGCTCCTGCCGGTCAATGATGTTGACTGGGATGTAGGAAAGGCGGTCGCTAGTGAGAGTCCTCACACGTCATCCTATAGCAAAAGCACCGTGTCGGGCCCATTTTCCATGCTATGTCAAGCGTCAAACATCTTGAGTAAGAGTTAGCAGCACCGCAATGAACCGAAATTCATCGTCTGGGCCCCTTGAAGAACCGATGAGACAGGGTTTGCATCTTGACCAAATTTCATCAGCATTGCAGGTCTCTGTTGAGAACTGTTCAAAAGAGATTATTAATGAGACATCCCCCTTCATCTCGGCACTGGTTGTTTGCTCTGTACCTCGATTATGTCTCTACAACATGTACGCCTGCTACGCTGCATTTAATCGCGGCATTTCAACTCCTTTGCAGACTGATCCCCAACACGTAAGCCTGGAGGGTATTTCAGGACTGGTCTGAACCACATTGCTACAGCTCGCGCGTTTGCGGTATGGATGCTCTTTCCTGGTCCACTGTCTGTATTATACTGACAGTGAGGCCGCCTGGCTAGTTACGGAGGAGTCGAGAGTCGAAGCTATGCTTTACTTGGAAGATATTTTGCTCCTGACCATGTCCGGCCTTGGCGTCTTTAGGGTGGCGCAAATGGCTTTCAAAGCGTCAGTGGCAACCAGCTACAGCCAATTCCTATAGAAACCTTCAGTGGTCTTGTGGGGTTACCTATAATTTTCGAAACAATCGTCTGTCAGGGCATGTTTTATATACCTTTGGCACGAGTCTTGGCATGTAGAAGTGACGTCTAGCCAACTGTCTTCTAATTTCTGAGGTGCCATCTAACGCAATGCAGCCGTAAGGTGGCTTAACAAAACTATTGCTAGAGCAAACCAATATTTATAACCCATGATCAATTTGCCGCAACTCCCTTAACGCTTCAATTACCCACCCCATATCAGTATAAAACCCAAAACCTTGATCATGTTCGTAACTCCAGTGCCTTTTTGTTTCTTCCCGGTTCGGCTTCCCATTGCCCCGCTTCTAAATGCGCAAAGCTAAAATAAAAAATAAATATGTTCAGATGAAGAAGAATACATAATGCCACCTGGAGCTCAGAGCTTCAATCATGGAGTGCTATGATAGTTATCCAGGGCCTAGGTATTGCTGGGAAATTGCGGATTCTGTATACTATTAGGGTTGAATCGGCGTGACCCCATCATCGTCTCATTAGTCGGTGCAAGGTTTGGGATATGGCTTGTGGCGTAATCCAAATTTCCAATATTATTTTCCATATTCCCATGGAAATCCTGAAAAAGATAAAGAAATCCGTCTTCGCCCAAATAAGGGTCCGGGAGTTGCCCATAATCCGGCATTTGGGGACCGAAAGCTTGTAGTGAATCATGGTGATGAGTCTCGTTGACAGCTCCGACAAGCGGGTGATGTGGGGTGGTGTTATTTGGCTGCACATCAATACCGATTGGAGCAACAGTCTCTACATTGCTGTACTGGGTTGCTGTCAAATCTCCCGGGTATAACGTTGTCCATATCTTGTCCCATTTATTATCGTTACCAGACGTCGCAGTGACCTCCTTTTTGAGCTTATCGAACTCTGCCGGTAGCAGAACACCCGTCTGTGCAATGCTTTTTGCCTCGCATGCGGGGTGGCGTTCAAATCTAACGTCAGCGCCACGACGACGGAACTCGTCCCGGCATGTTGGACAGTAGAAAACGATCTTATCGGGGTCTGTCGTCTTCAGCAGGTAAGAGGAAGTATCACCTGTTGATGTCGATTGGGCGGTTTCCTGTACATCCATCGTACACTGTTTCAATACGTGGCATCTCAAGATATGCTGAGTTACATAGCTAATGGAAGTTATGTGGTGCCCTTTGCATTTATGGTACCGAGCTGGATCGAACTTGTAGAATGGGCATTTAAATGTTTTGCGGTCGGGGGAATCTTGGGGTTGAGGAAAACGTGGCCCATCGCGACTAGAATCACCTTCGTCGTCGTCGTCGTCATCACTTCCTATGTCGCTCTGGGCCTCGTCGCCATCTCCATCGCCACCACCGTCACCATCACCATCACCATTTGTGTCATTATGGGCTTTGTCGCTGGATTGTTTGTTCTCTTTGCGCGGTTTCTTGCTGTTGGTGCCAGACTTGCCAGGGCTCCCCGGTGGCCTTTTCTGGCGAGAGGGGCCCCCAGCAGCAGCCCTGTATCTGTCCCCTGTATCCTTAGAGATGTCTAGCTTCTCAGGAACAAGGTCCAACAATGGGAACGGGCCGATGCGCAAGGCCGGGCCCAAACTCCACAGATCGCCATTGGTCGTATTGAGGACTAATTGTCTTTATGTCAACGATATATTCAATAAAGGTGAGGTTGTTTCAGAAAGATTATTACCATTTCGCTGAATGTGCAACGTCCCTCGGCCTCGGATGCTACCTACAGGGTAGCCTGATTTGATCACCAGGCTCAGGGCTTTGTAGGTCATATCCTGGCCAATTGGCTCGCCGTCATCATTTCTGTTGTTTGATGAGGTATGCAATGTTTGTTTTGTTTTCGCAGCCACTTTGGCGTCAAATTTGTGTCGTTTGCGTCTGCAGAATCGCACGAGGCGTTTGGTGACACGCTTGTACCACGCTGGTCCGTGGCCTTCACTGTCGGACAAACTCCAAGGGTGTCGTACTGGGAGCGGCGAAAACATGGCGTCGCTACTGGTCAAACTCCAGGTACTTCTGTACCGAGGCTTTAGCGTCACTTATCTCTTTAGAACCCTGGTTATGAGCCTGGGGGTTACAAGTGAAGCTTATTGAATGTGTAAGATTAAACAATGGTCTATTATGTTTCATTGTATGGGTTGGCTGTCTAGTTATTAGTCTTATTTAACTATCTGCCTCATCCACCATTGCGGAGGCGTCTTTGTTGAGTGAAAATAGCCTTGACAGGCAGACAAGCGCAGAGCCGCACCCACGATTGTGTGTGTGGTGTACAAAAAACCACCGACATGATTTATTCACCCAAATCCTTAGATGAAGGTACGGACCTCAACCCGTTTCATCGTGCTGAAATGGGTTCCAGAAGGGTTTAAATTGAATAAGGACAAAATGCGGTGAGGAATAGAGTTCGCTAGATCGGATGCCAAGTTACCAAAAATAGCGGTATGCCATGGCAGCCGGGCGGATTGTTCCCACCATCGTGGAAGCCAGGGTAACTAGGTCAAGGGTTATGAGTATGTATCGCCGATCTTCTTCCACCGATGTGGAAGCCTTCAACAGCGAATATTGTTTGCGAGGCCTCATCCTTGACAATTGGTCGCTCCACGGATGTGGACAGTGCGGGGGAACTTTTGCGCTTGTGATGCAAGGTGATTCGGCCGTCCACAACGGTGGAGGCTTATCGTCCAAGGCATTGTTGATAGTGAGTGGCTGTAGCTTCAAGGCACATGCATTAGCACCCCCCTCGGTCCGCCGAGTTCGCCCTGGCGTTTTTCCTGTCAAGGGTGTGTCAACGCAGGTACAGATTTGTTACGAGTTCAAAGGCTCCACAGGGTCGTTGTTTGTTAGCCTTATGTTCAGTCACTCGAAGGCTCACGATGGTGGACAGTTTCCATATCGCATTACAATTGTGAGGTTGAGGGACACATTCGTGGAAATAAAAACATTAGCTATGGTATATAATTCGAGATTATGTTCTGGTATTTTGATATTTGAAACTCAATGTCCATAAAATAAACTTCTCCACTATGCCTACCTCTACACAATTACCAAAAAGGTTAATAAGTTTGCCTGACTACTCCCCAAAAACTGGGTCACTGATGTATCTATAGAAAATTGAGTCAATCAGGCTCTCAACAAGAATATGATAGCCGCATCAAAGATTGGCTGCTGGATTCGGGACTCGATATTCAGCGACGGCTGCTTACGGTGGATTGCAGCCAACGAGAGTCACTATCGCTAGCACCTGTAAAAGCAGACTTGGCCACATCAGCAGATCTCAAAGCGAAATTCTGAGAGTTGATAAGTTGGCATATCTTAGATAGTGTGGGCATCTGTGCGATAGCGGCATGCACGGAAAGACCTTGATACCACAGGATGTAGCATTACTGGCTGTAAATGAAACATACTGAATTAGAATTTGAGTGTAAATTGTGAAGTGTCTGTTTTTTGTACCTCCATGTACCAGGCGCAGTGATTACATGCCTTAGTTATCTGACGTATGCCACCGCTCTAGCCGATGGACCCCACTGTAGCTTAAATGGTATAGTTGGCTCATCGCTCCTTGTTGCCCTACGAGCTTTTTCGTCTAATACCAATCCTCCTTCTTGGGCAGACATTCACTCTTTTCTCCGTCTGTGTTTATGGCCACGTCTTAAGGACAGTTTTAACTGCATTTATTCCAAACGTGTGCCTGCAAATGTATAAGATGTTGGTTCGATACGAAAACCATTTTCAAGGGTACAATGCCCAGGGCTCACATGATAACGAACGCATCAATGTGAATGAAAGCATTATCTGTAGCGAAGAGGGAGTAGATCTTGTTGATGGACCTTCAAAGGACACGGATAAGACCAGACAGATGAAGAAAAGGCAATCCAAACGCAACGTGGGCGAGCAGGACCCGTCAGATCTCAGCGAACGAGCACTTGAACACCAGTTGAACAATAACATGAGGCTAAGGCCCCTGGCTCCAAGTAAGTGAAATTCAACGTCGTGAAAGAGTCCTACCGAGATGATACTGACACGGCAAAGTAAATCGTATAGAGACCGCAAGTGAACAGGGAGCTCATTGCTTCCAAAGTCAGACAATCGATCATATATGTCCTGGTCAAGTAAGCTCTCGCCGAGCGTCGTCACCAGTTGACCTGTTATCTTCAGCAATCATGGGTCATTCGATATCAAACCTTTCCCTGGAGCACAGCAGACAAGCTAGCTCTATTATTAAACTTCCAACGAGCCCTCAACTGTACTATGGCATGAATGACTCTGTCCAACACATGAAGAAAGAAATGAGACCGAATGCTCCAGTTCCAGGGGTCCAGAAAAATCAAGATGCAACCAACTTGATGAAAAGGCCAGCCGAAGGGAGTAGTGCACCCCAGAAGAAAAGCCGAAAGACGAAAAGCCACAACGACGTTGAGGAATCAGATCGTGATCGCGATTGTTATTCTGGCATTGATGAAGCTGAGAAAAGGAAGGAAGAGAAATTTGCCTGTCCGTTTTACAGAAAAGACCCAATGCGTTTCCTTGAATGCATAAATGTCAAAATGGTCACTATATCTATCGTCAAGCAGCATCTCAAGAGACGACATGCAGCAAACTCGCATTGCCCGGTCTGTAATGCAGGCTTTTCCTCGTCAAAGCAATTTGAGGACCATAAACGGAAAGGGGACTGTTCTCATAGTAAAATAAGTAGCTTGGATAGCATACCTCCCCATGTACTGGATTCTCTTAGGTTTCGTTCCGACAGACGGATGTCATCCTTGACTCAGTGGCACGAAATCTGGGTAATTTTGTTTGGGAAGCCGGATACCACGCCCAAGCCGCTTCTAGATGGAATTGCCAAAGAGATGATAGGAATAATTCGCGACATCTGCAGTCAAGATGGTTCCCAGATAGTATCTAACTATGTCCAAACACGGGGTCTCCCGGCTAGCTCGGGAGAAATGTTGTCTTCACTGCTGGAGCTTCTCGACAAAGTTGAGGATCGATTTGAAAACAAGCCCCTCCTAGGCGATTCTGGCGAACAGTCTGCCGATGTCAAAAAGACTGTTATGGAAACCGTCATAGGAGAAAGAGACGAGTCACGCCAGAACTCTACACCTCTTGACCAGTATCCATATTGGGGATGCCATTTGTCAGACTTCGCATCTACCACGATCCCAGCTTTCCGAACCAGCGACTCTCTGGAGCCAGTTTCTGCCACTGAAGATACTTGCGATCTTCAATCAGTTGAAGTATACGAACCATGGGAGACCTCCTCTGGCTTCGCCGCTAGTGGCTTTCCAGAACACATAGAGCCCTTGCCGTATGTAACAGTATTGGATCCTACTGATCATCCCTATGACATCTTTAAACAAGGCTCTCTATCACAAATGGCCAGTCTAGAGATTCATGAAGATTGGGGGCTTTTGGATGACTGTTCTCTCGATTTCCTGGGAGAGTAAATGATTAGCTTGATATCTATCTGACTTTGGAGATATTGTGTCCGCCGACTTTTTAGGGTTTTGTAGAAAGGGCGATATGTCTTTCAAAATGTGATAGTATATATAGCCTACCAAGTAAGGAACGAAGTCTCAGCTATGAATTTTTAACGTTATTTAGAAGCAGCTAAAGTGCTCTTATTTATTTGGGATCTATCTTATAATCGTTACTGAAGCTTGAACCCGCCGAGTGGGATATCCAACCGTGAGTGTCAGTGTGAAAATGGCTATGATACATCTAGTGGGAGCATACCTACTTATGGATTAATGAAACTTTTATCCCTTTACTCAGTATAACCCCCTAAATAGGTACAAGAAAGCTCATGGAGGCCAGGATCCTGAAATGCATGACTTATTAGTGTAGACATTCCTACCTGGGCTTTGCGCACGACTTAGAATGGCGGCATTAGGTAGCCCTTCAATGCCAGGTTTGGAGTCTTCTCTAACTACCTGTAGTTGGGGTATTATATACGAACTACGGGTTCATACCACTAATGGTCTATTCTTACGATGATACCTAATAATAGTTTGTCCTAAGAAATGGTTGCTCTAAAGGAGTCAGTAAGTTTGAATGAAATACGAGAAGTGCAGTATATTGTCCTCGTCATTTGTATTAGAACTCTTCGTTCCAGCCTTACAAGCAAAATCCATCTTTGTGGTTAAAAAGCATTTGACATATACATGGATAGACCTTACTAAGGTAGAGCGGGAAACATACTAAGTCTCCACTTTACAAGAAGGTAAGGTAAGTACAATTCCACTTAAAACACAGAGAACTATATAGCTAATGTTAAAAGTTAATACCTAGAATAATTAGAATGATAGTCACAAGCTGTACTACCACTGCTTCCTTAAATATCATTATCGTGCCACTGGCTTGAGAAGATCTAAAGTTTTAATACAGACCCCACGTGCTCTATGTCATAATAAGACACCTTCTGATTGTTACAGTACATTGTGGGCCCGAGAATACTTCGAAACGCATGAGTGCTTTACATGGTGCTAAGCATCGAGAACTCCGACATTCGCTACAGACACAAGCCTGAGAAGCAGCACGGCGCTTAAGCCTCGAGCTTGAATGAATTCACGATTATGAAAGGCTCACGCAATTGTGACAATGGAAAATAAGGGTCTGAACGAGCCACATACTCCAGCTACAAACACCAACATAAAAAAGTCCAGGCAAGGCTCTATCAAGTATACAAACCGAGTTTCAACAAGGTTAGGTTCAATAATCAACTCCCAAACGTAGACTACCCTCCCCCATGCTCCCATGGGCATTCATCTACTGAAAGATATATACTGTCCTGTTTAATTACCCATGTCATCAGACTATCGAGCGCCTTCTGGCAGGTCGCACGGTATGCTGCGCTCTTCTCATTTGCATAAATCTCCAGGCCCTCGACGAAGTCAAAGATGAATTTCTTGCCATCAACAGCCCAGAAATCCTTTATCATAGATACTTTCAGTCCCTCGCCCTGATCTAGGTATGGAGATCGAGGCTGCTCTGTGCTAGGTAAGACTGTTGACCAAATACGACGCCAACGGCTCGATTCTCCTAAATAGTATTGATCCCTCTTGATCAGTTTGGCTTTTTGACTTTCTGTAAGTCCATCCAGTGGCTTCTCGTTGTTTCTCTTGCATGCGTTCTCCAAGACGTGGCTATCTCTATCAATCAACGTTTCGAAAGCTTTCCGACAGGTACGACAGTACAGAGGCTTATCGTGGTCTTGTAAAAGATGTTTCATCAACGTCTCAATAGAGCCAATATTGTGTTGAATGACACAATTCTGGTGTTTGTCGGGCGAGTGGATATAGAACGGGCAAGCAAGGTGAAGAAAGAAGTCTGTTCTGCGATCTGGGTGAGAGACCACAACGAAGTCGTCCTCGCTTCCATCCTCCTCTCTAGCTCTTGGAAGACCCGACTGCCATTGCGATGTTTTAAAGCGTTTTCGAGGAGGCAGTCTGTCATCTGGTGGCGCAGTGTATTTTATCTCATCGATCCAACAGCTGAACCTCTCTCGTAAAAGTTGCTCCAAATTTATTTGCTGTGCCACAGATAACTGGCTACAAGAAGGGCTATTCTCCCGAGATCGTTTCTTTTCTTTAATGCAAGCGATTTTATTGCTCTCCTTTTTTGGGAGACCGTCGCTTCTTGAAAGAGATGTAGGTTCGTAGTATTCAGGCTCACTACTTTGGCTGTCGGGGGAAGACATCGGCCGGCCTGATCTGCGTCGTTTCGTTCCAATGACTTTAGGCCGTTGGACTAGTCGATCAGAAAGTTGCCTCCCTGGCGGCTTGCCAGTGCTTTGTGGTGTCATAGCGAGTGTTTTGATGACTGTGCACGATAGAAAAGGAAATAGAAAATCAACAAGTATGGTGGTTTGCCACCAAGATCATGAGGAAATATGTGATCTTGAAATACGTGGATGTAGGTGGTGTGGCTTCTTGCAACGATAATCTTTAGGAATAACGCCTGTCATATATTCTCAACCCTGCAGCCTAATCCATATTTAACATAACAGTAGTTTTATTCCCCCAGCAGCCAATGAGCTTGCAGGGCGTAACGCCACTTTTGGCACTCTGATGTACTGACAAGTGCATCATCACCCAATCAGAACTTCTTAAATTGCGTGAAGTGGAGTGATAAGTCATTTGGAATATTAAATGTGCTAACTCGTTTTTAAGTGACAGTTTGAACTGCCAATTAAAGGAAAGTGTATCTTGGACTACACTACACAATCGTGGAAGTTGTTTCAGCTCAAGGCCAAACAGGTTCTTCCTCCATCTTATCTAGCATCCACAAGTTGGAGTAGAATCGACTAGATTATCGCCAGGTCAGCATGAAGCACAGGTCGCAAGTAGAATGCCATGCGCATTGTCATCCCAAGCCTCCAATCTGAACTTGCCACGATTGTGGGAGGGCTTCCAGCTTTGTCTGACGTTAAATTGCGTGATTGGCGATATTCAACTGCCGACTTCCTGATTCCTTTCAAACCGAATGCATTTTCGGACACACCATAGAAACTTAGCTGAAGTCAACATACATCACAGCGTTTGAAATCACATTTCATGTGCAGTCAGGCTTGAAACGGATGGCAGGTATCTGCTGCGGAGACATGCAAAGCAGTCCATACTCGTACCACAGCGACATGTACAAGGAAGGCCTCGAGCCTGTTTATAAGACATGTGACGAATCGGTCTCCACTGATATTCCTCCTCCGCTTGCCTCTGAACTCGGGCAGTCCACCCTTATGCATGTCGGAGAATTGGTACACCACTACTTCGAATGGAAAGACTTGTGAGCAGGTTGTATACCTCAGGAATGTCTTGACTGTGATACTTTACCACATAAAGCCTTAGATGTTTGACTACTCGGATATTCCTTCGGGCGAGAAGCTCTATCTGCCCTTTTCTTGTGTTTGAATTATTCCCTTCTCCAAAAACCATAGTTGCATAGGTTGGGACATAATTAAAAGCTTTACGTGGGCGATGTCTGCAGTTTCAACCCGTGAATGATGTTTGATTGTGGCAACCACAGAGGTGCGTTAAATTTATTCAGGAACGTACTCTACGCGGCATCATGAAATGGCGAATATAAATACGACGGACAGGGCGAGGGTGGCGATACTTCGATACCATATCCAGACATTGGATATATACTGAATTTTCCTGATCCTCCGAAGGGCTCTACTATTGCGACTGGAATTATAGCAAAGCGAGGAAGGTGGCCCATGGTCGAGGAGGGAAACAACTACATACCGATCTAGCTCAGCAGATCGATTGACATTGCATTATTCCTTGCGACTAACTTATCACTAGGGACCAGTTATGACAAATGCCTATTGGGTCTAGTCTAGGGCAAGGTATTCTTTTTGTATTAAACTTTAACTTTATCATGCTCAGGCTTTCCAAAATTCTCCACAATATCAATAATAGCAGGGCAAGGTATACTACACCAGTCCGGACTACAACTGGAAAGGATGAGACAAGCTATATTTTAGAGAATTGTTACTTGCCGTAACAACTTTCTCTATTTGCCGTAACAATACCTAGCTTTTTGGTCACAACCATTAAGAAAGATAAGTCACTCATACAGTCCATGCACTATACATGCACTGTATACAACCTTATGATAGCTATAAATCAGCGAAAGATTAGGTTAGGGTTAGAATATAGTTAGTAAAGGGTTAGATAGGGTTAGAAGGTTATTTTAGGGTTATGTGTAAGTTAGGGTTAGTCTTAGGATTAGGGTTATTATGGTATATATCTTTATAATTCTAAAGTACCTTTCTGTCTTTACTTCTTAATTAGGCTTAGTTTGTTACGGCAAATAGAGATTTCTGTTACGGCAAGTAACAAATCTCATATTTTATGCTTTTTGGGGTAATTCGTAGAATTCTAGAACCATTGATAGCACTACAAGGTGTCTTTCTGTCTCGCTAATTAACATAAAAGTGTAAAAGTGGTTGAATGTGGGTAAGAGAATATACAAATGGCCTTACCTATACACCTCCATTCTCTTCTCAAACCACATGTCCGGAGTTCCCCACAGATTCTGAATCCCCTCACTCTCATCCATCCACCCCATCTCCTCGACTATCGCATCCGAATCAAAGCCCAAGAACCATAGCGGCCACAGGTACTCAGCAATCCCAACACGTAACCACCAGCGCCGACCATCACGCATCGTTTCGTTGGTCACAACCTTTGCCCAGCGCAGAGGCATTTGGCGGTCCAACTTGAGAGGCGTTCGTGGATCCTCAGGCATGGCGAGAATATTGTCGATGCTCTCTTGGTCTAACAGCAGGCAGAAGCGAAACCTGCCGTTCGGGCAATGGAAGCGCTCATTGGCGTAGTCGACTGGTGTGCGGCTCGCCTTGATCCATTCGTCAAATCGCCGGCCAACTTCGTCCACGGGGGCGTTAGACAGAGTTTTTTCATCCTCGATAACCTCGCTGTAGTAGCGGCTCCAGAGGTCCTGGTTCGGCAGCGGATCACAAGGGTCATTGATGCGAGGTGGCATAGACTCATTGTCGATGAAGTGCTTTGCGTAACGGCTCAGGCGATCAACAGCCGCGGCGACCGCCTCACCGGAACCTGGTGTATAGACTGTGCGGAAGATGATGAACCCCCAGCAATAAGGATAGCTGTGACTGTTGTCGTTGTTGGCGAGATTCCGCAGTGCGTGTCTCGACATGCGACGGGGCTCTTGGTCTCCGAGGAAGCGAGCCTCAGGATTGGCAATAGCCACATCGATAGGTGGGAAGTTCGCCATGTTCGCCTGGCTATGATCTTGTATCTTTACCTCGGATTTGTAAGAGGGAAGTTGTAATTAGAGGAGGAGGGAGAATTCTGGTGGGTTGGTGGGGGCGGAGGGGGGCGATAAAAGGCAGGTATGTCATCACGTGGTATTGTATTTGTCCAGCACGACTAAAGCTAACATATATAACTGTTTTCCCCTAGGATAATATACTAAATGCTCTACTCCTTCCCCCTTTTACAGCTCGCACTATCTCTCACTAAGATTAACGACGCTATAGAGGAATGTTAGACAGTACTATGCCAGAAGGGCTTACTAATAGAGCATTATAATATAAGTGACCAAGAATTACACTCTACTTAACATACCATAACAAGTAGGTGAAGTGACGATTCAAGAGTAAACCTGTAAGATCAAGCTAAGCTAAGCAGTCGCTTAAGAGCGTTCAGACTCCCAGATATACAATCCATAAGGCGTTCCCTTAAAATCCCACTGGCCAACCATTCTGCCTGAGTCATTACCACCACTAGCAGCAACAGCAATATACGGCATCAGATGCTCCACACTACCAGTCACATGGGCTAAACGTCTACCAGGAGCCTCAGGCCATCCGCGAATAAACGTCATTCGCTCTCCCTGGTCTCTGATCTGCGCGCCATCCCGAAGAAAATCTTCAAACAGCTGGATGTCTCTTGATGGCCACGGCAATTTGTCCTCGGGATCGAAGTAGGCGGCGCCAACCACCGAAAAGTCGTGGCACGATCCACCGCTTCCTACGACGGCAAATCCTTGATCACGAAATTCCTCAAGCGCCTCTCCAAGACGGATGTTCTTCTCAGTCACATCTTGCTCACTGTTTCCACTCATTATGGACATCTGCACAATTGGAATGTTGCCGTCTGGGAACATAATACCCAACGGAACCCACACGCCGTGATCCCATGCACGATTCTCAACTACAGGATCGAAACCGGCAGTACGGAGACGCTGAGCAATGGAGCTGGCTAGCTCTGAGTCTCCCTTGCCTTTGTATTCAATCTGGAAAGCCTCCTCGGGGAGCTTTGTTCGCATATCAGCGACATCGTAGTCGTAGAAGATCTCTGGATTGTCAGAGTTTGTGATGTGGGGTTGGTTTGTTTCCCAGTGCGCTGTCAGGAGAATAATGCCGCGCACGTCGTCAAAGTATCGAGCTTGGTCGCGAAGCATCTGGCGGTATGATTCATGGTCCTTGAGGAAGACGGGAAACGGGCCTCCGCCATGAGAGATAAAAAGCGCCGGCGCTCGGCTGGTGGACTTCGAAGGTGTCATTGGATAATACTATTCAAGCTTATGCAAATGGAATAGAGTGGTATAATCATGCAGGGCGAGAGCAAAGGTATTTATTCCTGGATGTCTCGGCCTCGGCCTTACAGATACTACACTGTGTATGAATATTGGAAACATCAGTTTACACAAAACCAGTTATGATCTGCAGGCGGCTACCAAGAAGTCCGAATACCGAAGCTAATTTGAAAGTCCGGATGCCGACATATGTTTGAAAGTCCGAATGATAATAGCTTTAGAGAATACGGATACTAAAAGACCCTGATCCAATTAATATATATAGCACGTTAGGTGTGGCATACAGATACTTTAGTAGCTGTATAATTAGCTGATGTGTCCATTGTACAGGCTAGCTGGCTGAGATGCCTACCCTATAGTCTTCTCTTGAAGGTAGGGGTCGCTTTATTATAATTCTTGATTAAAAACTGTATGTTTATGTCGCTGCATTGAAAATTAAAAATGCAGCGTAAAAGAACATACAATTTCAATTATTTCCTTACTAACCTTAGCTATTCAGATCCACAGCAGAAGCAGGACGCTTATCAATTCATATTAGCTACAGCTCGAATTAAGTAGTATTTGAACAGAAACATTGCTGTTAAAAGCAATACGCTTCTTGATATAATGCATTGAAATATACATCGATTAGATCTTGCTTGTCCTGGAAATCCAAGAGACGGAAATTAGGGATTGCTGCCTCTCGGTCAAGATGAGGGTTTTTGCTGAGAGAGGCATTTGCGAAAACTTTAGCTGTGCCGAGAGTCGTTTTCATGAAGGCCCCCTACCTTTCCAAAATAATCTTCTCGGTCTGCGCGTCAAACCTGAACTTGATTTTCTCTAAAGGCTCCCTTATCTAGTCTGAAAGGTTACTATTATCCTAAATCCTAAGATTCTAGGTACTATCTTACCAACCTGGCATTATCTTATTATAATGTCGATATTATTGAGGGACTTGGGGATCTGCTAGAAGCGCGCCTTAACAGAAAAGCATTCATTTTCCATTGATGTAATAACATGAGCAATCACTATGACAAAACTAACAGCGATTGACTCTCTCCGGTAAACGTCGACTTACGGCACCACCTCTCGAAGAGGTATCATGATAAATTCTCTGAAGATATGTCATTGTCTTTGTGTGAAATAAACCGAAATTCATATTGCTTGACAGCACTGACGAGGGCAAGAGACGAGCCAGTACTGCCACTAGTGGCCTCGGAAATAGTCATCCCAAGCCGCAAAATGTTTTTTCTTTCTCTCTCTTCAATTATAGCTCTTGCCATTCAATCTTTGTATCAGCCTGTAGGGTTTAGAGATTCCAAGTTAAGGAAGACCCGCGCGTCTCCTTCCGCGCTTAATCACTACCATTCCACGCATGGGGTATTGCCTATTGCGTCGAGAATATTAGAGGGCAAGGTGGAGTAGTAGATGGTTTTGCCATGATATGGATGATTAAATTGTATCAATAATTAGAAATGAGGGAGTCCAACTAGAAGTGGTTTGGTAGCTATGTGATCGTGGTTTTTTCATTTCTTTACCCGTACTTTCTTTGTTGTAGTTTTTTTTTGGCTTTAACCTTCAACTTTATCAAGCCTAGGCTTTCCAAATCTCTCAATGATATCAACAATATTCTTTGTTGTAGGACTCATGTAATTCTAACTAATTTAGTAATTCCGGATCCTTCCACATCCCGAAACATCGGTCGCTTAGCAGTACAAGCATAAAGTTAAAGTTAGAGCGGATTTCCCCTAGTGTGCGGACTTGAATCTTGAAAACTCCGCTGCGTCGGTAAGTGGCCCCATTTATAAAATGACATTTACCTGCTTCAATTTATCAGGAGAACTCCCATTCCTTCTCAGGAGATACCCGACCACACCCTCATTCTCTGTCCTCGAATCCATCGGCTTTTCTTCTTCCTCCTTTCTTAGCAAGCAATCGATCTGTGCAAACAATCCTTTCTTTTCTACTCGCCACCATGAAGGCTTGGCAATTCTCAGAAGTCTCAATAACCCTCGAGGAATCCCTCGTCTTGGCCCGAGATGCCGAAATGCCGAATTCTGCAACACTCGGCCCAACGCAAATGATCGTACAGGTTCTGTGGGCGGCATTGAACCCCGTAGACTACAAACTTCCAGAGTCTGGTCTCATCGGTAGATTAATGATTCCTCGGCCTGCTGTGCCTGGCCTTGACTTTTGCGGCCGGGTTTATGCAAAGCACGCCGATATCGATACATTCGAGCAAGGCCAAATTATTTTTGGCGGTCTTGCACGACCATCTCGATTTGGCACGCTTGGCGAGTATGCTCTTGTATCCACGACCGAATGTGCCCCTCTACCCCGCGGGGTCAAACCTGAGCATGCTGCAGCTATTGGCACCGCAGCCACAACAGCATATCAGTCGATTCCAGCAAGCATCGTCAAGCCAGGAGCCCGCGTTTTCATCAACGGCGGCAGTGGCGGCGTTGGGACATGGGCTGTGCAGTTCGCGAAGGCGCGGGGGGCATATGTGGTAACAACATGCTCAACAAAGAATGTCGATCGTTGCAGCCTGCTGGGTGCTGACGAGGTTTTGGACTACACCAACATTGATCTTGTCGACCATCTCAAATCTCTGAGCAACCCATTCGACATCCTTGTCGATAATGTGGGGAACGATACAAATCTATACCGCGAGCGAGACGCGCTCCTTAACCCTAATGGCATGTTTGTCCAAGTCGGAGTTGGAAAGTCTGTCTCACTAAATACTGTTGTGTCAACTGGCTCCAAGCAGTTGAGACAATATATGCCAGGTCAGAAATCTTATTATTTTGTCAATCAAGAAAACAAGGCCGAGTACTTTAAGCAAATCGGACTTTGGATGGCGGAAGGAAAGGTCAGAGCTTTTATAGACACGAGGTTCTCATATGACCAGGTCCCAGATGCTTTCAGGGAGCTCAGAAGAGGCCACACAGCTGACAAGCTGGTGATTCGAGTTACAGAAGATTAAAATTGACATACTAGGCATATATAGTTTTATCATATGAGAAGTCAGAGCGGAGGACACCCCTTACAAAATGATATCTTGGAATATTATTAATGCTTTCAAAATTACAATCGCGATTAGAGAGAATAAAAACTAATAAGGCTTAATTGGTTGACTTACAGACCGAGTGAGAATGGCCTAGAAGATTTGCACACTATTACAAACAAATGGCTTTGTCTGATCAGTAAAGCACTCAGGCTCCACAAGCTTTAGTTTTGATTAAAGGAGGAGGGAGGGAGAATTCTGGCGGGCTGGTAGGGTATAACAGGCAGGGATATTATTACGTGGTGTTTTAACTAGCTCAAATAGTGGGTATATAGGAAATATATACTTTGAGCACCTACTAGAACCTAAACATTATGAAGTAAATGAAATAATAACTAAATGACATTTTTTATAAAAAAAAAAGAAAGTAAGTTCAATATAATGTTTATAATGATAAAATTTTCAGAACTGGTGCAAGCGCTCGTTCCTTCACCCGTCTGTGGTTGGTATAACACCAGTAATACCGCGTTCGGCTCTCTAGAGGCTTACCTTCGTACCGGGCATTGACTTGGCCTTCTTCAGTGTTTATTGTGTTACTTTCCCACTCGCGTGTGTCGAGATTGAAAGTCTTGGATCGGGAGCCTCGCAATGTGCACTTCCTTTGGGCGTCCGCTGACGTCTGTGACTCCGTGTGTCGCCATTGGAATTCAGGATTTGGGCTATATAGACCCAGTGGCGTTCTCAAACCATTCGTGCATAGGTTTGTAAAGAACATCGCTGCAGGATGTTTGGCCTTTGGAGGGACAAGACAGCTAAAATTCAGTTGAAATACTTTGAACGAATAAGGTGCGGGGCGTTGCCGATTCATCAGAGTCCGAGCACTTCCCGACATTCCGAGCCAGAGTATACAGGGTTAGTGGTGGTACAATACATTAAAATAACTAACAATTACACCCACGATTGCATGAGAATACTACAAGGGCATAAAATAATTAGTGTTTAGTTAGAAGTAGAGCTACGTAGAAAAGAACTTTCCGCTAGTGTCGGCTTAGTATTAGTCCAGGTTGCTGACATAGCTAGAAAATATCCAGTTCGAAGAGTTAATGGCGTAATGACTTGATCACCTGATCCGTTCTTTTATCTTGACTGCTTTATCTCGCCTAACTCTCCAGCCATCGGTTTGTCTTACATATCATGCCACAAAACTCAACTTCCTTCCCAATACGCACATAAATCGTATATATTAAGCACCACTCCGAAACGATGAATGTTTGTAATTCTTCAAGTGCACGAGTATAAATATACAACTGACATTTCTGCCCAGGCTAAAGAAAGCGCATGTCTAATTAAATGCCCTGGGGAGATATGCCGCCTCATTTTCACGCACCTCCTGCAAGAGGACCTTCCTGCTGTGTGCTTATCTCACAGGGCCCTACGCGTCCATGCTGAACCTCTTCTGTACGAAGGTGTCTACTTTGAATGGAGGGAGGAGTGCTATCATCCCATCACGTCGTTCCTTCGCAGCACCACACTCCGGCCGCAATTAGCTGCGTATGTGCGCTACTTTGAATTGACAGGTGGATATGGCTATGACAAGCCTCTAGACCAGGCCCCTAAAATCTTGCTTTCCGAGTATGCGCTTGAAGGGCCGCTATTGTGGGTGGCCCGGAGGACAAATATTCCATATCGGGAATCATGGATGGAAGAGTTACGCAATGGAACCATGGAGGCCTTCATTGCCGTGGTAATTTCGCAAACGACTCATCTGGAGACATTGAATATTTGGCCAGACTTAATCAGAGGAACCTGGCTTATTGGCGAGGTGCTACGGTCAATGGTCTTCCGCCATGCTGACCACGGGTTGCCCTCTCAGTTGAAACAGCTCAGGAACGTGTCCATGCGGGAGAATGCAACCAGTCGTGACCAGACTGTCGAACACTACCGAAATTCAAGACGCGCAGCCGACTTACTACTTCCGTTTTTTTATTTGTCATCTGTTGAGCGAATCGAGGCTGAGATTGATAACCCAGTCGAGCTTTCCTGGCCTACCAAGCAACCCCCTCGCTCAAATGCTACTTCACTGGAACTATTTCACCTGCGAGAGTCATTTCTCGCACAAATATTGTCAGCCACCGAGAACCTTCAATCGCTTCGTTGGGAATGGTACTATGACGACCGTTTCGATGATGGCTACGCTCTTATGCCTCTTTGTCGACCTGAATAAACTTGCTACCGGACTACGCTACGTCCAGGACACACTAGTTGATCTTACTATCGCTAAGGACTGCGCTGATGAGCAAGGCGACTATCCTCGCATTACCATCCAAGGTTCACTGGATGTATTGTCAGAATTCAGAGCCCTGAAGAAGTTAAACTTCCCTCTTGCACTACAATTAGGCTTCTCACCATATGAGGCCAAGCGGATTGAAACTTGCCTACCTCTTGCTCTTGAGAGACTGATCCTTACAGATGCCTTCAGATGGGTCCCTGGGTGGGAGTGGAAGGATAATGATATAGTTAAGGCCTTAAAAGTATGGCTGGAGTCCGCTCAGGCAACCACACCTAAACTACAGAAGTTGGGGCTTTATTTTGGTACTGAAACATATTTCTACTGGAGGGAGTCGGCCACAGCCGAGCTAGATAATATATGTCAACGAGCTGGAATTGACTGGGGTATACAACAGACATATGGTAATCGAAATAAGTAGTCAATTAATTACTATAGCTCTACCGGCAACAATAGTAAATGGTTTTGAGTGTATTAAAAATATAACTAGACTAAGATAGTAAATTTATTAAGCTATGCTAGAGATATTTAAGTTAGTAATCTGAAATAATACTATTAGCTATTTTACTTTAGACTATCATAGCACTTTAAGGTTAAAATATAAAAGGAAAAGGTAAAATTAATAGACAAGTTCAACTCTAAGCTAAGTAGTAATAGCTATTGCGAGTAATAGCCTTTAATAAAGCAGCTTATTATATCTCTACGTATGTAATTACTATTTCTTAGTTGAATTTAAATATTTTTCTCAATTAGACGTTTAATATTAAGCCTAGTAACATTTTTCAAAATGGAATCCAGCTATTTTAAGTAAATCTATAAATTTCCTAATTTTATATATCTTTATATAAACTAGAAACTAATAATAACTACAGTTAATTAAGATTACTAAATGTATTCATTACTATAGCTTTATTTCTTAAAGGTATAAAACCTTATATCAGAATACCTAAAACTATAAATCCCTCCCTAAACTTTAAATAACCATTATATATATATAGTTAGAGTTATAAAAAAGATATATATACTCTAAGATAACTTTTTATACTAATAGTTAAAAAGTCTTTTAGCTAGAAAGAAAGCTATTATAATTTATTAACCCAGATTATATAACCTACTAGACCCCCCCTAGTATGATATCAAGTAAAGTGGTACGTATATAAGGGGCATGTAGTCACTGGTCAGCGCTCAGACATGCCACGGACGAGCCGGAAAGTTCAATCATCCAATCGGCTTCGTTTGTGCCTTATCTAGGTTTTAATCCAGTATTTATAAGAGTCTTTTACTGGACTTGACCATCGTCCCTTTTTTTCTTTTTTCTTCTCAAGTTATGCTAGTGGGCTTTTAGGCCCGGCCAGTTACAGCGGCCTATTGTTCGCTTCGTAACAGCTTGGAACACAACTGAAGTCCTAGACACCTCTTCGGTACAAGCCAAGCCGCAACTGTCACAGTCGATCGGCTGGAACCATGGATTTCCCTGTCGCTCTTAGTACAAGCTGCAGCCGCTGTTCCTTTGACAAGATCAAGGTACTGTAGCCATCCCGTCTGCTAAACATGTCACTAATACTACTTGTGTTGACAGTGCGATGGCAAGAGAACAAAGTGCGGCCAGTATAAGCTATATCGGTCTATACGCCCTCGTTATAATCGGCGACTAATAGAACGATTCCGTACACCAGAGAATGGTGGTGGATCACGCAACACCGCTGCTGGCGACCAGATGCGGTTTCTTCCCACTGCAAATAACCCTCTGCCGGCAAGCAGCCTCCCTCCTTTTAAACTCTACACAAATATGTTACTCAAATCGCCCTCTATGTTTGAGCAGGAAGCTGTCGCCTATTTTTTGCACGAATACTGCGTTCAGCCGGGACCGGGTGGCTTTGGGGGGCATCTTGACTCTCTACAAGACATGTACGAATCCTCTCATCGGAACTCCTGTCTTCATAAGGCCACTCTTGCCATCGCTTACCTGTCTTTTTCACGCCACTATAAGTCACCCACACTCTACTCCTTAGCTCGCAACTATTATGGTGCCGCGCTGGGAGCCATTAATAGAGATTTAGCTTCGACATCAAGTAGCTTCAAGGACAAGACACTCATATCGATAATGTTTATGGGTATGGTTGAGGTGTGTTATACAATTTGCGGATACGCACCGGGATAGAAGTTGAGATACTTTCTAGGACATCGATGCTCAAGGCGTCAGTAAGAAAACATGCCACATGCTCGGCATCGCCAGAATTTACGAAGTCGCTGGCCATCGACTGCTCAACAACATCCACAAGAAGCAACTTGATGGGTGGATATTCTCAGAAATGGTCAGTCGCTATTCCCTATTGTGCCCTCCGGTGCTAACTATATTGGTAGCAAATTCCATCGCTCGACGCTGATAAACCTCTCAAATGTTTAAGTGTGCTCGACGCCGACTTAGATACGGACAACTTTTTCGTTCGCTTGGCACTCACCGCCACACGCATTGGTCACTTCTATCGTCGCGCGAAGCGGCTCTCATCAGGCGGAGCACCGGAGGCATTAGAGCGCCAGACTCTGCTACGAAATAAGCTCGTGTCAGTCATACAACAAGGAATGAGTATTCAATCAGAATTGGTCGAATTGAAAGGCTCGCTGCCGCCCCAATGGAGCACTTGGCAGGGGGGAGATAAACAATTAGCCAGTACTGTGAGCCCAGCACACATCTCGAGATGGACAGCTTGCCTAAGCTGTGGCTTTAACATGACTTTGATGCTGTTCTTCAACAGGTTTTTATCATGCTGTCGTACACTTGTGCGCATAGATTATTGCAACAAGCGACCAACGCTAGAGACTCGTCTGGCTGAGACGTCCATGCCGTTAGCAGAAGCACAATTGAAAAGGCTGGTTGCTTCCATTTGCGAGGCTATGCCGTACCTGATGGGCGAGGTTGATGAAAGAGGTGCTCGACTCACCATACTGCAGCAACAGGCTATCTTTATGTGTCGCCTCATCTGGCCACTTGCTATTGTCATTGTAAGCCCACAAAGCACCCATCAACAGATTCAAGATTGCCGAGCAAGATTGAATTGGATTAGGGGTCAATATGGAATAAAGCTTGCTTCAGATGTTTTAAATTTAGCAAAAGATCTGATATGCTAGTATTGCGACATCACTTAGAATAATAAGAATATGGAGTTTAGTAGCTTAAGACGAAGGAATAAAAGTAGTTTTATAGTAACTACCTGGACTAGACATGTGTCTTTCACCTGATCGTTCGATCTAAGGAAGTGTTGCTGATACACAACCGATTGGTGGGTTAAAAGCCAATAGGGTAAGGAGACTTAGTCACTAATCAAGTGTAATATCTTCGGATCGCTAATTAAATACAAAAGTCTAGTAATTTATCGACCTAGAGAACTAGGGTAGTTAACCAGGAAGCTTCACCACTTATAGAATTACTCTGTCATCATAGATAAAGCTTAGGATATAGTAAAGAGAGTATAATCGAGGGATCTGTAATATGTTAGGCATTCGAGATACGCTCTCCAATCGTGCACGCATTGTTGATAAAGGATAACGCGCAACAGTCGCCTCCGGCATCATGATAAAGAAGATAGAGACGATTTTATTGAACAGCGACGGGGCTGACGTGGTCTAACCCCCAGACATTATGCTCTGATCCAACCCTCAATTGAGCACAGGGTTATATGGCAGTGTCAGGACAAGGAATAGCTTCGGATATCCTTATGCTCCTGTGGTGATAGAGGAGCCGTGTCGTAACCGAGCTAGGCTCCTGCGGCGCTTCGATTGGCTATACTTGTTGTGGTCGACTTGAACTCATTTATTCCAGGGGGTGAACTCAAGAAACTCCGCTTGGCTGCTGAGAGCATATATATACTCGCCTTGCTTTGATTGAGTTATGAATGCTCATCCCCTTTACTGTGTTTTTATTTATCTTGAATAGCCTAATGCTACCTCTTCATATATACCCTATCATACCTGAAGCCGGAATCTTGCCAAGTCAAGGTATACTGATGTCTAAGGCAATGTGAGTCTGGTCTGTAAACTCTAAATAGTAGCCAAACAGCCACAATGCTAAGACCTCTACCTATATTCATCGGCAGTTCGAACAACAGGGAACATTGGGCGAAGCTTAAGGCAGTGTTAGCCAATCGGTCATTCTGGCATTGAAGTAATGCGGGAATTGAATCTAAAATTTCAGCCTTTCTGACTCTCAGCTGAAAAGGCTCGCCTTAGATTACCAGAAAAATGACAACAAGTAGCATACCGTGTTATAGGCTTTAGTCTTAATATCTATTAGTTAATAAGGGTAGCTTATAGAAAGCAATTAATTAGGGTGTAATATCATTTACTATATGAATATAGATTGGTTATACTTATGTAAATAATAGTCTAGAGAAAAAAGAAACTTTAATTTTGAGAAATAATAAAAAAGATAAAACTTTTATAAAAAGAAAAGCTTTTAAAATTATTTAGTTTATATTATTAGTTACAGCTATATATGTAAAGTGAAAGATTTCAAAAAGGGATTTATTAAATACAGACTAAACATTAAAGTAAGCAATAATAAGCGTAAAAACACACTTTGTCTTATTACCTTGTACAATTACTTAACTACCGTTTAGATCCTTCTAAAGAAAGGAAAGGTTTAATGACTCCCCTCCCCAGCTTTTGTCAGTATAGATACCATATCCTCCCGCGCCTTGGTTAAATCCTTCTCTCCGCTCTTTACTGCGCCTAAGCTAAGGGTACCTATAGTAACCCTATCCAGCGCTGTTTCTTGTTTTAAATTTCGTTGAAACGCGTCGCCACCCTTCTGAAGCAAGAATGACATAGCGTCAACAGATTCCAAACGTAGGGCTGCAAGATGGACCGGCGTATTCCCATCAACATCAGCGGCAATGGGGCTCGCGCCATAGGTGAGTAGAATAGAAACAGCAGCCACATTAATGGGCAAAGAGGTATGAGTGCTGCAAAACAGGATATGTAGAGGTGTTTGGCCCTTCTCGTTACATATACTAGCATCTGCACCCTTGTCGCAAAGAAATTTGAGGATGGACGTGTAAAATAACTCATTTAGCCACAAAGTGTAGACGGCATGATGTAAAGGTGTGTTCCTATTATCATCCTGAATATTAACTAATGTTGGATCGTATTCTAGGAGGACTCCAATAGTACTAATAGTATCTTCTGCCCGTTCCTGGAACCCAGATTCTGGGACATCTCGACACTCTGTTACCATATGATTTTGAGATGCCCAATGGATAGGAAACAGTCCACGAGTGTCTCGAGGACGTAGCATATCCGAAATTTCGACATTGTCGCCTCGGAAATCGATCAGAATCTTGATAGCCTTAGAGTTATCGAAAAGACAGCCAACAAATAGTGCGGTGGCATGATGAAAATCCTCATCTCCTGCATAGAATCCCAAATCCCAAGCGAAGTAGGTGAATTTGGCATGGACGTTAGCGCCACAGTCGATAAGTCTCTTAATCATCTCTGGGCTTGACCATTTCGCAGCCAAAGTCAGAACAGTTTCCGGCATTCTCGGCGTTTCGTGAGGGTCAACCGGCGGGAGGACAACATCGGCAGCGCAGGCACCCCGATCCAGAAGGAAGTTCATCATCCCCTCAGTTGTCTCCAGTCTGACACCAGAGTACGTATGGCATCGAACGTATTTGTGTTGGTGGAGATCTGCCACGGCTAACAGCGCCGTGTTGCCCACCCAGTCCCGGTCGTGGATATCGGCGTAGAAGGGCTGATTATCTAGAAAGAACTGGACCATTTCAAAGTGGCCCCATCTAGCTGCCTCGGTCAACAGCTGGAATCCGACCCTATCGAACCTGATCTTTTCCTTGGAATCGAGGTATTCTAACTCATACGACACGAGAAGTTGAATTATACCGAGGCTTCCATAGTTAAGGGCGTTTAAGTAGATCAGGCTCACGTCAAAGAATCCCTCATCATCGTCCGGAAGGGAGTATAGCTTTGGAATAGCTAGAGGTTCAACAGCAAAGTATCTTTCAAGGGTCTCGACATCGTCTTGCAGAAAGATTTCCTCGTAAAGAGCTCTATCCTCTGTTTCATACAGAGTAGAACCATCTCGATCTGTTATGGTAAGGTGTTCCGTGCGATAACCATATGGATGAGGAACCCGTTCTGGTTTCCGAGTGAACTTTCGGTAGGGTGATTCAACAGTGAGGGGAGCCGGTGTAGGCATGGTGGTGAAGTGCTGGAAGACAATGTTTACGAGGGTAACAGCCTGCAAGGGCTCACTGAGTATTTAAAAGGATTTAGTCAGTGTTCAAGTTTCATCGAGTGGAGTCAGGAGGGACTTTTTATAGCCAATGAACTACACTGCCAGGGCCCAAGCTCAAATTACCACATGTTCCCTTGCGAGTGGTACAGGCTGGCAGCAAAGGCCACGGCCAGACTATCCTGCTCTGGATGTTGTAGAGAATTTGGACAGTTAGGTGATCATACGCTTTTGAACGACCACTTATAAGATATACCGAAGCACTAATATGATGAAAGAAAGCAAGCTCTGTCCTCACTTGTGAGCCATGATGAGGCACCTTTAGGACGTCACCAAGAATCTTCTGATTACTCGTTACGTTGCCGCTCAAGCAATGCATCAGATTGCCTGGGGTGCTCTTGGGTTGGGCTGTAGGGCCGAGATCATATTCTGTCAGGATTCTTTTTTTGGATGCTTGCTTCCTAGCATCGTTCCAATTCTTCATCTTTTCAACACCTGAAGTGAGTTTTATCGAAGGGCATTGGGAGTTGACCAAACCAAGGGCGCCAGACATTCAGGCTATCGAAAATTTCAGCATTTTATCCAGACGTATCGGCCGGACTCAGGCCAAGCCGGGGGAGAGACGAATGATATACTAGCTCGATATCGCACCATCACCATGCACATAGTAATTGACCATACGGGGACCAGTCTTCTATACCAACCAGCTTACGAGGGGTTATCAAATGTCCCTAAACCGTCTGATTTCCTCCAGTTGATCAGAGCCAGGAACAGAACCGAAACTCTGTATCTTCTCTACATCATCTCGCCACTGCTAATATTGGCAGAATTTGAAGCCGCTCTACCCTTAGCAGGGATTGCACTTGGAAGCTAGCTAGGACAGCTTATAAGGTCCTCTATACCTCATAGCTTGCGAAACTCAGCTCGTAAACTTAACAGCTAATATCTAAGCTGAGTTAAGCTTATCAAATCAAGAGTATTACCCCTACATAACTGTTAAGAGTTGTACTACAATAGAACTGCTAACTAAAGCGACTAGAGATTCTTAATGCAACCTGTACGCCTGTGAATACTCTTTGCCGATGACTGCAGTGCAGTAAGAAGTGTTTATGAATCAATATTATATACCAGAGGCAGCAGTAAATAGCTAAGAAAATATATCAATCTGGTTATAATTTATTTACTTTATTACCCGCACTTACAGCCTTGGTTATTGTTCGTTATAGTCAGCTTATAAACGACGGTTTACTACAGTGCTTGTTAAATTAACTTGAGGTTGTATGTAATAATAAAACGACTGAGATAAAGCAATTAAATTGCCTAGAAGTTCTAAGTCTATGAATAAATCAGACTTGTTCTAATATTACTTAGAACATATAAGTCAAATTTCGCTAAATATAGGGTAGCAAAAAGCGTAGCCTATGTTTTACCCTTAACATAACGTGGATTGAGAAATATTCCTTGAATATTTCATATCAAGATCGATTTAGTAAGCCATAAAGTACTATGTATGAGAATTGAATAAAGCCTGATTATTCTCTGATTGTAAGAAAGTCACCAAATGCAATTGTACTGAAAGTGAACAGTAATGAACACTTTTCCAGAACACTACAGATGGTCTAGACTCTGTTATTATGAGCTTGGACATCTCCGCTTCTGCAAATCATCCGGCCGTGATGCTACCTTGTTTCATCCTGGCCTGAGTTTCCGAGTTTAGTGGGATATCTTTCTGACGTCTATGTAGACTTAGGTGCCTACTCCGCATATTCGGCGTTATTGTTCCCCGGGCGGGAGTAACAGGCAGGGATCTTGGCCGCTAACCTATCAGCCGCCCCTAATGATAAGTTCGTATTCAAGGATCCTTGCTAGCTCTATAGAGTCATGCCGAGCATTCACAACCAACACCAACATAAACTAACAACCAACACAGCGTTACAGACATCACGGACCTTGCGCAGGAGTCTCAAGTCATTGCAGAGTTTTCATTTCCGTATCCGGCTTGGCATATGATACGTACAAAAACATCCCCGATCTGCAGCACAATAAGGCAATAAACCTCGGCAGATTGACATTTAAGTGGAACATACTTCTGAACGAGAACACGCTTTTCTTCAGGGTCCAGTTGATCCCTACTTGCCGATTACCTAAAGGCAACTTTCGGCCGCTAACATCCGAAGGAGGCAGATCTTCCTCCCGGCCACTTGAGCGTAGCGTCCGAGGTACATTGCGATTGTCATTAGTGTCGCTACGCACTCCATCTCTCGTTGTCAGATGTCTCGGACCATCGAGGATATTTTAAAAACTGAGTATAGATATTTTAACAAGTCGGTTCTGGCGCAGGGTATGTGCAGGTCCATAGGCCGCCTCCAGGAACGAAGATAGATCAAGCAATATAATCAGGGCGAAAGCAGGTAGCCCTAACCATAAAAATAAATCGCGAAAAGGTCAATAAAGGCTGGAGCGCAATCTAACCGCCAGTGGCAAATCTAGGCCGGAAAAGACTCTTTGCACGGTTGGCTTAGGCAGCGGCTAACTTACACAATCACATTTGTCGGTTCGTAGAAGAGCTGGCCAGCGCACGTTTGTGGGTTTGATGGACAAATTAAGTGAAAGGGTATGCCATTACACTGGGATATGCTTGTTAATGTCGGAGATGTGGACCCCAGCTCCAGACCAATTTGCCTCGGTAGGGAAAGATACGACTACTTATGATTTGTCCGGCTCTCTGATTTCCAAATTACAAGGACCTTGAGATACCAAGATGCACGCAATGAAAAGACAGGATAATTTTGCAGGGGTATGTCGTTGAAATTTGGCCGAGCTTTCAGAACCGCTCTTTTTCCAACTGCGGGTAGTAAGACTCCTACCATAACTATGTGTAGCTTTGCCCAAGACTTGGCTCACAAGCTGCATAAGATGAAGATTTAAATAGGCCTTACTTGAATGGTACTAGATAAGGAAGGTATTTATATAGTGGGAGAAGGGTATCGGCCATAGCCACTTAAATTTTCTTCTTATCCGTTGGTAGTGTTTGTAATTTAGTGTCTTTCTCGGCTTCTACTTTCCGGAGTTACTAGGTTTCTCACGGGTCTTGTCGATTAGGCATTGTAGTGCTTCCAGTCAGTATAGCAATTAGAATCACTTGCACTATAATCGTATGAGTAACTAATGGGTGTAGAGTTATAGAGGGGGAAACAGTAGTGTTGGGTCTTAAAAGGGGATGGAAAGTATTACATTAGGTTCTTTTATGAAAAGTCTATTAATGATCCTCATATGTCCAACCCAATCTAAACACCAACACACACATTATAATTAGCCCAAAGGCCGGTACATTTAGACCCAATCACTGGGTTCCACTTAAGTAACTGAGCCATTGTAATTTTATAATACTTCTGGATCGAGTCACATGTCGTAGTAGACTTCACCATATGGAACTTTCTACAGTTACCAACCATACCAGTTTGGATTGGTGGAGGTGTTGAAATGCCGTTAGGAGACTTGGCTGTAGTAGAAGCCTTGGTGATAGTCTTGGTAGGAGGATTCCAACCGATAGTTGCAATACAGACCCAGTAGCCGGTGAGTAGGTGAGTGCAGTCCTTACCAACAGCTGGGTTCCACAAAAGGAAAGTCGAGAGAGGAAGGTTATAGTAGTTCTCAATAGAAGTGCAGGTAGTAGTAGACTTAATCTGGTGGAACTTTTCACAGCTCTTAACCATATTGTCCTGGATGGGTGATGGAGTCGAGATACCATTCGTAGGCTTCGTCGTGGTAGGCTTGGCGGTTATCGTTGTTGTGGATGGCTTGTACCCTCTGACGCTAACGCAGACGTTGTAGTTGGCCCAGAGGCCACTGCAGTCCTCGCCAACCGCCGGGTTCCATGCGAAGAATTGGGCAAATGAGAGCTTATAGTACTTCTCAATAGAATCGCAAGTAGTAGTCTTCGAAACTGGGTGGAACTTAATACAGTTCTTAACCATACCCTCCTGAATAGGCGAAGGGGTTGGAATACCAGTGCCTGCAGGCTTGGTGGAAATTATAGAAGGATTGGCAGTAGGGGTTCCAGGAACGGCAACACAGTACCAGTAGTTGGCCCAAATGCCACTACAGTCATCACCAATAGCGGGATTCCACTTAAAAAAGGTAGCAAAGTCGAATGTACCAAAGGTAGAAATAATACTTTTGCAAGTCTCGCCCTTGGTGGCCATATGGAAAGAGGTACAGGTGTCGATCAAGCCTTCTTGAGTGGGGCTAGGCTTCTTATCGCCTGTTGGCTTAGCCGTAGACTCAGCCGTGCGTGTCGGGGCAGCGGTAGGTGTTCCAGGAACACCAACACAATACCAGTAGTTGGCCCAGATGCCACTGCAGTCATCACCAATAGCGGGATTCCACTTGAGCAAGTCGGCAGAGTTGAATGTGTCCTTGTACTCCGCGATGATCTTAGGGCATGTATCTCCCTTCTTGGCCTGGTAGAAGTTTGTACAGGTATTGATCAGCTTGTCCTGGGTAGGACTTGGCTTGGAGTCCTTGGTGGGTGAGGCCTGGACAGCTGAAGTGGTTGTTGAAGAGGGTTCACCTGGGCGAGGATTGCCATTATTGACCTCAACACAGTATGAGTGGCCAAACTTCATACCGGAGCAATCATCCTTGACAGTAGGGTTCTAATGTGTGTTAGCAACGAATGGCTTGTGTAGGGATGATTGACACGTACATATTCGAGGAATTTCTTGTGCGTCAAATGCCAGCCATCTGCAAGATAATCACAGTCTTGGTAGTCCTCCTCCTTGGTTTCCCACCAAGTGCAGTCGGAAGGCTGTCCAGGATCGACAGTGCCATCCTGGCGTCGGATTCTTTGGCCTCGAAATGCCAAGGTTCCAGCGGCCAAGATACCGTGGACAAAAAGGGTGAAGAAGTGCATAATGGCTAGTAAGGGCCTGACAAAGTATCAACTAATTGATAGACCAGATAATAGAGATTATACGCTGAAGTTGGTCTTGTCTTTGAGATACTTATATACATGTTCTAGCTCTAGTTTATATTACCAGCCGTCGACTTTTCATATCCAAATCGTGATAATGCCTCATCACGTCAGGTCGGTTACCCGTTGGAGTTCTTAGTCCGTAACTGAGTTTTGCAACGGAGACTAAACCAAACCAACTTGGTGTTGGCTCTGGCAAGTGGTTCCAGCAAGTGGTTCGTCTTACAAACCAACAGCCATCACGAATGAACCTGGACACATAACCAGGCATCAGGATTTATTGCCGAGACCACTTAATGACATGGGTGGAAAACTCGGCGAAAGCCTCATCGGGGAGATTTATCGCCCTTGCAAGATCATCCTATCTTGCCGTTCTATACGGCTTGGCATCTTCAAGTCCTTGCCTTGCAGAGGTATGAGAGCCGAGCAAAAAATGTTACGTAGTATCCATACTTGTGCACCGAGGCTTATGCCGTACATTTGTGAATACGGGAACATGTGGACTGAGGTTAGTTGCGGCACATCCGTACAGGATCGTGAATGAGGCGAATACTAAACATATCCCAGTCCGGAGTTATCGGCAAGGCAAGACCCTAGTCTATCTGTTCCAAGGTGAAGCCTGCCTAGCCTCATGGCTGTTTCGCTAAATGTTATTCACTCTTTGAACCAACAACGCCAAGGCGCTTTCTCGGCCGAGGATCCATAACAATAGTAAATCTTTGACATCGTTTTCGGATCTTCCTCCACCGGTGGATCTCAAATTTTAGTTCCTGTTTTATTACCCAAATTTTGTTAGACTACGAGGAACCTCTCTTTCTACACTTTTCGGTGCACTAATGGAGCCGATGTGGTCATGCCAGTACTGAATCTCAATCTTGTATGAGTAGTCACGGTATTATAATTGTTATAATGGTTATAATTGTGCTTGATGGATTGTTCCTCTTCCAAGATCTAGACTCCCCACTTCAGACTTAAAGAAAAATAAGCAGTCAAATTCTCAAACACGTTCCTGAATTAGCTTGTGACCAAAAATTGGTAGCGTCAAGGTTGTTTTACGTGGATGTTAGCGCCTCCTATCAACGTTCTTTTAGGCCAGTGGACAGGGGTTGCTTAGACCCTGAAAAGTTCTCTCCTCTCGGCTCGGGGCTTCATCCCTGACTGTACTGTACAGTTGAACTCTGCTGCGTATGGGATGTTATGTGCCATACTGGATAAAAATAAATTCCAGTTGCATATGCAGAAGCTTCTTGTCCACGACCTATACAACTCTGTGTTGGTTGTTAGGTTATTTTGCGGCTCCATGAGGCTAGCAGGGGCAAATACTGATCGCCACAGGCGTAACATTAGCCACCGGCGGCGCAGCCAGAAGTCAAGCCCCTTGCACATCACATCAGGTCTCCCGCTCCTGCCAGGTAACATTAGTGCCGGATCTAGCCCGATGCCGCTGGTAATTAGTTTTAGTTTTGGCTAAATTAGGAAGGCCAAAAATGCAAGTAAGGAAGTTTATGCGTTAAACAGTGTATCTCACAAACCTAGAAGCTGTGGCCGGGGTTGAATAGCCTGATAGCGTCACATCAGGTATCGATGATTCAAAGGAGCCGCTGTTGGCAACGCGGGATGCGGCAACTGGTGGGTCTCGTATGATGACAAGGCGATTTTTCCGCGCAAAGTAGAGACGGCAAAGCTCTCATGTTCTCGCAGCGTTACAGTCCAGAACATATCTCAAAAGTTCAGAGAGGAAAGGATCAATCACACGGCGGTTTTAACTTGAATCTATTAAGTAATGTCTGATGTTATTATTAAGGTGATGCTACACATTAAGCAAGGTAATCTATTCTCAGTCTGTCTCTTAAGCCAAGGTACGAAGGATTTAAAAAATAGGGTGTAAAAGTTTGCGACTGTCTTGGCTACCCGGTACCTTCTTGTAAAATATTACATAGCGAGATGTTAAAGGCTTCAAGTAAACTGGAAAACCTTAATTCGGCCTTCGTGTAGAGATATACTCTGCCTATGTCTCACACTCCCTTATCCTTCATACATTCATCATTCCGCCCTTGACATATTTTTCGTGCAGTCTGTCCATCCGTGTTTGGTAGATCCAGTAACTCCGCCCCTCCAGCTTTTATCAGCCTAGCCATCATATCCTCTGGTATTCCCGTTATTCCCTCATCTCGCTCTACCAGACAGACACCACGAGCAGCTGTATGAAGAACATTATCTTGTTTCAGGTTTCTTTGAGCCGGGTCAGCGCCATGCTCAAGCAAAAGGGAGACGGCGTCGATGAAATGCCAGTTCCTGGTTGCAATGTGCATTGGCGTATTACCAGCGTTGTCGACATCTGTAACCTTGGCGCCGTGGGCGAGCAAAATTGATATAGCTGCTGTGTCGATGGGTGCGTCATCGCCATGGGACTGGAACATGGTATGCAGAGGGGTTTCGTCCTTGTAATTACGAAGGCTTGGATCTGCGCCCCGGTTAAATAGGAGTTCGAAGACAGGAGTGTACATCTTGCCATTCTTGCCAAAATATCGGGTTGCGTAATGTAAAGCTGTATTTCCGTCATTGTCTTGGACGTTGACTGTTGTTGGAGCGAAGTCCAAGAGCTGCTCAATCGTACGAGCGACATTTCCGGCTCTTTCGTGGAGCATAGATGTCGGGATGAGTCCATGCCTATCTGGCAACCGGTTTCGAGCCGCCCAGTGGATAGGGAGGCTTCCAACGCAGTCTGTAGAGCACACCATGTCTGCGATAGTAACTCCATCACCTCTGCGATACACCAGAGTCTTGACGCCGTTGGGGTTTGCTTGAAAAGATGCAAGGAACAGTGCATTGACCTCAACTAGAACAGGTAAATCACGTTGATCCTGGAAGTCCAGCTCCCACGAGTTTGCTTCCACCTTATAATGGATATCGGCACCACCATCGATCAGTCTTTCAAGTAAATCAGTACTTGCCCACTGCGCAGCTAAAGTGAGAACAGTAGGGAGCATTAGATCCTTATCGTTTGTTGGATGGACAACATCAGAAGCGCAAGCACCATGATCAAGTAGCAGATTCATAACAGCCTCGTTATTTTCAAAGCGGATCATATCCCAGTCGGGGGTAAAACAAGATCGGAATGAAAAGAGATCCGCTGCCGCTGCAAGTGCTGTAAAGCCTCTAATATTATCCCGATCGTGAATACTTGCGTATAATGGCTGGGTATCGAGGAGCCATTGCACAATCTCGATTTGGCCGAATTGGGCGGCCACATTCAAGAGTTGAAAGTTGGCCCTTGTCAACCTGATCGGTTTCGTCTTATCAAGACCTTTTGTGGTATAAGCCAAAAGCGTTTGAAGTGTGCCGAGACTGCCACTTTCGGCTGCGTAACGGAAACAATCGCCAAAGTCACAGATGGCCTCATCGTCATCAGGAAGCTCAAATAGGTTTGGAACGGCCCGAGGGTCGATAGCGAAGTATTTCTCCAGGAATTCAACGTCGTTATGAGTAATTATGGTAGAAACAAGGTCCTGGCCTCCACGTTCGTGGATAAGAGAACCATCGCGATCAGTTATAGTCACGGGCACGTCGAAAGGAGGTCCAGAAGAGTTGTATTTGTTGATGGGTTTTTGAGTAAATTCCCGATAGGGTGACTCGGCTTTGGGAGGGAGAGAAGGCGCCATGGTTGTGATGGATGAGTTCGTTGAAGAATGGAAGAAATTGTTGGATGAGAGTCATAAAGTAATGTATGTGGGTTTATGATTGATAATTATAAAACTGGTTCAGCCTGAAAACTTCAATAAGTGGAGTTATTCAGGTCTATTTAAAGCCAATCAAATTCAATCAACCTTTCGGTGAAGACTCATAGGAGAGCCCAAGCTTAAATTATTATGGAGTACGCACAGGAATGCTCAACTAATCACACGCCCCCGTCGGAAGCTGTCGTAACGTAGCAACAGCCCACTAACGAATCTACCCCCTCAAGTACTACAATTATCGCTCAGTATGCAACTCCAACACAGACATAGTAGTGCAGCCAGAGACCAGAACAGTCAGTGCCAACCTTAGAATTCCAGGTGTAAAAGTCTGCTAACTTGACATGGTACTTCTCAGCGATAGAATAGCAACCGTCGCCATTATCAACGTAGTGCCACTTGTTGCAACCATTGACGATACCAGGTTGTAGAGGGCTCGGCACCTTTTCGCTGGTGGAAGTCTGCGTCGCCGAAGCAGTCGTAGTAGCTGACTTGGTACCTGTAGCGGTGCTAGTAGCAGTCATCCCAGGAACAACCGTTCCTGTCGCCTTAGGTTGATCCCAGTCAGCAAGTGGCTCAACGCAGTAAGCATTGCCAACAAGCAAATCTTTGTCACAGGTGGCCTTGCTCAGAGATGGATTGATTTCGGTTAAGAGGTTGATGGCAACATTATTCGCAAGACAAATCTGCGTACAGCTGAGGGTACCATCGTATGTAAACCAATGGCTACATTCCAGAGTAGTGCCGTTGGCAACAGGCGTACCAGAAGGGGGATCAATTCGCTGGGGGTCAACGCTCGCCGTGTTGTTGTTGATTGGCTGGCCAGCATATATTCCACCAGGTGTTGAAACACACAAAGTATTACCCCAGAAGGGATCCGCCTCGTGCAGATTGGTGCAATTCCAATTGATCTGAGAATTGTATGACAGCAGCTGATCGCTCATAATTCCGTTGTTGAAGGCGATATCGAGACAAGTGTCACCCTTCTGAACCTGATAAATCTTGGTACAGCTAAGCGGAAGGCATAGGTTTGTTCCAGCAGCGATCTTAGTACAGTCGAAGATATTGGAGTTGATGTAATACATGGTCGCTGCAGACACTCCTTGAGAGAGCGCGATTGAGTCGCAGCTATCGCCGGCTTTAGCTGTGTATGTCTTACCAGACACACAGGTATCGCTACTGGCATCGGGGTTCGTAAGGTTGAATGCACCGTCAGTAGGATTGAAATCATCTACTTTCAGGTCGCAGGCTTTTGCAACGTATTCATAGTTGGACTGAGCATACTCGTCATAAGCATCGTTGTAAGCATCAGCTTGCATCATTCTATATTGCTCGACGTTGCAATAAGAGCATAAGTCTGACTTGGAGAGCTTAGAGAGGTCGTCGAACTCAGGAAACGCGGCAATAACATCTAATAGAATTAGTATGAATTTAAGAATTATTTGCCTTAGGACGATGCTTACCATGACAGAACTTTCCTGTTTTGGGGTCGGTAAAGCAAGTCTGGTTCCAACTGCTCCAGAACTTATCAACTATGTGGACAAAAGACATACCGGGGATCAACTCTTCAGTGCCACAAGACAAAGCAACCTTTGCTCGCATGTGTCCAATAGCACCTCCACAGGATGAGCGGCATACTAGCTTAGTCACCGCTGGATCATCACTGTCAAGATATCCGTTCGCCGCTATGTCTGCAGTCACATCGACGCAGTTGATGTACTGGTACAGAGTGGCTTCGCAAACATCGGGCAATCCCGCATCAGAAAGAGAGCCTTGAGGGAACATGGCGAGACCAGAAGCATCTACCAATCGAGCGACGATGGCGAGGCCAGCAAAGAGGCCATTGACATGTTCAAGGGTAGCCCTCATCATGTAGTGTAAGGAAAATTAAAAGAGTGACAGAATGTGCTAAAAGAGGGATTAAAAGAAATATGTTCTGATAGCTAATTGACACCGATGAAGAATGAACAGCCTTTATGAGTTGCAATGGCATGGGCTAAGTGACCAACTCAATTAACTCATTTCTGAATCGAAATCGAGCCAGCATGTATGAGGTTTTGGATACAAAAGCGGCTTAGTCGGTCCTTTCATTCCAAAATGGTGGTTCAAGCGTTAAAATTCCACCCTGGAAGATGCTGCCAGCTTGGCATCACAAGGCATGTCACTCGACGGTTACGAAAGCCGAGGTACCTGGCATGAGATCCCACTCGATCCTCTGCAGGTGGATAAAACCATTCAAAACCCTCCTACGGAGTATGATATGACCATATCCACTAATCGATGCTACTGTGATTAGTGCGGGCTTAGAGCGGGTACTTCCGCCACTATCTGTGGATCTGGTTTAATGGATAAGCCCTGGCCAGTATCCTTGTCGGGGCGTGAAAGGACAAGGACCACGGATCTTCGCTATCCACTTTTGCACCTTTGACCATAATTTACCCAAACATAGACAAGTTTGCAACCAACACTCTGAACCAACACTGCCGTCTCGGACATTAATCCTGCCGAAACTGAAAATTTGTGCTGCACGGTCCCAAACGATATTAATGTCACGACAGAGTCAACAGAACCAACAGATATCCATAATCGGAACGACTTCAGGCCGAAAGTTTGTGAGGACCAACAAAAGACGCATGGCATAGCCTTATCCAATCGAACGCCAAGAGGAACAAGGGAACGGCCTCGTAGATGGAGGTAATGTTCGGCACGTTAAAGCCGATTACCAGGGCGTGAAGTGCGTTTTACCCACGACAGTGGAACCAACATACCCAGTAAAGACCGAACCGCAGAATTATCGTTTCAGCTTGTTCGCTGGGCAAGTTAGTCATGAGATTAACCTTCGACTTAAGCATGTTACCCGCTGTGAATGACCATAATGCCGAGGATATTCTTCTACCCGAGATAGGATGACACTTAGGGCCTTGTCTGGTGTACTGAAGCAAAAGTGTGATTATCAAGATAAATGTTCCACTGCCTGTGCAATTATGGTCTTTGTCAAGCAATGTTTGAATCGTAACTAGGCGATTACCTTGTCACTCTTTACTCTTTTCTTGTCTACTCACTCACTTACTCATTTATTGTCAATCTTTTATCATACATTTCGACTTGAACGTCATCTTTCTTTTGGTTATACAACACTCATTCTTATTATCAACATGAGGCTGACGTGGGCAACCACTCTGGTTGCTCTATTACTCACCTCAACCCCTTTCACTGTCGCACAAGACATACACTGCGACAAGAACAAGCCCTGCGAGGTTGGTTGCTGCGGTACCAACAATGTCTGCGGGACTGGTCCAGACTACTGCAGCAAGGCCAAGTGCATCAACAGCTGTACCTACAAGGCTGAATGCAATCCAGGCAAGTGGGACTCGCAGTACTTCAATGCTACCAAGTGTCCCCTCAATGTGTGCTGCAGCAAGTATGGCTTCTGCGGTACTACCGAGGAGTTTTGTGGTGAAGAGACTGTCAAGAGACCGTCTTGCGACATTGGCTCTCAGTCAGTCAAGCGTGTGATCGGTTATTATGGCTCTAGTGGTGCAACACGCGAATGTAACCCCATGATCCCCGAGGCTTTCCCCCAGGGTATCTACACCCACATCTACTTTGCATTCGGTAGTATAGACCCCAAATCGTTCAAGGTCGTACCCGCCAATGCAGGAGATCAGCAACTCTACTCTCAACTCTCTTCACTCAAGACTCGAGACTCTGGTCAAGAGCTTTGGCTGTCTATTGGCGGCTGGACCTTTTCTGACAAAGGCTCTCCAACAGCCACGACCTTTTCAGACCTGGTCAACGCAGACGAGACCCGTCAGAATGTCTTTTTTGCCACTTTGACGCTGTTTATGCAGACCTGGGGCTTTACTGGCATCGATATCGACTGGGAATACCCAGTTGATATAGACCGCAATGGCCGCAAGTCTGATTTCAAGGCCTATCCCAGGTTCTTGAAGCGACTCAAGTCCGCGCTCAATGATTACAAGTATGGCCTTTCTGTTACCCTTCCCACTAGTTACTGGTATCTCCAACACTTTGATCTAGAGAACATTGAACCATCTGTGGACTGGTTCAATATTATGAGCTACGATCTTCATGGCGCATGGGATATCGGTAATAAGTGGACGGGTGCCATTGTTGGAGCCCATACCAACTTGACTGAGATTGAGAGCTCGTTAGATCTTCTTTGGCGTAATAAGGTCTCTCCGTCCAAGGTTGTGTTGGGCTTGGCATTCTACGGTCGATCTGTTACACTTGCAACTTCTTCTTGCTCCGAGCCAGGCTGCCCATATCTTTCAGCTGGAGATGCTGGGTGCAGCGGTGAAGCTGGAATCCTCTTCAACAGTGAGATTTCAGATCTTATTCGTGAAAAGAAGCTCAGGCCCAAGCTATACAAGGACGCGGCCATCAAGACGATACAATGGAACAACGACCAATGGGTCTCGTATGATGACAGGGATACTTGGAAGCTCAAGACCAACTTTCTCAAGTCTCAGTGTCTCAGTGGAGTCCTGGTATGGGCCGTCGACTATGATGACGACAAGCATACCTACTCCAAGGGGCTTGCAGCAGCACTGGGCATTAAGATCAACGTTGACTCTGGCACCGGCTTAGAAATCAAGCTTCCCTCTAAGAAGGATAGTTCCAACGACTTTTGTTACTTTACCAACTGCGGCCAGACATGTCCCAGCGGTTATACTGAGATCGTCCGCGGTGACGATACCTCGCAGATTATGCTCGACTCGACGCAGTGTCTCGATGGTTCGGCTGAGACACAGACCTTGTGTTGTCCCAAGTCCTCCAAAGTGCCAAAATGTCAATGGAGAGGTCACAGCAACTCGGGCCATTGTACTGTTGGGTGCAACTCCGGCGAGGTCGAGATAGCCACCCTTGCCACAGGCTGCAAACACTCGGGGTGGCAGTCAGCTTGCTGCGAGGCTACTGAGTCCACCAAACCTTGGTCGAAATGCAAGTGGACGGACCTCTGCTTCGACGATGATACGTGCCCTTCTGGATACTCTTCACTTGTTGCAAAGTCCCGAGAGGGTTGGAGCGGCCGTCGCTCATGCAAGAACGGCAAGCAGTATAACTACTGCTGCACTGAGACTCCCAAGGCATTCAAGAACTGCAAGTGGGTTGGTGATGCAGTCAAACTACTCAACGAGAAGTATTGTAGCGACGCTTGTCCGCATGGATCTACTCGCATTGCTGAGCAACAAGTCAAAACATTGTTTAACGCCAACAAGCCAGCCAACTCCATGGATTGTGTGGATGGCGCCGAGGCCTATTGCTGCGCTGGCGACAGTGAGTCTGACAAAGACGAGAGGTCCATTATCGTGTACCAGGACAAGGATGCAAAGGAGTTTGACTATGCGCTGCGAAGGTTTCTCAGAGACCCTGTCTGTCCCGACGAAGAGGTTCAGTTCGGTAGCGATGATGGGCTCAGCAGTGATGAGGGGATCAGCGCACGAAGTCATCTCCAGGGACGCGCCACAGACAATTCAGCAGTTCTATCTGTGCTCCTCGGCATAATGGGAGTTTGGGTTACGTCTCAACACCCACGACAGGATTTGACAGATATTTACAATAGGGACGTTAGGGAGGCAGGGTTTGCCGAAAATGCTGCTAACCTCACCACGTTTACTCATCTGCTGTATCAGAACGACTGGAATGGTCGACCAAGGTACTCCGGCAGAGCTGTCGCCAGAATGACACTCTGCAATCTGGCCGAGTCGAGAGAAGGTTTGGAGAACCTAGCTACTCTTCCAGAAGCTCTATGCGAGGTTCCGTCGAGCACTGGCTCTGAAGCTCGCAAGCGAAATCTTCAGGCTCGGACGATCAACGTCGCGGTTATAGATGATCGGGGTGGTACGAACGAGATCCAGCCAAGCGCTGCATATATTTTCACAGCAATCCAACTTGGACATCTAAGCTTGCACTATATGCGATGGATCTCAACTCGTAACCAACAAGTCATTCTTGAGGTAGCTTACTGGATTGGACCCTCTCCCGGTGTGGAAGATCCAGCCAACTCGTACCGAAACCTATACCGCGATCGGAGTCACGTGAATGCAGCAGATCGATGGGTCATCATTCACTTCCACATCCCATTAAATGACAACACCTTCTGGACTGAACCGAACGGTGTAAACGATTACTACCTTGGTGTCTCGTCCTTCGGCATGTATCACAGTCAGAGCGTGCATCAAATGAGACCCCCCCGAGGTTACCGAGGACCTATTGATGACCGAGCCGAGTGGATGTAAGTACGCCGTAAACTGATGGGTATTATAGTGCTAACATGTTTCTGCTCCAGATACAGCAGCTCATATGCTCACGGCACATTGAACGTTGGAGCTTTCACTGACTACAACCGGCGAAGGGAACCTTTTAACTGCAGGCTTTCACGTCCAGGTCCAAGTGCAGGGCCTGTATTTTATCTGGGCCGTGACTATACTTCTCACATCCACGATCTAAGAACAGCTGGCCGGGATACTGCCTTGGCTTCTTTGATCAATGATTTTGTAAGTATCGTTCTGTTTCATTTCTTATAGAGGCCAATCACTAATACAATATCTGGCAGGGCCAGCACATTCATCAGGCGGGCATTTTCAGATCAATTAACCTCGCGAGGATATGGCCTGCGGCCGCGAATGGAAACTTGCCTGCAGCAGGAAGCAACTGGGGTTCTAGACGATACGCCCCTGTTGCAGACGCTTTCCATATCAACTTTGACCTTGATGGAGTTCGGGTAAGAAATATCCAAAACTCTGATCCGTAAGAGCATTTTTTCATACAAGGGTATAATATTGGATTCTACATAGAGTTAGTAGACAGTTATGTGAAAGCCGTAGTATTATAATTAATATACTCACTTAAGATCTATATCGGTATAAATAAAAAGTATATATATAAACTATACTGACTATTTAATTAAGTTAATAATTAAAGTAAGGATAACTACTCAAGTATTATCTTAACTTAGCGAAGGGGATGATATACCTTGCAGTTTAGCTAGAATCGAACCTATAAAAGGTACAAATAAGAAAATAAAAGTAGGCTTCTTAATATATATTATTGTATTAAATTTCTCTTTAAGTCAAAACTTATTTAGCTTTTATTTATACTAAGTTTAACTTTCAAAATTTCCTTATAATCCTAATTAGTTAACACGTATATATTTCCTATTTACTTACTATTTATTAACATCTTTACTAATTACCTACTTCAATACTTAGCCTGCTATAGCCTTTATAAAAAGGCCTATTAGCCTAAATATTATATCTTCTAGTACTGCCTTATAGCCTGATCTTAAAGTATGTCTTTAAATTACTAGTAATCAACTTTAAGTTTCTTACTGTAGCTTTTATTCCGAGGTTATTATTAATATTACTTGTATTCTTATACTATAAGCTTAGACTTATAGCCTAACTAGTATCCTTTCCTCGATTTACTATTAAAAGCTAGTATTTATTTATATAGAAGAATATAGTTAAATAGAACTATTATCTTATTACTGAATTTGTTACTATATTAGCCTTTTTTAATACAAAGTATAATAGTCTTATTGTAGTTATGAATAAGAGAACTAGTAATTATATTGTGTAAGTACTTTGCGAATATAGTATTGCCCTTGCTATCCTGCCTAAATTTTATCACAGTGTAATATCTCGTGCTACAATAGTTAGGGATTTAATAGATTTCTTTCTAAATACTTAAATTAAATTTCTAGCTCGCACTAATGAAGTACCTCAAGAACAGAATAGAACATATAACTAAAATGGAATTATTAGTAGCTATAGTAGTAGGAAAGGTAGTACATTTTAATATACCTATGCGTTAATACACATGGTCTCAGCTCAATCACAATTTCTCCCGACCAACTTAGCGTCACGAGCTTGTGTAATAGATTCAGCCAGCCCTGTTGGTGCCACCATTACTATCTTCATGTACACAAGCGGGTCTATTGCAATCGAGAGCCGTTTTCAAGTACGTGCAGCTTTCTGTAAAAACTTTGGCTTTGTCGCCCTATCACTATTGGCTACTTACACTCCGAGGACCTTCAGCCAGCCGACAACAGAAGCGTGGCAAGGAGCATACAGAGGGGAAATCCCATTGGAAGTACACCCAATCCACAACGCTATACTCCCCTTCTGTCACCTCCTCTTCCGCCCCGTCCCCCACTCCCTATGATCCCCTTCCTCGTCCGTTCCGTGCCCCTCCACGTCCGGAACGACCCCTTCCAGAACCAAATTGCAGTTGCTCAGATGGCTCACGAGGCAACCCAGCAATTCTCCATTGCTCTCTTCTCCTTTGGCATATTTGCCGTGGAGTTTCACCATGCACATCTGGTAGGTCCATCAATTCTTCTCCTCCAGCTTTCACCAGTCTCGCTAGCATATCGTCTTGCGATCTTATTATTACCTCAGCTTTAACCACACTTTGCCGCAACCGACCAGAAGCAGCCCTATGGAGAGCCGTCGCTTGTGACGAGTCTCTTGCTGTGGGGTCTGCACCGTGATCAAGCAAGCACGATACGGCATCGGCAAACCATAGGTTTCCAGCTGCAATATGCAAGAGTGTACTACCAGCAAAAGTGTCTGTAACCCTCGCTCCATGGGCGAGTAAGACAGATATAGCAGCCGGGTCGATAGGTACATTCGTTATGCACGTGTCGAACAAGGTATGCAGAGGGGTCTGCCCTTTACTGTTGCGTATGCTGGCATCACCACCCCTCTTACATAACAGTTCGAAAATGGGGGTGTATATTTTGCTGTTTCGACCAAACGATTCTGTGGCGTGGTGTAAAGATGTGTATCCTTCTTGGTCCTGTATGTTGATTGCCGCGGGGTATAAGCCGAGAAGGAGTTCAATGAGGCTTGTGATATTCTGTACTCTTTCTCGTAATAATGATTTTGGGATATTTTCCAAATCGTCCAGGGGTAATTGATTCTTAGTTACCCAGTGGAGAGGAAGGCGACTTAGACTGTCTTGACAGCACGCCATACTCTCGGCAGTAACGGCACCTCGACAATTAATCAGAGTCTCGACAGCCTTGATGTTTGCATGATAACACGCAACAGCTAGTGCATTGACCCCAGAAGCAGAAGCACCATTATACATTGGCCATTTTGTGATAGTGGTATGGACGTCGGCGCCGCAATTAATGAGTCTCTTGATCAATTCAGGGCCTGCCCACGTAACAACCAGAGTCAGAACATTGTCTAGGGTCAGGGTCTCCTTATTATAAGGAACGACATAAGTATCAGAAGCACAAGCACCTTGATCCAGCAGTAAATTAATTATCGCTTCGTTGTTCTCAAGGCAGACCTCATTCCATTTTGGTTGGAAGCAGTATCTCTCTGAATAGACATCCGCGGCTGATAATATGGCAGTGTAGCCTTTGCTATCGCGATCTTGGATGTTGGCATATAGTGGCTGATGGGCGAGTAAGAATTTTACAATCTCCATACGACCGTATCTGGCAGCTTCATTTAATAGCTGGAACCCGCGTGGTTCGAATCTTATCGGTTGAGTGGAAACGATATCCCTTGGGGTGTTGTTTAAAAGCCATTGAAGTACATCTACGCTTCCACTTTCGAAAGCCAGGCCGAAGTAATCAGTTGTTTCCATGATCTCTTCTTCACCATTCGGAAGCTTTGGAGCGAAATATGGTGCAATAGTGAAGTATTGCTGAAGTGCCTCAACATCGTTTTGCTGGACGATTGTATGTAGAAGGGGCAAATCTTCCAGTTCATAGAGAAAGGAACCATCTCGATCAGTCATGGTCATGAACACTCGGTCTGGTTCATCTTCTTCACCAATGAATTCATCATTAGGGTTAACCCTGAATATTCGATAGGGCGATTCGGTTCCGGAGACATCTGGCGGAGCCATGCTATGAGCGGTAGAGCGAAGCTAAAAGATAAAGAATTGGTTGGGTGTTGTTTGTGAATTACAACGGTTCACGGCCGGTTTTTATTGACATTCTAGTCCCAATAAGTGGAGTTATCGTAAAACATTTATAACCAATTAAACAAAGCTAAGGGAAGCTCGGCGAAGAGTCAGGGTTTACTCCGTACTGCGTCCAGAACTATCTAGTCACACGCCCCCTGCCAATCACGTTTATAAGTGATCATGAGCAACGAAAGCCCCAGTATTTATAGTATAACTAAAATTCTGGGAGAGGTTGATTTATAGAGAAGAGCAGAGTAACTAGCGGTATATCCTTTGGTAAATCACTCTCCACTCGTCTATAAGAAAAACACTCTGGCTAATACTAAATACAGTTTCCCCATTATTACCAGTTGTATCGCATGCTACTTCTCTAGCATCATAGGGGCTAATCGACGGATAGCGGATGTGGAGGTTATAAGAAACCAGATAGAGGAAATGGCGTTTCCATCTTATGACAGGCAAGGTAAAACTGGATTCTTAACATTTAAGTGTCGGCCTAAATTGGATTAGCAGAGGATAAGGGAGCGTAAAAGAAGGAACATGTAGAAGACTATGGAGGCTCTTTGGCAAGAGGAGTTGCTCAAGAGACACAGATGTCAAGTTATGGGATTTTAAAACCAATAGGCTAAGCTAAATAAATAGGGATAGAAGTAGAGAGTAATATAGTAAGTAAAGCGAAAACGGAATGAAGTTTATTTAAATGGTTAATTAGAGTTTAAGCTTTAATGAGTAATATTACTATAACCTTTAAGAATCTTAACACTTATAGTTTATTTTATATTCTAATGCCAATTAGTGATTGGTTTAACTGAAGGCTAAGTAGTGATCGAGTACGATACAAATTCTGTGCATAGAGATAACCTTTCTTGATTAAGCTTTATTAAAAATGATTCTTAAGCCAATATAATTTTCTATTAATAAATGAAAACAGCAATTAAAAAAGTAATTAGTAAGATAAGCTAATAGTTACATAGTTAACTCATGCATGTATGAAAAACAAAGAGGTTTAATTACTATTTCATAGGTAATAGGAATAAGATGCTAAAGAGGTCAGACTAAGGCTGGCGGCTAAGCTTTGAAATTCGTCTCATCAATCCAACTTTTCACTGACATGTTTCCGATTGTTCCACCCAACGCCACGACAAGAGCCTGATTGTCTGCTCTTAAGGCAGAAGACAGCGCTGTTCTACCTTAGTCATCCCGTAACGCTACGTTGGCCTTGCCGACCTCAAGTAGCAACTCTACCAAGCCGAGGTCACCGCGTCGTGCCGCCCACATCAACGGCGTGCGTCCAGAACTGCCTCTTGCGTCGGGTTCTGCCCGCCCTGTGTCAAGAAGAAGGCGTACAGTCGTTGTGTGACCATTCCGGGTTGCCCAAGACACAGGTGTCTCCCCATGTGAGTCGGGCATTACCGGGTGGCACCCTTGGCAAGAAGAAATTCGATGGTGGCAACCTGCCCGTTCCGTGCTGCCCACCAGAGTGGCGTATGCCCTACGTTGTCCCGCATATCTATATTTGACGCATCTATATCATGGACAAGCTTTGCTGTCGCAAGGTCGCCTACGCGAAGAGCCCATCAGAGGGCTATGCGGCCCATGTCATCGGGATCTTCCTCCGAGGGAAGCACGTGATGAAGTAGTTCCCTTACCAAATCAAACGAGCCGAGTCGTGCAGCCCTAGCTAAAGGCCCGAGACCATAAATGTCATTCATCATAGGATGTCCGTCTTTACGACAAATCTCCCTCACCACCTCAACACAACCATTCTCTACAGCCCATAGCAGCGGTGTCTTCTGCTCCTCATCCACTGATTTTGCCTGTACTTCAGGGAAGCCAATCAACATCTTTACTATCCTAACCTGTCCATTGCCCGCTGCCCATGATAAAGGGGTGCAAAGGGGTGCGGCCAGTGTTGTCTCTTGAATCCGATTCAACTTGTCGATCCATGCTTAGATCCCCAACCATCCCTCTATGCCCATTCCCAACCGCATAAGAGAACGGCGTCCGCCCAGTGTCATCGGAGAGGTCTAATTTCGTGATTTCTGTATCCCGGAGCAATCTCACAACTTCTTGGTGATTATTCTGTGCTGCCAGGAACAGTGGTGACCTGCCGTGGTCATCCACTTAATCCAGAATCACTTTGCCAGTGTCACGAAGAGCTTTGACGACTTCTCGATCTCCTGCCTGAGCTGCCCACCAGAGCCGGGTGCGTTTTCCCCTATCCGACAGGTCTGTATGCGCTTCCGCATCTAGAAGTGTCTTCGCCATTGAAAACGACCCATTTCTTGCGCGGTAATATGAAAGCGCTGTACTCCCGCGTTCAATCTGGGTATCAGCAACAGCGCCAAAATCTAACAAAACCATAACAACTTCCTCCCACCCATTCCGTTCGGCCTGCACACTTATGAATACGTTTCAACCCCTGTGGCGGGCTTAGATACTCAGGAAATGTTTATAATCTTGAGCCCTCTTTTTACAGGGGGGTCAATCTCGCATGGGACAATCAGTCACTGGACAAATCCTTAACGCTCTTGGCTTGACTCTTATGTATATTACAGGCTTCATGGGATGCTGTTAGGTGATGGTAGTTGGAGAGAGCCCAGAACTTGCTGGGGACCAAAGAAACACTCATCCATCTGAGGACAGAGTAAAGACCCTAAGTCATAACTGTGACCTGATGAGGTTTCCCCAGAAAGCATAAACATAAGTTCTGCTGGCATCTGCCCGTATTCAGTGCTGCTAATTGATGGAGCGACCCTCTGATCTTCAGACGACAGTTTGTCCAGGTACAAACATGCAACCTCGTATAGTGCCTGGCTGATGCTGTGGAGCCTACATACTGGAGGGGATAGATTTGCTATAGGTCGCAATGAGTCGACAAAGCCGCGCAGCCTGCTCAGATCGTCGGGATTGCAAGTCTTGACGATGTTGCCAAACACAACAATGAAAGGAATGAAGGGTAACTGAAGGATTCTCCTACATCAAAGTCAGAAACAGGATACTAAATGCTGCTATCAAAGTTGTCATCAAACTCACCAATGCACGTAAATGGATCTAGAGTGATGGTTCTCGTCTGTGAGCTGCATGCATTCTTCATGTGCCTGAAGGGTTTTTCTTGCAAAATCTATACAATCCAGCGAGAAGGTAAAAGAGGCATCCTTCAGAGTCTTGGCTCTGGATATGAGAGTTGCAGCGCAGTAGTATGTAACCTTGTTGGTGAGAGCCAGGAATTTCCCCGAGGTTAGTGCAGACTTATCAATTGGATTTGGCTCGAAAATCTGACTATCATTAGCTGTGCTAATACTTCGTAAAGAGGCTAGACAAAACCGTTTTCTCACCTCTTTATTCTGCAGCCCAAGAGACTGCAACTCAGCCAAAAGGTCTTCTGCGTGTTCCAGCAGGGAGGTCTCGGGCCATGAAAGTGCTGCTTTGCTGTAAAGAAGCTCATACACCTTTCCTTGTATGTTGGCATGTCCGATCCAGAATGAAAACACGCCAGGCCACGGCTCAGGGAAATCGTTACCGCTGAGACGACTGCTGATTGAAATATCGCAATCGCGAATCACCGAGGCACGCCCAAGACGAAAAGAAAGGGCCCTCTCGATGATGTAGGCGTGCCAGAATAGGAGAAATTTGGTGTTTTTCATCCTCTCATCGCCCTCCGACACCATGGTATCGTCTTGCCATCCCATCGTCTGGCAAAGTTGAGCGGCGAAACCAGCCATCCGCCAGGCAAGCCAGGGTTTTGAGATCTCAATGGCATGGCATGACTGGGATATGTGTCAGGGTAGAGTAACAGTGGAGCTGGTGGTTTGGTGACTCACTCCTAAGACAAGTGCTTGGACGCTGTCCATTCTGGCGGGTAAAAATGCCCCGACAGGAACTCCATTGCGGAAGAGGTAGTAACCAGGTTTGTTTCCTAGGGTCTTTCCTCGAATTCTTTCCGATGTTGGAACTTCTTACTAAACAATATGACCCTCAGAGTTTGCCCTACCATATTATTGTCCCGTCCCTTCCTGGATATACTCTTTCGTCAGGTCCCCCTCTTAATCGGGATTTTAGTAATGCAGATGCTGCTCGAGTTATGAACCAGCTCATGGTCGATTTGGGCTTTGGCAGGAATGGCTACATTGCCCAAGGTGGCGACATTGGAAGTGACCTAGCTCGTCGAATGGCCAAGTTTCACCCTGAGTGCAAGGCAGTTCACTGTAAGATTCGGCCCAGATACAGCTGTTTCGGCCATCAACGCTAACGTAAACTAATGTCAGTGAATCATCTAATGCTAGATCCCAACGATGCTCCGAACAGCATGGAGGGTGTGTTGGACGCGGAAATGGCCAACCTTGGAAAACTGCAACGGTTCTGGCAAACCGGCTACGCATATGGTATGGAGCACGGTAGCCGGCCCGCCACCATCGGGCTTGTTTTGTCTACTAGCCCTCTAGCATTGCTAGCCTGGTAAGACTTATTGTACGATTGTCTTGTGCATTCATGCTAATTTCTGCAGGGTTGGAGAGAAGTTCTTGGAGTGGGCTGACGACCGCGAGCCCATTCCATTAGAAACCATTCTTAGAATGGTAACTCTTTATTGGTTTACTTCCACGTTTCCACGATCCATTTATCCATATCGTTGGTTTGTCCGCGAACCAGACCGGTCCTACTCTGGTTTTGACGAAAAGCCATTTGGCTATTCTGCCTTTGAAAGGGAAGTATCGAATCCTCCAAAGGCGTGGACGGAGAAGCTCCTTCCGAAGTTGATCCGATATGATCATGAGAAGGTGAGTTTAACCGCAAACTAAGTAGTCCTTTACTTTATAGAGTACATCACTAAACCACACTAGGGAGGTCATTTCCCTGCCTTGGAACAGCCTGAGCTATTTCTCAAAGACTTGGAAGACTTCGCAACTCGGGCCGGACATATATTCAAGACCTAGACACTCGTCGCGCCCAAGCAAGGCACACAAAAAGTTAGATAGCAGTCAGCGGCAACCAATGGAGTGTGGCTACTCAACTCAATTACTTAAAAACTGGGTCACATCCATGTTTCCTTCTCCTTTTGGTATTTTTCACATTGAAATCTCAACAGAATCATGCACTGAATAATAAACCCCGCTGTGGCTTTCACTCACAAGCGAACCAGCTTAGCATAATGCAACGTAGCCGCTGAATGTTCCCTCTTGTCGTATCTTCTAATCCCTCTTTAATCTAACTTCATACTTCTAGTGAGCAAGTGTATAATTCGGTTCTTTTCCAGCACAAACTGCACAAGCCCTGCTGTAAAGGTTTGTTGATTATCAGCACATGGTAGGACAACCCCACTTTTCACATTCCAGACAATGTCGGGGTCTTTATGTCAGCTCCCTTTATTAGATCCAGTCAAGCTTAACGAGAGTCTCAAATGCGCACCAGGTTGGACAGACGTGTATCTGCTTAGATAACTAACGATGTGGTATATTTAATGACCCCCGAACCCTCACGAGGTCTGAGTATGAGACAATTGTTTCACTCTCACCACATTTGTCAGATCAGTGTATAACCACTTATGTCGCGTTCCCGCCTCACCGACTGTGCCGTGTCTCACCACTGACTCAGTATTGAAATCAATACATAGACCACTTAGGCAGCAGTAGTAGTAGAATTTTCACCTCTGTGAGTCAATTCCTAGTGTCAGGTTTCTTGCCCTAGGGTCCTTAATCCCATACAGCTCAGCCGCACACTCCAGGAGGTAATAATATTTAGCTATATGTAAAGACAACTAATGTTAGAAGTATAACTTCATTTGTGTGTACTAATAGAGTTATAAAACTGTTCAAAGGCGTTTTGTTGTGGATGATGACTACCATACCCTAAGGTACCTGTATAAACGAAATAATTAATCATTTAGCACGCCGAGATATCCTAACTCTTCTCAAAGGACTCATACCTAATTCACTAAAATTAAAGCTTATTTCCAGCAAAACTTTGTCGTAAATCCCTTAGTCACCAGATTTTCCCATCACTCACACTCTTGAACCTTTATCTCATGGAGCCTGTGAGCCAAGTCTTGGGCATATCCACACATAGTCATGGTTGGATTCCAACTACCCGCAGTTGGAAATAGGGCAGCTCCAGTGACATGAACATTCTCAATCCCATGGGGACGGTAAAGCTCATCCACTGAACCACCGATTTCCTTCGGTCCCATAAAACAAGTGCTTGACTCGTGGACAATACCAGGGATTCGAATAGTGTCGACTGGTGGTTTCTTCTTACTCCAAGAATGAGTTGCCTCATTCCACCATTCGATATCAGACGCGTGTTCATTTCCACCTGCCATTTGTGTGATTGTGTCGTAGGTTGCCTGATCCATTACATCCCATGCGGTACGATCCTCTTCGCTCAAGGTGTATTGCAGGGTGACGTTGCAAGTCGGGTCGGTGCCCTTATTGAGCTTGACATAGTTCTTGGCGTTGTTCTCGTTGAACTCACCAAGAGCCGAGCATACTAAAAAGTAAAAAGTCAGCTTTTATCCTTTCTTGCAAACAAAGGCTTCTTACCAAATACAACGTGGCCCTCAGAACCAGTAAGTTGGTCAAGCGTAGCAGCAGCAGCATAGTCTGGACACTCCCGAGCTGCATCCTCTGCATCACCTGTCGGGTTGGGACTATTCGCCGCCGTGACCGAGACGTGATACTGTAGACCAGTCTTGGGATCCTTGCCAGCCACGTAAGCAGCAGCCATTTGGAGCGTCTTTTCCTTCTTCCAGTTCTTGACGTTCTTCACAGGACATCTTGCTGAGATGTGCGTGTCATAGTGGCCAGTAAGTCTCTTACCAACAGTGTCACGGCAAGTCTCAAAAGAGTTCAGCAACATTGTAGCGTTAGGAATGGCTCCGGCGCAGAGAATGATCCTTGTCTTGTTACCAGTCCATGATAACGTACCCTTGCTGGTTTCAATAACGCGGACAAAATCGTCTTCGTCGCCTTTCTCCATGCTCTTCACTGCACAATCAACCACTATTTCCAAAGGCGCCCCCTTGTTACCTTTGGCTAGTTGCCTCTGGTTCTCCACAATAGCAAGAAGAGGTCCAGGGACAGAAAATTTGTTGAAACGCAGAGTGGAAGATGGGCTCTGTCGTCCAACAGCAAGAGGGGCTGACTCAGCAGTGTCGGCAGTAGGAATCTTACCAACCGAGTCGTGAAGAATTCTATCAATGGCAGTCTGTAGGCTTCCAAAGATGCCATCTTTGATCTGGTTTGCAGTCGTGACATTTAAAAGCTTTTTAGCGTCTTTCCAGAACTCGTCTCGGTTAGCAGTTTCTATCATGGCTTTGGGAAAGTCGCGCATGAGGTCTGGAGTTGGTTGAGGGCTCCATGCGGACCAAAAGGTCGATCGACCACCAAAGAACGGACAAGAGCCGTGGCAAAACTTGAGCTCTTTTGTTTCAAAGGTCTTGCGTGACAGCGTCCAGGGGAATGTTTCGGAAGGACCCCCAAGAACCATTTTAAATGGAATTGGTAGGTTCTGGAAGTGCGAAGGAAGCCAGAAGCCTATAACAGGGTTAGTCATGAAACAGCGGCAATCCTAGGGGAAACAATAAGATACTTACCTCCACGCTCTAGGCAAAGAATCTTAGCACAAGGGTCGAGTTCGAGGGTCTTCTGAATGAATGCAAGAGCAGTGAAGCCCGAGCCAATAACGATGTAATCAAAATCTCCATGAGCAAGTATATTCGACCAAGTCTGATCACTGAGAAGAATCAAGATTAGAGCTGGATTGGTTTTGTAAAAGCACGAATCTTATCAGCTCATACCTCGCAAAGTAGTCAAGGGCCATGACCGACGTAGAAGAAGGTGCCTGCACTCCAGGCACAGGGTACCCATATGTGTTAGCGGGTAGAGGTTGACGATCATTATGCTTTTGGCCCACGCGGCAGTGAAAACTGGGGATAGTTTTCCCTGGGATGGTGAGGTAGTCTGGGAGGCTTTCAGTAGCCATTTTGCAAGCAGAATCACAGGTGAAAATGTAAAATAAAAGTGATAAAACGGTTTAATACGCTTTTATGTGGCTGGTTTAGTCGTCTTGTTTACTGGTCTGGAGAGTGCTATTTATGCTTTCATGGTATGTAACATCTTTGTGAGCTGAAAAGAAAGAACCCCATCCTGACGACATACGAAGGTTTACGAGAAGCCTGCCGACAGTCCGTTTCCCATAGGCATGCCTGATAGCGAGCTATGTGATAAACACAGCTAATGCATCTTATTCGACCGGAATCACAAAAGAACTTTGGTTTGCATTTCACTATTGCAATATTCTCAAAGCCTCTCACTGTTTGCAGCACAAATGTGACATTAGGGCCAGCTGAAATGCATTTTGGCAAGGTTGTCCAGTTCAAGATCACATTCCAGACCCTTTACCCCGCCCGTTCCGTCTAGCCGCTTACACGGTCAACCTAGCGGCGGAGCTTACCACCCATCCCGTCTTGGCGATCTCCTTAGTTCAACGGCGGTATCCATTAGCTTGAGTCTTCAGCCGTACCAGAATAGGCCGGAGTGGCTGAACCATTGAATTTTGAACTGAAACAGTGCCAGCATAAGTAAGCATTAGCCCTGCAGCTTTCGGTCCAGGCAATGGCGGGGACGATGAACTGTGGCGAGCTGACATACCTAAGAGAAGTCTAATCAGTCTTGGAATGGACGCTCAACCCCTCAGTGGCTTGAGTCTGGATGAATCCGCGATCCAGCCGAACTTCCGCCTCCAATCACTCACCCCTGTATCAGCCCGCCACCAGGCATCGGCTGTCGTAAGTTAACCGCTTCTGACATTTTCGTACTCAGCTGGAAGGGCCGCTAGTGAACTCTTCGCTCTCGCACTGGAGCTATGGGAGCAGACTTATGTCAGGTTAGAACGTTCAGCTCAAGTGATGAAAAACGTAGGCAATAAATGCAATAATTCAGTACGTTATTGAATGGTTTTAATTGGCCCCAAGCCTGTTACCTCCTACAGAGGAGTTAACCCCGTTTGGAGATAAGGTAAATACCGAACAGGATAGAGTATGCGATTGGGCAGGTCGCCCAGCTAGTCCTTGGTCTTAGATGTTAATTTGCTATATATAGAGGTAGTGCACCGACTCTTAGAGGCGCATTCTAACAATCTATTAAACCATAAGAAAATCAAGAGCTGAAGTTCAACAAACAAACACCATACGCTGTTGTATCATTCAAGCAGACATGATTTGGCATGCCCAACTTGCTCCAGTGCTGGCACTGGTCGGCCTGGTGTCAGCCAAGTGCAGTGGAATGTCAGATGCCTGCTCCCTCAACCCAATTCTGGTGCGACAGGTCAATGAGCTCAATTATCAAGCTCTTACCTGCAACCTCAAGTGGAAGCACGGCTGCACCAACTTGAACAAGCGCGGCCAGCTACAGCAGAAGCCGCCTCCTTACGCCCTCTGCAATTCATGGGGTATGCCGTCTGGCAAGATACCCGTCGACGTCTATACGCTGGCCATGCAGAAAAACGATGATGTCGCCCTCCCAAAAGCAGCCCCTTACACGCTGCATGGCCTGTGGCCTGGCTCGAGGGGCGGAAAGGGAGCCAAAAACCAGCCTTACGGCTGCTTCAATGGCGAGGAGTTCGATGAGAAAGTCCTCGCAAACTTCAAAGACCTTTTAAACTACTACTGGCCGACCAATCCACAATACAACAACACAATACAATGCTTCATCCTCTCTGAGTGGATGAAGCATGGTACCTGCGCAGTAATCACTGGCGCGGACGGTCAAGCATTTCGAATACCTCAAGAGGCCTACTTCCGCACAGCCTTTGTATTTGCTCATGAGTTCAATAAGAACCCTGCTTTGCGCCAGCAGCTTGAAGCAACAGACCCAAAGCACCTTGAGCCACTTATTAACGTCAACTGCGTGCAGTGTGCCTATCAAGCAACAGTTGGCTGGAAAGGCACGGATGTCTCGAGCGTGCCACGCATGTCATCCGAATGCATTGACCAGTGCTTTGAGTGCGGTACAATGTTTGACTTATGCCCACCAGCCTTTTTGGAGAGCACCGTGCTATTGGATCCCAGTAACGCGCCGCTGGAGAACAGTGACAGCGATAGTAACAGCGTGGCAGCTGAAAGCTTTCCCGCTGTCCAATTTGCTATGCCCGGTCTCATACCCAGTAAACACAAGTCGTCCTGGGAGGGTACCTGGCGCTCATTTGGCGCTGAGCAGGGCGGGTCTGGCAAGTTTGAGTTTGCGCAGACCTTCACTGACAAGTCCCTGACTGTCACTACCGACAGCCCATATCCCTCCAAGTGCACGTATGAGCGGAACGGTTTCAAACAGCTGATACTGCATTGTGAAGGTGAGAAGCCACACCTAGAGGGCTGTCTGGTGCAGCGACTGCCAGATGTCGGTGGGCTTGAGGCAGCGTTCCTGGCGTGCAACCATACTGGTGTCCCAGCGCCGGGAAGCTTCTACGCTGCCATGGATACACCTGGGTCGGGCAACTTTCTTATGTTCCGCTGCAAGGCATCAGCAAAAGGTTGTGCCTTTTCCCCAGTCACCATCTCGGCGTCTAATGACAAGGCCGAGACTAAGCCCAGGTCAGAGTCCAAGACCAGCCCTGTAATCCAATCTCAGAGTGGTATTGCTCTCCCACCTACTGAACTACTGGGCACATGGCGCTCACTCCAGGTATCGAGCGGCTATGAGAAGGGCCTCGCGACATGGAGCTTCACTGCTGATGGCCAGGCGTCACTCCAGTGGCCAAACTATCCCACCCGCGGTGTTGAGCGCTATTCAGTCGCCCACTCTCGAGAGAATCCGAATATAGTGCACCTTACCAGCGCCAGTGGTAAGAGTACTACCTGCCGCTTGCACTTCCAGTACCAGCCGGTCTACTCATACGCCGTGCTCGACTGCGGAGACAAGGAAAGCAAGCAAAGGACGAAATGGGCTATGGGCCGGTGCAATCCATGCAGCGCCTCATGTCGCTACTCGTGCACTCCTGAGAACGATAACTGCGGCTCTGGCTCATGCGACCCGGCTGATTCAGAACCGGTAGCATCTGCTGGCTCCCTTCCTTTATCACAACTCGTACCTCAGTGGTGTACGCCTGAAGACCCCAGCTGCTGGCCTTCCAAGACAGCCATCCACGACCTGGAACAGGCGCTAGACCCTACAGTGCCTCGTCTTGGTATCCAGTGGAGTGCCTACCCCCAACCGCAGCCAGCACCAGTACCAAATAGCTCCTTCAATAACCAAGGCTTTTACGGCCTGGGTAGCTCGCCTGCAGGTCTCAAGGCTCTCTACTACTATGAGGATATCAATGAGATGCAGCGGCCGTGCTTTGTCCAGAATGATAGCCCCAGTATCTGGAACGTTGCTTCAGACGTGTGCAGGGCAGCATTGCACAATAATGAGTACCACAATTGGAACCCTTTCATCGTTGTCTTTCCTCTCAACGAGCGCCATGTAGCTGCTGCTCTTGAGTTTGCCGCCCAGCACCGTCTTTGCATCGCCACAGCTGGTACTGGCCACGAGTACAACAGCCGCAACTCATGCCCGACTGGCGGCATCCTCATCCGCACAATCCTGCTCAAGGACAAAGTCTTTATTCCAGAATGGAAAGATGACCCAGTTTTGGCTCCGGCTGGAGCATTCCGCTTTGGAGCGGGCTCTATCTTTGCTGAAATGCATAATTTCTCTGCCAAGTATGACCGTGTCATTGCATCAGGCTGGTGCTCCACTGTCGGCATGGCTGGCTTCCATCTCGGCGGTGGCCACGGTCCTTTTGCGCCGTCTATGGGTCTGGGCGTTGACAACGTGCTGGAGATTGAAGTTCTGCAGGTCGGCCGTAACGCTTACGGCCAGACTGTTGTTCACAAGAAGATAGTCAATCGCCGCCACAATCCGCAGCTATTCTGGGCCATGCGCGGAGGTGGAGGTGGCGTCTGGGGCGTTATTCTTTCCATGACCATTCGTGCCCATCCTGTTCCTGACGGAGGTCTCAACCGCGTCTACATAGGCCCGACTGGAACGTTTTGCCAAGACGGACGAAAGTTTGGCTACAAGTGGCTACGCGGTATGTGGGATCGCTTCGCTGAGTGGCAGCTGAGGATCAACCAGAAGGTCAGCACGCAGCCTGGCTTCTTTATTGACGCCTCCAACTACAAGGAGACTGGAGATCTCTGCTCAGTTACTTGGCAGTTCAAGTTCGAGTATTTCTACGCTGGTGATAAGAAAGAACCGGACTACAAACTGTTCCTCGACGGTCTCAAGGAAGTGCTGCAGAACTACACGGTGCAGGAGGATAACTTCAAGTCGGCCTATGAATACCTCCTCACAATGCCCCCCAACAAGTTCACCATCAACCCCGTTAACCCACTGCCTGCGCCCCATGAGCCTTCCGACGCGGCCACTGGCTCCCAGAACTCAGTCTTTGTCTCGCGGAAGGCAATGGAGAAAAAGTTCGCTTCAACCATGATGGACGTGCTGGACATCTGCGTTCAATCCCTCAAGTCTCCTGATGACACGTCGCCGGATCCTAATGGACATCGCTGTGGATTCCACTACCTCTATACGTCTGTCACGGGTAATCTGGGCAGCGTTCAGCCAGGCGACACGTCCATCGCTCCAGGATTCCGCTCGGCACTCATGCTGTGGAATGCACGCACGCTGTCGACAGAGCAGTCAGATAACACGATTTATAAGATTGGGACAAACAGCTATTTCTCTGAGAGCTCGTTCGTGATGCACAACTGGACGGACAGGTACTGGGGTAAGAAGAGGTATGAGCAGTTGTTGGCTGTGAAGAAGGCGCATGATCCCGGAAATCTTTTCTGGTGCCATCATTGTGTTGGCGATGATCCTGATGATGCGTATGGAAACCCGCTGGGTATTGTGGCTGGCTCTGGTAAGAAAGAGGACTCTGGTAAGAAGGAGGGCTCTTTCAAGCATGATGAGTTGTAAGAAGGCTTATATATTAGCTTAGCCGCGTGCGACTTCTGCTACCTTGATCACATTAGGTTTTGATATTGGGAGGGGTTATTTTTACAGTTGATATCATTAAGAAATTTGGATGTCCTGGGCTTGATAAAGTTCATGGTTAAATCAAAAAAGTAAAATACGTTTTACCCCAGAATTTAGTTTCTCAAACCAATAACAATTTCCCTTTTGATAAACAGAGTGTTAAGCTATAGTGGCTAAGGTTTTACGTTGAGAAGTATGTCTTGATATTCTAGTCGAATCTAAAATGTTACATTTAATTTCCAATCGTCGTACGTTCATATTCTTGTAGTTTCTTCTTCTTCAAGTGATAATAAATACGGTGAAATTCATTACAAGACTACCTAGTTCTAGTCAAATACAACACATACTAATAGATTTTCAGTTATAGTATACCTATATATTGTACATGTTCCCTATCCTAGAACCCTCTCCTCTCTCATTCTCATACTAAACTACCACGTCAGGGTTTCCCAACGCTTCATCATATATCTCTGCTGGAGTCCGAAATTTCATATTCTTGAAAAACTTCTCTCGGTGTTGTTCTACCTTCCCGTCAGGGAATGCGAGTGCTTCGCTGTGGCCCATCACCTCGTACATAGATGCAGCAACCTTATCCTTGCTCTCTTTAGCCATAAATTGTTTAATACTTTGGGCCAGAGACTTCTTCTGCAGTGTATACTCAGGCTCTCGAGACTTAATGAAGTCATATAGCTCTCGCCACGTCATGCGTTGTCCAGAAACGCAGGTGAACTCCTCCCATGTGCTGCGGTCATGTTTCAACAAGACACCGACAGCATGGGTCGTATCCCGAGCAGACGTGAAGTCGACCTTTTGGCTACCATTTCCGTACAGGGTGTAAACTTTGGTTTCGTAGCTCTGAACCCATCGCTCGCCAAAATCGGCTAAGTAACGTGATTTTGAAGGGAGAATGTAATCCACCATCCACCCTTGGCAGAAGAAGGTCCAGCTGACTTCCTTCTGGGCCCTAAGGGCATCAAGGATGGGCAAAAGGTCCTCGCCTGCAAATAGTGGCTGGTCGTTCACCTCCTCATAGTTGCCTGCCCAAGACGAAGGGAGGAAACGCTTGCATCTTGCAGACTGCTTGCATGCATCGAGAATCGCCAGATGAATAGATGCAAACTCCGGAACGTGAATGGTGATTGCGGAAACAACAGCATCGCAGTCGGTGAGATGTTGTTTTAAATCAGAAACAGAGTAATCAGTTACTCGCTGTACCACAGCTTTGATGTGTGGCTTCTGACTGCGTGTTAAAACAACAACCTCGTGTCCCTCCTTAGGAAGTTCTTCCAAGAGATATTTGGAAACATCTCCAAGCCCTGCGATTGCGACCTTCATAGTGGAGTGGAGATATTGAGACTTTCCGAAGCATAGAAATTGGAAGTAAGAAGTTCAGAAAAGTTAGGTAAAGTTTATAGCGTTGAAAGTGTTTAGGCGGTAGTGTGTCTGTTTCTAATGTAGACAATCGACATGGCAGAGAAAGGTTTAAGTAACCTTCATTTGAGAAATTTCGGGCATGACAATGAATCGTATCAGGCCATGCTTAAAAATCAAAGTCGGTAAAGCTCGCAGTTCGGCAATGTTGCTGGTCCGGTTGTTCTCTAGATTATTCTGAGGATCGGGGCGCCTTCGATCTCAGGCTTCCTACGAAACGAAACCTTAACACAAAAACAGTGGAATTAATGAACAACTTATAACCGATCTGGCTTAGCCTAAGAATTTACTACCTGCTTTTGTCTTTCTTTTCCCGACCGGAACCCTCGCGTTCCGAATATTATTATTTTTCTGGGGTTATTCTTAGTTAGGAAATACGTAAGGTTTTCAGACCTACTCTTCCGAATTACTCCCCAAGTGTAGCCCATACACACCTGTTCTGCTCAGTGGAAGTCTTCGGACTTCATCGGAACTTTCTGCTTGCGCGAAATCTCAGACCACGGCCTAGAAGGTAATTATTTAGTCCGTTCGGACTGTCTGGTAGAAATCTTTGGACTTGGTTGGTCCGGACCTCCTTACTTGTCTGTTGCATATGAATGCGCTCTTGAACCGTGGAGGATAATTGTTCGGACTTGGTCGGACCTTCTTACTTGTCCGTTATGTATAAGTGCGCTACACCTGAGAGGGCAATCGTTCGGACTTAGTTGGGCTTTTCCATAATATTATATGAATTTTCTCGCTGTAGTTTTCTACTTTCAACTGTATAATTTATAGGTAATACCTATTATCTCTTCCTTAAATCTTATTAGTTATTCTACTGTATATAAATCTCTCCTAGTTACTTTGACAAGAAGTGCAATTCCTCTAATAGCAATTAATACCTAGCTTTATTCCTTAATGTATTAACCTATATATAACCTTTAAAATTTTGACTGTAGTTTTATTTAAAGGCAGTATTAGTTTGGGTTATATATATACCTTCGATTTTAAAACTTTGTACTAAGTTGTTAGTCCCTTTATAATTTTATCTTATAAATATAGCCTTATGTAGATAGAGTGTCATATTTCTATTTGTATTCTATAGTAATATTAACGGCTTAAACTACTAGTTACATATAAGAGATAGGCTGTAACAGGGTTAAAATATTAAGAGGTTAGATAGTAGAAAACAAACCGTTCTGTACTATTTCATATGCGACAGGAAGCTTACCTCGCCTTGGGACATAGCACGTAACACATGTCAGGGGTTAGGTAAGCCTATCCACTTTTCACTTACTCACCACAGGAATACAGGTTTCTCACAATTGCTATGAGGAAAGAGATCAGAATCAAGGCTTTAGTACCAGTCCACAATGGTAACAATTGAGCTCTCATTATAATATACTAATATCTGTATTCATAGCTTATCTAACCTAGAGGTTGCCCAGTTACAGCTAATACAGATTCCCCCATTACTATTTCGCTAAACATTATAAATCTAGGGGTTAATATATTCTAGTCTAGGTATCTATGCTATGCCAATTTAGATTTCCGGGTGTTGTCTGAGAAAATCCTCAAGCTTGGTTCCCTGGATTTTGAATTGATCGTTGTCCAACTTGTCGAAGTTCAGGGCCCCGTTGCTTACGTAGAGCTGGTAGAAAAGGCCTGTGTAAAGGTAGTACTTCCTTTTGTCCCCCTTCTTCCTCGCATTCAATGCCTTGGTCTCAAGTTCGTCGATGGAGCCATGAGTATTCAGCGTCACTGTGACACCTCGCTCGCGTTCGTAAATTTGGGCGATCTGTCTGAGTGAATGCGCGCTGGAGCATACATTCCAGGAACCGCCCTGGGCAGCATCCTTGCGTAGGACGATTTCCGCCGTGAACTCCGCGGCATCCTTCCTGCAAAGCATTCATTGGACTAACAGAATCTGGTAGTCTTTGGCTTCCCTGCAGACCTATCCATCCCCCTCGAGCGACGAAATGTTGGACTTCTCGATCAACGACAAGCACTGTCCTGGGTTAACAAAAACATTGGAGCATTTGGAGGTGACCCGGACAAAGTCACCATCTTTGGAGAGTCTGCTGGTGGTTGGTCAGTCAAACAATTGGTCATCAACCCGCCATCTCCTGTGCAATTCCGTGCCGCTATTCTGCAAAGCCAGGCCTTTGGGCCTGTGGTCGATAATGAAGCGTCATGGAACATTCTAGCTAGCGAACTGGGATGCGACAAAACAGATAATACGTCCTCGCGCCTCAGTTGCGTCTCTCGAGCGTCGACTAAATTTATTCGGAATGTACTAGAACGCCATAGCCTGGGGCTTACACCGGTCTTCGACAACGTAACAAATGGACCAACTTTCCAGGACATAGCTGGACGGAAAGACTTAGCGAGGTTCCCTATACTGATTGGAACGAACGCTGACGAGGGAACCGTGTTGGTTTCAGTCATGCCGTCCCCAGAAATCATGCTTGACGGGATATTTGGGAACCACACTGATGCTAAACGGTCTGCACGCTCAGCATACCCAGTGAACATCACTGATTCAGAGTTAAAATCCTTGATCACCACGGATTATACCTACACCTGCACTACTGCTGCCATTGCAAATACGGCGGCCGAAAACGGGCTGAAAGTTTGGCGCTATTACTTCGATGCTAGCTTTTCGGACAACCAACCCTTCCCGGGAGCAGGAGCCTGGCATACTTCTGAAATACCTATTGTGTTCGGTACTTACACGCAGAATAACGCAAGCTATCCTGCCAAGCTTCAGCTTAGCAAGAGTATGCAGCGAGCCTGGGCTGATTTCGCAAAGAATCCTGAGAAGGGTCCTGGGTGGCGACCAGTACGTGTACCAGGCGAGCAAGTAAGGCACTTTGGCACAGATGAAGCTACAAACAAACATAATGTTTACATTTATAACACTGACGATATCTGTAAGTATTACGACATAGCTCTTACTAATAATGGTTTTTAGATTAAGTAGGAGATAAAACCATAGATATGTAAAGATAAAAATAAACCCTCAATCTTATAAATACACTACGTAAGATAGTACGTCCCGCCTTAACAACTAGGTATTCTTGTCCAAAAGTCATAAACAAAGACAATTAACAATCTGTTATCCACATCCTCTAGTTTCTGCGTATGACGGTGTGTCTTAGACCGGACAATCCCGATCTGCACCTTGGACATCTACATGTGACCCGAGGCCCGAGCGAGAGGGAACTTGATATGTGTTAGGATTAATATATTGATCCATCATATTAATAATATGCAGTTAACCTTTTTCCGAGTTTATTAGTTATTATTGTCTGAAATATTCTCAACAGCTTGAACAGTGTTATGTATTCAAGAGTAGTGGGGTCTGGCGAAATAGCATTTCGGCGAATCCAGTTACTTTTTTGTTTGACGGATCGCACACTGTGGAGATTTCTGAGTCCCACTTCAGCGTAAATATGTAGCCAAGCACTGATGAGAAATACAAGTTAACCTCCTACTGAAGTCGAGTCTACCCTAGGACTCCTAATAATTTAATTCTCAAATTTACTTTTCAGTATTTCAATTAAGGGCCTTCTGATTTTAATTTAGAGAGGTTATGTTTAGTGTGATTTAAATGATTTGAACTGGTTATGGCTCTTCTCTTATCGATAAGGCTATTGATAAGATAAGAAAGAAATAATATCTCAAGAGGAAAACAACTACCCTATTTCTAGATCTTCCTCTATAATTAAGTTGAATGAAATAAGTGAAGGTATGTGTCCAACTCAATTTGAGTAGTTAGACTACGTATCTGACTTCATTTAATTTGATTGAAATATTCTTAATCTAACAACCGCGCTTGTTCACATAGCCCTGGTTCTCTTAATAACATTCCAACCACCCATAGTGTTTCCACCACGTTGACATCAGGTTTTTAGAGAGGTAGCTAGCATTGTCCAATAGAGGTAAGGACTTTTAATCTTCAGCCCTCGATGTGTAGCAGTCCCAGTAGTTGTCGTAGACTTATTCATTTGCTTCAGCTATTCGCTCAAGAATGGAAATGATTAGAACGGCTCGGTTTCGAATGCTTGTTCATAGACGGAGACACGAAAACCACAATTAACAGGACACAATGGCCACTAGCAACCCTCTAGCATTATCGTCATCGCAAACTCCAAATTAGTGGCGTTCGGCCTTGACATCATTATGTCCAGTGTTAAAGCCCTGATACACCATAATGACGCTTAAACAATAGTCTATGATGTCACAATCATCTATTACCATGTCTACCACTATTAATATTAAACTACTTGTACCCCTCAGACTTTCTAATTGTAATTCATTAAACCACTCATTACACCAGAACGTTATTATTAAACTTATATTTATATCATGTCAGTCCTTCGGGTTACCAATCGCCGCGGCCTTTTGGCCCTACGCCAAGTCATCGCGCGCAACACATTCAACTCCCGAGTTCCTCAGGTTTTGCAAAGGAGCACATTTGCAACCCAGGGTTATGGGGACAGCGAGGGAGGCCAAGTGAGCTCCAATCCCAAGGATCAGACCCCTAATTCGCAAGCAACACACGATGCGGAGCACCCAGGCCCGACACCCCCGGCCGGCAAAGCGAAGCAGAACGATACGGGCATGAAAACCCCAGAGGATGCGAGCGCCCAATCCGGCGGGTCAAGGTCCAAGGATGCTATTGAGAAAGGAAAGAGCCCAACTGCTGGGCACCTTGGGGGCAAGGAATGATTTGCCATCTTTATGATCGAGGTGGTGGGAGCCTCATATAAATACTGCCAGAGAGGTCATGGCATTGTAAGGAATACATAGCGCCCTATACATGGTGAGATACCTCCCCTTGAATCGGGAGTACTCCGACTGTCTCAACCAATGATGGATTGTGGTGTATCTAGGAGTCGCTCCTACTCCCTCTTCTAATAAAGATGAACTCTAAATTCGAGGACTCGATGAAATAGGAAAGGCTGGTTTTAGAGTTATTTACGAAGCATGTTCAAATTGGGCATTTCAAACAAGGCCATCTTATTAGAATTTGCTTCTGCACATTTAAAACTTCCTAGTGCGGCAACCATTTCAACTAAGAGAGGTGCTTGAGTGGAGTACATTGTGGACAATTATGTTATAGTATTTCATACGTGGTCGTAATCACCACCACCTCTTGGAAAGAACAGAAGACTCATGATCAGGGTAGTTTTCTATTTCTTTCACCACCTACGGTTGAGTGTGGAGGCTTATATGTTGATGCAATAAAGCACGCTCGTGGCTATAACCATAAGGCGAATGGAGTTCTACACAGCGAGATGATAGTGGTGCTTTGAACCCCAAGGTTGGGATAACTTCACTGTATTAAAACTGGCAGTCACAGTCAAGCCCTGGATCTCGGACGTATAGACTTTCGCATTCAATCTCATGAAACCTCATTCCCAAGTAAACGTCCAATTTCTTCGGCGATACACATGATCCTCTCCTCAGTCAGCCGTCGCCCGATAATCTGAACTGCTACTGGTGCACCGTGATATGTACCTGGATCATCTTTACGAATGTTAGCTCTGTTCAACAAGAAGAGGCTTTCACTTACATTCTGCCTGCACTATTCGATCAATTTCAGTAAGTGGTTTGAACTGATTATTCGGCTTATCGATGTTCTCATCGACAAAGGTGACAGGCACTACAACGCTGGTAAAGTCGAGCATATTCACAACTGTAGAATATCCATAGTACTTGAACTGGTTATGTCGGATAGCCGCTGTAGCAGTAATAGGAGCAATGATAGCATCAAGCTCCTTGCCAAGTTTCTCCTCAACTTCTCGGATCTTGGCTAGGTATTCGGATTGGTAATTCCACTTCTGCAGCTGGACATCCCAGAGCTCGTTGAGATCCAGTTTCGGCAGGTTTGGCTTGACAAGTTCCGCAATATTAGGAATTGCAGGCTCCCCAGACGCATTAAGAACGGAATAGATGTCCTGGGTTATAATAAGTAACAGTCATGGTTGTGAGTCTATCATGGACTTACAGTCCCTCCGTCAGAGGCGTAGACACGGTTAGCCAAATCAACAGCATACGGATGTCGGTAAGGCTCCCAAGGGACAACTGTATGTCCAGCCTCACCGAGTTTGTCAACGACCTTCTGGATAGCCCGGAGGATCGGGGGATGAGGCAGAACCTATCAATGTAAGTCAGACATTTCCGAGGGACCATAAAGAGGAAACCTTACATTTCCATCACAGGAGTAGTAGCCCAGAGTCAAACCACGAGAGGAGATCTTTTCCTTGATGGCATTCTCCTCGTCATATCTCCACGGCATTGGGATGACTTTGGAATCATATGCCCATGGCTTTTGGCCAAGGACTGATGTGACGAACAGTCGCATGTCTGGGATAGAGTGACAGAGCGGACCGCAAACGCTGTGAATTGTCTCTTGGCCTTCCATACTATTGGCCATCTTAGCGTATGGAAGCCTTCCATGACTAGGTCGAAGGCCATAGAGGAAGTTGAAGGCGGCTGGAACACGAATGGAACCGCCTTTAACTTCATTAGCAGGCTATCGCCTTAAGGGACCGATGAAGCTGAACTTACCAATGTCAGTACCGACACCAATTACACTGCCCCGAAACCCGACAATAGCACCTTCGCCACCTGAGCTTCCTCCACAAGACCAGTTCTTGCCCCGCGGGTTCGTGGTACGACCAAATATGTTGTTAATTGTCTCACACACCATCAAGCTTTGAGGCACGGATGTTTTGACGTAGAGAACCGCGCCAGCGCCGAGAAGCATGGTGGTGAGCACAGAGTCCTCAGTGTCCTTCTTACCAATCCATGATACATAGCCCATGGTTGTTTCAATTCCCTATTGAGGTCAGCTGCCATTTCTCAAATACCCTGTTGATTACGGGGCCTCTTAAATATCCTTGATATAAAGCTAGAGAGTTCGTATGATAACCTTCGTCCTGAAAAGTGGACGTACCTTAATGCGAACTTGATCCTTCACTGAAATAGGCAATCCATGCAGCGGCCCAATAGGCTTTTTGTGTTCAGCCAGGTAGTCATCCAGATACTTTGCTCTAGCCAGACCCATCTCGGGGAAGAACTCATGGCAGCATTTTGTCTACAGGATGTTAGCAAACTACACACTCAACAGTACGATCAGCTTACCAACTGATGAGCCAAAGCAGCTCTCTTACAGAAAGCAGTGGTGACAGCAACTGAGGACAGCTTTCCAGAAGCGAGATCCTGAACTAGTTCAGTGGCGGACGATTCTGTGATGCTGAGCTCTTCTGGGGTTAGGATATCACTGCTCCCAGGGAATGACATGACCGAGTCGTCAGTAGGGAGAGTCTTGATGCGCCATTCTTGAGGGATGGACGCCTCAAGCTGACTCTTTTTCTGTGCTGCAATAGCTTGCCAGTCCATTTTGGATGTTTCAAAGTTCTAAAAGTAAATGTTTAAATATGATTATATAAAATATCGTTGGCTGGAATTAAAAGTGAGGGGGCAGTTAACATGTAGGTTGATAAAATGGCTGATATCACAAATGTGGAGTTTACCCCGCAACCAACCGCTTCGTCCTTATCATTACCCGAGGAAAGCGACTGTTATCTGATATAGTGCCCTCACACTATCTCTTCTGATATCCGGCGCAAGATTCTGAGATTGACGATCTGATGTAATAGTATTCTATCAGTTATTAACTTAGCGATAATAAAGGCACTCAGTATATCACTCCAGCTTAGGTATAACAAATGAGGGGTTATATTTCCCTGCGTTAAGACCATTAAAACAGCATGCGTAGATTATACACTAAGATGAGTCCGTCCCCGAAACAGATACAATATGTAGCAATACCATTAATTCAATTATTACTTCGACTCGTCACTGGACCGCTAAGGCGGTTCATATAGGCCTGAGATTGAATAAACACTCACTGCCCTACACTGCATGTCCTGCTCTAGAGTTTCGGGTCGTCCCACACAGCAGTCATGCAATTCAGTACGTGACGTCTATCGTTCTGATCTCAAATTTCTAGATTGCACTATGAGCCACTCGAGGTCAAAGCATTAGAGACCAAAGACTTCTGTCTTGGCAATGTCGGTCTTCGCGTCGCAGCGGATCTGTGAACTGGATTTAAGATGCTGTTTGTCCTATAATAAGTCCTCTCTTTGGCGATGCTGTAGATTTGCCTCGAACATTAGTCCTTTTCTCAGGATCCTCTATATGTTAAATTAAATCACCCAATAGTATTCCGATAGAAAACACTCCAGTATTCTCGTATAAATGTTTAAAACAAAGTAGATTGCTATAAACAAGTCCCGTTTCCTTTCCAAACATCTAAAGATCGAAATAGCAAATGTTTTGGCGAACATCCACACCCCCGTTTCGGTTCTTTGTTTCAACAACAGAGTGCTCGCAGGTCACTGTTTGCGATTTGCCATTAAGCTTGGTGCCCTTGACCCGGAGAGTCTGCCCACTGGCAGAGAGGATTTCAAAAGCAAGGACGTTGTTGACTGTCAAATGCTGCGGACATCCGAACCTTTGGCAGAAGTTAACGCGAGAGGCGTTGGGGCATTCGTCGCCGCCCTTGAAGCCACTGAGACCGCTCGTGGATCCATCAGATCCGGTGATCTTTCCCCAAGGTCCACAGCCAATTCCGGGAATGTTTCCTCCAATAGGAGGGACAAGAATTGAGAAGTATCCAACCTCGAGATTGACCTTTGAGGCTTCGGCGGCAGTAGCAGCCGTAAGGGCGATGATAGTAGCGAGGTTGGGGAAATGCATGTTGGAAAGCTTTTAAGACGAACAGTTAGTTACATTCTTCCATATATCTAAAAGAAATCCATACGAGGAGTAATTAATAACCTCGAGAATAATGAGTCGGGTAGGTTAAGAGGATGTAGACTGTCGGTGGTAAGGAAGTCTACTACTTGGCGTGCCTTGTATGTTCTTTTATATTTCAAGAGAATGGCAATTTAATCGTTTAGTTCCTGGTGGAATTACACATGTTGGCAAAATGCAATGAAACTAAGCGGCCGACTGCCAAGACCTTCGCTTGTGATGAGTGCCATTTATTCTTCGTATTCCTAACCAAGCCCGTGCCCATAAGTGGGTTATGAGATACTATAAGCTACAAAGCTTCCTTTTCCGGCTACTAACAGTGGATATGCAGTCTTATAAAGCAGTATGTAAGGTATTATCTTGCTTACAAACTTGAAAGCTCTCAAAATAGTAGGGGCAAAACAATTTTCACTCATTTAGTCAGGAAGTCAAGGTTGTATATTCGCATAATACCTTCCGTTTTTGTAAGTGTTTTGTAAATGGGAGAATGAATTCCGCCGAATACAATATACAAGTACAAGGAACCTTTGAAATCCTGAAATATAGCCCACTAACGCACCGCAGCTCCGATAATACATAGTAATTAATTGATCGATAATGCCCACCTTTGAAGAGCTGAGATGTAAAAGAACGGTCGAGGCTTCCCGTTGAACAGCAAGGTTGCGAACCTTCGGAACAGATCGTACATGAAGTCTCATTTCAACTCCACTGTAATACATTGATTGCTTATTCAATCTCTGGATTTCGCATATAAAGTGTCTGTCCCGACTGCTAACCTGTCCTTCCTTGTCTCAACCACTTCACTCTTCACATTCAATTCAGCTACCCAAGAGCCTACCATTTTCCGAAACACAAGGTCAATACAACTTTCCACATGCACATAAGCGTTGCTAACAATGATGTAGAATGCAAATCACTACAATTGTCGCCACTGCCCTCCTGGCTGCGGGAGAGGTAGCCGCCGGTATCAACTGCAATGGCAGCGGCAACTGCGGCACTAGCGGGGCTTGGATTACGGACATCATCAGCATGGCTAATTATATCGACCACAGTCGGTGGTACCAGAATGGGGAACACATTGTGTGTGCTGCTAAACTCTGCGCATTCCTGCAAAACACTGGTGGCATGCCTGGATCAAAGATCAGTGAACTCCTCTGGGACCTGAAAGACCATGGCTGTGCAAGATGCGGCAGTATTCCAGTCTTTTATCCAAGTGGCGATAACAATGAGAAAAGCCACGGTATTCTCACGGTTAACTATGTCACTAACCCTAAGTGTAATTGGGGTGCTTGTTAGAAAAACGCTGTATTGCGTATCTTCAGTTTCTTTTAGGTATTATGCCTCTGTCTTTAGAGCCTACAGTACTTAATAGAATTATGGATTGGCACGTGAATAAGAGAGAAGTGTTTTTCAAAGTGCAGTAGTATGCTATTCTTGTATAAAGTCCTTGCCCCTTTACTGACGGAAAAGGCATAAAGTAGTAGTTATTAAATATATCTTACTAATATTAATTAATACCATGCGCAGACGCAAGGCGACTGAGCTTAAGGTTCCGTAATAGCGACGGATCTGCAAAATCCAATACTGAGATTACAGGAAGTGTAAAACTGGGGAGATCCATATACGTCGAGGTGGAAGAGATGCTTCGTGTCTCGCCGCTTATGCCCTCGCCTGAAAGGGCAGAAGCATGAACGATCATTATGGGATTCATAACAATGTATCTGAATTGATGAGCTAGTCTGATAATACTACATGAAGTCTAAGGAATGTCCACACATTTCAAAGGGACTTTTGTATTCAATATAACCAAGTAAATACAGCAGAACCACCAGCAAACACCAGTAGAATCTTGAACCAGAGCTTGAATATAGGGTTGTAGTTATGGCCCTTACTCTAAGCATTAGTTATAATTCCTTAAATAAATACTCCGAGCGGGACTTACTGTAATCTTCCAGTCGCCCCAGCTAGGGAACAAGCTTCTATACCATAGATACCCTTGAGAATATGGATAAACCATGGCATTCCATTCTCCGCTGTTTTGCGAATTAGATTGAGTATACCAGCTTTGGCATCCTGAGCTCCAGACTGTCTTGGACAGATCATCCTGAATGCAATCGACATAACGCTTTTCGGCCTCCCTTTTAAGCTCAACGACTCCATCTGGGCTTCCAAGAACAGGTTTGAGGATACGCAATGCAAAATTGACACTGTTCTCGATGGCCATAATAGCCGAAGTGTGACCTGTTGTTGCATTGGGGCCTGGTCACCAGTCTGTCAGAATTGTTCAATGAAAGGGCCATACTAGGCACATACCTAGTAGCATAAAGAAGTTTGGAAAACCACTCATAGCAGAGCAGTTATATGCTTCGGCTCCGCCAAATGAGTTCCAGTGCTGATTCAACGTTCCTTCTCGCCCAGTGACTGTGACTCCCTCGAGGAATGTGTTTGTAGAAAAGCCATTAGCTAGTACTATGACATCAGCTTTGATAAAGCCACGATCTGTCTCTATTCCATTCTCAACGATCTTCAATGCTCGTTCGTTTGTTAGGGTCAGATTGTCGGAGTGAAGAGATTTCAAGTATCCAGAGTCATAGATTCGTCTCTTGCAACCAATCTCGAAACCCGGAATCAAAAGGTCGTGATACTTGGCCGGGGCAGTGCTTCTCATGTACTGCTCAGCCTTAGCTCGTCGTTTCTGACGAAACTTGGCAGCAGATGTGGTCATAGGAACCGCCTTCAACTCAACCTCAGCTATCAAAAAGATAAGAAGGCGCTGTATCATCATGACGGCTGGTAGATAGCTGAAGACCTTTTTCATGGATTCCGCGTACACCATGTCAATAGGTGGAAGTATCCAGTGCTTGGAACGGACTATTTGGGTCAGACTCTTTACCTTGTCCACTATAGATGGGACAATCTGGGCAGCTGTACACCCATTCCCGATTACAACGACATTCTTCCCTTCGACATCAACGTCGTCCCTCCACTGCGATGAGTGAAAGATAGAACCTGTGAAGTTGTCTGAACCAGGAATATCAATCTCTCGAGGCGTGACGAGTATACCAGAGCCCGCAAATAGGAACCTGCATTCGTGGTAAAAGACTTCGCCCGTCTCGCGGTCACGAATCTCAAGCATCCATCTCTTCTTCCTTTCGACCCATTGGCAACGTTGGACTTCGACGCCAAACGATATCTTTTGCGGCAACCCGTACTTGTCCGAAACGTGTTTCTGATATTCCCAGAGCTCCTGCTGTGAGGGTAAAAGCCGAGACCATTTCGGGTTAGGCTCGAAGGAGAAGCTGTAGAGGGCACTCGGAACATCACAAGCAGCGCCTATAAATTTCGTTCAGTGCCTCACTTTTGAGATGTATTCTTGCAGTGGCACTATACCTGGATATTTGTTTGCGAACCATGTCCCACCGAGTTCACGGTGGCGCTCGAAGAACCGAATGTCGGTGATTCCATACCACCTTTTAAGCGTGGCTCCCAGCGCGATGCCGGAAAATCCAGCACCAATGCAAGCAAATTGAGTGTAAGTCGATGGTTGTCCTTTTTTTGAAGTCATGTTAGTGGCGAGAGTATTTCGGAGAACTATAAGTCATATGGTATGATGGATAGACTGGTGAAGATGGGATTTAATGCTAAAGCCTTATTTTTATAGTCCTGTATCGGCGTTTGTATCCTACTTCCCCATGAGGCGTTGTTCCCCACAGGGTATGTCCTGTGAGTACTCCATTCGAGTGATTCGGGATACCGCCGCAAGCCAGCATATCCGCGGTAAGTCGGGTGCGTTCCGACATATGCAAATCGATTAATCCGTATACTACAGCTGAATTTGGCTACTGGTTGCTCAATTTAATTATGCATTTACATACATATCTTGATTTTGCTTTTACTTTTGGATTAATGAAGAAATTGGATATCATTCAAGAAACCAGCCACTAACCGTTCAAATACTATCTATCGAATTAATGACCATTCAGCTGCGTGGCTGATTTCTCTCACTGCATTCCATGACATCTTGGGTAGAGACGGAACCATTCCGACACCAGCATAGATGACACTTACTTAGACCCACAAGCGCTGGATCTGCATTTGCTCGGACCCTCTATTGAGGTCCGCAGCGAGGTTGGAACAAAATCGACTTCCCCTCTTCTCCTTCACACATGCCATTTAATTTTCACCATTAGGAAAGCCGAACTCTCCAATGATTTGGACTTGCCACTCCGTTATCTCCGAGATCAGTTACTGACCCGGATACACGCACGATGTCAGAGGAGCAGTCACACCAGCGTCGCCGCAAAGTAACCTTGGCATGTGATCCTTGTCGGGAACGCAAGTCCCGTTGCGACGGAAGCAAGCCGATCTGCTCCACTTGTCGGCGTCGGGGGCTGGGAATTGAACACTGCGTCTATAGGACCGGGAACGCGCGCACAGAATGCAGCGAAGAGTGAGCAGGAGAAGTTCAGTGAGCAATTCGCCCCGACTTGACTGACCAGTGGCTGCAGCTATACCAAAGCTTTACACGCTCGGATCCGCTTTCTGGAAAATCAGCTGGAACAAGTCTCAGTCTCACCGTTGGAAGGCTCAATCCCAGCCAGAACCAGCAGTAGGCGGGCCAATACAAATAGTACACAAGGCACACAAAGTCAAGGCGAGCTAGAAGCTCTCGTCATGAGCATATCTCAAGCCCAATCACTCACCCCCTTGTCATCTGCCACAACGGAGAGTATTGAGAATTCTAGCCATGCGAGGCGAGTCACTGCCATGGGCACAACCACTTCCGAAGAGGACATTGGACATCATTGTGACGCAAGCGAGGCTTTTTATGGATCTTCTTCGGCTGCATCATTCTTAAAAGAGACTTGCGGAACTACAATACCCCCCTCAAACCACCAGGCTAATTCACAAACATTTGCTTCACTGCCTTTGTCCCTTTACAGCGATGCAAATAAGTTTACTCTTCCTCCAAGGCGCCTTGCAGATCACCTCGTGGAAAGATACTTCCAGCGCATTTACTGGCTTTACCCCATATTCGATAAGCATGCTTTTGAGCATGCCTACAACTCGCTTTGGTTACCGAGTGGACCGACTTCAACTTTAAACGAACATCGAAACCTAGGCCTAGGGGAAGATGCTAGTACTGTTGCCTTCTTCTCTTCTCTTAATGCCATATTTGCGTTGGGCTGTATCTTCTCGGATCTTTCCATTGCGGCCAGGGCGACATCTTATGAAGTCTTTTTCAGCCGAGCTAAAGATAAAGTAAACCTTGAGCTTCTGGACATAAATGATTTGAGCGTTGTTCAAACCCTCCTTCTAGTTGCTCTCGTCCTACAAGGCACTTCATTTCCAGATCGCTGTTGGAATACGACAGGATTGGCTTGTCGCGTGGCACAGGGTTTGGGCCTGCACAGTTTGCCGCCCTACAGTCGGCAAGAATCGCGAATACAGCGCATCAGACGGCGTACATGGCACGGCTGTATCGTGCTAGATACGTAAGAACAGAGATGTATTCGTTTCTTCCATTTGCTGATAATTTTAGGCTGGTGAGCATGACCTTTGGTCGGCCAACAATGATTAGTAACATCTCTACCCTCGTTCTACCAGAAAGGGTAATCTGGGATTTTGAAACTGGTGGGGACATGGAACAAATTAAACTACAGTTCCAGATAGAGACCGTTCGTCTCGGCATCATTCTAGATAGCCTTTTGTCAAAAGTGTACAAACCCTGGCAAGGCAAGCTACACCCTGACGACCAAGGGATTCGTTCTCACAGAGCTATTAACAACCAGAGCATGGACGTCTTTGCTGAACTCCAAGAGAGGCTTCGGGACTTTGAGCTTAGCCTCCCAACTTTTCTCTCGTGGAATGAACCTCTAGCTATAGAGACAATAGCGCCGCATGAGGCTACGATCCTCGCCACTCAAAGAAATGTATTGCAGGCACGGTAAGATCTCTTAAAATGCATCATTTGTAGACATTGTTTTTAACAGGAGTCAGTTATACATATCTACGAGTCATGCTTTACCGCCCAATCTTGAGTCAGCTGCTAGCTCTAAATACTTCTGAGGGTGCCACAGATGACTTACACTTATCTTTTAAGCACGATGGTGCTAGAGCATGTATACGCTCTTCAATCCAGCTAGTCAACTTGGTTCACGAAACCGTTCATACAGAAGCCGCCGAGCCGTGGTGGTGGAATAGCTTATGTATATATACCTCTCTAACTCCAAGATATGTACTAATTAGATTATGCAGATGTTTGCACCGCTAGCCTAGTCCTTATGACCTGTCGGCTATGTCCTTCTTTATGGGTCACTTTAGATCAAGCGAGCGTGATCAAGGCGTTAGACAAATGCCACACAGTCTTGGAGGTTATCTCTTCGTTCAGTATGTCTATTCGCAAATCCGTCAATCTACTTAACAAAATGCACCAAACTATTACAGGAAGGCAACAAGGTCAGTACTGAAAAGAGAATTCTAGATGGAACCCTGACCTAATATTCTATAATGGAAGGAGAATCAAATGCATCCTCGCAAGAATCCCAGAGACACGGACTGTTAGATACACTCCTGGAAGGCGATCTATCTCTCCAGAATGCCTTGACCACATCTTTCCCCTTTGACCCTGATACAATAATCTTTCCATATTGGGAGGCAGCTACTTTGGGAGGATAGTTAGGGAGAAATAGGTCTACAGGATCCGTGATGGATGGCTGAGAGGTTACTTGCGACTACATGAGTTTTCACTTTCTCCAACACATCCGTAAGATTAAGATGAGAATTATGTTTTCTAGCAAAACCAACTCCACGGCATGTTGCGTAGTAAGTATCTACTCAGATATTGATTAACTACAGTCTAGCACGCTCCGGAATGTCCAGAGCAAGGTCTTTTACCATGGCCGAGGCAATGTGTTCGCTGATCGCCATGGTACTAACCATAGGGTTAACACCACTAGCACTAGGAAACACACTGGCATCCGCAACAATCAAGTTCTCATAGCCCCAAACTCTGCCAAATTCATCCACGACACCATCGGCTTCCTTAGCGCTCATTCGACATGTGCCCATCTGATGAGCAGAGCCATAGGGTGTGTCTGGTGTCTTGTTTCCATGAGCTTCCATTTGCTTCAGCCATTGTGAAAACGCCAAATCTGTGTCGCTGGAAGCGCTGTAACCATCAGTTGGCAAGCTTCCTTGACCACGTATGAAGGACCCGAATCCGGGAAGGACGGGATGAATCTCCAAGGCACCTTGATTATAAAGGATTTTAGCCAAAGCAAGCATTCCCTTGAAGTTATTACTGGCATCGAACTTGGATGGAGTATAGACCAATCTAGGTATACCTAGAGTAGGGTCAACTGTGATGTGGCCGCTGTCACGATCGCGAGTAATAGCAATATATGCTTCCATGTGCCTGTACTTGGTTATGAGTGCTTTATAGTCAGGTCCTGATGTCCAATTCAACCATGTAAGACACATAGAGGGCTGTCACTGGGTCAGTTTCGCTTGAAATGCTGAATACTGGTAGACTTACTAGCATTGAGGGACGCTCAAGTCTCACACCATGGCCATTTCCGTCAAGGTTGTCGAAGCTCGAAACAACAGAGGTGAGAATTCCGCCTGTTGCGTGTTAGTAGGCGAAGACAACTAACAGAAGGAAGTCAAACATACCTTCCCACGGCCGTGTATCCTGTTCAAAAACTGCTGTTACAAATGATGTTGGATGGAGATGAAGGTTGCGTCCGATATGTTTGTTCTGTGCTCATATTAGCATGCTGCACTTTAGCAATCCAAAGGGGGACTGTGCTTCCTACCTTTAACCCGCTGTTCTTCAAGATGACAGGGCTACACAGACTACCAGCAGAAATGACAACTCTTTTCGCGTTGATTGTTATCAACTTGGCTGGGGCATTGGAGTCGTCCTTTTGCCTCCAGGTTCCACTCACACCACAGGCCACTTCCTTCTGGCCACGCTTGTTGAAGAGAACCTTGTTGACATGGAGACCTGATATGAACTTGGCTCCATGGCGGGCTGCATCTGGTAACCAACCGTTGACTGGGCCTTGTTTCTGACCCATCCAGCAGCCTAGAGAACAGTACCCATCCTGGTGCTCTCCGTGGCCCGTGTTCTGGGGCACCTGTTTAGCGCTGTACCCAAGTCTGCGCGCCCCTTCTAGCAAAACTGAGTTGCCATGGTTATGACTTATAGGCTCATTATTGACGCCCATGCGCTCGCAGACGGAGTCAAGACGGGCTTGGAATTCGGAAGATTGGAAGAACCCAAGCCCTCGCTTTTCTGCCCATTCATCGCGGACTGTGTTTGGAGGTTGCAGGCACGCGCTCCAGTTGACTGTTCCGCCTCCACCAAAGCAAGACCCTGCCAATGTGGAAATAGATCCATCTTCAGAAGATACTAAACCTCCTTGCTCGAAGAGGTGGAAATATCCTGCACTTTGTTCAAGAGGCAGTGATGATGTTTCGTAATGATGTCCCTTGTCCACGACCAAGACACGATAGCCAGCCATGGCAATAGTTCTTGCGACGACACCTGAACCGCACCCTGAGCCCACAATCACAACATCGGTGTCTATCTGGAACTGGGTATCCGAGTTGTCGAACTGCATGAACTCGAACGGGTATGACTCGACCGGGTGCCATCCGGCAGGAGTGGATGGGAAGCCAACGACTTGGTTGAAAAGAGAACTTGATCGTAGATAGACATGCTTGGCAATGATTGAAAGTTGTTTGAATAGGACGCGAAAGGTGACCAGAGAGCTCGTCCTCCAAGAATTCAACACCAGCGTCCGATCTTGAAGAGACAGTTCGCAAAATAGTGTGAATCCACCAGTGAGAGGGATGACGCCGGCTCGATTTCTATCATAACGCATTGTCAATAAAACATGCTGTAAGTGAAGTTAGAGGCGCAGCGGGCTTACCCAAGCAGGGAGCATATTGTACCAATCCCAGACAGCTTATCAGCAGGGAGATTCGCCAACAGCCGCTTTAAGATTTCTTGGAACAGTGGCAAACTAGAAGGCGTTTCGGCTAGAAAAGCACCAAGTGTTGAGATATCGCAGTGAGAAAGAAGGCCGCTTTTCTGGGTAGAAGATAAGGTATCCTCGGGACAGGGAGCAATGAAAGTGTCCATAATTGTCATTAGGACTTGCCATTGTGCTTCTGTTAAAGGCCCTGAGCTTGGACCTTGTGGAAGGCCAACTGAAGTACGGTCCGTCATCATCAGGTTTTGTCTTGCTTTGCCTCAAAAATTGATAAAACACGGGAGCCTGGCACCTCCATGCCCCAGAATAAGTCGACAGACATTCTTTAAGTCCTGACCTCGTATGGGATCAGACGTATCACATGCCAGTCTGTGGTTAGCTCTAACCCCGGATTTACCCCTCATTATCTGGGGCACTAACTGTATTAGTTCATCGTTCTATTTAATGCCGCTGTAGCTTTGCAGATCACCGGAACGGACCCGTACCTGCATTGTTGGAAAGATGTATTTTGCCAAGTTAAGTTTGAACAAATGTCAGAAGGGAATACCAAGATTCACTTATTATCTTCCTAAGTGCATATCTACCAATAGCTGTATTATTGACTATTCTAGGGCATAGCTATATCCAAGGAATCAAGTTTCGTCTTGTAGTGCAGTTCACTTCCTGTTGTGAATTTATGGAACCCCTGCTCAAGATGTCAGGGATGGGACCTCGGCAAAGTGCGGGATACATCCGATGCTATCAACGGCACGATTCCGCAGTCTTAGTTATCGTTACTGGGGTCACGGAGTAGCTCAAACTCTATTTTTGTTCTTTAGCGTGAGAAATACTGGAACCGGGATGTGCCGAGGTTAAGAATCTAGGATCACAAACTATTATTGAGATTACTGTATTTAAGTGACGTAAGGTTGGGAAAATACTTAATCATATTCCTTAGGTCGTGGATTCAAGTTGAATCTATAGCTAATGCTTGAGGATAGAATTATGTTATTATTGGAGGAAACTCTGCCGGTGGACAACTGGCAGTTCAGCTACTCTCTTAGTTGCTCAACCGTAACCAACAATCCCAGGAGTTGCGCTGTCAGGGCCTCTTGCTGGTGCTTTCCTGGTTTTCCCGTGAATGGCCCGATCTACCAATGACCCTTCATTTTCACAAAATTTCGCTTTTGTCGTGCTTTCCAAACCAGTTGTCTAGGCATTGAGAAATGTACTACGGAGACCTGACGCTTAAAAGCGCTCCTAACAATTTAATTACTTTACATTTAAGTTAAGTAAAGTTAATTAAGTTAGGAAGTTCAGCATTCAAATTAAGTTTGTTTTATATCTTTGCTTATTTTATTTAACCTAATTGTAATACTGTGTTCTATTTTCATATAGGGTAATTGCTTCCCTCTTAAATGGATAAGGAAGGAGGGATCTTATCTAATCTAGTATCTAATCGATAGCGTCATCGATAAGATAAGATCTACATTTAAAATCAAGTTATTCAAGTCAATTCAATTCTAACCTTTCTCAATTAGATCTGAAGGTCGTTAAATCTATTCACCGAAAATCGATTTGAATTTGATTTACTGGGAGCGCTGATGTCAAGTCGACTTCAACACCATCCCTCTCTATTGGAACTTGTCTACTGTGGTCGGAACAACATCTATCTTAACTCAGCTTTACGTGACTACAGGGGAGCATGAAGTCTTCCGAGACCAGGTGGTCACGTTCAAGGAAAGGATTCAGCTTCTAAGTCCCTCCTTCAATTTGGGCTTTAAGTGCCATCAAAGCTGCGCTCATGACTTTATCATACTTGAAGGTGGTCAGCAACAAGATGGGGAGTGTACTCAGTGTATGAAGCAATGGATGGTGGATTTGCTGGCTCTCAAATAAACAATATTACTCTAAGCACTCTCTTAATTTTATGATAAGATACAAGACGGCAAGCAGAGGAATTGATACCCGAAAAGCCCAGTGTGTGAAACATCCAGGTCCCTAGATAGGGTTGGTTCCAGCAGGGTGGCTGTATTGTAGATACCGTGCACAGATCAAGCCGGCGGCCTCTGACGAACGCCATATTACTCACGACCTTGCCTGGCGTCTCTCCGTTTCGACCGGACACCTTTCAGCGATACTCTGTAATCCGATATGAAAGACAAACTCATTGCCGTGTATGCCTAAACGAAGTTTTGACTAAGCAGAGATATTATTATAGAGACAATGTAAGACAAGTCTCAGCCATTATTTCATCGCTCCCGTCATAACTGCTCATCCTTCACATTCCTTTTCTACCTTCGCCGATTCGGTTATAATGCAGGCGCTTAGAATGTACTTACTAGCCCTTGACCCAGCTATGTGTTTCCCCCAGTGACATTCCGTAAGTATCCCCATACTTCATTAGCGACGAATCTCAGTTGTATAAACATACCTTATACTCTAGTTTCCGAGAGACTAGTAATAAGCACTAAAAAGAATTTCTTATATTACATGCTAGCCTCGTCCTCTATGCCCTCCCGAAGAATCTTGATCTGCTTCTTGATCTCAACCCAGAGCTCCAGTTTGTCCAGGTCGCTATCATCCCGTATGTGTCCGGAGCTTTGATCATCGCCCACCAAGACCCAAGCCCCCTCGGAACTCGACTTTGATGGAATTGCCTTGGCCCTCCCTGCGATTGCCAGTAGTGCTGCCACAAATGCTTCCTGAATGTAGGCAAAGCTGAATTTGTCCGTGATCTCAGCAATAGCTCTGCAAAGCCTGTCTGGAAACTCAATGTCTTTATTTGGCTTCAGCTTCTTCTGCCAAAAGCGGCAATATGCCTCTCGCTGGTCAAGGTTTGGGTCGGGGAAATAATACTTTCTGTCGAACCGAGATGGGCGTTTCTGTCGATTTAGTATGTATTCAAGTGAATGATAGGAAGGGACCTACCGAGATTCCCGGGTCTAAAAGTTCCAAGTGGTTGGTACTGGCGATAATGAATATACCATCATTCTCTTTTAGGCCATCAACCTCGTTCAAGAAGTAGCTCCTTACTTCGGGTGTGACAAGTGAATCAATGTCTTCGAACACTAAGTAGCAGGGCGCAAACTCCCTAGCCTTTTCAAAAATAACATGAAGAGAGTACTGGGGCCCCATCCATGATTCCAGACTACGAATGTAGACGGTAGGTATGGTTGGGGTTCTGTCTGCTAGCATATGCATAGTTGCTTTGATGCTGATGGTCTTGCCATTTCCAGGAGGGCCGTGATAGATAAGTCCTCTCTTCCATGGTACGCCGAGACCTTTATAGGTCTGCCTAGATTCGAAGAAGGAAACATGGTCATTGATAAGCATTTCCTTCATATCTGAATCCAGGATCACGGCATCCCAGGTCGCTTTCTGCGCACTTTCCCAGAGCTCTCTATCCTTCTCGAATCCACCCTGGTCAAACACCCATACTTCATTATGCAAGTCGCTTGCCCATGACCCGGTGGCGAGTACAAGCTGCTCTGCTTTGTGGACATTCGCCGTGAGGATGTAGTAGTTCTTGACCTGCGGATAGGCATCCGCGCCATCACGACCGTCAACTAGATAAATCACAAATTCCTCCTCTTCCCACTGGTAGAGGAACTTGCCAAAAATGACTGTCTCGCCCAGTTGTCCTTTATTGCCATCCATCCGTCGAGAGGGTCGTAGGTAGAAAGTCTTTTCGAGCGAGGAAGGAAGATTACCCTTTTCGTGGATGGCATGAAAGGTTGCGTGGCCGGCACCAGCAAAGGCTAAGAGGTTACATTGGTACTCTTCAACCACGATAAGGTCAAGATCAGGGTACTGCTTCCCAAGAGCTGAAGTGAAAACCGAATCGGTATTGATTCTTTTCGCATTTGAGTGCGCAAAGTATGAACCAGTTGCATCATCACCAGAGCCATTTCCCGAGCCGGAGGTAGCGCTTGTGGTGTTTCCTTTTCCATTTCCACGGTAGAGATTATACCCTGGAACTGAAGGGATCATGGTTGGCGCTGGACGCATCGGATGGGCTGGAGTATATGAAATGTCCATCGTGTTATTGCAATTATGTCCGGTGTTGCTTTTTCTAGAGTAGCCGCTGAGGAACGGTGGAATATGCTCCGTTAGCATGGTTGCCAAAGGTAAAGAGGGGAAGCTTTAAATAATAATGCTGTGCCTGCTTGCTGACAAGACCTACGTCAGTTGACCTACTAAGGGGCCCCTGTTCGGGGATTCCTAGATTTGGGCGATAGAACCCCGCTTTGTCGTATTACAAGGGGGTCAAGTTAACCTTCCACCACCACTTGCGACAGGGATATATTTCTGTGTCTATCTAGCAACTTGTAGACTACCATAGCGCCAATACCGATGTTGTCAGGTGTGTGGTATCAAAGAGTGTATTCCCCATCGACAGGACCGATTTCGTCGCCTGTACGAGTGGAAAGCAAAAGCCAAACGGAACACATAAGGATTGAGGCTAAATTAAATACCTCAGTATACAGGCTTTAAGTAAATACTCATAGAAACTATCAAAAAGACTACTTATAATTATCATTCATACCACATCCAGTTGTCAACGGAGTAGTTTTCTGCGCAGACTTCCTCTTCTTGCCACCAACACATGGACAATAATGCGCGTGATTCTCTCCGCCATTTTCATTATGCTTAATCTCCTCATGAACCTCTGCAGCACAAACGCAGACAGTACCAGCAAACGCTCCGCCATCAGCACTGGGACCCTTTGGCTGATACCACGGGGGCAAATAATCAGGAAGAGTTGAAGTCGTCTTAACCTTGCCATAGGGGCCATCTTCAGTCTTATAATTGGATTCGCCGAATCCGTCAAAGCGAATTTTCCATGTCATGGGGAAGGGCACGAACTCATCCCATGTTGGTGTGAGGTAAGTGTCAGTCTGAGGCTTAAGGACCCTGGGATTGAAGATCTTATCAGCTTTGTTAGAGTTATCCATGTTTCTGACCTGTTGCTCGATCCAATTGACTCTTCCAGGGGCCATATAGTTGGCGTAGCCCTCAGGAGTGTAGTCAAGGTTGATTTTCTTGAGCATTCCCTGTGTATCATGGCCTCGACGAGGATTCTTCATTTGGGCAATGAACCTGATCATCGAGGTCAACGAGATGGTGGCAAAGCTTCGTGGGGAGAAGACGCCGAACTTGTCGGCGATGCTGAGTTGGGATGTCAAGAACGTCTTCTTCGCCGCATCAGTACTGACTTCGTCAGTTGCCTTTGCCTATTGGTCTATGTCAGTGCTGAACCTGCACGGAATTGTAGATGTATATACTTACGAGGTCGAGGACGATTGCCTGTCCGTCCTTGATTGTGGTCTTATTTCCATCGAAGGTATATTCGCCACCCTTCACTGCCTTTCGCCAAATTGGTTGTCGAACAGTGATTCGAACCATCTCTTGAACAAGCTTGTCAAAAAGTTCATCTTCCTTCTTTTGTTCATCTGCCGTCTTTGCACTACTAAAGACATGCTTTTGAGCCTGGACCCATCTCGGCGTGTCGTTGGCCTGGCCAATGATGAACTTTGGACGACCATCAGCAGCTGCGTAAAGATCCTTCATGAAGCCATCCAAGGTAGCGGTGAACTAGCAATAGTTAGCAGCTTTCGCGATATATGTAAGTCCTGGGGTGACTTGCTGAGACGACTGCATTGTAGGCAAAATCCAGACAGACCAGAAGCAAAATAGCTGCTGCCTTTCGCTGGTCGTTCTCATATGCCAAAACTTCTTTGGCAACAAAGACTCCAAGATCATGCATGGCGGTAGTCTTCTTCTTGCCAAACAGAGCCATGGTGATATCCCACTGGCCAGCCTCCCAGATAGTTCCCTTCTGGGCTAGATCGACGAGCGCCTCCATGGAATCCTTGAAGGCCCGGCGACGCTGCATCCATTTGGTCTCGTCGGCGTTGTACGTAAGGAAAGCTTGACAGTTGGTGATGTGTTGGTAGATTTCATTCTCGCTGTGCACGCCCTTCGTTTGCGAGGGATCCTTGCAAAGTTTATCGCCGAAACCAAGAAACTCAGCGACATAATGCGTGACGACAGGAATGGCGAAGCTGTATGGCTGTCAGTTAAGGAGCTGAGTTGAAATAACGGTAGACTTACTCTCTCGTAGCATCAACTTGAAACGTGGAGTTGGTCATGGAGATGGACTCCCTCTTGATCATTTCCTTCATCAGATCATCCAGATACTTCTGTAAATCCTCCTTAGAATCCTTGACGTAGTCACTTATCTTTGTTGATGGCTCAGGTAGTTTCCTATCCTCTTCAGGGTTCAAAACATCTTTGACGACAGTTGGCAAGTTATCCTGGTAGTAATAGGCGGGGTTAATGAAGTTATTACTGTCCTTCAAGACCTGCTGAATATCATCGAACTTAATGAGATATTCAGGCTTCTCAGGCTTTGACACTGCAGGCTTTTCCATGGCCTGTCCCTTTGGTGGCTTGACAGTCTCCTTGAACAACTGATCGTAGCCTTGAGCCTTTGCATACTTCGCGTTCTGCTCGGCTGTGTAGAAGGGGTGGAAGAAGCGGATAGTGTTTGAGGGAAACCAACCAGGAAAGGCTCGTTGAAGAAGACGATGAAAGACTGAACTCTTGCAAATCTCGTTGTTGGGAGTCACTTCCTTCATACCCCATGAGGTCAAAGAGTTGGTGTTCCAGTCAACAGTGTAGAAGCGATCAGAGCGGACCAGGGTGATAGCGTCTGAAAAGATAGCGGACCAAAGGGCAGAGCTTGACTCAGTGGGACCAGGATCGAGTCCCATATGCTCATCGGACTCACAAAAGATACCAGGATACAACTCGATCTTGTCGGGATGCTCATAAAGATCTCTGAGGGCATTCTGGATCTCAGGGTTCTTAGTCACACTATCGAACGATCCGTGGCGCGGCAATCCGAAAAAGTCTCTGAAGTCATTTAAAGTACCACACTCCCACTTTCTTGCCTGGAGGATGCCCATGATCTCAACCGGCTTGAGACACAAAGGAACGTTGCGGGGTCCGAAGTTGGAGATAGGCTCATCCATGGAAGATGTGAGCTCATCCAGCATGTCCTGGTCGTTAAAGAGGTTGGTGATGGCGTTTCGTGTGAAGTTTTTGTACCTGGGCTTATCCGTCGTAGCATTCGTTGCTTTACTTGCAGTCGTGGCAGAACGGTTAAAGCCAATACCACTATCGGAGCTATTACCTGACGATTCAGCTCCACCTCCATGCGTGGGCACTGCTTGCTTCTGAGGAATACCAAAGGTGACCTCCCAGGGTTGAGTCTCTGGCTTCTCTCTCTTCTTATCTCGTGCCTTCTTGGCCCCTATGCCACCCATGATGCCGAGAAAGGTAGGAAGGGGAGTATTTTTCGCGTCTGGGAACCCCAGCACATTCTCCATATACTCCTCGGTGTACGCCTCGTCCTTGAGAGAAATGGCACAATGAAAGCGATACAAAAGGTTAAACTCAACCGTGACCTGATTGCCGATTCCTCGACTCGTCTTCTTTTGGTCAAAGTCGGCACGAGGATCGAGAGTAAAGTTGGTGTCGAACTGATGGAATCCCATCAGAGCTCTCAGATAGTCGTGAACTGAGATCTGGATGTACATGCCACAAGTAATGAGGCGTGCCGTGTTGAAAAGGTCATCGTCTTGCTTTTTCCAAGCCGCTTGCCAAGACTCCTTGAATTTCTCGCACTTGGCTTCGAACTCAGCAGCGTCGTTGTTGGACTGTAAAGTGGGATCTTGACCTCTGATCCCTTGTGCCTTGTCACTGATAAGTTTCTCAAGTTCTTTTCTCAGCGAGAGAAGTTCTTTGTTCAAATCCGAACTTTCAAAAGCAGCCATGGCAACCTCGGCGTCTTCCTTAGCTTGTTCAGCTTTCAGTCGATCGTCCTTTTCCAAGGGACTCTCGTCTGGTAGCTTCTTTGGGACGGACGGTGGCTCTCTAGGTTTGGCTGAGCGACAGTCCCTCCAGACCTTTTCGTACCGCTTGCACTTCTTCTCGACCTCGGGAGAAAGAGGCGAAAGGAATGCTTTGATCAAAGAGACGAGCTGGGTCTTTTCGTACATGACAGGAACGCTGAAGCGGCCGTTCTCATTGATTCGCAGGAGTTGTCTTGCAGCGTAGTTATGATATCGGTTGTACATGACGAGCATAATACAGACACCAGGTGGCTGACGCAGCAGGCGATCCTCAGCAAACGTGTCCGGCTTCAAGAGCCCGAGCATAAACTTGTCATCTCGGATCTTGCGCTGCATATCATCGGCATATCCATAGAGAGGCGACAAATCAAGGTAGGATGAACTGTCTGAGATGTTCTTGTCATTGTCATTGGTCCTGAAGATATCGTGGATGATGATGGTCGCGTGATACACAAGCATGGAAGACAGACCAGACTGGCTCTGTCGACCACCTTCCTGTCGTGCCATCAACTTGTCAAAGAGATCAGAAGGATCAGGGAGGGCACCGAGGGGTGCTGTCTGAGAGGGGACGGTCTTTGCATATGGAGCACCAGCTTGACCAAGATGGGGGTTGATGGCGCTGTTGAACTTGCCATCAGCAGTTCGATACTGGAATGCGTCACCGAGGTATGTCAAAGGAGCTGGCAGATCACGTTAGTTTTGAAACCTGGATTCTGAGAGAAGAATATCTTACGGTGTAACATTCTGTCATACTTGTCCTTGACCTGGCTGTTGATGAGGTTGTTGCGCGCGGTGCTATAGTCGGATAGATTTCCACCAATGGTTGCAACGCTTTGTGCCTATACCAAGTGTCAGCGGGATGTTGGAATATATGCCCCATTCAACTTACATCAAGCCCTCCTCCCGTGACGAGACCCTCGATAGTGCGCCCTACAGCGGCCACAGTATCTCGCCTGGAGAAGATGGTTTTGAAATCATTCCACAAGCCAAGCTTGGGAACAGTTGGGTTCTATGCGCGTCAATATCAGAACTTGCAAGATGGTTAGGCCCACTAACACCGATGAGCTTGTCGCCGTGAAACTTGGCATATTTCTCGTCTTGCCTCTTCTTGTCTCTGAGCTGCAAGGTGAGGTTCAAGAGTTCCTTCTCTTGCGCGCTCATATCTGCTTCGTGGCCATGCACAGAACTGCTGTGCCGGCCCGAGGTACCATTCTGTGCCGAATGACCATTACCGTTCTGTGCGGAGTGGCCATTTCCATTCTGCGATGAGTGGCCGTTCATGGTGGAAGGGTCTCAGCAGTATGCTATTGTAGGGAAGAAGTAAGGAGAAAGGGGTAATGAACTACACTAAGGAGGACTGGGTGGTGAGTGCTCAAGAAAAAAGGTAAAGCAATATGGAGAGATAGTTCGAGTTGACGAAACTTCTGGTGTGATGGTGCAGCTCCGAGCTTAATATCACAGCTCGATGCGGGGCACCCAAGGAGACAGGATAGAAGGAACCCTTTCCTCGCACACTCCGCGATATCAACGCTTATTTTCGGAAATTATCATCCACGACCGTGATACAACAACATCACCAATTGTCTCATTCTTGGCCTAATTTCCGCTAAAACTTGGAGCTGATGAACCTTACATTCCCCTCGGCTTACAACTCATCATTTCCAATTGGCCTTTCTTAGAGTACATAGCCAGCCACTATCGAAATACTGCATTCACGCTATCCTGTCTTTGAATACCGCCCTATAAAAACCAAGATAATCATCATCATGTCATTCCAGGAGCTTAATATGCATGCAAGACGGTAGAGAGCAGTAGTGTAGCATTATCACATTCCAGCTAGCGCCACTTCCAAATTCACCCAGTAAGAGCTCATGACGGCCCGTGGCGGCTGGCTGAGCTCCTAAACGGTCTGGAACGGCTACTGAAATGGAGGTGTTCAGATAAACTTTAGAGCTGAGAATGTTATGGCTAGACCGTTGGTGGATCAGCCTTGTTACACGAGCTACTGCAGCTGGCCTTGTGGGTCAATTGTCGAGAATGCCGTGTCTAAGACAGTATTGCTGGAAACTAGATCCGCTTTCCCCGACCCTAGGGTATGCAGGGAGGGTGTTCAGCTCCTGCTAGCTTCTGAAGCTGGATACGAAACCTACGCTGCCCTATAAGGTAATCTTAATGCTTCTGACATGCTCATTCGTAACAAGTGACGTCCGTACTTATTTTGATCTCGAATTTATTGTCTCAGAGTTTGGCTTTGATGGCTGTCTAATTCTAGAGTTATTGAAAACCCACAGCTCGCAAGTGGACGCCACGAATGCAACTCTGTAGTAGTGGCGGTTCTCGACCAGGCAAAGCCAAATACCAAGTACATCACGACCATTGGTGGATGGTAAACGGAAGCCTAGAGGATACTTCTCAGTCTCGCATAATACCTCTGGATGTTACAACCCTTGTTGTTCCCACCTCCATCCCATTTACAAAGTCAATTCCTCAGACTTCTCTCATCTTTTGTTTATCAATCCATCACAATGGCTTCCATCGCTGTCGGCGAGTATCATCCAGCTCCTGATGGCGCCAGCAGAAGTCCCTGCCCCGTCGTCAACGCTCTCGCCAACCATGGCTACATTGAACGCAGTGGAAAGCAAATCCTCATGAAGGATCTCAATGCATCAATGAGACATGTTGGTATGAGCCCTCTTCTCGGCTCTGTCTTCGCCATCCCAACCTACTTTGAGTACCACAATCCCGCCAAAGCGTATCTGAGGACACCTCCCAGCACCTGGCAGAGGATCTGGGCAATCATCAAGAATCCTTACTCATTCTTTGACTACTTCGGTTGCTGGAATACCGACCAGATGATTCGTGGCAAGAAATATCTCAATCTTGACAATCTCGCTGCCCATGGTGCAATTGAGCACGACGTTTCTCTGTCGCGTCGAGATATTGGCCAAAAGCAGGGAAACAACGCCCCTCAACATGATTTAATCGAGGAACTCCTTCAATACACTATGGACGGAGAGACAATGACCATTGACGACCTTGCATGTTTCGTTAAAGCCCGCATCGCGAAGCAACTTGAGGATAACCCAGAGCTGGTGTATGGACCAGCTGAGCATCAAGTCAACTGTGGTCAGATCGCACTGATGATGGGTTGCTTTGGTGATCAGAAAACAATTAAGGTTGACTACGTTAGAGCCATCTTTCAGGATGAAAGGCTGCCCATCGAGGAGGGGTGGACAAGACGATACTGGTGGACCATGGGTCTGGTCGAGTTCTTCGGTGCTGTGAAAAACTTGGTCAATAAAGTTGGCGTAGAATTTTAGTTACTTGTAGCTATCGGTTATGTCTTGTTTATGTCTTGTTTAAATGGAGGACTGGGCATCTAGATAGAGCAGCTAACAGTACTTCAATACTATACATGACTTTTCCAGCGACTTCTCCTCAAACACTCAATTGGGTTTCTATAATGTATGAAATGATGAAGAATCGAGTAATCGTCCACGTGACCAGAATAAGCCGGATCTCCTGGATCAGCAACTTCATTTGCACTTGCAGATCATGATCTGGCCTCAAAGCCTAGACTTTCGAAAAGGGCGGTTTTATGTCTCAGCCAAAAGTGACTCCAAGACAAATTGCACGTTCTTGTCGTGGCTTGGAGACCATCCTAAGACGTGCAGAAATCAGCCAGCCATGATTTATAAGAGGGGTAACTTGCTGACGCGTATTGAAGTACCGAAACCAATGACACAACCCTAAATCCTGTCCAAGCATTGACCAAAGAAAGATCCGTATCACGAATGTGCATGCAGAGAGTTTGTGGGCCAATTGAAGCAGAGCAGTAAGCAAGCAACCAATTCACCCCTAGGAAACTTCCCCTCTTATCACCCTGTCAGCCAGCCTAGCCATCTACTAGCCCGTAAATAAGTGGCTTCTCAGCGGTATATACACTAGCTCTGGTTTGCTACGGATGGAGCGGCTCGACCAGTGGCTTGCTGCATGCTTTCGACAGTACCACAGCTGAAATTCCTCTAAAGAGGGGTATTGGATGTCGAGCCAAGATGGGAAAAGCTGACTCCATGTGTGGTATGTACTACGTAGTAGCAATTTTGCTTACAGTGCGATGAATGTCTTCTTGATTTTGCGCGATGAGATTCAGACTTTTAAGGCTTTCTCAGTCCACTCTCTTGGTGTTAAACACACTATAATCGGTTGTCCATTGCTCTTATAACTCTGCCCTTCATTCACAACACTGAGCCCACTGGTAATCTCCGCTCTCTTATGACCAAGATCGCTAGAGATAACATTACCAGCAAGTCAATATCTTCTCTAAATCTTCTCCCAGATATAATATCACCATGTCTTCCCTTGACGCCTGGCTTCCCGCCCTTAAAGGTATCGCCATCGCCGGCAGTCTCATTAACGCCGGTACCATGACGTCAGGCTACCGTCTTCTCCCCTCAGTTTATCCAATTGCCCAAAAGTCTCCCAAAGACGCTGCAAAGCAGTGGGAGTTCTTCTACTGGAACATGTCTGCTACCGTACCATGGGTTGACCTCACCACTATCATTGCGCTCGGCACAATCGCCTACGGGGAGCACAAGGAGAACGCCTCTGCTTTGCCTTGGAAGCTTTGGACCACGGCGGCGGCCATCATGCCTGTTGGATGGATCTGGGTTAGGCTGGTGATGCTCCCACCATCTTATGAGCTATTGAAAATCGCCGGTGATAAGAATGATGAGACTCAGCCCCTGACTCCTAGTAGCAAGAAGGTATTGGGTCTCATGGAGAAGTTTAATGCCCAGATGTCGGTCAGGATGACGTTCCCATGGGTTGTTGGTGGACTTGCTATGTGGCTTACGTTGAGCTTCTAGATGATGGTGTGTTAAAGGAGAATATCTTGTTGCTTTAGCATTGGTAGTTAGAAGCAGTAGAAGAACCCTGGGTTCCTGGAGCCAGGGAGAGGTCTATCAGTTTGAGGGTAATCAGAGGTGTATTTGAAGTACTCGTTGGAGAGTTTTGAGAAAGTGTGTCTTATGGAGCTAAGAATAGTAAGTCTTTCCTATGGTTAAAGAATGTAAAGCTGGGGTTATACATCCACAATTTAGATTATATCTAAATGTTTCGTTTTGCCAAGCCAACACTATAACTGTTCCCGATGATTCACCACAATGGAACCGGCTTCCTTTCCACCCTTCTCTCCCATTTCCTCCACGTCACCTGTCATCTCCTCGGGCTTATACTTGCCGAACTTGCGAAGGGCAATACCTTCATTGAACATGCGATCAATCTGCTCAAGTGACTTGCCCTTGCACTCCGGAATGCAAAAGACAACAAAGAAGATGGCTAATGCGAGAATACCCGCAAAGACAAATCCGACCTTAGATCCTAAGCCGCCGTATTGATCGTAGAGCATATAAGGAATGCTGAAGCTGACAAGGAAGTTGGTAATAACGTTAACTATGGAGGCAGTTCGCTGTGAGGCGTCTCGAAGACGGAGAGCAGGTATTTCAGTAGTGATGACATAGTTCAGGGGTGCAAAGGCAAAAGTGAAGCCAGAACCGAATAGTGTGAGCATAGCAACAATGCCGGATTTGACGCCGAAGGATGGATTGGATACAGTTCCCAGGGCTCCCATGGTGATGATTGCTGCGAACATCCATCCAGCACTAGTCAGCAATAGAGGGCTACACCAAGTCAGCAATACTCCTAAACCGCAGATAAAGACCACTTACCGGCGACCAGCCCGATCAACAAGATAGAGACCAGCAAAGGCAGAGCAGAGGTTGACGACTGCATTGACAATGGTCATTGTAAAAGGGTTGACAGTTCCAATATCTCGAATAAAGATTGCACCATATGTCGAGGCAAATGCTTGACCAGTGGCCTGCTGGAAAAAGTTCATGGCGACAACGATACCAGTTCTCTTGAGATTCTTTCCCTGGAAGAGCTCAAAGTAATTTCCCTGCTCTGGCTCATGTTCTAGCGCGTATTGGAGAGCAGCGAACTGCTCGTCAATCTCGGCTTCGGTCTGTTTTCCTAGTCGTAGTTTTCCAAGCGCCGCTCGTGCTTCTTCGGTTCGATCTTTAGTGAGTAACCATCGTGGAGACTAATCGGTTAGCCAATGACTTGGACGTTGGTGGTGGATGGTGTACCTCTGGAATGAAGAAGATAGCACACATGACGAAGACAGGGATGATGAAGAAGAGGCCGAAGGGGATTCGAAACGAGAGGTTACCGGATAGAGTGCTTGTGCCTCTACAGACGCATGCGACAATGAGGGTGCCGGACTGATGACTTAGTTAGATAGCGAGAAAGATGTAATTGACGAATGAGACTTTACCATCAAGCTGAATTGGTATGATCCAACAGCAAATCCACGAATTTCGCGTGGCATAATCTCGGACTGGTAGACGGGAACAACGGCGAGTTCCATGCCAATATAGATGTCTAATCAAACGTCAGCTGAATCAACCCACCAAGGTGCGACAGAGCTTACAGTTGAGGATTCTGGTGGCCATGATTTGATGCTTGCTGACAGATGTCACGGCCATGATAGCAGGGACCAATGCCCAGGCACTCATGGCAAACATGCACCATCTTCGACCCCAACGCTCACTGACCAGACTACCAATGATAACGCCGGCACCGAAACCGATATAGTTCAAGCTGTTGAACAGGGCGAGCCATGAAGGAGGGATGCTGTACTTTCCAGCGTCGGCATCCCATTCGCCAAATTGAGCCTGGAAAGCCTCCATGGCTTGGGTGTTGTTGTAGGCTGCATTGTCAAATCCGTAGTTGAATGTTGAGATGGCAATGACGGCGAAGGCAATGCCGAGATGGCGATTGAAGTGTTGCAGGATCCTATTGTTGGACAACATGGTGATGATCCGATGGCGCAAGGTCTGTTGACAGATGTAGCAGAGGGCTTGCTTGCTATTGTGTGTGATGTCTGGGGAATTGTCTTCGGCTGACTGGCAATTGAGGTCGGGGTAATGCTCCAAATATACCCAGTCAAGTCAATTCCACGGCATTTCCCCCCGCAAGATCTGAGTATCACGAGTCACGCCAACAACAAGGTAAAACCGTTCGAGACCACGATGCAGAGACTGCTTAGCTCAGTAGTTCTCCTGATTTCCCCACGGGTGCAAGACAAAGGTCCGGGGTAAGTGGAGAATCAAATTCAGTTAACGTTAGTGTGTTCCCCAAACTCGGAAGTCGGGGGGGAATGACAGACACGAGACTAGCTAGGGTCTTGGTCGAATTTCTTCTCCTCTTTCTCCGCCCGACTTCCATTTTTGAAGCCTTCTTCCGAAATTATCGGATCGAAGCGACAATGGCTAATCAGAGAAATGCATCTCCTACGCGCATCCGCAAGACGTCGGAAATATGCGCTCAATGTCGGAACCGCAAGGTGAGTTGTTCCCTACCCTAGATTATCTTTGATCTGTTTGGTAATGTCGGCACTGTAGGTTGGATGTGATGGACATCCTCAAGGCTGTGGTAATTGCCGGCGACTCAAGTTTTCATGTTCTTTACTGTCGTTGCCTTCAGAAGATAATGGAGACCTCGAAATCTTGGAGAGACGACGAGTATCACGAGCGTGTATACCTTGCAGGGATCGCAAATTGAAATGTTCTGGCAAAAGACCAACATGTTCGCGATGCTTGGGTCGTGCAATTGATTGCCATTACCCGGCATCCTCAAAGTCTCAGGCGAATGACTTGAGGCACACACCCCAGCTTGAAGCGTCCAGCGCATCTGGGTCTGCATCACCAGCTGGAGACTTAGGGCGTATCAGGAGTACACCAACGCAAGCTCATGTACAGCCGGCTGGATTATCAGCATTAATGCCGATGCCTCAGCAATTACCATTGTAAGCTTTGATCATAGCCAATCTCTTTGCAGACATGTCTCACCGTCAATAGGGATCTCGGAATACACAAAAACGCAGTTAAAAAACATATCGACGCCTACTTCGATCTCATTCACCCAATTCCATGCTACGGATTCCTCCACAGAGCCACTCTTCTCCAATCATGGTCCAAGAACGAGCTCAACCCGTGTGTTCTATTAGCGTTATGCGGCATTACATCTCGTTTCATACACCCGGGCAGTTCTGTCCATCAAAGCACGGCAAGAAAATGGATTCAAGATGCAGAGTCACATCTCCTGCAGCAACTTGCTCGGCCACAGATATCAGACATAGAAGCATGGCTACTAATCACACTGGATCATTACCTTTCTCAACGCGTCAGTAAGATGCTTGTGTCTATGGCACTGGCTTCACGACTTGCTTATATCCTTCGTCTCAACTACGAGGATACTCGACAAGGGTTTCTAGTACAAGAGCGTCGGCGACGATTGATGTGGTCCATCTACGTCATGGACTCGCTGTACTCAAGTGGAAAGGCCGAGTTCACTGCCTGCACAGCTGAGACTCTTCATATCCGACTACCGTGTAACGAAAAGTCCTTTTCCATGGACATACCAGTAACCACTGAACCACTGCATCCGCCATTGCATTCTGATTCAACCAGTATGAGCCTTCTGGGCTACTGCATCCGAGTGCTAGATATCCGTAATCGCACACAAAGGTAACTATATCGGATCTCCATCTGAGTATACCAACTGATTGTCGTAGGCTTGCTCTTACCATTACCAATCACCGAAAGCCCATCGAAGAATGTCTAGTAGCCGTTGAATCCATCGAAAACGAGTTGCGGCAGTTTTCCGTCTTACTTCCAGCTCGCTATCATTTGAACCCGACAGCATTCTCACTGCGGGCATTCTCGCCCTCTCGCACACCATTCATAATGCTACATGCTTGGTGGCATCAAACGCACTGCGATCTTTTTCGTTTCACTATCCCCGGCTTCCGAGAGGGTCTTCCTGCATCCGAAATACTACAAATATCGCCCGAGTTCACAGCGTCTTGTCGTGAAAAGTGCCTCTTCCATGCTGTCTCTGTTTCCAAAATCCTCGAGATGCCAAAAGCTGTAGGAGGCTCTGAATTAATCAGCGATTCGTCTATGGCCATGTGCGCATTTCACTCTGCAAGAATCATCTCAAGACTCGGACAGTATCCTATGGGTGATATGCCTCAAACGGGACTGGTTGCTAGACTGATGGCTTGTGCCGAGGCCCTCGAAGAGCAAGCTACGCTTCTGCCCACAACAGCGATACTATTAAAGGGCATAAGAGATTTGGTGAATGACGCACAAAGGAACCGAGATGGACCGTATGCGTGTCCGTCAATTTGGGAGGAGGAAGAAACCGAAAGCAACAGACTTTCACAAACTCCCCAAGTAGCTCAAGGCAACTCGGCAGTAAAGGAAGTCTTCTCCAAGCATAGCACCACAGACGTCATTCAGAGTTTGCATTTTCAATCAAGAGAGCAAGGCGACACACCTGAGGCCCGAGAAGTATTAACTACTCATGCTGCCCTTTCTACCTCACTAGGTGTCGTGGCAGCAGGAATAACAGCGGCGCCTGGCTCAGAGTTTGTTCCTATTAACGTCACGTCCCATCCATCTGGGACCATGGACTCTGAGGTAATTGACTTTGGTGGGTTTTTTGGAGAAGCAGAACCACACGTGGATAACCTTTTGGCGATTGGGCTTCATGGTCAGTATGGTTCTGGGCAACCGGATGTGTTTATGGACTCGTTTTGGCCACTGTGTGATGGAGACTGGACCATGCCGGAGGCGGATACCCTTTAATGACTCTGATGTTACTCAATTTGTGCCTGTATTAATAAACAAGGAAATATCCAAATCTTGATATACGCTATGATGCACCCGTGTAATCTATGCTCCGTTCCAATAAATGTCCCGCTCCACGACAAAGCTGGCTTCCAAAGTTCCGCTAGAGCTCACAACCGAGGCCATATATGTCCCCGCTTCACACAGCCAACTACCCGCGATTTCATCCCACACCGCAGTGCTGTATCTATCCAAAGTCATGACCACGGAAGCTTCTTGTCCCGGCTCAAGGAAGACCTTTTGAAACCCGGTGAGAGTTCGAACAGGCCGTTGGAATCGCGACTTCTTACCCGACTTTGAAGCGTCAAAGGAAATGTACAGCATAATCACCTCAGCACCAGCCATGTGGCCTGTATTTTTGATATCAACTAGCACATCGCTTCCCGTCATCTTGATTCCGGACGTAGAAAAAGTGGTGTAGCTAAGCCCGTGACTTAAAGATGTTAGTAGATAGATGTGGAACCGTCGAGATGACAACTTACCCAAATGGAAAGGCCACTTCAATACCGCGGGCTTCAAACCAGCGGTGGCCAACAAATACATCTTCGGCATAATAAATCCGGCCATTGTCGCTACCGAAACTCAAGAAGCTTGGTCCGTCCTGGAGTCGGCTTGGAAAGGTCATTGGAAGCTTTCCACTCGGATTGACCTTGCCAAATACCACATCAGCAATAGCATTGCCTGCTTCGTTGCCGCCATACCAGCTATGAAGGATAGTCTTCGCTTGATGACGCCATGGCATATCAATTGGGTTTCCAGCTTGTGTTACCACGATGGCGTTGGGTTGGGCTTCCAGAACGGCTGATACGAGGTCGTCAACGTAAGGTGGCAAGGACATAGACTCTCTATCTTTACCCTCCTTTTCCAAATCTGCATTGAGGCCAACAACAATGAAAGTGTGCTTACACTTCTTTGCCGCAGCGACTGCATTTCTGATACCTTCGGCTGGCTCAAGCTTGAGACAACCGCCGAGACGACAGGCTCCTCCCGGTATGGGAATGAATGAACCGCCACTGGTCCTTGACGTCGATGCACTGCCAGCCTCCACTCGTAGGCGATAGGTCTGGTCTGCCTTCATCTTATATACCCCACGCACCTCTGTAGATCCGTGGCCGAAGAACATTCCAGCGTGGTTCTGTACTGTCTCATTATCAATGACAAGGTGGTCGTCGACATACAGTTTTGAGATACCATAGCTAGCAAGACCAAATTCGTACAAGCCTTCGATTTCGGGGGTGAAATTGGCTTTCATTGACATGAAGAATGTTTCGTTCTGATCAAGGTGATTGTAGTCCATTAGTTGATAAGTCGTGTCTGGTATATTTTGTTGATCGAAGGGTTTTCTATTCTCAACAGACTCGGGTTCATTGAAAAAAGAGATCGAGACACCTGGATTTCCATTCTCATCATTTACATAATCACCAGTGAAGTATGGAAGCAGAACGTGTCCGAAAACGCCAGGCTCAAAGTGAACGGTCGCATTCGAGGGCAACTGGTCTCGAATCCCTTGAAACACAGAGCTTGTATAGTACGGCCGGAGATTCGCACTCCCTCCACCACATGCAGCGGGGAGTTTGGCATTTGGCCCAATTATAGCAACATCCTCGCAATCTTGAGCTTGAAGAGGCAGGAGTTTGCTTGAGTTCTTTAGCAGAACTACACCCTCTGTAGCTAGCCGTCTGTTAAGAGCTCGATCATCTGGCGAGTCTCGAGTCGTCTCTTTTGCTGATACTCGTGCTGCTGCTGTGTTGTTGACAAGTTCAAGGACTTTCCTTGCTCGTTCGTCTATTGTATTTCTACTAACCTTTCCCGATACGACTGCTACTATAGCTTTGTCTGCACGATGTCTGGAAGGACCGGGCATCTCAATGTCTACACCGGCGTTGAGTGCATCAGTGCAACCATATGTACCGTACCTGCTCTTGTTAGCCATCAAAATTAGGAACTGGAGCGGGGTTCTTACCAGTCACTCATTACCAATCCATTATATTGCCATTCTCCTCGCAGAATATCCTGCAGAAGCCTTTTGCTCTCAGAAACGTGAACTCCATTAACCTTGTTATATGAAGACATGACGACCTTTGGCTTAGCATCTCGAACCGCCATCTGGAAAGGTTTGAGATACACTTCTCTCAGTACTCTTTCTGACATGCAGATATCGACTGACATTTTGGCGGTTTCTTGATCATTTGCAACAAAATGTTTTAATGCTGCCGCTGTACCTCTGCTCTGTACTCCGTTGATGATAGCCGTAGCCATCACTCCACTCAAATAAGGCTCTTCAGAGAAACTTTCAAATCCACGACCATTAAGGGGGCCTCGAACAAGGTTAACTGTTGGGCCTAACCACACATGGGCGCCTTTTGCTTCACATTCACGAGAGAGAAGTTGACCTGCCGCATAGAGAAGCTCTGGGTTCCATGTTGCACCGAGACCAGTTCCGCAGGGAATACATAATGCTGGTACTGGATTGAAGAACCGACCGCCACGAGCACCATTGGGACCGTCGGTGCATTTGATGGCAGCGATGTCATGAGATGGAATAGCGGCAGAATGCCAAAAGTCAGATCCTTCAAATTATTAGTGCATCGAGAGGTATTCCAGATGTTTCAAATACTGACCTGATAGGAGAGATATCTTCTCGGCAAGAGTAAGAGACGCGAGCGTTAACTCGACATCAATGGTCGATCTCTGACGGATGTGCATATTGGCGACGATTAAAATTCTCAAACTTCAAAGACTCATTCATGCGTGTTCTAGCTAGATTGGCCAAGAACTAGGAGCTATAAAGCAATCAAATCACGCCAATTTGCCCTGAAATCCGCCCCTGGACTTGAGTCGTCTGTGGATCTTGTCTCTCGGATGTCGGGCGGAGTTGATACGTTTAATTATCTAATGTAATGATTGGGTCTTGGCATATTCCGGCTAATGCTAAGCGTAAGCTGGGGCCCACAGTTTCTCTTTCTTTCACAAGGGAGTTGGAAAAAGTGTCTGCTAAACAGGGCTCCTAACAGATTATATCTCAAATCGATGTTTCCTTGTTTGAATTGAAGGCCTGCTGAACTGATCTAGAGAGGTTATATTTAAATTGATTTGACTAATTTGGATTAATTTAGTTGTGGATTCTATCTTATCGATCTAAACATCGATAAGATAGTAGATAAGATAAGATATCTTTATCTTCCCCTATTCAAGAGGAATCCATACCCTATATACATATCCTGCAATTAAATTAAATCCAACAAATAAACGTCTGAGTCTAGTTTAATTTGAATAGAAAACTAAATCTTTTAAATTAAGCAGATTTTATTTAATTTAAAGAGATTTAATTTCCTAGGAGCGCTGCCGCTAACTAAATAGGAGAGTCCTAGGGAAACTCAAGTTAAAACGCATTAATAGGTAACAAAAGCCTTGGTAGTTACCTTACAGATACTCTCTATCTTGCCAGACGATATAAGTACCAGTCTTAAATTACAGAGCGGGAGTTCCGCTACTATTACCACAGAGAATAGATAAACTCATTCAAGTCTTTATAGTTTAACAGCCATTAATAAATGCCGGCAGCATAATATACAACGCGTATACCGTATCGACTACGCAAATTCGCTACGACCTGTAGATACCACTAGAGATGCAACGCTAGTGAGCTATAGCTTCAATTGATCCGCTTGGATATAAACCGGTCATGAAGGCACTAATCTGCTGACCTAAGCCCCCTTTTCGTCCTCTTTACCACTAAGATGTATAGTTAACTAGCTTGATCTTACTAGCGGTATCCACAGGTCGTAGCGAATTTGCGTAGTCGATACGGTATTACATTTCAATTATTACAAAGCTGACATACTGACATCACCGGAGGTAAAGACAAGTTTAGAGATCACCAATTACGCAGCTATCGTCGAGCTCTGGGAACTAATCCGAATTTTTGATTGTAAAACGATAGTCAGGGCATGAATCGGGACAGTAGGTAATTACTGCCATGCTGACTTTGAGCTTGGATGGTACGTCATAGTAAAGCTTGAGTCCTTTATAGAGCCTTTAGTCCTACGCCGCTATAGAAGAATAGGCGGTATGCCAAGGGTAGAATTTGTCTTAACGGGTGATACCTTCTTTTGGAGTGGTTAGTGGTTGGTAAACGCATGCGAATATGAAGGGACCTTTCTTTGCCTTGGCCAAGTGGAATTGCTCTGAGTAGCCACTGTATTTAAGGCACAAGTGTGGATCTTGACAATATATATGAAGTTTCCATGCGTCGTTTTTAGTCTGCATAAGTCGCTATGATCTTTACCCAAGTAAGTCCTTCATATGTCATGTGCATGTCTGGATAACAAGGAGCAGTCCATCAGACCTTGGCCTCAGAATCACTGGACAGAGGGGACTCTTTCTCAGGAACCTCAGACTGGAGCACTGCGCGTTGACGAAGACGACCAGTGACATCATGTGTCGCCTCCCACTCATCCAACTCACTGACAGGGACCTTTCTAATTTCATGACTCTGAACACCGTTGTCAAGAGTAACGGCTTCTGATCGCAACTGATAACCCTTCCAGTTTGGCAACAGGGTCGCCCAGAAATAGTAATACAAACCGCATGCTATGAGGCTATTGAATATGTTAGTCGTGGCCAATCGAAGTATTTATGAGGTTCATTAACTCACATTCCGATTCCTGTCACAACGTACGTAGCATACCAGAAGCTGACATCGCCGGCGTACATTCCACCCTCGGGAGGATACCAAGGCATAATAATGACGAATAACTGGACCAAGATGTTGAAAATGACAAGAATGTGCCAAGCCTTAAACTCAGGAGGAGGGAGGTTTGCACGCTTGCGACGCCAGCGCACAACGTAGAGCCCCACGGCCATTGCAAGATTGAAAGCCGCACCCGGGTAAACAGCCAGGTCACTCACTAATGCGGGTTAGACACATTTGTATTTAAAGATAGAAGCGATCGCATACCGAAGTTAAAGGCGTCACCAGACGGGATGGCAAGAATCATAAGGGAAGTAATGGCCCAAGTAGTGAAATAAGGTCCGAGGGGTGTTCCAAATGGCTTGGTAGAGACCCAGAATGGAGTCCACGGGAGGACACCTTGTCTGTAGATGTGCATTAGCTCGGCCATCCTCAACATGACTTTCGAGCAACAAACCTTCCACACTCTCGAAGTCGCCGGGACAGTCCAACAATGACGGCCATGATGTTTCCAAAAGCACTTAAAGCAATGAGAAAGTTAAGGCCTCGTACTGCTGCACTGTTTCCGAGCACCTTACTAAAGAACAAGCTTGCTGCTGTTAACCCGGAATTCTCGAGCTCTTCCTTGGGGACTACAACTATCAGTATCTCGTTAGAAGAGACTGAGTCGGATCACTGTACCTGCCGAAAGCCAAGCGACATTGGCGAACATGTAAAGAACATATACTATTGTCAGTGCAGTAAAGGCATATTTCTTGAGTGACTGAACAGGGTTCTGGATATACGGTTAGACCACCTTCAACAACATTGGGATGTTCCGGGTATACCTTGACTTCGTTGGCGAGATTGAAAGCGTTATTGTAACCACCATAAGAGAAAATGATGCGATACAGCGCATTGGTGAGACCGTATGCAGTAGCTGAGCCTGTGCCTCCGAATGCGTCTCGGAAATTGACCTTGGGGTCCTCAACTGGGGTATGCCCACCTAAGACCACAAACCCAGTAATGATGATGAATATGAGGGTAAGAATTTTGACAACGCCAATTGCATTTTGAAACCAGTAGGCGTATTTGGTGTTGAAAACCAGACCTAAATTGTGTGAGTAGAGCCACATACCAACGAAAGAGTCTACCTACACAAGCATGCGACTGTGTAGCCAGCCAGGGCGACACCTTTGATCTCCCAATTGCTAGGGTCTTTGGTGGAACACGCAAAGAGGTAAGTTGCGAGAACTATTCTACGGGTTAGTCTTGGTGACTTGGAAGAGTACTTGAGTCATACTTACCAACAGCGTTGCTGCTACCGAATGACAAGAGGACACTCTGCACAGCAAAGGTAGTTGGGAAAAACCAGGTAGGGCGAGGGAATGCTTGTTCGAGGAAGACAACCTCGGAACCTGATCGACTGGGGAAGTAGGCGGTGAACTCCAAGTAAACTGCACCGGACGCAATGCAGAGCTGAGGGAACAATATTAGATCAAGTTCTTGGTCCGAATAGATCACGAATTCCTTACTAAATAACCTAAAGTCCAGTAGATGAACGTGAGACCAACCGAACCAGTACCGTGCAAGATGGCAGAGGCTAAGATTTGTGAGCAATATTCCATCGTTAGTCGCAGATAAAACATACGCGTAGAGTAAATGCCAGTGCCAATCATCATAGTGACATTGATCAAGACGATTGTGAACGGACCAACATCGTAGCCCAAAGGCGACTCATTTTCGACGGGCGCTCCAGTGGCCTCCTGATACGTGACAGCGTTACTGTTCCCGCCTGTTTCACCTACGTATTTCAAGCTTCCGTCGGAAAATTCGGCATCGTTGCTCGCGGTCGCAACAGCCGCGTCGGAGCGGCCACTGAATGGTTGTCTCCAGGAAACCATGGCGTACCAATAGGCCGATTTGCAACTAAATACAAATAGACATGAGGCAAGGTCAAATAATTAAAGCCTATAAGACAATAATTGGTAATCTCTAACGGCGCCAAGATCTTGGGATGAACAATTGGTTATATAGTTCAAACATTAACATATATTGCCTTGCTTTACTGCCGACAGCGGAGCAATGTAGCATTCTCAATTAGTAACATTGCCCTTATTAGCTAAAAACTATTTCGGAATTCTCAAGAGATATGGCATATCTCGGCGGCATGTGGGAGGAGTGGGTGAAAAGCAGGGTAGTTCATCACGAAAGATCTCTCAACTATGACGCAAACTGGCCATGTTGAACTCAATCCAACAACTCCCTTTCCTTGAGGATCGCCACTGATCCACACTTCGAATTTTAGCTAATATCAAGCGCATTGATGGAAAACGGTTGCAACGAGGTGAGTGATACGACCAAAAAGATTCTAGGGAGTCATGGGAGATACTTGTAGAGGTCTGGAGCGTTTTTCATCATACTGCAGCCGTTTTACTCAAAGTCTACAGCAAAACAATTTCACCACATCTCCTTGTATCAACTTTGTTTAAAAATGCTTTGCAGATGTACCTGCAGAGACAATACAATTGGGCTCATCCGTTCAGCAAGCCCATGGTTCCCGAATACCCCGTTCGAAGTTCGGCGAACTAGAAGCCAGTTGAATACAGTAAAATGCCACACTTCACTTTCGTCTAACAATTTACGTACGTTTATTGAAACCCTTAAGGGGCTCTTCAAGGGTTGATTGCGGGTGTTTGTCGGCTATAGCCAATGGCAATGTGCCATGGGCGATTACGAAGTATGGCGACAGATGTCCATCACGGAAATTCCACTAAAACAAATCCTCGCGATTCGTCCATTCCACGGTTAAGTCGGCCCATTTCACCACTAAAAACACCAAGTTTCTCCATCTTCAGTCTTCGGCTGCGCCATTTCCCATCCCCGGGTGGGAAACAGAGCCACTCGGGATTTCCGACGCAGATTAGACACGGGCTAAGTGGATCGTTATTGAGATCTCTATTATCATCCCGGACCCAGTGAATCACAATTATCTAATGCTCAGTATGTCATTATATGCCTCATTTTCTTTTTAGATTTGTAAATCCCTCCCGGGATAACGTTAGTAATCTCACCCATTTAAAAATCTCATGTGAACGTATGTTAGCTATGATGAGTTTCGAAACTTCCAAGGATATCTATTACCGTAAACAGTCTGGTTTTTGACTTTTTAAACCGCTTTTCCGCTGTATAGAAACACATTTCTTCGCGAGTTGGAGAAATTCAGTTAGCACTAATCTGTACAGTCGAAGAGCAAGTGATCCTATTTCGGGTCACGCCGAACCACGGACGCAATCTGGTACAACTCCTCCAGAATAAGAGCCCTGATGGAAAGCCGTTGCCAGAACTTTGTTGTTAGGTTTCGTTGAAGGAATCCAGTTGGAAGAATATTCTCATAATTACTGGGGAGACTCTGAACCAGTTGCAGAACACTAGTAGTATTCTCGGGCTCGGTGCTTTTGATAAAAAGAAGAATGTTCTTTTCATCTTTGCTTGTTAAACTCTCCGCGATGGAGGCGGAGAGAATAGACCAAGATTTCCTCCAGTCTCTTGTAGGTCGTCCTGCCTATACCACATGCTGGCTATAACAAGGGTATAAGAACAAACATGACTCTCATCCCATTGTATGTCAAATCGTGGTGGTGGGTACTAGGCGCACACCATAAATGAGTTACAAACGCTGGTGGCACCTGCAATGACCGAACGATCTGGCTCAGAATATGGGAATATCAAAGTATTGTCGGGTTTTAAATCTCCATGCATGAAATCATTTTGATACAAGACGCCTAGTCCAACCGCAATGTCGAGAGTGATATGGTCTATATTTGTCCCTTCTGGAAATATTTTTGATTCCGTAGCACCTCTTTCATGCATAATAACAATGGCTATGTATCCAGCTCCACGCTGATGTATAATCCTGTCGCCATTTATGCCGGATTTCTTAGGCACGCCTAAGTTGAGAAAGTCGACAGATTACAGACCCTATTGGTGTTCAAAATTCAGTATATCGATCAAGCCATGGTGGATCGACGCGTTTAACATCACCGACATAAGAATAGACCTGCGGACCGGGACCGGTTGATGTGAGGTCCGAGTCCAAACTGAGACGGGCAAATACCTCGATTAGATCTTCGTGGATCCATTGCAGTGCAGGTGGATGTGAAGACGGAATTCGGAGTCAGGGCAGACATACACGATTAATATCAAATCGGCAATAACAGATGAAGCGAGGGGGTATTAATAGTAGAGTTCAATAATCAACCAGAGATAGATTATTCCATGTATTAAAGTCGCACACGTCCGCCTCAAAACATAATGCAAAATATATGAAAATTACCATACTTGGGCCTCTGAATCCAGATTTGTGTTATTTGACTACAGTAAAAAGCTTCATTCAATGAGCTAATTTACCTAAATCTGCTTCTTAACTACCTGAGTATCGCTCATGCCAGTAATTCCATTGCTAATAGCCAAAAAGTGCAGTCTCACTAAAGTCAAGAAGATATACGATCCACCACAACCCCAATCATCCGAAGTCCAGGTTCCTCCAAGTCTTCCTTGACGGGCCATGGCAATGCCCACTCCGCTTACACCTGCCAGGTCGGACAGCAGCAGTGAAAACTGTAAGATTCTCCATACCGCAATATCTTTCGAGTATCGGGGAATAGCAGCGGATAGAAAAGCAACGGCCAATGCAAGACCGCCGCTCTGATAAAAGAGAAAGACTTGATCCGGGTCGTATTTTGAGTTGGGGGCCATTGAGGTCACTGCGCCGATCGGATCAATGAAGTTCAGGCATGCTCCTCCGAGAGCAATAACAGGGTCAATCCATTTGAAAAAGAAGCCGTAAAATTTAAATGCTTTACTTTCGGTACTTGACATGTTGCTTGCAGTGATTTAGAGGAAGTTGTTTAATTGATGTTTTCAAAAGAAGAGGGTTTTTGAGTTGGTGGACGATGTGTCTGGTTGAATGCTTCTCTTGACACAATTTCGGGACACCCGGGTGACTTATATAGAATGAGTATCATAGTGAATTTCGTAGGAATGTAAGCTTCAGGAAAGTAGTGAACAGTCCGTCGGATCAATTCTACTTGCTTGGACTTTTGCAAAAGTCCGTTATCCCGTAAGATTTTAGTTTAGCGTCGTGTAGGATTTAGGCAGTCACTGTGGATACGGAGTATAGTATCCCCATATATGGCTAGCTTCAACGCAGGAAGGGCTAAAAATCTATTCGCAACCATCATTCCAAATTAAGCAACTTAACTTAAACTAAGCCTCTAAAGACCATACCAAGTTCATGCAGCAACCCCGAGCACATAAGTACAATGAGGGTGGCTTGGGTGCTGCCGAAGGCTCAATCGGCTCCCTGGCATCGCGCCTTCAAATCCATCAGCGTAATATCGAGACGGGAATGAAAGCTATGAGGTCTACAGTGCACTTTTCTGAGCATGAAGCTATCCAACTTGCACACCTTCAGGAGATCAAGGAGAGCCTTCATCAATGCATTAACGTTGTCGCTGATGCAGGTGAGACCTTGAATAGAGACTGTTATAATACTTTTAAAGACATTACTATGGCGGATAACAGCTACGGCATCTCGGTTTCAACTGCGAAAGACCTCATCGTGGCACGACGACTTAATTTGAGTGGCCAAGCCCGCTATCTGGGTGGTCAGATTAGTGATGAGAGTTACCAGACTACAATTGAATGCTGACACAATTGGACCTGGAAACTGCTAAACTAAAGGGACAAAACGTTATGCAAGCTCCTTCTGGCTGAGGGCACGCCACCGATGACTTAACATGTTAAGGATTTGAGCGCTACGGCCGTAGTTTTAACCTATTAAACAAATTATAGGAGAATTGGTTTATATCGAAATGGAAGTTTTACTTTATCTAGTCGTTATAAGGGTAGTAGGGATATGGTAAATAGCTGATATCTTGAATCCTAGTTGTTTTTTTACCCACTCTAAAATGTTCCCGGTGACGTGCTTCGGCTAAAGTGTCGCTACTAGCCCAGCATATTCTCAGAACTAGTATATGAGGGTTTTATGTCAAAACCAACTTGCAACTGTTACTTATAAAAAAGAAACGACAATGACTAGGATGTGAGGTGCGTGTGGGGTAGCTAAGAAAACGACGCCAAACATTTCCAGAACAGGTTTCTCCTACAGCTCTGCATTAATTCCAGAAGTAAAGTTTATTTCATAATACTAAAAGATGCAGTAGAGACAGTGTAGTAGACCTTTAGGAATATCTCAGAGTAATTAGGTAATAATCTAATGTAAATAACTCTACTCGTAACGCGGAAGGTTATTACTTAGCCTCTGCAATAAAACATCTCTATCAGTATCTGTGCGCTGCACCTTGCTATGGACTTTCTTGGCCTTTGTCTCCATTTCCCCAATAGTATCCGCACCTGCCAATACATCACCAACTTGGTAACCACGACGAAGAGTCGCCAGCGTACTGCTCTTCCACAATGGCGTGGCTTCCGATGGCCTAGAATTCACCATTGTGATACAGAGGAAGACGGCAACCAAAAGAAGCATGGCCGCGTGGAGTACAATCCACGGCCATCGGACATCATACACGACAGTTAACAGTCCCACACTGCCCAGCTGGGTCATAGTCCCGTCTCGAAAACGGCTCATGTCTTGTCCAGACTGTTGTAAGCGTCTGGGATCGTAATTTCGTCGCATCTCATTAGTCATGCTGGTGGCCAGCGCCTCGAAGGTGCTTGTCATGTTAGTCCTAGTCCAAGACCAAATACCATTAAGTGCTGGTGGAGAGGCTTTCGAAGATAAATCTTCTTGTTTGAGCCCTATCGAGGCACCAGTGATCCCGACAGCTCCTTTCCCAAGCTTCTTCTCCATCTCCCTCTTCATCCTGCTTCCTCCCGTGTAGTTTCTTTTCAAAAGTTGTTGAAAATATGCATTGATTGAAAAGACTGAATCTGGCTGTATGCTATACCATGGCTCTGTGTCGTTATTTGAAAATCTGAGTGTAAGTTCTGAGTAGCCTGCGGTTGAGTATCGACTATCAAACTCCATGCTGTCGGCCTCGTCGTCAGGTGGGATATTTTCGGACAGATTATTCTCGCGCTCAGAACCACGCCGCCAGGAGTCGGGGTCTCGAAGGGCATCAGCAGCCTCTGTGATATTCTCGTTTAGCTGGTTTCCCTCCACAGCCGAGTCTATAGTCTTTACGCAGTAATGAACTGCGCATTCCATAGCGTGTAAAGGCATATTTGGCCATTTAATCGAGTCGCTATCCTCTGTCCCCATATTGTTTGGAGACGTTTTGTTAACCCAGTCAACATCAGGGTATATAACACTCATTGACCAGATTAAGGTATCGATATCTTTCATCGTGTTGGTCTTGTTTGGGTTGCCCGTGCCAAATGATGTCGTGACATACTTCTCATCACTATAGATACCCAAGGGCTGTTCGTTATCGCATTTCGCAAATGGGCCACTGTAGGGCGGACATCCATCAATGTTGGCAATGAAATGACCATTAGGTAAAGAAAAGGCGGTACTTGGAACATTGTAGCCGTCGAGACGGTATTTACCAAGAGCAAACAAGGCATCTCCAAAGTCTTTAACACGCCTTAGATCTGAAGTGATATTGTTGCACTTGTGGCAAACCCCAAGTGTGTTGAATTGATCCCATGTACAGTTTCCTGTTGGGCATTGCACGAGGGCCTCACGTGCCACTTCCCATGGTGATCGAGATAGCCCAGTCAAGATGGCAGATTCCATCGACAGCGGTATCTGGGTGTCGATAACGGTGTAGTTAAATTTTGTCGAGTTCACGACAGTCTCTTGCGATACTGTGATTTGTCCCATAGAGTAGGATGGTGCCCGAGAGACAAGCGCAACATCACCAAGTTTCTGGGCACTACGTCGCTCAAATACGACGTTTTGTTGAAGCTGCACAAGCTGTTGGGCAAATGGATCCAGCCCAACCACCAATAAAGTCAAGGCAGCACCGAATTGTAAACTCAGTCTAGTAGCAGCTACCATGTAAGCCCCAGTCCACAACATGACTCGCTCTCGGAATGCTTACGCTCTCTTTGTTCGTAATAGAACTCTTAAACTTCCGAGCGGGCCTCGAGTCGCCGCATCAATGCGGTCAAAGTCTATGAGTGGTCGCTCTTCGTCGGCAAATAGAATCCATTTCCATTGCGCCATGCACTCGGCGAGTATGTATGCTAGGTTCGCTTTCGTAATCAACGAGAGGATGGAAACGATAGTGTTTAGCGTGATAGTATTCCATACAAACACTTGCTTTTGGTCAAAGACGCGCAATAGAGCAATCATAACGGCGAGTGACACCACAGAGGCCGCAAACGCCCAGGATTCCCATGTCCAGTCTGTCCATCTTTTGTTGGGTGTTGACTTGGGCATAGTTATCAAACTCAGTGGGGTTGATGAGGGGTGGAAGATACGACAAACAGTCACTAAGTTGGGGGAATAGGCATTGGTACATATAGTCCTGCGTACAATGTAAGGCTTACTGCGATTTATGGATACTTCTCCCTTTTAATGTAAACCCTGATTGGTGCAGTGCTAGTAGGGAGCTGACACCTAATTATGTGGTCTAAGTAAGATAGCCTTAAATTTTACTGGCAGGATTAATCTATTTTAATAGTGCTGACACACAGCCACTACTCCATAGAATCCTTCATGGATGTAACACGGCCACAAATTAGGTGCAACATCCTTGCTATTATGCCTTGTGGCTAACTTTAGGGCACTAACTAGTACAGGTGTGCTAAGCGATAGGCTGACTATTTTCTAAAACATGTAAAGATAAAGCTAGACAAGCTTATATCAGCCTTAATTCTTTAGGTATATTACCACTTATAACCTATAAAAATAACAGTTAAAATAACAAGTATTTAATCATTTATGATTTCCAGTTCATTGGTGTACTTTGAATACCAGCCTTCTTATGTTATATTCCGGCCTTTACTGGTATTTTATATCCTAATGTATAGCTAGGCTATAGTTAATCCTTAAGAGTACTACTTCATACCGATTTAGAGATTCTACCTATAATATTAATTGTAGATGTTAAGGATATCTAAGACTGCTTAGGACTGACTGTTATGGTTGTTAAGAGACACAAGGTGTTTGTGTAATATGTTGGTATGTTGAGGAGGGCTTTTATTTACATTTATGTTTTCTTTTTTTGCTTTAACCTTTAGCTTTATCAAGCCCAGGCTTTATGAATCTCTTAATGATATTAAAAATAGTTTATTTGCATTTATTATCACGAAACCTATAGCCTATATTCACTACAATATAGTCCCTAAATCAATACTATAGGATGAAATACAAGCTGTACTACCTTAGTATTATTCATACTTGTATTTTAAACGGAAAATAGTTACCTCAGTTCTAGTAAACTTCCACACTGAATGTATCTATCTTTCTTTTCCCCTTGTAATGCATTTCCTTATATTAATAAAAGGACAGAACAAGAATGGAAAACAACTTGTTGGCTTGCTTGTCATACCCAACTCATCACCTGTTAAGTCCACTTCCCCAGTCTGCTTCTTGTTTAACATATTAAATGACTTAATAATGTAAAGCTACTACTAAACAACAGAGAGATTCAACAGGTCACTACGTCCGTCCTCATCGTCGAAAAAGGCTATAGTCCTCATACTCCTGGTCACTATGCTCCCTCCAAGACATTAATCGCTGTGAAGACCCCTCAATACTAGGATGGACGGGGCTCGGAGGTTGCTCGCGCCTAATTCCATGAGTTGGAGTTCTACTACCATACCTTCGGTGTTCGGGCTCAAATTATCTGTCTTGAGTACCCCTGTTGCTGGAGGACGTGGCCGACAAGGAAGATGAGTGAAGTGAATAGTGTGGAGCCCTTTGACATTCCCTCCTTCGATCTTTTCTTCTCCCTGTAGCTTCACCCTGAGCTGGATTGAGCTGTTCACGAGTCCCAGCAAGTTCACTATCTGTCTTCTCGAAGAGATTCTGTCGATACTGATCGTAGCCTTGAATAAATTGCAAGACCTGCTCGAAGTGGTAGCGCCCCAGGTACCGATTTGACCGTTCTTTGCCACCACTAGGGTCCAAGTAGGCGAGGGACGTAGCGATCTGGAATGCGTTACGAATCTGACGGCCATTCCACCACGGCCCTGAAGTATCTGGACGTCTATCGAAGTTGTCTGTAGCAAATTGCTCAATCTCTTCACTCATAATGATGAGCTCTGGCTGGGACGTATTTGCTGCTCGTTGTCTTGCAATCATCCCCGACCGCTTCAAGTTCATCTTGAAAAGCTCCAGGGTTTGACGTGAGTCGAGATGTCCGAAATGTAGACTAACATGGACACGAGAGTTGAGAGCCTTGTCTAGAACTCCAACTCGGTTTGTAGTAAGGAATAAAATTCCGGGATAGTATTCTAGAGTTCGGAGGAATACTAAGAGATACATTAGAATAGCATAAATGGTGATCGTTAATAGTAACTTACTAGATACTAACGCATTCCTCTGAGGATTGTCATCTTTCTTCTATCGATGAGATAGGAAGATTTCTGCCTCGTCAAGAAGAAGAACGCAGTCCCAAAGACTTGCTAGGCGGAAGATCTCAGACAAAGTTGACTCTACCATCATTGGGTCAATCCCCAGATCACCACAAGTGATTGGGAATAAGGGCCTGCGATGTGCAGCCGCAACAGCTTCAGCTGTCGCCGTTTTTCCTACTCCCGGGGCGCCATGAAGAAGAATAACAAGTCCTTTGCCTTTGCCCCTGATGAAGTCTTGCTCCACGAGCTCTACTTCCTTGTTCTGGAGGTTACGTTGGATCTCTTTCTTGTCGAAATGACTATGAACAACAAATCGAATCAGATCTTCATCCCTTTCTGGAATCTTGAGGTCGTTAAAAGGATCAGAAACAATGGGGAGTGGCTTGAGACGTGCAATGTCTGCATTTATAAAGTGTCTCTGCCGCAAGGAGTACACCAACAACCTTGCAGGGAGAAGGGCCAGATCATCGGGTTTAAACCTTTGCTTTGTTAGATCTGTCTCTATTGTTCTGATCTCTTCGTTAATGATGAACTCGTCTTTTGATGTAAGGTGATTCCATTCCAACGAGCCAACATCGTCAAGCCCAATGACAAATTCTCTGGTTTTTCGAACAGCTTTGGAACGATCTGTCCCAGACCATTGTATGATATTGAACTCATCATATTCGACGCTTAGTTTAAACTGGTTAAGTATGTAATTCCTAAACGTAGGCTTCCATCCAAGGTACACTTGGTATACTTGCTGGAAGTCAATAATCACATCGCTATCGATATATTTCGACTTCTCCCCCTCATCCTAGAGGGTCACCACCTGGGGTATAAGTCAGTGTCCAACCATCGTGTTCCACAGCAGTATTTATTTTAAGAAAAAGATTCTAAAATCCCTGGCCCCTCTCTTAAAGCTACTAAAATGTCTTCTGGTAGTCTTTCTCAAAACGAACTGGATATAGCTCAAGCTTTATAACATCATTCTCCCCTTCGAACAGGCCCATTATCTAAATACGCAAGGATCCCTTATAGGAAGTTCCATTAAAGTTAATATAGTAGGCTAATATAGTAATAGGCTCAGACTTATACATAGAGTTGCAGCGTAGGTCACTATCATCATCTTCCAGGTTATAAACCTCCCAAGAAATCTCTTCTGACGTTATGAAGTATATCCTCTATAAACGTCTTCCTCCAGGTTTTCCTGCATCTCGGCGGTGGTTATTTACGCCTTTGCGCGAAGAGTTAGTCTTAGAATCATCTCTTTAGAAAACAAGCTCCCAGGGCGATAAAGAGACCACAGGTCGGAGTATTGAAACTTTGGTCGATGGCTGTGATCGAGTTGGTCAAGCTTTTGATAGTCTGGGAGGATTGTCTTTATAACAAAATCCATATATCCTTTGATTTCCTCGTACGCCTTACGGTCGAGTGAATCTAGGTCATTATATGTTGGTTTATAGGATAAATCTTTTTCCTTACTCTCTGGCTCTAATGTAGTTATATCTTTAGATGCGGTATCGATGACCTTGGTATCCGAGGCCATCTCTACAAAAGAGTCTAGATTTTAAGAATCGTGGAATTTATCTGCATTGATTGAGTCTGGATCGGGCTGTGAGTTCACGACACCTGAACTGGATGGTGGCGGTCCTTGCCGATCCGAGACCCTGTCCATGTCAGGTGTCCCAAACCTGGATTGCAATTGAGAGAACTCCTGTTCTATATCATCATGAAAGTGGACAAGAATCTCGAAGGGTCTCAAGAAGGTGTGCGCCTTGTCGGACCAAGATGTAAATAGTTTCTATAGCTTAATATAACCCTATCCTGAGCATAAATTTTAAATCTTTTTAAGAAATTGCAATTCATTTTATTTACCCAGCCCTTCTGTCTCACTGATACGATACACATACTTGACGGCGTGCGCCTTGCCTTTGTGGAGGTCCGCCAATCCACGCGCAAGACCATTAAGCCCACCAGGCACCACCAAGTACGGATGGGGTTTAAACCACCCTTCCTCAAGCCCAAGGGCGAGATACCGGAAGAAGACGTAACCAAAATGCTCATGAGATCCATGGACAGAGCCCACAGCCGTCCAAATGACTTCCACGCCCTTAGGCACACCCTCTAAAACTGGAAGCTCATACTGATCGAGATAGGGAACCCCGTGCGACTTTGGGATTTTAGTCCGGTCATAGGGCAAAACCATAGCCAGCCTCGCGTTCTGGGGCTCCAGCAGCGCCCCAAGAATCTTATCACTTCCGTGCTCCGCCACCGAGTCAAATGCGTGCAGTAGCTGCTTGCCCCCCAGAGCCTTCTTAATTTCTGTCACGACAACCTTGGGCCCGAGGCGGTAGTCGACGATCGTGTCACCCTTGGTACGATCAATAAGGGTTTCGACGTAGTCCTTTGACTGCCCAGCCACGCAAATGATCGGATGCACCTCGCTTTTTCTCGCTAGTTGGACAGCAAAGCTTCCGACGGCTGCGCCGGCGCCATAGATAACCAGCGGAAGGCTCTTGGGTCGATCTTCCTCCGTGGTCCAGGGATCGGGCAGCCTCAGGTTACTATATAGTCCTATCGCCGCCGTCATGGCCGTCAGCGGGATGGTGGCGGCCTCCTCAAAGGAAACAGTGTCCGGGATTCGAAACGTCGAGTTGGCCCAAGCGATGGCGTACTCGGCAAATGCTCCGTGGGGCGTGTAGATTTGATGAAACGCAGCGACTCTGTCGCCGGGACGGTACTCCGAGACGCCGGGTCCGACCGACTCAACGTAACCAGCGATGTCGTCTCCAAGGTTTGAAAGGGGCAAAAAGTATGCGGCCTTGAAATCCTTGGGATTCGAGCCACTAACCATGACATGTATAAGGACCTGTCCTTTTTGTGCGACTGGGATCGGGCTCTCGACAATGTCGACCTTTGGTCCTGGGACGGTCAGACGGTTTTCTAGGCACATGGCAGGAATCAGGATAGCCGAGAACTCCTACCTGGGGAAATGAGTGCTTCTTTCATTTTTGAGATGTGATTAATTTACAAGGAGAGTGCTGCTTGAGCTGCGGATTTGCAAGCGATGACTTGAAGCCAGCAGCGTTCAAAAGTCTCTTGAAGGGCGACTCATACGCTTTTCAGGAGGCTTGCCAAGCTCCGATCATACCGACAGACCCTCGGCAGCTCCGGGGTACATGTCAGGGATTAATTACTGTCCTATGTTGTATCGCCTTCCTACGCTAGCCTGCCAAGCATCACCCGCAACGTTAGGCCCCGCCAACAACGATTGTTACAAATCTCCGGAACACTAGCCTTATTAAGATCACTAGTACTCTCGGTTTTCAAGCGAGACGTATCTCTACCTATCACGAGCTAGACTCCAGCCAACTGTAACTGTCATACTGACCCAGCACTGCCTCCATGACATCTAGTATACTAGCATTTACTCGAGTTCTACAGAGGGATACTAAGGAATCTGCCATCTGGCTTAAAGGAGCTTTAAAAGAAGACACCAGCGCACTGCACTACTGGATTGGGGCTTACAAACATCGGCGGAGACCTCCATGCTACTTTCATTCAGGCACAAGCGATATCCGCCCGCAACGGCAAGTTTTATCCATCTATCGGACTACCGATAGAGCCGAGACCGAGAATACCACATCCACATAACATCAAACACCGAACCCGCCCGCCGAAGAACAAGCCCGTCGTACTTAGTGGGGCATAAAACTCCGGGATATTTAGAAAAGGGCGGGACACCCGTCGGGTCCGACTTTTGGTGTGTTATGCGGCATTTTCAATGTATCTTCATTATGAAGGCGTTAAAATAGGTGGAATTGCTGTATCTATTGAAATGAAGCTTCATATGATGATATATCTGCCATTGAAGATTACTATAAGAGGAAAATAGCTGCAACGGTGGCGAGCTTGCCTGCCGATTGAGAATGCCTTCTCTGGTTAAATTGGGTGTTTTTCTGTCCTTCCTGGTGCTTGTGACTGGCTCTTATAGCGGATCTTACTTCTCTGATGAGGAAAATGAGGGTATCGCGAAAATTGGGCTTGGTGTTTAGGGCACCGTTGGAAGGGGGGACCTGTAGTCGGACAGGCAAGGCGGTGATGGGGGCATTGCGACTTCCTCTTCTTCTAATAAATCGATGAGGCTATGTCTTCTTCATTAAGCTTGATCAGTATCCCAACAATCTAAGGCAGCGATTCTGTATATCGTGTTGACTTAGAAAGTCGTTTAAACTACTTCTTCGTTTCTTCTACGTCGGCTTCTTTATACTAATAGCGAGCCGCTTCTTTCGACTTCAAAATCGAGGTATCAAGCTCAGGATGATTGTCACAGAAGCGCCTGCACCACATCCGTGAGACCGGCTGAGCGTGAGGATAACGGCAAGTTCTTATTGTATTTGCTGAATTTTCAATTTCGGGTTTGGAGACTGGAAGACCTGACTTCTGCATCCAAATAATAAAGCGTCAAGTTCTATACCTAAATGACACCTAATTCTTCATATGCAAGACACTGAGCCAGACCGGCTCACCCCTGTTCTCCAAAAGGTCCAGCATATTGTGTACCTCCCCAAAGTCGAACCGGTGCGTGATGAGGTCTTCCACTTCTAACTTGCCCTCCTCGAGCCACTTCAAGACCTCGACGACATCCTCTCTCGCGTTCGCCCGACCCCCAGTCAGCTTCCAGCAGCTGTTCATGATGAGGATGAGGGGAATGGGCAGCGACTTTGGGTTTCCGCCCATATGAACTAGTGCCCCACCATTCCTAAGAGCCGGGAGAATCCGAGGGAGAATGTCGCCCGACGGTAGGTAGTCGATGATAGCGTCGATGCCTTCGGGGGCAATTTCCAAGAGTAGAGGAACGAGAGCTTGCGCCGGCGCGTTATCGGGGCCCGTCTCTTCCGTGATGAGTAGCTCGGTAGGGATGCTGCTCAGTTTGCGAATCTGCTCGAGCCGCGGCCTGGACCGGCCAACAAGGATAATCTTCTTGATGGGAAAGAGGTGGGCTAACTTCAGGGTCAGAGTCCCCATGGTGCCCGAGGCGGCCGTTATCACGATGGTAGACTCATGCGTGATCTCGGCCAACTTGAGTGCCCGCAGGGCGGTGGCAACGTCGTGAACCTTGGCGCCGACCTCCATAGAGACGTTTTCCGGGAGCTGGTCGATGAGCTGGCGGGGTGCCCGGACATATTCAGCGATCGTCCCGTCGTGGTACCTGTTGTAGAGCGCCGAGGGTTTTCCGAACCTTGCAAAGCCCATCAGGGCGGCATCGTCACAGAGATTGTCCTGGTCGTGGATGCAGTTTAAGCATTGCCCACAACTTAGCATCGGGTGCAGACGAACGCGGCTTCCCACCGCCAAGTCCTTGACATTATCTCCGACTGCTGCGATGGTCCCGGCGGCCTCGTGTCCCACGGTGCTAGGGGTGTGAGATTTGCCCATCCTGGTCAGCCTGACGACGCCGGGGCTGATCCCCGCCACAGCGACCTTGATCAAGACATCGTTGGGTCCAAGAGTTGGGATAGGCACTGTCTCAATTTGAAATCCAGATGTCGGACTCTGTGCTCTGAGGGCCTCCATCCTAGGTACTTTGCGTAATGCTCAGGAGTATGTCTGATAGGATGGAGTGAGTGGGTGAGGTCGAGGAAGTGCGTGCAAAGTGGAAGAAGACATGCATGAAACATGGCATTACTTGTGTCAGGTATCTTCTAAGCTAGCAACTGACATTCCCCCGCACCTGGAAAACTGGAGAAGATGTCGGGGTAGTATCGGGGTAGATATCATGACGTCCCCGGCAAGCCGTGCCGACATGGACCAGTGGCGCTATCGGGCCCACTCTCTGTATGTTCTACATAGCCCTCGTGGTAGCACACCATAGAATTCGTGAACATAAATCTCTACACAGATCATGCTATGTACTGTTCCATATTGAGCACATTAGGCTCATCCGTTTTGGTTAGAAAGTCTATCCCAGCTAGCTCATTCGTTTAAATTCAGCTGTGTAGATGAAATCGGGGGGCACTTAGTCGGTCATTAGAGCGTTCAATCTCTTGAGATCTACTTGTTGTTTTTTCATCGTCAATCTTGTAGATATAGACTTCAAGAGTGTGTCCATTCTGACGCTTCTTTGGTCCTGTCCGACTTGCCCCTTGTAGAAGTCAGCAAATCCTGCAAACCCGAATTCAAAGTGGAAACAAAATTAGCCATACAATGTGCACTGCAGAGCAGACGGGCTATGGAAAACTTGAAACTACTTGCCTTAACCGCCCACCGTCCGAGGTATCTATATAATAGCCTTCTCTGTATTATAACCATAGGCCCAGAGTTAGGTAGGTGGATCACTCTACTAGTTCATGGTCTTTATACACGGACATCTCTCTACCTCTATTGACATTCCTCAGTCACTCGCTTCCTACTAGGGGCCATCAAGGTAGTACCAAAAGACACCATTAGCAAGACTCGCAGACTGCATTTCATAACTCCCCGAGGCCAAGGTTTACTTGTACCGGGTTGATAATAAACCAATACCAAATTGTTCGGGGATGTATCGGGTTTGATGGGCAAAATCTGAACACACTTATCTCGGATTAAGTTTGTCACGGCTCGACTTTTCCTAAGAGTAGTTTTGATGGAGCCTAGCTAAATCACATCTAAATGCAGATTCTACAGCCCCATCAGAACGTTATCTGTGTTGAATATCCTCCCAGAACGTCTAAGTCGCATGACGCAGCACCATGGTCATGAAACAGGCCCTGTGACGCGTGCGGTACTACCACAAATACTCCGTAGACTGGAATCATACTCTCGCCGTTCTCAGCATTTGCTAGACGGATATCGTAATACCCGAGCTTTCCAAAGATTGAGACGCGGCCTTTCCAGCACCTATGCTGCATCCGGGTCCACCAGCCCCCCTCCCCCGATCCTATCCTAGCCCGACAGGATGTCTTCCGCAGCCTTCTCGCTCAACATGTAGGTGGCAAGGATCGGGAAGGCACCGGGTGGTCTGGGGAATGCGCTGGCATCGACAACACGCAGGCCAGAAATACCACGGACACGGAACTTGGAGTCCAAAACAGCATCTTTGTCGCTGTTTGAACCGATAGAACATGTACCGATGACATGATGACCGAAAGTGTTCTGCCGTATGAAGTCTTCGTCACTGGTAGCATCCGAGCAACTGCCGTCAGCCAAGACCACGCCAGAGCAAGGAGGCCAGGTGATGTTGATAGGAGCAACAGGCGCCTTAGTACGGCTGAAGGCACGGCGGCCCCAAGCGACAAACTCCTTCATAGCCGCCAGGTCCTCACCCGTGCCTTTGCTGGAGAAGTGGCGAAAATTTATTTCTGGCAGGGCTGTGGGATCGCTGGATAAGAGCCTGAGATAGCCCGCGCGGTTCTTACCATGCATGTGGACGCCGTGAATGCCCCAAGTGTTGTGGGGGTCCAACCACGACTGGCCCGGAGTAGCAGGCCACATACCACGGAAGCTAAAAGGGCCAGAGAAGATTGCGACGTCGCGCTCCCCTGTTGTGGTGTAGTTTGTCTTGATGAAGGTCAAGTCCGAGTTGAGGCCGGGTTCAGTGTATGGACCGGTTCCCTGGAGGAAGAGGGTGTAGCAAGGATCGTTAGGAGCCCCCCATGTGCAACGAGACCGAGGAAACCCAGGGGCGGCGTCGAAGCTAATGTTTTGTGCTGCTTCTCCGATGACTGCTATCTCGTTGTGATCCTGCATGTTGCGGCCCACGCCAGGGAGATTGACCACAACTGGGATTTTGAGTGCCTTGAGGTCCGCCGCAGGTCCGACACCGCTAAGTAAGAGAAGCTGAGGCGTGCTGAAAGAACCGCCGCTGAGGATCACTTCTCGTGTCGCGTAGACTCGATGCATGGTTGCATTGTTGGATGAGCTGTAGCGGAGATCGCCTTGGTAGATGCTCTTGCCCTCCAAGTACTCGATGCCGATAGCCCGAGGTTTAGATCCCCGCTTGGGCTTGTCAAAAAGAACCTTGGTAGCGTACGAGTTGAGTCTCAGGTCGAGGTGGTACTTTCTCTTGCCTTTTTTGTCGACACTTCGGATAGTGTCAAGCACCCGCTCCCTTGCGCTATAACGGCCCCAAGTTGAATTGGCGTGGAAGGACAGCCCGGAAAGGCCGGTCTTGTGATCTCTATCAGGGCTCAATTGGTTGGGATCAGTTTCCAGAAGCTTTGGCAGGTCCTTGGGGTTTTGACCCGCCTCAGCGGCCATAGCCCCGAGGATCTCGGTTGTCTGGGGCGAAGAGAGAAAGATGCTTCCATTGCCCAAGTTTGTTTTGAGGTAGCCATCGAAGCCGTGTCCAGGGGTTCCCCGGGAAAGGTACTGGTTGCGCTCTAACTTCACAAACAAGCGTCTCATGTGATCAGGGCTGTGGAACTTTAGCATTAATATATGTAGAAAGCAGGGTTTCCAATACTTACTTCCAGGAACTATCACCAGTGATTTTCTTAATGTAATCCCAGTCGCTGTCGCTTGGGAGCACAGTGAGGCCGGAGTTGACAATCGACGAGCCCCCGAGAGTAGCTCCACGAGGATACTGGACGCCGACTATCTCAGCACCTGAGGGGGCATTAGACCCGGGACCAACCCACAAGTCGCCATTAGGAAGTCTCCAGACAAGATGCTGGTACTGCTTCGTGAGCTCCTCATCGTCGTAATGTCGAACCCAGTATGACCAGCTTAGATTTTCAGCTATCCCGATGGCCCGCCCCCAGGCGAGGACCTGAGAGTTAGGGTCAGCGCTCTCGTCATCCCCGGCTTCAAGAAGCAGCGTCTTGAAACCGGCTCGGGCAAGGTTGCTGGCGAGGGGGCCGCCTCCAGGACCGCTGCCAACCACGACATAGTCGTAGGTGTCAGCGGTGGATGGGGGCGCCTTGATCGCCAGCACGGTGCTTACGGCAGCCATGATGCTCCCGAGGCGGAATGCAACCATCTTGGTAGATGAGGAGCGCATATTGGAATTCAAACAAGACCGAATTTCGACTGTGAGAAGATTCTCGAAGAAGGGAGCGATGGTGAATGAATCGCAGTTGTCGGGGCCACAGGGAGCTCAGGAGAACTGCTATTTAAGCTGGGAATGTATAAATGACTTGGATCCTTATTACATGGTCACGTCGGCTTGTATTGTTTAGTTTCTCATGAAAATGACAGATGCTTCGGCATTTCAAGCTGTCCTCGCGTTGTGCTTTCACGGAACCACGGCCATAGGGAAGCAACAAACTCCGAGAAGCGATGTACCTCATCTTTCGGAGCAGTCACTCTTTAACTCTGAAAATATCAGGAAAGGTAATCTCGTGTCTATTAATCAGTAGGGACGTTGCAGTGTTGGAAGTGCCTATGCCTCGGCCGTGAGTATTTGATCATTAACAGTATGTAGTCCCTGCCATCACCGATAACTACTACACCCGGTGCATTTCGCGTTCCGGTTCTCTTGGCAGGTGGAAAAGGCTTGACCGTAGGCGCTCTGTACGACGACTAGGCACTCAGGCTCACCGGTGGAAAGTTAGAGCTTCTCACTAACCTAATCAGGCTAGCCTTCCGAAATCGTCACCTTATCTACACACCCTTGCCCTTAACGGAATGGGCCGATCTGAACTCCGGATGGATTTCCTTTTCGGTCAACTTTATAAAGTGGACCTATCCTCTAATTTAACCTACGACTTGTTTTTTGGTCGGGATATAGTCCATCTTAACTTCCCCACTAGCCATATTTTCTTACGCAAAGTGCTCCTGAATTGCAATATCCTTTGTGCAGGAGTGTTATTGGGGGTTCTTGGCCATCGCTATTGCCGCTTGGTTGTCTCTGTAGATAATTATGACCACTATTTGGTCCGTAGCGTTTAGTCCTCCCAGTAATTCTTTGAGCAGGGTTCGCCCTCACGGCTCCAGCCAACGGGTAAGCTGAACAGGACAGACCCGGCTTCCTTCTGGAGAATCAGCGCATGTACCACAATACCCTGGGGCACCGCTCCAAGCCTGCCTGAAACTCAGCACAAGAGAGCAACTTGGCTAACTCCCCATTGCACCACATTGATGTATTCATTGCTCCCAGCAATACCCTAGTGAAGCTCAGCTGACAGTATGCCCGGCTTCGTTGCATGTTGTTCCATCACCGGGGCCAACATACCTCGGCGGCGTACCCGACACATACACGAACGCCGTAGAAATTCATTCATCAGCCATGAATTCTTCAAGCCCTACAGATAGTGCCGAACAATCTGTTTGGAGGTCCCAGTTCTCTCGATCGCGCGATCGGCTTCTTCCCCAAACCTTATCCGATAACCCCAGCGAGAAATAAGGGCCCTTATAGTAGTCAACACTCGGCATACATTCTTAACCCCGAGTGCCGCAATCCCGTTTGTGGGCTCCGAGTTTCACTGTCTTATCCGTTTTTCCCATTCCTACCCCGATAAGGGAGCGACGAGGCGACAGATGAGAGTCGGCGCTCGGCATCTAAATCCCCGATATAAATCAGCAGTCTAAATCTCAATTCACTAGGGATAGTTTTATTTATAATACGGACGACATTATAACCATGTTGAACCCGCTCGCCTTGGTCAGAACTTAACTCTTTCCCCCCTACGAGCAAATTCTACCGTATAATTCATCCTTTAATCTATTACCTCAGACAAATTAAAATTCGTCGTACTATCCTACACCAAGCAACATGTCTCCCATTCCTGAGACCATGACGGCCATTCGCATGTATGAGTACGGCGGGCCAGAGGTACTCAAAGTCGAAACTCACCCGGTACCTGTTCCTGGCGACAATCAAGTCTTGATCAAGGTCAAGGCGTCAAGTGTCACCTGGTGGGACTATGCCTACCGCAACCAGCTCATCGGGCCCATCCCTGGCCGTGGAGCCCTACCTATTCCGCAACAGTTAGGCCGTGAGGCCGCAGGAGACATTGTCTCTGTTGGGAAGAGTGTCCGCACGTTCTCTGTTGGCGACAAAATCGTGACCCTGGCCTGTCCAGCCTGCGGTCAGTGCCCGTTTTGTCAACAGGGCTTCGACAACTTGTGCATTCGCACAGACCTACCAGCCCACAGTACTTTCGGAAGCTATGCTGAGTACATTGTTCGGGATGAGCATAGTATTGTCCTTGCTCCTGACCATCTGAGCTACGACGTCTTGGCATGCCTCATCTGGTCCTACGGCACTCTTATGCACATGATCGATGGCCGTGCGAAGCTTCGGCCCGGCGAGACCGTTATGATCACTGGAGCGTCAGGCGGCATGGGAACAGCGGCTATTCAGCTGGCCAAGCTGGCTGGTGCAAGCAAAATCATTGCTCTGTCATCTGCTGTAGACAAATACGAAAGTCTTCGAAAGGCAGGCGCCGACGTCATCTTGAACTACAAGGATACAGATGTCCTTCAACAAATTCAGTCTCAAACAGCGCTCAAGATGGGTGTCGATGTCGTCCTAGATAGCGTCGGAGGTCCGATGGCCGAATTAGGTGTCGAAGCCTTGAGGATGGGAGGCCGCATAGTTATGGCTGCAACCATGGGTGGGAAGAAACTTCAGTTGGACGTTCACAAGCTCTTTATCAAGAACATCTCAATTCATGGCGTTCGTGCTTCGAGAAGGCAGGACCAGTTGAAAGTCCTGAGCTTAGCAGCAGCGGGCAGGCTTACTCCAATCATCAGCCACAGGTTTCGCCTGACGGAGGTAGTTGAGGCTAATAAGCTGCTTGAAGCTGGTGGGCACACAGGGAAAATTGTTTTGTACACATAGATCTTGCGTTTAGTCTACATTTAAAAAACAATATTTAAATTATTGGGTGGAATGAATAAAATTATCGTACTAAACGCCTCCAGGACATTGATATTGATGAATAATTGATTGCTCTTTACACTCATTCTCTCCCAAGGAATGGTGTTCTAGCTACCACTATCCGCCTCGAATTACCCTAGACAAGGGAGCATTAAGGAGATAGGCTACGCTTCCAGGCATACGCCTGATGTATCCCTAGTATATATACTTATTATGGTTGTCTAACACTGCTGTGAAGTCGTTATCTCTAAACAGCCGATGTTCGTGTAAGATTGTATGTTCCGGGGATACATCGGGACTGCCATACAATAACTGATACATTTCTAGCTTTCCCGTAGGCTATCCATTAGAGGTCCCAACTGTAGCTCGGTGTCACGGCCACATCCTAGGCTCCCGACCTTGCCCCGAGTAAAGAGGTGCGAGGTCTCCACTGACGTCACTCGTGTCCATATACGAAAAAGCCGCCGGTGCATTCATCTCCATCCTCAAAGATTTAAAATGCTTAAATACACGTGCTTTCCCCTCACTCACCATATTTTTCAATATCTCAACACTATCGCACGGATCTGCTCCACTTGAACCAGGTCGAGAACATACCAACAGACATCATCTATCAATTTTCGACCATCGGCGAAGTCACCATGACCCCCCCTACGGCGAACAACCCATGGAAGGCGCTCCAGCCTCACGATGCCCAGAGATTCGGCGACGTAATCATGGACCCCAAAGAGCAAGCGCGCTGGAGCGCAGCAGTAATGCTTGGGGGCCTCCCTCATATGTGGGAGGAGGCTTCGCAAATCAAAGACATCCTCTACGGCCACTTGGCGCTCTCAAATGCGAAGCGGGTGCTTCTAATCGGAGAGTCGAATGAAAGCTGCTTCATGGAGGATCTTCGAGCCAGGGTTCCTGCTGATGCCGAAATTGAATCTATCGATTTGATCGAGCGCGCAAGAAACATGTGCCTTAGCGGACAGAGCGGAAAGAATGGCAGCCTCGGCACCTGGCGCTGGGACTATGTCGATGACAAACCGGACAACTATTACGACGTCATCGTGATCCTGCAGGGAGTACAGCACACGGAAGACTGGGCAGAGACTGCAAAGCACCTGGTTCGTGTCTTGAAGCCCGGTTGCTATTTTGTGACGGGAGAGATTTGCTTCGGACCGCCATTTTTCGAAAAGGTCCATGCGGATGTCCATGTCCAATATCTGGTTGACAAAATCTTCACTGGTATGGATACGGACTACCACAACCTGTCCTACTGGAGCATCGACGATCTTAGACGTGCTTTTGGCAAAACCCTCATCGAGCAGGGTTGGCTGGTGGATCGTGGCTTTAAAGCCTTTTGGGGACGTAAGCCGTCTACACCGAGCACATGAGAAGCGTAATTCGAAACCAATACGTAACATCTTCAAGGGATATTCGTCACTCAAATAGATTACCAAACGCTATCGCTGAAATAGTTTGAATCTTATGCACACGTGAAGCACCTTCCAAAGCGATATGAAATCAGAATTGTAATGGCTGGCGATGCACTTTGCAGTTTAATCTGCACATCGGCATTAGGAAATTACGCCAAGCTGATGTTTTGGCGAGTTTCGTCTAATCCGGAGATCAAGAGTGCCTTGTCTAGTCAAGTCGGGGGTATATTCGTTGCGTCAATAGTGTAGCTTCGAGTTGTTCAAGCGGTAAACCAAAGGAAGCTCGTCTACCTTTCCACTGGAGTCATGCCTTTGATAGGGAGACGGACAAGATCGTCAGTGGCGCATGTGATTTACTTGTCATGGCCGAAAGGAGAGATGGAAGTGAACATGGATAGACTTCAAAGGACATCAGTTCGAAATGGACTAAACACTTTATATTGGCTATGACTAGGTCTCTCTACACAGGCAAGACCAAGGTTGCGTGCCTTTCCAACTTCAAAAGTCTGTCCCGGTTTCTGGCCAACTCTTTTACAGTGGAAGAGTTGGGAGGCCCAAGAGTCTAGCCCCGTTGTTGTAGGCAAGATTGCCCCGTAGCTGACTGTCTGTCTTGCCCAGCACCTCCCGTGAGAATGTGTCGTTAGTCCAAGGGAGATCCGTTCCAGTTAGAAGTTGTTGGGGCCCGACAACTGAGGCATAAAGTTTGATGTCCTCCAGCTCGGCATTGTTGCAGTCGTAAAACACTTTCTGGAAGTAGTATTTCACTGGATGGGGTAACAATTGTTTGTTTCTAGCTAGGTCAATGTACCATGTATCTGCCGGCCAAATGCCCATAAGGTGTCGGAAGCGGCCGAGGCTAGTCATCACTCCACCTGCGAGGTGTATCACGATGAGCTTGAGATTCGGATGATTCTCCAACGTCCCTGCCATGATTAGGTCGAGTAAAGTGGTCCTTTGATCATCCAAGAAACCCGTGTAAGCGGGGATGTTCTTCCTATTAACGAAAGGTTGCTCGACCGGCTGAACTGCAGGATGGACAAGGACCGGGATGTGAAGTTTGGCGGCCAAGGCGAAGTAGGGCCGGAAAGAAGGGTCTCCGAGATAAACATTTTCGTAGTTGGAAGCGAACAATACGCCCTTCAAGCCCAGCTCTGTGATAGCTCTGTGAAGGACTTGTACGCCTTGTTGCGTGTAATTTGTTCCTTTGGCAGCGTCCTCCTTGGCAAGAGCCGGAGGTGAAGGGATCGTCGCGAAGCCAATCATTCGACTTTGACCTGCAACTCGTTGAGCCATCCATTCATTCATGTCAGTTGCGGCAGCAATCAATGCTTTAGCTGGGAGCTGCGGGAAGAATGTGTTGATGGTGACCACATGGATATTGTGTTTGCCAAGCGCCGCGAGACGAACAGGCGATGCTAAATCGTCGGCCAATCCGGGGATGATACGGTTCACAATGTCGTCCGCAGTCGGCCCTTGAATCCCTGGTGATGCCAAAATGGATTGAGCTGTAGAATTGGAATAGTTCGGCTTGAGGGCGTGGGTCTGAAAATCAATGATAGGTCCTGAGTAAAAAGGCACAGGTGCGGGTTTCTTCTCGGCAGATGCCAGAGGAAAGGAACCAATGGCCAAGATCGCGAGGAAAGCAATGTTTAGCATATTGAAATGAGTGGGCATGTTCGAGTGATTTTTCTATTCATGTCGGGGGGCATCACCGTCTTTATATACTCAGAATTCTTTCTATAGGCTGCTGCTAGGAGAAGTCGAAGTACTAACGACCCCTGATTTGGCACGGGGGCGGAGCCTGTTCCCGAGCGAAGATTTAACCTTGCTTGCAGGCTGGGCAGTGTATGCGGGGAAGTTTGCGGGGCACCGATAGTGGTATCTACACTGTCGCGTTAGATGCTAAGGAACTAGACTCGGACTTGATCCTGATCCTACTGTGCCCGTGGGATTATCGGGAGCTTGATCCCGGGCGTGGATGGTGGCTGGATAATTTCTCTGCCGCTTTCATGGACACTCCTGTTCTCTAAGAAAGCTGTGAGAGTGAATGGGGGTGACCGATGATCCAATCTCCCTGTCATCCATATCCTCTAACGTAAGCTCTTAGGACGTTCTGGCCAAAGTCGGAGCAGCTGGTCTACAGCCTGGTCCCATCAACAAGACCAAGCTGACCTTCTCATGCAGTTGCCACATTGGGTCATGTACTCGCTGGCGAAGTGCACCAAGTTGGCGAGTAGGTCTGGAATTTTGAAGTCGGCAATCGAGTGAGGGTGCATCCGTTGCTCTTATGTCGAGCTCGCTTAAATGTGCCTCCAAGGCGGCATGATGAAGTTTGTGGAAAACGGCAAGAAAGTCTCCCTTTTCAATCAATACAGAGACAGTGGCTTGGCCCAATTTGTGAGTTTTACATGAGCAACACCCAAACTACAAATCAGCGGCGTATTAAGCAGTGTTAAAATAGTGTACGAGTGGAGGTCCGGATACTGAGCTTAGGGTCGCTATCTGTCAACATGACACCGATATATGAATGCATACATGGACCAAAACATCAGTGTAGATCGAGGATTAAAAGGAGCTTGTGATCCCCTATCTAAAGGAGTGACCAGAGTCGGTCTCTTTATACCCGTTTTCAGTCTGCCTATTCATAGACAGAAGGCTGTTGCCTGACGCTAGTTATGGTCGTTCATAATGATCGTGATCCTTGCCTCCAACAGTAACCGAAGGTCTCCGGACCTTGACACTATTTCTCTGTTGCTTCCTGGCTACAGGACGCCAGACATGCCCCGACGCGCCGCTTCAATTTCCTCCAGGCTGCACCGCTCTGCTACTTTGGAGGGTTCGCCCTGCAGCGGAAGACGTTCGGTGGTGAGAACAATGATATGACTGCTTGAGGCCGATGTGATGCTCGTGTAGGCGCATCCTCGGGGAATATTGACAAAGTCGCCTGGTTCTAACTTCATCAGGCCCTTCTGCGTCACCAAGGTACGTGTACCGCTGATCTGGTACTGAATAGCGTCAGCTCTCCGATGGCACCGATAGACTTCCCCTCTGCTGCTCTCGAGCTGGACGTTTCCAAGCCACACATTTTGCGACTTGTATACCCATTCGATCTCGGGCCCGGCCGCCGCAGGCCGTTGCACGATAAGCTGGGCGTCCGTTTCGATAGTCCCCCCGAGCAGTAGTGTCTCATCGACCAAGGAGACGGACAGGTCGCAGCCCAGCGCCCCGAGGCACTCGGTGACCATCTCCGTCGCCCTTTGGTTGACTGAGAAGTTCTCAAAGGGAACCTTCTTGCGCTCCGCTACAGTGGCGTTGCTGCCTACGTCGGATACTGGAGCGATGCTGTAGAAGAGCAAATGAACCTCCTTGCGGCCGTAGTTGTCATGAGCGATGCCAACGGGGATCCTGGCAAAGTCTCCGGGGCGGAGATCTGCGGTGCCGACCTCGGTCATCTGGGTGCGCTCGCCGGAGACCTGATACGAAAGCTCATCGACATCCACGTTGCGGTGGTAGAAGGGCTGACGGTTGTCCATCTGCTGCCACTCTAGCCGTAGTGTCTTGCCGACATAGACATCTCGAGGGGGCGCGAACTTGGCGGGCTTGAAGTCCGTTGGGAAGTGGGCTGCAGTGAGCGGTTTGAATTCTCTCCAGAGCTTCATGAAAGTTGGCGCCGGGTAGGTCAACAATAGGTCCTCCTTCCGTTGCACGGTGATCTCGGTTAGAGTCTCGGGCAAGGCGTCGAAAATCTGAGTGACGGTCGCCATTATCAAAGTGAAAAGTAAAGGCAGAATTGGATGTTTCACAACTGTCCTGTGTGCTTATGATGGGACAATCTTGCAATTAGTGTTGATCCAAGTTGAGGCGCCTTAAAGCTAGCCAGTTACATTCGGTTGATATATAAGACCACCAATCGGTGAATAATCGCCGCCCGTCGCTTCCATGAGGAAGATCTTAGCCGTTCCGACGTGTCGGTTGTTCCCCGACGTCCGTTAAGCCGAGGCCGGCTTATTCCACGTCGCGCCTTGGAAAAGTCTCCGTCCTCCGGGCCATCTAAACAAAGAAGAAGACGACCGTACAAACCTCTGCCGTCATATGCAAGTCCAAATCATACGCATCTTCGCAGCAAAACAAATAATTAAAGCAACAGGAGTTCAGACCAACCAATACCACAGCCAAGTAAACTTGCAAGGGGTCAGCAATAACTAACTGTATTCTCATTTCAACTTGATTAAATGACAAATTACTCAACATTGTCAATGACACAACATAGCCTTACCAAATTTCCAAGGAACCGCGAGCTCACCGAATACGGCACAATATGATCTCCATCGGCATGCCGAACCTCCGAACTCGACCATGGGGCGGATCATGCTAGTCCCGACCTCGCTGGGGATAGATCGGAATGCACTCTAACCTCCCCGGATCGTACCCAAACCATCAAATACTCGCCAAAGTCGGGGCAAAACTCACAATCTGTAAACCCCTAGGGGTACCCCAAGCGGATATATTCAGATAGCCCGGAAGTGAGATGGATACTACGTCATTCCACCTCAGACCACGGAACATAATGTGACGCTCCTCTACTCCCCTGACGTTCTCGGCATCTGGTAAAACAGCCAGCCCATTGAAAACCAGTTCGCCGCCAACGGCTACCACATCCTGATTGTCGACACTTTCAATTTCGATGCGCTGCCCCTTTACTGCCCCCAAAGGTTTTAACATGAAGAAAACGATGTTCAAGGGTTCCGATGGCCAGAATCCATTCACGCCGAATGCTGTCGACGCTCATTATTAAAGCAGCCATAAAGTTCCTCAAGTAGACATATATTTACGTAAAACTTGGGATGTAGTAATGACTAAAGGAGGGATCGAAGACGATATAGAAGAAACTATAGGCTGGTTTAGATCTTCGATCTGGTTTGAGTAAGGACAAACCTTGACTATGTTTAAATAACAAGGCAATTCAAATAAAACAAAAAATAAGTATTAATATCCTTGTACTACATTATGCCTTTACACCGCCTTGTCGCTGTCATTCAAGTGTAGGATTAAGCACTAATATAAGCACCTAGGCCGTAAAATATATATATAGGCAATAAATAAAGTTAGTTATAGTAGTGTAATATTATTAAGTAGATAAGCTATATAATATTGGTAATAATTATAAAAGCTGAGTAGTAAAAAAGGATAATGTATATAACAAGTAAGATAGATACCTAAGTAAGATAAAAATCCCTTACCTTATTATTTATATTGAGTCTGCTAGTACCTTTAAAAAAAGAGATTGAGCTGTCCTAATTAAACCGACAGAAGTATTAATAATACCTTACCTTGTTATAATACTATTAAATCAACTTAATTTTAACTAAATAATACATTATAAGCCAGTATAGAGGTCTAGATAAATTGTACACTTTAGGCTTATTAAACACACCTAAAATCAATTCTATAACAAGTTGCATTTCTCTATAATGTTTACTTCCAGACTCTTTACTATTAATTTCAGGGTTATTAGGTTTATATTGATCATTGTCAGACCAGGATATTTATCCCGTCATCCTTCTCAGACTAGATAAAACAGCCAGCGATGATACGGACACGTTCAATGCGCTGTTTCCCGATTTGCTTAGTAGCCTCTGCTTGACGAGAGGGCTGCCTACTTCTGGACTCAATGAACTTCTCTCTATCCTCTTCTGATAATTGTCTTAGCTGTTCCTCTTCCATTTCGCCATCTAGATCATCTCCATTTTGAAAGCGCCTCAACAACATACGTACAGCCTTCATCTAAAAAGCAATTCTTGAATTGTTCCCAGTTGCAATCGCAGACTTATTACTCTACAAGGAAAGGTTTAATTGTTTCCTCTTTCTCAGAACCTACGTAGGTGGTTTCTTCCTGTTTCGGAGCAACGCCTTCGACCTGCACAATGCGGGAGATATGTCCTTCATTCATTCGTACCCAACACCACTGGTCAAATCGGAGGATGATAATGGTTGAGACCGCGGAGGCTAGCTTGGAGGCTTTCCTAGGCGAGGTATCAATAAGAGGCATCAAGAACAATTGGTCTCACTCACTGGCATCGTCATTCTTGGTTAAAGAATCCTTATCCTGGCCATCGACGATGTCACTGTCAACTCTCCGTTCATGCTCAGGAGGCCCAATCTTCTTTTCATACTCTTCTTGCTTGGAAGAGGAGTTTAAAACTTCAGCCTGAGCAGTCTCCTGAGGGAGAGTCAGTATGCGACTGACCACATCTTGGCTTTGTTGCTTTGGCTCGTCCATGCTAATTGATTGCAATGGTCCACAAAACACGTGTATGGCTATTTGAATACTGAGAAAGGTCGATTGAGTGAATGCTATATAGTTCGACGGAGTCATGAAGAGGGGATGTTTGGCCCGCGCAATTATATTGAAGGTGAAAAGTAACAGACCCAAACATGCCCTGACTTACTAAACGCCAATTTACCTAGAGCCGCCAACTTCGTCAGGGAATAACACGCCCCTAAATTCATCAAGCCAATGGGACGCGTAGGACATCTCGATTCTCCACCAATATGGAGGACATATACCTTGTGAGATGATTACCGCATGTGCAGAGTGGTTGCCAAGGAACGACATCCTGCGCATCTTGATTTCAGCCGCAGCTGAACGCCCAATCAGTACAACTAATGATAATGCGTTGCTGGCAGTTTTCGGCGGCTAGCAGGAGTACCTCCGAGCCTGATTCAATACGTACCTGATGAGCCAAAAAGTATTATGCAGTCAGCAAGCGATGAAATTTGGCGTAATCATCTGACGCCTGTGAAGTCTTTCTAGTCGATAGTCGCTAATGATGGTGTACTGTTGCCTATTCTTAACAGGTTCAATTTGTCAAAGATCTAGAAACAAGAACAGAACTAGAAGCCTAAGGACAGCAGTGAGGCCATTCCAACATTCAGCTGAAGAAATCAAGTTTCCCCCGACGAACAAGGTCCATAACATCTCTGCTCAAAAACTCGGCTAGCAATATTGCCCGCGTCCTCTTATGAATCAGGCTCGCTTCTCAAATAGGACAGTCAAATGAGTGCTACGGCTTATTCTGTCAGCCAACAACACTGCAGAGTATTGTCAAAACTGCGTTATCGATACAATAGGTAATGACGGGCCTTGAAAAGAATTTCCCTTGGACATTGCGGGAGCGGATGAAAGACCTACCAGAGATTTCTACCTTCCAGTCATGGGCTCGTACGATCCAGCGAAACCGATGGATTCTGCATCTACACACCAATCATTCTACGATAAAATTACGTCGTAGCTTGTTAACAAATTGGGTTCTTTGTGAGTTTACTTATTACTTCAATTTAAAGACGCTCCATTTCCGTACTTAGTGATCAGAGACCAGGCTTTATAAGCAATGCCCCTGCTCATAAACAATGTAGCAATTGCTTTATCGGATCAATAGTATACTGGCCAGTAGAAGTCAGCTAAACGAAGCAGTTCAGCGATATCAGCCAGTTCAGGCGGCTGAATCCGGTGATAGCTTCTGGTCGAATTGTGATCTTGAAAGTTGTTCATGGAGTCAGGTCCTCGATGAGCTAAAGGAAGCGGAAAGCTTTTATTGGAAAAGCGCGAAAAAGAACCCCGCGCGTAGGTTTGTTCGTAAAGGCGAAGAGATTATAAGGAATGTAAAGCCTTTCCCAAAATCCATACCCCAGGATGATGGGCTGGGATTAATCAAAGGAGCCTTCATCATTATCTTCAAAGTAAGATCTTCAGATTTGAATCATGGGAATGTATCAGGACATTGCAAGTAACTGACACGATATTAGGCCATTCAAGATAGGTCAAACGCACGCGATAAAATTCTCGAAAGCTTCATTACCATGCCCATCTCTATTCTTGATGCGGAGACACTTCGCCAAAATTGTCCCGAAGATAAATCTCTGTTTTCGGCTTTTCAGTGTCTGCATGATGAGCTAGTCAAGTGCATCCCCTCCATGATCAATGTTCTGTTGCGAGGCGGCAACGATTCCAGTTTGTCGCTGCTTCTTCATGATCTAGAAATATACTGACTCCAGACAGAAGCCAAGAAGTCGCCAACTTCCTTTACAAGGATCCTATAATCGAGGTAGAGAGTCTTTTAAAACCACTTGTGGTTGCAGAAAACAACTTGAAACGTTGTAGGCGAGACTTGCAAGAGAATAGTGCAGCGACTACTGCCACAAAACTGCACCTTCTGAGCGATATTCTTGACCAGGGCGTGACCTCATTGCATAAAAGCCTCGATGGTGTTAAAGAGCACGTCACAGCGACAGCGAACCAGAATAATAAGCAGATGGATGCCCGTCAGAAGCAATTCTTACAGGCCTTTCAAGAAGGACTCTATAAGATCCCGGCCTCGATTATGACGCAAATCAATACCTCGATTTATGTTGTCGTTCAGGACGCAATTCGAGGTGCAAGCCCACGCCCAGGTATGTTTACAAAAACGTCAAATAAGGAATCATTACTGATCATTGAAACAGTAGTGGAATTGGATTCATCCTCTGGAAATTTCGCAATAGCTTACGTGGCCCCAACGACCTGATACGTAGTCTGAACCACCAACTTCTGCGACAATGGCCGGATGGTGAGCCTCTCAATTTGAAAGACCCAAGAGATGACCTAGGCATGTAGACTTACGATACCGTTTACCTTTGCTCCCTTTTCGAACGCCTCTTTTGCTAGCTGAGTCCACGCTCCCTAAATCTTTGCGTTATCGATGGAGTGTCTCATTTTGAGACGAATTTACACGGATGACTAGATAATATGACGGAAATCATTAATTACGTTTCGTACTGCGTGGATGAAGGACGAGGGAATGTAAAATTCCTCCTCGTTAGCCCGGACAAGAGTACCCGCTTACGAAATCTCATTGATAATAATGACTAGGTGGATCTAAGGTTGGCAAAGAGTTTGTATTTATTTACCAGTTCTATAAATTCTCTTTTGAATTCTATTTATTGAGGCGGAATGTGTATATATTACTTGTAGCGCGGTACATTAAACCTGAGTACTTAGAAATGTATTGATATAAACTGTAATAATTACTTTAATTCCCTGTAACAACTTTAACCTAGAAAGGAGATTATTGTGTAGCCTAAAATCTCTTAAAATCTTTAATATGGATTTGATTATTTTCTTTTTATGTATTTAGATTAATGTATAAATAATAGTACTATAAGACTTCTTTTCAATGGCATAGAAAGTTTTATCTAATGCATATATAATTGAAACACAAATTATACTTAAATTAATATTATTACAGAAGTAACTTATAGCTTTAAACTTAAGCTTTAGGTTAGCTCAGTATTAAACTATTGTATAAGATTAAAAAAATACAAAGAAGATAATCTTTTTATAAAACTTCATTTCTATATATATACTTTTATAAATATACATTAATAAATACTTACTATAAATTATATTACCTTATATCTTTTCTATTACTATTTTCTATTTTCAAGAAGAAGTAATAATATTCATCCTGGTCCACCGTGTTTTTGGCGGTGTTGAATAATTATAAGGGAATGGATTCCTCATCTCTTACCAGATTTTCTCTTATATTTTTTACATAATCCTTATAGATACCGTCATGGGTATGTTCTTAATTTAGTATATAGAGGACCTGGAACCCAAAGACAAGATATAGCAGCGTCAGAGCCCGGAAAGTCGTGATAGCGAAATTGCGTTATAATAGCCGCTTGTAGAAGTAGTAGTGGCATGACAGACATCTTTGGGACAAATTTAAATAGTCACATTCCAAAGTTGATCGTAAAGTGCTTTGTTAGTAGCTTGGGAAGTGTTAGCCGTCTTAGAAACATATTGCGCTAAGTTAATATCGCAAGAGGACGAGGTAGAAGCAGCAAATAGACACGAGTTCGTACAGCAACTAATGATCTACGTGCTCACTTGATTAGAGTTTAGTTGTCGTGTGCGACTTCTACTGCCTTGAAAGCCTGGGCTTGATAAAGTTGAAGGTTTAATCGGAAAAAAAAGTACAACAACTGGATAGAATATGAAGTTACCAGGATGGAAACAATGACTCATCACTTAATGATATTGCCCACCCACTTCGGCCGTAAGACACTCCAGTATATCCTCTCTAGCACGGTTAACTGCATTTATCTTCCTCCAACCAGGCATAGTCTAGCCTTATCTACCTAACTCCTCTTTCCTATATTTATTTTTAAAACTTGAAATTTTTTAGTGTATCTGAATGTGGCGATGGTATTGGCCTTGCTGATGCACTTCGGCTTGGTGGGTCCTGGCTAGAAGATGCAATACGCGTATGACGTGGAGTGTGGAGCGTGGGACCAGCAGGGGTGATTTAGTGACAGCACTTGGCAGGATGCTGTGTAATAAGCTAGTGGGCTCATTACGGAGTGCCCAGTCTTGGTGCAGTTGCCAGCCGAGACAAGAATTGCCAACATGTTCCCCACTTACTTTGTTAAGTATAAAGGCCATTAGTTGATTATAATGTTAATGTCCTTTCTCCTTCTCTTTTCTATCTTTGCGATTTATCCAAACGACTAAACCTACAGCCCCGCCAGTCATTGCCACTCCTTCTGACAACCCTAGACTATAATCGGAAGACGGCAGTCGGTAAGGCTCGCATAGTCGGCGACCATCTGTCAGGATCTCCCCAGATTCGTAGCCTTCATTTTCACTATCCAGGGTATGGAGCAACTCAAGCACCAAGATGCATCTTCAGAGGAGCTCGTAGGCGATCACTTGGAGCCTGATCCAGGTCGCTCGCATTCTTTGCTATCCGCTGCGGTGACTTGGATTCGACAAATGACCATTTTCAAAGCTCTTGTCATCGTTTACTGCCTCAACATAGTGGCGTGGGGGGGAATGATCTTTTTGCTGATGTGCAACGCGGCACCAGCAATGTGCCACCCGACCTGTGACGATATCAACTCTCCACGGCGAAAATGGATCGAAATAGACTCACAAATCCTCAATGCCCTATTCTGCATACCGGCGTTTTGGCTCGCCCCTCGACGATGCATCGAGGCCTGGAAAGCATTGCAGTACATGACGGGACAGATGACCGGCTTGCGCCAGCTAGCTGCTACATACCGTGAATGGTTCCGACTTCCTGGATCTGAAGCCCTGCCCGCCCACGTAGGCCCTATCCAAGTTGAGGCTTGGCTCCAACAAGCCTCGTTTTCAGAGGACATAGTGCCTTATCCAACACGAAGTGTTCCAGAGCCACCACCTTCTGGACGACGAGCGACACCGACGCGAGTGTGGAAACTCCAGGCAGTCGTTGCTTTGAATCTGTTGAACACGATGTTCCAGGTTATCCTTTCTCTGTTTATGTGGCTCTATAACCGACACAATCGACCAGGTTGGTCTGTGGGATTATTTCTCTGTCTAGCCTTTGTGTCATCAATAGCTGCTGGGGTTGTGCAGTTCCTCGAGCGGAAAAAGGTTCAGCGGGTCGAAGGGAGACCCAGTTCAAAGATACTGAGAGTCGAAGATGAGGAGCTAAAGTTGTTGGGTCGTCAAAAGCTGCAAAATAGTAGTTAACAGCCGTTGTGTGAACCGTAATCAGAGCCAATTAATAAACAGTTCTATATTGCCAACGGGGCACTGACTGCTGGAGAGACTACATACGTAATATTCATGTTAAAGGACGGTATATCGCCACCATGATGTATGCTAAGTGACGATTACCTCGGCCAGTTCTTAAAAGGCTGATTGAAAAGTTAGATCAATAGAGCCGAGGTCGCGTAGCCCCCAAGCCAAGCCCAGTGTCGATTGTCTTACTACGCTCTGAGCTGGTAGGTGCATCTATCAACTGAAGTCCCTAGCAGGGCCCTATTAACCTTTGTTGAAAATCAATTTTGAATCTTGCATAGCCAGAATTAGCCAAGCCTCCCGGGTCCGCCAAGCCCAGCGTCGGGATGTTAGATCCTTGTTCCGAGCTGTAGCTAATACGACAAGCGAAGAGTCATAGAATACGCTAAACGAGCCTGAACGAGCTTAAACGAGCCTGCTAAAAAGCTAGTGGCACAATGAATGGGAGATGGCCATTGCGTCAAGCCTCCTGTCATTTTAACTTGTAGGTTTCATGCGGCTCCAACTGGAAAGGCACCTGGGCGTTACGATAAGATTCTAGCGGGTCTCAAAGTGATTTGATTAGCCAGCAAAACTCCATCATTATCACCTGTCGTTTTCTTCCGCTTACTTCTGATCAACATCTGGTTCAATTACTAAAACGAGTTATTTAACGCGCCAGAATGAGTGCCTCGATTAAATTATCGCCCGTTCTCTCCCCTGTGTAGGAGTTTGCTTTATTCCCTGATTGTTTGCCCCTAAGGCCGAGGTTAGTAAATAGCAACTATCTTCAAACACATGCCAAGTCGAAATTTGATTTCAGAGCACTAGGCACAAGTGAAGCTCAGTTTACCTCAACCACCGCCTGCTTCTCGTAACAGAGGTGTGCCTCAACATCCTTGGCCCTTGATCCGTCAAAAACACGTATGAAATCAAATTGTAGTAAGACATTTCTACGTATAGGCGGTCTAGATTTTATAATCTATATAAATTTAAGAGCTAATCGTATCGGGATTAAATACTAATTAATCTATTCAAGAAAGTACCACAGGTAATTGTATAGATATTTACCGCGCGTTAGTTCTTTAGCTTTGGACTATTTCAGAGTGAAAGAAGGGCAAGAATGATGTAAGCCTTAATGCTGTCGTCTGGCATAATTGAATGTTGCAAATTAATTGATTAGATGTTAATGATATAGGGTGAGGGATTTTTGGCCTGCATACTTGGACGACCGGCGTACGTTACCTATTCAGAGCTTGTGTTACCGGCTTGCCCTAAATCTGCTGTCAGTGAAGAGAAGAGAGATTTCTATTACTTAAATCCCATTTTTATACTGTAGACCAAAGAGGTATCGCGCTTACACTGTGGCTAGTCACACATATATCTAAGTGCAGATAAGACTAGTATTCTAGAGGTTCTTTAAAACTTATCATCATTACCCGAGAAAGATCTAATATGTATAACAAAAGGGACCACCTGTAGTGGACATTGTATCGCTGACGGTAATGTTCTTCGCAAGTTTATCCATCAAAAGCAAGTCAGTCAAGGCGGCTTTACCAGTCTGGCCATCAAGTCCCCTCGTCATACCAGAATAGTCTCTAAGTCTAGCCTTTGTGTTGGCTTTCTGCCATTGCCACCAGAGACGGTCGACTTGTGTATGGTGAAGGAAGAAGATAGGGTCTGAGAGGCATGTCAGTGAGTAACTCGCTTCCGGAAGGTCCGGTCTGACTTACCATTCGGCGAGGTAGCCGGGTTCATTTCTCCTCCGATAGCTGAGTGAATGGCCTGATGGGGTCCTTGTTCTAATGCGTCGTGGTAAGAAAGAAATTTGGCGTTCTTCTGCACGATGGCGACATTCGTTTTGTTATACTGTCTAGCAAAATTGATCGAGTCTGTGGTTTCGCCATCTGCAAGGTGTCGGTGAAGGCAATGGGGTTTGTACTCCCGTACTCTGGCACTGACGCCGTAATACGAAGGGCGCAACTTAGAGAAAGGCCCATCGATAACACACCTAAGGTCTCCAAAGATGTTCTCTTTGTTGGTGTCGCTGCCATCACCGCCAAACCCCAGTTTTGATGACATGACAGGGGACTTGGCAAGTTTCTTCACATCCTTTGTCCAGTCCCAATACGTTGCGTAGCCGGTATATCCACACTCTCGAAGCGCACCTTCATATACATGGGTGAAGTATCGGTGCCATGGCAAGAAAGCCGCTACAAGATGGACTATGAGTTTGAGTCAGTATTGAGGAAAGTAAATTCCAAGTGCATTCGTTCATTGCTTACTGCTGGGGTTATACTGAAAATGCACATAGGCAAAGTCGTCAAACAGGCTTGTTTTAAGTCCCAATCTTGACGGCTTTGTCTTGAGACACGTGACTGCGCTGATATAACTTTGTTTATCGGCGTCCTTTAATTGTCGCCATTCGACGCGCTTCACCGGATTTTTGCAAGTCGAAAGAGTATTTTTATAAGGAGTGGCAGCCGCAGCAGCGAAACTGACAAGGGTCAAGAGATAGGTGAACAGCATGATTGTTGAATGGCGATACTGAGGGATACTAATTGGTTGTTGAAACAAGATGAAAATGAAGCAGATGGACAGTAAAGGGAAAATATAAACACGAATGCGTTTTAAGCTGCTCCATATAAGAACGCGCAAATATTAGCATTGACCAATTAGAATCGACTCAAGCATATTGTTATTACGAGAGGCGTTTTATACTCCACTTTGCTTGTCCAGCTTGGTCCGATGGCAGTTTCGGGTGCTTAGGTTGGAACTTTGAAGTTTCACCCTATTGGCTGTCTTAACTAGCGGCTCGTATCAGCCAGATAGGTAGGCCAACGATGGCCTAAAATTAATACTTCTCGTAAATAATCGTGTTCATTTGAGCGTAAAAGCGAATTGCCCCCACCCCAGTCTGAGCATACGCTATATAATCCTCGTTCTCGATCTCGATGCATGATCTTGAATCCACTGAACGTCTCATTAGGTGCTTGTGTTGTAAGCGAATGGCTATCGTTTGTCTATGGAAAAGCCAAGCTCGGTGTTATATAGTTATCGTCCTTGCACTCGGTAGTTCTACGGATCGTGGTTATAAAAACTTAACTTGTCTCAACACAAGTTTATTCTCGGACTTGGAAAGCTGTTAAAGGCGTAATTGTGGTCAATTTGATTTGTGTCTTGATTGATAATTTATCCGGCCTATTTCCCCTCTATTAGGTGGTTTACCTTACGCTATTCCTAATTGAGAAGAGATCTAGTCAGGTGACGTTCCTTCTATCTATCTGAGCTTTGTTTGGTTAAAATGCTTGTCTGTGTTAATATAAGGCTAGAGTGTAACAGTTAGGTTTTCTAAGGATAAAGTAGACCGTTCTAGGTTTATATTAGTAGAATTATAGGATACAATTTAAGTAATAGTAAAATATTATATTTTTTAATAGTTAATAGTATTTATATTAAGTATAGTAGTACCTTTAAAAAAAAGATCTAGCTATCCCAATTAAACCCATAAAAGTATTAATAATAGAGGTCCCTACACAGACCGAAAAGCAACAATATCTCAAATTCAATAAGGTTACCCACCATATCAGCCACAACTCTATTTCTCAATGGCATAAAAACCCCTACTGGGGCCACTTTTCCCTTTCCACACTCCACTTCAATTAACCCACCCGAGCTTACGAGACGAAGATCGCGATCGCCAAGCAACCCGCCAAGCACCTCCAACTCACCCGTAAGTCGACCGGACCGCTTCACAACTGGATCAACAAAGCTGACCTCAATCGCAGCCGAGATGTCAATCAACGCCCCGACCTTCATGCCCTTCCGTAAGGACCTTCGGCCAGCCGATAATAGTTAATAGTATAAGTAAGGCTTTTTAAGATATAGAAATTCTATTAATAGTTAGTAAGGGGCAGGGGTACCGGTAGACCTACATATAGTATAGGTACTAGAAAGGCCGTATTTTAATCTTTAGAAAGCTTAGATATTAAGATATTTATATAGTAAATATTAATAATAGTAAGACGAGAGGTAAGAGGCAAAAGTATAATTCCAGTCTACGGAGTATTTATAGTAATACTAAATGCCTTATAGGGCCTGTCTTAAGACCATAATATTACATAATATAACTTAGATGTTCTAGGAGGACATTTAATATAGATAACGTTCTGAAAGGGCTGTAGAATCTGCACTTAAAAGATATTCTATAGTAAGGAAGAAGAGAAAGCTTTAGGCCAGCATCTTGCCAGCTTTGACTCTGAATTTGGTCACCCTACTGATTTATCCCTCATGACGTAATTCCCCAGGCACCTACGTACATACAACGTTAAGGCAACAGAGGTGGATCCTGACATCACTTATGGGTCGACGCAATTTTGGGAGGACAAGAGGCATGTACCGGGTTTCAGGCAATTCACAATCACCAGGAGTTACGCGCAGCTATGCAGGCTCGCAAGCCACCGCTTAATCCCGACGATGAGATGTGGCGGCCTTGGATGGGCTCTTATGAAGCTGGTGCCCCTCCCCAGGGAGGATTTGGAAGCAGGTCTCGTCCACTCTGGTCTACCCTGTGACCTTAATGCTAATCTTACTAGCTGGACTTAACAGGCTTCTTCAGGGCTTCCTGGGCCTGCCATATATCCACGAAACCACTCTTTGGCCTCGCGACCCAACTCGTCTGGCCCCTTGAGTTTCACGTCATCAAAGTTACGACACATAGGCTGCTTTACAATTTTGTATGTCGCTATTCCTTATTCGTTGTTAGACTAGCTTACTATTTACTACTTGCTGTCTCTAAATTTAATTATCGAGATAGTGTAATTATTTCCCTTTGAGATTGTAAAACTATTGGAACTTAGATAATAACTCTTTTAGACCCTCTTAAGCGTTACTGAACGACTAACTCTAAGAACTTCTTAGGGCGTCAGTATATGTTAATGTTGGGTCCAGTACTTCGTAACTTTTTCTTTTTTATATTCAGATAACCTGAACAGATATCTCTAATAGTGTAAACTATATTTTCCGGCCTGTTCCAGACTTGCTATGGAATAGGCTTGTCAAGCATCATTGTGTTGGTTGTTTGCCAAGCCCACTGCCAAGAATACAGGGCATACCACATGCGATACGGTTACACAACCAATAACATGGATCTTACCTCATTAGGGGTATAGCCATGACGTGACGCAAGGACTCGTCTGGCGTGCTAAGGTCACTAAGTGATGTGATCTCAGGCGACAGTACTATTATAGCGGGGGTCTTAGCACCCTATGATGTTCGCTTCCAACTCTACTATTAAAGTAGAGTATGCTACTTCTTTATTCAAGTAATAATTTAACGAACGTTGAACTGTTTCTTGAGATACCATAATGAAGAATGGCCAACCCCCCATTGCAGACATAGAGCTTGCGGTGGCTATACCGGAGCAAAACGTTCTGACCGACAATGGAAACCAGAAACAGACTCAAAGGCCGGAAGGTTCAGATTCTGATAGCAATCAATTTCCGAATCTTTCCCAGACCCGAGCTATTCTTCTCGTGGCCGTTATATCCATTGCTGCTGTTCTTACTGTACGTAATATTTCTCTTAAGGCAAACAAAAACTAATAAATTACTGAACCAGGTTCTAAACTCACAGTCTATCGTTATAATTCTTCCAGAACTTGGAAATTCGATGTGCATCCCACCCTCACGCCAACAGCTCATCGTGTCTATTTACAACATCTCCACGGGGAGCGTTATGCTTCTCTGGGGCCGCTCAGCAGAGGTCTACGGTCGACGTCTGGGCTTCGTGTCAGGATCAGTCATCTTCACCTTATCAACGCTATGCCTGCCTTGGTCCAGCTACGAGATACCTTTCTACGTGCTAAGAGCAGCTCAAGGTATGTCCGCTGCCGCTATCATGCCCTCTGGTGTTGGTATTATGGCTTCCTCCTTTGCACCAGGTCCTTCTCGGAACATGGCCTTTATCGCAATGTCCGCCATGGCATCCTTGGGCTCAGTTGTAGGTAGTCTTCTCGGCGGCTTCGTAGGATCGACTCTTGGTTGGAAGTGGGTGTTCTGGATACCTGCCATTGTCTCCGCCTTTACTACTGCTGCTGATTTTGTTGTCACTGCTGGTAATGCCTTGAAATGCGTCACTAAGAAAACAACCGAAAACGGTGGGGGTAATAAGAAGCCATACGTAGACTGGATTGGAGGGGGCTTCATATCGTCCAGCCTCACCTTACTTCTTGTTGCCATCACGCAGGGCAATGTTATCGGTTGGTCAACATCCTGGATATCACCATTGTTAGTTGTGTCTTTACTACTTTTTGGAGGATTCATTCTCTACCAGCGCCGGTTAGAAAAAGACCCTGACCGACTACCTCTCATCCGTTTGTCAATGTTCAAGAAGAAACAGTTTTCAGCGCTTTTTGTGCTAGTCGGTTGCTTCTACGCATCTTTCAATGGATTTCTCGTGTTTGTTACCTACTTGTAAGTGCCATCCACTGCTCGTAGCAGTTATGTTCATTTTATTAATTTTCATTAGCTATCAGAAGTACCAAGGGCTTAATGAGTTGCAGACAACACTTCGATTTCTTCCTGCTGGAATATCAGGCCGTGAGTTCGGCTGTTTTGTTTCGTGACTGAGTTATTATTTTTGTAACGACAGTCACTAAAGTCCTCATATCATTCGCCGTCTTTTCAGCGCTTAAACACCTTTCGGCCTTAACGGTGCTTGCCTTCGGCCTTTCATGCAGCGTTACATCTCCATTTCTCTTCGCTTTACCTTCAATCTCTCCAGTTACTACTTACTGGGCATGGGGGTTCCCAGCAATGTGCCTCTGCATGAGTGTTGAGATTGTTTGGCCTGTGTTCAGTCTACTTACAGTTAAATCCCTACCGCAGGAGGATCAGTCTCTAGATGGTGGATTCTTACAGACAGTTAACAATGTTGGCCGAGCTTTAGGATTAGCAATTGCCACCGCTATTCAGGCTTCTGTTACAGGGAGTACAGCAGATGAAAAGGGATCGGGGGCTTACTTACAAGGCTTAAGGGCCGCGCAGTGGCTTAACTTTACACTAGCCGTTACAAGCTTGTTAGTAGCTTTGTCCTTCTTTAAAGGTTTGGGCAAGACGTAATATCTTATAACTATTTAGCACAGTGTAAGAAATAATACAGTAATAGCGTCATTGTACGATCTAATCATTACGCCAATCTAGTCTGAATATAACGCATTGTCATCCCCTCCACTATCCGAGTTCGTTCCTTGTTCAGGCTCAGACATGTCCTCTGGCTCTGGTTCTGGTTCTGAGTCGTCAGGTTCTGGATCCGATTGCTCTTCTTCTGGACTCTCGTTATCTTCCCCCTCCAGACTCTCGCTAGCTTCCTCCTCTGGACTCTCGTCATCTTCCTCTGGACTCTCGCCAGCTTCCTCCTCTGGACTCTCGCTAGCTTCCCCCTCTGGACTCTCGTCATCTTCCTCTGGACTCTCGCCAGCTTCCTCCTCTGAACTCTCGTCATATTCCTCCTCTGGGCTGTCCTCAGGATCATCTTCTGATAAGTGACTTGATTGGTGGTCTGATCTATTATCATCGTCTGAATTCTGGTCTGAGTGTGACTTAGTTTCAGCGCTCCGATCCGAATCTTGAGCCGCCTCGCTGTAAGTTTCATGTCCCGAATCCTCTTGACTGGATTCAGCATTCAGATCATCCTCGGCATCGTCTTGCATATCCTGTCCAGAATCTGCACTGGAACCTTGATCCGAGCCTCCTTTGTCTGATTCATTGCCAAACTCGTGATCCGAGTCTCCTTTTTCTGATTCATTGCCAAACTCGTGATCCGAGTCTTCTTTTTCTGATTCATTGTCAAACTCGTGATTCGAGCTGTTATTGTCTTGGCCTTGGTCTTCTTGGTCGTCGTCTTGATCTTCATCCTGGCTAAGCACCTCAACTCCGGCACTATGATGTGAGATTGTGTCTGAATAATCATTCAGAGCAAAATCGTCTTGCTGATTTTCATCGCTCTGATCTACAAAGCCTTCATTGACTGAATGTCCATCTTCCGAGCCGGAACCTGCACCATTGTCGAAGGATTCCTCTTGACCTTCACTGTCATGATGTTGAACATTTTCCTCATCGATTTCCCCATCTTCAGAGCTTTGCTTGTATGAATGGCCCTCCGTAGCCTCGTGCGATGATTCATTGTCCGAGTTCTCATGGCTTTGAAGTTGCTGTTCTTGCAGATCATCCTCAACATCGGATGCGCTAGATAGATCTCCATGTATGTCACCGTGTTGGCTTAAGTTATCTAGTGGCGAGCCATGTCCAGAAGCCTCCTCGTCATCACTACCTGGAAGAGAAGCGGTACTGTGGACGCCCTCAATATCGCTATCTTCATGCTCAGGATGTTGATGACTGCTAGATGATCCTTCGAACTCATCGTCCGAGTGCCCCGCAGGATATTCACGACTACCATTGGAATCGACGCTTTCTGCATCGTTTGCATCAGAGAACGAACCCTCATTAATAGCTGTAAGGGAGCCGGTTAAAGCAGCTGCGCCTACAATACCAGCCCCGGCTACAAAAGCGGTGCCGGAAGGCAACTTCGACGATGTAGAAGGCTTTTGTCCCCCAGATGAAGATAACCCACTTCCGTCCAGCCCACCTCTGGATCCTTGGATGGGGTCTGAGATATCGCTTGCCTGGACTGGAACGTTTTGTACTGATTGTACTGTAGGTTGTCCATAGTATCCTTCAGCAGATCCGGATCCTGCCACCGTGGCTTCTTGAGACCCGCTTGAGGGTATTGTTGACGACGGATCCGTTCTATTTACATTTACAGAGCTCGGATCAAATTTGGGGTCAGACAGAGACGTTTCTGTGGTTGGTGCTACTGCAACAGTAGCGGTTGCCGTAACCTCAGTTGGAGAGATGATGTTGCCAGCAGATGGCCCTGAAACTGGTTGGGCTGGGGAGCTTTCGTCTCCTGAAATGTTCCCTTGGATATTTACTGTTCCAAGAAGTTGTGGAGTCTCACTAATTGGCTGTGTATCAGGTTGGCTTTGTACCTCACCGGTGTTTTCAGCAAAAGAAGGATCTTGTGTATTTGGGCTGGTTGCTGAATCTGGCAACTCTTGCGCTGGTGAGACGGGCTGGGTTGCGCAGGCGACTGTGCGTTGCATCTCAGTCTCTGGTGTGTTACTTCCAACAAAGCTGATCGGCGCAGCGCTGTTGTTGACAGGTTGAATGGTGGTTTGGGTAGATTCTGTTGGGATATTGTCAACGGGACCATCCCCTAGATGCTCTCCAGGATGCTCTCCAGGATAGTCTTCTGGATATCTTTCTGGGTACTCTCCAGGATGCTCTTCGGGATATTCTTCTGGATATCTTTCTCGGTACTTTCCATGATACTCGCCCGGATGCTCTGCTGGATGCTTGCCAGGATGCTTGCCAGGATGCTTGCCGGGATGCTCGCCTGCATACTCTCCTGTTGAGCCGTGGCCACGTGACCCGTGTGCATTGTGCCCATATCCGTGAGGTTGATTTGTATGTAATTTGCTTCCTAGTTTCTTGTCCAGTTTCCTTTGGGGCTTACCATACTTGTGGCCATCAAGCTTCGTCTTGGGCTGCTTGTGGTGAACGTGGTTGTGATTGCCGACAGTCGTGGAAGACTGGTGGTCTCTGCGAGATGAAATGTACTTCGAATGAATCCCTATACTGCCGGTTTTCGTTCCAGGCTGCGAGCGGGTAGCCTTAACTCTGTGCTTCATGTCTTTTGAGAATTTGTCTGTGTACGATCGGCCGGACTCTTCAGCCTTGGCTTTCGTTGCCACATTCTGAATTTCTTTAGTCCATTCTGACAAACCTTCTGTCATAGGCTTTATTGAGGATGCTTTGTCAGATTTGAACTTGACTGAATCTTCCGCTGAAGCTGGCTTGGGCTTCTTCCCCGAGGAAGGCTTGGCTTCCAAGATGTCTTTCATTCCCAATGCCGAGCCAAGAGGTAGTTTGGATGGCTTTTTGTCTTTTGCATCTGGTGAGAATAAAGCTATGATGGGGTCTTCCTTCTTGAGCGCCTTCTTAGTTTTCAAACCCGAAAGCGTTTCTGATTTATTGAGTGGCTGTGTCTCTCGGAGCAAGGTCTCTAGTGGAAGTTCAGGGGCCCTCTCGGCGTAAATGTTGACTGTTTCAGCTCGTCGCTTGTAGTCTGAAAGTTTGGAGAGAGTCGTAGTGCCATTGAAGGAAAGTGGATCATGGCTGTACCAACTCCTTGTGTAGGTCGAAACAAATCTAGTTTGGGAAGAGCTTCTCTTGGACTGTTCTACAGCCTTTAGTAGGGTAGGCATCTCCTTCGTCACGCCAGCGGGCTTGGATTTGGATGACTTCTTCCTCGACGAATCCTTCGATGTTTCTACAGCCTTCGGTTCTGCATGCGCCTCTTTGAAGTTGATGCTGGCTGGTCCCTCTTTTGGTGATTTGGTCTTAGGCTCAAGGTTTTGGATTCCAGGGCTTGGCTTAGATAGTAGAGACAAGATCGAGCCTGAAGCTGATTCCTTGCCCTGACTAGTGGCGGTCGTCTTCGTCATGGAGTCAATTTCTTGGATGCCACTTTTAGTAGCTTCAACAGCGGCGTTACTTGTCTTGCTAACAGCACCAACAGGTTTTCTGCGAATTGAAGGATAAGGCTGAGTCAGTGGCACCACTGGAGAGGCCAAGTTTGGCCTCTCTTGCTCTTGTGGTGTCTTCCACTCTTCGGTAGCCGAAAAGGTAGGCTGAGGTACCGAAGGGGAAACCATTTTTGGCGATCCTCCAGCTTTCGCAGGCTTAGAATCTACTTCGGGCGGTAGAGTAGTTTTGGATTTGACTTTCTCTTTGCGAGGAGGATAGATTTGTTCCTTCGAGCTTGTCGGACCATGGCCATTTTGATTTGCATCAGGCTCAGCGACAAATGCAAGCTTAGGAACACTCACTGTCCCGTCAACCTGCTTTCTCGGGTTTAGAGATACAGCTTGTGCGCTTGTGGTGTCTTCTGGATGATTCGACTTCCGAGGCTTCTCCCTCTCACGTACCTCTACCGCACCCGTCGATGTTTTCGGCTTCGACGGCGGATCTTTTTTGGAAGTTGGTTTCGGAGCTTTCGCAACTGTTTTCTTGTTGTCTCTGGGAGCTGAGATTGCTTCCACAGTTGGTGCCGGCATAGCAATGCCGTATTGCCAGGCAGTAGCCGAGTCGGCTAAGGCATTCCGTTCATTAATGGGCGACCATCTGGGAGCGAGATGTAGCTGATCTATGTAAAATGGCTTTTTCTGCGACTTGATCCATTCCCATGCAGTTGTCGCCACTGGTGATGATGGCAGGGGAACAATGGCGGGGTCAGATGCACCACCTCCAATCTTGCGCAAATTGATGAAATGCTCTGCTTGGCCACTCGTGGAGAGCCATTTTCGGGGAGGACTATTCAATTTTGCATCTTCTCCTTTGGGATCAGGCAGGAAAGACCAGAAGTTGAAGCCAGAGGGGACAAATAACTTCAAACAGTCTGAGCAAATGTTCTTTGTGTCAACGTAGAAGATGATCAAATCTGGGTTGTGTGATGAAAAGAAAGCCAAACGTTTTGGATAACACTGGACTTGCGAATCTCCCACGGAACAGATCAGGTAATGCGGACAGCCTAAGCCATATCCTGAGAGCAAGGAGGCCACATGCTCCGCCGAGCCCTGGACAATGTACTGGCTCATAATAAGCAATTATTGGGGTAAACAGGACTTGTTGCGGTATCGCGATGGGTCGAAGAATTAAGCGATGAGCCATATAGCATATCGATTATTTCTGAGATGGACATATTTGTAAAAACGAGTTGGAAGCTTCACACAGCCGGTGCGAAAGACGTTGGCGGATCGGTTACCCGTTGAACTAATTTTATCCACCTCAGATGATACCCTAAACCGAGGTGGTATCAGGCTGCAGTAGCCATCATTACTGAGACAAATTTCTTAAACTATTGAATTGGCGCATATGCGGGAATGGCAGGCAGAGGCTCATGGGCACAGTTTACCAGATCAGGCTCGCACTCTCAGCCTCAAAGGTACATACATCGACCCCACGAGTCGCCTAGCCACCTTCCTGAAATAGTAAAGATTAACAATATGAGGTCCGATGACTGAAGAAGCACATTGAGCTTGATTTTGCGGCTGAATTGTCTTGCCTTGATGTAAGGTTCTCGTCAAGTTGTACCGACTGAGGGTTGTGTTGGAGGGATACAATGGAATGGGGGGCCGAGACCGTGGCAAAAGGCGCTCTAGACCAGCTCGTCATTTGCCTGGAGCCTGATGCCAAATAATTGGTAAATCTGGCTAGTTAGGGTTGAATTGGTTGCAGGGAGGAGCCTGTTCTAGAGCTGCTTCAAATTGCGAGGTCTATGCCGTGTCAATCAAGCCAAAAATAGCGTGACCAATGCGAGAAGGACCTGTTTTTGTTTTATTTTGTTTTGTTTTCCTGGACTTCGTTATCTCCTGTCTGATCTAGCGGCAAATTACATTGCCTCTTGTCTTATCAAAACTTTCCTTCATTCTGAGGCTCTCCGGGCTTCCAGTCAGATTCTCCTTCACCATGATGTCGTTGCCTCCCTCCCCACCCCTCAGCGAGTCTATGTCCCGTCGGGTGAGTTCAATGCAATTCACACCGACAAGACCAACTGCAAATGACACCCAACGCTGCCATCAGCTCATGTCGCAACACAGAATCAAGAACAACAAGACGCAATCAGTACCGTTCACCATCAAAGACGCGAACCCCGTACTCGCTGCCATTTGTCGTGGCGAGATTCCCGATGCCACTCCCGAACTCGTCCGCGCCTTGTTCGAAGCCGGAGCCGACGTCAACGTTGAACGGTACAAAAGCACGAGCTTCTTCAAAAAGCTGCAGGACGTCAACCAACAGGATGTACGAAACCATGTCCTCCGGGACGCAGTGAAGAACTGCCCCGGAGAGATATTCTATCTACTGGCCGAAAAGGCCGATGGCGAGGCCGTCAAGGAAGCCCTCCCCATAGCAATAGCGTCGGGCGATGCGAACAAGACATACATACTGCTGGCTCGTGGTGGCGATGCTTCACCTCTTTGTGACGCCTTTCTAGGGGCTGTCGAAACTGGTCCAGTTGACCTGGTCGAAATGCTTCTCCGAGATACCAACGGAGCATGTCAAGCATGCCGCGATCAGGGCCTGGCAAAGGCGATTGTCGTTGGGAGTTCACCAAAAGCAACTGTATTACTCAACAAAAGGGCAGACCCAACCGCCAACGATGGGGCCGTTGTGCAGTCAGCCATTGAAGCCGGACTGGAAGATGTCGCAATTCTTGCGGTATCTGTCGGGCAGAGCAGGCTATCGCCAGCATGTTTAGACAAGACTCTAGGATTGGCATACAGCCACAAGCAGTTCGGAGCTGTGCTGGCTTGCGGTGCTGCTGGAGCGAAAGGATCCAACACCAATGCCACTCTAGTCAGTGCGGTGTCAAGTATACAGCCTAGCTTGGCGGACAGCCTCCTCCAATATGGCGCCGACATTGCCACTGATAACGGCGCTGCAATCGCAGCTGCGGTGCGCACGAGGGATCCCGCCATGCTCGCACTTGTGCTTCGCTACAAGCCGCCGCCACAAGTTGCCATACAGGCTATGGTGCAGGTTGCCCGGCTTCAAGACCTCGAGCTTGCGTATCAAATGATTGATCAACTTCTTGTTGCGGGGGTTCGTGGTGATTGTGTCTCCCAGGCTCTAGTCGCAGTGTTGGACAGAACCCAAATGCCAGGGGATGACCATCGACGCTTGGAACTTGCTCGTCTACTTCTCCTCAAAGGGGCGGCAGATATTGACTGGACCCGAGGTCAACCAGTTGTCACAGCCATACTCTCTCAGCAAACTAGTGCAGTTGGTCTGTTGTTGCAACACCGGCCCTCACTTGACACGCTAGAAAATGGCTTGGAACATGCCGTCACCATCCAAGATTCCGATACAAGACTGCAAATCACGAGATTACTCCTGGGTGCTGGTGCTGGTGCTGGTGCTGGTGCCTCCGACTCCTCGAGCCGTTTGGAGCGCATTGCTTTCATCGCCGCTGCAAAGGAACTGCACTTGGACCTGATTGAGTTCTTGGCGCCCATTTCCCATTCTCCACAAGCCCTCATCATCGAAGCCTTTGTCTCAGCGACATCTAATAATAGCTGGTCTAGTCGCCGCGGTCTACCGACCATACAGGCCCTGCTGCGACGTGGCGCTTCGGGAGAGCACGTCGATAATGCCTTCTGCGGAGCTGCCAGTCAATGTAACCTCGAGGCATTCAATTTGTTGTTGCCTATGGTCAACCGTGATGCTCTACCGAGAGCCTTTGAAGCCATGACCACGGGATCTGCAAACTGGCAGTCTGATGAAAACTTGGAGGCTGTCAACTCGCTACTTGAGGCGGGCTGTAGTGGTCATCCAGTCAGTACAGCGCTCATATCGGTCTTGAACTCATATGTCAACAAGAGGGCATCGGAAGATTTGGTGGATACTCTGCTTGAATATGCCGACGTCAATTTCCAGCATGGTGAAGCTGCCAATATTGCCGTCCGAGCTGGCGACGTCATTCTATTGAAGAAGTTGGCAGAGTACCACTTGAATAGCGATACACTCTCTAGATCTTTCGCGACGGTGTTGATGACGCCACTTGAGGAATCTGTCGCACTCGCCTTGATAGAGGCGATTCTCGAGGCCACCAAAGCTTTGGGGAACAGGATTGACTTGGAAATGTGCTTACCATTATCCGGCCTCTCCTCAGTCGCTGCCTGCATATCTGCTCACTCTCAATCTGTGCTTTTGATCAAGCGGTTGCTGAAACTTGGCTGCAGCCCAGATAACCAGTTCTTGGCATCATTGAGTCCTGGGTTTGGCGAAGAGTCGACTACAGCATTACTATGGGTCATAGCCCAAAGCGATGCCATCTCTGTCGACATTCTCAAAATCTTAATCAAAGCTAAGGGTAAGCTGGTCTAAATCCCCCTTCCCCACCAAAAAAGAATAATTCCTAACTCGAAAGCAGCAAATATTGACTATGTCGCACCCAAGTCAAGATTAACGGCATTAATGCTAGCAGCTAAAGCACATCGACATGACGTGGTGAGGCTATTGCTTAAGGCTAATGCCAACCCCTTGCCGCGCGACTACCACGAGGAGACCGCTCTGGTATTTGCATCAAGAGCAGGGGATCTAGCTTCCGTCAAGAGTTTGATCAAGGCCAAGTCCAGTACTGATGACGGCAGTCTTCACGAAGCTTCTCGTAACTTGCATCACGACGTTGTTGCGGCCTTGTTGAAAGGCAAGCATAACCCAAACTATCCCAGCTATGCAAAGCGGCATAACGGACGGACAGCCATGCAAGAGCTCGCGTCCTGTGTTCAAGATGTGGGCGACATGCTTAGATTGGAGCAGACAATAAGAGCCCTATCGGATTCGAAAGCAGACCTTTTACTACCACATATCCCTAGTGGTAGAAAGAACTCTCTTTTTCTTGCGTTGAACAATCCTCAACCCATCTCCGTCACTAAGGCGCTGCTAAAAGTTGCCATGTGGACCCAAATCAACCATCCTGACAATGTCTACATTCAGCACCTGCAATCTGGCACTAAGTGGCACTTTTCTCCGACCATGTACGTCGTGAGTAGCTGCTTCACTGGTGACCATAATCATGTGGAAGAACTGAGGACCATGCTGTACATGGCCCAATGCCAAGATCGAAAGTTCCCCGAGTATGGCCCTGGCGAAGCCCATCAACTTCTCCCTGAAGACGTAGTGGGCGCCCCTCAGCATATTCTAGATAGAAATGCGAAGCGATTAGTAGACAAAGAGCTCCGAGAAAAGCGCGAGCAGGATCACCAGACGAAATTGCGCTTCATGCATGAAGAGGCTCTCCAAAAGGGATATATTCAGGACATGCATGTCAATCAGAAGCTGGAGCACGCCTCCCGAACACACCAGGTTGACCTGGTGAATCAAGTCGAGAAAACGGAGCTGCAGCAAGGCGCGATTGAACGAAAGAACGCCCTCGCAGCGGCTAGCCAGCAACAAGTCGAAGAACACAAGGCACGCAATGCTTATATTGACGTAACCACACAACAGACGCAGCTACAGCTGAAGCTCAATTTCCAAGAGCAACAGGCCAAGTCCAAGATTGGTCAGCAAAAGATGCAGAATGTTCTTGCAGACGAGGCTCAATCTTCCAAGCTCAGCTTCCAACAGCAACAGGCCAGGTCCAAGATTGGTCAACAAAAGATGCAGAACGTTCTTGTAGGCGAGGCTCAATCTTCCAAGCTAAAGTTCCAACAGCAACAGGCTAAGTCCAAAGTTGGTCAACAAAAGATGCAGAATCTTCTCGCAAACGAGGCCCAATCTTCCAAGCTCGCCGGCCAGAAGCGGGCGCAAGCCCTCAAAGCAGCTGGTGATCGGTCTGCCCAGGTATTGAAAGCCAGGGAACATAAAATGAAAATGGAAGAGACACGAGCTAAGCAAATGCTAAGGCGATAATGACCAAGGTATGGTAGCATCGCATGAGGAAGACTCGGAGGAGAACGTGGACTTATTTCATATGTATATCTGAACTGCTTGTGATAATGACGAAACGGATTGTCGCTGAAATAGATTGTAATCTTTCTTTAAAGGTCTCCTACTACTCCAGCTTTCGGAAGTGAAAGACGAAGAAGTACAGCTCTCGAAGCAAGAAAAACATGTACAGCAACGGGAAGAAGGCTAAAGACACTACAGTTACCACAACTACCAAAGGAACCACGGTTGTACCTAGTGTTCGGTAATAGTGGCCATCCGTCTCCAACCCAACTTGCATTGCACCTAAAATCACAGTGATGGCAGCAAGAGTGAACAACATAGGTCCGCCAATGCCTGCAAAATATTGGTCGTAGTGACCATTGATCTCAAGAAAACTTGTACCGAGAAAAAGACTGTGCCAGAAATTGAGACGTGTCAGGCGAATCTCCCCATACTGATACCGCTTGGCCACAGCCTTGTCGCTCATGTTTCTGAACGCTGCGATGAAGACGCACCAGGTCTCCCATGTGAAGGTCTGTGGAATCAGCCTTAACTGCAAGGCCAAATCGAAGTCGGACTCGTGCAGAATTAGCGCCGAGTAAGTCCGAAGGAATCCCAAAGCTTCGAGTCGGAACTGGTGCTCCGCCTCCAAATCAGGCCTGAGGTGCGCAGCCCAGAAGTCATGGCTGAGGAGGAACTTTGGCAAGGGCTTAATAAAAACGCGTTTGTGGTGCCAGACGAGGTGGTGGTCTGGGAACTCAGAAATGCAAATGTCTCGGCCCTTCACAATCTGATGGCGCAGGGTGCTGATGTTGCGGGGCCGAGACACGAGGAAGAAGAGCCTATGCAGTTGGTTCAACCCTTCAGTCGACAACTCCCGCTTTAGGAAAAGGGTCGCCTCGTCCGATTCAGCAAGTGTGACAGTGGGATAGCCTGGAACAGGTATGGCAGTATCGTGACCGAGGATCACGTTCTCTTCTAGCTTGAGAGGAGGATCGGCATCCATGATGGAAAAGAAGGCTCGGGGGAAAGGTTTGCTTTGTGAGCGTGGGTAGCAGCGTCGCATCTCACAGCGAAATGCGGCATAAATAATCAACATCAGTAGGCACCAAAATGTCTGTCCATGCAGTGAGAACAATTGTGTAATGCGTCTGCACGCTGCAGGAAATACCAACGCACCAGGGAACTGTTGTAAGGTGCATTTTGCCTCGCACAAGACACCTACTCGAACAACCATAATGAATGCGGTTGCACCAAGGAGCGCCATGCGTCTAATATTACCTCATCCTCAGTGTTGCATGGATAGTTGGTTGCCCGATTTGTTAGCATTGTGTGAGTGGGACTGAATGCTACTCCTTGTCATGTATACAGTAAAACTGGTAATCTCGCCCACTGGGTTGCATTGAAATCGATCCTGACGGTAACAGGCTGTGCTTACAACAATCTCATTCGGTGCCTGTTTGAGTCAATGTTGGGGGCGGGGCCTGCAGTCAACACGGCACAGCCCTCAGCCGCAGGATTCTGGACTAGTCGAGACACGAGCCTCGAAACCTTGATCCAACCAACTCGCTATTATCGCGCAGAAAGCCTCCCTGCTTACATGTCTTTCCTGTCGTGCGGCTGAAAGATCACCCCCTGATCTAAGAAGGCTATCTGAGACTGTCGCGTTCAAGCATTAACTTCAACTATTGTAAAAGACGCAGCTTTTCCGTAATTTAGGCATATTGACCTATACTCACACATCTGAATTCCAAAGAGGTATCCCACATTTGTACTACCTCAAGTGACTGCGACTGGCTAAGACTCCATTGCACATCAGCTGCCGATTCTCTTTCGTTCCCATCTTTATATTCGGACCCAAGGTTTGATCAAGGCAATCAGATACTGTTTCCCCGAAAATATGAGTTCCCAGACCGAATTGACCATGCAGGAAGCTCAACCTGGGTTGGAGAAAGCACACGAAGCGCTTCCCTCCGAGCCAAATGTTGATGGCAAGTTCCCTGACAAGATTCCAGTCGACAAGGCACCCGTATCAACAAACCAAGACGTTGAAAGCAAGCCATCCAAGACGCAGCAGGTCATCGCCGGCCTGGTCAAGATCAAACCGCAGGATCAGGGCCTGAAAACATACTACACACCGCCACAAGGACAAGACACAAATGTAGAGTAAGCATCCCTTCCTCATCCACCTGTTCACAACAGCCGCTCATCGCCTGCAGTATTGTGGCTGTTCACGGTCTGGGCGTGAACCCAAGTGACACGTGGAATCACCATGCGTCAAAACGTAATTGGTTGAGCGACAAAGACATGTTGCCGTCGGAGCTCCCAGAAGCTCGAATTATGAGCTATTGCTACGACTCGCAGTGGATCGGGGATGACGCTGTGAAATCCAGCCTCGAAGGCGTGGCGACGAAGCTTTTGAGAAGCCTTGGTCATGAAAGAAAGGTATTGGAAAGAGTTACAGCTACCTTTTTCCACTGGTACTAATGCAATTTTGACATAGAAATGCTCCGACCGCCCGATCATATTCATCGGACATTGTCTTGGTGGCCTTGTCATGCAGCAGGTAAGTCTAATGCTAAGTCATGGGACCATATGGGCTAATCCTCGGTAGGCGTATCTCAGTCTCCATCTACAGCCGGAGGACTGGCCCAACCTTTCCACAGACAATGTCAACGGCATGGTCTTTCTTGGCACACCTCACCATGGTGTTGCGGATGGTATTCTCTCAACGCAGGGGCAGATCTATCAAAGTATTCTTGCCAGCAAACTTCACGTGGAGCCAAACATTCTTGCATCGGTAGAACGCAACAGTGATGTTCTGAAAAGTGTAGTTCACAACTTTACCCGACGTATTCATAATGTTACCAGACGTCCTGAGATATTCTGCTTCTATGAACAAAGAATCACCAACGTCGGAGCAATTGTTGGCTTGAAAACACCAGTATGTCACTCTAGGGACTCCTCGCGATTCGCAGACTGATTCGTTCGAATAGGCATTCCTTGTCGATGAGACATCTGGCACACTAAGCGGTCATCAGAAAGAGGAGCTTCCGCTCGACCACTTCTCCATGAACAAGTTTGAGAATGATCAAGATAACAACTATCAAAGCGTAAGCAGAGAGGTTGTTCGGATGGCGCAAAAGAGTGTAGAGATGAGCATCAGAGGTAAGGCAGAGCCCAAAATGTTACTCCCGTATGGAAGCGACACAAGCGGGTTTGAATACAGCACTGGTGTGTTTCCGGGTCGTGTCTTTCAGCTCTCCCCTATCTTTGCTGAACAAGAATATCGACATAGGGGGGGGGGAGAAGCTGAGATAGACCATGAATGAGACTATATCCGTTTTGAACTATTACATGGAAGTTTATCTAACATCTGGACTTGGTAATAGTAAGCTATGCAGGAGCCAAACTTGACCGCGGGCGCCCGATTCCCGCTCTCCCCGCCCCTATCGCAACCGAAGATAGATTCGCTCCGCGCGGTGGATTGCTTGAGAAGATCGCGCAAAAGTTCGAGTCTAGTGGACGAGTCGCTCTTTACGGGCCAGCAGGAACCGGGTAAGTTACCTAGTGTGGTTATCTTCGAAATACTTAGTGACTCAGAGCTTCCAGTAAGACTCACGTAGCATTGGAATATGCATATAGTTATCGGAGAAAATACCCTGCTTGCCACATCCTCTGGGTCAATGCTGGAACGGCAGAGCAGTTTGAATGCTCTTTCAAGCGCATTGCTGAAGACCGCCGCCTCGTTAGAGACGGCATGGAAATGAGTATGGTACTCGAGACAGTCTGGAAATTCCTCCGCTACGAGTCGAGCGGCCACTGGCTTATGATTCTTGATGGCTTGCAGGATGAAGCGTTACTGCAAGCCACAAGTGTACAGCACGCTGGAAGGTCTCTGCTTGAATTCATCCCCAACAGTGTCCTCTCAAGTGTCCTTATCACAACACAATCCAAGAGTTTGTCTTTGCGTCAGGTTGGAAAGCGGTCTGATAACTCAACAGAGATGCCAAAGCTCAGTGAGAAGGACGCCTCAATCCTCATGCTGGGTAGAGTTACCAAAGATGCAGACCGTAACAGATGGATCAAGGATATTGGCAAGGCACTGGACGATCTCCCTATCGGTTTTGTCTTGGCACAAATCTACCGAGAGGAAGTTCGGCCGTCGATGAAGTCTCGAGAAGTCTTGAAAGCAGTTGAAGCCCAGGCTGGCGAAAAGCGTCCAACTGCAAGAGTGTGGAACTTGCTCTTGGACCTTATGAAGCAGCAGTATCCAGAGTCTGTGGATCTGATGCTAATGATAAGTGCAATCGACCTACAGAGTGTTCCTGGAACACTCTTGGATCGGGCTCAGACCTCAAAACAAATACCTGTTTTAGTGAGATACGGCATCGTCGAGCCCTCAACGGATAAGCGAGTCTACCACATCACAAGTGCCATCAGAGTGTGTGTTAAGGGCTGGCTGGCTAAGCATCCCGACCATAAAGTCGCAATTGAGGAGCTTGCGCTTTCTGTTGTGTGCGAAAGACTGACGCCCGAGACAGGTGAGGGTCTTCTGCCTTGTGCATTAGCCCTCTTGAAGTGGGAGTCTCACTCTAGCGCCATGCGGGAAAATATGGTCAAGCTACATCGCGCCGTCTTTGAGCACTACAATCGCTCGAAGCAATTTTCACAAGCTCTAGGATTTCTAAAAAAGTGTATGAAAATACTGGAGGCCGATCCTAATATCAAAAATAGAAAAAGCATTATGACACAGACAAAGAGGGACGTTGATCATGTCAGGAAGGCCCTAAGAAGGGAGCCTCAAACAGTAGCCCAAAAACCCAACACAAGGAGCCTCACCAACATGCAAGCCGACGTCGATAAGCTGAGCACAAGCAATGATTACGGCAAAGACCATGAGGAGACTATTGGTCGTATAAGTGAACTCGCCGGCATGCAACTAGCGCGGCGCCAGGAACGGGGCTCAAACAACACAGTCGACCTATATAATCGTATCTTGGACTGGCATCAAGCCAAAAGAAAGGCCGACCATATAGGCACAGCCCGTCACCAGTGTAATCTGGCGTTGGCGTACGATGTTAAAGGAGATTTCGACAAAGCCGAGAAGATGTATCATTCTGCTCTCAGTGAGGGACTGAAAGAACAAACTCGCGAGGCACTGGTATTGCGATTCCGAATCCTTGGTAACCTTGTCTGCTCATATGGTCGCCAAGGGCGATTAGAAGACACGCAAGAAGTGCTGCAGACTCTTTTGCCAGAACAGATAGAGATCCTTGGATGGGATCATCCGGACACACTCGTAACAAGGCATAGTGCTGCTCTTTTGCTACAAGAACATGGATCAATTGATGTTGCAGGCAAGGAGCTGCGTCGCATTCTTGACGCCCAGAGAATTCTGCTTGACCCAGATGATCCAGCTTTATCGCGAACCGCGTGCAGTCTGGCCTTGAATCTGAGATTACAGGGGCATCCTCTGAAAGCGAAGAAGCTTTTCAAAGAAACACTCAAGACACAAATACAGCTTCTTGGAGAGGACCATATCGATACAGCTAAGACAAATCTGATGTTGAAAGAATTATTACATGCTGATGCAACCCTACAAACGGAACTTAGTTAGAACATTGCTGTAATACTAAAAGTTAAATATCAGCTAAAAGGAAAGCATGTGTCCAGACTATGGGAAGTATTTTCCTGTCTATTGTCCTACGAATAGACTTCTTCCTTTCTACTTACCAATTGTTATACTTTGTTAGGCTTACTGGTTCTAATAAAACGAAAAGACCGACAGGACGATTGCAAAGCCTAGATGACACGCCTAAAATCCTGCGAGACGGCAAAACAATTGTTAACAAGTTAGCCCTCATCTAGCGTTGTATAACATCGTTTTATTTAACTAAACAGGCCAGATAGCAAACCTATAAGGAAAATATTACTATAGCTGGTGAACTAAATCAATGTCTTTACAATTTGCCTTGTACACTTACTACGTAGAGCTACAGTAATTAATCCTGAGGGTCTGAAAGGACTGTCTCTCGTAACGTATCAGCCTAGTGGGCGGCCCGCCCTAGAGGCCCCGAAGATACACGGATCATCCACCAGGATATTAACCCCTTAGCGCTTACGTAGTACACACGGCTCCTGACGGACTGGGTATAGAGCGGGGCCACTAGATTATCTAAGGTTTAGCTAACTCGCTTGAACACATACTCTGAAGGTTAGCCTTGCAGCCTTGACAGGGAACTTGGAGCCGGCTGCCGGGGAACGGATAGCTTACTCCGCCCGCGTAATAATCGTTTCTTAAAAAGGCTAGGTTTTTACTGATGGGCGTTCTAGCATTACTTGTCACTTACGAGTCCCCCGCTCAACGCTAGTTATAATTAAACTTGCGATTGCCCTCTCTATTCTTACTTCATCCGTTTGCATTTCATCTTCTACCAGGCACATTCAGTATGCCACGAAGAACAGCAGGCCAGGTCGCTCAAAATCTACAACACCCTTTAAATGCGGCACCTCTACAGGCGGAGGTATGCACGACTCCGTAGGGATACGAATTTGGCTAATCCGATGATTCCAGAATATTCCTTTTCAAGTCAATGGATCCTTGCTAGGCTCGTAGGTACTCTAGTGAAATCGAGTCGGCCTGCTTTAACGCTACATAGCCGGGAATCGACTTATATGTCTTCTCTCCATTCTAGCATTCTAGACTACAGGTATGCCATGTCGACCAAACCTACACGCTTATCTAACACGACGCACAGATACGAGGTACGGTCAGCAGAAATTTCCCGCTTACGAAACCAGCTAACAGCACTTCAGAACGGACGCCGTTATCATGCCTACCGCGAGGGCGCTTATCCGTTTGTAAGCTGAGAAACAAGTTTGCCCAAGACCCAACTCACAATGCATAGCCCAATGATTACGAAGAGCAGGATAGAATGGATCTAGGACATCACATCTATCGTCTCTTACTAGGCGGGGAACTCTACCTCGCACCAATCAGAGATGATCTAAAGAGAGTGCTCGATCTGGGCACTGGCACAGGCATCTGGGCTATCGATTTTGCAGAGCACGTAACCCATATCCAAACAACGAGGAAGAATCGTTCCTGACTATTTGTATAGCGAGTTCCCTGATACAGAAGTTCTTGGAACTGATCTGAGTCCTATCCAGCCCCTATGGTATGAAAAACAGTCCAAAATGTCGACTGGGAACTTACGTCTGGTATTAGGGTCCCAGAGAACTGCATCTTCGAGGTTGATGATTTTGAGTCAGACTGGCTTTTCCACAAGCCGTTTGACTTTATTCACGCACGTGAACTCGGAGGTTGTATAAGCAGTAGCCGGCGACTGTTCAGACAGGCGCTGGACAATTTGGTTCCAGGGGGGTATTTTGAGATGCAGGCTGTTCATGCGGAGTTCAAGTCAGACGATAACACCATAGACAAGGCTGAATATGCCCTGCGTTGGATGAACGCTATCGTAGAAGGCTCGGTCAAGTTCGGCAAGCCGCTAAACTTTACTCCCAGATGGAAGCAAGAGATGGAAGAAGCGGGCTTTGTAGATGTTAAGGAGAAGATTCTTAAGGTAAGTATTCCCTTTTCTACTTAACCTGTTATACTAAGGATGTGAGAAGATCCCAATCGGCTCATGGCCTAAAGATCCTACGCTTAAAGAGATTGGGCAAGTCCAACTAATACAAGAAGCAAAGTTAATCGCTTCTTATACTCCGGGGATTTTCTCACGTATCCTCCACTGGAAAGAAGCTGAAATCCAAGTGTTGATGGCCCAGGTTAAGAAGGAACTTTCAAATCCTGATATTCATCTCTATGTTCCGGTTTATTTTATATGGGGCAGGAAACCCGAGTGAAACGGTAGGAGTGAAGGGTTAGATATCGAGGAATGGTTCCCCTTCTTAATACCTTGAAGATCTTGCAGGCATTAAGCTTGTAAGAGTACCGTTGACAGTATAAGTAATTTGTTTTCTTCTGCTTATCCGTGGAATTGATTGAATTGATTGAATTCTGTAGTGGTGTCAGAGTAGTTACTATAGAATTGTTGTCAATATGTAAAATAAGTGACTGAATCTTTTTAGCTTCTGAAAACAGCAGTCACTGTCTGTCTTCTATCCAAATCTACGTCCTGTTTATATTTCGGTTGATTACTATTACGCGTAATGAAGCTTTCGCGTAAATGGTCGAACGAAGACTAGGCGGTATCGTTCAGGAGAACAACACGTAAGCCAAACTCCGTGTACTTCAAGTTCATTATTTCCACTAGAAAGGCTATATCTAATAATGAAGTTCTATATAAAGTTTGCTTTACAGCCTACTACGCAGTAAAACCGGCTTCAATAACCGCAAAGAACGACGGTAATTACTTCGAATAAAGATTGCAAAATCGACATCCGCGAGGCTAACAAATGTACAATCATCTCGACTTCGAACACAGAGGACTCTCGCGACATCACGGCTTTGGCTCCCGTCCCTGTTACCACAGACCGCGGCATCCAATTGGATCTCCATTAAAGGGTGGAAAACTGTAACATGTCATCCGCATTGAAGTTAGTAACTATCCCACTGTTAAGAGCCTAACTTCTAACCCCAACACTTTCTTATCTGCTACTCAGGCTGGTAACGTAATTGTGGTGTATTATACTGTTAAGAACTAGAAAACTCTTTATAGGTTTAAAGACTAGGTTAAGCCTTAATCTCTTAAAAGAATAGCTACTATAGGTTAGTTACTCAGTATGTTTACTAAGTAATATTAGGGTTGATTTTAATTGCCGTGTTAATACCCCTTATCGCCGAAGGTAACTAATCAGTATAGTAAGTAAGGATAGGGTTAGGATAGTCGTTATATCTTAATAAAATTTCAGTGCCAGGTTAATACCACAGTTAAAAATCCGTAATAAATCCGCCACTATAAAAGATAATATATAAGTCAGATTAAATAATAGCCTATAATATAATTTACCTACTACCACTCATTTTAGGTATTTTAGATCCGTATTGTATATTTCTTTATACTTTCCTTCCCTTTCTTAAAGGTTTTCTAACTCTAGACTTAAGCATTACTCGGTACATACCGTTATAACCCTATAAGTAGCTTACCATTACGGCCAATCTTATTAAGAATAACTAAACGTATATCTCTACTATTCACTCTTAGCTAACCTTACTTTAAGCATTTATATTAGTACTTAATATTCTTAATAATTACTTTTCTCGATACCTAAATTTTTTCTATTTATTCTTAATAATTTTCTATATAGTACTTAACGTTAAAAACTATCACATTTTAACTAGATTTACTATTTATAAAGGTCCTAAAAGATATAGAAAAAATACCAGCTAGAATCCAGCCTCTTTTAATCCTTATATAGATAGTAACTATATAATATTAATATAAATAAAGGCCTAATAAATATTACTCTATTTAGCTTAATAAAACTATTATACCTTATATTAACTAGATATTATACTATTTAAATTGTATTATCCTTTATTAGTATATCTATCCTATATTTTTAGTGGCTAATATTAAAGACTAATAGTATTACGTTTAACTAAATGGTTGACCTACCAAACCAATAGAATATTAAATAACTAAATATATAGACCCTACTCTGCCCAACCCTGCCGATAAACTAACTAGGATCCTAGGGTTAGGAGTAAAGTCATATCTTATCTAAGAATAATAAGTCTAGAGATATAATATTATATTAATATTATAGCCTTCCTTATTTAGCCTAGCACTACTTTCTTTACCCCCTATTAACGTTTTCGCCCCTTTTAGCCCTATTATAAAGCACCCTAACAATCTATTTATAGACTTACTTCTTCTTCCCTCTCTCCTATTCCCTATCTACCTATCTTATCTACCTTCGCCCCTATTAACTCTTACACTTAGTCTTCCTTCCTCTCGCCATTTTCCTCTTCCCGCTCTTATATATATAATACCTATATATAGCATATATACTAACTTAAGTATACCACTTCCGCTTATATCTTATTATCTTCGTAAGGCAAGGTAGATAAAACCGACCGTTAACGTCACTATAACGGCATTATTATACCTTTTTAAGCTTACTATTAGTTTTTTTTTTTTATACTTCCTTAACGAAATATAAAATATAAAATATAACATAACAGTTAGGTTTCCTAAGGAATAAACTAGACCGTTTTAAGTTTATATTAATAATAATTATAGGATAAATCTAAGTAGATATCTTTACTATCGCTTAGACTATATCCTATAATCCCACTAAAATATATCCAGTACTAACAAGTATATTACCTTAGAAACACCGCCTATTATACTTACCTTATCCTTTATATTATATACCATATAGATACTATAAATAAGGCCCCGTTAATAATAACTTAATAGCCTTATCTATATTAAGGTATTAAATATATATAATAAAGATATATAAAAGATAGCCAACAACTTATATATTACTATTACTATTTAGGTTCTTATATTAATTAGTAATACAGGTTAGGCTAGGTTTACCTAAGGAATATATATATAGAAATAGGTAAAAAGGAAGGCACGGCTTAAGAGATCTAAGCGGCTTTTAAGTCGCCCTTTCTTATATACCTATAGTACTAATATTAGATATTACCTTAACCCCCTCTATAACGACCGTTAATTACATTATAGCCTCTATCTAGAGACTTATAGTTAAGTTATACTATTATTCTAAAATACCTTAACTTAGGAACTATTAGGAGTTTAATTCCTTTAAAGTAGGATTTCCTCTGGCTTTTACCTGTCGGAAATATAGATATTTATAGCATATCTCTATATAAAAATACTACTAAAATCTTAAACTAATAAAGACTATATAAATCGCTAAAGTAAAGATTAAAAACCTTAATACTAAATATTCTTATAGGTTAGTTACCTTAATAAGGTATTACCTATATTAGGTATTTATAAATATATTACGTATTAAAAGCTATTATAATATTAATAGGTAGGTTATGATATACGTAATATAGTACCTAGACTTAACGATCTTGCCTATATACTATAGGATGGTTACTTAATAGTATTATATAAGGTCGACCTGCCGTACTGGTAGATTAAACCGCTTTATAACTAATATTTATATAATACCTTCCTTATTTTTATTTAAATAAGTAGATAATATATTACTCTTAACTTTTATATTATATTTATGCCTTTAAGCTAGTATTATTATAACCCTATTAACCTTAATAATATTTTCTTTTTCTCCCCTATAACTCCTAGAAAATCCTAATACAATACTCTTAATTACCTACTCCCTTTATATTAACTCCCTTTATTATTATTAATCCCTCCTTTATATTCCTTACTATTCTCTAATATATAATATGCACCTCATGCGTATTCACCTTGCGAATCAGACAGAGATAGGGTCATGTGTAGTGTTGGGAGCCCTGGAGAACTGCCCGGCGATGTCGTCTTTGTTCCGCGCAATTCCCCCATGCTTTCTGATGTGGCACATCCCCTGTTCCAATCAAGCTTTGAACATGAACTGATTCATCACTTTATCAAGTTTTTCTTCCCCTCTGTAACCCTCACAACAAGCGATGACGCGTATGTTTCGCTATGTCTACTGGACTTGACCAAAATGATGTCGCAAGGCAGAGCCGTCAAACATGATGTGTTAGCTAGTTGTGCTTTGAATAAGCGCTAAATGCTGGTAAGTAACCGATACCGCCTGGTTGCCTCACGATACTGCTCATGAGCCGTGAGGGAGATAGACTTTATCTCTTATTATTTACTTTTGATTATTCTTTGTAGTCACCTGTGCCGGGAAAAAACGTGGCCTAAAGATACGGGAACCTTACTGAAGACATTGTCGAGCTCGTGTTCTGTCAAAGATTTGCTCCTGATATATCACTCCTTGGCCGTCAGTTTCTGTGTCCGATTTTACATCAAGGTCCTGTTTTTCTTATTGCGGATATATATCGCCGTTGACCATATTATATCTCTCTCTTAGATAGGTCAAGGTCTTTAAATCCCTATATTCTAATGGTGCGACTACATAACTTGAACTTATAATTATCAAATTAGTAAGAAAGAGTAACCAAACGTGTCCATAGCCAGGTCCCTATTATTAACTCTGCAATTTATCTCCTCTTATTTCCGAATAAGGACCTTAAGTAAAAGCGCTGCCCTCTTCCCATTTCTTATGGCGCAGTGGCCGATATAAAATAATGGTAAAATCTCTAGGTACTGATTCTGAGAAATGAGTCCCGGTCTTGCTCCCCCTAAAGCCTTTAGTTAGTTAACAGCCTAATTACGGCACTTATCAGTCTTACATTCCGCTCTGAAAAGGAATAACGGCCATATAAGAGCAGGGAGGACTATCTTTTTTAAATCTTTCTTATCCACTTCGCCATAAGAGTCCTTTATATATTGCCACGTCCTATCTACCGCGCCTATTATAGCTTCGGTAAGTAAAAAATACCACTAACAGACCCGGTAAAGATAGACAAACAGGATCTAAAAGCTAGTTAGATAAACATTTAAGACTTTATATATTTTTACTACTATATCGGGAGTAACTAATATGGAAAGTTCAGGCGTGGATAGGTATATAACGGATAGACATTACGTCTATAAGTCCTAAAGCTTACTTTAAATTTACTCCCCCTTAAGGGTAACTTTTATCTCTGTATAGGGGGTAAACCACTTACGGTAATGCTTATTAAGGGTATTTATCTAGTGGCAGTATACTTGCGTTTTTATATGCCACTTGATAGCCGGTTGTAAAATTGCTTGAAGTATAGTCTCTTTTATATTACATAGACTCCTCCCAGAACTAATAATATTACCACCTCTATATTTAGAGGTCTCTAATAGAGTACTCCAAGATAGTAATTAAGAGCCTTTATTATCCCTTAGTAAGCTACCTCTATATCTAAACTCTTTAAATTCGTAGTTAATAATCTATATTAGATATTAAGAAATAACTCGAAACGTATTAGATATTAAGACGGTTAGTCCGCCAAGATAAGAGACCTTACTATCAAAGAAGCTAAACTATAAGAGAAGCTGCCTAGAATACTAATTCCAGTCATAAGGGTTTATAATAATAATATCTATAAATTCACTAGGAAATATAGACTCTTTATTATATTTAATATGATTACGGAGAAGTTAAATCTACGCTAATATAAATATAGCAGCAAGCAAATTATCCATCCTAGAGCTACTATTAAATCGAGGTAGAGAAATATCCTATTTAATTATACAGATTGTAATCTTAAATAAATTCTAAATATAGTCTTAAAGGCCACCACTTAAGGTTATCGAGCCATTAATACTATCCCCCTCAAGGAGTTTATTAAGACCTAATAATACACTTATAACTGCGTTATTATACAACGCCAAATTTACCAGGTACTGCTACAGGAGTTGCCACTTCTTAATGCTTACTATTAATATACCCGTAGGTGGTTGTATAATCTTTCCAAAGACCTTGAAGGGGTGTTGGTGGTCTGACCTCGCAGAAGTGAATAATAAGCTGTCGAGATGAAAGCTTTCGCCTGTTTATGTCGATCTTGTACTCGAATTTTCTGGTCTCCAGAGATTTGCTGCATCATGAAAACTCCTTGGGTCCGGATGTTCAGATAGTATTGGCACCCTCGCACCAGCTATCACATCTGAGTCACTCCTTGGGCGAGATGAATTGGAGAACAGAGAGGTCGGGTTATCGTAAGCCTCAAGTTGCCCAGCCCAACTAAGGCAAACAGAGTCGACATCGATGGCCATGGTACTATTACACCACGAGATTGAGTCAAGCTCAGCTGCCCAATCATTCTCATCCCGTGGACTGATAAAGTAGCCATCTTTGTTCTGTAAAGAAAAGGCTATATCGCATGTTTGGGATGAATTGATGACCGAAGCTCCCGATGTGGTTGGGGAAGGAAGTAGTGTTCGTTGCTTTACTGGTCCTGGAGCTTGTTGCGAGCGATGAGAATAGTAGCACTGGAGCTGCAACCGATAACAAGGCTCACATGATGGAAACGCCTCATCGCATCTTACGTGACGTCTCTTACAAGTAGTGCACCCTAGTCGAGACCGAGGGGCAGCTCTCCCTGGAGTTAGTCGTCGATGTAAGGGTTTCCGAGCTGGCGGCGTCTTCGATCTGACCATGGCGTACAAGCAGACACAAAGCTAACATTTGACTGGAGTCCGACTATAATCGATTCACTGAGGGTTCTTGATATGTCAAATTCGGTCATGGTATCTGTCCTATCCGGGGGTATCTCGGGATTGGGACTAGAGAACTTCAAGGAAGTGACCCCGCATCTCAGCTCTGTTAAGCGATCTCCCTAGAGACCCGGCTATTTATTACCCATCCCTCCCTATACAGCCAATCATGTCTGAATTACATTGAATAGTAAACGTCTAATTACTGTTATCTAAGCACCATCATATGAGCTAGAAAAGGTGGCTTGATTATCATGATATGGGAATTGAAATGCCTTGATTGTGACTTGCTGTTTTTCCGACCACCCCAGTTCTCACAGCAACATTGACTGTGCCAAAATCGGCAAGAGAAAGATCCCTCGGCTTTAGATAGTGTACCGAATAGTCTGTCCTATGAAACAGAGATATTGAGAGCCAAGAACAGATCTACACAATGAGTAACAAGATAGTCCCAAGGAACAGTTTTAAAGGAGCTCAAGTACAGGCCAAAGAATTACAATAAATTCATTTAGTTTTCCTGAAATAAATACGACCCTGTATCTATATACCGAGACTTAAATCCTCCTAAGCTTTAAAAGTACAGTTAGTAATAACATATCAGAACTCATAACACACTGACCCCAAGTCTGGACATGTATTGTAAAGACTGACACGGGATAACCTTATGACACTATTTGGAGACTGAGTTATACATATGTTTGGCCTATCTTGGGCTATGGGAGGCGATCTATACTCTCTCTATCTGTCCGTTGCCTATATTTTTATGCCTTGGCCTCTTCCTTCTTCTCCTCTTTGTCGTTCATCGGTAGGCCAGGTATATCCTTAAAAATAGTAAAGCTCGAAGGAGTTTTCTTAAGAACTGGGAAATAATATCTACACTAAGGGCAGGTCTTACGTAAGACTGCCTACTCCTCGGCCAAATTGTACTTCTTATCCTCTACCTTATTGCAAATAGGGCAGACTTTAATAAGCCGGGTGCCGACGAGTTTAAAGTTAGTAATAATATCTTTTATAATTACACCATTTACGGCCTATACCTTATAGTGTTTATAATAAGTATTCTTATACTAATTATAGAGAGCCCCTCGGCTGGTCTAAAAGCTATATTTATTATACTAACTTCGATTATTAGGATACTCCTACCATATCAGATGTAAGAATCCAGGGAGTGTTATTAAGTGACGGCGGGTATTGGCGAATACAACCTATAATCTGTAAGTCCTTACTAAATAGAGTGCATACTCGGAGTATACCTTGAATTTCTTGTAAGTATCTAGGCTTAAGAACCGAACGCGTTACATGCTCAGGTAGATAGGCATTTTGTTCTTATTGATTGATGTGGGAATAGTTAATATGGATTTGGAAAGACAAGTACGGACCAATAACTAATAAATTATACAGTACTAGCAGAAATACCAGTACCTCTCTCGCGACGCATTTTGTTTGTTTCATATGGTATCGCAAAGTCAGGATCGAACTCATCATAAATAATGCCGGTGCCATATGCAAAGTGAGCATCGATCTTCCCCTCACGAACAATAAAGGGAGGCGGACCATCGCCATAGATATATTCCTGGACCTCTCTGTCGAGGCATACGTAGCGGCCTTTGTGGAATTGATTGAGCGTCATCGAAATGCTGACCTTGATTCTTTGACTGGCAGGTCGATGTCTCCAGTCTAATTTGTCTCGAAGATCGGCCAACAGCGTAGCATGGTTTCCGTGACCCTCAACCATAGAGAGAAAGCTAAGGTTCACTGATTCTAGTGTTGACGGGAGCTTGCTAAGAAACGAAACAAGATCATCCTGGGTGACTTGAATCCCGGAAAGTCCAAAGTGTCTTAGCTTTCCGCGTGACAAATTCTCGATAGGAAAGATATCAAAGAGTGATACAGAGTCTTCCATAGGGCAAGACCAGGAATTCAATCCATAGTTAGTATTCAAGATAACCTCCTCCAGATCGGTTACTTTGGCTAGTAAGCTGGATATCCTGCCGTTCTGGTAAATACTCCAATCTTCAGCATCAAAGTTCAGACGGTGTCCTGTTGTTAACGAGAGTACAAGGCGCCTGAATCCTGGCCGCGCAACAATCTTGCAAAGGCTGTCGTACTCTGCATTTGGCTCGTCGAAGAGAGTGTAGTCGATGCCGGTCGGCAGTTTGTGATTATCCACAACTAGCTCAGTGATTTGAAGTGTCTCTGCACAGCTGGCTAGAACCTTTGAGACGATGCAGAATCCGCGCCACTGTCTCCTCTCGTCGTCATTTTCCCATCCTTCTGGGCAGCTCTCAGGGCTACCATACCCAAGAGTCTCGTCGGAAGGCCAGGTTCGAGGAATTGGATAAACAAATCCAGGCGGGAAGGCTCGGATCATTGGTGTTTTATAAAGTGGCATGAAAAGAAAACCGTGCGCCGCCGGTGTAACGGTGACCTTTGTGAGTTGCGGGAACCTTTGCACGGCGTACCGAAAAGCCTCTTCATCTGCGCCCGATAACAAAACCTCTCTTTGCTGATGGAAAAGGTCTGTGTAATGCGCCAGTGAGTCTCGAGAGGGCATCAGGTTATCCACCTGCTTCTGTACTTCGTTTTCGCCCTGGTATTTATTCTTCTCGTGCAACCTGGCCTTGGTGAGAGAGATATTTTCTTTACATAGATGAACAAAATCCCTCGAGATCCATTCTTTGTCCTCGTTCGCAGCATAGTCATCAGGGTCATTCTCATCCGCGCTGTAGCCACAAGGGCCATCGCCGTCCGAGCTGGGGATTCTCATCAAAACGGCGTCATCCCATACAATCTCTTTCACGCGATGTCGGAAAACGTCGTGATTGGCGACTGCGAGCAAGACCTCGACATTGCGTGGATTGGGAGAGATGAAAACGCGGTCAAATCTTAGCGGCGACTTGTTTCCCAAGGCTCGACAGGTCAGACGCAAGCTCTTGATGTCGCGATTGTAAAGCAGGGTGCAAATGGCACCGACCAGCTCGTTTGGCAGTGTTTGGAATGCAGTTGAGGCACGTTCATCGTCGGACAAGCCCATGGTTGGGATAGAAAATAAGCAAAGATGTAAATGGTAAGTTTCCAGAAAGGCCCAGGTAGAAACAGAATAGATTGACGGAATATAGAGGGGGTTATTTATTTACACAGAGAAATTATGTCAATGTGTCACAAACTTTCGGTAGCGGAAAAACCCAACTTTAGGGTGCGGGGAGTCATTCATGTTTTATGCATGGCACTCACTGATTGCCAGGGCGTCGCTTAGCGAGTGGTTGGGTAAATTTAGGGTCAAGTACAGGCCCAGATTTTCTATAACTATATCTTTAAAGCGAAGGGAAATAAATTTTAATAAAATTTCCAGTTAATCTTATTATAGAGAGGACTTAAAGAGCTCTATAATCATATTATCTTTTCTATATAGAAGTTGAAGAATATTCGTTGAATCGATATATAAAATTACAGGTGGCAAAAGCTGGCATAATCGGGACCACTTTTGCACTTTTCCAACCCTTGAGACCTGTAGTCCGCCGAGATAAACTTGCGATATTTATTGCAAACCAGGGGACACCCAACTATGTACACTCTCCATATTTAGCTCGATTATCCTTCAATCGCCAACGGTAATTATTGCCACCTAAGCTGAGCCAATACAAACATACGAATCCAGTTCAAGGTCGGAGCAATCCGACTTCACAGCCGGGTTCCACTTGTAAAATGTGCTAAGCTCTATGTTGGCCGTCTGGGCAATGTCATAGCAAGTGTCGTCCTTGACGACCTTGTGGTACTTGTTGCACGTCTTGAGTATACCAGTCTGCACAGGAGACGGCGTGCCAGATTTTGTGCCCGAAGCCCCGGTCTCAGACGTATCTGGGGCTGATGCAGTTGCTGACGGAGTCGTAGAGTCGTCCCCTTCAGAGTAGCTCCATCCCGGTATTCCCACTGCATCACCAAGTGGATAGGTCGACCGACAATAATAGGTCCCGAGGACCAGCCCTGTGCAATCCGACTTGACGCTTGGGTTCATTTGGTAGAATTCTCCAAATTCTAAGCCATAAGTAGCCATCACGTCGTTGCACTTGGCCGCACGTCTCATGAGGAACCACATTGTACAATTAGCTGCCTCTCCTCCAGCGCGAGGGGTCGGGGTCTCAATTACTTTCTCTGCCGCAGCAGCTTTAGTGGTGTTAGCATGTGTGACAAGCTATGAGAATTATAGCTGTAAACTCACAGGTAGTAGCTGGTGAGAGGCCAACGCAGTAGGAGACGCTCGAAGAGATGGTGCACGGGTAGGCAAAGTCATTCCTGTACGTCATGATGCCCGTGACTGATGGTGTCGCTGCGTCAAGATCCGCTTCGGCTTTGTTAGGGTCGGCCAGAGATGGGTTCCACAGAACAAATTCCTGCACGATACAACTTTAGCCTGGCTTTGTTTTGTTGGGACGTTTCAAGACTTTACCTCGGGTGTGATGCTGTAGATTCCCGTCAGTGCCCAGCAATCGGCAGCAAGGTTATCGGTAGTGTCCTGGGTCCAGTAGTAGCTATAAAAAGTGTGAGTAAACACTCGCGTAGCGCTTCAAGACGTTTGATAGCCAAGATCACTTACGCAGCGCAATCCAATCGTGTCCCGTTTGCGATTAGAACAATGTCATCCGTAGACGGAAAACGGTCAAGCGGGTCAGTGCCATTGTGACCAGACTGGTCGGTTGACTCAGTCTCCTTAAAAGGTCGGGCAGTAGTACTTGGAGCAGCTGTTCCACCATATCCAGGATATGTCGAGATAGCACCAACAGGTTTCACGCAGTAGCTATAGTCTAGCCAGAGGTTTGTGCAATTTCTCCAGACTTGGGGGTTCAAAACCAAGCTGTAACGGGTCGGTTAGTTAGATTCTCCATGGTATGTTTATACTTAATCTTACAAGTCGTCTATTAAAGTTAAAAAACGGGCTATATCCGGTAGGGTTAGGCCTAGAAGTTATAAAAGTTTAAGGTCTCTATACTATAAGTCCTTAAATTTTTAGAATCTTATTAATAAACTTACTATTTTTATAGTATAGACCTACCTAAACCTAGGTCTAGGTATCTATATATAATACCTTCCCTAAACCTTTTAGTAATTTATCCTTTAAACCTAGGTTTAGCTATTTATATACCCTCTTTCCTTTAAAACTTTTTACTAACCTATTTCTTAAACCTAGGTCTAGGTATCTATATATACTATACTGCTTTATACTTTTAACCTTTTTACTTTTTTTTTATACTTTTTATTTTACCTTTTTATATCTTTTATTAATCTATTAATTCCTTTTTTAGTTACTTTTTAATACTATTTAATTATCTTTTAGTCCTTTATATCTTTACTTTTTCCTTTTATTATTTCTTACCTTTTTTTAATTAATTACCTTTTTAATCCCTATATATCTTTCTATTTAATAACTTAATATAATAACCTAATCCCTTATCTTTTCCTACTTATTATTTCTTACCCTTTAATAATATAATATTATTTTATATTTTATATTAAAATTATAATATTATAAATAATAAATAATAAATCTTAATACTAATTATTATTATTTATTAATATTATTATTAATAATAATTAAAATTAATTATTATTTACCTCTTAAATTTAATATTAATCCCTGGCCCTCTAAATAGCTAAAAACTATCCTTACCTACCTTTCTTATTATAAACCTTACCTATTTACTTTTCCTACCTTACTTCCTATTATTAATAATATTTTATTATTATTATTATTATTTAAGTCTATTAAATTATTAAAGCCTTCCTTACCTTCCTTTATTAAGGTTAATTTACTAAGGAAGTAAGTAAAGCCTTACTGCCTTATCGTTACTAAGCTATCTATTTATCTCTTTAAATCCTCCTAGTCTTATAATAATAATAGGTCTCTTAACTATAACTATATTACCTATCTTTATTACTCTTTTTAAAATAGTAATTTTATATATTAAGCTAAGTAATATTATATTTAGGTTTTTTATAATATTACTGCTATTTAAAAAATAATTAGTATTACCTTAGATATTAATTAAAGCTATATTTAAGATTAATATTAATATATATTATTATTTAAAAACTAGGCCGATTTTAATAATAAAAGGCCTAAATTAATAGCTAGCCAGTATTATATTAAGGCCTTAAAAGACTATATAAAATAAATAGATTTTAATTTAAGTAATTTATAATAGATTTATAAATTTTATAATAAAGGTATAACCCCTCTTTATTACCTTAATTGCCAGATCGTATTTACTTAAATATATATATATAATAAACTATAATACTTATTTTTATATATAAATACTTTATTAATTTAACTTAATATTAAGTTTTATATTAATTATTATAATCTTACCTTATTTAATACCTATAGTTAGATCTAGTTATAGCTTATTTCTACCTTTAATTAAGATTTTATTTTATTCTTTACTGGGAATAAAAAAGAAATTAAAAAAAGTATATTAAATATTCTATACTTAATAAGTAAAGCTTACTTTCCTATTAGCCGTCTTATTACGTTATAGAGAAATAACTAATAGAGGCCTTAAATTACCTATTAATATTAAACCTCTTTAAGGAGAATTATATTTAATATTTTAAAATAGTATTAAATTATAAGGTATAGACTAAATAATATAAATAACTTACTTTTAATATTTAAATAGATTTATTAATTATTATCATATCTATTTTTTCTACCTTATAGTAAAAAATAGTCTTAAATATTATTATTATTATTATATTAAGCCTTACCTAAAATATATTACTAACCTAAAAGTAATATTAATTTAATATATTTTATTAAATACTTAAAACTTTAAGGGCATTTTTTATTTTTACCTTTAAATCTATTTAAATTTCTAATTAAATAGTATTAATTAATAGCCTTAAAAATAATACCTATAATATTATAGATATATATTAAGTCTTTTATCTTAAGAAAGATAGTAATAATAATAATAATAATAATAATAGTAAGTCTAGTTTATTGGTTTTTTTTATTATTAAACCGGTTTAAAAAATATCTTAGTAAAATAGATTTGTAAGCTTATTTAATAAAAAAGCCTATAATAGTCTTTATTATTATTTTTAAAAAAACCGTACTTTTTACTTTTTAAATATATAGCCCTTATTATAAACTAAAAAAGAAAAAGGTAAGGTTATAATAAAGGTTATAAATTATATAGTATATTAAGTAAATACTTAGCCTATAAATATTATTAACCTTTATAAAAATAATAAACCTTTATAATAAAAAGACTTAATATCTATAATTAAAGGTCTTATAGTAATTACTTATAGAGATAATTAGTAAGTTTAATGAAAAAAAGATAATAATATTAATAACATTAATAATAATAAATCCTAACTTAACCTACACTTATAAGCCCTAAAAAGGTAGGTTCTTAATTATATCTATAACTATATAATTAAGTTTAGGGATCCTTTAATAAAATACTATCTTAATTTAATACCTAAAGAATATAATAAATATTATATAAAATACTTTAAGATAGGTAATCTCTAAATAGGCCTATTTTATATTATTTAATATATTTTTAGTTTTATATTCTATTTAGTATAGTAAGATTTAATCTTAGAATATATTAATATAAATAATAAGGTATATTAATTACAGTTTAAAATATATTATAACCCTTTAATATTAACTATTATATAAGCTATTTATAATTAGCTAGAAAATATTCCTAAGGTAAAGAAGAATCCTTAGAGTAATTATATTCGTAGGCTGGACCTACCTACGTTTAATTTATATAGGAGACTAGCATAACGCTAATAGCTAGCTTGCCAGCCTACGTTTAAATTAATAGCCAGCCCACATTTTACAGAAGTTAGTATTCTACTAATCGCAAAGCTTTAAAAGTCTTAGTAACTTTACATAAGTATTAGATCATATAGTAATACTTATTAAAATAGCAATAAGCCTTCTATAGAATTTAAGGTTAAATCATTTATTAAATAGGCTAGATTTTAATATAGTTAACCCTGGTAAGGTAAATCGCCTAAAGTAACCTAGCGTTTTTATAATTTTATTGCTTACTATTAGTAATATCTGATTAAATACTCTATAGATTAGACCCTTTATAAATATAGGCTAGACCTATTTACGTTTAATTTATTTAGGAGACTGGCAGCTAGCCTACGTTTAAATCGATAGCCAGCCTATATTTAATTCCTAGCCTACGTTTATTAATAACCAGCCTATATTTTTAAGAAGTTAGTTTTCTACTAGTTAAAGAAGTATAAAAGTATTAGATTATATAGTAAGGATTTAAAATAAAGTTATATAGTATATATAAAATCGAGTATTAATACCGTTACTTTAATATAATATATTTTAATATAATAACCTTTTTATATATTATATTTAATAAGTTACTATATTACTAGCCAGTTCGCTTTATAAGTCTCGGTAAATACTCCTAGCTATCTAATTATATAGTTCCTACCTCTTATAGAATATAATAAGTAATATAATACTACCTCTCTAGCCATTTTATTTAAAACCTAATAATTACTTTTATAAAAAAGTATAAATAAATTAATAAGGGAGGGGTAATACCTTCCTGCCTACGTTTTTCTTTTCCTTTTTCTTTCTCTATTCCTTATTATCCTCTTCTTTTACCTTCCTATATAAATAGACTATCTAATTTATTACTATACCTTTTACCTATAGCCCGCTAAAAACTACTAGATTATAAATTACTTTTATTACCTACCCTCTTTAAAGATTTTAATCTATAAAACCTATAATAAAGTAGAATTAAGTAATAATATATAATAACACCTCCGTAATTTCCCTTACGATCTCTAGATAAGTAATATCAAAACCGAGGAATTATATATAAAGGTATAATAACTAGATCCTATATAAAATCAGAAAGACCTTATTAAACTACCTTTCTTAATACCCCTTAGGCTACCTATTTAATAACTTAATAGCCTACACTCTAATAGATTTAAATATATATTTAAACTATCCTATTTACAGGTCTGTACCTCTTAACGTAAGATAAACCGCCACTTATAGGATATTTATTACGATATAAGTCATACCGGGAAGAGAGGTAGACCTATAAAGGGAAAAGCAGTACCATCTAGCCTACACTTTCGAATACAGGTCTATTACTAATACCTATTCCAATAAGGACCTCATAGCAAGTACTTTAAGGTTAATCTATTTTTATAACTTAAGTAACTATTTAATTAAAAAGAAGGGTTTATATAGTACTTTATAATATACTATTAAACCCGCCAGAAAGAAACAGACATAATAAAGCAACCTAACCAGTTTCTATAACCTTCCCTATAGGTCGACAAGATAGGCTTAGCTATATACTTAAAGGACTTTACCAATAATAAAGACTTTTTATATAGTCTTATTTCTCTCAATATAAAAACAGGTCCTATACCTAACGATTAACCTAAAGATCAACCTAACGATTAATATAACGATAATAGTAACTAACTCCTTTATATATTAATCTTTAGAGTACTTAATTAGCTAGTATTAAAGACCAGGGGTCTTATATATCATTAGGAAATCCCCTTTACGGCCAGACTTAATATCGCCTAAGTCTCATACTATCTCATAGCCTTTAAACCCTTTATATTTAACTATAAGGTAGAGACTAAAAAACGGTATATTAATATAGCTAAATAGCTTATTATATATACCCTTCATTACCTTAATTATAAAGATCTAGATAATAGGCCACCCTTTATGCTTATAAATCGGCTTAAGCTTACGTATTAAACTATAATAGATTGTACTAAAGCTATTATTAATTAGTAAATAGCCGTTAAGGGGGATCTATCTAATTAAATAATAGCTAACCTAATAGAGAAG